TTCTATTGGGATTATAGTCCCGCAAATTTACGATTATTACAACACTTAAAACCCACTACTAAAGTTGCTAATTACTCCCCATATGTTACTGGAATTACTGGCGTCACGATTTTTACGAAGGACTGAGGGACCTTAAACTTGAGCTATATACAGTGAAATTTACTTCGTGGTTCATATTTGTTGTCGCAGCCATCCCTCGTGGGCAATTGGCTCAATGTGTAGTTGGCACCGTGGGTGTTCAGGATGACCACGCAACCATAACAAAGCCGATGATAGTGTAGCGGTTATCATTCTGGCTTCCCATGCCTGAGACAGGAGTTCGACTCTCCTTCATCGCATACTTTTTCTTCTCTCGCTCATCGCATCTAACTTTATTATTATCTATATCCCTCCCTTTTTAAACCTCTCGCATTTTCCTCCTCCGTAAGCATTTTTGTCTCTGAAGCGATAAGTGGAACTAAATGCAAGATGCTTTTATGACACTGGAATCTTAACTAGACTATATGCAAATGCTATGACACTGGAATTCTTATGGTTACAATGTAGAAGCAATTATAGCAACTGCCTGTTGCAATATGAGACGAGATTCCAGGGATGAGTTCTGACTAGGAAGTCGAGCCATGAAGAGATCGTGATCTCTGTCACCATTCAGATACACAGGAATCTCTACATAATTATTCTGATGAGTAGTTTGGCGTCTATGCCATCGAAGCGTCATGGGGGCAAGACGTGTTGATACAGCAGAAGACAAACGAACTGTGCCATTCGTGTACTCTGCACCTTCCAGTCGTAGACCTGTTGAGAAAGTACCGTCCATTATTGGTTAATTCTGTTATCTTTTGCGAGCAATATCCTCTTTCTGAGCCATCCCTTCGACATTGGTAAACAGGGAGAGGCTTACCTGAGATGACAAAGCCGTCTCTTCTTGGGCTACTGCCGATTTGAACATCCAATTCTAGCTCTTCCAACGACCATTTTTGACTTTGAGCAACAGATTGACGAGTGGCAGTTATATAGGCTTCTGGAATGAATAAGCCACCAATCCAAACTTCCATTTGGTGCAAGCTCCTTTGAGTTGTAGATGCTGCAGATATCTGTTCCAGCCTTAGTTTGAAGTCGATGACCCACTGATTGAGTGTCATTTTACGAGAGATCTTGTACGCCTTCCAGTGCTCAGGAATCACTCCTACACATTCATCAGATATTGTTAGGCCAATCAGCAGTTCAAATATCTACATTCTGCGAAAATGTTACCTCGAGTCAAGGAAGTCATCAAATCTCTCATATGGTTGGTTTGCTTCATTCGACCACTGCAAACTTTTTCGAGATTGGCGAGGTCTGAGCGCACACAATCTAGCAAGCTTTCGGCTAGCTGTGTTTCTCTGTCAAAGAATCGTCGGAATGGATCTTTGACGATATGCGAGGCACGAGAGATGACTGGCGGCATATTCTAAAGAGAAGAGAAGATAAGACTTAAATGTACACGTTTGCATTGACAGAATGCGTGCAATAAGGCCTAAATGGAAGAGAAAAGACCTTTTGTAGCTGTGAAGTCAAGTTTTTACCTGTGGTAACAAGGCAAGCCATTCTTGAACTGTTTGGTGTAACTGGCGCATCCATTGTGGTATCTGAAATGCTGTAGACTCTCGTTTGACGTGAATGGCATCAAATGAGTCTTCTTCATCATCGGCAAGCACCTTCATCTTTCGAATATTAGATACCATAGCCAGTCCTACATTAATTTCCAAAAAATCTGGTTAGCTGAATGCCCTGTTGCAAAGAAAGAGTATGTGATACTTTTGACTTTCAGGATTGAAATCCAAAGCGACACATTACAATTGGCAAAATACCAAAACACACCTCGTGAAGCCATGAGAACCGTGTCAGCATTCCTAGGCAATCCAAGCCATGCTGGTGATTGCTGAGCTGGTAATGCGTTCACCCAACTCATGAATTGCTCTGGTCTGGTCCCTTCTGGAATAACTAAAGACTGTTCACCCTCCAACCCTTCAGCCAGGTGGAAGGCAAGTTCGTAACTCTTGGGCGAGAATACGGCATCTATGAATGAATCCAATACTTTCTGATCGCAATCCGAATCAAGCCTTCCACCATATACAGATTGTTTGAGAAGGGTCTTTATAGCGGACCAGGGAATCTTTTCTGGAGATACATTGGAGCGACCTAATGCTGTAATATCCAACCAATCATCAATTGTGCTTAGAGCACAATCCAGATCCGAATCATTGAATTCATAGAACTTGGTCCACCCCAAAGGTACATACTGCAGTCTTTCTTGAACAACTGCATGTAGCCAAGCCAATAGGAAGTATAGCCTTACACGTTCAGATGGTCCTTTTGTTATGCTTGTCGGAGGGAGAGTGCTCAAGGTGTCGAGCAAGTTAGCCTTAACACCAGGTGCTGGCTCAAACATCAAGCTTCGTGATAGTCGAAGTATGTTGGCTGGTACTTTGGGATTGATTTCCATGGTCAGGAATAGTCTAAAGTTTTTATGTGGCTTGAGATTATACAACCTCTTTTCAAGTTGAGTAAGCCATGATATAGCCAAGTGGACATTCTTAATCAAGACCCAACCACCAGTTTTGACTGTGGAAGACACTGCAGCATCGGCTAATCCTACACCTTCTACAGATCCCATAGCTACAGAGCTTAATCGAGCATTGACTTCCTTGGCAAAAGACTCGACACGGAAACTGGCATCAAATCCAGCGACCGAGCAAAACGCGATGGGAGTGGTTGCCTTGACTTCATCCAATACAATAGATTTCAATGGCAGCTCAGTACTTTGTGTGAATGTCGTGTCGAATGCTGCATGAATAAACTTGTCTGCCGCTGCAAACGTTTTATCGGGTCGGAAGGTCTTGACCACTAGCAGCTGTCTAAAGCTCTTGACTACAGCTGATGCGAAAGCAGGTCAGATGGTCAGTCAATGCACAACATGGTGTAAGAGAACAAACTTTGTGTGGTCGAGCCTTACCACTGATACCAGTTGAATCAAAGCAATCTGGAACGTCTCCATTGTCAGAAATAAATTTACTCCAGACGGCCTGATGTTCAACGATATGACGACTCAATTGGGCAAATGCTGGGAGGGTGATTATGCTACTCATTCTAGCAACAGCCTCCTCACCAACAATACTGACTATATCCTCTTCTATCATTTTTCCAGCCTTTATACCAATACCCAGCAAGGCTTCATACTCGTCATCATCAAGTATACCCTTCAATCGGATTTGAGCTAACAGCACTCCAAAAGCAGAGTGGTCAGAATGAAGTAGGGATCGAGACACTCGAGCATGCGTGACTTTAAACAATTCCTCCGTTATTATAGACAGTCGACGTGATTCATCAGACAATCCAGTCAATCTCGAGTTGCTATGAATTACATGACCAAAGATTTCCAGGAAGAATTCCAACGAGAATTGATAAAAGTGGTTTACGGCGGAGAGTTGTTCCATTACAAAGAAGATGTTAGAACAAGCTTGAGCTAAAGGTGTATACATGCTAGTAACAGCGTCCACGTCTCTCATGACTGTGTCTGTTTCTTGCATTTTTTCAGCGACATCTGCGGCTTCTTGCTTCAATGTTTCTAGAGTCACCATTACATTATCGTCATCTAGAATATTACCCTTGGACTCACTCAAGGCTTGCAACAGAGACTTTTCCAAATGTCGGAGGCGTAGTTGGAATTCACCTTGTAGCTTTACTAGGTCAGATCTCTTTTTGTCAGTGTCGGGTTGTTCAGATTTGAGAACTTCATGGAGACATTGGCTTTGCAGACTGCCCCGGGTTACCGTAAAATTGACAAAGGTTACTCTACTACATATATCGGGTGAGAATATGGCTGATGGATCTCTTGTTGACAAGAAGAGATTGAACGATGGGGAGAAGTCAATATCTTGGTTTCCAATACGTATCAAGATACGACCACCTGTTCTTTTAATCTCGTGATTCAAAACTGTGTTGAGAATGGGGTCAAGATTTTCGACATCTTGCACTAGCAGTGGATTACCAAACCTCAAGGAGCTTTCAAGTACCTTTACAAACGAGTCATCAAGGAAGCTCGTTACGGATATTTTACGATCTCTATAGTCATTCAGCAAGAATGCGGTTGCTTGTCCAGACGGATCGATTATAAGAGGGTAGCGATTGAATCGCTTCATCATGATGGCATTCTCGGTACAGAGACTGTCAGCTGGTAAAGCATTCTTTTGCCAAGCCAACCTCTCATCGGCACTAGATAAATACTCTGGAATGGCCAAGTCGATTTTGAAGCTTATTCCAGATTTCTCCAGATGATTGGTCCATTTGGACAACAGAGCTTCTCGATAAGTCTGATCAAAGAAGCCAGCATATGCCAAGAAGGCCGATGCGATCAATACATCACCGACCATGGTACTCATTTGCACATCAAACGACATACTGGTAGTTTCCCAACGTTCCTTTTCAGATGCTAGATTCGACAACAAGCTTAAAGATCTTTCTACTTTTGACTTTACTCGTTCCATCTCTGATTTTAAAGCCTGCGTCTCACTAATCAAGACGGCGTATTCGTCTTTATATTGGCCTATACTCAACTCTAACTCTTGAATCATATCATCAATAGTTACAGCTTTGAGACGAGTTTCGTTGGCGGAAGATTCCAAATCAGCAACCTCTTGCCGTAATGGGCCGATTTGCTGCAATATCTGGGCATATCTTACTTGTGCAATAACCCATTGCACTAATGGTCCACATGCCTTGGAAGCTCGGTTGACTGTTTCGAAATTATAATTGGGATTATCAATAAATCTGGTTTTTACTTCGTTTCGTATGACAGCAGTAAGTTGACTAGTTTCGTAGTTGACCATGCTGGCAATGAAGTCGTCTCGCCGTATAACACTTTGTACATCCTTCCAAGCTGTGAGTTTGTTACCCAATAGTATACAGACAGATTCCATGGCCATCTTAACTGCATCTGGAGGATTGGTCATGGATCGTACTTCGGTGAGATGTTGCTTCTTTATATTGCTGACAGACTGCTGAGCTTCTAGAACGGCGGGTTCAGCTTCAGCTAATTCAGCCATTACAATAGTCTTGCGTTTCTCAATCTCATCATTTTGCTTGGTTATTGCTTCCTGGATCTGAAGAGATGCAGCTTTCTTCTGTTCTGCTTCCTGTTGATCGGATACCATTTTCTTGAGCTTTTCATTGGCCTCATCCGTCTTTGCCTCTAGTTCCAACTTTTTATGGGCAAGACTTACACGAAGCTCTTCGACTTTGGTGACAGTGTCTCTCAGCTTGTCCAAGCCGACGTTTAAGTGGCGTTGTTGTTCTTCTAAATCTTCACGCTTTTCAGCAAAGATTTTGATATAGTGACCAATAAAATCTAGATAATGTCGTGGTGTGGTATAATTATATCGACCTTGACGTCGACTTAGTTTGGCATTCACCTCGTACAAGGATTGATGCACAAACACAAAGGCGTTTACTATGGCACCATGATAATCTGGTGGCATCGGTAAATCTTCATATGCCAACGGGAAGTCCATAGGAGCGTGATAGCTATTATTGGTCAAGTCGAGAGTTTCGGTAAACTCTTTGGCGACCTGGAAGAAGGCTTGATCAGACCAATCTCCAAACCAATCCAAGACGCATCGATTGAATAAGGCTGGAGACGTAGCCGCTCTCGATGCCAATCCACCCTCGGGTGGATTCATAGTAAATACAATGTGAAGATTTTGCATGACCTAAATTGCAATGTATGATTTTTAATTGCAACAACATTTACGACAGGAAGGAACAATGAGATTATACCTGATGAGTAAACCATTTGTATAGCTCCTCAGATGAATCAATCATGACACCATCACGTTGAGCACCTTCTTTGCATTGATTCATCAAAGCAGTATGCTCGTCACCTTCAAACAATCCAGGGATTTCAGCATTGGCAAGTAAAGTATTCATTCTCTCAAGAAAGCCAGGTTCAAGAACATTTGATTCATCCATGATGAAACAAATCTTTTCACCTCGAGTACCAGACCTCCTCAAGACTGTTCGTAAATCATCGTCAAAGTCAGCAGCACTATACTTGTTGTGGACTTTGATTTGGAAGACACTGAGCCCATTCATCCAGGCTACAAATCGAGATAAGGTCGTCTTTCCACTTCCACTAACACCAATAAGAAGCAAATGGCCCTGCATCTGTTTAAATACTCGATCGATTCTCAAGACATGGTCGAGGACATCATTAAAGAGAATCAAAGGTAGATCCAACTCTTCCTCGTAAAAGACTTTTAATCGAGCTTTTACAAAGCCTCGTAAGATTTCTCGATCGACTGCAACATAATGTTTGCTCAACCAGTCCGAGAAAAGAATGGGTCTCTTCAAGACTTCCTTTGAGTTTATGCTAAAGTGACGAGCTGCGACATCGTCTATAGTTTTATCCGTCCACGTTCGTTCTTCTTCTCTGACAAGCCTGTCTTGGAAGAGACGCAATGCTTCATGAGCCCATATTTGTATCAACACTTCCAAAGATATTGTGTCCAATGGTCGGATAGCTTCGTACATACCACGGACCCATCTCGTAAGCTCACGAGGAGAATAAATATAATGAGCTTGCGAGTCGGGCGTGAATTGCTTTTGCGACAGCAGATACAATTCCACCATGGCACTGGTCAACGGTTCAGCATAACCACGAACCGAAGGTACTACTTTTAGCATAGCCCGACAGAATGTGCTATAGATTTGCTGAAGGGAGACTTCACCTGGATAGTCGACCATTACTATAGGTGCGTGTCTGAGGAATCTATGTGTCATTGGTATTCGACCAGGATCGGTTGGAGGATTACATGCTCCTACAAACTGAATACGATCCAGAGCTACCCAGGCCTTATCAGATGTTCTCCAATAGCCTCCATGCTCGATGAGCTGACGCATAAATGATATGACTCGTTGCGTTCCGTATTTGTCATTGGCTGGCAAGTTTATCTCATCGCAAAAGACGACGAGCCAACGACCAATAGCCCTTGGTGAGAGGGTAACACCATTTGGAGTTCTCTTGAAGTCACAATACTGTTCAAATGTCTTAAGAATCAGCTCTGGACTTGTTGCACTAGAAAAGTTGAGGCCAACAACCTCAACTTCTGAGAGTTTTCTCAGAGCTGCTAATAGAGTCATAGTCTAGTTTTGAAAGCACAGAGACTTTAGCGAAAAAAACCCGGGTCCTGTGACTAATAATCATAATTACCTTGCCAGATCCTGGCGGACCACATAGAATCAATGGCTTGTGCTCCGACAACCACGAATATAAGACATCCTCATGACGGACTGTGTCGACAGTAGGTATCACAACATCAGCAGCAGCGACATTATGTGGTTCAATATCTACTATTGGTACTTTGGACTGCCAAGACACCCATTCACCATTCGTGAGACTGACATCAAAGTCAATGAGGCTGAGACCAGTATGTGGTAAATCTATAGCAGTGGCACCACGTAGAAAGTCTCCTAATTCATTACGTATATCGAGACGCGAGTCTCCAGCAAAGCTCCAGACTATAGAGATAAGCAGCTTCTTTGAGATATTTGCCTGAAGATGGTCTGGCGTCATTGGAAAGTCGGGATGACTAGCATTATATTCCAATACGTTTCTCACTGTCTTATTGAGCAGTGAAAACAAACTACTTAATGCTCTGACTTTTGTAAAGTCCATGATATGGTCAAGAGTTGCACACAAGTCCAATGCTTTTGACACGAGCCCATCTTCGGACATGGCTGGTGCAAAGATTTCAGCAATCGCTCGTTGACATGCTATAGAGGTCGAGACATCTGTTTCGGTACCACGAGAATAGCCTTCGTCGCCCTCTTCATCCAAGGGTACGTTTCTTAGTGTCTCCAGATAGTGGCCATACATCATCTTGGGAGACACGACATCATCACTAAACCAAACCATACCGCAACGAGATACCGTTGCGAGAGTAGCATATCGTAAGGATTCTACTTCAAACATGATACGAACATTCGGCGGCAAAGACAGACGTTCACCATTTGGCAAGGTAAGTAACCTATTATCATCCAGGACTGAGTTTAGATTTTCTACCCATTCTGGATCAACATCGCCATCAAAGACAATCCAATGACGTTTAGAGCTCTCTCCTCGTACATTATCTACAATACGACGAAGAATATACGTGAAGAGACCATCAGTCCATTCTCGGGTAGTGGGATCCATATGTCCATACAAGGCATCTTTAGACATTGCTTTGGCATCAATTACATAGGATTCTCCTTCCACACCTTCGACTCGTTGCAAGGTTTGCAACAGGACTCTCCATGCAGCAGATTTACCGGTTCCCGTAGGACCGACCATCATGACACCGTGATGAATACGTTGAATTTGATAGAGCTGCACGACTTTTTCGATCCAGCGTTGATCTGCTATAAGGCGGAATTCTGTGCAGACAGTCTGCGTCTCTGACATTAAATTACCCAAATCGATAGGAAAGTATTCTATGCCAGGGAACACGTCTGAAGCAAGACTAAGTTAGAAAATTAATCGTGATTAGCGTATATTATTTGATAAGTGAAAGTCAGCTAAGCCAAAAAAAAGTAGCAGTAATTTTCTTATAATGTACCTCTGCATCAGTGAAATATCATCAGCAACCAATTTAGGCGCAACAGTTTCACGTATGCTTTGAATCAGAATTTCCTGCTCAGCACGAGACTCGGATATTGAAACTTGCTCTGTCTCTGCACGAGTCTTCAATACTTCATCACTTCCAGCATCAGCCTTCATTTTGCGAAGAGCCAGCAGCCGATCACGTTTGACGTTACCAGCAGATACCAGAACACTCTTGAGTGCTCGTAATCCAAAGTCATAATGTGATTGCGGTGATAGTTGCTCATGGCACAAGTTAAAGAATGGTACGATTTTAGAGGCGATTAACTCGGCATTACGGAATCCTTGGGAGAATAGCATTACTTGAGCAATCAGCTCTCGATCTGGTTTGGCCATTGCGATACTACGGAAGAGCTTCTTCAAGTTGTCTGGCAAGTTCGATCTACCAGCATATCCAGGATTCATGGTAATAAAGATACCTGCGGAAAGACATATGTTTCAGTGAGTCGAGTCTTCCAGCGAGTTTTACACCCAATGAAGAAAACAACGGGAGAAAATTATTTGCAGGCACTCACCAGTGCTAGGATGAACTCTCAATTGCTTCCCAACCAAATCAATATCAGATTCTTGTTTCAATCCCAGCTGAATTGTCTGAATTTGTTGAGAGACGGCTGACAAGATACGTTCTTCTAGACGATTGAACTCGTCAAAGCATCCCCAAGCTCCAACACGACACAATCCAACAAATATACGACCCATAGCTTGGAAGTCAAAGGTCTCATCACAATTGAAGACCAATACGAATCTACCTAATTGGACCCCCAAAGCCTTTACAGATTCCGTTTTTCCAGTTCCTGCAGGTCCGAATGGACTACCACCCAATCGAGATTGTAGGGCTTGAGTCAGAGTCAAGTAACATCGATCTGTGAGAGGTGTCTGTACGAGACGATCAGATACACCAAGATACTCATAGCCATATAAAAACGATGCATTGGCCATATGTATGGTGAGCCGTTGTAACACGTCTTCTACCGTCGGATTATAGTAGAATCGCATTTGATAAAGCCATTCAAATGCTTTTGGTGATGTTACTTCGTGTCGTATCAAGTGCCTAATTACATCACGTTGGTGTACTAATTCGGTAATAAGATGCTCACACTTTTTTCTACGAACTGCAGGCAAATCCGTCAACACGGTGTCAGCCAATACAGCCAAGCATTTTTCCACCAGTTCAAGACACGGTTTTAATACTTGTTGAGATGGGGCCGGCTTTCCAGATTCAGCTTGCTGCAACACTTTTTCTATAGACTGACTCCAATGAATCTGGACTGCCAATCCAACGACTTGGGCTGGAAAAGCATCAATCCAGTCCAATAACTGCTGAGAAGACCACGAGATACCATTGTAAAAGCTAGATAGGGAATTGATAGAGTCCTTCAGCCAATTAGCCAACGAGACTCTCATTTCCATCTCGAGCAGTTTCAGCCAGTCGTTTATTTTCGGATTATCCTTTATCGAGACTGGAGTTTTGAAGACCATATTCTCGCCTTCACGAGATGCGAGACCATTGATTTGAGTAGCCTCATCGTCTAGCAATAGCGATGATACACCCGCAAACATCTTCTTGAAATGTTTTTGGATTCTCATCACATCTTTGCTATAACCAATAATCTCCAGCAAATCTTCATCACCCACAAAATAGAATCGTGGGAATGAGGATCTCTCCTTTTCGAGATACTCACCCAACGCTTTTTGAATCTTGGCCAATAATTCTGCCAGTCGTTCAAGTGACTTTTGGATGCTGACGACATTGAGAACGTCCAATATATATGGTGACTTGTATACCTTCTTCATCAAGACCATGAATTCAGAGTTTATATTTTGGAAGCGGGACGTTTCAGTCGGCAAGAGGTGTTTGATATCTGCACTACCACTAAAGATGCCTTCTAAATACACCCATTGTCGTTGGACATCAATCCAGACATCAAAGAGTACATGGACACGATTCAACTTGTCGTGCCATGTTGATGCTTCCTCTTCAAAGACTTTATAAAATGGTGAATGCTTCATGGCAGCTAGAGAACTCAAATGCTCTCCACATTTGGCAAAGATATCATCCCATCTTCGGACGAGACGGCATTCTAAAATGAGGATGTCAGCAACGCAACAAAAGCCATATGATCATGAACAAAGAACACTTTGCGTACTGTTTTGATAGTTGACCAGATCAAGAGCATAACTAGTCCAAGTCTCTTTGACTGTCTTCAAGAATTCTTCCAAGGCCATTTCACCTTGAGCGACAGCGACCACATCTCGAATAGTAGCTTCATTCTTCTTCAGGTCTAAGTCCCAGACTTGTCCGACAGTCATATCGAGGAGATGCAATCGACCTTCCATTTTCAGACTCTTGAGCAAGACTTTCCAATGACGTTCACGGACTGCCTCACTCTTCAAGTCAGAAAAGAGTGGTATGACCTTTATATACATTTTAATGGTTTCTTGCATATACTCGTATGCTGCATACTGTCTGAATCGACTTGGCATATCTTTGGCCGAGTTGAGGACGCCATCAAGCTCTTGACGAATCTTTCGTGGCACTGATGTAGCAAATAATCTATCTCTCATTTCAAAGATGGTTTGCCAGACACGAGAGAGAGCAGACCAGACACTCTTCAAGTCTCGTAACTCTTCCAGTACTACATCTAGTTTATCGACTACGACACTATCTAAATCCAGAGCTGATTTCGCACGACAGACTTGATCGTATTCGTCTTTGAGCCTAGTTACTCTGCCTTCAAATACATTCAAAGTATCTGCAGCCGATTCTGGTCTCACATCACCTTGGACGGGTTTGCTTCTGTCCCAATCTGCTGACACCTCTCTGATTTTGCCTTGTACAGTCTTGTCTTCACTAATGATCTTCATTTGTAACGACACTTGACATGGACGAAAGAGTTAGCATCATAAAGTGCGACTCGGGCCGATTTTTTTTCGTTTTATTTCGCCAGTATCATACCTATTTGATCTTGTGCAGATGCATTCTTCTTGGTGAAGATTTCATTAAAGGCACTCCATTCACCATCAATATTATCAACATGGAGCCAATCAGATGGGAACTGGAATCTTTGGCGTTCCAAAGTCTTTTGTCCCGCTCGGAATATTTCAACATCCTCTGTCCATCCACCCAACTTTCGTTTGAGTGTTTGTAAAAGTGTTATAAATGAAACAGCTTCCGCTGTCGTTGGAGCATCGGCTGATTGTGATTCCAAATCATGACGAGATTTGGATACATCAGAATAAAAGTCCCGTATAGATGCTCCGAGCTTTGTACCAAACTTATTGAGTACGTCGCGTTGCCATTGATCATATTTGGCATTGACTTTGGTTTGGACTTGCTCATAGTCGATGATTATACAACCAAATTTCTTGGTGGTGTCGGAAGTGTCAAAGGTCGATCTAGATCGTTTGATTTCAAGGACTAGTTGCTGCCATTGGCCCAGATCATCTCCAAGTCGACTATACAGAGCTTGTTCATCCAAATCCCATAATGCTTGGTATCGGAGCCATACTGCCAAGTACTGACTGACGTGACTTATTTTGTCTTCCAAGATACTATAAGCTTTCGAGAGAAGATTGTCCGATACTTTTGCAAGCTGTACGAGTGGAATCGTCTGAGCAAAAAGACAATCGAATTCACCCCAGAATGTGACACATCATCAACTCACCAATCCTCCGTACATGACATTCTGAACACTCTGATTTGCAGTCACGTCCAATTCGTACCGTGCACTTTGAATACGTTTCAGAGTACAAATGGTTGCTGCATTGTGTTTAAATAAAGTCAGAGGAGGAAGCATCCAACAACCAACAAATGGCTCCAACTTACCCAACCAATCTCGAAACTGTCGATATAAAGACTCTCTAGCCTTTTCAACGGGTGGATCAAGATACATGCTTTGATTACGAAGTCTGACTTCATGAACCACGACTTTTAGTTTCGGTCGCATGCTCTCGTCGACAGCGTTGTCGGAATTGAATTCAACTGCAGACTCAGTAGTTGATTCGTTTGGTTCCACTTCAGTATTCCAAGCCTAAAATAACAAACACGAAAATATCAGTCAGGTTAATTACGATAAAAGAAGGTGTGGGCGAGAAAAGCTATTTGTGTTGCAAAACAATCTGCCAACCTTGATAGCAACTTGCAATCGAATCAGTAAAAGTGTCTCTATACGTTGATCCAATGCTGTAGTCCATGTATCAAGATTGGTACAATTTTCAAGATTTAGTCGATCAACCTATAAAACTCAATGAGAAAAAAAATGTACACAGATGATTTGGATTCAGTGTAGACTTACAGCTTTCTGAATCTGAGACAGAATCCCAGCTAATGCACTTCGTACAAATGAACAATCCTTCAAGGAAATTACAAGTCCATTGATTTCTTCACATATAGCCAGAGCAGAGGACGTCTTGTCATGAAAAATCGTCACGACATTGGCGAATTCACGCACAAATGTAACATGACGATTCTCACTCTTGGCACCACTATATCCTAATGCTTCTAAGCCGCCCATACGAGTATCATAAGAATTAGCAAAGTAATCCCACTTCAACTGAATTCCTCTGGATGCAACCGACTGTTGGACATCTTTATGATAACCAGCGACAAGTGGTGCTACTAGAGATTCCATTTGTCTCATACGAATCAGTGTTTGGGTATACGTTCGTACTGTTTCGGTGAGCGATACGGCATATGGATATACACGTTTGGCATCTTTAGCTACATTGGATACGGTATGTGGGATTGTAAATCCAAGCCAGAGAAGAGATCTGACCTCCTTAAACAAGGCAATGACTTGAGCATCAAAGTTTACTGATAGTACGAGGGTGCTACCACCAGCAGTACGACTTTTCGATACATCAAATATTCGTCCAGTTACGCTCAATTCACGTCGTGTGATTTCAGTCAGCCAAGCTTCATACACTGGTCGAGTATCTAGTTTTTTACGAAAGGCCGAGCTGATGGCTGATAGCTTTTGACCTTCAGCATACAGTTCCCAGCCTTTACCTAATACATCTTCAACCCGCTTCATATATAGACTGAGATGTCGTTCGATTTGACGTGCCCAAGCTATAGCACCTCCAACAGGTGGTAAATCACGAATACCACTGACATGAGCAGCTTCTGAATTACGATATGACAGTTTAAACTTGTCCTGTAATGCCTTCAAGTCTTCCTTGACAGATTCAATGAGCTGGTTTTGATATTCTTGTATGGCGCCACGGATTTTGGGTCGAACAAACAGGGCATTGAATTTGGAAAACACTCTAAACATTTCTTGAGCTGTTTTAGCGGTTGCTAGTCGATCACGCAATTTGGCAATTATGTGATTCTCGACACGAGCAACACGTTCATTGTACGAGTTCTCAGCAACGACCCATAGTTGAGTGCCGTCTAGGGAAAAAAAAGGCAGCGTTAACAGCAGAAAAACAGCAGAAATTCAGCAGCTATGATTTACCTGTGGAGACATCAAGCACATCAATATTCTTGACAGTCTCATAAGCCAATCTCACATCTTCAAGTACATCCAGATTAACAAAATCCGTATCATTTGTCGTACTCTGATTGACTTGTTTGCCAGGTCTCATAACTCTCTGTATAGTAGTATAGAGCTGTTCGTGAGACTTTCTAAAGCCACGTATAAACAGTACCCGTTCCTGTAGCTTAACATGGGCCGCATTGATCTTGATAGGTATAAACTTTTCAGATCGTTTCCGAGTCACTTCTCGAGCCACATTGGTAAACTCTTTGAATTGCTCGTCCCATGCTTTGAAGATATCATCACAGCCACGAGTCTCTCGTTCAAAGTCTTCGTAGTCCATATACATGAGTCGATGCAGGCTGAGTACTTTATATATTGCATCGTTCAAGTCTCGCGATATAGCTTCTACGAGGGGCAAGGCACGACGTATAGGGTATGGCGATATACGGAGCTTCTTATTCAGATGGCCGAATATAAGGAGGAGGGATTCCTGGATGCGTCGTAAATCCGAAGCAGCCAATAGTTCACTCAATGGGAAATCCTTCATAAGCTGATTATATTTTTGGACTTGATCTATAGCTTCTTTCAAACCCGTATCGGATAAAAAGGATACGGTCAAGTGGAAGCGTTTGGCAGCCTTGAGATAATCTAGAGTCAAGACTACTTCATCTGATTTAAGCTGGTCTTCGATTTGAGCTAGTCCTCGTTCTAGATTAATCCAAAAGTTGATTTCTTGGATGGCACTGCCTGATTCTGGATCTCGTGAGAGTTTAGTGACTTTTTGGATTTCACGAATCCAGCCCTTTACATCGTTTTCTAGTTTACGTAAGAGAGTAGCTTCATCGGCGACTTCTTCAACTGCGTCTATGGTGACTCGTTGCTTGAGATCACGACATTTACTGACAGCTTTTTGTATAATGGGATGGATGTTGAGTTGGATCTCTGGAATGTCGATATTCTGTAAAAGATGGAAAAGGGACAAGTCCAGATCAGCTAGTTTCTTTTTTGCCATTGGAATGCCTAAATCCAAGGAAGAAGATTAAGCACTGTTCAAAGAGTAATTACTTCTTGTATTCAAGCGTGTTTTTTTTTGTTTATGTACCTGACTTGGACTCCTTTTCAGAATCTGATCTACTTGGTTGAGTGGCACCAGCCATACCACCAATACCAGCAGCATTCGAGTTCCTTGTAGCGACATATGCATCAAAGTACGGAGCAACACCATGGTGAATGTGTGCTCGTAAAGCTTCAAAGGCATTTGCACCATCTCCAGTACCAGGCAGATTGATGACTTGAAGCTGCAATGACAGAGACTTGTTTGCCTCAATGATTGGGTATCGTTTTATAATTGCTATGGCTGTAATGACTGTTGGTGGATATGTTGCTTCCAGTTGGCAAGAGAATACAACAGCTGAGGAACTGTCGTCAAAGACTAGTGCAAAAGAGATGATGAACAGAAGATTAATACTCCACTTTTTAAAACATTAATCGTGATCTCCACCAATTTAAGGCAATCTCTCCCTCCCAAATAACACGAAAAACATCCAGCAAGGACTTACCAGTACTTTCACGTCTCAGATCAGATCCACCAACAGCACGTTCCTTTAGGATATATAGAGCGTGAATTTGAGGATCCGATGCAAAACGAGCTAATATCTCGGTAGTGTCGTCTCGTCCAGTCAAGAGTATGCGAAGCTCTTCAGCGTCAACATCTAAAATTACAGAGAGGAGTCGTTCCAAGTAACTCCTGAGCACCGAAGTGTCTGCTGCCTCTGGTAAATTCGGCACAGCATTCGTGGCAAGTATTGAATTGCCATCGCTTGTCTCATCCATCTTGATCTCGTCGAGGAATCAAAATGTTGTTTGTTTTCCGGGTGGATGCAATGATGACGAGTACGAACATCATGACAACTGTTAAGGACGCTAAATTTACGGATTATACGCGTTTAAATGTTTAAATGTTTGAATCGCAGTCATTCAATTATTTAAAGATCCAATGGGGCGTGATTTATATGATGCTTACAACTTTGCCATATGAATGTTACTAAACTGACTCTTGGTAAACAAATCATAATTATCTCCTTTTTCATTTAGCTTGTAGATCTTGTCAGTGGTCTTTGTTGGATCTATTCCAGTGGCCCTCAACTCGGCCTTCATTTGCTTAAAAGTACCTGTTACCTGCATCTCCTCTTGGATTCTTAGGAAGTATGGCCTTGCATAAGTAGGTAGCTTATCACAGACGTGTTTAGCAAAGGCAGAGAAGCTGAAACTTTTGTCAATGACGATGGAAGCCATGCCGATCCGACCTTCACCTTCACGTCCAGGTATTGAAGCGCCGTATCTATTCGAGGAGCGGTGGTTAGCCCAATAGCCCTTGCCGCAACACTTGTAAAGCTTACACGTTGATTTCAGAGAGTCCTTGGAATGGCAACAAGGTCTCGGCGACATCGTTGGTCGCAACGTTCTCTCCTCTGTATCTGAACGTGTCACCAATACGATCGATGAAGTAGTACCAGAATTTCTCATCCCTTTTTAACAGATCGCCTGAAACATGCAAGCAGTTTAGTGTGCATAAGCACTTTGAAGATAGTCGACATCCTTCGTACCTGTCATATAGTAGCAATCGCCCTTGACAAAGCAATTCTCGGCAATCTTTTTCTGTCGGGCAGCGGGATTCTTATAGTAGCCTTCAAAGCGCGCTGGATTATGATCAACTTGAGCTACCAAGAGGCCAGGTTCATTTGGCCCACACTTGCATTCACAAAGTTGTTAGAGTTGGTTGCAAGAAGCGAGTACGTTTCAAACTTGGTGGGATACCTTGACAAAAAATCCGTCAGGGCCACGAACAGGTTCATCTTGACCAACGTCATATTGTACAAGTTCCATTCGGTTGAAATGTTGGAGTATAGGTCCAACGCGGCCGACACTGCCATTGACAGTATTATTTCCATTTTGGAAGTTGGTGATTGCAACTAAAGGAGTCGGAATGATGAGCATTTTGGTTGACATTGATACATCCCGCAGAAAATTTACCGGCGCCTTCTGTTTGACCAAACCTAGAAAATTGAAATGTTCAGTTATGTGTCAGTGGCGCTGCTTGCTCGAGTTCCAACTTGTCTCTGAATCCCTGTCTCTTACCATTCGCCGATTTGTCTATTGAAGCGATTGTCAAGGTTAGAAATACATAACCGAATAAAGCTTGAATCACCACACTTACCTGATGTTGAAACGAGTCTTGAACTCGTTCCAGATATCAGGCCGCAATCCTACTCCCAATGCGATCCTCAGTCTGTGTGCCTTGTCCGTTGGCCTGACAGGCTGTTGAAGAAGGTATCTAAATCGTTGATGAAACCAGTCAAGTGATCTCTAACGGAAGAATTTTTCGCATAAAGGCAATATTTTAAACTACCTCGCGACCTCGCCAATATACATCACCATGGTCGCGTTCATTCTTCCAACTATAAAGAGATGTTACTGGCTCACTCCAACCGAAACGTAATAGGAATGCCGTACCTTCGACAAAGAATCCAGAAGCAGAGAATTTACGAGCAAGACAAAAGCAGCCTCCAACGGATAGCATGCCACACCAGCCGACCATGGTAGCCGCGCCGTGATAGAGAGGCAAAGCAGAGTAACATCTGTCCGACGAATTCATTTGAAAGGAATTCGAAATGAGCATGCCGGTAGCAAGTTGCTTGCCATGCGACAGACGGACAGATTTCGGGAGACCGGTCGTTCCACTACGAATGAGAACGGTTGAAGGAAAGTTTGATGTGTTGACCACCCGAAAAAGGAAGATGAAATCTTGTTTCAAACCTTGTAAAGATCAACATGCACGTATCATCAGGTGTTCCATCCTTACCGCCGTAAGCATTAGCAGGTGTATGGTCTGAAACTTTGTTCAGTGTAATAAAATTGACTTGTGGGTACAGGCTTTTTGAACCAGTCCCCCATTCAAAGACACGTAAATTTTCACCAGCATGGCCAGACTTGATTGTCGATTCAATCTCTTTCACATTGGCAGAGAAAATAGAATCAACAACAATGATTCGTGCTTCAGACAGGTTGACACAATGTTCCAAATTGCGTCCCTTGAGATTAAAATTGATGAATGAAGCAGCCGCTCCAATTCTAGAAGGTGAGACTTTGGATAATCTTCCGGAGGCTGCAATTTTTAAGTATAAAACAGATTTACCTTCCACAAGCCATCCACGTCAACAAGAATTGAGGAGCGTTTTCCATAATCAGGCACACATGGTCAAGTCTCTTTACACCAACGCTGATCAGCCAATTAGCCATCTTGTTGACATCTAACGGTATGATTAATGTCAGCAAGCGACCTTGTCCATCAAAGAGGCGACGACTGTCACGATCCGTACCTCTGTTGAACTCTATCCAAGTCCACTTGACATCCTCAAAAACAAGACAATCTCTCCAACAAAGATTGTTGTTGTTTGCATGCTCTTCGACCAGAGATGACATGTTCCAAGCATTATTGGCGAATCTGTAGGCCAACCTTTGAGAAAATATTGGGGAAGGATCAGCGTCCGGAATTCAATGCTGGCCATGGTTGAGAGCATGCTCACTGGTTCGCATTGTTCATAGACTGTCCAATAACAGTCAGATCACTGATAATTGCTTCCTGAAAAACACGTTTAAATGTTAGCACAATGTAGGTAGATGAGACGTGGCAAACACGCTCAGAATGCTTAAAATGTTCAAAACTCATGCAAATCATAGATATTGGACGCGACAAGCAAGCTGAAAATGCTCAATATGTTCAAAATGTCCAAAGTCCACGAAATTCACGAAGTGTTTCAAGCACCGTAAGAGAAGACAGACCGAAGCATACCTTGGCCTCCTGATTAAGGACTTCAGCGGACCCGTAGAGATCTCTCAATTTCGTGGCTACTTCTTGCAAACTCATCTTGTTCCTTCAGGTGTCGCAAGCTTTGGCATGTGTGATACGAACTTTGCAGCTTAAGAACTCAAGGAAGGACATGAATGAGACATTACCCTTCGGACAGCTTTGTATTCGAATTGAATGGAATGGACAATTGTATGCGCGTTCGTGATATTTCGACATTATTGAAGAAACTGTTGAGATCTGTGCTTTTCTTAACGTGACGTTTTGACGAAAGAAATGGGAATGTTGCAGCTTACTTCGTACCGGTCGCTCCACTCGACGTGTTTGCATTGTTAAAGAGCGGTCATAGCTAGCTTCCGTCGCATCTACGCCTCCAGATCAGCCTGTTTCGCAAATATCCGGTGCTTGGCGTTGGAATGTTTCACTCGCAGAATGTGTCTTGACCTAGCTCCAGCATAGTTCTTGTCATTCTAAGCAAGGAATATAGGCAACGTCTTCATTTTGAACATCCTCATTGTAAAGAATGTTTGGAAATTCGTTATCTTGGGGCTTTATTTTGGTGCACACGGTTTTTGCTATTGAGATAACTCGATTTAGCTATACGGTCGCTCAAAGACACTACTAGCACTGTAATCAACTATAAGAATATCATTTAGACGTTTATCCCTCACAGTGGTCATTACAAATGGTCTATTCGGAAGCCAAAATGATGCGATTTTTTTTGTGGTCTAGGCAACTGGCTCAACTGGACCCATCGCTATCTGCACAGTCTTAAAATCCACAGAACGAAAAGAACTTGCAATCTCTAAACTCTACAAGCTACTATGAATATCTTGAAAAGGAGCCTCCTCTACTCGCTCCATGAGCTTTTTGTCTCTGAGCTGTTTGAATCGTCGTCATTGAATATGAGCTCAACTACATCCAGAATCAACACAGACCGTAGTTTGCTGACAGAGATCCCAACCATGAGCAAGCAGCCTGGAAAAGTTGTGTTGTGCGGTGCCGGTCCTGGGGATATCAGATTCCTTACTGTTTTCGCATTGCAATGTATTCAGGTAAGCGATCAAACAAGCAGACGCATGTGTTGAGCTTTCTGCCTTTCGTGTGGTCTCTATGACATTGATCCTTTGAATTTATGTGCTTTCTGTACGTTAAAGATCCATCTGATCTCACACCTACTACCATCTTTCGTTTAGGTCGCAGATCTCGTTATTGCTGATAAATTGATCAACCCATCTATACTCAACCTCGTAAAAGGCGAACTCCGCATGGCTCCTCGTCACGCTCATATCAAATCTGACAATGCTCAGGAGGACATCAACACCTGGATGATTGCGTCTGCCAAACAAGGAAAAATGGTTGTACGTCTGAAGACTGGCGATCCATTTATATTTAGTAGAGGTGGTGAGGAAGCTTTGCTCTTGTCTTCTCACAACATACCTTGGGAGTACATACCGGGAGTGTCAAGCTGCATTGCAGCCAGTGGTCGATGCAGTAAGTTTCAACTTTGCGCAAGACGCCTTTTCAATCATGTCCCTTGTCCAATTTGGTATTCACTTTTCATTACTCACCCTTTCACTAGATATACCCGTCCTACATCGTGGCCTCGCAAACCAACTTCTGATAGTCACTGGTGTCGAAGAAGGTGGCATGCAACCAAAGATACCCATACACGACGATAAACGAACCACGGTGATACTCATGGGAGTGAAAAAGCTATCATCCATAGTGTCTGTCTTGCTAGCACAAGGATACCCATTAGATTTCCCAGTAGCTATTGTTGAACGAGGCTCGTGGCCTGATCAACGTGTGTTTAAGGGCACCTTATCGAGTATAGTAGATATTGTGTCAAGTATTGAAGTCAGGAGCCCGTCTCAAATCATTGTGGGTCATGTTGTCAATGTATTGAATGATGCGTCGGATTGCTTGAGTATGTATCAGGATGTGGAACTTGAGCAGTGATCGTATGAGGGTGCTGAACTCGGGTGGTTGTCGTATAAGGATGCTGCAGTAAACCAGAATAGTTGTGGTGTTTGGTATAGTTGTTGTAGAGTAACACATTTTTGCATGTAGAACACCTAAGAATTACGTATGAAAATATAGATTAGATCACGTCATAGTATCTGAATTTAGAACAAATTATTCGTTACCGAAGGTTGATGATCATAGAATTTCTTAGGCGACGTTCATTTCTGAGGCTTCTTTGGAAACGGTAAAACTCGGACCATAAATTTTCAGAAGCTCACAGTTTCGGATGCTGCATTGGATTTCAGAATTCAAATATAATAGGTAGAGAAGTCGTAGGACGTGTTGCTTTGCATACCTTGATCAGGATTTTCTCTCGAAATCCCATATTGCGGCGGAGTTATGAAACCAAGCTGAAGAACAAAGTGTGACAGCACTTGGTGGGCATCCAGTCATCAGATTTGAAATTAAAGTGTAGCTCAAATAACGCCAGATGGACAGAGAGGCCTACTATAAGGGTTTGCATGACCGTATCAATCAAGCGAACGATAGCGGTAAATTTGGCCGCTTCGCTAGTGTGTCGGGAGCGAGAAATTTCGTCGATGCTACCAAACATCACAATTGGGAGAATGCAAATGGAAGCATCTTCCCCATATCTGAAGAAGTTTGGAACGAATGGAGCGCTACTATGACAGGAATGGAGGGGCCCATTGCAGAGGGTACAAAACAGAATTACAGGGATGCAACTCGGATTTTTGAACGTCTCGAGGTAGGTTACAGTGACCACAATACACAAAGTCAAACTCTATGTCTCAGACAATGTTCTAGATTCCTCTCGGAAACCATTACCTAGTCGGTCGAGTTGCTAGAACTCCCGTCGTTGACAGAGGAACGAGACGTCGCCAACAAGATCAGGATTGTCCTAACGTAGAAGAAGCACGTCCTGCAGCAGTGGAACCAAGAACATCTCGACGTACGCGTGGTGCTACTGAGGGCGTGAATGTGGCAACTCCAGAGGGTAAACCAGATGGAAAAATGGCTTGAAGATTCGAATTCACCAAATCTCTCATATTCCAGTGACGATTGCTCTTGTAACGACCGTCGTTGACTCTCCGGCAGGTAAATCAGCATTGGAAGTCCTTCTTGCTTCTCCGTCAAAATGAAACTTCAACGTGATTTTCTTCGTGTAGTTCTAGAAATCCAAGCTATACTGAAGCAGATTCTAAAGGAGATGACAGCTGTCAAAGCCGAGGTCGAAAAGATTAGAGCGAATGTCACGTCAATTTGGACTGATAACCGGATCTCCCACATGGAAATCTTCTTGGATGCTCAACTACCTCTAATTGCCGCAAAGTGTGATAGCATTCAGTCCATGGTGAGGACTACTTAAAGTCGGATTGAAGTGTTCTAGACTTTCAGCTTACGTATTTTTCTCACACTCTTGCCGCAGTTTGCTGGTACCAGAGCTGTCAATAGCTTTTTTGCTCACTGATGCTCAGGAAAGCGATATGACAAACCAGATCAAGCAAATCCTGGCTGAAACGCACGGAATCCGAGCTCAGATTGTCGACATGAGTGGTAACTTGCAGGCATACAGCCAGTACTTTCAAGAAATCGCAGACAAATGCGACGCAATTCAAAGTTCGGTAAGCTGTGGACAGCATCGACTGCCAGCTGCAATGGTCTGGTGAGTCTAAGGTGATTCTGATGAATGCTTGTGTTGCTAGATGACCGAACTTGAGGAGTGTCAAATGCCACGGTTCTTCACTGTTTCTCCTGATAAGCCAAACATTTGGGATCCCCGGTAAGACTGCATTTTGCTGATCATGTAATATTCACTGATTTGGTTGGTCTGACTACGATTTCCAATCACTTAAACAGAGATTACTTGAAAATGTCGTATCACATTTTCTTCATGTGCGAATGCGCTGAGGGGATGCATCCAGCTGAACATCCAGGATACAAAGTGAATAAACCGACCGAGTTTTTCGAAAAGTATGGACCCTACATCAAGAAGGTGCTCCCGGTCCTTCTAGCTGCTTTATCAGCAGCAGCACCTGCATTCCCACCCCTTGCACTGTTGACAGCATCCACCAGCTTCCTTCTGAAATTTCTGCCTGGATTGAATGTCAATGAACTTGAGTGTAAATCTATGGACTTCTTGGTACAAGCTGTTGAAGGAGTACTCCCACAAGACCTTACAAAAGCAGGCTCAATACTAGACAGAACCAAGGGCAAAGATCCTAAGCTTCAAAAGGCTGATGGAGAATTATGGATCTGAAGAGTCAGTGTTGAAATTTTTGTTGGTATCGATGATCTGACTTTTAAGAGGCCAAATTAACCAATTGCCTACTAATAGAATTCGTATCTGTAACTGATTCGAATCCTGGAGGTCTAATGAGACGTTATATCGACGGTCATTGGCGTTGGGTGTGTTCAAAGCATGATCGTCCACCTTGGGGATTTACACAAACCGGGCAACTCACTCCCGAATTGGAGAAGATTGTAAACAAAGCTGGGCTTACAAAGGAACAGCTCTCAGACCCAGCTACCATGAGAGTCCTGAAGAAAGTAGTATCTGATTATGTAGAAGCTCACCATGCTGGAGCTAGTGATGTCGCTGGTGGATCCAATGGACATGGTGCGACTGATACATCGAGTAGTATGTTACCAGAACTCCTCGCAGTCGTGTGCTTTATTCTCACTTCAATTCATAGGTATACCACGGACTCCACCTCTCTCACCATCTTCAGCCATAAAGAATGTACCAATTAACCCTCCAGCAGCACACTGGGCTGCCCTCCAGAAGAATAGTCCTAGTATCAATAGTGAGTCAATTTGTTGACTCCAACCGAAACAGTATCTCACGAAACATCTCCCATCTTATTAGTGACGGAAGAGGCGAAGAAAACGCTCATCAAGTTGAAAGCGGCATTAGAAGTTGCCAAAACGAATGAAAATTGGAGGCTTTGTGACCAGCTTGACGACCGTATTCGCGTCGTAACAGCCTTGGGTTTCGTGAACAAAGAGGTGGCGACGAGTGTTTTGGAGACTGCCTTCTTTGCTGGAATAACCACAGCTGCCACCAACACCAACGGAGTTCAACCAAAGACCACATAGACCACGTACTTGACCTTCTTTGACGTTGCCTTTAGTTAAACAGTATTTTGTGATTTGGCAAGATATTTCGATTTTTTCGTTGTCTTCAATAAAATAAAATGGTATTAAAATCGTGCAGAGCTTTTTTGCAATGAGTTCCAGGAATGCCTTGCTTGTTGACCCAACCTCAAAATCAAGCTCTATCAAAGTCGTGTTTCCAGCTCGAATGTCAGCAATTGGGTATCGTCAGCAGTAGTTCTCACTGATAGCGAGGGACAGTATAGTCTCCCTTGCATCGTTCTCCACTGATCTGCATCACAAATTGGGCACTACGCTTTTCCAGAATCCAACCAACAATAATGTCTGTACGAGACTTGAAAATTAAGACAGGTGTAGTCAAGAGGTACAATCCTAACCCACACAAAGTCGTAACAGCTTCCATTCTGACTCTTCTCTCAATACTAGACTCGCCAAAGAACTGGCATCGTATGAAAAGGAAGCAACCACACAGCAAGCTAGAATTGACAAGTTGGTAGCTTCTGGAGCTGACATTCATGACATAAATAAACAGGTAATTATATACCGCTGAGATCGTAGCATTACAATCCTTTGAAGGCATTCAAACATCCAACATTAAACACACATTTTGTGTAAATCAATGTAGAAGGAAGTACTGGACGAAACACATCAAATGATACCTGATAATAAGAGGCGATTGGGTGTAGCTTACAAGGAACTCGAGACTATGGTCGCTGATCTAGTGGTACATTCCCTGCAAGTTGTTTAATATCTTGCTCTGCGATTGACCCACAATTCTCTTCGTTAGAGCGCAGATCCAAAGCTAGACGGATCAGAAGAAATATTGGGTGCTCGTACCATCCTATCTGATGTCACTGTCGCATAAGCAGCGCACCATGCACACCAACCAAATCTTTGTCAAATAGTTTAGTTTTTGTTTAGAATCTTCAATATACTATACAAACCAACACCATACAGCAATTTGGGTTTACCACCACTATATAATATTGTGTATGCAAAGGGAGCGAGAGGGAAGCTAGACTATATTCTACCACCAGCCTCCAACTCGGCGATGAATTCCTGCATGGGTCCCAATTCCTTCTTGTCTAGTAAATCAAATTCCCGACCGAAACATATAAAGTGAGCAAATAAGGTATTTAAGTGTCCTTCTGCACTGAGATGTAGGATTTTTTCATAGTGCGAGTGGAAGATGTGGGCGAATACTCGAAAGAGGTGGCGGAAAACAGTTCGGATCTGGTTTTGGAAGTCTGGTGGGAATTTCATACCTAAGCGTTGAGATGTCATTAGTTTGAATGTCCTTCGAATGGGATCAATCTGGAAGCACATTACCAGCTTTGGTTGGAAATATGGTCTCGTCATCAACCAAATTCTGTATCTGTGTCATAACGTAGTCCACGTATTGCTGTGCTGGTAGTTTGATGCTCTTTTTCTGTGAGTCGACCCATAAGTATTCATTCCCTCTAATAGATATTATAGTTGTGTCAGTACTGTTCTATCACTCCAACAATCTCCATTCACGTACGGTCCAGCACACATGACAGGACAATCCCTCTGCGTGCAGAACTCTGCAATTGATCCATAAAACAAGTTTGTATAGTTGAAAAAGTCGAATGCTAGAATCAAGTATGGATTCAGCGTTAACACATTAGTATGGAGCGGCGAGATCAAAACAACATACTGTTCACAGCCAGCCTAGTTAACGAAAGATTTGAGATATTAGAGACAATGATCTTGACATGAACTAGTATTGACAACATCCGGTTCAACTTGGACAATAATCAACGACTTTTACCATTCATTCAAATCCACATGAGCAGGCAATACGGCGAGTTTCCGCAGTGAACCATTGACAAGGGTGGCGGTTGAGAATGGTGGTGTCAGGAATAGTGGTTTTGCAGTTACATCTCTCTTTCCTTTAGCTTTTGTCGTGAATTTGCTATGTTTACGAGATGTTGAAATAATTAGTGATATGTCGATAACTGCTTCATGAGAGAATGATTCCTACCCAAAGAAACTCATGCCAATATCGCAGACTGAATGAGGTACTAGTAGGAGACTAGGGGTTCAGAACCTTTTTATTGTTGAGGTGTTGTGTCTGGAAGTTCAAAAGTTGTTGGATCAAAGGAAGACGCACAAGAGAGCCTACCTCTTAATTTAAGCGCGCCAACTTATAAACCAATATTCAAAAATTATGGAAATCGTAGTCTGCTTGCCGAAAACACGTGTTGTTTGGTGGCATTCCGATACTTAGACAGTTTGTGTCTTGTAACTCTACTGCTGCCACTTCAACAGCGGTCAAATCTCGAGATCTAGTACATTTTACGCGTATAAAAAGCAACCCTAAGCCTCTTCTACTAAGACGTGTTGATACTCAATCATTGCTGCTCTCCATCGTCCTCCAAAACACATTATTGCGAAACCATTCAATTCACCATCCAAGGGCCGAAAAGATATCTCTAAATATTCACTTGCAATGATGACTGGAGAAGCCACTGAAGCACCTACTGCTAAACGTAAGTCCAACCATCTTGCAATGAGCTGCGATTGGTTGAATATTTGAGCTAATTCATATGCCATCACTAGAGCTGGGAATCGAAGACTTGGAGATGCCACGAACTGTCATTAGCAGGACAATGAAATCAGCTGTATGTTCATATGGATACACCGGGCACCAAACCAATTTACCAAATATCAACATCTTCTAGTTTCCTGACGGTACATCGGTCGACAGAGCATCTTCCAGTGCTGTACGAAGAGCTTGCACTGTATTCGTCAGTTATCTGGCTGCGACGTATGTACAGAATCTGTTTGTGTCCGGGTCGAACGTATCATGCATCGTGCTAATGGACTTCTCCGCGTACAGTGCCAATGACATGACCAAGAACGCCAATAAAAAGACAATGACTGCATCAGAGGTATTCAAGGCTTTGGATTTGTTGGAATTTAAAGGTTTCGTGGGGAAAGTAGAAGAAGCCTTTGTCGGTGAGGATCATCCTTGGTTGATATTACCCATCTTTTTGGTCCTTCAACATATCCTTACGCCATTAACCTTTCAAAGCACACACGACCGCTCAAAAAGAAAAACGAAACGCCTACCGTAAACGAGTCGCAGAACAGGGCGGTCCATTACGCACTCGTGGAGGAAGCAGTGGCGGCTCTGCCTCAAAATCACGAACACGTAAAGGATCAGACGATGACGAAGACGACGAAGATGTATATGAAGGTGAAGAAGGTGATGATGTAGATGAAATGGAAGATTATGGTGCAGGAGACGACGATGATATGATGATGGATGAGGGGATACCACCTGCTCAACCAGTGTTTCAACCACCACCGTTACCTGCTGATCCATCAGGAGCGCCAAAGAGGAAGCTGATATTGAAACTTGGGCCGAATAAAGCTGCTAGATCTGATGATTCGAGTCCTAGTAACTCGCCTGCCAAACAATTGGAATAGTTGATAGGGTTGTAATGAAGAGCTGAATTTGTATATAATACGCAGATATTATGTGAACGTACTGTACTGTGAACGTATTTTTCACGTGTACATCTTTTAATTTTTTGCACTCTTTGTAAACTTTGTATTCAGCACGCAGTTGCGGGGAGAAGATGAGCTCCTCAGTAGAGCCCGTGACTGGCGACGTGTCGGGCCTGCTATTGATTACAGACACGCTGCAGACTCCCGGATCAGGCGTGTTGGGATATTTATTGACGAGGGCCATTCGACAGGGAGAGTGTGTTTGTCTCGTATCAATCGGTCCGTCAAGACCTTATTATTTAGGACTAACTAGACGACTGGTATGTTGATGCGCTGTCTTTTGTATTGGTGTTGTCGTCGGAGGTCCTGAAAACCACTGACATCAAATGCTACGAAAAACTATATTTCATTCAGGGATTGAATCTAGCAAATTTGGAGCTGGCTGGACATGTAAGATTCATTGACTACCTGCCATTACTCGAATCAGCCAAACGCGAGCCAAGTAAGGCCAGCAACGGATGGTTACTGCCAACAGTACCCATGGAACAATGTAAACATCCTAAACAATGGATTTTGTTTGAGGATTTGACTGCTTTATTGTATTGGGGAGTGTCTGTCAAAGAAGTTATGAGACTCGTGGTGCATTCCCTTTCCTTGGTCTCAGAGGTACAGTGTAGCAAAAAAGAGCACATCACGTACCATATTCTTCTCATCGGCCCGTAATCTTCTTAGTCACATGGATGTGTGGCTGGTACAATACATAATGACGATGTAGGAGATGTCGAAGCTCAGACTCTCATCAAACTGCTTTCGCCAATGTCACAAACCAAATATCAAATACGAATGTTGAGTAGTGGTGCTACTCAAGGTATTGATGGCCAGGTACGTGTTTGCAATGGGACGCAATTGTCTGAGAATTATCGCTAAAGTACATCCATTTACATTAGTTGGATGTTATGTCTGGACCAAGGAGTCGAGAACGACCTACAATACGAGAATTGTTTTACAAGTTGAACGATTCAGGCCCTACATTCTTTCCACGTGGACTGTCTCATGGTGTTATATAGGTGTCATTATTGGATATTTAGGAGTGGCATATGTATATAGATTCAATATGTTATGAAAATAGCAGTGTAGTACATAAGAGACCAAGACGGCTACGTGTCCGATGGGCTCAATAGCGAGGATCGAAGACTGTTAATACAGACCGGACCGCAAGTTCGCAAAACTTAGGTGTGGCTCGACATTCGGTTTAACCGTTCAAGGCACATTTTTTCCAAACCTCCTTTTTCTCCAGCACCAAGCATGCTGAGGGGCGAAGCAATTACTGTCCCGCCAGCTTCCCATGTAAGTGAGACGTTCAACTTAAATTTACTCAGTGGCTAACTCTCCTTTCTATGAAACGGTTATTACGAGTATGGTCTCGAAATTCCTTACCAAGGAGATCGTGGAGACTACCACTACCAAACGCCTTCCAACTCTCGACCACCGGTCGCCAGAATTCAGCGTGACGAGATCCGTAAAGTGAATGCAGAGAGGCCGGATCTGCCCGCTTGGAAGTACTATGAAAATGAGCTATTGGCGTCATGTTGTTAAATGCGGCAAGTGACAAACGACCCAAACTTAGAGGTCAACTCCAATATAAACGACAGATCCAGTACATTACCTGATAGTACACATGGCGAGCTTGCAGCATCCCTGCCTCTCTCTCCCTCTCAGCACCTTTCGCAGAAGAGTATGTTGTCAACGGAAGTAACTTTGAAGAATTCGACAAGCCAGTCGACAAGGACAGAGAATCTATTCCAGGAATCTATGGACGTGATATGATCAACGATTGTTTCTCGCTTTGCGTTGTTTGTATGTATCGATGAGATCTAAGGTGTATACACGTCCGAAGCTCTGTCAGTGTAACGGGCCAACCAATCCGTTATCGTTTGCCCCGTTCAAATTCAACGATTCTGTTAGATCTGTCGTAATCGCCCTAGTATCTAGCTATCACAGAGTCGACGCGCAATCAATCGTTTTGCAACTCGCCAACATTTGACCTGAATCACAGGTCGCTGTGTCCGATCTGCAAACCTGACTGACAGGCCGAATGCCATCTCTTAGATAACGAACTTAAACAGCGAAAGGGCGTGCGAATGTAAAACAAAACACCACTGTATTCGTCAACCCCAAACAAAACAAGCTTTGTATCGTCCACCATCATTTCAAGCTGTCTTCCTATCTGTCAAGACACGTACAATAGATCCCAAACCACCAACTTCGAATGCCTAAGACGAACAAGTATCAGGTTCAAGAGCGAAACAAATTGAAGGGACTCATAGTTAGGACAAAACATCATCTAGTCAACAGTTACCTTTTCATGCCATGTCAGTAAGACAGCAGCATTGTACAGTTCCGGATTAGCCATTCCTCGATATATGTACTTCATCAATATATCCAATTGTTGAGAGTTTAGTTTTGCCACAATGTTTGGAATGTCGGATGCCTTTGCAGCGAGTAATGCGTCCATGACTGTTTTTGCATTTTGATCCTTTAAAAATGCAGGTTTAAGTATGATAAGTCATCATGATAAGTATGATAAAATTCAATCAGGGGCCAAGAGCAGTCATGTGTGCAGGAGCATCCGCCTTGTCGTTGACGGTTTACACTCAGGCCACCACCACACTATGGTATTACCTTTGCAGCTTGGATGTCCTTTCCTTCTGGTGGATCTTCTAATGCTCTAGTTACAGCTCCACTGATATCTCCTCTATTGTATCGATTAATCGTCAGGCCAAATGTTGTGATTTCTCAACTTTGATGTCTAGATTCCTTGTATTAGCTATGGTACCTTGACAATAAATTCCTGACAGCATCGCCCCTTGAGTTTACGAGATTATTCACTTCGGCTAGAGAGGGCAGTGATGATTGTATCTGCTGGTCTTCATCTGCGAACTCGTCCTCATCATACACGTCGACTAGTTATTGAGAGTATATCAATACGAGCCAAGAACTTATAGTATCAAAGGCATAGAGCATATACACGTACCATCTATTTTCCGATGAGACATTTCTGGTTATCTAGCTCGTTCGAAATTGACAAACGGTTTGGTGGGTTGAGGAAGTGTCGAGGAGAGATTTCGTGGTTTAGAAGTGGAAGAACAAGGCACTCATCGTATTATTTACGGAGATATGACGCGTATCGTGGCTCTATAATTTGTACTTTTATCTTCAGGACATTGTAAAAAACAAGCTTGAACGATTTACTCTGTTTGAAGCTTGCCGTTTCTACCAATTGGACCAATTTGACTCTTTCTCTCGGTCGATATCAGCGAAGTCGGACCAGAAAACACGTTCTTCTTGTCTTTTTAAAGACTGCCAACTGTTGACATCCATTTCGCTCCCGTTGAAAAAAACTTGCTCTCTCGACACCTAGTAAAAAATGTCGTATTCAGCTGCAGCAGTAGAGAAGCTGTCCTTTCTGGCTGCTGATTGGCTATCTCTGGACAAGGCAAGATCGGCGTGCATCTATCTTCTATCGACAAAGCTTCTAACATCAACACAATCACACAGAATCCAAGCACTAGAGCTGAAATCGAGGCACTCGTCAACCAAAAGGCATGGAAGGATTTGGATTCTCTCCTGACCGAACGAATGGCTTTTGGAACTGCCGGTAATCATCTGTCTACTGGCCTGTATTCCTCCACATCCCGACATTCAGCTGATAACGTGTTTTTCAAGGGCTTCGAGCTGCCATGGGTGCTGGTTTCTCAAGGATGAACGATTTAACTGTCATCCAAGCTACTCAAGTTAGTTGATATGCTAGTGCGTCTAATCTTATGGCATGGCTGACGGCTTTGTCAAAACATAGGGATTGTGTCAATATATGCTAAAAGTCAACCCTGACGTGTCGAAACAAGGTGTCGTAGTTGGACACGACCATCGACACCATTCCTTATCCTTTGCCCAGTACGTGTTGTTGCCTTCGGAGAACCGCCAACTTTCGAAAGCTGACATATAAGCATACATCAGGTTGACGGCAGCTGTATTCATATCCAAGGGCATCAAAGTATATTATTACAAGAATCTCACTCACACCCCACTTGTGGTATGTTTAAGTCTTTGTCAAGAAACATCACACTGCAAGACCTCTTACCTTTTTGGGCTTGCTTTCAAACTAGCCATATGGAGTCAAAAAGCTGAAAGCTGCAGCTGGAATCATGATAACGGCTTCGCACAACCCAAAACAGGATAACGGTGAGTTGGAATATATAGTTGAACGAAGGGAGCTGTTCACTAACTGGACTTGCCCATAGGTTACAAAGTGTAGGTGTCACGATTGACGCATCTGATTGTTTTGCTATTTCTCACCTCTCATCGCCCTTTTTCCTACATTTTGCAAACAGTTACTGGTCAAATGCCTGTCAGGTAAACAAACTGACAAGACAAAAGTAGCTTGTTGGTGTAGAAAGATATTTGCTAACAGTTGTTCTCGAATCAGATTATACCTCCACACGACACTGGAATAGCAGACATGATCCTTCAACACTTACAGCCTTGGACATGGGATTATGAATTATGTCAAACAAGTCCGTTATCTAGCGACCCATCAGAACAACTGGCTGTTGAATACTTTGAAGATGTGAAGAAATTATCATACTACCAGTAAGAAAATCATACTGTGTTAGAAACATCGTTTCGTATGAAAGGCTTTCCTCAGACATTTCTTTTTTGTTCCTAGTGATACCAACTCTACCACCGATTTGACCTTTTGTTATACGGCCATGCATGGTGTTGGATGGCCTTTTGCTGAAAGGTCGTTTAAAGCTTTTGGACACAAGCCATTTGTTATTACGCCTGAGCAGGTACACTGTTGGTATGTGGGATGAACTGAGTTGATGAATGTGCTAATCTGTTTACGAGAATAGGTCGAGCCAAATCCTGATTTCCCTACTGTGGTATGATTAGCGTTTTCGCTCCCTTTTTTTGCAATCCGACTCAAAAGAAATTGCCGTAATCATAGGAATACCCAAATCCAGAAGAAGGAAAAGGTGCTTTGACTCTGGCTATGAAAGCAGCTGATGCGGCCAATGCCAGAATCATATTAGCGAATGATCCAGATGGTGAGTGACTGATGCCATCATAATCACGGATTCTCCAGTTTCTAACTTTGCTCCCTTTGTTCGTTAGCTGATCGATTAGCAATCGCCGAAAAATTGTCGAGGTTGGTGTTATGTAATGTTAAACAATGCAAAAATATCAAGACGCGTTTGTTTATATGTTTGCTCACGAGATGATTCGCCTTTCAAAGCACCGACTGGCACATATACTCTGGAAACGAAATTGGATCCATTTTGGGATGTTGGGTGTGGGAGAATTACCAAAAGAGTTCAAAGAAATCAGGTCGGCTTGGCAATTATTCAGTTCTGTCGATTACTACTTTAACCTTCATATTTATCATTTGTTTAGACAAAGGAGCGGCCATGTTGGCAAGTACAGTATCATCCAAGATGCTGGAAGTCGTTGCCAAAAAGGAAGGTTTCTACTTTGAGGTACATGACACATCTTCGTCCAAATATTTTTGTTCGCATTCGCTCATTCCCAAAACTCCCAACTAGGACACATTAACTGGTTTCAAATGGCTGGGTAATCGAGCTATAACACTGTCTGAACAAGGATATGATGTGGTGTTTGCATTTGAAGAGGCTATAGGTAATTCAGTTATCATTTATGGCCTGCCCCTTCGGGGTTCTGTGCTAACATCGTCTCAAACTAGGCTTCATGGTGGGAGATATAGTTCACGACAAGGATGGTGTTAGCGCTCTGTCTGTTGTTGCAGAGTTGGCTGTAGAACTCTCGAGGAAAGGAATGAGAGTGTACGATTACTTGCAGCAACTGTATCAGAGGTACGTGTTCAGCGATGGTTTGGAGTTACTTTTTGGTTCGATGGTATAGGTCGCTTACACCTCCTACCCCAAATTTAGATACGGTTTCTTTGTTTCCAACAACTCTTACTTTATATGTCATGAGGCAGCCACCATTCAGTCTATATTCGACAAGATACGATATGGTGCGAAGAGAGCACCTGCTCCTGTAAGCAGAACAAGCTGTACCTCTCCATCTTGGCAGCATTTTTTCTCTTACCATTTGTCTCTAACACCAGGATCATTCATACTCATATCCAACTCATCTCGGTGGATTCAAAGTCACATCCGTACGAGACCTGACTGTTGGATATGACACATCTACAAGTGATCATATACCTAAACTGCCAAGCTCGGCATCATCACAGATGATAACATTCAGATTAGAGAATGATTGTGTGATTACTCTGAGAACTTCGGTGGGTAGAGTTTGATACTTGCAAGAGCGCGGTTTTTCTCACAGTAGTTTTTCCCTCAAATACATTAGGGCACAGAACCAAAGATCAAATATTACAGTGAATTGTCTGGATCAAGTAAAGAATCAGCTACTGCATCGCTTGATGCTATTATCGCTGATATGACAGACAAGTTACTTGAACCACAAGCAAACAAGTTGGGATACAGGAAGCCATAAAACAAGACAGTCATTACGAGCATTTTAGATATTTGATTTTCACAAACCCTTTCATTTCCTTCTTGTTTAAACAACCTATCACCTTTGTTTTAGAGAGTGAAAGACGAAATACATAATCTTCATCCAACAATCGGATCATCGTCTTTTTTGTCGCTAAAATCGTTCCAGATGTAGCTTTTGTGGAGAAGTTGATGGCCACGATGGTGTGAGTGTCTTTGCTCTGCTTTGAAATTTAGAACTCTCGAAAGAAGGGGAATAAGAGTGATTAAGTACTTGCAACAACCGTGCCAGAATAGAAATGTAGATACGCTCCGCTTTTTTGGTAGGTTGGCATTTGTCTGACAGCATTCTCAATGAACTCTGGATACAGTTTCTTGATATCCAAGAGCTCATACGTGATATGTGAGGGTGTACTTTCGAATTCAGGCTAAAGTTGACAAGGGACAATATGATGAAAAGAGATCTCCAGCTGCTGTAAACCAACTAGCTATTCCTTTAAGTCTTAAGTTTTTTCTTTCTCTTTTTGAATCCCAATTGAGCGGTGTTCCCATAAAGATCATCCATACTCATATCCGAGGGCATTCACGGCTATTATTACACGATTCTTACATGCATTCCAGCTGTGCTATGTTCAAGTCTTGGTCAACGACGTAATTCCCTTATTGGTGTTGACCTTTTTCGGGTTCATTTCAGACCTGTAATAATTACAACCTTGGAGCTGTATAGTAATGGATATCAAAAACATCTATTATCTAGTGGTCCAGTAGAAGAACTGGCTGTCGAATACAGTGAAGATGTGACCAAATCCTGCTGCTTACCAGCACAAAGCTCGATTACCTGAAATCGTGCATTTATCACGTTGTCCCCCTTTTTATCGCTCGTGAGATCAACCCTACCACTCCTTATTATGCTGTCATGACCGGTGTGGGGCGAATCGTTTTAAACCTTTGGACACCATTTGTTATTACGCCTGAGGAACTACATTGCCGATGTGCTGACAGAGCGAAATTGGCGAATGTGCTACTATTCTACTTGTAGTAGGTCGAGAAATCCCGATTTCCCTACTGTGGTATGTAGACGTCCTCCTAGCACTTTTTTTTGGCCATCCGACTCAAAGAATATTTTCTCAAACATAGGAATGACCAAATCCAGGAGAAGGGTGAGGGAGCATTGACTCTAGCTGTGAAAGCAGCCAATGGAGCCAATGCGAATATCACATGGCAAGTGATCTAGATGGTGAGTGAATCATGCAACTATATACCGTGCGTGTGCGCCTTGGGAACCCGTTGCAACTAAGCAAGGATGTGATGTAGAGTTTAAAGTCGAAGATGGAAGAGATAATTCAGATACTGTCCTAGTTAGTATGTCGGGAGGCAGCTTCGATTCAGCTTTATCCAACAAGATACCATATGGTGAAGAGAGAGCTGTTTTACGTGGTGAATCATGCTTTAACTTTCCCATTTGAACGACTTTTGTTGCTGTCTTTGCTTGCAATCTCAACTGACAAACGTCTTCAAACCAAGATCGTACACGCTCATATTCCGCTCATCTTGGTGGCCTCTATATCACATCTGTACCAGATTTGACTACTAGTTGAGACAAGGTAGTCGAACCAAGGGGAATGATTACATGATTACATTCAGATTCAGGAGCGATTTTGTTTATCCTAAGGACTTCGTGGGTCTTATTCGCTAGAGCAAGTTTCCGCTTTTGGTCTCACTCTCTTTTTCCTCAAAATCGTCAGAACACAGAAGATTAATTATTACAGTGGACTGTCTGGAGCCAGAAACAGTCAGCTACTGCATCACTTGATGCCATTGTTGGTGACATGACAGACAAGCTAGTTGAACCAATAGGAAAAGTTGAGGATATGCAGATCATAAAGCAAGAAAATCAAGACCAATCTTTCAATTTTAGTGTTATTTTTGCACAAATATCACATCATATCTTTCTGTTTAACAATTTACAACTTGTTTTAAGTAAGAGTGAGCCGTAGAAAGTATACAGTCTGAAAAAGGAGACAAATGCGATATACAAACGACCTTATACAGAATGTTCAGCAGAGAAAGGCAATTTACGTACTTCAACTGGAAAAATCTTACTCGTTGGAGTACTTTCACCAGTGCGTCTGAATATTTCCCATTCAACCCACTTCTTGAGCACAATTTGGCTCGAATCAAATTCTCCTTCACCAGCATCATGACCTCCTTTGCCATCATCTCCTTCGGTCTTTCGAGTTTCACCCCAAGAGAAGTCATCAAAGTGTAAGAAGGCGTATATAGGTAAGATTACTTGCCATATTGGCAGTGCTAATAGATAAAACATCATGTACCCGACATAGATGAGTTTTCGTGTGGTGATGACAATGAGGATTGCTGGTAGTCCTAGTATGACTATCAACATGATCAATGTGATGGGATCAAATTGGTTGAATGCTGCTGCCAATATGATCAGCGAAAACAAGAAGATGAGAGCGATTGGCATTATTGCTGTGCCCAACAATTCCATCTACAAAACGTTGAGGTGACGAGACGATTCATGTCAATCCATCATGTGAAGGTGAGGTACCAAGAGTGGAGTGGAGAAAAAAAGGTCAAAGAGAATCGGCGGAGAACAAGTCAAGCAACTTACTGCCACGACGAATTGAAGAGAGAAACAAAAGATACCACATAATTCCTTTACAAGTACAAGTTCCATGAGATTGTGTATAGTACTATTAATCCAGCGACGACGTTGACTCAACAGCACTCTAAACGTCTCGGGAACTTGTGTATGGCAAATCTATAGTTCAATGGAAACAAAGTTAGTTGGAGCATATCCAAGCAAGGCGAACGATTTAACAATGACAATCAAAAGCTTACTGCTTGCGGCACAAACACCATCTTTCGTTTAGGGAAGTTTCGTAGAATCAGTGTGGTCAAGAATCGATCTTCACCCAACAAGAGCAGATTCTTTTTGTGTAAAGTATCTGTGACATTCTCAGAGTATTCTTCTACAATGTCAGGATTGACCAAGAGAGGTACAAAGTATCCCTCTGGTCCTTTAGGAGCTTTGATGCGATACATACAAAAGCATCCAGGAAGACAAGTGACGCCTCCAAATACAGATTCGAAGCCTTTGCCCAAGTGATGCGAGATGTAGTATTCGAAAACTTGGATCAAGGTGACGAATGATTGCCTCTTGTTTGAGATACGAGTCTCGCCACATAAGCCAATGATGTCTACATCATTTTGCAAGGCATTGACCAAGTGGGTCAAAGAGTCTGCTTTGACTGATGTGTCTGCATCCACCATCAAGACTGCTTCAAATTTGTGAGGAGTATGAAGTGAAAGATGATGAATCTTCCAAAACATGTCATAGTCAAGAGGGGTCATACGATCATCGAGTAGAGTTCGTGACAAGAAATTCATAAACAATAGTTGAGAATCTCTTTTGCCACGATTGCCAGCTTTGCGACCAGTTCTCTCCTTGGGTGTTCCAGTCTTGACGATGACCATTATGGGTACTCGATGGCCATCAATCGTATACCATCCACCATGCTATAATGAATAGTAAGCCCGTGAGTATTGTAAATAGGAAGTTTGGAGTAAATTACTAAAAAAGTATACATTAAAAGGTACTCACAGCTTGAGCCATATTGTGTTGTCGTTCTCCTTCAGCAATAGCGATATAAGATTGATGATGAGGTACACCCAATCGAGGATCACTTTCCATCATAGTCAAAACAATATCTGGAGTAGATTTATCATTCCCAGCTCCTTGGATCTGTCCATCACAAACAATAAAGAGCATCTTCCTACGATCAGGATAGTCTGTTGCTGCCAATGAGTTCAGAGTAGCACGAATGCCCTCTTCACCCTCAGAATAGCATGTGACAAATAGAAAGACGTAAAAGTCGTCTTCATCCTTGTTGAGGCTACCATCGCTCGAGAGATCTGGACTCTTCGAGACGATTGGAGTAGAGGCGGTAGTGTATCGAGACGTAAAGAATGGTCCGAAGCGGCGAACACGAGGTCTGGTCAAGGCTAATCAAGTTGACATACGTTAGAGAGCGAAAAAGACATACAGTCTAAATCCATTGATTCATTTCGATACTTACCATGCGAGATAACCCAATGAAAGGCAATGGCCATAACAAACTTGATGAAGACAATCATTCCTGAATGAAGTTGCAAAGATGTAATATTAGTTTAGATCACCCTCGCTGTTCATTTGGCTGAAACGACCACCCACCTATGACCCCAACAGACATGGCGACAATCATTGAAGCGGCAAAGCAACCAATGGTATCTTTGTCGACAAAGCCAGAGACAAATTGTTGCTGTAGGCAATTTGTGGCTCTTAATTGGGATTGAGACTGATAGAATAGTTTGGTACCTATGTTACCCGCAACGGTTGAACAAACAGTGCATTTCCAAGATATTCGACGCATTTACCGTCACGTCCTACTGCAGACTCAAGCCTTCTCATGACACCAGTAAGGTTGGAGAAAAATTGACCTCGAGGGTTGACTTGGTATTGGGTCAGGTTCAGGACTATACCATTGAAGACGGTGAGTTTATCAGGATCTGCAATGCCTTGAGCGACATCGTCCCAGTCGAAAACTATTATTGAATTGTGGAAATCTGTAAGATGTCAAGGAGGAAAACGAGAAAAAATGGCATTAACAGGACCTACTACTTACAGAGACGATAATCAGACTTCAAAGGAGCCAAGAGGCTTGCTGGTGGACATGATCCTCCTGAAGATGGAATTGCAGGGCCAAGTCCTTTTGGATCAGCGATCGTGCAATTGTAAGATAGTGATGTAAAGGCATTACAAGCATCGACACGTGGCGCGAAGAGAGCGGTAAGATCAGCACCCCTATAAAGGGAGGAGAGACAAATGTTAGCTTGAATCGTTTTGCTTTATGCTTGATCACCAAATACGACCAAAGAAACGTGATATGTACCTCCAATTGTCAGTCAAGAAGACACCTTGTTTGAAAGCCAACTCATTGGCAAGAGTATCATAGTCATACAATAAACCAAATGCGATGATATAATTAGGGAAGAATACAAGTGGTTTTGGAAAGGTGTCGAAGGTTTGATTGAAGCGAGAAGTGGGCTCTGCTCCTGGAGGACACAAGGTTCGTCGTAGACCAAATGTCAAGAATGCGGCAGTCACGCAAAGTAAAAATATGATCATACATAGAGCCACTTTTTCACGCCATGCCTGTTCGACTTGCTTTGTCTTCAAACCCATGGCTCGAAGCAAAGGGGATGGGCATAGACACGTCATGATCAGAGACGTAATGGTCCACCAGCTTCGTTGATTATCTTTACGACCTGTTGGTTGTCTAGATAGAGGTGATGCTTTACGACTACTAGTTGCACCAGATCGTGCCATAGGCGGTGCATCATTTTCACTTCTCATCATAGGTCTGAGACGTCTGTTTGTTGTGGTATTGTTGCGAGTGAGTGTCTTCTGACGACCGATGGTTCGAGAAGCATTTCGAAGATCCGATGGGCCTCTTCCGATTGTTACATCAGGACGATTCCATGGGTCTCGATTGTTGGGATGTTGATGTGGAAGAGTATATAGTGATGGATGACTTGGAAGTTCGATGTCGGTTGATGATGTATCACCACCCTGTGATCCATCTGTGTTAGATACAGCCTGAGATGATTGCAATACGACAGTTCTTCCTGATGTTTGCATGACAATGTCTAGCTCCAGTTACGGCTTTGTTGAATGTTGATGATGATGACTCAAGTGGCAAATTGAGATGATATGAGGCGAATATCACCAAATATAAAAGACAATTCTAATGTGAAAAGTAGACTAGTTAGATATCCTCTTCGGCTTCCAATAAACTGCAATTTGCAAAACATTTGAAAAACAAATCTCCAAAGCTTCATGCTTACATGAGATATAAAGAATGCAATGATGCAAACTACTTAGTTAATACAATATAAATAAGGACACTACTCTTCCACTACTCTGGTGTCCTTATTTGCCTGTAAGGAATCACACCAACGAATCTTTTACGAAGTGAAGTTGAGGTGAAGTCTGCACAGGGTGCTTTGTAGGATTACGTACCCAACAAGCAACAAGTGAATAGTTGGACGCGTCTAAAGTCGGGATTAACGTGCCATTCGTACGACTCAAGACTCCATTCTCTTGCAAGAGAGGTACCGCACATTGTTCCTTTTGCTGCTCGTTCTTTCTTGATCTTTTACCACCACCACCACATATTGCATCTATATTCTATCTTTATCAATCATTGGACGCATAGCCGTCTTGATCTCTGCCAAATATATGGCAGCTAAAATTGATATGCTAAATCTTAATGCCAACCTCCTGTTTACGTAAATTTTTGACTCTATATACAAATGCCACTCCTAAATATCTTAAAATGACACCTACATAGCACTATGAGATAGTCCACGTGGAAAGATTGTAGGTCCTGAATCATTCAGCTTGTAAAGTAGTTCTCGTATTATAGGTCGTTCTCGACTCCTTGGCCCAGAGATCACATCCAGCTAAATCAAGGTACTTTAGATATCATTCTCAGATAATTTCGATTGATGGCACAAACGTACCTGGCCATCAATACCTTGAGTAGCACCACTACTCAACATCGTATTCGATACTTGGTTTGAGACATGGGTGCTAAAAGTTTGAGGAGAGTCTGAGCTTCGACATCTTCCACATCTTCATTATGTATTGTAGCAGCTACGCATCCCTGTGCCTAACAGTTGCAAGGTTGATGACAATGAGACGTCTTCAAGCGTACACACTAGCTTTTTTTGCTGCACTATACCTCTGAGACCAAAGAGAGGAAATGCACCACGAGTCTTACAACCTCTTTAACAGACACTCCCCAATACAGTAATGCAGTCAAATCCTCAAACAGAATCCATTACTTGGGATGTTTGGCTTGCTTGTTGGCAGTGACCGTCTTTTGTTGGTTTCAATACTGGGCTGGAGTTTCGCAGATTCCAGTACTGGCAGGTAGTCAATGAATCTTACATGTCCAGCTAGCTCCAAATTTGCTAGATTCAATCCCTTAATGAAAGTATCATTTTTTTTTTAGCATTTGATGTCGGTGGGTTACAGGACCTCCAACGACAATACCAATCCAAAAGAGATCGCATCAACATACCAATCGTCTATTTAATCCTAAATAATAGGGTCTTGACGGACCGATTGATACGAGACAAACACATTCTCCCTGTCGAATGGCCCTCGTCAATAGATATCCCAACACGCCTGATCCAGGAGTCTGCAGCGTGTCTGTAACCAATACCAGGCCCGACACCTCACCAGTCAGGGCTCTACTGAGGAGATCATCGTTCAATACAGGCAGGGTTTAGTCAAAGACCGGTTGAAACGCTCGCACAAATGACGAAGCTAGTTTATAGGCTGAAGTAGCAAAACCACACTCAAACATTCATTTAAAGCATGAAACCTATTATTCTGTATGATCTTTGTGCAAAGGACACCTCTGTTCGCTTCAGTCCTTACGTGTGGTAAGCCCTTGAACGAAAATCACGTTTTTGATCAAACATCTGCAATTGTGTCGGCCAGGAGCTCAATTGTGACGTTTCATTCATTGTAGGAGAACTAAACTTGCTTTAGAGCATAAACAAATCCCTTACGAGACAGTATCTTCGGGATTCACAGGTACAAATATTTCGTGGGGGCATTACAACACACTATGAGCACATTGGTGCGTTTGATTTTTCCAATGTGTTTAGTTCTAATCATAATTTCATCAACCGCATTTTGCTCACTGTATTCCTCCAAATTCGTATAGACAAACCACGACTGATTGCACTCAGCAAACAAGATCTGGTACCTGTAATTGTTGACCCCAACAATTCCGACAAGGTAGTTTCCGACTCTTGGAAGATCGCAGAGTACTTGGAATCACAATATCCCGACAAACCATCTCTCTTTGGTGGCGATGCGGGAACGAATGGTGTGCTCTTCATTCAGAAATGGTGGCAATATAATGGTATCAGACCCATTGGAACCTACGTCATAGTGGATGTATGGAAATGCATTAGTGACAAAGATGCAGCTTTTTTCAGAGCTGGTCGTGAGAAGCTCTTGAAAAAGACGCTGGAAGATGTTGAAAAAGGACGAGAGAATCGTGTTAAGGCTTGGAGGCCTACGCTGAGACCTCTGAAAGACTTGCTGCGAGAACAGTCGTTTATTGGTGGCAAGACGCCAAACTATAGTGGTCAGTATGAGCTGCGTTTATCAAGGCATCTTTTTTTCAACCACGTCACTAACACGGTTTACATCTTTTGTTCACAGATTACATTGTATTTGCGGCGTTCCAATGGGCGAGATGTGTCAGTGACTTCCAGCTTCTCGAAAAGGACACGAAGGACCCCATCTACAACTGGAGAGAACGCATGCTTGACTTGTATGGTGGTTTAGCTCGAAAGGCTCCAACGGTAACTCCATCTGCTCATCTATAAGTGTACTTCAAATTCTCTCAGAATACTAGATCGTAATAAGAAACTGCTGCACCTCTAGCCATTTATGTCGTCTATATGGCTGCATGAGGATGTCAAATGTGTTACGTAGTTCTGCTTATTGAACGTATTCAGGATCACAGGAATTCAAATAGTCCAATTTTTTCTATAGGGTTTGATCGCATTGCATTGAGCGGCTTCAACTTGTAAAAATATCAAACGAGTATAGCATACGAAAGTTACGAACGACAGTAAACGACGCAGAACCCAGCATTTAAATCATGAAACCTATCATATTATATGACTTGGCAGCCAAGGACACGTCCATCCGCTTCAGTCCTTATGTTTGGTAAGCAGCTTTGCACAAAAACCACGTTATTTGTAATAATTCGAATATCTCGCATCCTATCCGCCAGGAACTGAATTTGGTCATTGATTCTAGGAGAACCAAGCTAGCTTTAGAGCATAAAGGTCTTCCCTACAAGACAATTGCATGGGGATTCACAGGTACATTGCATACATCTGCGCGAGGGAACACAACGTGTTTTCAGCTGATTTCACACATGATGACGTTAAACGAATTGGGTTTTGAGCTTCATGAATCTTGAATCAGTCGTTCAATTCTTGGCTTAATCGTCAACAATGTCGAATTTGGAATCAATCATTCAATTCTCGTTTACTCGTCAACAATTTCGCTAACTGCGTTTCCAATTCCAAACTCTCGTTCACAGACAAGCAGATGATTGCATTCAGCAAACAAGGCCTTGTTCCCGTAATCGTTGACCCCAACAATGGTGACAAGGTTGTCTCCGACTCTTGGAAAATCGCAGAGTACTTGGAATCCCAATACCCAGACAAGCCATCCCTCTTTGGTAGTAATTCGGGCAAAAACGGTGTATACTTTGTCCAGAAGTGGTGGGAAGTCACTGGAATCAACCAGATCGTCACCTTCATTGTATTAGATGTATGGAAGTGTATTAATGCCAAGGACGCAGAATTTTTCAGAACTGGGCGTGAAAAGCTGTTTAAAAAGACTCTTGAGGATATTGAAAAAGGACGTGGGGATCGTGTTAAGGCTTGGAGGGCTACCTTGAGACCTATCAAAGATTTGTTGCGTGAGCAGCCTTTTATTGGTGGCAAGACTCCAAACTATAGTGGTATGGGATTGGTTCGTCTATGATTTTTTGTGCTGTCTTTGTCGCTCACGTTTTCATGTTTATTTTGTCGCAGATTACATCGTATTTGCTGGTTTCCAGTGGGCGAGATGTGTAAGTGACTTCCAGTTACTTGAGAAGGATCCCAAGGATCCCATATACAACTGGCGAGAACGCATGTTGGATTTGTATGGTGGTCTAGCTCGAAAGTCTCCAATGGTAGCTCCAGCCGCTCACCTGTAGAGGGATGTCATCTTCACGTTAAACTACTTGGAACATAAATAAACAAGTGCGCCTAGTTCGACCATTTATGTTTTCTACGTTTTGAAATGAGGATATCAAATGTGTACAGAGATAATACGTTATGGGATAATTTATGCTACATGGGGCTAAATAATGAAGCACCTCATATGTGTGAAAAGGACATCAAAACTGAGACTCTCAACGCTCCAACTCTACAACTCACAAAGAAAAAGACGGTTTAGCACCTGACTCAAAGATACAAGTAATCAGAATCCAGTTTACCTTTTACCGTCGCACTTCATCGACATGATCAACAATTTCCTCCGAGTCCTCTTCCAAATCAGGTTGTCTCACAGTCGGCTGTTGTTTCCATCTCGAGCTAACAAACCCAATAATACCACACAACAATACCAGACTTGCACCGATACTCGAGTCGATATTGGGAATAGAATGCCAGATTAGAAAGTCTGCAACGTACGCCAAAACTACTTGGAAGTACATAATATCTGTAGTTTTAAGCGTGAGTATGTAAATTCCCTCTAGTCATGTCGCAACTTGATTGTGCTTACTGTTCGCGCCGGCAACGTGAGCATCTCCACCCAGCCCTATAGCAAGCATCACCTGGCCGAATACTCCTCCAATTCCAACCAATCCAATCAGAACGTAAGCAAACCATGCCGTTGGAATTACCCAAGGCTTCTCTTCAATCAAACTAAATATGAAAGCCAGTGGTAGGGACGCTACTGATAAATGTAATAATAGTTGCATAGGATGAGGTTTTGCGAAGAGCATCACCTGGCGAACTATTCGTATTGAATTGTTAGTACGGCGTCAAACGCAAAAAACAAACCCGGTCCATCCGATGCTTCACCTGTGATGAAAGACAAGGATTGACAGAGCGCTCCAAGAAATCCAACACCAATAGCAATCGGCCTCCAGCTATTATCTTCCCCTTCAGACGGCAACGGCTTGAAGATGACTTCAGGATGCGCTACCAACGTACAACCCGTCAAACTAATCAGCGTAATCAATATATCAATGGGTTTTATAGCTTCCTTGAGTATCAGAGCTCCCAAAAAGATAGAGAAGACGGGCGACGTGAAGCTAAGCGTTATGGCATCTCCCATCGATAGTTTGGAAACCGTGAAGAACGTGCATACGAGAGCACCGAATGCGAATAATCCTCGTAGCCCTCCGTGAAGCCATATGGTCTTGGGGCCAAGGATTGAGAGATTTGATGACCAGAGTAGTATTACAGATGCGGGCAGTGACATTAGTGAGCGGATCAGACCTATTTCTGTTGCAGCCATGTCGTATGATCGGGAGAGTTCCTTGGCACTACCATTCATCACCCACTAAAATTGTAGCGAACTGTTAGTTATGGCCATTCACACAAGGACTTGCGAGATCTCAACCAACAAGCCAACAGATTGTAAGGTTTGACTGCTGGTTAGATCCCGTCGCCATAGCGATTTGAGCAAAGCATTATAGATATCAACCAGTAAATCAACAGATTGCCAGGCTCGATCAGCTCAGGGCGTCCATGTTTCAACATGTTGAAAAGATTTCTCCTCAAACTCATTGATGCTTCAAGCTTTCAATCCACACAACGCAAAAAAACAATAGAAGAGGAATGATCTAGCCACTGATATACACTTACGAAAGATACAGCAGCTCCTAGCATGTAAAGGTAACATAGGTAGACTGATCTCAATGCAGGCTGCTCGACTTTTCCTTGAACCAACAATGGGCTATCGGACTGCATGGCTGCTTCGTCGTTTTCGTCAGCGCCCAATGATGGCGGCGGCGTGGGAAAGAGCTCATCTCGCTCTGTTGTTTCCTTCATCGTTTTGACAGACGGTGTGAACTGTTTGTTCAATGTCGGGATGGGTTGTTGTGGGTGAAGACGGTAGAACATTTAGGATTTAGGAGTGTGATTATATGGCGATAAGGAGTGGCAATGTTAACATCCACGCTATCTTCATTTTATCCGAACAGGCAGATCAAACGAATTTCAGCACTGCCACGTCATATCATGTCAAAACATGTTATTTAAAGTATTTAAAGGGCTAATATTTCCATGCTTCAGCTATACTGTATGTGATAATTTACTACTCGACCAATACACCTCTGTCTCAAAAGACCTCCTCATGAAAGTATCAAAAGACCACCACCTATCCTATGTCAACCTGCCTGAATGTTCACCCTCCTCTTATTGTAGGTATCCACATTCAGCGTATCAGCAATAAACTTTGCGATATCCTCTCGATCAACCGATATTCCACCAATCCCTTCTCCAACTTTGTATTTTCCAGTAGGAGCACCATCTTTCAGCCCTACGATGGAACCGAAATATGTAAGTATCGAGTTGAGCAATGGCATACTGGATCGTCGTACATGGAGGTTTGATGATAATGTAATCCAAATCGGACTTTATCAACATTTCTTCCTGTAATTCGTGTTCTCCTTTGAGCTGATTCATCATAAGGACCATCGCGACTTTGGAGAGTCGATCATATCCCTGTAGTAGAGGTTAGCTTCGTGCTTTTAAATATTATCAAGAACAAGAAGCGTTACAGTTGAGGAAGGTCCACATCCAATCGCAGAAACCAGAAACACTTTGGTGATACCAGCCTTCTTCATAGCAGAGATAATATTTGCAGTTCCTAACAGTAATTTAGATTCGTTGAGACGCAAACAATTCCATTAATGACCAAAAAAACCAACTACCACTGCCATGAGATGTGTAAAAACAGCCAAGTACAACACTTACCTTTTGATCTCACATACTTTTGTGGATCCGATTCAGGATACCATGCCTTGTCTGCACCAAGATTGACAACTACTACTTTTCCACCATCCATGGCCCTTTCGACGTCAGATTCGTTGAACACATTGCCTTGAACGACCTTGAGCTTGTCCTTGAATGCTTCATTTTCAGAAAATTTTGATAGTTTTGAAGGAGTTCTGACTAGTACGGTGCATTCATATCCTGCATCGAGTGCTTGCTTGACCGTCTGAATATTTTTGGAGTTTGTTGTTCAACTTTAGCAGCTGCTGTTGAGACGAGAGCTATACGATAACTGAATACAATGCATTTTGGTTCACTTACGTGTCGGCCGATTCCGTTAGTACCTCCAAACACGACAATTCTCATCTTGCTTTGAACAGTGTCCAAGCATTATCAAGAAGGTGCTTAGGCGCGTGGCGAACGTGAATAAATTTACAAGATCTTATAGATTCTTAACTATTTAACTTACAATAATGTGCATTTTCTATGAGGAGTTTCATTATATAGGTAGTGCCAATGCGCAACGAGATCACGTTATTAGCCCAAGTGCTCTGGCTCTCGTCACACTGCGGACCGATCTGACACTATCAGATATCGATGGTCTTCTGCGTCGATCTGCTTCAACCACAACTTCATCTTCTGCTTCGTCTTCATCTGGCAAATTCAGTTGTAACAAGGCGTAGAATGCTAGAACAAAGAAATAGTCAACAAAAAAGCTGCCACAGAGCTATAGACCGTGTGACTATGACATACGCTGTCTGCATATAGGACACTTTGGCGGTCCAGCTCTCGAAGAATATGAAGCCGGTATAGCAGTCGATCTTCCAGAAGTCCTGAGGACGTTAGCACAAGTCGTACATAAACACAGGTGACGGCACGGGAGCACTACAGTATTCTTGAGCTCTGATAAGCACACTACACATTCCCGAGTCGAGTTGTCTTCAGCAGTTTGTTCGGCTGTTGGGTTATCGGTTGGTGATGCTGTTTGGCTGTCCGTAAACCCGAATACTTCTTGCACAAGATACGAGATTCCTTCAATCTATCAATTTCAAAAGCGTCAGAGTGGATATTGAAATCAGGGGATGTAATTCAATTTCCTCTAACCATTATTTTTTGCTTTGCAACTCTAGCAACCATCCCATGCTCGTTCGTAGCCAGCGATACAAACGTAGACTGCGTAGCGCAGGGCAATATCTCAGGCTCAGCATGCTGTATGGCATTAGCGCCCTCAATAACAATAATCAATGGAAACCTCTTTCCCCGATTCGCACTTTCAGCATGTACGGACGAAGCACCATCAGATATAACAACTTGTGGTATCCGTTCGACAACCTCATCTATACCATCATCAATCAGGGAGCTAGCATCTAGTAATGCTGATGACGTGCACGTCTGATTCAGTCCCACAGGGAAGGAACCTAAAATTATTGGAGCAGCTATTCCACCTGATGATGTCTTGTATATCGTGGATCGAGATCCGGATGGACCGATAACAGCGACCTCTTTGCATGACTGGTATATTCGTATCTGACATGGTACTGCGGCGTCGAATTCAAATGATATCTTGTGTTTTGTGTTTGGTGAAGGTGTTGAGGATGGTGGATCAGATATCACACGTAACGAGTCTCGATGTAGATTAACTAGGGCCTGGAGTGTAGTTGTTGGTAGAATGTCTGGTGGTGCTAAAGACTGTGCTTTTGCGTGATCGAGTGTTTGTAGAGGGGAGACAAGGGAAGAAGAATAATGAGTGTTTTGCGAAGAGAGTAGCGGAAATAAAGGGAATAAGCTCCCAGCAATAAAAAACTAGATCTGAATCCATCTGTGTGGTGACGGGCCTTCATACCTCATTGAATGTTCCTCTCAAATTCCTCATCTCAGCATCAGTCAATTGATTGTTGCCCAATAACGAGCTCCAGATGGCCGCTGTATTCGAATTGATGGCCACATTGTCTCCTCCCGCGACGATAAAGAATGGTCCAAAATACGTGGTTCGACTATAAACGAGAGAATCGCTTGACCTTGACCAAACAAAGAACTAAAATCAAGATGAACCACTTTGTGAGCTACATACCTGACTACGAATGGATCTCGATCGTCCATGAGCCCCGAGTTCTGAGGAGGGCCACGTGGATTCTCCGGCTGCCTGAAAATGACTCGAGCTAGCGCATTCCCCATTTTTTACGGTGTTTGAAGTGCGAAGGAGAGTATTCATGTATTCATTGACGCAATCGCTGACCTTTAGTATCAAAACTATATTCAAAAAGCGTATAAAAATCCAGTCACCGCTCTAATTCACGTTCTTCTTGCCTCCTGTTCTGTCGCCAACTAATTCCCAACTCATTCAATTCGCACGTTGATTCCAAGCTACGATGTCGGTAAGATGAGACTCTCAAACCGTATTTTGGATTCGTTCATCGCATTCAGATCACTGTAACTAACGCCTTTACTCCTCTTTCCAGACATCAGAGCAGCCTTCAGACGCTGAAAAGCTTCTTTCACACCTAATGTCAACCATCCCTGACCAAACTGGTATCATTGTCGCTTCTCTAGACGGCTCAATACTTGCTGTAAGCTGTCATAAATCTTGCAATTGGTGCAATTTCGTGGATACAGTCCTTCTTTGGACACATCAGCCAACATTTAACACCTTCGTCAACCCGTTTACAGTCATCAGGCACGCTGCAAGACGACAGAACAGTCGTATCAGAAGCTCTAGGAATTGTAAAAGATGCACGGAATCTAGTGGCTTCCTCTAGTGAAAGGGATCGCATGAAAAGAGTGACTTGTAAGAGTTATAGAGTGACAGTCTTTGACGTCGTTTTTCCCCGCTCATAGCCTTAACCAAAATAGTGAAAGTTGGCGATCAACTCATCGCCATAACAGCAGACGACAAGCTGCTATACGTCGTTAATAGGACACCTCAAACACAGTGACAAATGAGATGACAATGTACATTCATTATAATATAACCTACAACTTGCATTTACACAAATGTCTCTACTTACGATTCAATGTTTGCTCCTATGGTAGAATGTAATCTTTGGTATCAACCAATTTTTGCTGTGATATACAGGCAGCCAACCATCTCTTCTGAACAACAGGAAGATGTTCCACGTCTTGCAAATCAAGCTCTGATTTACTTTTTACGTCTGCTATTATGATGGAGCATGAGTCCGTCAAGGTGTGTGCCAGGTCCCTATGCAAGAGACTGAAATTGTCAATACCATTGAGTTGTTAAGCAAATAAATACATTTATCGGTTTGTTACCCGTCATAAGCGATTATATACCGCTCCATACTCCTTCTCTCCTCTTTGCTAACGCTCTCATCGATATAAACGATGTAGTCACTGAATATGTTTGGTAAAGGTGGTAGTTCTAAGAACGAAAGGTGAAGTGCTCAGCGAAAGTAAATTAAAGATTCTCGTTACAGTCCTTGCAGAACCAACCACTCACTGCTCAACACCTCCTGATTAAGCCTAGCCTGATTCGTACTCTCCTTAGCCTCCACATTCGTCCTTTCACCATTCTGGTCCTGTTGCGATATCGATAATGCAGCATTCAATTCCTCGTCGTCGTCATCTTCACCTCCACTACTCATAGGATTATCCAAGTCGAAACGGCTTTCAGGTAATCGTTTATTAGCAGCATGAGACTCGACAATCCAGTTTGGAGAGACAATCACTCCTGTGGCACATGATTTTTTTTTCAGCCAACAGTCGAAATAGGAGGTACACACCAACCAAAAAGGAATTTCACTGGAGGGATGGCACGTACCGAAACCTGACTCTTTGACCTTTTGGGTATGGAAGAAGCAGAAGTTGCAATCCAACGCAAAAGCTCTGCAAGTACATCAAGCAATTCGCTTACCTCCTTATATTTAGGAGTATCGCAATATGCACATATCAGATGCGTGCACTCATGATTCCAATCTTGAGAGAATTTGGCACCCATTTCAAGAGCTATACAAAAAAAGGTAATCAGATATATTCACACTCCTATCACAAGGACTCTTTGTTGAACTCGCTGTTTGAAATTGACTAGTCGGCTAATAACCAAGACTAAACAATCGTGACAAAAAAACACAGCGATGACTGGTATATACCCAAATCACGAATCTCTCCACGTTCTGGATTGACTAGTCCACTAATAACAAACACTACTCCAGCCTATTTGAAAGCAAGAATGCTGCATAAATTAAATGTTTGCGAGAATGTCCATCGCATTCGGCCCAAGTACAGTCACTCCTTTTTGGCATTCTCAAAAACGATCACACCAAGCACCTCACCATAGGAAGTTGACTCAGCCGACCACCACCACCAGTCGGCATCGTAGCAGCCTTTTTCAATGGCGGTGGATGATTCACCCTCCCAGCACTCGAGGAAGAGGCTCCAGCCGACACCGTCCTCGCGAAATCAGGTTTCTTGATAACAACTGGATCATCGATTCTAGCGATTTTAGACGGTGGTAGTGCCGATATCGTGTCGGCATCGTTCGATATAGTCCTTTTGACGGGGTTAGGAAATGTGGGTGTTGTGCTTGATGCGAGGAGAGGGTTAGCTCCTTGTAGTAAGGGAGCTCGTTCTTTAATGAGTTTGGCTATTCGGGCAGATTTGGAATTATCGGTGTCGGTGTCGTCAGAGTCGTGGTGTTGGGAGCTTGACGATGGCTGAAAGCGCAACACGTTTGCAGCTTGGATTTCAGCATCGGATCTAATACGGAATTTACCAAATTGTGTTCTTGGTGACTCTGACGGTGTTCCTGTATTGCTTGGACTCTCGCCTTGTGACATTCTAGTTGTCCTATTACCTTTTGAAGTGGGGTTTCTAAAAATCGAAGGACGCGAAGCAACATTTCAAAGTCACCGAACTAAACAACAACACAGATCCATCATTTTCGAACTATCTAATGCGATATCTAATTAATGTATGCGATACACGTACTACTTTTATTTTATGTTGGACATTCACTCATCAGCAATGGCCAGCAATTGAGCAACCAAATCGACATCGAGCTCCTCCACTTGCTCCACCGTACCGCCAGCAACAAGTGATGGTCTCAACAACCATGACTGGCTTTTATATCTCGGGAATCTAGATCCATTCTGCGCATGGTGATTTATCAAGTGCGAGGTTAAGGAGCATAATTTTTGAGGTGCCAGTCCTTCCGTCATGACCCTGTTCAAGTTTGGAACTCCTCCGTCATTGATGTTTTGTTGTTGTTGGCCAGCAGCTGCTTCACATTCTCGACATGTGTACAGCAAATCAGTATTGAGATGCAAGAGCTATGATGTTGCGAAAAAGTTAGTAAGTTTCAGTAGACCCAAAAAGGGCTTGACCGCAGAGCGCACCTTCCAGCGTTCATGAGCCTTGGTTCCATCTGGGACGATAATGCCTGCTTGATCGAGCAGTTCTGTAATCATGTGCTGTGGGTATAACTACAGGTTGAAAACAGGAGAGAAAGATTACAGACCTAATATTATAAAATCCTTCGTCCGCAAGGACAACCATCACACCACGACACAAACTAACTCACCTTATAGATAATGGGCAAATCTTCCAAGAATTTCTCCTGAGTCTCTGATATAACTCGATGCGAGCGTCTCAGAATCTTATACACCTCTGCATACGTGACTCCAGTTTTCTCTTGCTCCCGATTCTGTAACGGAGGTGACGGGAACCCATTGGTAACTATAGCTCCAAAGTCCCAATCAAACTCATACGTAGGATTGAAATCCAACCATCCACCAGCAGCATCAAGCTTCTGCACACCTTCTTCACCACCTAAGTCCTCCTTTTCTGGAATCTGTTTCCAGAAAGCCTCGAAATTCGGAGATCGACTCGTTACGTATATCTTGTCTTCGAATTTCTTGACAGTGTCGTCATCAGTTGGATCAATGAAATTTTGTATACCTCGTCGGGCATGCCACATGGCATGTGCGCGAGCGAATACGTAATCCCAATTTCCAGGTGGATGACTACACTTTCGACATGCGAATGCTACCATATCATGACTCTCACCCTCCTCTATACATACACGATCAAAGATAGTTTGACGACGTGGCATCAATCTAGCTTTGGCTCGTTCTATAACAGGAGCAAAGAATTGCTTCCACGCATCTTCAATACTCGTATTCAGATATTTAGTATTCAATATCGTTGTAATTGCTTCGGCGGGAGTCCCTGTCAACAAAAAGGCTTCTTCAGCAAATGATGCAAACACAGCTTCAGTTGTGGCACATAAATCGTCCCATAATGGCCAAGTGAGCTCTTCGACACTGAATGGTTCAGGTTTCTCTACATATTGTTGGAATGCCTCGTATATCAATTCTATGTATGGAGCGCTGTGTCTTCGTACTACCGACAGCTCTTCCTTTTGAGCAGCTTCCAAACGGTCTCGTTCGAATGGTATGATTTCCTAAACGAAGGTTTTTGTAATGAGTTCATGTTAGTACAAAACTGTCAAGATGGGCATACTGCTTTTGAATGAATTTGTTGCAGCACAATAACAAAGCACAGACCACGTCTTACCCTCTTGAGCCGTTCAACAAACTTGACCCATGCAGCACTACCAGGAATTGGCTCTTCCTCACTTCTAATTATTGACGACCAAGCAGCTGTCTTGGCAGCCAATTCCAAAATAATCCCACTCAATGCTGGCTCTTCAGACACCAAGTTCTCAAGCCTTAGACTTCGTCCTTGTCTCTCTTCTCGGTTGTACTTGACGAGGTTGGCATGACTGACAGCTTCTACATCGGCTAGTTTTATTCGATCTTTCTCGATTAGGGCGACATTTTCTTCTTGGAGTGCCACCCATTCAGCTTTCACTCGACTGGGCCTTGCACCCATTCTGGTATACTGCTTTTGTTGTCCTTCGAGGTCTGCCTTGAGACAATAATATACATCACCCACCCGTTCACATGGCACAAAACTTGTAACTTCACCATACAGTCGTCTGGCTTCCCTCTTCAATATAGTCCTATTAGGTGTGTTTGGAACGTGAGAGGTTGTTGGGACAGCAAACACACATTCGACGGGTCAAAGCGGTTCAAACAACTGCTGCGAAAAATGACGTGTGAACGAAAAAATGCTTACAATTTAGCAAAGCAGTCTTTACAATATCTCTTTCTAAACCCCCAACAGATTTGCAAGTTCCTTGCATTCAGCGCACCACAATTCATACAAGCTGGTCCACAAAACAATGCTGCGTATTCAGCTTCATGGATGAATGCCGGAGGCTTGACCAAATATGGATGATGGATTTCACGAGATCGTGCCCATATCTTTTCATCCATGAGACAAGAGCGAACACGTTTTGATGTCTTCCAGAAGTTTACTAGGATGGTACAATCGCAAAAGGCCCATATGAGTTCCATTACTTCCAAAGGGATGCCGTGGACGATGTCAATCCTGGTTTGAATGGACGTGTTAGGCTAGGGTAGATAGCATCGGAAGGCAGTGAGTGACTTACAGGCCATCCTGTTTGTGCTGGATGCAATATTCAGGAGGTCCACCGTGAATTCCATACAATGGTTTCCTCTTGCAACCAGAGACCATGCAATGACCACCACTAGAACGATGCAGTAGCACGGTGTGAGTTTGTGCCCGTGACGCAGACAATTCCAAGACACACGACCGGACACCACCCATAACAGAGAATGAAGGAAATTTACCAGTTTTGAGCACGTCCGCGTCCATTATCAATCATATCACGTCCACAGTTGCATTTGATAATCCGAGTTGACTTTCTTCGAATACGACGTTGTTGTGGTGCAATGTCCGATGCACGGTCAAAGTCGATATGAAAACTACCAGGCGTGTATTCTCCATTATCAGTAGGCTCGAAGTCAAGAAACTTTGATTGGGTAGTAGCAAATTGGGATACGATGAGCGAGCCGACTGTCGGTGAGGCTTCTGCGACCTCGATATCTGGTGGACCTACGACATTGATATTTAAAGGAAGAGGAAAGGGATTCTTGCTACTGCTGCCACCGTCCATGCAGCTTGTTTGGTGGGTGAAAGTGGTAGAGATCTAGGTAATTCTTGTTGTTTTCAATGTTTAGTGACGATGCACGTCGACACTACACGAAACTAAACATGAACCACCAGCCTGATAAGGAAATCACGTGTAAAGTACTCGTAAATAGTGTCTAGTTACAATCGACGCAACAGTCATACTTTGGATTGTCTTGGGTTTCGAAACTCTTTGAAAGCAGCTCTACGACGCGAAGCAAGTACTGAATCTGTTGAATCTGCAGAAAATATGAGAGTTAACGCGTAGAAAGAGCTAAGAGAACATTGTACAAGTCTTGGCTTGTAAAGTGAACTGCTGCCATCGTTGTAAAAACATACAAGGCGCTTAAAGCTTCCGAGCAGCCAATCAAAGCTAAAGGGGAAACAAGGCCGACGCTCATGTATACCAATGAATTTGCTGCCGAGGTGCTGGTGGCCGACACTCCGTTAAAGGAATATAACATGTCGGTCTCTCCCACTGCTTCTGCAAAATGTTTCATCCCGGCTATGGAGAACGAGCGATTCATGGTATCGGTAAGCATCTTGATCCAAATCGTGTTTAAAGAGCTTGCTTGCATTGTGGAGAATGTTGAGGGATGCGTTGACATTTGGAGCACTTTTGTTGATTCGGCATCCCAAGCTTTTAACATGAAGCCAACACATTCAATTTTCTCAGGTTCAAAACATTGGTTACGAGGGTGAGGCTGCTCGATCGGACTTACATGTGTCCAGTTTCTGCTGCGTTTTCTTGATTTGCTCATTCGACGACCACATCACACAATGTCAACCTTAAGGTGGTCCCATCTCAGCTTGGATTCTTATTGACGGCCAGATACAATTCAAAGGTACTAGTGCACACACCTTGTTTTGTTGAGCGATCGCTCAATATTCCGTATTAGGAGTCTTGAAAACGTCTGGAACAGCTACTGTCGTCGAAGGACGCAAGATATCTGGAACCGAGATCCAGCCCTTCATATTCTCACCCATACGAAGTATCGCTGAAGAAATGCTGCCATACAGCTTGCACGATCGAAACATCACTAGTACTGCTGGCACTATCCACATACAGTTCTGGCGAGCAAAAGTCGATCGGGAGGAAAAGACACCTTGGTACAATGAATCTACGGCATCTCAGGCTTTATATGACAACAAGAAGGATAAAGATGATATTGCAAACTTGTTGTCTCATTCTACCACGTAAGTTTTCTTGTGTGAACGTCAACGTTTGCCGCCAGCTCTTTTGTAAATTACACACCAACGCACTGCACCAAACCACAATCAATATCAACAATTCTCATTCTTAGGTTTGGAAATGCTACGAAAATACGATCACAGAACTTGACAAACAAGACTCTATACGTACGCTATCTTGACAGTATACCGTACGCAACCTTCCGATTCGACTATCGCAGTAAAGATCTTTTGGAAATGATGGAAAACAAACCAGAAGTCTCCTCAGGCCTCAAACCAGCAACATCGTCAGGCGTCAAACCAGCAGTATTATCAGGCATCAAACGAGAAGCACCAGCACCCCAGCAACAACAATCAACATTATTAACTAAACCACCACCACAGAAACGTATAAAAATAGAAGCCAACAATTGGGGTCGTATGGAAAAGATCGATTTGACCGGTGAAGATGATGATGGTGATGAAGATATGTATCCAAGTTTGGCTTCCTCGTCTTCGTCATCTTCAGCAACAGTATCAGCATCAGTACGCGAACAGTCACCTTTATCAACAGCAACAGCAACGGCAGCAACAACAAGGAATCCTCGTGGTGGTCGGGCGGTGGAGCTAGTGGATTTGACTGTTGACGAATGAACATCGTAAAAGAAGGGAGAGGTCAAATAGAGCACAACGGTTGTATGATATTTTGAGAATCCCCATAACATAAGGACAGGTCATTTTGGCAATGTCTATGTATATAGTCAGTGATATGAAGAACGAAACTACAAACAGAAATTTACATTGAAAGTGTTGACATAAATCCTGTGTGAAAAGCGACAAAGCAATGGATTAAATAATTTATTGAGCAGGCGTTGAGACAGCTCCTCCAACAGGTAACGTGGTGCCTCGTGCAGGCGATTCCTTTGCAGCAGCTTCATTTGTCAGAGTTTCGATCAATTCCTACGTTGAGATACCGTCAGTATTCAACTGACCAAAAAACCTGGCACATCAGAATCTCTCATTGACTAACTTGAAGTGGGGCCAATTCCTTCTTCTCAATAAGCTCAAACTCTTGTACAAAGAAGATGAAATGCTTGAAGGATGTGTTCAAGTGCGCTTCTTCTCCAAGCGACACGATACGGGGGAAGTGGACGTGGTATATGTGTGCATATACACGGAAGAGACGTTTGAAGATTGTTTTTACAGTGTTGAGGAATGTCTGTGTAAAGTGAGGGTTGTGAGTTTTTGGAGGAAGGAGAGATAGACAGAGAGAGTACCTTGGGAAATGGCACACCAATCTTGGAAGGGAAGACTGATTCGTCATCTAGTTGTTGTTGGACCCAGGTCATCAAGTAGTCAACGTATTCTGGTGCAGATACCTATAGATATGGGTCACGTTTGAGAAAATATATCCCTTTACCCTCTAGTACGGTTTTTCTCTCTCTACATCTATATTACCTTCACAGGTTTCTTGAACTGCACGCCATCAGCCCAATGATACTCATATTTCGGCCCGGCGCTCATAATGGGACATTCTTGTGGAGTGCAGAATTCAGTGATTGTGCCATACAAGAGATTTATCTGGTTGAAGAAATCGACCGTGTTGACCGCGAGCCATTCCATGGTGTCTTCTCCATCGGGCAGGGAGACGGCGAGACGTAGATTGCCGGCACCAAGAGTAGCCTCCGCATATTTTTTCAGGGCGTATTGTTTTGTTCCCTCTGGAATGTTGCGTTTTGGTTTGAATGTCTTGTTCTGTGTGGTTGTTTGTTAGGGCGAAAGAGTCAGGGAGTGTCGATACAGAAATGATAAATAGACGGCTAGCAACTAGATAGATCATGTATTGACCAACTTCTTGGATCCCTCTTCTGTACACGCCAACGACAAGACCAACCACAAAGTTTCAAACTCACTTGATTGAATTTGAGGAAGGACATTGGCGGCTACAAGTTAACAGGTATAAATAGTTTTAGATCCCAGCGAGCTGATTGTACGATGAGCCTCTCTAGTGCACAGCGTGGCCGTTGGAACGGAAAGATTTCTGTGTGTTTTTGTTGCGGCATCCGATTTTAAAGGTGAATGTATATTTGAGAGAGCGATGTAAGAAGATCATGAGCTTTATTGATTACTTAACGCGTAAGAAATTCTGTTGGCTGGTAGATTTGTCTCATGGCTTCTTTTGTCTCATGGCTTCAAATTGCAAAAAATCCAAGTTCTCCACTTTTGGTCGTTGTAATTCATGTTCATAGCAACGACAAGAGGAGGAGAGGTAACCCATACACGGCACGAGGGAGTTACTTTGATTTCTTGCAATCCTACATCCTGTAATCCTGTTCGTCTCTTTCGTTATTGCTCGTCAACAACTACCAATTCACACGTTTTTCCAGCCCTGGACACACTTGACCTAGACGCTGAACCAGTAGATCCTCATCCTATTTATACTGCCCGACCATGCAAGTAGATGATCCCGAACAGGATCAAGATGACGTCCCAACTCTGTCTTGTATACAATCACCACACACATCACAAAGTACTTGGCGAAGAGGATCCCTGACAGGAGGAATCCATACCCGAAGCAGCACAACTCCCGTAACTCCTGTACAAAACCTACAGCAACTCTCCCTTGCTTCCGCAACATCAACCAACTACCAAACCTCAACATCTAGCATTTATTCATTGGCAAAAGGGCAGTCTGTATCTGTCGAACACTTGCCATCGCAAATGATGATGGGGAGTAGAAAGGATCCTATGCTTATTGCGGGTTCTTTTGATAGTGTGCTAGAGTCGGAACGGGTGTGGACTGTGAATGATATTGGACGGCATTGTATATCGGTATATCGTGCAGCTTTTGTTGTCGATTAAAGTCTATTTCAAAAGTCGTGAATGCTAATCTCCTTGTTTCTCACCGACTTTAGGACTATCAAGTACCAGTAGAATACGCTCGAGCGATAGATCGTGCAACAACTGCAACAATGGAAGCTGCAAAAGTCATGACTGAGAAATCCAAAGTAGCTGTCGAAAAGGCCAAAATAAGTGCTGAAAAGACCAAAGTGTTTACACAGTCTGCGGCCAACAGGACCAAAGAAGCAGCCAGATCATTTGCGTCCAAACTGCAGAGTGGAGTAGATGGCATGTCTTCGTCTTCTTCCGATAATGATCTACCAACTGGTAGGACGCTAGCAGAGATAAGGAGTCGAGTAGCTACAGCATCACCAACACGGAGTGTAGAGCGTCTAGCATTGTCAGGATCACATTCAGATATAGCACCTGCATTGGGTATAAAACAGGTCAAACTATCTGATTTCGAAGAATATCTGAAATCCCTAAGTCCTGTATATCCAACATATACCAAAAACAGACCGAAAGCTACCAAACCCGTAGCAGATCAACCTCCAACCGTAAACCTGCTAGGACGACCTAAGGGACAATATAACAAGGATATTGATCGTCTCAACGGCCAAATAGATGTATTAGCGAGACTAGGTGTACCGGCAGCAGTAGAAGACCACATGGTTCGTAACGGGATACCATTGCCAGATGCAGATATCTCACCACCATCAAAGGGAGATCCATTTGGAATGTCTGATCTAACAACAATACCTGACGTGTTCACTTCTGATACATTTGATTTACGCCAGCCAAACACATTTGCACTAGTCTTGGGACACGCTGATCCAACATCCCAATCTCCAGATGCTCGAGCATCGTCCCGTGAATTGTCAACCCGATTAACCAACCTCTTGACTATCGTCGACGGATTATTCATGCTGGAATTAAACAAAGTCGTACCACAAATGTCGGATGCTGCTGAATCTATACGAGCACTTGTAACTGAGACGAAAGACTGTTTCACTAGTCTTGTGAAAGCCAAAGCAAGTTTGAAGAGAGCTAGGATAAAAGGTGTTGATTGTGCAAGAAATATAGTTAGATTGGAACGAGCGCGTGGGAACGCGCTGGTTGCGTATGGTGGTGTGCAAAGGTTGACTATGCTTGATGGGGTGTGGACGTCTAATTCTGTGAGGGACGCTGTGATGCCGCATATGCCTGCGCCCAAGAAGGCAGCAGTGCCTAATGCTTCTAGTAATAGTGGTGGTACCAATATGATGAATGCTAGTAGTAGTTTTGGTAGTAATAGTAGTGTGTCGGCAGCATCTAGTAAACCAGTAGCCAACAGCAGTAATCCGATACCACAACCGACAACATCCGTAAATCCTTCAATACCGATATCCCAATCAATGCCTAAACAAATACCATTGCAACAACAGCAAATAAAACAACCACAACAGCAATCACAACAGCAAGCGCAACCATCTAGATCTCTTGAGCCAGGACGAAGTTTATCATCTTCTAAAGGATTGTCCGGTAGTAATAATGCTGTGTCTAGCAAAGAAAAGGAGATTCTACAGCGGCAGAAGGAGGTGGATGACTATCTAAAATCTCTTGCAAACAAATAGTAACATATAGAGACATTTTGGCAACCCACAAATAATACATCACACAACCTCGACAACATTTTCTCAAATGACTTCCAAATATCGTTGCTTCTTTATTATTAGGTATTCAGCACCTACAAAAAAATGCCAAGTTTCCTTTTTCTGATGTTATTCACTTCATACATTCTTCACCAACTTTTTTTCCCCTCGTCGAATCCATCCTACACTATGTTGACTTACTACTAAATACACTCGACAACATTATAGTATTTCTTCGCGACGGATCTCTCACGATTTCAGTTATAGCCGTAGCAGATTGTTCAGTCAAACTCTTGACTGATGCACTCACACTTCCAAAAGTCTCTCTTATACCAATCAATACCGATGAGCGATTAGATTGCTGTGGTGATCCAGGCGGTGTGGGTCCAAATCCATTCAATAATGAATTCACGGCAGCTGCATTATCCGACGACAGACCAAACCCTCCACTACTGTTGCTATTGTTGCTATGGTGGTATACGCCATGACTAGCAATCCATTCCCGTTCAGACCTCCATCTTGTGAATGGACCCTCCCATATATTTGAATTGGGTAGAATTCGTCCAGGAGCCTCTGGTAATTCATCAAATAATGCTTCTACTTCCCTAAAAAACCGTCTAACTTCAGCCATCTGGCGGGTATATGAGGGTAACTCTAGCATCTGCAGCGCCTGATCAGCATATCCTCGTAATGTACCTCCTACAGTTGGACCACTACCAGAATCTGAATTATTATGATGGTGTTTTAAGGGCATTTGGGCAGCGGCCTTCCATGCTGCATCATCTAATACATATCGGCGTAGTGCAGCAGTCCATCGAACACGAGCTAAGCGTGTCCTTGTGGTATCAGAGTTCATTGTCGAGTCCAACATTGAGGGAGGTGCAGGCGGCAGATTGGATAATGAGGCACCAGCTAGTGTTTGTTCTACTCGCACCAGGAAATCTAGATACCGAGGTCGACATTTCCTAGTTACCAGTACAGCTCGTGCGACTGCTCCAAACATGGCGGGATCTATAGATACTCCTGATTCCAATAGAGTCGCTACAGAGTCTCTAGCTGTACCGTCATCATCTTCAGCAGTGGTATCGGCGTTTGTAGATGTGGAATGTATCGATGCGGTATCACTATTACTGCTACTGGAATTACGAAAGACTGGTGCTGGTATCGTTAAATTGCTGTTTCCTCCCACCACTAAATCCTGTAAACATGCAGAAGTCATCATATTATCTGCTCCATAACGTCCTAGGATGAGCTGCCAGAGCCCATCTCGAAAGCCATTAGTAGCTTTACCTAACTTGGTCATGAAGACTAGTTCTGGTTGAGATTTACGACATCGTACAGTCTTTGGATCTAGCAACAAGGCTCTCATTACACCGTCTTCTGGCACACTGAATTCGGTTATGATATAATCGGCTGTTCGTAGAGCCATGGGCGAGGCACCTTCTAGTAGTCGTGATAAAGCACCTTCAGCGATTAAAGTTAATTCTGCCTCATGAGACGAGAAGTGACGTAGCATCTCTACAGCATATGGTATGTCTTGTATTGGGTATCGTGTTGACGCCATCAAATCTTCAATATTCGATGGTGTCAGTTCAAATCCCAGTGATAACAGCTCTTGAAACCATTCTGTTGTCGTTTTGGGATCTCTTAATGCTACGTTCAGCATGGCATCATTAGCAAAGGCACGACCCTTGCCGGAGTGACCTGCCAAAAACATTCCCATTGATGGATTGACCTAATATAATTGAAAAGGAGGAATTGAATCAGCACGAATGCAGTGAACGGGATAAGGATTCAGAATGATAGCTCCGTAATTTGGCTGTGCATTTTTTTGGGTGTCGATCATTTGTGTGAATCGATCTTCCTTGCTCAGGCTTGCTGTGCTCACCTTGCATAATTTCAGCATATTAGACCAATGCACCTCCCATTCATCCACTGACGTGGGACTAGCAAGTGCCGGAGTAAAGTGATGCGAATCAACCAACTGTTTGATCTGAGTATCATCGGGAGCAGCATATCCAAAACAATCGTCAAACAATGCTGCGTCAGAGCTCTCTTGACCACTAGGGTTTTCTAAATTGGTATCTACAGAGTCTCCGTACGTTTTATATGCCTGAGCTACCAAAAACTGGACGGTTTCTTCTGACAATCGTAAAGGGTATGCAGGGTGTGGGGGATTCATATTCCGTGTCGTTTCGTGGATGCGGTATACGTATTCGACGAAATATTTTGGGAGATGGCAACCGAGTCGAAGCATCGCATCTGCTACTTCCATGGATAGGAGTGCTGGGTTCTTTTTGAAGGCGTCATAAAAGGCTAAATGTACACATGACCTGATGAAAATGAGGTAAGCACAGAGATCAAAGTCGCAGGTCTGGACAGCTGGAGTTATACATACTTTTTCAAAAGATAGCCGGCCCTAAACTTGGGTTCTTTTACAACCCGTTCCCACCAACGACTCACTAGCACGACACCCTGCATGCTACCGAGACTTCCTTCCTCTTCAGCTACATACAAGAATATCTTTTCCCAGATGTCGCCAGGAACTTCCATTGCTTTTGGTATTCTTCTGGCCTTACGAGTCGGTAAGAATGCGCCATTGTTGGTTGGTGAATTTGGTTTATCTTTAGGGTACGTTCCAGGTCTCGGCAGGTTTGCCGAGAATCCACGTCCACTAGATCGAAGGGAAACAAGGGATTTAGTTGGCATGTGACGAGGAGCACACTAGACCTCATTTTGAACTTACGTGAGACCTTGAGTGCCCAAGGCATATGGATCTTTTGATATTGCGGATGGGGGAAATGCATATCTATTAGGAATGGTCATGATCAGTTCATAGTGTTTTGACCCAACACTCCTCCCGACAATGTGGCGTTCAAGGGAGACATGCTGCAGATTGATATCATTGGACGACATATGATCCAAAGTATGTAAATCTCTCTTTGTATTGTCATTCAATCTCTCGTTCCACCTCAATTCATGTCGTTGTCCAAACACCGTCAATTCTCATTTCTGATGCAGGTTTCAAATCTAGTTTCAATTCAAACAAAGGTATCTTTCTGATAGATTCATACTAGATTCATATTGTATCTGACCGGATTCTGTCTCTGTTGGGGTGCAATTGATTCTTCAAACCGAGACAGTACTCGACTTTCACACCAAAGGGTGGTGGCTTCCCTTTTCGACGATATGTAAGAAAAGTACTATAAGAAGACTTACAGGAAGTGGTCCTGATCATCAGTTATGATCATGTCAGGCGACGCTGGGGGCATTTCATAATCTTCGTCCCCGTATTCTGACAAACGAGCTGGATCCAACAAAATGCTTGAGTTTCGCTTTTTGAGAAACAGGAAGGATGGCGTAGAACGCCTCGAGCCCAGCATTGTTTTTGAGCCGGTCAATGCGATTGTATCGACGGGTTCTGGCGTCCGCTCGCTGCTTCAGATGCGTATCTGCCTGTATGAGGGAAGACACGGATGTCAGTTGTTTTGGCTGTGGAGAGAGGCGATGCGCTCACATACCAAGACAAGCGTCCAAGAGCAGTGGACGAACAATTTGGATGCAGCACTGTCCACAGGAGAACTAGTTCTAATAGTGGCTTGAGGCTTTAGGTCTTTCGTTAAATGAGTAGTCTGTCGACTAAGGCTTAGTTAGGGTCGAGCCAGAGGAGTTTGAATATGGATAACAGCAGCGGCAGTGGCGTACTAGCCAGATCAACTAACAGTTCTGCCATATTCAGCACGCTTCAATGTCAGTTATTATTATTATTATTGTTGGGTTCAACACAAATTTATCAATACAACAAAATCCATTCTTCATTCAACAGGCAGGAAGAAATTCACAATTTACAATTTTGACGGGGCAGATAACGAAATTCCCTACATATCAGGATTAGAGATTCAGAACAATGCCAATGCAACCGGATTCCAATAGGATTGGACTCACATTTCACGGCGCTTAATCACTCAACATGTACAGTCCAAAAAGCTCAAGTCCAATGCTCATATTTGAGCTGCTTCTTTAGCTTCTTCTCGCTCTCCGGACTTGGATCAATGGTCAACGAAGTGTATCGAGCCCAACGGTTTTCCTATGATTAGCAACGTCAGTACGGATTCCGACACGTTCAACTCAGGGAATTGAATCACCTGAATCCATCCCCAATCCTCAGTTCTACGAGCTATATGCATCGGGTAGTTTGCCACTCGGGATTGACGACCTAGATCAGCAAAAACGATCGCTATGTGGGTACCAACGCTTCAAAGAATGCCAATCATACCATTGTGCGTCCACAAGTTTTGGCCACCCCACAAAGAGTTCCTCCAGATACCACTCCATTCAAACCAAGCTCTACCACGGTATTCATCAGATCTGCGACAAGTTGTATATGTTATATTCACACCAGAATAGGTTATTCAAACCAACAACTGTTCGAATGTCAATACTTTGAAACCCCTGACAAAGCTTTGGAAGATCATAGCATTACCTCTCGAATTCGTATTCCCACGGTATGGTACACAATTCTTGTCTAGTAATGTATCTACGAGTCGCATCCAATTCAGCAGCGACATAAGATTGCTTCCTAAAAATTCCGAGAGAGGCGTGGTTAAAACAACACAAATAAAAACAGTAGCATCCCAAGAGATCCGGAAATAAAGAAGCAATACTGATGCTTAAGGCAGATTCAAAACTTTGGTGGCACCGCTAATGCATAATGTTTCAAGCACGTGAGGCCATACCATTTGTTGGATTGCATTCCTTGCCTGACCGGTGCATACGTGGGGAAGCTTTGAATTACTTCACGAGCTAGATCCGCCTCGTGAATCGTTGCAGCTTGAGGACCGTCCGGATCTAACCATCGTCGTTGCAAAATCATTCGCAGTTCCATTATAGTCAAAGTATCAATTATATGCCGATACGAGGCTGCCGGATGGAGTAGGAGAGGTGTGCGTTGTTTATTTTTCCATCTCTCTTCGCTAAACTCCAAATGGCAATGAGCTGATCTGGGACAACAAATCATGGAAATGTTGGGACGATGTTTACCACTTCAGTTTCCAGACATGTTGATCGTTAGTCAAGAGCCTCCAGTCTCGAGATAACCGTTGACATTCCAGTAGTTCGTTGGGTGTCAAGTACGAGATGAACTTTAGAGCGATTTCAACTGGCAACAATTTGCCCAAATCTAATTTTGGCTGTACTTCTTCATTTTCTTCATCCATTGCGATATCTGGAATACCGATGTCGAAACCGAGACCACTGAAAATTGTAGCTAGCATATTGTCCTTTCTCCTTTGTCTCTCACGATATGAAATTATAAGTCGTGATTTGGGAAATCTTGCAAATCCCATGGTGATACAACGAAAACATTCATGCAAACGTAGATCCAAACCGAAATTGTAACCAAAGTCGCGTAATCTTAATTGTTCTAGTTCTCTTAGAGTTCTACACATTGTTCTTCTGCTCATGATTGTCCCATTTTTTCAAAAGCACACCACTACTGCTGAAGGCAAGGTCGAGCCCGATCTACAACGTTGGTCTACAAACCCACATTGACACCATCATTTTAAATTCCAGCAACATGCGTTGGAACAGGTTTAGGTGCACTTGAACCATCAGGCAAAGTGGCTTGATACTCTTGCCACAACATGTCCACCAGTGATCCACACAATTCCCTTACAAACCCGTCAGTCCATCCATTCCTACACTTCCAATTGAGTTCCCGTACACAGCCTGGGTTTCGTAAGTTCATCCAGACCAAAAAGTAACCTGTAGTCGAGTATCCGTCAGTCCACTTTCCACCCTTACTATTTGACCAATGGGGAGCAATGAAACCGGTAGCAATTCTCGTGTAGTCCGCCATTCCTTCAATGATATGCCACGGCGTCGTGGGTGTCGAGTGCTGGATGACGTGGGTTGTTTCATGAACAACAACACCCTTCAGTTCAAGTAGTGTCTCCTGTTCGGTATGAGACTTGAAGTATTGCAAAAAGTATGGCTGTATTGGATTCAAGAATGTTAGTGTCAGCATGCGATAGGACCAATACAGGGTAGGCTTACAATGGAGAAGCTGATTTCAGTCCCAACTAAATGTGAAGAAGTTAGAATGGAGAAGTTCACTAAATTGAAAGCCAGAATACTTTGGCTTAACTCGTATGAGCAACTCCTGGCATGTCCTTGAATACAAACGAGATAGTTGTGAAAACACGATCCGGAACTCGATTCGATCCCTTATACAATGTCTGTAAAGTCAACATGACCAGTTCCCCTAACGTTCTCTGTGGATCCGGCAAGAGACGAGTAATGAGCTCACTCCCTTCAAGTGCGCCTAGAATATATGCTATCTGAATCTGTTTCCACTCTCCTCCATCCGGCACCTCATCACGACCACGTGTTTCGATTGGCGTCGACAATGCCAGAAGCTCCCATGCTTGATTCAGATCTTCATCAGACATACCCACACGTCCATTCTTAAGCCATTCAGACAATAAATTAGGCTGTTGTCGTATGAGAAACTCGATTAATCTCGCAGCGTCTATCCCACCATTCTTCCAATCTCCTGTCCCATTAGCCCAATGTGGTGGTGCGAGATCAGTCTTGAATCTAGTGTACTCTGATATAGCATTTATAATATCTCCAGATGCACCGACCAAGGATTGTGAGGCTAGAGAAGACACAACATCGTAGGTCAAAATCCCAAGTGTTTCGTCGTGATCCGAGTGAGATGCAGTTACAAAATGGCCCACAAATGATGGTTTTATATGTATGGTATGTTGCACTTGGGTTTTGATGGGTGCCTCCTCAGTAATAAGAATATGAAATGTCAACGTGTTGGTTAACGGCGGTTCCAAAATCGACAGGATCTGAGTTGAGACTATCTGTAGGCGTTCATCGTTCAGCAGTCGGCCTGGATCTATGATACGATACTCTATCTCTCCCACAAGGAACTGTCTCTCCATTTAAAACTAATTTTGACGGAAGGATGATCAAAAACATATTTTGAGGCATTTTCCACGTGTCTTGGTACCTAATTCCAAGGTATCCGTGCTCAGTGAAGTGCCTGAATTATAAATCACGTCCATTCATCCTCGTCTGTGTCGACCAGTCATAGACAACCATCTGGGGTTTCACTTTGTGCAATTCTAGCCAACACAGATACCGCCAACAGGTGCTGAGAAGGTGGGAGAGGCGTGGACGATCCAAGAAGGGCATGTCAACTGTCAGGTAATATACTAGATTTGTCGCTACTGTCGGATTTTACCCATGTTTTGAATCGTTTCTGTAGAAAAGACATTGCCGCTTTTAACAACATGAACACTACACTAACACAACATTCGAAAATCGTAGTTCTGATGAGCTTGTGGATGGATGTGCTCTCTCCCTCTAATCTCAGCAACTCTCGAGTATCTCATGTGGTTTTTTTGTTGGCATCAACATCACAAAGAATCGTTTGATCTCTTCTCCCAAATGTGTTGGCACCGATTCTGTGAGAGTAGACCACAAGTATCTCCCATCTGGCATATCTTTAGGCTATTGCTGCTGTAGGCTAGAGCTTTGCACACCTCCACTCTCACTGTTGTATTGACACTTTGCAACCATCCGTCACTGGATGATTCATGTTGTATTGTGGCGCCCAGTAAAAACACATCGACGGCGGGCATATACCGCAAAACTACAACGTCGGCGGAGCGATGGACACCTGCAAAATGGTCATAGGTCGTATGACACATCCTTCCATTGAATGGTCTTGTGTCATTTTACTGTGTTTCCGATAATGCTTCGGAAACATGGAGGCCTGGCTATTATGAGACGTCAAACAAGTATCTGGAGTCCTTTGGTTTGTTTCTGCCTGTGGTGGTGTCGCTGTTGTTGTGTCAAACCGACGCTTCCTCATTAATCGGAAACATCGAAATTCCAGCTCTATCTGTGAAGAGCTGGTCACCACCGTGCTAATGTGGACATAGCGAGTTCCAAGCCTGGTTTCAAAGTACAGAGGAGCATGCTGATGGATACGAAGGACGCGAATCCCTGTTGTAATATAGAAGCTCATGTTTGTGTAATGAATACAGAGGTCTGTCAAGGACATGAAAGTGCATTTACTCGTTGTCAATATCGTCAGAGTGAGAATTTGGCGGACCGCGACTTGAAAGTGCATTTACTCGTTGTTAATATCTTCAGAGTGAGCATTTGGCGGACTATTAGAAGGTCGTGAATGTCTAGCCATTTCGCGAGTCATTTTTATCCATTGCGAGATACATTGGAGTAAGCGAGTAATTGCTGTATGCGGTGTGTATCGAAAGCATGTAGTTCTGGCCCACCTCCTTCGGCTTGCATCTTCAACGTCGTTTAATCATGTGATATTTGCTTTCGAAAGTGTGTTTTCCTACGTGATTTCTCTTTTGATCTAGATGCAAACAGAGATACAATTGCTATTTAGATCACCTCAACTCCTTTGTTATGTGCCGACAGCATGGGCAGGACTCTGCAAACTGACTCTCAAATTCGCAACTTGTTTTTGCGTTGGACTACATAGAAACCTCTTGAATTAGGTGCCGAGAACGAGGGATAGGCATGGATGATCCAAGCTGGATATGCTTACTATCAGGTAATGTAATAAATCTGTCGTTAATAGTTGATTTGACCATGTTACATGATCCTGTCAATCGGCCGCTTTGGACTACCTGAACATCACGCTCACAAACATTGTAAACATACAGATCTATTGCGGGTGTGGATGGATGCGCTTTATTCGTCTGCTCGCAGTCACTCTCGAGTATCTCTTGTCTGTTTATGGTCGACATCAAATCCTAAAGAATGGTTTGATCTCTTCTCCCCTAAAATTGGCACCGGCTTCGCGAGAGTGCACCAATTTCAATGCTTCTCCCAGTATTGTCGTTGCAACGCTGTAGGCTAGATACCTTTTGTATACTCCCACTCTCAGAGTTGTTGGCACACATATTTACTTTGGTTGCCCTATTACCAAGAAATATTTGTGGTTTGCCCAAGTAAAAGCATCGACGGCGGAATACCGCATGAATACCACGTCGGCGGGACTAGACTGTATATATCTGACTCCCTTCATTTGTTTGGGGAGGCTTATATACTGGACCTGCAAAATGGTCGGCCTCCACGAAACAGACATTCCATCTTGTCTAGTCCGTCTTGTCTAGTCTAACTGCCGCCTCTTTCGTATGGATCGAGTTATTTGAACCGCAGGGGCAGCTTTGAGATTTACTGTTGTCGAACAGGTATGAATCGTTGGATTGATGCTGTGTATCAGTATTCGTTCGTACTAACTTTGCTCTTTTGTCATGTAGAATTGTTCAAAGCTATATTGTCTGAGCAATGGTCACCACCGTGTCAATGTGACCATAGCCAGTTCCAAGCCTGGTTGAGAAACACAGAGGAGCATACTGGTGGTAGCAATAATATTGGGAGGTGTTGGTAGCGTGAATTTGTACCCAAATAGATGGCCTTCAATAAGCTTGTCTAATGAACGTCATTGCAACACAATAATCAAAATAATTCACAACATTTAATGTTTTGTATTTTCAAAATGAGAGGGAAACAATATTAGAGGCAAGGAACTTATCATACACGAGAGGGAAAACAATATACTTGCAGACTCAAGATTCGATTACGATTGCGTACGTGTATATACAAAAGTAGCACCCTTTGCACAGAGTATTTCTTGCCTCCCTATTACAGCTCTTCCAGTGCCAGGCTGAATTTTGTCATCGCTAGCGATATGCAAACGATTTAATGTTGTATCAACGTCCGCCTGTTCGACTCCAATAGCATTATAGTCAAAGCTGTATGGATATACTGGCGTGGGTGTGGAAGCTCGGTTCCCTACAGAGGGAACAAGTGTTAATGACAACAAGAGGGGCCAGTGGTTGCTTTTTGTAAGAAGGCAGTTACCCGTGCCAAGGTTCCAGTTTTCATTCATGCCCCATACAAGGCAATCACGACCAAACTAAAGAATCATGGTTTGATAATGAGTCTTGCATCGGGAAGAAACTATCAGGTCCGGCCTATACCTCTTCGTGTTGTAGAGTGTCAAGTACCCCAGCACAATGAGTAGAAGATACAGAGAGTTGAGCAATACGTATTGGCTGAGCTTTTCTCTTGACTTCATCTATGATGAATTGAAAGCGTCAGGCTTTATGTCTGATTGTAAGGTACATGTCTCACGACACACCACGTACCGTATTCCACCAAACCGGACAACTGCTTCACTCGCGTTCTACATTGAAATAAGAGGATGCAGTGAGCCGCTCGCTGTGTTTGAAGCAACTGTGATAACTAGACTCACGGAGTGTATTGAGCATGGGTGTAAGCTCCATTTCCTAACTGACCGTTAAGTCCTGGGGAGAGCCGGCAAAAAAATCATAAGAGGCAAAGATACAGCTGAAATGACTGTGTATCATGCACATACCGTTACCGGCACTAAATACTTCAACAGATGTTGGACGATCTACTGCAAACAAGCTCGTGTTTCCGCCAGCAGCAATTAATGAGACTTTGGCATCGAGAGGTTTTGGTATCTTCGATAGAACATTACTAGACCATAATGTGCTAACTTCCACAGGCGTTGATATAACAAGATTGCCTTCCCCATACGTTCCAATGCCTTCGTCAAAAAGGATGAGCTTGAAAATGTAGTTTGAACGATCGAAGAACCAAGAAAGCATGAGGTATAGGAGGATTATGCAAAATCAAGTGCCTACCTAATTGCCCAACATTGTTGCTCCCATGCGCAAAGACGCGACCATCTTTCGTCAGTACAAGAGTGTGCTCGTCTCCACAAGCAACGCTGACTGCGTTGCACCCATCGAGTGCGCCAACTTCAGTGAAGGAGAGTGATGGTATGGAAGGATCTTCTACATTTGATGTTGGAGGGACCGTGTGACCAAGACCGAGTTGTCCCGACTTGTTTCCAGCGGGATTCAATCCTAGACTGTAGACATTCCCTTTATTCGTGAGGGCAACTACATGGTTGGACCCAGATGCGATTGAAGTGATCTTTTCGCCCTTTGGCAAGACTAGTTTGGTTTTACCCTCATCCTTGTTTGATGAAGTAAACCAGCTCGTTTCGTCCTTCCACGTACCCGCAGCTCGTAGCTTTTCTCTGGCTGCTATAACAGCATCTCTCTTTGACTGAGAAGCTGGAATTGCGAATGCTTCACCGCTTTTGCTGAGTGCGACTACATAGTCAGAGGCTATTGCTACTTGGACTAAATCTTTTCCACGTATAGTCACTCGTGGTGCCGTGTATCCGAATTGCAGAAGATCGCCATCCTGAGAGATTGCAGCGCCGTGCTTGTCACCGACAGCCATATGCCTCAAGACCATATTCTCAAACGACTAACAGGAGCTTGGCTTAGACGAGTGCACATTGTTGTTCAGATGTTTGTTAGACACGTACCTTCAAAAAGTTCCAACCCTTTGTTACATTTCCTTCACCAGTCAAGTTTTTGGAGTTGGTTCCCACCGCCCACACACCAGGCTTTCGTTTCGACAATGCAACCTGATCTTTCTGAGATGCCTGGCACTTGCTGATCATGGAGCTTGTTTCATCATTAGCAGCATCGGCGTTTGTGTTTAGTGACAGCACACTCTATATAAAATATATGCCATTAGTAAGTTGCGATCGACTGAAGCAAAGTGTGAGTCGAAGGGAATTTAGAGAAAACACCTCACTCTTACCAGGCTCAAAAAGAATGGAAGACACAGACAAGACAGAGCAAACCAACGTCTATGAAACGCATCTCTACTCTTGGCAAGAGCATACAATTTCTGTTCTGTATCTCTCTGCTGTAAACTTCCAACGAAGGCGACTTCCACCTATCGTTTGCTTATTGAGTTGAGAAGCTTCTCGCCAAGAAAACTGACAACTACAAGCTCACCTCGCCTAATGAGGATGAATAATGTCCTTTGAGCGAGGGCAAAGACATACAAAAACTCTCTTCGATTGGTATTCGGTATGTCTTGAGATCAAATGTCCTCTTTTTTACTGACTTTTCTGGCGCTTCCCACATCTTATGCAGCTTAGCAGTAGTTTTCTGGGCAGCTGTTATAAGCTCGTTGGGCTTGTTGATCGAACTATGCAGTGGGGAACGGCCTGGGATATGAGAGTGAAACAAGATGTTGTTGCGACCCAAAGGTAACGCTGGAACTTTGAATGGAGCTAAAAGCTTTGATCCAGACATGGTTCTAATAGATGCCGCCTAGCTTCCCTGAGCTATGATGAGGCCGATTTTTAGAATTCAAAGCTTATCGTTTTTTAACCTACCAAACTTAACACTTTGAGATACAGTACGCAGATGCATAACCACGCGTCAATTATATACGCGGAATACCTTCTATATTGGGCCGACGCAATTTGAACTGCAAAGATGCTGTCAGACCGTGAGATCAGTGAAAAATCGCCTCCAAGTCAAGGGAAATCATTAGTGAAGAGTACCGTATATGAAGCAGACGTGTTGTTCGTACCAATGGCAACATGGCAAGCGCTGGTGATGATGACAGTTGTAAGTAAAGTCCTTTATACTTTACAAATTCCGCAATAATTATACATTTTATCATCAAACCAACATACTAGAACACAATACAAAAGGTCACCACTTTAAGTTGACAGCCAGGGCAGCCAGACCAGCTGGCACTTCTCCTTCATCCTTATACCTCTTCCACATGACACCTTTTACCCTAATTAACAAGAAGACTTCATCAGCAAAAACTGTGCCTGAAGAGCGCCCAACTTACGTGACTGTAGACGTCTTAGGAGACGTCATGGGCACATCGTGTATTGGTATTTGTAAAGATAGCGCTTTCGAGAATGGTTATTTTCCCCTTTCTCATACAATTGTTTTATAGGAAGCGATGTCGTCGTCTCTCCGATAATCGGGATAATCTCATCATAACTGCTTCTGCACACAAGGCTGTATTTTACTGCCTTCACGGCGCAGGTGTTCCTGTCAATACCTCGTCTACTTGTCCTTTCGGGCAGAATGGTGATTTCCTTCGTTTCGCATGGAATTCAGCAACAGTATTACCACACTAACACGATATAAACTTTCTAGTTCCAGTCAATTTTTTTCGTGTATCTCGTGAAGTAAATTTGCATTCTGTGTGGAAAGCTCCAGAACACGATGGTGGTGTCATGGTACAACAGATTCCGGCTTCCTATTATGCTGCTACTGATGGTCGGGTGCTGCCTCATACTATACATCAACATTACCCCAACGTGGTGGTCGCAAACCAAGTCTGGAATGCATTCTAAGTCTGCTGGCTCAAGTCTGCAAGCGCTTATTAGGCAGTGACACTATACAGAAGTGAGTAGCCAGTATGTTGAATTTGAAATAGATGGCTAAATTTAACACTTTTTTCGTTTTAGATGGTGAGTTGATGTTGGTTTTGTATATTTTGTGCTCTTGTCGTGCATATTTATAGTCTTGTAACATTTGCGACGTTCTAAATATTAGCAATCCTCGAGGCTAGTAACATTGAATGTAAATGTTAGCAACTTGCAATGGCGAATCTCCCAAAGGGAGGGAGATCTGGCAACAAGACAGGGCGTGATTTGCTGTATCAGCTTTGTACATGCCCCTGTGAAATGTGAGCAGTTCTACCTGCAACTAGGGTGATTACACCGACAAGAACGGATATTCCGATGGACATGATTCTAAAGGAGCCATTTTGCTTTGGAAAGTAAGGATGACTATGGTTTGAGTCTCTTGGATTTGGAGTTGAGCGATCCTTGTCAACAAAGCTTGGTCGAGCTTGAATCGGTTTGGCAGGTTGACTTTCTGATGCGATGAATCTTATTGAGCGTCTCCATTGAATTCCTGCCGCTCTGCGGTGAACTTGAAGCACCATCATTGCTGCACAGTTGACAGTTTCGTCAGGTTTGAAAGTTGCGAAAAAGTTGGATCGTATTAAACAGATACGAGTTGTAAGAGAGATTTCAGGTGAGATTTATATATACACAGTTTGAAGTCTTTTTAGAGTTGGTGTCTTGTTTATTGGTCCGTTCTGTTCAGTGGCAGGATGTAAACAGGCGAGTCCACAATAAACCCGTTGTACTCCTGCTGACGTATAGGCTAGCTTGCATACAATCAAGTCAAGCACCCGGAAGCAGCGGAAGGAGCAAAGTTTTTCGATTAAGGAAACCCTGCATCAAAACCGAGTTTTTGGCAACCCTCGAATCTTTTGATTGTGTAGCTTCTCCAGATCACCTTGTGTTAAACTGCTCATTGCATACGTGTCTATTAGTGTTTTACACGTCCTAGTCCCGCTGACGCCGTCACTTACTCTGATAATACTCACCGGCTTCCCACCTTCAACCAACAACAAATCATCCAACTTCGAGTCCTAAAGGCTATTCGCCAGCATGAGCACGAGGAATGAGCGTATGGGTGATAAGGCCCAAAATGATCGCAACAATAAGATATTGCAGGCTCTCATGCAAAGAGCAGACAATCGTTCATGTGCTGATTGCAAGAGAAAGGGTACAATCATCAAACCTTGTTTCCAGGACGCAATCACCTAGTTAACTCCATCTTTCGTTCTATATAGATCCTCGATGGGCTTCATGGAATCTCGGAATATTCGTATGTATTCGCTGCTCGGGTATTCACAGGTCATTGGGAACCCATATTTCAAAAGGTGAGTGAAATCTAGCATGTGTTTGTGAGCGACATCAACACTCAAACATCCTGCATTTATAGTCAAATCTGCTGATTTGGATTCATGGACTACAGAACAAATAGAGGCAAGTACCCTCCATGTCTCCTCCTCTTGTCAGAGACATGTGTTCTCGGTGGTTGACTGGGTTTCCCACCACTTTTCTCATAGAATATGGCTAGATGGGGAAATGGCAAGGCCAAGTGAGTCTACTGTGGTCTTTCAACGTGTGGTATCGTACAAACAGCCTAATCATTTTCTTTTTAGCATGTATTGGGAAGCTCAAATGCCAGCTGGAATGACACCACCTGAACAGTAAACACTACTAGACTCTGACTGCAGATAGGCTGCTTTACCGACACTAAGGCTCATATCATTCGTATTTTAGGGCGATTGAACAATGGATTCGTGGAAAATACGAACGAAAGCAATACGCAACACCAGGTGGCATCCCCGATCCGGACACTTTGCCATTACCTGAAGGTGTCGCCGAAGCCAAGATACCAGCTGCTCCAAAGAAAGCAGTTGTACCAGTAGCAGCATCAACACCCACGACAGCACTCCCTCAGCAACAATCTACACCAGCCGATAATAATTTATTTGCTAGCTTCAGCTCTGTCACTACTCAACAACAGCCAGTAACATCCACAGTAGATCCTAGAGCAGCGATCATGTCCTTATATTCCAATAACAGTCCAACTGCTTCCGTCCCGTCATTTGCTGCGTTTGGTAACAACAACAATACTACAGCACAAGCATCCCTCCCAAAAGGTGCCGAATTCTTTGGAATGAATACATCAAACCAATCCAAGTCCCAGTCTAATGAGTATGCTATATTGGCTGCTATGGGAGGCTTTGGTGGTAGTGGTACTGCTGCCCTCAACATGTCATCAATCGATGGATTGAGTAATGGTGCCCCCGCCGGCTTGAGCTCCAACAAGGGTACTATTATGACTGGAATGAGTGGACTAAGTGCCAAGTCAATGCAAACCATCAACCAAGATTCATTTGGAAGTTTGACTTCAGCTGCTCCTGCACCCATTGGTAATATCAGTAATAACAATAGTCTAGCAGCCAATTCATTTGCCAGTTTGGGCAGCTTTACCACCATGAGTGGTGTAGCAGGGGTACCAGTCACTCCACAAGGATCGCAAATCGGAAGGTCAACATCAGTAATTGGAGGAGGGCACTCAACCATTTATAATGGATTATCAGGAGCTACGGAAAGGCAAGCCAGCAACTTTGGTGGTATCTCGGAATTGAGGGATTCTGCTATCTTGCAACCCACTATTCAGGTTGGATCAAGTACCTCAGCACCAGTTGCCTCACTCTGGGGAGAATTCCAGTAGGAAAAGCAGAGATCAGCATGCAACATGAAAAAGAAAGTCTTTAGAAACGTCCAATATATAGTATTGTAGTCAAAAACATGATGATGATACCTCATTAGAGAAAGCATATTCGTAGATTTAAAATAAACGCTCAGAGAGAGCTATAGAATTACTGACCTGGCGTGATGTGATCGCGTTCGTGCCTGTGAGCTTCTTGTGAGCTTAAGCACTCCAAATCCTCACTGTCAGGTTTTTTTGGTTCAGAGTAGTAATCATAGGAGCCAGGCAGAGGAAACGACGACCTTTACAACAATCAGCCATGCTTCAATCACTTTTATCGCGTCTCTTTTCGTCATCCAAGCTCGCCATCACATCATCAGCTCCTTTAATACATTACTCTTCAGCTGGCTGCATCCAACTCCCAGCACCATCTATAATCGATATCATCATTGAGGGAATACTGCTGGCAGTGCCTAAAAAGAGGACTACGCACAGGAAAAAGGTATTGTAATATCGCATGGTCGTTTTTTTGCTGCAACATTTGCAAAAGACTGACACGGCTTTTCGTCGCATCACAATGTATAGAGGTTACGAATGGCTACTAAATGGTTGAGACCTATGAGAAACATCATGGCGTGTCCTTTATGTGGGAGGATGACGCTTATGCATCATGTTTGTCGTCATTGTACGAGGAGTATCTTGTAGAGGTACGTTTTCAAGGATGTGTGGATTTCTATATCAAGGCTGACGATATTTTTCACCTAGTGAATCTTTATTCGCTTTAGTGACCAATAGTCTTTCGTCTTGCAACTCATTGTTACTATAATACATATACACTCTTCGCATCAAGTCTCCTATGAAAAGTTCTCAACAAACCTCTCGCAAAAACAGAGAGAGTCAAGATGATTGTATGCGAATGTCGTTTCTATTATTGGATCGTCTTGGCAGCCTTACCCTCTTTAGGCTTATACTCTAATTTCCCTGCAATCCTCCAATGTCCGTAACTCTTGACCTCAGGCTTTCTGGAGTTATCCTTGTACGATATAATACGTTCAAACACGATATATTCACGTATTGGCACAATCTTGTTTGGGTCACCGGCCACGAGTTCCTTTTGACCATTCTTCTTTTCTCGATATAGCGCTACTGCCTAGGGTGTGCAGAATGTGAGGTTAGATCGGGCGCAGAGCCAAAAAAAATCAGGCTGGCAGAAGCTCTATGGATGGTTTACCTGGTTGTAATTAAGTTCCATAGTGAATTGATATATATCCTGTGTTTGAGCAGGTGTTTTCCCCATTACTGCATGCAGTATCTTTGTTTTGGAAGATTGGCCATGTGACTTCCATTCCATTTTGCCCATTTGTTTGAGCTTTGCTATTTCTGATTGCATCGCCTATAGCGCGAAAAAAGTGTCAGACAGATATTACATACTTATATTTTGAATCAACGAGGATATTCTCAACTTACATTCTGCATAGGTGGCGACAAGACTTTACATAGACTCTCGAAATTATATCTAGAATCATGTAGAAAAAAGCATCTTATTGGTCGGATACCTGACGTGTTTTTACAAAGTGTGTGCACTTACGCTGCAAAGTCCTCATTCATCCTTATATACAACTCCTCTGCAACATTACGTAACTTTGACGGTGGCCATACCTTTTCAACAGGCTTCAGTCTGAAATACAGTCTTGAATATCTACATGCGACAGCTCTGTCAATCTTCGTTGTTGCAACATCAGCGAGGTTGCACTTACGTTACAGTAGCCTGAAAAAACTTTTTAAGCACCTCCCATCGATAACTTCTCCACGCTTTCGACCCAAATGTTGGAATGTCAGACTTTAAAGATGGCAGCCATGTGTCTGAAATTTGATGAATCCCAGTTAAAACGTGTCAAGTAGACGAGAGGTTAGAAGATTCGAGTATAGTACCCATGACAGTGCCCCGGAACCCGCGGTTTTGAGAAGCGATTGCATGTCGGGTTGGGTGATTTAGGAGATGTTGGCTGTTTTTGTGTTAACAAAGAAGCTTGTGAGTAAAGTTTCAAACAGTTCTGGACTGATGCGAGGCACGGAACGATCGAGTACAAACCCTAACAGGCGCCTGCATGTTAAGCTTGTCACTGGAAGCATCGCTGATGAAGCTTGGTCAAGATTTGAAGGTTGTTCAACAGAGGCCATGAAACTTGTCGAGAAATGCAACCAACACACCGCGATTTCAACGCGACCTCTAACGATATAATCTATTTTATTAAATAAATCGATAATCCCAACAGTAACCCGACTATTAATCCCTGTGCACGGTATTGATTCGTGGCATTCCCCGCACCACCCCCATCAACAGCAATCTTCACAACACTCTTCACGCGTTCAGCTTCTTCAGCTTCTTTGGCTTGAATCTCAGTCAACCTCTCCACGAGAGGTCGTAACTCTATCATGAATTGTTTCTCAACTGCATCTTGATTTAGTTGTGAGGTTTCTAAAATCAGTTGGGATAGTTGTTCGTGTTGACGATGCCGCCTAAAGAGAGAAGAGCAATTGTGCGGAGAGGTGAATAACTATTTCAGAAAGCTCACGAAACAAAACATACTACCTTGATGGTTCGACTATAAATTGAGCTGAGACAAAGATTGTAAAGTGCACCAGGATGAGAGCCCTAAGAACATATTTGTTATGTTGACGTAGCGTTTTTTGTTGTTGTTGCTGTAAAGGTGTTCCTATACGTACCATGTGTACCACGTCGAAACGCTCCGTATCTTGTCAGAGTATAGCTGTTCCTCAATATAACGTTCACGTATCTCACTATTTCGAAAAAGGTGTTAGAGCAAAGAAATCGTCATGGTTCGCTTCCGGAATCCAGCGATTGACCTCAACAGTTCAGCTTGGGTAGTCTCCATAGACTCGGTAGCAGCTTTATACTGACTCTTGGCAGCAGCTTCCTCCTTCTCCAGCGACAGATTCTGCTTGAATAGATGCGTATATCGATCGATATCTGTATTCATCCAAGAGTCTCTTCTGTCTATAAGTCCAGTCAATTCCCGTTGCATCTTGTTTCGTGAGTCAATGAGATCCTCGTATCGCTTTCTGGCGGCTTCCAGGAGTTGCTTTTTCGAGTTTAGCTCTGCCTGTGGTATTTCAAGGAGTGTTAATTTGGGGGAAAAAAGTGACTGCCACAGTGGTTACTCACGTCTTTCTGCAAGACCTTCTCTTTCAGCTTGTTGACAGCAGCGTATCCAGTAACTGCCTAAAGAGAGCAATAAATGAGTGAATTAAGGTGAAAGCATTTTGGATTTCTGATGAGTCAAATAGTCATTCTCACATTCAAAGATTCACTGATTTTGGGTATGATTTCATGATTCAACTAGAAACAATTTGCGAATGCAGTCAATTGATGGTATTTTGAGCACAACAATTCAACTTTCAAGCACTTGCATGGTCATTAAATCTTGACAAGGGCGTTGAATGTGTAGTTGTTGATTGATGCCTTATCCAAGGGCCACAACGCGGTTTAAAACGTGTCAAATAAGCTCGATGACACTGATTCAAGCATGTTTTATACATATTTGATTTCATTTGACCGACCTAGTAATATCGAGTGTAAGCTTTACTATGTTTTGTCTGTTCACAGAAGAAATTCCAACAAAAACAACAACGATTATATCAGGTAACTAGGCTATGACGATAGAAATGGCCGACGCTCAACCCAACTTACCAATCTTCCAATCGGCGGCAGTCCTACAAGCTATTCAAGTAAAACCTTCAATCGTCGTTTTTCTTCTGCTGCAAGCACTAATCTTTTGAACAAAAGGCACAATTAGGCAACTTAATCGGCAAGAGCAGTGGATACGGTAAGCATATATTATTTGTATATATATGAGCATTTTGGAGCTCTTTTCGCTGTGCGAACATCGTTTTAAGCTCTTTTCGTTTGCACATTTACTGACTGAAAAAAAATCTGATCGCAGTCGAATCTATGCCAGTGGAAGTCCAAAGGTAAACTTACTTAGATCTTACTGTATTCGACAATATGTGATCTTGAATTACTAACTTGTAACGTTGATTCCTTAGACGTATCAAGGCCCTAGAAAACTTGAACGACAAGCACAGTGAAATCGAAGCTCGTTTCCGTAAAGAAGTACTTGAATTGGAAAAAAAGTATGCAAAGCTGCATGAACCACTTTATGAAAAGGTATTGCTTGGGTTTGAAAGGATTGTGTTGTTGGGAGGCGGCCTAGTCGTCAGCGCGTATTGTTGGCCCCGCGACCATAATCTCACAACACTCAAACCCCGCCCATCCTCACAACAGAGAGCTACCATCGTTACTGGCGACTATGAGCCTAACGAGGAAGAAGCTACTCGTGAAGATGAAGACGATGAAAATGATGAAGACGAAGACGACGAAGAAGACAAAGAAGCTAAAGCAGCTGCAAAAGCCGAGACTGAAGCTAAAGGACCAGTCAAAGGAATTCCTGAATTCTGGTTGACTGCCTTCAAAAACAACCAAGAAGTCGATTCTCTCATTGTTGGCGAAAAGGATGACGATGCTCTCAAGTACTTGGTCAATGTTAAGAACATTTACTTGGAAGACAACCCAGTACGTGAAGTTAGCAGTGGTACCATATCTCTAAGAAGATTGAGGCATGAAAGATATTTATTGTGGGTAACTAGCTCTTACTTATTTTCTACGTCATCGTAGGGATTCCGTCTCGAGTTTGTCTTTAGTGAAAACCCATACTTTACTGATACTACCTTGACCAAGACATACTTCTTGGCCTTGTCACCAGACCCATCAGACAGTGAAGTGGTCTATGATCACGCTGAAGGGTATGTACGCTGCCAGTCTGCGCCTTTTGTTGGCAATGGAGTTCGCCCCTCGTCTTAACCATTACCATCATCACCACTAGTTCCGAAATCCACTGGAAGGAAGGAAAAGATCTCACCGTAAAGACTGAAATCAAAAAGCAACGAAACAAGAACACCAACAAGACTCGTACTGTAAAAAGAACTGTACCTACCGACACCTTCTTCAACTTCTTCAAACCACCTCAAGCTCCTGAAGATGCTGAAGAAATGGATGAAGAGGATTTGCGAGAATTAGGTCCCAGAATTGAAGCTGATTATGAGGTACGCTTGAGCGTGGCCAGTGTGCATCTGCAGCTTGCTTGGATGCGTTGCTTCCGTTTTTGGTTGGTCTACGGTAATGAAGATCTGAAACTGGCCCGATTTAGGTTGGAGAAACCATCAAGGAACAAATCATTACACGTGCTATTGATTGGTTTACTGGAAAGGCCTTGGAATATGGTGAGTGTCGAAGTGAAGGCGGTTGTCCATTCGATTTTCGTTAAAAGGCTTTGTTGGCCAACCCGCGTTCCCTTGCAACAACTCTCCACCACCTCCATGTAATGTCTCTAACGGCACTCACAATGTTTTCAACAGATGGTGAAGACGATGAAGACTTTGATGACGAAGAAGGTGGCTTCGATGACCAAGATGATGACGAAGACGATGATGAAGATGACGATGATGAGGATGATGCACCGGTAAGTAATATGCAAAGCGCTGTCTTGATTGGAACTGGGCATAAGAGTTCTCTCGGGACGTAACTCACTTTCTCATTCACTTCCTTGCAGCCTGCTAAAATGGGCAAATCAAACAAAATGAAATCATTCAAGCATTAAATATGATTGAATGACTCCATCAGCATTCCCTTTGAAAGGCCTCCCTCTATCCCAGCTTTTACTTTGTAACAGGATTTCCGAAACAGGAATATTGAATATAGACTTTTTCTACAAGCACATGTATTTGAACGTGAAAAAGACCCTTGAGTGAGTCATTCATATATCCAGAGATAACAGTAGAGTTTATAGGTGTCGTCCTCTTGGTTTGCATCCAGATAACCCCCCAAAACATGTTAGAAGCGAAACAAGGACGTATGAGTAAAAGAAGTGCATCAGTAACAACAGAGAACATTTTCATACTCTCCTATTCACTCGGTGCTATTCACAACTACGCCTTACTTCGTCCAATGGCAGATCATGGTGTTGATGAGCAGGTTCAATCGCCTACAGTGACAGGCAGATATATACCTGACTTCGTCCAATGGCAGGGATGAAGGGAGTGGTGAGAAACTGGTCCAAACCCAACGGCTGGCCATACTACTACAGGCAGATACCTGACCTCGCTCCATTGATATGACCATCAGCTAATTACAAACATCGAGCACCCCGTTGCCTGCATTTTGGGAATCCAGTGCAAGTCGGATGCTAGAACTTTTCCTGAGCTGTGAAATTACCAGCAGGTTGATTATATCCGACTGGGAGAGTAGGTGAGTGGTTTCGTGTAATATACGAGATAGGCAGATGATTTTGTACTGACTTGAACGCCTAAAACTGAATGGATGTAATTAAAATTGGTAAGTTTCCAGTAGTTTTATCCCTGAAATTCGTTTATGAGCGATGCTGAAAGAACTGCGTCAATGTGCAGAGCACATGAATATGGGGCAGACGGTCTCTGAAACTGTACCTTTAAAAGTCAATATGTCTTTATTAGCTATCGAAATACTCATGCCAGATCTAGACTGAAGTTGTTCAAACTAAGAATGCCGCCAATACTACTGACTTGTTGGAAACTCCTTCAGAACATACGTGCAAGCTTCGCTACAACAAGGTGTAAACTTTCTTGGAAGTTAACAGTCTATTTATCATTGAAATTATATACGCAGAGAGATATGCTGAGATATTCATAAGTCTTGAATTGCAGATCCAGTATCTGTTTATACATGTAAACGAAACAAGGATGTGTCAGTAACAGCATTAGAGCAGGAAAGACCACTTCTATACCTCTTTGGCTGTTGAAGCCAGCCATCCAATCTAGCCTCCAAGCCCCATACTTCGTTCCAATGGCAATCAAAAGAGTGACGACAAGCACCTCAACCATCACTCCAATAATGATATACCATCAACCTACTCAAATTTCTGACTTGAGGCACTATGTCGCATTGATTGTTACCCAAAGTATAATGTTGAGACTTGCAGAAGGCAAACTCCAATAATTCAACAATTGAATATTTTCATATGGAATGAGCTCTCCAGTCCAGGAGGTCCTCAAATCTCGAGAAAAACAACAAACCGTTACTACACGCAGAGACCATGTACTTTTCATGAGGCGATAACCATAGCACTCCACACACACAATTAACTATTGCTTTATCTTTGTAAAAATTCAATATAGAAAGAGACAGAGGTGTAAAATGAGAAGGGAAACCCTCCTAATTGCACAATAATGTTTTACAATCTTTCCACGAACCCCCTTGCTTCGTCCTCATTACCAACACCATCAAATACCAACAAACAACATATTCTCAAAGGTAGATGGTTTTAACATCATCCTTACCAAATGCAGTCCCACAAGTTGGACACTTTCGTTGTCGTGCATTTAGCACATCATCTATACATTCTTTACAAAACACGTGCATGCACTTGGATAGGACCACACTCTTGAATCGAGAATCACATGTTCGGCAGATGATCAATCCCTGTAGTTTAGAACGAAATAGGAATGAGATTGATAACTCAACTATGGTGACAAACCCAGCACAAAAAAGTCATTCACGAAAAGACCCCACATACCCGATATTCATCAAGCCTCTGCTGTAAACCAACATCTGACGGTGCGGATATGGTAGAAGACGATGGCATGGATGCTCCATTTGATCCTGTTGCTGCTGCTAGGGCCGCTTCTCGCACTTCCAACTTCTTCTTAAATACATCAGCTTGCTCTTGTGCTTTTCGACGTAAATCCATCTCAGTGTCGGCTTCTTCCGTCCTTTTTTTCAGCATGACGGTCATCTGAATGAAAGAAATCGTTTTTAGAAGACAGTGTACATGGAAAGAGGTTCAGTCGACTGGTGGCCGAAAAAAGACAAACTTAATGCTTTCTTATCGGACACTTGCCTCTTCAATTCTTGCATTCATCTTTTCACATCTATCTGTCAGGTCATCACAGTGGGATCTCAACCTGATCACTTCTCGACGATGAGCTTCAGATGCTGCTGTTGCGATAGCTACACATCGTTCTGCACTCGCCTAGTTATAAATTGGCGTGTGAGATATAAAAGAGTACCTTTTTGTGGATACAAAACGAGAACCAAAGGTACTCCTCAGCCTCTTGCTATTTTGACCTCCAACACCCCTCGCCATACATACCACTTGTCGAGATTGTTGATTCTCTCGGTCTTCCAGCTTCCTGATCACTTCGGTCTGCTTTTCAGTCTGTCTTCTTATAGCAGTAATCAAGTTTTGAGTATTTGCTGTCTCTTTGCGACTCTTGTCCAGTTGTTGCTTCATTGTCGTTCGCTAAAACACGAGGACAAGCAGGGTGAGCGAGGAAAAGATTATTGAGACGAAGGATGGAGACCGCCTGCGTCCCGCAACGAGATTTCACGTTGCAAACACCCGATTCATACCTCAGCAACCAACTTCAGTATATGATCTTCCTTTGTAGTCAATATCAACACTTTACTAGTGTTTTGATCTTGAAGTTCTCCAAAACCCTTCATCAGCTTGTTCACTTCAGACGCCAAGTGAGTTGTATCGTCTGTAATGGAGTGAATTTTGCGTTCATACTCCTGAATCTTTGCTTGGCTCAGTCGTAATTGATTTGAAAGGAGGGTCACTGGATCTTCTCCTGGTTGAGGTAGAGCCCCAAAGGTGGATTTATATTCCATCAATTCACGTTTGGCGTCGGCATTTTCAACTAGTATCTGAGAGGGAAGAATGACTCGTGTTGTTTAGCTCCCAGAATTCCTACCGGAGTCAACACAGGTTTGTACACTCACTTTCTGAAGCTCGAGATCTTCCGGAGACGCGGCCTGTTGAAATGCTTGGAGTTGATTTCTCATATCTCGGATGGGATTCCCGGTACCATCAATATCTTCTGTGGCAAAATATTGAATCAGCGCTTGGTCACCAGTTTGAGCTGCCATGCATATCTTGAGACGTCTGATTTCTTCCGTCTGTGCTGCTATGCACTCCTAGATTGTTGCCATAAAAGGTTAACTATAGTTTGGGACTTTTCCTGGTCGACGGCATCAAACCGCCACAATCACATTTTACCTTTTGTGCATTGGCAATTTTCCTGATTTCGTGACTTGACTCGGTGTCTGCATGATCCTTGGCGAGTCGCAGATTGAGCGAATCATCCAAAGTATCTCTCTGAGTCCGTACTCGAAGTAAATCTGCTTCGACCTTCTTGAGTTCAGCATCTAATCTCTCCAATTTCCTCATAGTTTCATCCTTTATCCGAAAAAAAGAAGGAATGAGTTCGCGATGGTCCTCCTCGAATTGCCACAGGGGCAGAAAAATTGAGACGCTTGTAGCGAGATAGTATCTGACGATGGTATACCTCGACTTGTTGCTGAAATGTTCTCCTGTCTAATTGTAGTTCTTCCACCTGTTTGCCAAGCTTCTCATTAAGATCTCGAAAGCCTCGTGCTTCATCAGCCAAGCGACGATTGTCATTCAGAATTTTCTGAAAATCAGGATGCGATGCTACGAGGTCCATATTGGTTGGGAATTGCTTTTGCTAAGAAAATGGGAATTGATGTGTTGGCAAGCACCAAAACGAAAGGAGTTGAATCTATCCTGAACGAAACACACCTGAAGGACTAATGTATCTACTCGTTCTTGAAGTGACAATCGTTCTCGCTTCAATTCTTCTAAGGCCTTCAATCTAGCTTGACTTAGAGCCTGAGCAATAAGAAGTCCTTCTGATCGGGCAACATCGTCCTAGAAATTTAATAGAGGAGTTGAGCCAAAAATTCCTCTCCTTGTTGAACTTGAAATTGCTCAAAAGTCCAAACCTTGTCGTCAACAGATATTGGAGGAGGTGGTGGAGCCATTGCTGTTGATGCAAGGTTGGGAACACCCTCTGAACTTCCAGTCGATTCTACCTTAACAGCTTGAAGCACGGGAGCAGTTGGCGAGCCCTGAACACCAGACAAAAGTGTAGATGCGGATGCGAGTTGATTCGAATGTGGTGTTGGAGGTTGCTGGTGATTGCCAGTCAGGATGGTAGGAGTAGACTTCCGACCAGCGGGACCTTCTGCCATTCTGAGACGATCAGCTTTACGTTCAGCAGCGCGTAACAAAGCTGTTGCTTCTTCTAGTTGCGTTAACAGTTCTGCTTCTCTTTGTTTAGCGGTTTCTACTTCGGATTGTAAAGATGCCACCTGTTGAAGATTCGAAAGTCAGCGGATTCCTTTGAAACGCACACGAACACAACTGGAAAATATACCTGATTACATATGTGGTGATACTTTTGTTGTAATGAAGCATGTTGCTGCTCTACAGAGATAAAAATAGGCAGTCAGCGAGGAGACACATGTCGCCGAAGGGAGCACCTGCGTAACAGATACCAGAAGAGGAAGTGCCGTTTGATTTTGGAGTAGATTTACGAGCCAGTATATCCAACATGGCACGTATCGAAGTGACTTTTGCATTTAGAGCTGCTTCGATCTCTTCCTTTCCACAAGCAGGGTTGGCGAGCAGTTTCTGAGCCAAGTCGTTCTTTGATATACCATTTACTGGGGCTATATGATAGGGAAGTATTGTTGAGTTCACTAGCAATTGAGGTATAGCTGTCTGCAATAAGAGCCTAGTTGATCAGTCAGTACCTTGACCGTCAATCATAGAGACTTGCTCCTTTATATCATCATGTATCTATAGACACAAAATGGGAATTTGATGAGTACACATGATTCCAAATTTCAGGGTATAAACAGTAGGAAGCTTTGGTTGAGCTCGACCATTTTGAGTAAACGACATTCCAGTGGGGTTCTTACCTGTTCCCAGTAAGTGAATAAGGAGACAATATTCAATCTGTAAGCATCTTGTCTTGATTCCAAGTCAGTGATGTATTTCTGAGCTCGTTCTAGTGACCTCTTGTACTCTTGCATTTGTCGCCAAATTGCATGCTTTTGGAAGACAACCACGGCGTCCTGGATGATTGTAATGTATTTAGTCAGTACATGGATATGCCAGATAATAATAAATAGAACAACATTACATCATTGTCTATAGCCTTGTCAATATTGATGCTGTCAGTAGAAGCTTCGCTGAGCAATTCATGAGTGCTGTTTGTCAATTTAGTCTTTTTGGGGATAGTAGAAGCAGGACTATGGTCCTCGGACGGCCTCTTGCGTATCTGGCTTTCCGATGACGACGACTCTCTCCTGTTGCTCTCCATTGCCCTCACATGGAATTTGAATGTAAAATTGCTTTTATCGGGTGTCAACTAACAATAGACTAGGACGCAAGTTTAGGAGTAAAGGAGTACGATATATTTGAATCTACAGTCATGAATCGAAAGCCTGCCGCAAAAAGCATACAAGGTTCTTCACCTCCAAGCGCCATAATGAGGTACAGTAGAGCTTGTCGCAATACATTGATTGTATTCGCTAACAAAGCTCTGTAATCGATCTAGGGAGCTCATGTCACCGTAAATAATTTGCTCGTTGTTGTTTCCTTACGCGGAACTGTCTGTACTAACCAGCATCACTTTCACTTTTTTCTCAATGCAAAAGTGGAAATCTTAAAGTACTTTTTCACACTGCTGTGTAAGTCAACGTTGGATCTGCATAGATTACGAAGGATTATGTTGTCTAGAGCCTCCACCTGTGCCATTTGGTGAAGCTGGAGCACTTGATAGTGGAGTCGTCTCCAATTGGAGCTAGCCGGACCACACACGCAGATGCTTCTTAGATCATGTACGGTGATGATGACGTATGAACTGACACCCTTTTCATCTGTAGATATGTCACTGCTGTGTATCTCTTCTCCCAACAACCAGACCTCTTCAACATGTAGTTTTTTGAAAACATCACTTACGATTGCATCGCATATCACCATTCTCTCTCTTCCCATATTATATAAATGATCATATAAAGCAGTAAGCAGTATTCTATGACAAGTTCGTGCCAGTAAGTTTGATGTTCGCATCATTGTGAGAGCTCTGTAAGCCTTTCGAGCTTTGAGAATGAGCACGTAGCACGTGTGCTTGCCGCACTACGCGTGCAACTGAAATATGCGTTCCTCCTGATAAGAATACCACGGAATGTCTTTGTGCATTATTTTTAAACTGGAATGTCTCTTGTATATTTTCATGTTTGTCGCTGACTAACGGTTACATAAGACACCCTCTGAAGAATAGAAGTTGATACATCCATCACGGTTTTTTAGGACTAGGAGCAAGATGGTGAGTAAAGGTCATTCAAACCGTATAGAATGTCGAAGGAATCCATCTTCTACCACCTCTCTTGATGTGGTTACTTTGTTACAAGTGATAACTGTCGGATGTGTTTGCCACAAGGTGTTTTGTGGAGTGTCGATATATGAAAGTGGAATTGCAATAGGAAGAAGGACGACAGAAGTGTGATATTTTATATCTTGGAAGAATGCATCACCCCCCTGTTGCTAAGAAAGCTATGCACAGAAACCGACAATTCCACAACATCAGACATTTGATACTCAGAAGAATCAAGCTCAGCACCTTGACATGAAACAAGTTACTCCCAGAATTTCAATCTCACGAAACCCTTAATCTATGTAGCCGTCCAACAAGACCTTCAGAATAAAAAGAATCTTGGGCAAGAAGCAAAAGCAAAACAGACCCATTCCTAATTGGATTCGTCTGAGGACAAACAATACCATTCGGTAAGATACAGCTGAATGTGGACATTGCAGTAGTGGATTTAGATGGCTCATTATATCCCTATGTCTCTACACAGATACAACTCCAAGAGACGTAACTGGAGACGCACTAAGCTCAACCTATAAAAATGTGGTGCAGTATCACAGGGAGTGGCTGCCAAATATGCTAGCTATATGCTCTTTATATGTATAAAAACACCAATAGTAGCAACCAATTTGGCGCATTCTGAACTCTACATTTTGACTCCAGTTGAAGGGGTTTGCTTCATGTGAAGGTGGTGGTCATGGTAGAAAGGGAGGCTGCAGACTCAAATGGCTACCCACAGGATTCGACATCCAATGAAAAGTGGGTGACGATGGTGGACAGTGACGCTTTGGAATGTACACATTCTCAAGCTTCAGGAGATTAGCGATTCGACGCGTCATGCTAATTGCATATAAGCAATAGGTTCGTGATAGCGAGTACAAGCGAATTATTATCCTGCTTACTCGTCCGCAACACTCAGCTACCCACGTAACATTTTAACAGTTGCAAGACAAAGCAGCCAAAATGGTGTTTCTATTTCTGAAAACCAGCTTATACAAGCAGCCTGTATTCTTTGCATCCTTTGTCATGGCATTGACAGGTACCCTTAACGATACGTCACTACTTCATCAGCATCACTTGAAAATCTAACATTCTACATGTTTGCGAAATTTAGCTCCAGTGCTACTATTCGTGGTGTATCCAATGAGGAGAGAGGCCGGCTACAAACTACCTCCAGACATTCCACGTTCATTCCCTAGTATGTGGTTTGTTGGATTCGCATTGGAGTCATCGGGCATCAAACAGTTGCAAAACAAACGACTCTTTAACATGTCCCCTTATAGTACCCGCACGACAACGTGAATCTGTCACTGGATATGATGATTAAAAAGCAAAGACAATTAGCCGCGCATACACCATAATCAAGCCGACACAACGACACAAATGTTTTAGAGTTGAATGCGTTATTATAAATATTACGACAAGTTGAAGGACAACATGTCTACGTTGTGTCTCTAGATGTCTACATTATATTCATCAAGTGTTTGTCGTATTCGGATATCTCGACGTTTCATAATCTCCAGTAACGCTTGGATCTCATCATTACTCAGTATACCTCCTAGCTTCTCAACTGCTAGCAACGCCATCTCTAGTGTCAGATGTACCGAGGGTGTTAGAGAATCACAAAGCAAACTCTGAAGATATACAGTTCTTAACAATTACCTTTTGACCAAGGACATGCCACGACTGCTTGCATGATAATACGTTTGGCCTTTTCATAATTCTTTTGAGATAGCTCAAACAAGAAGTAATTGAACCAAATGGCTACAGAGTGTCGCGATCTAGAAACACACAAGCAAAAAAGTCAATAACGAGTTTCACGTATCTGAAGGAAGTTCACGTCTTACGTTGGACAAGCCACAGCATTTTCAAAGATGGCACGTATATAATGCAGATTTCTTTGAGGCCGTAATTGCATTTCAGTCCACAAGTGAAAAGACCATATGACATGTGATGGATTTCTAAGACAAAGTCAATGAGGAACTGGTTGTGGTGTTCTTCGTTGCTGTTGCAATATACATTTTTCTTCTTTGCTGTTTCAATAAACACTTTTCTAACACCCTTACCTGTTTTCAAACTCGTGCAACTGTTTCTTAACTCTCCCTTCAATCTGAGTCCTCGACTCGTTCAACACATACAAACTATGAAAGATAATATTATGTGGAAACAGGCCTAGTGCTCGTTCAACCACATTTCGCAGTATCGATGGTCGAAACCCAACTGATCCGTCCAACATGTGTCGATGTATAACGTGGGTATAATCTTCATACATCATTTCTTCCAGTATACCACCACTCATGTCTCGATTTTGGAGATTTTTGAGAGCGTCTTCGTATGTTGAGCATGCGACTTCAATGTTTTTCGTGATGCTCTCCAATAGTGCTTTGAGATAGATACTGTGGAGAGGTGATTTGGTTGGATGGAGGAGTTTGCCGGGGTCCGATGTTGATAGACCCGATGTGATTTGCTGAGACAGTATCTATGTAAATGCGTAAATGAGAGTTGAGAAAGTCATAGCAACAAGTGATGCCTCTTCTTTCGCTGCTTACATTTTGAGCTTTGACAATCCGTGTTGGTGGATATGTGTTTTGATCAAATTCGTCGTACTTGACGGTTGATTGCTGTTCTGCGCAACTCAATACCACAGCTAGTAATGAGTCACAAGTTGAGTAAAGAGAGGAGATCACAATTGCCGGATTACTCACCAACAGCACGTGCAGGGTTAACTTTCAATTCAAGTTCAGCCAACATTCGATATAAGAAGGCAGATTCCTCCTTGAGTGCCTCGGTTGATAGTGACAAAGGTATAGCATTCATGTATACACGACGAGCCTTGAGACGATAAAAAGATCAATCCATGACAATATCAAAATCGTAACAAACACGGTTACCTCTTCAATCTTGTCCCGCAATAGCTCAGTTTGAGCATACGCATTCCATAAAGCTAGATTCATACGATCATTCTTTAGCAACTGTTTGGCTAGCTTGTAGGCACTATGGTGGGAGTAAGTTGAGTATTATTCACTACAAAAAAACGACCCGCTGCTGTTAGTATCAACCTTTGAGGGTTGTTGAAACTTTCAAACAACAGATATGAGCTTTGAAGAATCGCATCTCCCGAAAAGACTGGCATAACAAGCGCAAACAATTTCCTAGCGGACCCAAAAAGGTCAGACAAATTCTACTCCAAATTTGCATGTCGACGCAAAACAACCTGATAAAGTCAACTTTCCCAGGCGCAGCTCTCTCAATCCCATCCACTTCGTTCCTCCTCAACACTACAAACCATTTCTGCATGGCAAATATAGTAGTAGCCGAGGCAGGAAAAGCTCGAATAGGAAACTCATATGCAATAGGCCGTTTCCACAACATTTCTTCTTCTGTTCCTACCACAACGCTGGAAATGGGCTTGTCTCCCAATAATGGCCACAGCATACATTCAGTGTGAATGAGGGAATCCAACATGACTGGATCATTTGATCCGAAATTGTTTAATGGTATGCCCAAAAAGTTGAGAAAAGCGTATACGATGTCTGATCGAGTGCTGGGTAATGTGGGGTCGAACAGTAAAGGTTGAATGTCGTTGAAGAAGACGACTCTTTCAACGTCATCTGCAGCTGCACTCAGACATAGCTTGTAAGTATTTCGTACCATGAAAAACAACATAAGAGTTATTAACGTACTGGTTACATCTCGGAGTGGCTTCCAGAGCTTCTTTTCTTGAGACCTTTCCGAAGCTACCCAGGTTTCTTCAGACGCAAAAACTTAGTCAACTGAGCAACTTGGAACGCGGTTCGATATCCTCTTACCATCCACAACATCCATAGCCCAATCTTCCTCAGCTTTGAAAGTAGGTGGTGCAGCTAAAAACCGAGAATCAAGTGAATAATACAAATGCGGGCAAGACGCTTCTTTTACACTCACCTCGAATATCAGTAGAATCCCAACCAACAGCACCCTAAATTATTTGTCAGGGAGAAAAACAAGACACCAACCCGAGAGCCTACAGTAGAACTGACCTCATCCCCAGCTCTTGGCATCTCACTCTCCCAAAAGCCTTCAAAAACACGTAGCTTTTCACCAAACGAACTATCTCGTAGCGAGTCTGGACAAAAGCACGACAATTCCACCATGGCTTGGAAACATGCAATGGCTCTCTCAACATATCCAGCCTGAGCAAGAAAGTAACAAACACGAGTCAAATTCAGACTGAGAAGTTGCTCTGTAGCTCCACGATCTAGTTAACCCCAACAGACCAAACGATGAGAGTGATATCAAGTGCACACAATTCTTTTCCATCGGCAAAGCAAGATTCACGTACCGAGTTCTGTTTCATCATTCAAAGTCTTGATGCAATCAGCAAAGACTTCCATACAATCTGGAACTGTGAATGCTGTTTCATTGGTCATTCGAAATGTAATGTATCGATCCCATAACTTGTGCGACAGTTTGTTGGATTGTAATACTTGATCCCATTTTGCGAGGATGTCTTTGGACCTGGTGTTGGTAGGGCGGACAAAAAACTATCAGATTAAAGCTTTGTAGCTCGTCTGAGAAGAACATCCACTCACTCCCAAGGTATTTCTACAGTAGTTTCCATATACGCTAGCAACAAACTCTCGTCATGAGGCATTTCAGACAAGGCCTTATCCAAAATCGAGAGTTTGCGTTCAAATGCTGTAGATCTACGGGTTCCTTTGTTCTTGAATGTAGATTCTTGGAATTTAGCAAATTCTAGCCATAAATCCACATTGTAAGGATTCTATAGAAGATAAACTCATTCAGCATTATGTCGCGTGGTAGCGAAAAAGCGATCCTTGATCGGCACAACATACGTCCTTCAACCGACGATTGTATTCCAGTGTCTGCCGAACAACTTGATCTTCTTTCACGGCATCTCCATCCGGAGCGGATGGAGCATTTTCTGTTAAAGAAGCGACGACCGGCTCTCGAATCTCTGCCAGCTGTAAAGGATGACTTGTCGACACCTCATCGTCTTCAAATGGTATAAAGTCCTCGTTTGGTTTAACTACATGGACATCTACAGTTCCAGATCCAGGTACGAATTGCTTGGCTGGCGCACGTAGAGCTCGTCGAAATTGGTCGTATCTCTGGTGTAAGCAGAAAAAAAACCATGAAACCGCTGATTGACACGCTTCCAAGTCGGTACGAAGCCTACGTCTTGAAAAGAATCACGTGTACGAGGATGCCTTGAGATCAAAACAACCGTCTTTCGATCTCTAGAGTCCTTATGACTGACAAAAATGTCGTCTGCACCCAAAACAGAATCTGTTTGTAGTCGAAGAGGACTGTTGAGTCAGTGTCCCAGCATCGATAGACATAAGAATACATCGACACTGGCAATTCACGCATGAAAGTGGTTACCTCCATATCTTTTGAAATCCAAAATGTGTCTGCTCTCGACTCCATACGTCGCATTAGCAGAGTCGCCTTTCCGATCGATTTGAATGGGTAGAGCGCTATCAAAATACACGTAAGCTTCATACGAACAAAGATTCAAACACGAATCTCACTCTTCTGGTGGCAGGTTGTTAAGCTCAACATCACGATCTTCATCCTAGAAGCCGAACGCGAAAAATGAGAGTCAATTACTTGAAGCTTAAGACTAACAACAAAACGGGCAGAAGCCAGATTACATACCGAGTTATGATCCCGATCTTTATGGTCACGTTTCTGCTTCTTTTTATGTCTCTTTTCTCTGGATTCATCCTTCGCTTTACGTTTGGATGAAGCTGCTTCCTCTATCTGCGGAGCTGCGGGCTTCTTCTGGTAGGTAGATGTAAAGCTTGTGGGAAACGATGAAAATGATGGGAAGCTCGCCTCGTTACTATCATCTCCCATTTTGGTTGTTTGCTGAACTTGAAATTTCTTGATGACGATCAGAGAGATAGGAATTGGAGAAATCAGAACGGTAGACGAGTTAGAATTACATTCTCACATTCTCATTTTGTGTTTTAGATGCTCCATGTCGTAATTTCTCAGTTGGAAGCACAAAAATGCCGGAAAATGCTGTCGAATAATATGAATTGTCGACTTGTACGCGTCAAACACCTCAATATCTCGTTTATTCACTATTCACTACTTGTGAGTTGCATAATATCATCAATTGATCGCGTTCAACGGCCTGTTACTCGCCGCAGTTCACCACCACTTCAATGCTCGACTTTACCTTCAGTTTCAGTTTTAAGAACTATTGCATGTACGGTCCGTTAACCGGAAAGAACGTAGTAGCATTTGATATCTAGTTGTATATATATTACATATCTGATAAGGAACTATTGATAAACCCTGGAAGATCTACCTGGGTAAGTGCGAATGTATTTCGTTTGAAATTGTCGATTCTGATCAAAGAGACTAGCCACACAAGACCTTACCCGTTCTGTGTAAATTGATTTTTTCTTTGTTGTGTTTCTAGGCAAATCTTCCATGGCTACAACATCATTTATAACCAGTTCCTATGCAACACGCATTCGAGAATCAGTCACTCTCTTGACACATTACACAAACAAGCTGTGGACGGACGACCAAGATCTCATGCTAAATGAGTTCTTAAACAATCCAAAACACACCAGACTCATTGCCTTTGTCGAATCTGGACCGCATAATAATGAAGGCGAACTCAGACTCCAGTTCAACGTGCCAACTCATCCTGGTCTAGAAGAACTCGTCTTCTTCCTACAAGAAGATGCACCTGCCAATACTCCCAAAAAGATTCAAGTCGGCATGGTCAAGGGTAATACATTGGACAGTCTCTTGCATGTCATGCAAGACTTGTATACTCCCCTTTTAAGTGATAATGCACGGTGGCCTGAGACTGTTAGAAAGGACTTTGATTTAGAACTCCAGGTATGAATTTGAATTTAGAGATTTCTTTATCTTTTGCAACCTTCAAGCTGCCCCTTTTTTTGCCAACACACCAATCTTTGATAGCGATTCATGGCTCTGCTGACTGATGCAGCAAATATGAGAAAGGGTGCTACAGTCTTGTATATACCACGAGAAGATCTAGAAGTACCAGAAAGAGCTTCTCGAAACAAGGATATAGTACAGCGGCTAGAATCACTGTTACTATATTGGACTCGTCAAATCAAGTCTGTAGTCACGGGATCTAGAAGCTCCGAAACCTCAGAAAGCTCTGGGCCATTAGAAGAAATCCAATTCTGGAAGAGTAGATGTGATGACTTGTCTGGTATAAGTGAGCAACTCAAAGGCAAAGACATTGGCCGTGTCATTCGAGTCCTTGAAATCGCCCAATCCTCATATCTCGACGCATTCACCCGATTATCCCAATCGATACAATCAAATACTCTAGAAGCACAAGATAATCTGAAATATCTATCGACATTAAGTGCTCCATGTCAAACTCTGGCCAATGCCGAACCAAAAGCCATTGCAGCCTTTCTCCCAAAACTGTTAAGCACAGTCCGTCTCATATGGGCCAACTCGGAATACTTTGGTACTCGTGAAAAGATAACAGGTCTATTACGCCAAATAAGTAATGAAATAATACGTCGATGTTGTGTCTTTATATCCCTCGAAGACATCTTCCAGAAAGATGCACATGCTGGTCTAGCACAACTAGTAGAAGCCATATCATGTACAGAGGGCTGGAAGAATGCATACAAGAACATGACGAAACATCTTGTTCGTCACTCTGAACGTGTATGGCAAGTCGATGAAAGCTCGGTCTTTTCATCACTAGAAGCATTCCAACAACGATGTCGTGATTTGGCTGAAGTTTGTGAAGCCCAAATACAGTTTGCTCGCAAGACTCCCGGTGGGCCTGATTCTGCACCAATTCCTGTATTTGGAGGGTCGAATGGACCAAGTACCGTGAAGAGCCTGGAAAATATTGAGAGTGTTTTCAAGAGGAACACTTCTACATTGTGGACTATTCACGTATGCTGATTGCTATTGATAGCTTCATCTGTCGTCCCAACATGAAGCATAACCGTAATTTTTTATTGTTCACAGGACTCTATTCTGGACGTGAAACATACTAGATGGCACGACTACTTTGGTCGGTTCAAGGATGGGCTTAAGGATCTCGAAGTGATGATGCAAACCGTAATAAGCAATTCATTCGAAACGGCTCTGTCTATAGAACAAGCTGTTGAACTACTCGAAATCTTCCATCACCTCGCCAAACGAGAAACAATCAAACGTGTAGTTGAAAAGAAGACTGCCGATACCTGGATTATGTTTATACACGAACTCAATGCCGTAAAAGAGCTATTCGAAAAACATAAACGAACACCCGATATATTGAGATCCAATCCAGACTTTTCCGGATCTGCCAATTGGGCACGATCTCTATTACGTCGTATAACATCTCCTATGGCTGCATTATCGAATGCATATTATTTGCCTAAAACGAGTCTATCTACTGATGCCAAGGCTCAATATGACCCGCTAGTTGCAGCCATAGAAGATTACATTACGCGTCAGCATAATGAATGGGTTGCTACTACATCCGCCAACCTTGCTGGTAAATTGGAAACTACGCTCATGTCTCGAAGCGGGGGTCCAGGATCGGCACTTGATGTCAAGTTTGATAAGAACTTGCTGAGGCTGTTTGCTGAAGTGCATTATTGGCAAAAGACAAAGAGTGATGTTGTGCCATTCCATTGCCAAGAACTTCATGGGAAGAGAGAAGAATTAAGAATTCTACGAGAGAACGTTCTGTTGGTACTTTGGCGATCGCTTTCCATTCTTTTGCGTCGCCAATCTAACGGTTTTGCTTTTAGGTGGTGAGAGACTACAATCTAGTAATGGAAACTCTCAGCCCTGAAGAGATGCTTCTCTTCCGTGAACGTATACGGCTCTTGGACAGGAAGATCAATCCTGGTTTAACGAGTCTCACTTGGGCATCAAAGAACATTACCGATTACTTTGTCAAAGAATGCCGTCGTGTCGGCGCCGAACTGCAAAAGACTGTAGCAGAATTCATTGATGCCAACCAGAAAATACGTCTCAACTGTAAACTCATTGCCGAGACATTATTGTGGAGGGTTGAAAGTAAACGCATCTATGAGATTGGTGAATTTGCCGCAGCTCAAGACCAGCATCGTATTATTGTGCGTGAGAAGCTCAAATCGGCACATGAATCTATAAGACAGACGCTCTTGTCTGTCTTTGAATTCTTCCGAAATGATGGAAGAGAAGTCATGGCACAATGGGCATACTTTGTTGCTCGTGTAGATAAAATGGTGGAAGAAGCATTACGTCTTACAGTCAAGAGATCGTTGCAAGACATTGGAAAGGTATGTTCAGCCACGTTTGTACTTTTCTGCGCAACTCAACGCCCAACCCATCTTATAGGCAATCAATGGTGAAGGCAAGAGCCGAGACTCTGCCGTCCAACCGCTCTTCAAAGTCAACGTATCTCTCGAGAATCAAAAAGTCGATTTCAGCCCAACACTTCAAAGACTGGAAGAAATTGTTTTGCGTGTTGCCAAAGATATGTTGATGGCAGTCAGTGTCGCTGGTCGATTCTCTCAATTGCTTGGTATAGATTCACCGTCCAAGATAATCACCACCCTAAATGATGAGTTGGCTAAAGATGAGGATATCTTGAAGATACTGTTGTCTATACAGAATGGAATGGCGAATAATGCTACCAAGAGTCAGGCACATTTGAGAGTGTGGGATGGATATAGGGAGATATGGGAGATTAATAAGGATGCTTTCATTCGAAGGTCTAGTTCAATTATGTATTTCCTTTTTTTCGCAAGTCTGTTTATCCCAACCACTTGTTAGATATGCGAAATTAAAACCTGCTCTTTCTACATTTGATGCTGATATTGGCCGATATGGTGAAGTTGCTAACAATATTCAAAAGGAGGTAAGATTTTTTGATAAACGCGTGGGTAACAAAAACAGAAATCATCTATCTTATGAATTGTCTCCATTTGTTTTCTTAGGAAACCTTGACAAACATCAACTTTGTTCGTCTGGATTCTTCGCCGCTCAAACATCAACTTGTGCTGCACTGTACAGCATGGTCGAACAAGCTCACGACTTTGTTGAAGACCAACATGATGACCGAGTTGACTGGTCTTCACCAGAAATTGTCAACCTCGTCAGATCGTTTACGACAAACTCCTGCAGATGTGGACGAGTTATCCGAGTCTATTAATCTATGCTCGCAATTGCGAGGTGAAATACCTGGCATTGAGGGTCAATTTGCACCTATACATGAACAATTCTCGATTCTGGAGAAGGTCTGTGATGGAATTTACGATGAGGTTTGACCTTCAGCTAATTCTTTTTGCTCGGCATAGTATGAGGTGCCTATATCAGATGAAGAGCGAGCCATGCTTGAGAGTCTGCATACGAGTTGGCTCAACTTCCAGCAAACATTGTCTGATGCTGAGCTCATGCTGCAAGAATATAAAGCCAAATTCAAGACCCAGCTATTGGCTTCTATTGAAGAATTTGGTAAACGTGTTGACGCTCTTCGAGAAGAGTTCACCACCAAAGGACCATTCTCATCAACGCTGGAAGTTGATCGAGCTCAAAAACTCATATCCGAATACCGTACTGCTGCTCAACAGGCAAAGACCCAAGACCAATTCCTTCGCAAAGGAATGGCAGTCTTCCATGTCGAGCATCGACCAGGTGCAGATATCGACGTACTAGTAGCGGATGTAGACAGATTACACGAAATCTGGGTGGGTCATGAAGAATGGCTGACTGCATGGACATCATGGAGTAATGAGCCATTGTCGAGTATGAACGTCTCTGGATTGGACGATACCATACAAAAGTTTACCAAACGGTTGGCGAAGCTTGCCAAAGACATTGCCGAATCACCAGAAGTATTAAGAACACTTCAGGAACGTGTAGCGCATGTTGCCAAGACCGTCCCTATCGTCAATGACTTGAAGAGTCCAGCGTTACGACCACGACATTGGGAACACCTCATCGAAGAAACTGGAAAAACATTCGATCCAGCATCTCCTGATTTCACACTAGCTAAAATCATGGCATTGGAATTCAATACTGATGTTGTATCCCAAGTTGCCATGTCTGCTGGTCAAGAATTGATTATAGAGGAAGGATTACAAGCCATTGACAATTCTTGGCGAAAGATGGATCTGACTATGGTGCCATTGAGGGATGAACGTAAACTTGGGTTTTATAAAATTCAGTCTACGGATGATATCACCCAGTTGGTTGAAGATCAACAAGTTAAATTGACTTCTATGAGAGGCTCTAAATATGTGACTCCTTTTGAGGAGCAGGTTGAGCATTGGGAGCAGTTGCTTGTTGAGACTGTTGATGCTGTTGAAGCATTGTTGAGTGTTCAAAAGTATGTAAATTATTTACAGTCCTGAGCTAGTCTGTCGGAAGGGAAGACTTGAATCGTTCTTACTGTCATATTTTTTAGCATGTGGCTGTATCTGGAGAGTATTTTCGCCACTGAAGACATCAAGAAACAGTTACCAAAAGAGACGGCATTCTTTGAGCAAGTGAATCGTACTTGGAAGGAAACATTAGGACAGATTGCTGGAAGTCGTAATGTCTTAAAGTGAGTCAACTCAACAAGGAACAGAAAGCTTTTTCGCTCGCAGTCTGACTTTTGGTGTTAGGGCAACCAAACTGCCAAATCTTAACAAGACCTTGCCAGAACTCCAAGCCAATATGGAAAAGATTCGCAAGTCATTGGACTTATATCTACATGGTAAGAAAAGAATCTCCAGAACGAAAATATGATGCGATGCTGACCCGTTTTTGGCCCTCCAGTCAAACGCACGGCCTTCCCTCGATTCTTCTTCTTGTCTTCAGAAGAATTGTTGGATATACTTGGCCAAGCAAAAGATCCGCAATCAGTCCAACCACATGTCCGTAAACTATTCGACAATGTAGTTGAGATTGAGTTTGTAGCAGCTGGCACAGATTCTCGCCGACATTACGAAATTGCTGGAATGAGGACAGGAGATGACGAGTATCTGCCATTAGCAGATCCTATTGTCATTGACTCTCCAGTCGAAACATGGTTGGATGACTTCACCAGTAAAATGCAGCTCACCTTACGTAACCTCATACCTGGTTGCATTGCAGCAAGTAAAAAGTTAAAGAGGGATAAATGGATTCGTGACTGGCCTGGACAAGTTGTATTAATGTCCGCTCTGATACTTTGGACATCAGAGACGTCTAAAGCTCTGCAAGACTCACAGAGTGGTGATAAGCCAGCTTTGAGAGAATTGAAAAAGCAACAAATGTCTGGTCTCAAGAAGCTTGCCGAGTTGGCCAAAGGCACTACAATGTCAGACCATGAACGAATCAAATGCCAGTCACTTATAACACTAGATTTGCATTCTCGAGATGTTACTGATATGCTCATCAAAAAGGCTACTGGCGCAGATCACTTCTCGTGGTTGAGCCAGATGCGGTTCTATTGGGAACGCTCCAATAATAACAATAATAGCTCATCAGAGTCTGGAGATCTAGTAATGAAACAAACTAATGCCCAATTCCAATATGGCTACGAAGTCACCAGTATACGTCGTCTAGTCTTGACACCTTTAACTGATCGGGCACTGCTCACCCTCACCAGTGCCTTGAGTTTAGCTCGTGGTGGTAGTTTACAAGGACCTGCTGGTATAGGCAAGACGGAAACCGTAAAAGAGTTGGGTCGTACTATGGGTAAATACGTACTAGTATATAATTGCTCCAAGGCTATGGATTATCGAACTCTCGCCAGAATATTTACCGGTCTTGTACAAACTGGTGCATGGGGCTGTTTTGATGAATTCAACCGTATTGAGCCAGAGATTTTGAGTATTATGACTAGTCAGGTAGCTTCTATACTACAAGCCGTGCGACGTCGATCCAAGACATTGATTTTGGACGGTCAGGAGATGTCCTTAGATTCGTCACTAGGAGTGTTTATCACGATGAATCCCAACTTTGCTGGCTGGAATGAATTGCCTGAAAGTCTAGCGGCTCTCTTCCGACCTGTAGCATTATTACTACCCGATAGTGCTTCTATAGCTGAAAACTTGCTTGTATCGCAAGGTTTCTCGAATTGCCATGCTCTGGCCAGTAAAATTGAATTGGCATTCAACGTAATGGCCCAGCAATTATCTTCTCAACGTCATTATGACTTTGGTCTCCGAGCGCTGACACGAGTAATTAAGGTTGCTGGTGAGAGGAGACGGCTGAATTCCAATCTCTCTGACGAAGTCGTAGTGTATACATCACTGCAAGAATGCAATGTGTCTAAACTAGTAGATGTCGACATACCCGCATTCTTGGCCATCCTGAAGGACATCTTCCCTGGTATTGAAGGGGCAGTCGACGATAATGTAGCTTTTGCTGCTGCCCTCAAATTAGAAATGTCAATCACAGAACTGCAATCTACGGGTAATCTCGCATTAAAGATTTCTCAGCTCTATGATACGAGAAATCATCGTCCTGGTATTGCCCTAATTGGTCAGACAGGTGCTGGCAAGTCGACGATATGGAGGACATTGATGAACACGCTAAATCGAATGGCTACAGCTTCTCCAAGTCAATTTAGTCCTATCCGTAGTCTGGTCATCAATCCCAAAATATATACAGTTAGTGACTTGTATGGCCGACTCAACCCGAACTCGAATGAATGGGAAGATGGATTGCTCTCGGGCTTATTGCGTCAAGTATGCCGATCAGAAAGTAACGAACACAAATGGGTGATATTAGATGGACCAGTGGACTCTACATGGGTCGAAAGTCTCAATACTGCTCTAGATGAAACCAGACTGTTGACCCTAAATAATGGTGAGCGTATTGTCATACCAGACCATGTCAAACTAGTATTCGAGACATCGGATTTGAATGCAGCATCTCCAGCTACCGTGAGTCGATGCTCTATAGTATATGTAAATAGTAACGAGGCCATGCCAAAACACTTTATGGCCACTTGGTTGGCCAGTCGACAAACCAGTAGTAATCCCAGTGAGACTCCTGTCTTGACTAAACTAGTAGAAAAGTGGTTTGAAAAATGTCTCAAGTTCTGGAAGTCTGTAGCTGCTGAGGACGCTATACATCATAATGTGCTGATGATGGTCAAGACCTTCTCACAGCTCCTTCAATCTCTCATCACTAAAGAAAATGGTGTTGATGCAGAAGATGCTGAGGGATATACACATATGCTTGAACTATGGTTCTTGTTTGCTGTGATCTGGTCGTTTGGTAGTCCACTCAAGGGAGAAGGTCGTCGACGATTTGATACCTTTGTTAGAGATCTAGAGGGACAGTTCCCACCCAAGGATACAGTCTTTGATTATTATGTGTCTTTGGAGAAGAGGGGATGGGCAGGTTGGGATGAAAAATTGCCAGCTACTTGGAAATTCCCTGCTGGTACTCCATTCCACAAGCTGTTTGTTCCAGTAAGTTGTTAAAGTTTGCAATTAGGCTTGGTGCCTTGTGTTTTTTTTTGCTAATACCTGATTTTATCGTAGACCGTCGAGACGGTTCGTAATGAATTCTTAGTCCATGCTCTCATACGGTCCTCGTCTCCTATCTTGCTTGCTGGTCACATTGGGTGTGGCAAGTCTGCAATTATATCCAGTGCCATAAAGTCGAATACCGTTAATACCACCATCCTACATTCGCACTTGTCTGCAACCTCCACAGCTGCTGGGCTGCAAAGCTTGTTGGAGTCAAAAGTAGAACGTCGACACAAGAATGTGTTTGGTCCGCCAAACAGTAAATTGACCTTCTTGGTTGAAGATTTGAATCTTCCACGAGCTGGTCGATTTGGGGCTCAGCCTCCTCTGGAATGGATTCGACATCTCTTAACATACGGTGAATTATATGAGCCACGCAAACAGTCGTCTAAACAAATTGTCGATGTTTTGGTAATGGGTTGCACCACTGTCGGAGGATTCGGTACCCAAATCAGTCCACGAGTGCAAGCTGCATTCAATCTCCTGCATATTCCTGAACCGACAAACGCTAATATTCAAAGAATCATGGGATTGTCGATGGGACAATTGCTTCAGGACTTTGAAGAGACAATAAAACCATTAGGCGAGACACTCACTTTGTCTACCGTTGAATTATACCGTAGTATCGCAGCCAAGTTGCTACCGACACCTGCCAAAGTACACTATCTGTTTAATCTGCGGGATGTCATGATGGTATTGCAAGGTCTGATGAGAGCTCGATCAGAATATTATGACTCGCCAGATTCTCTAGTACGCCTCTGGACTCATGAAGTGTCGCGTGTCTTTGGAGATCGTCTTGTATGTAGAGAAGACAAGGAAGCATTTGAACAAATTCTTGATAGTCGACTACAAACCCATATGAATGTGTCGCTGAAACAATTGTGTAGCGAGGAAGGTCATTTACCAATGTTTGGAGATATTCTAGATACCAGTGAAAAGCCAGTTTATGAAGAGATTACGGACTTGGTTGGTCTCAAGGCCTTCTTGGAGAAGAAGCTGGTGGAAAGAAATGGGGAAACTGGCAACCTTCCAGTCGACATTGTCTTCTTCCGTGATGCTATCGAGCACATAACGCGATTGACTCGTATTCTCCGATTACCAGGAGGTAATGCCTTGTTGGTTGGTGTTGGAGGTAGTGGTCGTCAGAGTCTAGCACGTTTAGCCGCTTTCTTATTGGATATGCGTGTGTATCAGTTACGATGCACGCAAAAGTTTACTCATGCTGACTTCCGGGATGACTTGAAGGCACTGTTTAAGCGAGCAGCACTCGAAAACCAGAAGATACTTATATTGTCCACCGATGGAGACTTGATGTTTAGCTCCGCAGCTGTATCCGAGGGCGCACCGCCAGTATCTGATCTCATTCTCGATGACTTGGTGAATATTCTTAATAGTGGTCGTGTCTTTGGCTTGTTTAGTGATGAAGAGCTCTCTGAAATGAAGAGAAACCTCAAGACCAATAAAACCGTCAGCGCCGAGGGTACAGATGTGCTGAATGTCTTGCGGCATAATGCTAGAGCGAATCTGCACTTGGCTCTGTGTATGACTCCATCTGGTGGTGTGTTCCGTAGATGTATCCAAGACTTCCCTGCCTTGATGCATTCTTGCGTCATGGACTACTTTTGGAGTTGGAACACTGTAGCGCTAGAAGAAGTAGCTACGCAAAGGCTTAAAGATATATGTAATGAGCCCGAAGGAAAAGTGGTTATGGGTGCTCTTGTTGCTAGTCACTTAACTGCAGTCGAGCAAGCCGAGAAGAGTAGTAGTGAGACTGGCAAGGCGAACTTCATAACGCCCAGTCACTACCTTGATTTGCTGAGAAACTACAAGACTCTTATAGTAGATGGCCGCGAAAGAATTAGCACTGCCGTCTCGCGCCTAAAGACTGGTCTGAGTAAATTAGACGAAACTCAAAAGGCAGTCGAAGTCATAACTGTAGAACTAGCCACCACCAAAAAGCATATTGCAGATTTCTCACGACAATGTGAACAAACTTTGGTCACCATCGTCAGTAATAGTCGTGAAGCGGATGAAACTGCCAAGGTTGTCGCTGCAAAGGCTGAAAAGCTGGGCGCAGAAGAAGAAGAGGTCATGATTCTGGCCGATGCTGCTCAAGCTGATTTAGACCAAGCTGTGCCAGCTCTTCATTCTGCCGAAGAGGCTTTGAATGGCATCACCAAGAAGGATTTGACTGAACTCAAGTCGTTTGCAAAACCTACGCCAGCTGTTGTATCAGGTAAATGACTTTCAATATTGGACTTCTTTCGATGATCTCCTCATCCTTATTACTATAGTCATGGAGGCTGTGATGACCTTATTCAAGAAGGAACCAACTTGGGAAGAAGCTAAACGACAGCTTGGAGATCTCAAGTTCTTGCAGAATGTGATACAATTTGACCGTGATAATATTTCAGGTGAAATTCGACAGCTGAATGTTGGTGTCCGTTTTGTTCTCTTACCGCTTTGTTTTTAGATAAAATCTTGCGTCGAATTACGCAGTATATCGGTGACGAGAACTTCCAACCTGACATTGTTGGACGAGCTTCAGGCGCTGCGAAAGGTCTTTGTCTGTGGGTTAGAGCCATGGAAACGTATGGTCAGATATTCCGTCAAGTGGGTCCAAAGAAGGAAAAGTTGAGGCAACTGCAAGACCAGCTCGAGAAGAAACGAAAGAGTTTACAAGAAGCCAAATCTAAATACACTGAAACTCAAGAGAGATTGGCGGAGCTCAAAGTTCAGTACGAAGAGAAGCTAGCTCTCAAAGAAAAACTGAAGCAAGAATCCAGCTTGACGGAGCAACGCCTAGTCCGTGCGGAACAATTAGTCAGTGGTCTAGCTAATGAGAGATCACGCTGGGAGAAAGTCATTGTCTCCCATGAAGAGACTCTAGCTCGAATAACTGGTCATACCGTCTTGGCCTCCGTATTCTTGTCATATGCAGCAAACTTCTCTGCAGTCTACCGCGAAAGTCTGCTTAAGACGATACGAACCACTCATTTAGAGAGCCATGATATCGCCGTATCTCCTCAGTTCTCTGTAGTGGACTTTTTGAGTCATGAGAATGAGACACGACAATGGCGACTGAATGATCTACCTCCTGATAGCTTTGCCACTGAAAACGCTGTGCTAGTCACTCGAAGCAGCAGGTGGCCTCTAATAATAGACCCTCACGGACAAGGAACCAGATGGTTAGTCAACACCCATGGAGGTGATAAGAACAGCAGCTCAACATCAAAGACATGTAGAGTACTAGGTGCTAGTCAGGCCAACTTTTTAGTATCGCTTGAAAGCGCCATTCAGGCCGGTATTCCTACAATAGTAACAGGTGTAACAGAGCAAGTAGACCATGCACTCGATGCTCTTTTGAGCAAGAGTATTTTCGAACGTGATGGCAAACCCTTCATCCAGCTTGGCCAGAAAGCAGTCCCATATAATCGAAACTTTAAGCTGTACTTTGTTACGAGCTTGTCAAACCCCATGCTGACGCCGGAATTATTTGCTAAGCTCACCATAGTAGATTTCGCGGTGACTGATGCTGGCGTACAGGAGCATCTCTTGGGCAGTATCATTCAAATAGAGCAACAAGATTTGGAAGATCAGAAGAGCTCTTTGGCAACTGCTATGGCCTCTGCGAGGGTCAAACTAGTTCAATTGGAGGACGAGATTCTTAGATTGCTAGGATCATCGCATGGCTCCCTATTAGAAGACGAACAGCTAGTTAGCGCTTTACAGACTTCAAAGTCTACCAGTGAAGAAATTGGTCGGCAATTGAGCTCCAGTGAGCTGACGGCCAAGAGAGTCGATGCAGCACGTAAAGTATACCAGCCTTGTGCCCACCGTGCCACTATATTATTCTTCGTCATGGCCCGCTTTGCCGAGGTCAACCCAGTATACTACACTTCCATGGACACATATGTTGAATTGATGCAGCATTCTCTTGGCAAGGGCAAACGTAGTGAAGACATTAACGACCGAATAGCAGCCATGAACGAGAACCATACCTTCGCTGTCTATAAGTATATGTGCCGAGTACTGTTTGAAGAGCACAAAATGCTCTTTGCCTTCCAACTCGCTGTCAGTGTATTGAACTCTAGTGGGAAGCTCAATATGGAAGAGTACTCCACCTTATTCAAAAAACCAGAGGCATCTGTAGGAGACGAAGAAGCTCCACCGCCGAATGCTTGTCAAGAATGGCTAGATGACGATTCTTGGTCTAGGATCATCCATCTCAATAAATTGCAAGCACTGTCAGGTCTCTTAGGATCGGTCGAGCAGAACGAACGAGAGTGGAATCTGTGGTATGTGTCTGCAGAGCCAGAAAAGATCCCCCTCCCCGGTGAATGGGAAAATAAAGCCAATGAGCTACAGCGTATCCTCATAATCCGTGCTATAAGACCTGATCGATTCTTGTCGTGTGCAGCAAACTTTGTAAAAGTTAACTTGGGCCAAAAGTTTGTCGAACGCACAGCAGAGTCTGACGACTTTTATTTGGACTCTTCAGCTCTTAAACCCCTCATTTTCATCCTTGGCTCGGGTGCCGACTTTGCTCCCATGATGACCGACTTGATGAAAAAGCATAATATGACCGATAAAACAGTCCAGGTATCACTCGGCTACTCACAGCTATCCATGGCCACTAAATTGCTTCAAGAGGCTGCTCTGAATGGGCAATGGTTGCTCTTGGAAAATTGTCCCATGCTAGGAGATTGGCAGCTACTCTTCGAACAATTCTGGGAACGTTTGGCGGTTGAACCGCCATCACCCTCATTCAGACTCTTCTTGACTGTCCAATTCAATCAGACAATTCCTCGCTGGCTGCATAACCAGTCGGTCAAAGTGGTATTGGAGCAACCTAAGGGTGTAAAGGCACATTTGACTCGTCTCATGCGTCGTATGTCAGAGGTATGTCTTGTTAAAATGAGGAACACATTGTTCTTGCATGCCAAAGCGGCAATTTTTTTTGTTGAATCTGATCATTCGTTGAATTTAGGATGAGGTGAAGAGCTCGCCAAATCCTACTGCATACAGGCGACTTTTGTTTGCCTTGTGCTTCTTCCATGGTATCATAATGGAACGTAAACGATTTAGAAATCTAGGTTGGAACATGATGCCCGACTTTAACGGATCAGACTATGATGTGTGTGCTCAAGTACTCGCCACGTGCTTCGATGCCGATGGTGCTCCCCGATTTGATCTCTTGCGTCATTTGATTGCTGATACGCATTATGGAGGGCATTTGAGTGACGAATGGGATAAGCGTCTACTCCGTAGCTACTGTAATGTGCTGTTCTGTGAGGCTGCACTCAGCACACCAGAGTATCACTTCTCAGCTTCAGAAACGTACTGTCTGCCCGATGTGACGGACTCTCATGGCTTGCGTGAATACGTTGCCTTGCTACCGTCAGTAGATGCCGTCGAATTGTTTGGACAAAATAGTAACGCCGATGTAGTTAGCAAAACAGACGAAGCCGATCACTTTTTGAATGCTCTACAGATAATGGATAAACAGCAGGTCGGCGATGTGGATGGTGGTCGAGAGGCGCAGATATTGGCACTCGCTTCGAGTTTATTGAATCGTGTCCCGGTCGCAATCAAGACAGCATCACCAACAGCTTCCCAGTCAGCATTACACAATGGAACTTCTTTCGCGGCTGTTATAGAACAAGAATCCGGCTGTTACAATGAGCTATTACAACGTATTAGACTGTCACTCTTGCAAGTGCAACATGCTATACAAGGCACCACTATAATGACGCCGGCACTGGATTTGATTATCGAAGCCTTGTTTGAAAACAGAGTACCAGATGCTTGGGCTGTATATCTGTCTCAAAAGACTTTGAATGCATGGATACAAGATTTGCTACTACGTGTAGAGTTCTTTAATGAGTGGATTGCCAAGTAAGGATATTGTAGGCTTCAGTAACTCACAGCTGTCTCTTTAACACTCACCTCCTCGTTTTAACAAGGGGTGATCCGAAGACATTCTGGTTGGGAGCATTTACTCATCCTGGTGGTTTCTTGACCGCCGTTTTGCAAAGAAGCTCCCGCTTCAGTAACATTCCGTTGGACAAATTGCAATTGGAGATATCTGTAATGCACGAAGAATCAGAGGATAGCTCACAGGTGATCCAAGCTGCCGATGGTGTACTGCTTCGTGGAGTGTACTTGGAAGGAGCTAGGTTTGTGTCAATGTTGAAAATATACTCTTCTTGTCGAGCTGACATGCTAACTCCTTCACTCAATGTAGCTGGGATCGTAAAAACAATTGCTTATGTGATTCCAGGCCTATGGAATCGTACACTCAATTGCCGATCTTGTATGCTCATGTGGTTCAGGAAAAGAAGAAGGTATTGTCAGTGGTGTGGCAGCCCTCAAGTATTAACGAAGCGGTATCATTTTCTCATTTTCACCCTTGTTCACTCTCTAGCATCCTAAGGGCATGTTCCTATGTCCTGTATTTAGTGCCTTCCGGGAAACTCGGGCTGAACAGCCCTTCACTCTCACATTAAAGTGCGGTTCCAATGATTCTGAATTCTATGTCAAAAGAGGTTGTGGTGCTCTGCTGACTCAACCTCGATGAGCCGTCTCGTTGTAAACTGGGTTGTTGCTTGTACCATGATACTGTAAATAGAAAACGATAGTAGAGAAACTCAGGCGGACAAACTTTGTGACAAATGAGCTATGTTCTTATTGATGCTGTGGGTTGATTATTATATAGTGGCGTGCGATCTCCACACTTCATCTGCAAAACATGCAATACACCAAGAGCAGCAAATAGGAAAGGAGCCACGGCGATAATATAGACTCTGCTTCTTGATGTATATACAAGCTTGTAAAGCGACTTTATAGGTCTTGAGCAAAGATTCAGTTGACAAAATATGCCGAACCCGTTTCACATAAAAGATGTCTATCAAGCTGAAATCACGGTCGGCTGTTATACTGCCATAACAGCACTAGCCGGCTCCTCAACCCAGACTCAGTCTTAACTTCCCAACTCTCACACTTCGACGACTCTCTTCCATCCTTCAAAGCAAAAGGCCTTGTTTTAGAATGAACGAACGAAGAAATGGAATTTTCTTTTATATCTTTCAATCCAAATTCCCTGCTGGCCCACATTACTGAGAGTCTTAGTCCTTACTACAGCAGCTGTAGTTGGCATTGTTACGAATGAGGAATGAGGGAACAGACGAAAAGCAAAGCACCAAAGCTTGACCTCCAAGGGGCTTGACCTAATCTGCATTACATTTTGATACATATTGCGAGTCGATGAAACCGAAATTACATGTTCAATCGATATGAATTAATGAATTCCAGTACATCAACCACAAATTAATTCAACATTGCCGCACTTGCGAAAAGGACAATGAAGGACTAGATAATACCCCAGGTCAGCACGATTTCCTAGTGCCATTGCATCCTAGCATGCCAGCTGATGCAGAGTGTTGTTATCTTCCAACGCTGAGTTAGCAAACCGCTGAACGAGAAAAATCCAAACAACTTCAACGTGAGTTCAGCCTTGTGTATATACGTATATGTTGACGATTTCTGCACATTACTCATTTATTTTCATTATTTAGTGGTTGCGATCTATTTCTACTCATTGAGCTGGCATAACAATGCAACACCTCTTGAAATCCAATAGTCAGAGGGTTGAGTGGATGGCAGTTCAACTGCTATAATAAAGTTGGTCGAAGCTCCTGTTGTCGATAGTGTACCAGCTCGAGCAGATGTCTTATATAGCGGAGCTAAATATATTCCGGGCTTGTCTCTGACAATTTTAGTGACTTCGGTAGGAATGAAGCGAATTGGAGGCATTTGCTGCAAAGATTTATGGTGAGTCTCGAATCTTCTTCAAATCGGCCGGTTCAAATTGAATTCCAAAAACTTACTGCGAACATTTCCATCGTGAAAGAGTCCTGAATGCACTTCTTATTAGCATCCCATCGTCCACCTTCAATATAGAGACCATGAACAAGAACACCATCCATTTCACTCGTATCTTCAGTGCCATCACTGCTCATGACTTCATATGTAAACGATAAAGAATCAATCGGCAGATTATACTTTCTAGAGTGCGCCTGTAGTACACCAGTCAAGAAGCCTTGAGGGAAGAAGACTCCAGACAGCCAGAAGGACTTCGGTTGGCCCGTGTTGAGCCAATCACGTAATGCGATGACTCTCATAGCCAGATCCTTAACCCACGACGATAACGGTTTCAAGCTTGGATATGCTACCCGTTCCCATGCCTTTGGTACTTCATTTTGCAGCAGACTTTTGAAGACGGCGTCAAGTTCAGCACTCATAACAACTAGACCTTTTATGGCTTTCATTAGCAAATCCAACGAGGTTCTCACGGTAGCAAGTAGTCGATTGAATCTAGCTGATTCTTGAACCAATACGGTGCTTAGAGGGTTGATCATTCGACCAGTCTCGTCCTTCAAGTACAGGTGAATACGGGAAGCTGCTTCTTCTGATGTCAGTTCTTCACTGTGTTCGATTACCAGGGCGGATGGTAAGTCCTGCATAATGGCGTTTGCTAAATCATGTACTAATTCTTCACTAGATTTACCCAAGCCACCAGTTACAAGTCTCGGTTGAACTTCGACTAAAGTACGGATCAATCTGCGGGCTTCTTGCATTTGGTATGAGATGTTGGCATTCTCGTGCATACCAAATACAGATGGATCTTCGGTAAATGGAAGTGCGTCAATAAAGGCCCGGAATGATGCCAAATCACCATCTGGAGGAGCAAAGTATATTCCTGACGACGTGAATCGGTGCTTGTCATCTAGTATGGCTAAATTATAGTACTTTCCGAGAAGCGACATTACTGTCCGTCGATCCCATTCATCGGTGACTCGACCACCAAACGTGATTTCTCCCGTTAGATACGTCAATGCAGCCCACGGAATGTTCTTTTGTTCTGCCAGAGCATTCTTTAAGATGGTCATGGAGACAGTCAAGTCAGACTCACTCCAGTCATAATTTATGTTCCAGCCCAATGGACCAAATCGTTTACGTTCGTGTATCACGGCACTAAAGAAGCATAGACCAAACAACAGCTTCTTGAATATCGTTCCTTGTGGTGGTCTCTCGTCAAAAACGTCCCTAGGAATATCTGCAAAGCTACGTGCTATATTAGATCGAAGACCTTTGGGTGGCTCGTTGGTAAGTTTCACACTCTCTTGCAATATGGTGGCTGGGAAGACCCTTGAAGGCATAGATGAGAGGAAGAGACGGAAATTTCCATTTACATTACTAGACTCTGATAGTTCCTTGACTAGCTGTTCAAGACGAGTCATCCATGAGGCTGCCAAGTGACAATTTTGCAAGAAGAGCCAGTCGCCGTTAATACTAGCCTTCTTCACTAATTCTTCGGCAATAGGACCCTGTCCTTGACCTAGAGATATCATATGTAGGCGGTCTTGCATATTAAAGTCTTTTGACGACGCCAATTTCATCAGTGACGAAATCGGATCAGATCCTGGAGACAAGACGAATACCATAGGTGTAGCAGCGGACATGTCTTTATAAGCCTTTACCATATCGAGGGGCGGAGAGCCAATATAAGATTCACCCAGGTTTGCTCCGATAAAGTCGGATGACGAGACTACCAACTTCTCCTCCCGCAATACCTTTACAACGAGAAGCCTTTGGAAGCTAGACAATGGCTTACCAACACTGCCGTCACCCGGAATCAAGCTGCGGAATGGTGTGTCTGATTCGACAAATCCTTCCCACTCAACTGGATAAGTGTTGATATGCTCTGGTAAGTACGACAATGCTGGAATGGTTTGAGACAGTTCGATACAGTTGCGCCACATGGTTAGAGTCAACCATTTAGCTGCTGGCTTTACTGGCAAGTCTGATTCTCTTACTGTGTTACCACCACGTAAGAAAAAGTTCCATTCGACCTCCGAGATGAGTCCAGCTTGACGACATATATGGACACAAATGGAGAAGGAGAATATCATCTTGTGTTGTTCGAATAGACCTCTCGAGACACTATTATAGATGGTGCTGACTATGTTGGTGCAGAGCACACTAATTCGTTGTTGAAGATCTGGCTGTTTCTCACTCTCCTTGATACACAAGCAAAATACAGCCTTGAAGAAGGATAGCGAGAATTGATACATGATGTCAATTTCAGCTAAATCTGCTACAGTGAAGTACAGGACCGAGCCTCGAATAGCGACTGGTCGATATTCTTCACGGGCAGTATTGATTTGCCGTTCAGTCTGCTCAGCTTCTTTGACACGCTGCATAATAGCGGACGAAGTGACTTTTGATTGGTTGAGAGTGTTTATAAGCTCCTCATCGTCAAGAATGTTTCCTTGTGAGTTAAAAAGCAACCTCAATATTTTGTCTTCTATATCTGAAAGTTGCTTCTTATCTGCAACAATATTCATAATCAAGGTGTTGCGCTGCTCTTCAAGATCTGGTCGTTCAAGCTTGACGACATCAGCCAGTAACTGCCCCTCCAGACCGACCTTGGTGACTGTAAAGTTGATGAGAGTGACTTTAATACAGACTTCGGGCAAATAGTGAGGGTTCGATAGTTTGGTTGTTATCTAATGTTTGGAATTGAGTCAGTGGGTAAGCGTTCACAAAATATGAAATGCACACACGTACGTAGAGTTTGAAGTTTCGGTCATAGTCAACTTGAGTATCGCCGAGTTTAATGAGTAGACGACCTCCTTGTCTGACAGTCTGCTTCAACAACAGTGGTTCCAACGCTGGATCTAGAGTTTCACCAACATCTTCCATCAATACAGACTGTCCAGTACGAACAGCATTTTCTAATGCTCGTAAGAACTTGGGATCGTTGAGTTTGATTACTTTCAGATCATTTCCAGCCATATTACGAATCCATTTATTGGCTTGACCCTGTGGATCGATCATTAAAGGCCACTTGCGACCTCGAGTGACTAGGATACCGTTTTCCATAGATAAGTTGTCGGATGGCAGACCGCTCATAGTCCATTCACGCAACATTGCCGGATCCGCGAGATTTTCCAGCAATGAGAATGACGGAGAGACATTTATACCGACATCCTGACTGAATTTAATCCAAAGAGCAACCAATTCAGCACGGTAGCTAGATGTAAAGGCACCAAAATATGCGACACAAGCAGCACCCAAAAACATATTGCCTGTCAATGCTTCTATCTGTGCCGTCAAGTTTTCGACTGAAGCCGCCCAACGAGTTTGTTCGTCGGCAAGAGCAGTCACCAATTTGCCAGCTCGAGTAAGTTTCTTGGTAGTATCTTCTGCCTTCTCAGATAGAATACGTTTACTGGCTACGGAATTTTCGTACGTGCTCTTAAGTTGGTTGAGCTGATCCTCAACTTCTCGGAGAGCTGCAGTCTTCTCAGCAAGCTTGGCTCTAGTGGCCTCCAATGCTGACGTAGCTTCTTCGAGCCTCTTACGTTTAGGAGCAACTTCTTTGAATACTCGAGAATACAGCTCCATAGCACAGACCCACATACATAGAGACTTGCAAGCTTTGGAAACCCTTTCGACGGCTTCCGGAGTAAAGGTGGGATTGGCGATGTATTTGCCAAGCTTCTTCATTATCGGTTCAGGAATGTTGTCCTATAAGTTGGATTGAATCAGCGACTCTTCACTGTTGAAAACCAGAGTACATCTCTCTAACCCAATACCTTGTCATATTCCATCATCTTCTTCATGAACTGCGAGTCACTGAGAAGCTTCTTGGAGTTATCCCAATCTGGTTTTACTTTAAAGAGGGTACAGATAGCTTCCATAACCATCATGACTGCGTCAGGAGGCTTCGTGAAGACTTTCAATTCAGCAATATCTTTTTTATCCAACGCATCCAGAGCTTTGTATGCAGACTCCAGGGCCGGAACGGCTTGGTCCAAATCTCGTTGAGCTTCGTCTGCAATGGCTTGTGTTGCTACAGCCTTGTCACGGACAATCATCTCTTCTTCGGCGACAACACGTCTTACACCATCAGCAGCTTCCTGATCTTTTGCGATCTTAATCATAAGCACTTCTACATCAAGAGCGCTCTGTTTAAGCTGTGGGCCAAGACGTTCGAGTTCAAGTTGCATGTTTGCAACCAACTCGTTTGTTTCAGTCAGTTTTCTCAGACCAGACTGTAGACGATCTCTAGCAACTCCGAGTTCTTTACGTTTCTCTTGTAACATGGAGACGTAAAGATTAATAAGCTCTAAGTACGAAGTTGGAGTGGTATAGTATTTGCGTTTTAGTTCAGCGTAGAACCGTTTAGCCATTTCACCAACAGAGGAGTGGACTTCCACACACAAGGCTGCAATCTGAAGGAAAAGAAGGTTAGTATTCCGTCGGAAATAGGAAAATTCCAGTCCTCACTTTGTCTTTGGCTTCGTCAGATCCAACATCAACGAACTCCAAGAAACGACGAGACACCGATAGCAAGGCATCCCGAGGCCATTCATCAAACCAGTCAATAGTACAGCAATTTACAAGTGACGGGAACATACGACAACGGTTCCTAAAAGTGTCACCCACAGGACTTGTGGCAAAGACGATGTGGAGATTATCCCTGACACGGCTGATAAAGAATCGTTGCACTGAATCTCGATCTTCGGGTAATCCTTGGTCACGAGCTACAGGTCGAAGTTCTCCAAGAATCTTTTCTCGTTCGTCAAATTCAAAGAGGTTGGGTACCTCGCCCGAATTCAAAATTGCTATAAATTGTGCATGTCAGCTAGGCCGACAATAGGTAAATATGGCGGAGATCTTACCATTGATGTCTTCAAGGAAACTCTCTTGTTTGAGCTGAGTGTCTGAGAGGAGGAAGACTGTGTTTTTTCCGGCCACACCAGCCAAGCGATATAGTTTCTTCAAGTCCTCTCGCCATTCTTCAACTCCATAAGACCTTGTGAGTTCGACTTGGAAACAAGTAAAGTCGGCAGTATGACAAGCCAGACGAGTCAAGCTCTGCTTTCCAGTACCCCCAACCCCAACTAATAGAGCATTCCCACGAGGTTGACGAAGAATACGTGATATTCTAGCTACATGCTGCTGTGCGTCGGCAAAGAAGATGAGACGAGCTTCTTTAGAGTATGTAACATTATAATCTTCCAGATACTCTTCTAGCAAAGCTCCGATAGCTTTGGACTCTGGTAATTCAATATAGAGGCGGTCTTCGGCTGGTACTCCTCGTTTCATAAAGTCTCCAAAGAGGACTTCCTTGATATTTAAGTCGTCTCGTCGTACACTAAAGTTCTTTTCGACAGTTTCCAAAAGCACCTCATTGAAGTAGGTACGATCGGCTTCGTCAATAAGACGATCATGGAATATACGACTAGTTTCGTGACATAGCAACTTTACTACTTCTACTTTGGTATGAATGGTACTAGGTCTGACTTGCAGTACACCTTGAATGACTTTGGACAAGTCTCGCAAGTTGAAGGTGTAGTGTGACTTGGCTGGGGTAGGCAACAGTTCCTTACACATACGTTGGTAGATCTCGATATTGGAGTTTACTATCGGTTCTCCTAGAGGACGTATATCGGCAGAGAAGGGTCTCAAGAAACCATCTACTATAGATCTGAAAATCTTTGATAGCGACATCTCACTAGGTGCTGGAATATTAAAGAGATTGAAATGACGGACAAATCGTGCTGTTAGCTGATTACGTCCACCACCAGGTGGGGCACAAGCTGCTACTACTATGACATCTTGAATGACCTTCCAGAATAGCTTTTCTCGATCATACATTCCACCAAAGTCTAGATACTGTCGTAGCAATTCAATTACTGGCTGAGCACCGTATGTATCGGGCCGTGGCATATTCACATCATCAACAAAGAAAATCAATTTCTTGATGCCAGTTGGTGGACCCATAATGTTCTTGCGTTTCTTTTCAAGCTTCAGCTCCAAAATCTAGAGATATCAAACGTTTAAGCAAGCAATGACTGATGTGTACTAAGTGAACCAAAAAGGCTTACCTGCTGGGTACTAGCTGAACCAGTCTGAGCTGAAAAGTTGACGGGTACAACACCATAGCCTTTATCCTTTCCGAACCTGTTGAAGGTGTCTTGTACAATCACGGATTTTCCAACACCAGTATTACCACCAATCATTACAGGGAATCCATTTCCAACCAGAGTCTCCAGAAAGTAACTATACTTGACTGTATCCTGAGTAGGCACAATCATTTGGAAGTATGGAATATTCATCTCATATTTAAATGGTGCAACGAGATCGTCCCATGGTGTAAAGCACGTTCGTTTGACATCTACAAAGTAGCCAAACAGGGTTGACGTGTTGGCCGGCAGTAGTACTTCAGCAGAGATGGGTTCAGCTTCAAACAAATCTCGCGCAAAGGTATCAAATGCATCTTGGAACCCATCAGCTAAATTACCACCAAGACCCCATACATAACAAAATATGAATACATGACCCAGTAGCGTAAAGAGACTATTGGCTGGCGGTGGCTGCGTAAAATCGATTTCGGTGGTTCTGGCACAGAAGGTCTCAATCAATCGACATACACTGGCGACTAGATTTAGATTGATGGACCTGACATATTCTTTACAGTGCGTTCGCACAAATTGTAACCCTCGGTCCATATACGTCTCGAAGAGTTTTGAGAAGAATTCTTTGAAGTCGTCTCTTACGATATTAGGTAGTTTGCGCAACCACGTTTTGACGTATGGCCGCCATCCTAAATCTACCGGATCCATGTACACCATACCACAACGAGATACTGTGGCAGGTGAAGCGACCGCTAAATCTGCTACTTCGAACAGCATGTGCATCATGGGTGTCATTTTTATCCGCTCACTGTTGGCCAAACAGAGAAGCTTGTTATCGTCTAACACAGTGTTCATGTTTTCGATCCAGAGAGCATCTACTGGACCGTCACAAACAGTCCAGTTCTCCGCATTGGTCTTGTCACTGACGTGCTCTCTGAAGACAATACCAATCAGACCATCAGTCCACTCCATAGTAGTGAGATTGAACTCTCCGTACAGCTCAGCCATACTCAGACACTGTCAGAGAATAAATTTGATGTTAGCACTGTTTTCGCTTTTTTCGGCGAAAAAAGGATGATATACCTTGGGATTGAGTACAGATGTCTTGACGTCTGAGAACAGATTTGGATTCTTCTTTGCAAGGCGGGTCATGGCTTCCTGTAGTATCTGGTAACATGTCGTTTTACCACCCCCAGTTGGTCCAACAAGCATAACACCATGACGGATTCGAGTAGTTTCGTACAATTGACATACTCTTTTAACAAACGCTTCGGTAGGTTCAAGATTAAGATCTTTCAGAGCTTGAATACTGGCTTGTACGAGCTCTTCAGAACTCTTGTCTGGAGCAGTGAGACCAGGGAAGAGATCAGACAATATACCACTAAATAGCGGTACGTCTTCTGCCAAAAACTTCGGTAGATTGGAATCTCGTAAGGCTCGTATCAATACTATATCCTCGGATTGTTCGGGACTAGCTCGTTTCAGACCTCCGGCCATAGTCAGCACCGATTTCACTGCACGCATACCAAAATCGTAGTGGTCTTGTTGTGACAATTGCTCTGAACATAACTTGTATAGATTTACTACTTTGCCGGCGAGCACTTTGGCATTCTCAAAGCCTTCAGAGAAGAGCATGATTTCTGCAATGAGACCATAATCTAAAAAAGGCAGGTGGCGTCAGAACATTCGTGTCAAAAAATGGTAGGAAAGAACGTAGCATACCTGGTATCATCATGGAAATAGGTCTGAACAATGCCTTCAAGTTGTCAGGCAGTTCCGTACGACCAGCATAACCAGGATTCATGGTAATAAAGGCAGCACATGTATCAATCAATCGAATTTCACGTCCTTCGAAATTGAATCTTGACATGCGTCCATCTTTGGCTGCTTTTATAGTCAACAATTGTTGAGCAATGACCGACAAGACTTCGATGTCAATACGATTAAATTCGTCGAAACAACACCATGCTCCGGATTGAGCCAGTCCAGCAAACATTTTGCCCATCATCTTGTAATCTAAACTGTCTGAACAGTTGAAGACCACACACTGCCGAGCCAATGCCTTTGCTAAATCCTTGACCGTTTCGGTTTTACCAGTTCCAGCTGGTCCAACTGGCGAACCTCCCAAGTTCAGCTGAAGTGCACTTGTAAGAGTCAGGTAACACCTATAGAAGGCAAAATACGTTAGCGCATGAAACAGTCAACATCGGCAATGCTGATATTTCACCTATCAGTCAACGGAGTGATGACCAATCTAGGCGAACAACCAAGATATTCATAGCCATAGTTAAACGTGGAGGATGACATTTGAATCTGAATGGCATCAGCCTCTGCATCCCACAAATATCTAAGCTGCTTGGTCCATTCGAAATCATATGGACCGCTGAGTTTAGAATTTATCATTCCTTGAATAATGTCACGATTATGGACATCGATGGTGATCAAGGCCCCCAGAATAGCTCTTTGCAACTTGTTCAAGTCACCTCGTACAAGTGCAGCCAGCTGAGCCAAGTTCTAAGGGGGATCGTTGAGAAAAGAGGTAAGCTCTCGTAGACTTCAAGTGTTATCTGGCTGATACGATTGAGCAGTACCTTTATAGACAAGTCTTTCATTCCAAGAAGAGCCTTTTGCGGTTGATCAGCTCGAGCACACATCTCAGTGTCTTTAGTCCACATTACTTGATTGCCAGCCAATACAACCTGTCCAGCATGTTGCAACACCCATTCACCACGTTTGGCAGGTGAATAATCAGCAAGTGCATTCTTGACAAGCTTCCTCAATACAGCAACCATAGCTTCTTCCACAGATCCCAGCCATCCTTCAACATTACCACGAGCTTTGATGGCTTTGGTGAATGGTATGCGTTCACCTTCAGGAGATATCATGGCGATAATCTCCATAGATCTCAAATCAGCAGATGAGAAGTCCAAGGATTTAATGGCATCAAAACATTTAGACAGGTGCGGTTGCACTGCCAAGGGATTACGAGTTTGTGATAATATTTCCAACAATTCTTCATTAGACAAGAAATAGAATCGAGGGAAGAGTAATCGTTTGGATTCCAGATAATCTTCCAAACATTTCTGAATTTGATCCAATAGAGCATTGTTTTGCTGGAATTGTTCGAGTAGACCTGGTTGAGTACCTGCTTTTAGAGCATTCGGGCTGCGAGCTGTTTTTCGCATAGTTTCTTTCCAGTTCCTATCTACTTGGGTAAACATACGAGCTTCATCGGGTAACTGACGTTGAATGTCGGGTGCTGAGAAGATACTCTCAAGGTATAACCAGCCGCGTTGACAAGTAAGCCATTCTTCCAACGTTTCAGCAAAGAGCTGAAGTGCACGATCTGTGCGTTCAACTTCATTACGGATTGGTCCAATAAATCTCGAGCTCTTGACTGTGGCAACAGTCACTAACGAGTCCTCTAATAATGCTTCGACATCTTCCACAGATCCCAGGATAAAGACATCCTTGGCATCCCGATAATTGATGATGAGGAATTCACAATCATTCCAGGCTTTAACTACTCGGGCCAACATTTCTTCAAGAGCAGTTTCAGATGATGCCTGTGACGAGACTTGGGAAATTTCATCCTTGAAGTTGAAGACACCTTGATCCATAAGTGTTGACAAAGTCCATGTTTCATCACGGACGAGCTGTTTACCAAGAGCATCTTGGATCTTTTCCCAGTGACGAGACTTGAGAGCTGGATTTCGTAAATCTACTATAGTTGGGTACATGGCCCGATATTCATCCACCATGGTCTTGAGGTACGGAACAACTTCATTTGGTGGAATACCCTTATCGAGTTGTGCTACTACCTTCACATACGAAGTTATGGTATTGCTCAACTCTTCTGTATTTACTGAGTCAAATGGCGAAGTCATCCACTTTCTATTGTGAAAAAGTAAGTCAGCGAAATGCGAAAAATACGCAGTGACGTGAAGGAACAATTCTTACTCTGTAAGGTTCTTCCACTCTTGAATGCTAGACCAGAGCAACAATTTCAAGCTAACTTCAGTCTTTGTGTCATCCAATTCCTGCGATCGACCAGTATCACCATCAGCAGAGGCAGCCGGTGGTGCACCTTTACTGCCAGTCTCAGCAGCCAGAGTTGCTTGTTGTGCTCGTAAAGCAACAAAGGATCCACCAGCCTTAAACAATTCACCCCAGCTTTCATACGTGTGTTTACGATCTTCTATAGCCCTGATTCGTGATACAAGGGCATTCAGCAATACTGTTACTTCTTCCGTATTTGAAGAAGCGGTGAGAATCGATGGATCTTGGGCAGCATTACGAACTTCAGCTACTTCTCCCATAAGATCAGACATTGCCTTTTCAAGCTCTGCAGAATAACGCTGGATGTTATCGTCCTTGGTTTCTACAGCCATGTCTACAACATCTCGTAAAGTACGGAGTGTCGGACCAAGCGATTGGTGCAAGGCCAAATCTGTTGGTTCAATGGGGATGCGGTATGTATCCATGAGTGAATACAGGCTGGTCACTTCAGCAAACAAGACATCCACCAGAGGAAGTGTGAATTGAACTAGATTGAAGAAAGTTGTTAAGGTACTACTGACAAGTTTTTTTGCGAAATCGACAAAAATTACTCACTTTTCTCTAGCCAGTCAAGATATTCCACAAATGCATCGACAGCATGTGGCTGAGTACCTAAATGACGAACCCAAGTCTGCAACTCTCCCAATAGGAGCTCGTTTTTATCTTTTGCCAAACCAGGCAACAGAGCTGACACCTCCCTGAAACATCGTTCAGGACTCGGTAACAATACACTCTTCAACCTCTCACATCCAACAGAAAAATTATCCACTCTTCCAGACACTGGCATACCCTTCATCCTAGTTTGCTGGGATGCAAACTTGCCGAGATTGGTTTCGAAGAATGTCTTTATAGGTGACAGCATGGTATCTTCAGCACCCAGTTTCAAGTGCTTGTTCAAGATGATTAAGACACTTTCACCAGTTTCTGCTGCTTCAGCTGAGGCACTCGCAATCAATGATGGATCAATTACGGGGCCAGCCACATTTGCGGTGGACGATGACAATTCGGAATAGGCTATAAATCGTTCATTGTCAACCCACATCTGTCGTAACTCATGCCATGTTACAGCCCAATTGGCGGCATTAGTAAACATATCGGTGACAACTCGTCGGACTCTACTACCACATTCTCTCAAATAATTGTTGGATCCAATGATTTGAGAGACGTTTGGTCCCTCGAGAAGGAATTCAGCATCTTCTAGCCCATGAGTTGTTGCATACGATCCTCCCAATAAATTGGAGGGATTCAAGAAGGGGATCGTGCCAGATATTGCTTGCATAGAGGAAGCACAATCCAAATACATTTTTAATATATCGTCAAATGATACCAAGAAATCACTAGCTCCAGGTAATAATTCCAGAGGCTGACCACCTTTACCAGTTTGAAGCAACAATTCAATCCTGAAGAGGGGTACGAATTCCGTGATATTTTCGGTACTTGACGATTTACGTTGCTGTGGCTGTATACTATTATGGGTATCGGATTGGTCGACTTCCATGGCATCGCCAACAAAACCTTCATCTTCTCGGACCTCAATCAGCTCTAGCACTGGCATAGTACGTCTCAATATATTGCTAATTAATTGAGGATAACCGTCCCAACCACATTCAACCAATTCTGTGGTTGATATCTGCAGAGCTGGTAGAGAGTTGCCGTTGTTGCTATTGGATGAATCCGGTGCTTTTACGTTGACAGCTGCTGGTACATCGGTCTGACAACCACGATACACCAGTCTCAATACATCTCGTGAGCTTTCAACTGCTAGAGTCTGTAAAGCCCCGACACATAAATAGTCGGCGAGTTTAGCAAACCGCTGTAATCTTGCACTTTCAGCTCTTCGGGCAGCTTGCTCCGTAAATGACAACTTTATCCCTGGCTTTGTAGTAGCCTCTACATCACTCTCGTCAATTCCTGACTTTTGCACAGTGGTGGTGTCAAACCCCTTCTCTTTGAAGCAATCTGTAGCAGCTGTTTCTACAATGGCCTGCATTTTCGACATCCATTGAGTGACGACATTGTCACGAAATTGAGTGACTTTAGTGGTTTGCGAATCTATAAATTCCTTAAGCTGGTATACTCGTCCCACTTGGATATTTGTAAGCCGCTGCTTTTCAATATTATCGATACATGAAGATCGTATGGTTAATAAGGCGGTTTGAAGCGTTGAGTGTGTAAGGAAGAGATTACGGGCTACTCGGGTTCGAGCAGCAGATACTTTGGCGTGAAGCACTGTTCGTCGCCAAGAGGTAAATGCTTTACGTACTAGATACTGTGAGAAGAAGGGGATCTTTCTAATTGCATGAAACGAGGCATATTCATGTAGCCATCGGTTTAAGTTGACAAATTCTGCATGACCATGTCCGTCCAAAAATGTCACCCCCTAGTGGATAAGAGAAAAGGAGTGAGAAAAGAACAAGGACAACAATTGTCCTGTCAATCGAAGGGTGTTGTTGTCAACGTACAGCAGCACTAATCGTAAAGTAGGCCTTGTTGGTGTTGAGATTACGGTAAGGAATCAATTTGAGACGGTATGGATTGTACAGAAAATCCGTAGCATCAGATTTTGTGATTGCATAAGCAAATACAGGCGATGATGGGGTTTTAAGCAAGTTTTGAATGAGTTCGTAGACATCAGTTTGAACATCCACCTCCATAGTAGCTTCAGTAAACGAGGCTCCTACATTTTGGCCTTAATATAGACAAGGAAGCAGTGGGGAACGGGCCCAAAAATCCAAAAACAACACGTACGTTTCGTGACAGGTTCAGCAGCCAATGCAACACCTTTGTCACCTCGTGGTTGAATACTAGGCAAAGCGGCCACTGCCGATCCAAGAATTCCAGGAGATGCACCATGTCCCAATTCAGGCAATTTTTTTAGTCTGCGTGCATTGGAGTCTCCCTATGATGTTAAAAGTTAAATGTTTGTCATTTGTCATGTCGCCACCTTTCACAAAGTACAAGATAGATCCGAATAGATCCAAACGGTGAATGGATTCACTTACAGGTAAAGGAGATAGTGGTCCACTCTTTTCAGCAGGTGAGAGTCGCTGTCGCTTGTTGGCGTCTGGCGCTCCGTCAACCAAGTCCTGCGGGGAGGAGGAAGATGGACGGTGCCATTGCCAATTACGCTGGACTGGCTGATACCATCGTTGAGAAAGGCCATCTCGGCCTGCTTCACTTCTCTTTCTGTCCATAATTGCTCAGATATGCACTTGCAAACTGCGAAACTGCAGAACTAGACAGACGCAAAACTTCAGGACGATTCAAAAGCAGATGAATTCGCGTGTCGGTCACGTAAATACGACATTATTGTGACAGTTCCTTTGTGTCAGTGTTGTGAATCGCTTGAAACCAAGAACCAAATTTCAACGAACGGGGGTAGGCATTGCAATGAAGATAGTCTATATAATTATGACGGCGTGTACTTATTCTATATGTTGGCGTGCGATAACCACCCTTCATCTGCAAGAAATGTCTAGCACCAGTAGCAGTTTAGCAAATGAGCGTGTATAGTGGTCGTGTATAGTATTGCTCTCTGACTACATAGACATGCTTGGACAGCGACTGCAGAGATCTTGAGCACAGAATTTTGTTCGGCAAGGAGCTTACAGACACATCTTCAGGCCAATCAAGCATGCAAAGGATTTTCATGAGCTGAGCTCATTACCCGGTGTCCTTGAGTCCAAAGACTCGCCCATGACAGCCCGCGACTCTAAGAGCTGCCACAGAAGGCTCTTCCTCTCTTGACGTGCAAGTGTTCCCCTCCCCATGTTCACACCTCAACGACTCCCTCCGTTTTTCGTCGGCAACCGACCTTGTTTGCAAAAATGAATGCCAGAGGAGAGAGCACGGACTCTTCCTCTATATCTAACAATCCAAGATCGCTGGCGGCCCCCCTTAGCTGAGAGTCTCTTCCTCCCACTTTACTAAGTGGTATTGATATCAGGAATTGAAACAACAACAAAACAACAAAACACAAAACTTCACGAAATAATCTACCTGCACTGATACCTGCATTACACCTCTGTTCAGACAATGGTGAATCTACGTGATGGATGATGGATGGACACTTATACAACCACCAAGTGAAATAACACGTCGCTATGGCCTGCTAGTAGAGAACGACTGAGGAGTAAATTACATGGATTTGAGGAACACCTGTATTCTCTCGCATGCAAGAAGAGGCGAAGGCCTGCAAAATATTGAATTATTCTTTCGCCTGTGCAGCGCATCGTTAATACCTGTGGTCCCTGCTTATTCGCATCCTATGCGAAGTTCCTTGGTCCCGTATTAGCGCCTTCCGTAAAATTGCGTGGAAGTGTGGCTCCATATCTTAGAGATGGTACGTACGACGAGATTGATACTCTCTGGTCACTCGACCTCGAAGAAACAGCTGGTGGTGAACTGGGTGTTAGTGGTTTGAAGTACTGAGAATATAATTACAGTAAGCATCCCAGAACAATTGGGGCCAATGAGAGGAACATAGGACGAATTTGTCTATGTTATCTATATTATTATGTTGGCGTGCGTTTATTCTACAAGTTGGCGTGCGATATCCACCCTTCATCTGCAAGACGTGTCCGGCACCATGAGCATACAGGTATCTTGCTCTTGATGCACGGATGCTTAAAGCAGCGACTTGCAGGTTCTGAGCACAGACGTTTGTTTGGCAAAGTAACATCCAGATTTCAGGCCAGTCAAGCTAGCAAGTGACTTTGATGAGCAGTACTCATCACCCGTTGTCCTTCAGTCCAAAGTCTCGCCCACGCCACCCGCGCAAATGCGAGCTGGCACAGACGGCTCCTCCTTTCTAGCTTGCAAGCCTTTCTCCTCCCCATGCTCACACCTCAACGACTCTCTCTCCAACATTCATGGGCAAAAGGTCTTGTTTGTAAATGAACACCAGAGCAGAGGACACAGATTCTTCCTCTATATCTGACACTCCAAGATCACTGGTGGCCCCCTTAGCTGAGAGTCTCTTCCCTCCCACTTTACTATGTGGATTGTTGTTCGCATTGTTGGTGCATTGTTGGTGCGAATGCGAATTGAAAAGAACCTGCAAACCTCGATCGAAAACTGGACAAAATCTGCCTTGTTACAATTCTGGACTTAGAAAGGAGAACATTGCGCGTCAAATGGGAATTATAGACATTACAGAGACCATCAAGTAAGAAAACACGTCGCCGTGGACTGTGGAAGACATATACGTACACGCTATAGCCACACTCAGATATCTGCTAGAATACCTACTATTCTCGCGTAAACCTCAACCAGCTCTTCAATCATTACAATTGCCGCAGATGCTAAAAAGGAAAAGGAAGGACTATATAGTAGGAAACATGAGCAGGATTTTCATGAAATGTTGCACCATAGAACCTGCTGACGCCTATTGCACAACGTTTAGTCATTATCCAACGCTGGTTTGTCTCACGAGTCACTATTCGCCGGTTGTAAACAAACCGCTGAAAGGAAAGAATCAGCTGCATGGAGGACAAGTCTAATTTCAATCAAGACGTTTTTTGATGTATATTGGCGCGTGCTGATGATTCTGGTACTAGTTGGATCTCCAGTTTGTGTCATCCAAACACCTTCGACATAACATCAGGCTTCGTTGCTTACGATGCTTTCAATGTTTAATGTTCCAATTCAATGATATGGCGCCAGCATTCACATATAAGCTCCTCCGATCATTAAGCTTACACAGCGAATCTGAATTCAACAAGAGAACAATGGGTTGAACAACATAACGTCATGCATTTGCAAACATTAGTTATTTTTACATTTGTATGATGATTGATTGATACAAAATACTTTGAATATCTTTTTTCTGGTGCAATTCTGTCACTTTAGAACACTGGGAGAAAGTTGCCAATAACCTACAATCAATCAAATGTCAGCCCAAACACAAAGCTGCCAGAAACTCCATAAATCAACTCACAACTAGCGGCAAATCAAATGGATCCTTCTTGATAGTAAAGCAGAAGGTGCAAGGCACCGGCAATCCCAATGGAGTCAACAAGGTACATTTCGACATGATGGATTGCTGAGAGTTATCAAAAGCAATCAATGTAAACTTTTCCCAGTAATCCACTGCTGATTTACTGTCCATGAGTTCATATATGTATGTCTTTTTAGAGAGTAGTTGCTCGCGAGTCCACTGTGTGAGTAAACAAAACTCTTTGCCAACTAGAGCAACATCGCCTGTTGTTCGGGTTAGGCAGGTCAGCAAAGGGAGCGACAGTGCGAGGTTTCTGTTGGAACTTGCCTGTCCTCCTCCATATGACTGTTGGTGTGCCTGATGATGACACGAGCTGATATGAGGATGAGGTTGTTTGAGTTAGGCAGGTCAGCAAAGACAGGTACCAATGAGTTTACGGTATCACTTGCCTTTTCACACTCGAGCAAGTTCCTCTGAAAACACTTTTCCATAAATATCAAATCTTCTTCAGATAGTGCACTGATTTGGCTCAGGAAGGAAGGTCGAAATCGTGCCATGGCACGTACGATTCGCATCATATCCGGCTTTTTCATCCTAAAGCAGCAAGACAAGCCTTAGCGTCATAGCCATACTGTTGGCAATCCTTCCATCGGCAGACACATACCTCTCCTTGACATACTTCGACAAGTATCGATATCCCTCACGATAATCATATGGTCTTGTGACTGACGCATAGACCTCATGCGTCCTGCTCTGTATAGGATGTAGAGACTGAGGCAGCGACGGCCTTTGCTGTTGTTGTTGAACTGCATTATTTATATCCACCATATAATTCAGTTCAGCAGGCGTTGGGGCACTCGTCAAGAATGGCCCTCCATCGCTGGATTTCGTCACAGCGGGATTAAATCTGTTATCGTTTGTGTGGTGTAAATGCGAAGCCCCGAGCTCCGGTAATCCATATGATGTTGTTTCATGACCACCTAGTTGGAAGGCCGGATCAAGTAACATTGTCGATAGATACGAGTATTCTAGTCCCATTGTCGCGGATCCAAAGTCGTCGTTTATGGGAGCTTCGAATGGTGGGACTAGGTCTACGGCGGTATTAGGTGGTTGTATCGGATGGGCGATTGGTGATTGTGGGTGTGTGATTGCTGGAGTTATTGGAGCTAAGGGAGGCAACGCCACAGTAATCGGTGAGATATTGTATGTAGATTGCATTGGTTCTAGGTTATGTAGGTGTTAGGGTTGCGTACACAACATACTCGCCGACAAGACCAGTGCTTGAATTGCAAGTACCTTCATCTTGACGAAGATATTTCGCCTTTTTCCGAACCCCGTCTTCACAAGTAGAAGCCAAGTTCCTCTTTACGCATCTATCACAGGGTCTGCCTATAGACGTGCGACAATGTTAAAATGTTGATCTCCGATGTTTATAAAAACAACAACACCTCTAAGAAGAACAACGTGAACAGACAGTTCTAAGCGGTACACCGGCATGTCCGTGATTGTAGAATACCGTGTCCGTCATGACCAACCAAAAGAATCAACAACGATTGAACTCACCTTCATCACATGTAAGGTGGGAGCGTTGGCAGTGGTTGCACGCCCTCGAAACCTTGATCTTCTTTGAGCCCTTTGGCTTCTTCTCGTCCTCAGCGCTGCTCTTCGGCGACGACTTGTCTTCCTTCTCAACCTTGGCCTTCATTGTGAAGTCAAAGTGCAATGGTTGAAAACATTCGTCGCTGCAATAATCACTATATCAAGCACGTAACGTCGAGCTTGGAGCTCGCATTTTCTGCTTAATTTACGCGTAAATCACGTATTGGACGTCAAGGTCGAGGTACTGCAAGAACTGCCTGCATCCATCACCTTTTTTTCAACTCATACGCTGAAGTACTTTACATGGAAGGAACCTCTTTGGAACATGCCGTATTTATAATTCTGGAATGAATGGTGTTGTAGTTGGCTGCACTGTAGTTGCTTCTCAGTCTAGGGTCTCGCTGTCTTGGAAGCACTTGGCTTGTAATTCTTTCACCCCCCAAAACCAAACTTTCATGGCAGAAGTAGTTTACAGACTTGTTGCTTTGGACCTATAGAGGCGTGGCTACGCGTTTTAGATTGTAGTTTTTCTATTGTAGTTCCTTTCTGAATGTAACAAAATCACGCTGAGACTCTGAATGACTTCTCGCGCAGATTACTCGGTCTGTTTAACGATCTAATCGGACTGGCATCAGCTACTCAAACTTCTGCTGGGAGAGGTATTCTACAATCATGGACATGCCGCTGTACCGCTTAGAACTGTCTGCTCGCGTTGTTGTTCTTAGTGGTGTTGTTGTTTTTACAAGTATTTTTTCAAACCTCGTTTACGTTACTAGAATGGACGCAGATGAGGGCCAAGCTGCTGCATCGTTTCCTTCACAATCGCTGCTGAAGTCTCTCACTCACGTAAGTGACAAATCATCATTAGGATCTGTATTTCTTAGAGTAGCAAGGTAACAAGAAAAAACTTGATTTTGTAATAGCTGACTCGAGAATCTGCTGATCTGTCGCAAAATGAGCAAAAGATCACAAAAGCTGTTACAAGCTCATACGCTGAGACTCTGAATGACGTCTCGGGTAGATTACTGGGACTCTGTAACGATCTAATCGGGCTGGCATCAACTACGCAAACTTCTGCTGGTCTGGCTGTAAAGAGACCTCACCGGGTCGCTTTCGACGATATTGAAGATGCGCTGGACGGCTTCACTAAAGTAGAAGATGTCATTGACAACTTGTTGGAATTGGCTGTAAGTTCGCCTTGTTGGAGGACTCCATTTTTTCTCTCGCGCCGTCGCAGCAACAGGCTCCGCGTAGTCGCACTCAACTAACGTACCGTTAATCTCGTAGAATACAAACTTGGACGAAGCGACTGGCAGATCTAGCGAGTACGCACCAAATAAACTACCAAACAGTCCCGCAGGCTACGAAGGCTCAAAGGGAACCTTCCGTGGCCGAAAATCACGTCAAACAGGCTCCTTAAAATGGAATAATGGTGGTAATAAAAGCGTCAACTCGAAACCACAACTCAAGTTTGAAGATCGTATCGATAACTCGAATGATACACCGTGGCCTTGGCCTTCAAAGCTGATTGAGAAACCTAATGCTCTGAAACCGTGGGCTCCGCTAGCTGGAATAAATCAAGAAGGAATCATGTCAGCTGCTATGGCTGAGCATGTCAAGTCGTTGGGTGTTGGAACTGGACCGTAAGTCCACAACTCGGAACTTTGTGGTATTTTCTCCTTTGATGCTAACTCCAAATTATTTTGTCACATAAAAACAGGACAATACATCCATACGAATACGAGATACAAAATATCGACTATCCTGATTGGATGTTTGATAACAAACCTGAAAAGATTTGGACGCCCTTCCAAGATACAGATTATACATATGTCAGTACTGTAGATGATTTGAAGAAGATGACGGCTGTACTAGAAGCAGCATCGGAGATTGCTGTAGATACTGAGGTGAAGCTCATTGGGCAGGCGCAGCTAGTTGATTTTTTTGTGCTCACATTTTCTTCTCCTTTGGGCATCACGTAGCATCACGACTATAGAACCTATCTCGGTCTCGTTTGTTTGATTCAAATCTCAACACGAGAACAAGACTTCATTGTCGACACTCTAGGTCCATTACGATCTCATTTGTACCTTTTGAATCGCTCATTCACGAATCCCAATATCGTCAAGGTAAAGCGAGTGTTTCCAGTGACAATGTCCGCGATTTCTGGTGTATGTTTTGTTTGTCTGTCATGTAAAACCATTTTAACTGATGTTTTCGCTCATGCCAATACTAGGTGTTTCATGGTGCCGAATCGGACGTAGTATGGCTTCAACGTGACTTTGGTGTATACATCGTCAACCTATTCGATACATTCCATGCCTCTCATGTATTGGATATGCCGTATCATTCATTCCAGTATCTGCTACAATTCTATTGTACTGTCGAAACCGACAAAACTTATCAAATGGCTGATTGGAGAACACGGTATGTTGCGATTTGTGTGGCGGCCTTCAGTGATTTGAGAGATGCAATCGACTTGGTGATAGTTTTTTGTTCATCAGCCTGAATCCATCTCAAAAACGAAATCAACCACTCACAATTCCTCTCTCCACACAGGCCGTTATCACCTCAAATGATCAAATACGCACGGACAGACACGCACTACCTCCTTTACATATGGGATCGCATGCGAAACGAACTCTTGACAAAATCCCCAATCGGAACACACCAACTCCTAACGGCCGTACTCCGTCGTTCGGAAGCCACATCCCTCCAAGTCTTTATAAAACCATACTATGACGCTGAATCCGGTGAAGGATCTGGAGGATGGCGTCACGCACTGGGCAAAGCAGGAAACCAATTGATGGGTGGAATGACCAGTGAACAGTTTTGTGTATTCAAAGCTATTCATGCGTGGAGGGATCATGTCGCTCGTGTTGAAGATGAGTCGACGAGATATGTGATGCCGCATCATATGTTGTTGGCGCTGGCTGATCGTATGCCTAGTGAGGTTTCGGGGTTGGCTGGGTGTTGTTCTCCTATGCCTGCGCTTGTGCGGATGCATAGTGTGAAGTTGGTTGAGTTGATTGAAAATGCTCGTGTTGAGGTAAATGGTTTAGTGCTAGAACAATCAGGCGACGATTTCATGGATTTTTCGTCTCGACTTTTTTTTCTAACCGTACACTTTCTCGTTTCGTAGGCTCGACAAATGGCAAAATCACGTATAGAAGAATCAGAACGTATTATAAACGAAGATGCTCTCAGACGGCAACAAATCTCACTACACATCCGATTCCCGACAGACGAAAACACCAAAGACGAATCCGATGACACAACCATGGATATAATGGTCCCAACACCACCTACACCACTAGTCTCTGTCACAAAATCTGTCCCCTCCAGTCCTGCAAGTCATAAAACCCTTACAGGTTTTGGCGGTGTACCACGAACTGTTGCTATGCCAATGCTGGCTGCTTCGTCCTCCTTGTTTGGTGGTGTTGCTGCTTCTGCATCGGACTTGCTGCATACTAGTAGTACAATTAGCAGTAGCAGCAGTAATAGTAGTGTGAAAGGAAGGTCTGTAAATGCTGCTTTTGCCGAGCTTACTCAAAAAAAGTCATTGACTAGTGTAGCTGCTGCTAAACAGTCTGCATTGTTTTGAGCGGGGAGAGCTAGAGAATAGTTAGTATTATAATAGCATTTTCCAAGGGTTTAGGTATCGGCAATTTTAAGATGCAGATCACTTTTTTGCATTCTCCAAGTAGTCTAGAAAGCAACTACACAACATAACACAAACGCAACATTTTTGTAAGCTATTGTTTAGGAACATACACAACATAGAAAAGCTAGTCCTTCACAAAATGATTCATCTGTTTTCCTTTTTTGCATATATTTCAGAGAAAATGTACATGGTTCCAGCTAAGGCACATAATATGTTTAGATTGGTATTCTAGATGATGTAGTTTTGAGCGTGCTCTGTCAAAATCTTTGCCGAGGATTTGGCATCATAAAAGAGTTTTCCGACTTCTTCTACATCTTCTAGAGCAATAGTCGTGCGACCATTAATCTTCGCCAATATGTTACTTGGTGTCAATAGTTGCATGGAGTATCTAATACGAAAGTTGGACAAAGCGTGAGCAAAAAATCGACAACAGTATTTTTTCATTGTCCTGTTTGAAGGAATAGCCGATTATATCTTACCTCAACGAAGTCTTGACTCCCAACTCTGACAAATGCTTGATAGATTCTTCAGATATCGAAAGACCTTCAGTCTTTGCTCGAATGTTTAGGATGATTTCAATCTCGTCACGACTATATGGTATGGTTCGAATAATCAAAAGTCGATCAAGCAAGTCGACTGGGATTCCATGTGGTGCCAAGACATCATCTGTGCCTCTATAGAAGATTAGAAGAGAAGGATTACAAAAAGGATTGAGAAGTGGGTGGCTGCAGTTTTCCGACACAAACAAAAAGAATCTCTCTCAGAGTGACTGTCAGAATGCCATACCTGACAACACACATGCCACGATTCGTAGCAAATATAACAATCGGTGATAGAGCTGATTCCAAAGCACGATTCAGATATGTAAAACATTCAATATCCAACATGTGGACCTACAAGACGAGACGAAGTTGAGTGCAAATGTTGACAGCTTACAGCAATACAACCTGGGGATAGGATCATTTTTGCTGTTTCTCTGATCTCTTCTTCTAGTGCTCATACCTCATCAATAAATAAGACACCAGGTACGAGCTCAGCAACACCTTGTTCAATATACTTGTTTACGACCTTGTTGATTTCCTTTCTCAGCTTGTCTGTGATTTCCGTCTTTTTGGGTTTCATGAATTGACCCATCATGGATACAATGTCTTGTCCGCCCTGCGTTGACGAGACACATTAGCCCATCAGATATGAGTTGTATCCGAAAAAAGTAAACGCCAAAACCCAGGTACATTGACGATGAATTACCTGTGGTCTGGCATTTGCAATATCCAAATCATGTAATGTGACATCTTGAACCACTTCCTTCTTCTTGTGCACCTCGCCTTTCGGTAGCGGAACGTATTCTTCAGCTTCCAGGTCGAATTCAGTAGCATATGTGTCTGATCTGCCGACTCGCTAAGAGGATGCGTCAGGGTGAATACACCGTTTTTTGTTTTGTGCATTCTGATGCTTTTCGTGCTTTTCACAAACCTTGACGGCACCACTGTTTGATTCGATGTAGATGACATCACCGACAGCGACTCGTTCTTTGAGCAAGCTCTCATAAATGACTGGATCCAACTTTAATTGCTTGTTTCCTTTTACAGTTTTGAGGCCAATGATGACATGCGAGATGGTCTTTCCATAACCACCCAGAGGATTCTCTGTCTCTTCAGGTGTCAGTTCTGTTACTTCTCCTTCGTAAACTTCTTTTACTTCCTTGATACGAAGACCTGGAGAATTGCGTGGACTGATTAGAACGATGCAGAACTGCGTGCCCTTTCGCCTAATCGATGCTCACCGATGGCTCTTCTAAAGTTTTCCATGAGGACTTCTGTCTTTTTGATTTCGGTAGAGTATACTTCTGAGCCGACCATGGGACAGAATGGGACTTTTGGGCCGAGTTCTTGTGATAATGCGAGAGCGAGAGCAGTCTTTCCTGAACCGGGAGCACCAGCTAGTAGAACTGCTCTGCCAGCCATTTTCTTTGATCGAATCAAGTCTACGACGACTCCCGCAGCCTAATGAAATGAATTGATAAGCTCTCACTGTATACTAAAGATGTAATGCGCTGTCCTCTTTTGCTGGAATGCAAATCCCACAAAAGTCACAAAGGATACATACTTCTCTAGCATTTTCCTGACCTACAAAACCACTAGCGACAGGTTCAGCTATTCCATCATCACGCAGTCCCAAACCTCTAATGTGAGAATGGGTAGCAATGCGCTGCTCTTTTGTAGTTGATGTTACTTCTTCAATCCTCATGATACTAAGAGAATTGAAATGAATTACGTCAATAATGGTAGTATTAAACAATATGAAATCATGAAAACAATTTGATCTAGTACTAGGTTGGCTTTTCATCATCGATCAAAACCATTTACAGAACAAAAAATGATGGATGAGGCTGTATTGAAGCCTCTTGTGCGGACATCGTTGGATTCGCCACTTACGCTGTACAGTCTTGAGTATGCAACGACTCCTAGTTCGTTGTTAGTATGTCCAATGTAAGCTCTTGAATGTTTGGACTCTGTTGCAAAAAGTCTACCGACGTGATGAGGAACATATTTCAGTGGTGAAAACAACGTCTGGATACTGTTCTTATCGTGAATTATATTGCACCTACCGCAGTACATGTCTCAAAACTGATCGATTTTGTTCTAAGTGCTCACGTAACTTCGTGACATCAACATTTGCTGACACTCCAAGATCAAACACAATGCTGACCATCAAGACACTCCAATTCTCATTAGATGCAAGGACGTATACACTGATCCTGTTATTACACAAGTCTGTCACCACTCCTTCTGCACCTCTTGCATCCTGGAGTGCATTCAACATGATCCACAGTGCCCATTATGTCGCTCGAAACTGAAAAGACCAGGTGACCTAACAGATATACCATGTGCTATTCTGCTACTAATGTCGTCGAGTCTTTCTCTGACAATCTTTTGATATTTAGACTTACATCCAAACCTAGCTCTTGCTGGTTTGATACTAGAACTTCGTGTCTACTGTCCATTCAGATCCAATGGTTGCAATCAGACTCCTTCGAGAGAGACATTCTCATTTCATGTTCAACACTGTGATTTCGCCCCAGCTGTTTGCAGCAACGCAATTTACGCTTGTCCATTCAAAGGTTGACCTGACGTCGGAGAAAGACTCGTCTCATTGCTGACTTTCTCTATATCTTTTTAATTTTAGGAACTAGTAAAGAAGTGTATCAGCATACAAAGTCCTGTCCGTTTGAGGGCATTAAAGGTCTGTTAGTATCTGTTTTGTTTTTTGTGACGGCTCGATCGTAAGCTGAAATCGGCAATTTAATAGGCTACATCCTGCTGAATGAGGCTCGGATAGCTAAATTAGAAGCCAAGATCGTGGTATGTCTCTTGTGCGATTAACAAACGACTCGAAACCTCTTGACATTTATGATCCCGTAGGCTCAATCTCGCGAGATCGAGGATTTGCGGAATGGCCATACGTCTTTGGTAAGGCAAAATCACACAACGCAAAAAACAACATTCTACTACATCATGGCATAACATGATCGTACTCTTCTAAACAGACTATTCCATCACCTCCACCATTGACTACTACAACATCATCTGAATCAGTGAACGAGGTAAGCTTCAATTGGAAAATTGGCTCTGTATGATATGATACTGAATACTGAGTCCGCAGATACCGATTTGGCCCACAGGGGACATTAGATGTCGAAGAACAATCCTAGACCATCGAACAGGAGTTACATCATTAGCCTACTATGAGGGTATCATATTTTCAGGCTCGTATGATGGAAGCATGAAGGTTGGTGTGTGTGTGCTGATGTACTTCATCTCTGAGTCCACGTAACATAGACGTTGTTTGACCTGTGTTTTAGGCATTTGATGCAGAAACTGGGCAGCTGAAACGAACGATGAACGGTCACAATCTGTCTGTTTGGGCACTAGCTACTCATGCTGCTAGCAATCGTTTGTTCAGCGGTGGCTCAGATGGAACTGTCAAGGTAAATTCGCAAAAAGTCTATACAGAAAATGTCGATATCACCACGTATTACCTTAGGCTTGGGCATTGAATTCAAATACATCCAATGAAGAACCAAAGGGCATTGATACTTCTGGAGCCAAGGTCTACTCGTTGGCCATTGCCAAGAATAGACTCTTTACAGCCTCGTCTGATAAGACTATCAAGGTTGGTTGGGTGATTTCATACCGCAATGGTCTGAAATATCATAGGTCAATGCCATTAATTGCCTTGATAGGTGTATGATATCGAGACACTAAACAAAGTGGCAACATTCATTGGTCATGCAGATGGCGTGAATGCTTTGAAAATGTTGGGTGGTGATAGATTAGCTAGCGCCGCTTCGGACAAGACAATCAAGGTCATCATCCTCTTGATTCTTCTGTTTGTTCCCCCTTGTTTGCGCTAACCTTGAAACTTCTCATTTTGAATCTAGATATGGGATTTGAATACAGGAACGACCATCTCTACCATGTCAGATACTGCCAGTGAAGTATTGGACCTGAGTCATGACGGAGGACAAATGTTGTTTTCAAGTTCATATGATTCCAACATTGCTGTATACAATCTGAATGACTACTCAAGAATACGGACACTTAGTGGACACCAGTGGGAGGTACACCAGTCGACTTCAGACTCATTTCTCTTGGTACCAATTTGTTTGCGCTTAGGTTTGGCAACTTCAATATACAGATGGAGCCCTGTTTTCGAGCAGCCATGACCATACCGTAAAGAGATGGGATGTACGGATGACATTCTTGAATGATTTGACATTAAAGGGTCACAAGGTAATACTTGTTGCCAGTGTGAAAAAATGTCTCACGCACACTGACGAATCCCGTTGTCTTGCAGGGCTTTGTTCATGCTCTATGTATAGGCAATCGCGAACTACTATCTGGTGGAGCTGACAAGACTATTCGGGTAAGCTTGTATAGAATTTGGCCTTGCGATTGATGTGACTGACTCGTTTTGCACTCTTCTTTACCGTTTGTCAGATATGGAGGTAACGCTCGTCGTAAGATATACCTCATGGAAACCTACATGTATAGATAAACTGCAAAATAACACAACCTCTCTTCATCCTAAAATGTGCATACCTTCTCTATATCAAATGCTCTTTTGCTGCGGAATCTAGATATGTTGCGAGCGTGTTTAGCGGTAAACTCAGATCTGTTTCGTGAGTTATAATAGTTGGGTATTGGTTTACAATGACGAGCTAAACCTTATGCTACCGTAGTAGAGACGTAAACTTTCTCGAGTTGTCTGGCACGCCTACTGTGGCCTGTGCTCCCCACCTTCCACCTTTTGGCATCAACTTCTATTATCTTAGAGATACTGCTTGACAACATTGACCATGTTCTCAGCAGCCAACACATCCCTGTGGAGCCATACGTGGCATCCACGACAGTAGAGAGAGCGCATGCTTCTCCTCTCTACCTTGCGACCTTCACACCCTCGACTCTTGCATCGAGGACACTTTTGCGACGTCAAGTACCCATTCATCCCCACTAACATATACCCCAACAGCACTACCCGACTGAGCAATCTTTTTAAAAAAGCCGTATGGCGGCATCCACCACACCAGAATTCACCATTGCCTCCCGCAATGATGACCTTCTCGTCGTCCTTGAGCTTGACGCCAATAGATCCACGGCACACGCACCAAAAAGACACCTCTTGCCAGGGTCTATACCTATTATGCTTCTTACGTGATCGTGATTAATATCATCGAGTTTACTTGCCATAGAAGGCAAAGTAAATTCAGTTTGACCCGGTTGACACTTGTTCTCTTTCGTGTCAATAAAACGAATGTGTACTTCGTGGCCGTTGGTTGAGATAGAGTTCGATAGCACCTTTGTACGTGACTCGTCGTTTTCACCGAAGGTGTGGATGGTACACAGACGTTTGTCCCTTCGTTTTGGTATTCTGAATAGGGATCCCTACAGCAATCTTCAAGTCTTCAACCCATCAAGTATCAGATAAATCATCAAATCTCAACCACCGCATCATCATTCCTTCTCAATCAACCCCATGTCTTCATCTGCGTCCTCGCCCCAAACCGAAAAAACGCCTGTGTCCAACGTACCTGTATTGTATCCTCTTGATGCTGCAGATCCTGATCTCTCACTTCCATTCTACATGGAAAAAAGTTTGTCCTGTATCTGTTAGGCGTCTTCCTTCTGTTTTGGAGTGTCAAGTTTGAACTGGAGTTTAGAGCAGCCATCGCACCAACAGAACAACCCTCGCCGAATTGAAACACGTAATATACGTAATATGTCTTGTTTTACTCAATCCATTTCAATCGTTGTACCACGAGCTACTAGCCTCCCTATTCAAAGCAGCAGCAACTTGCAACGGCGACTGTTGCCATCTATACACCGAGTACATTGCCCATGCACCATACATGATATACGACATGACAAAGAACAGACTGGTAATCAACTTTGCTAGAAACTCTTTGTCGGGTTTCGCCATTTCCAAGGCAAAGCACCACAGCAAGATGATAAACCCAGACATCCAAGTCATGCCGATAGCAGATAGAGACCGGAGTTGAGTTTTTGAGGTATAGTGGACACAGTCCATAACTCGATCGTGCATGTGTGGTGAGTATCCTTCGGTACGGTACTTGATTAAGAATTTCACGACGTGATGTCTGTTGAATCTAGCGGCCCAGTCTAGCGCGTCTGTAGTACATCCTTCCTTTCGATTATGATGCAAGAATTGTACTATATCCAGTCTCCCGTGCTACAGAAATGGCAATCGAATGCGGTTAGCAATTGAGTCTGCTATCAATTGTAGTAGCGAGGGACTTTTTTTGCCTCACCATAGCAGCAAGATCCATGGTAGTCTTACTAAACCCGTCCCGATCTTGCTCATGAAACCATGCTATTACATCCGATTTGCCGTATCGAGCAGCGATATCTACAGCGATTGGTGGAAGCCTCCTCCTTGAGTCAATCCATTTAAGTACATCCGTGGGCACATCGGGATGTATAAGCAAAGCACCAACTAGCTCGTCAAATTCAGCAAACGATACATCATATTTCTGTAAAAAGGCAATAAACTCGATATTTAGGGTTCCATGCATATTTTTTTCAAATCCTGTCAGCAAGTCATTCAGGTACAGTTGATCGATGAATGTCATTGTCTCGTCTGCTCGTAGTGCTCGTAGTAGTCTTGAGACTAGCCTGATTCGTCGTTCTGATGCCGTTATGACTGCTTCCTCGTATAGTTTGATGAGGAGTGGTAGTCGACGTCGTTGAGCAGCTGGTTTGACGATGGAGTTGATGTATGGGCGACAAAGGGTATTGAGCACGTCAAATCGGTTTGTTGCTTGTAAGATCATGAGAATTATTTCGAATGGTAAAGTACTAAACAAGTCTGGCTGTATTTCTTTACATTGACCAGACATAGTAGGCATGTTGCTGGGATTGGAAGCCATTGGTTTGATCTGTTGGGACATTTGGTGTATGGTCAGCTGTGTGGAAAGTTTTCGAGCAGCTGCAACCCAGACCCGATTTTCACGAACAAGGGTTTTGAGCAAGCAGACACTTGCAAGGTTTGGCGTGTGCACTCAACCGGAAAGTTCTTTCCCAAGTGCAAGGCCATGTCAATAACATAAATGACGTTCAAAGCTCTGTTGCGGCAGTTCCTCAAAATGTGAAGAAAATGTCTCCAAATTTGCATCCAAGCTGACGCCTGAAAGTTCAGAAGTACTTGGAGCATTGATCATACGGTGTCACGAGACCCTCCATAGCTTCGTATCTGATGTACGTGGAAATGATGGATGGGGTTGTTCCTGCAACAAATTTTACTAACTTCACCTCTTTCAAACCCCAACAGGCTATTATGAAGGACTATAATTAGACTCTTCATAATCTGAAAAGTCGAAAAGACCACTAGTTACTACTGCTGCTTTTGAAAGCCTGCAGTGGTGGTGGTCGACTCCAACATCAGCAGCATATATACTTGCTTGCTGGAGAAACACAACTGACGCGTGGAATCATGATGAGCTTAGACTTCGCTACTCCAAAATGAACGTCTATCGATTTTGAAGATATCAGCCCTTAAATCACGCGGTATGATGGTACCAACAGTCACTTTTGTCACTTTTGCATTCTCAATTCTCAGCCAGACTCAACGACCTCTAGCACCGTTGCAAGATCCGATCCAGCGTGTTCCCAACGCATTTCGTGGCGGTCACAGACACTTGGAAGACAGTAATGTCTCTTTCGCCAAGAAGTGAAGCCGTGTGCTTTGGAACAAGACTCGAAGCGTGAATGACTGTCAGCATCATTCTATGTTATTTTACGTTTCAGTATCGGCTTCCATTATTTAGTTGAAATCAAAATATATGTAAATTGCGTGAATCTAGAAGAGTTTGAGATTGTACGCGTGAAAAGTTCGAAGTTCGAAACTTTCCCCGAAGCTTGACGTCTTCAATTCTTTAACAATTCGCAAACATGACCAACACTTTGATCCTAGACAATGGAGCCTCGACCATCAAAGCTGGATATGCAAACAAGTCTGATCCACCGTTGTAAGTTATTGTTAATACGGTCAACATCAATGAGCTTTAGCCATTTATTGTGATTTAGTATTGCTCCCAACTGCATCATGAAGGGCAAAGCAGATAGGACGACATATGTGGCTGATCAGATCTCGGAATGCAAGAATTTTGCTGGATTACTGTTTCGAGTCCCATTCGAAAAGGTAGCTATAATCCACATCAAACTGCGGGTCTTTGAAAGTTGATGTTTGAAGCAATGTACCAACCCAATGTTTCGTTGTAATGAAGGGATACGTGACTGAATGGAATGTAGAAAAGGATGTATGGGATCGTGTCTTCTCAACTCATGTTTTGGGTGTAAGTTAAAAGAGTGAGTATTATTATTCAGAAAACTCATCCTTTTCTTTCTGATGATAGTGCAATCCGGCAACAACAGATCTTGTGATCACAGAACCACCATTCAATCTGCCAAGTCTCGCTGACGCGTACGATGAAATGATTTTTGAAGAATATGGGTTTCATGGACGCGCTCGTTTGACGGGTAAGTCTTTCTTTGTTTTGTCAACTTGATCCTCTTTTCAATTTGCTCTGCTTCTTTTTTTAGCTGCTGAACTGTCGATTTGGAATGACCTGTCTACATTGTTGCCATCTGGAACCAAACATCCTCCGCCAATACCGGAATGTGCACTCGTGGTCGATACTGGATATTCATTTACGCATGTGATTCCTTTACTTAATGGACGTCCAATACCTGAAGGAGTCAAGAGGTATCTCCTGTTTGTACTCCTACTTTTTGTGTCGAAATCTTCAAAACACTTTATCTTAGGATCAACATTGGTGGGAAACTCTTGACCAACCATTTGAAAGAACTTGTCTCATTTCGGTGGGAAATGCCTTGTATCGATATCAATGCACGTTTGCTTATCCTCGGTCGATGACTAGACAATGGAACATGATGGATGAGACCTATGTCATCAATGAAGTCAAGGAGATGTGTTGCTTTGTATCGACGGACTTTAATGCAGATCTAAGGCGTGCTCAGTATGTTGATTGAATGCATCAATCATGTTTTCACCATGTCTAACATCCTGGTCGAACGGCAGACTACCGCCAGACCAGAATCCCTTCACAATGGAATACCTACTTCCTGATTTTGTGCAAAACATGAAGGGAACGGTAAATGTGAATCTCGCAAGTGCTCCTTGGATCACTGGCTGATCAAATTTGATTCGCATAGATACGAACCAAAGGAACAGATGTACCCATATCAGAAGACGATCAAGTAGGCATGCATCTGTTGTCCTATTTTTACCCCTCCACTAACGATTGCCTATTTCACAAGGTGCTGATCATGAACTCTGAACGGTTTTGTGTTCCAGAACTGCTATTCAGACCTAGTGATATTGGTACTTCTAGTCTCAGCCGTTTGTCCAAACCATAGAATCTGACCTTTATCGCTATAGGCATAGAACAAGCAGGAATATGTGAAGTTATTGCTCATGTCATTGAAAATCAACCAGCAGGTAACATACGTCCAATATGTTTTACTCTTTTGGGACTCTCTATTAATCAAACGCTTCTTCTCTAAGACCTGCAAGCTGCATTCTATGCCAATATTTTGATAATAGGTGGTAGTTCCTCCATGCAAGGATTCAAAGAACGAGTGTTAGTACACCATGAACTGCCGAGCTTGCTGGTAAAATCAATCTAACTTCGTTTTGGTTTCGTGTAGTGAGAAAGATTTGAGATCCATGGCGCCATCGCATTGCCGAGTACGCGTAGCTGTACCAGAAGAGTAAGCGGATGATCGTTAACATCGGGGCTTGATGAGAAACAGATGCTGACGTGTCAGTCCATCCTCTAGTCCAGTGTCATTTGCTTACAAGGGAGGTGTTCGTCTGGCTCGTGAGTACCCTGAAGTCCTACAGTCACGGATGACGACACGAAGCGAGTATTTCGAGCGTGGTAATCAACGATAAGCACGGTTCATGTCTATGCACAATGGAATCACAGTCTTTGCATACCAGAACTGTTGAGTGCACGCGTCATTTACGTTCCAGTGAGAGTTTTCATAGCATATAAACACAGATATGTACTTATCTTCAACGCGACACTTAATGGGAAGAGTTGTATCAATACTCCGTCCCATGTTTGCAACCCACCGCTCAAAACTGTTGGCCACACTACGACAGCACAAACAACTACAAGACATTCGCAGCGAGGCATCATCCCATTCGTACGTCTGAAATGGCGACTCCAGGAGGTGCAGACCACTTTGCTGCCGGGGGTAGGTCTCAACTAAATTCAAAATGTGTAATCTGTCTGGAACTGAAATTTTAACATTTTCCAATTCCTTTGTTATTAGCAAGAGCTGTAATGATGGTAAGTCATTTGAATGCAATCTAAGAGTACATGCAAAATGCCTAATAGCGTCCGTCTCATCCATGTTTTCAAATCCATCAGGCAAACACAGGCATCAGGAAAAAGACGGCCAAGAAGGGCAAGAGTTTCACCACTATGCTTGTTGGTATGAACGAAATTGTGTTATTAGATTCGTCTTCTCTGTTTACTTATGCGGTTTGTTGAACTAGGTTCATCTGGGCTGGGAAAATCTACCTTTGTCAATACATTATGTGAATCGGCAGTCTTTCCAAAGTCAGACCATGGAAGCCCAGAGAAGGCAGCACTTGAAAAGACTGTTGCCATTACTCCAGTCACTATCGGTAAGAACACTTCCGATTGAGCAGAGAACGATCTTGAACCTAACACTAGCGTTGTTATCGACAACCAGAAATGGAAGAAGATGGTGTCAAGTTGTCTCTGACTATTGTTGATACTCCTGGATTTGGCGACAACATCAACAACGAAAACAGGTAATGATCAAGTTTGCATGATCTGTCTGTGCATCGGATTCAGGAACCATTTCTAACGCCCTATTTTTTTTAGTTTCATCGACATTCTCACATACATTGAGAAGCAATACGACAATATTCTCGCTGAAGAATCGCGAATTAAGAGAAATCCCAAATTCCAAGACAACCGTGTCCATGCTCTATTGTACTTTATTGCTCCTACTGGTCATGCGTGAGTCGCTTTTCATACAGGCAAAGCATTGTTAATGGTCTCATGGTCATTTTTCACCTAGTCTACGAGAAATTGATATCGAGTTTATGCGCCGATTGGGACCACGTGTCAACATCATTCCAGTGATTGCCAAGTCAGACTCCTTGTTACGTCCTGAGTTGGAAGGATTCAAGAAGCGTATCATGGAAGATATTGCAGTTCATCGGATCCCCATCTACAACTTTCCGTACGATGAAAATGAAGACGATGATGAGACTGTCGAAGAAAATACTGAACTGAGGGTATGTAATAGTTTGTCAACTTTGGGCGGGGGTTTTTGTTGATCCTTTTGTTGTTCTCAACTATAGTCATTACTTCCCTTTGCTGTTGTTGGATCTGAAGATGAAGTGGTTGTGAATTCACGTCGTGTACGATGCCGTCAATACCCATGGGGCGTCGTTGAAGGTAAGACTGAAACGAGGTTGCATCATGGCCGATCTTTAATGACACTTAACCTGTATCCCTTTTGTTTGTACAGTTGACAACTCTCGTCATTGTGACTTTTCCAAACTCAGATACATGCTGTTATCTTCTCATCTGGAAGATTTGAAGGAAATCACACATGATGTCCTTTATGAACAGTACAGAACTGAAAAACTGAGCAGAGATGGTGGTGCCGAGCCTGACGAATAGTGACTTGTATTATAAAAGGCCTTGGCATGGTGCAGGTTTTCGTGTCAAAGATCCAATCAATAGATTATTACTAGCAAATTCATCGTGTGCTTTGGCGTGCCTTTTCGCGAAACTTTATCGCAATATGTCTGCAAAGTCACTCTGTTTTCGATTTCTCTCTTTGACCCAAATAGATACAACTGTTTTTCTGGAACGCTATAGAGCAATACGAAATCAAGCTCCATTTTCTATTGTCATTCACTCGGACTGCAGGAACTAGCTGACAAGGCCTTACATCTGTTGAACTCGACACTCAAAAGTTGAAGCAGTTGAAGAACTTTGGAGAGGAAGCTACGAACAAGAAGCAAAGTAAAACGGGTATCAGTAGTATAATATTACATCAAATAATTCTAGCACACATTCGATCTTGTGGACCGCTCCCAAGCGCTTGGGACGGCTTGTAAGCAGGACATTTTGCGCATCATTTGTTGGAAACGAATCATATAAATAACCATGGTTGCTCTCGATAAAACTACGCCAACGATGATACGAACGGGACTCCCAATGGATTATAATGGACATTCGCCGTTGAGTAATGATGGGTGGTCGAACTCTGCTCTGCCGTCGACACCAACTGCTCCTATGAGAATGCGTAGGAGAGTAACAGTATCTCCTCATGCTAGTCTCATGTCCCAAGCCCTGACTCAACTATCTACAGCTGCAGATGAACTCACTTTAAATGGATATGATGGATACGGACTATATAATAATAATAATACCAGCTCTTGGTTGAGACCCCCACAACCAAGTAGTGATGATAATCACCCTCATAGTGATGATTTTGTCTTTGCCAAACCAGCCCTACCTACTCATCGTAAACGTACACAGTCTATGACGGCCATACAGGATCAACCTCACACTATGGAAATCAGCAGCAGTAACAGTAGTGGTAGATCTGGCTCAACACCTACAGGCAGTGATCCCGTCAAATTCCATACACCGATCACAGGTAGAGTCGTCAAACCTATACCACAAGCCTTCCATTCAACCGGTCTGCTGCTCAAGAGGAATGGTCGTCGTGGAGCTGATAGTAAAGCCATGCCCGATACTCCATTGAAACGCATGCAAACAGCTCATGGCATGTGGAATATAGAAGGAAACAAGGGCTCAACAGCAGTAAATGCTCCTGGAGGAATGGTTGGTGCTCCATCTCCTACCAGTCGACTCAATTCTAGCGATAGTAGGATACCACTACATGAACAATCTGCAAAAAGAAACACAATCTCGACATCATTGAATCTGCCACTGCCATCACCATTATTCTTACCATCCGCAGCATCCTGTAAACAACGTCATAATAACTTGAGGAGATCTAGTCTTCCACACGTAACAGATCCATTTGGCATAAACGATAACGAGGAAGGAGACGAAGCGGACGATGCTGAAGACGAAGAGATGCCAAGAGCACCTCAATTCCCCGCTAGATCTGTTCCCTTCCATGAAGGCGGTATTGGAGATACGAGTCTCCTTTTTGCTCCTCATGCTCAACTCTTGCGCGCTGACTACTTTGACGACAATTGGCAGCAGCATATCTGTGAGTGCCATACTAACGACAGATTTTCTATGAGGTGGCTATGTCTAACAGTTCTTCCCGATCTTATAGTTGATTCAAATCGGACAGACGTGATACATGCCAACTATTTCGACTCAACTTTTACTATTTTGGCTACATTGGGGGTTGGGACTTTTGCAGAAGCTTACAAGGTTCGCTCATTAGTAGATGGTAGACTGTATGCAGTCAAGAAGTCAAAACATACGTACACTGGCTTCAGGGACAGGTAAGACGACTTATGCGCAAAACAACATCGCGCTGGTTCGATGCTCAATGCTGAATTTCTGTTGGCTCATTAGGCAGCAAAAACTGAATGAAGTCATGATGATGTGGAAGGTCTCTAAATGTTCACATTGCATACGTTTGGAAGATGCTTGGGAGCAAAATGGAGTGCTCTATATGCAAACAGAGTTGTGTGAAGGTGGAACGTAAGTCTCGGCAGTCGCTTCATATGACAGGTAAAGAAACTCACCGAAATGATTTGCTATAGGCTCCAATCGTATATGGAAGATAATTGCAAGACGGGTCCTCTGGAGGACACAGTCACCTGGCAAATCTTGACTGAAATAGCGCTGGTAAGTACTAGCTACTAGGGACCATCGTTATGTCAAAGGTTTTGATTGGCTAACCTGAACTTGCACCATCAGGGGCTGAAGGAAATTCACGAACTTGATGTCGTACACTTGGACATCAAGCCAGCAAACATCTTTATCACTGAAGAACGTATGCTGAAGATTGCTGATTTTGGAATGGCAGCTGTGGTTCCAGTGGTATGTAGAAACCGCAGTGCTTTGGACGATTAGGTCTTTTTTGCCGTATCTAACACCCTGCAACAATCGCTTTAGCCTCCAAGTGTGGAACGAGAGGGCGATCGAACGTATCTAGCTCCCGAAGTGCTGGAACATTATTACTCTAAACCTGCCGATATATTCTCGCTCGGGCTCATAACACTAGAAGCCGCTACGAATATCATACTACCTGAAAATGGAGAGTGGTGGCAACGTCTACGTCAAGGAGACGTAATGACGTTGTTTCAGAGTGTGTCTCCACCCCTCTCTGATATAATAACAAGCATGTTGGCGGTAGACCCACAACACCGACCAACAGTCAGAGATATTTTAAACCATCCTATAACTGCAATGTATTCATAGTATTTTCATCTTTTTCTTTCGCAACACATTTTGATATATAAGGATCTTGTAGATAGCGAAAGACTTTATGTAAGAATTCTATTTTGAACTGTGTTATATGGTTTGCACAATCATGACTTTCTACGTGTCATATGGTCGTAAATGACGACCTGTATATGCTCTCGTGTTAAAAGTTCTGCTCTTGTGGTGTTGTCTCCGGGTGCTTCCTGTGAAGTGAGGCGAAAAACGTTTCAACGTTAAACAGACATTCCAAGAGACCACTTGATTTGAACTTTTTTCCTTCTAACTATCTCATACCTGAGGATTAACATTAACAATCTTTCTATCTCTCTTGTTCTTGAATAGCAATCCCTTGCCTTGATCAGCAACAACTTGGAAATTGGGTGTAGATGAACTTGTAGCGACACTTGTTTCCCAGTTAAAGAAACTTAGATCTGTCGGTCTTGGTACTAGTGGCCTCAGCATTGTGAAATAAGGTTCCCATGGTTCAGATTTCAGACGTGTAGCATAATCGATGTATCCAGAAATTTCTTGGTTTCGTGCGTTACGGGTCCGTATGAAGACAATTGTCTATGTAGCGACAATAAATCAATAATTCTTCTTCACTTTGATGTTGACTCCACTTGCTTGAGATGCAATAAAAACGACCGACTCTACAGTCATACCGTTAGTTTCCCATTCCGATTATCAGCTTCCCGTTCAGCCAACGCCTTCATCAACTCTGACCCTCCGTAATCAGGTCCAGCGCCATGAGAAGCCAGCTCTTTAGCCTGCATCCGTTTCGCCATTCTAGCACCCTCTGCTGCTCGTTGACGCGCTTCGAATTCATCACGTCGTAACGGCTCCCCTGATGCTCGATATCCTAGTTCTACGAGTTGGCGTGCTAGTTCCTTGTCCTGTGTTAAGACATCGAGTGTTAGCATACACTGATGCGTAGTAGTTGCAACTGGCTTGTTTTGCACCTCAAGATAGAATAGGTCGATTGGAGTTATTTGAGAGTCCAGGTAGTCTTCGTATGTAGCGAATTCACTGATGACTGCATCGGGTGATGTGCCTGTTTGGGCTTCTGCTGCATCGTCTGCCATTTTTGTGAATTGTTCAGTATTTTTGATTCGAGAGGTGTGTGAGGTGTTGTGAAAATTTCCGTTAAGCGTTCGCTGGTATAGAAGATCTTGAGATAATAAATTAAATGGTAAATGAATAGATGCTGTTACATGTTTTCGCTTAAACGGTTTGTTCAGGTCGTATTTGTCGCGTGCGTTAAAAGCTCTGATTTTGAAAACCATGAACTGTACGCGATAAGGCTCTCTTCGAGTAAGATCAATAGCACGAGCCGCTTTGTATGTTACTGTTACATCATGTGACAGGTGTTAAAAATGCTTTACCGCGAAATATTCCTCATTCGCTTTTGCAAGGTTGGCTGGCCAGACGCGTGGATTTTACCAAGGGATTATGCTACCATCATACGAAAAGAACTTTCCACTGTCTTCAATGGTCATCTTATTCATAACGCCGACGATACTCTCAGCACATTGCCTTCCTGTTATTGACATTGACTTCAACAATTCTAACGTCTTCTCATCGAATTGCATTGCCATGTCGGATACTACCACTCCCGGGCTATATTGAAAGTCATTTAGGGAGCATAATAAACCAGGTTTAAGCAACAACATCAAGTTATACTTACTGAATGACAATCATAATCACACCCTCGGGAGCGTACACAGCGGCAAGTGTGGCAATCAACATATTCAACGCTGCCTTCGATGCTCTGTATGGCGCTAGTGCTCCGATTCCCATGCCAGATGGAACCGCAGCAATAGAGCCTGCTCGTGTCGACACGTTCACCACTTTTCGAGTAGTCTTCTTTTTCAATGCCGGTAGGAGAGCCAGAGTCAGGTAGTATGATGACAAGGCGTTTGTGTTGAATGCGTTTATAAAGTCAGAGCGGGGCCTATAATTGTAATAGTGTTAGCATATGTGCACCACTTGCAAAAGGGCACACCAAAGCCCCGCACTTGGCTTACGTTTCAGCAACAGGCATATTGGGTGTATTTATTCCAGCATTGTTTATGAGCTCATCGAGGCCATCTGGGAATATCACGTCCACTTCTGCTGCAAAGCTTTTGATGGATTGGTCACTGTCGACATCTAATCCAACAATGTGTAGTTGTCCTTTTGGATACCGATCACCCAATTGTTGGAGATCAGTAGCTTTTAACGGTTGCCGAGCAGTTGCGATGACATTTGAGCCTTGTTCTAATAAGTAACTGACGAGGCTAAATCCGATTCCCTAAATTTTGAGATTTTAGCTGGCTACAGACGCAAGCAGCCAACCGTGTCCCAACTATTGCATTTTTCTACGTACTGATGATCGGTTTGCGCCAGTTACGATTATGTTCTTGCCTGCCATATCGAAGCTTGTTCTTGCAAAAGAATGTGTAGATTTGAAATGCCCAATGCCAGCCCAAAACTTGAAGGTCTTACAGTAGGGAAAAGCATCATTGTACGCGTTTAAACACATGAATACCTCGATTACCTAGTGCTTGACACGTCCAACATCGAGAATTGGTTTGATAATGATAAACTCTCAGCTGTCAACACTTTGTCCGGACGTCAAGCAAGTTTGAGCTTGCAACCCTCTTGATGGTCGTATAATAGAGTGGAAAATGGGTACAGCCATGAGTCGTCTAGTGAAATCCGCTCTTCATATCTCTGATACGTTTTTACGAGGGATTCCCTTCTATCAACCTGTTCGCAAGCTTATCTCAATCGACATGCCAAAGAACGTTGATGTCAACGTTCAGAGCATTGTGCTCACGAAACTCACCGATGGATCCAAATTCTCTGCTTCTACTCTATGGGCTGAAAAGCCGGCTCTCATAATGGTCGTAAGGTTAGAATCGTTGTCGCATTTTCATTTGGGGCACGTCAAAGCATTTGGAAGAAGTTTGTTTGCTTCGATTCTGTGGCAAATCAAAGTGCTTGAGCTGCGTGAATCGCCTATTCCACCAACAGTCCTTGACAATATTCGGCAAATCAACTTTTGGCATACAACACTGAACACAAGCAATTTACTTACTCAACACCTATTAAACCCATATGTACATAGACGCCCAGGCTGATTGTTGTGTCGAGAAGAGGCTGCTGACCTCGTTGGTAAGAATCGCTGTACTAAGATAACAAGATCCGTAACTGTCACCTGTACTTTCAAAATTGTTGATCCTGAAAGGTTTCTTTGCCTTTGTTATTAGAAAAGGTCAGACCAGCTCTTCTCGAGAGGGGTATGAAATCTGTTGCAGTCTGTCATCAGAAACTTGGTGCTGAAGGTAGAACAATTGCCCCTTGTTGTCAAAGTTGGAACCGACATTCTAAACATCTCTCAAAGATTTCATGAAGGAACATTGGAAGAACGATGATGTCTATTTGGATGATGAGAAGGCCTTCTACTACTTGCTTGGAAAAGGATCGCTCAACACTATGGGTATCATTGCTGGAATGGCTTCTAGCAAGGCTCGAGCCAACATCAAACGGGCTCAAGATGCTGGATACACTGGCAATCTCGTCGGAGAAGGTACACTAAGAGCTTTGGACGTCATTGGTTCTTGTTCACCATAGTTCTCACACTCTCTCGCCTTTAGGTACTATCCTGGGCGGTCTCATCATCGCATCTAAAGATGGTGTTGAATACGAATATCCAGAAATGAGTTGGGGAGATCACGCACCAATTGATGCGGTTCTCAAGGCTTTGGAGAAATTCCCAAAAGTCTGATCATGTCGTCGAGGAAACGGATTTGTTGAAAAAGTGTTGGTATATTATTTCAGATATGACGTCTTGCGCATTATAGCATGGTATCAAAACCGTGTTGTGTAGGATTGATAAAACTAGTGGGATAATGTAGAATGCTTTACAATAAATTCTTTTCAACTTGCAAAATTGAGCTTTATATTGAATAAAAAAGTAGAATTGAAAGTATTAATTGGGTTCAATCCGTCTTACAAGGGACTAGTAGATCGTAGCGTCTCTCGGTACTGAGTGCTGTAAAACATGGATCTGGTACTCGCATCCTATTGTTGAGTTTGGTGGAGTTGTGAACGTTGGTGAAGTTGACAATCGTAGTGATTTTGGGTTGTGTACAGGCTTCTGACGCGCACATGTTCCAAGCTGTTGAAGTATACCGATAATCTCTTTGGCATTTCGTTTCTCAACATAGATGGAAGCCGTGAGCCAAAGAGCGTCAATGTCGTTCAGATCCTATTGAAGAGCATTATTCAGGCAATACAATGTGTAATCGTCGTGATCCTGAAAGCTAACCGAAATGGACATTAGCGTTGAATGGTTTAGACGAAAGATACTCACAATAAATCTGCAGCTAGGGCCCTTCACTCGTGACCTCGAAGGCCCGAAGAATTTGCGACACACAAACGTGCTTGCAAATCCGAGCTGGTTTGGTTCTTTGGTATCATGAATAGAAGACAATGCCCGTGCAGCCGGTTGACCAAAAGTAATCGCAAAGGACGGTAAAAGCTCCGACGGGCGATCTATATCCATAGAATCCTCCATATTGTTGAAATTCAACGTGTCTTTTTGATGGAAGACTTGTTAGGTTGACTAAAGGGTTACTGCGAAGTTTTGATTAAATTGTCCGCAAAGTCTAAAAGTGCCATTCAAGCGATAGGCAAAGTATTTTGAAGAATACCATGTCAAAATTGGGTTGGAAGAGTGTATTCGTTTGCGAAATTCATCAGATTGATGCCTTGGGTCCGAAAGCAAAGACCCACTCCAGATACGCGTACGGGTGCATTGAAAGTAAATCAAAGTACCGAAAGTGGTAAAGAAGATCAGAAAATGAGCGTCTATTAACTACCATAGTGCCTAAATTGTAGTAAATCAGCATAACTAGTGAGAAGCGAACGGAAAAGTCGAGATTGACGAGTCAACACCCTGTGAGGACGGTCTGGCATGTACTTCATATGTGAAAAATCTCAGAAGCGATAGAGATTGGTTCTTTTGATGAATACCATATCTCAGGAACCGATAATGCGGCAATCATCCACCCTGTCCAATGTCTCCACAAAACAGAGTTTCAATCGGATGGCGATACATACTCGTCACTGACATCGGTCAGCTCAATTGTTGAGATGATATAATCGAAAGTATGATAACCCCTCTTGCTGTGGTCGTATACAAGCAATGATTATTTCGTTGAAATCTAAAATCCAACCCAGCTTCGGCCACAGGCCATTTTGACGTATTCTTTGACGCCAAGTCTGTAGACATGTCAGCAACACACACGTAATTCTGCTTCTTCTTCTTCTTCGACTCTGTATCCACCAAAATGCAATACAGAGTTTGTCAAGTTTCGCTGTTTGACATCGATTGACGATATCAAACCACGTAGTAAAGTGGAATGGAAGAGACTCTGAGTAAAGGAGGCATCTCTGTTTCCTCCTCTGACATTCCCTTAAAAGCAAGGTCGTTTGAACACGCCGTGCAGATTGGAAGAAAAAAGAGTCATCGAGGTGTGTGGGGAGGGACTAAGTCAGGTTATAGGGTTTCGAAATTCGTCCGTATATGGTATTCCACGACATATGGCTTTATTTTCGCTCGTAGTCATGCTATGCCTAACACCTTATGCACACTAGATTCAGAATATAGGAAGGTGGTGTTTGCAAGAAGGCAAAACATCTTTATCAAGGTGAGGGTACTTGCAAAATTCAACCAGTCTTGAATGAACATCAACTGCCGTTGTTGGGTGCATAGTGAAGACCACTCCTTTCTAACACAACTCGTTACTTCAAACCAATGCATTCTGTTTGTGTTCTCTCACGCAGCTACCGTCGCATTTTCTCCCTTGAATCCAACAGCGTGGGCAGTAATACTCACGAAATCACTGTAGTATTGCCTCCCGTAACTCCAACAACCAACAACATCTGCAATCTCATTTACGCAATCACTCTTTGGTCCAAGTGCACATCCCATGCATAGGAATCATTAGTTCTATGTGTCAGCCGCAGGGCCATGTAATGGTCGTTGGGATATCGATACTTGTTTATATGACAAGGAATGGTATGCTTCTGCTAGTTGATTGGTCTCCTTCTCCACTGTTTGCGTTGATCACGTCGTCCGAGTATATCACATCCTACCTTTCGATACAATTGTTAACGGTCGGGTGCCGTACGAAGAATTTCAGACAGTCATTAGTGCTGTCCGTTGTTCGTACGATTCACCACGACACGTTCTATTGCCATCCAAAGAAGTGCACTTTGTGAGTTTAGTGTTGTTTCACTCCATTGTTTTCGACAGACTTCTCACAATTTTATTTTCAATCCAGATTCTTACACAGGTTCTCAAGTTTGTACTTTGTACCAACCACATCCCTACCATTGTCGTTGCAGCAGTACAAAGTATCGTCGCCGGTATTGCCACAGCCGTGAGGCGAGGTAAAGTTTAGGTGTCCATTGATAGAGAAAACGGAACTATTAAAAGACCTAGACAATGTTAAAGAATGAAAGAAGGTGTAGCTTGAGAAACAAAAGGTCATATACCCCAAAAATAGATAAAATCACATCAGCAGAGAAAGCTTGACTTTCTGCCACCACACAACATTCCAGGACGCGTTCATGTAGCTTGCGACTGTGTAAATACACTAGTCAAGAGCCGTCAGCCCTTTTGAAGAATACCATACAGCTGCAACCGATAATGCGGCATATCGAATTTTTTAAATGCACCACGTCCGGTTGGCTTACCAGAGGGGGACAAAACGAGTGGGAATATTCCAATGAAATGAATTAATATCTTGCAGAAATGCTGCACTGCTTGTCACAGTTTCGGTTGAAATCCAAGTAACAAGTCTTCCAGAGTCCATGGCGACGTGTTTTCTCACTTGATGGTCTCCATAATGTCTCTAATTCCCATTTGACGCGCAATGTTCTCCTTTCTAAGTCCCGCAAGTCACAGAATTGTAACAAGGCAGATTTTGTCTAGTTTTCGATCGAGGTTTGCAGGTTCTTTTCAATTCGCATTCGCACCAACAATGCCAACAACAATCCACATAGTAAAGTGGGAGGGAAGAGACTCTCAGCTAAGGGGACCACCAGTGATCTTGGAGTGTCAGATATAGAGGAAGAATCCGTGTCCTCTGCTCTGGTGTTCATTTACAAACAAGACCTTTTGCCCATGAATGTTGGAGAGAGAGTCGTTGAGGTGTGAGCATGGGGAGGCGAAAGGCTTGCAAGCTAGAAAGGAGGAGCCGTCTGTGCCAGCTCGCATTTGCGCGGGTGGCGTGGGCGAGACTTTGGACTGAAGGACAACGGGTGATGAGTACTGCTCATCAAAGTCACTTGCTAGCATGACTGGCCTGAAATCTGGATGTTACTTTGCCAAACAAACGTCTGTGCTCAGAACCTGCAAGTCGCTGCTTTAAGCATCCGTGCATCAAGAGCAAGATACCTGTATGCTCATGGTGCCGGACACGTCTTGCAGATGAAGGGTGGATATCGCACGCCAATTTATAGAATAATAAGCACTACAATTGCAATAGATTTCACTTCTTTGGCATCAATCATATATGTTCGAGACAGTAAAGCCAAATTCACTATCAGGTCTCCTCAATGAGAATGGTCGAGTATTGTACTTGGCTCCAATATCTCTTGCAATGGCCTGTACAGATTCTGCAGGTACCATCCGTGGTAATACCAACGTTGTGAGTTTGGAACATGAGACCATCATGTTTTTCAAGGAATCGGCAGGCAATGCCTCTCCACTGTTGCCCAACCAGAGCTTTTGTAGATTGGGACAGCTTTCAGCAATCAAGTTGATGCAGTCAGCGTTGAGTAGACCTGGATTACAAATTGCTAAGTCACGGAGACCTGCACCACGTTTTATAACTAGACCTATTACGGCTTCTACCAGTGAAGCTTCTTCATTTACATTGAGTCCCCTGAGGTTCTCATACCAGAGTCCCTTGATGGATTGCAGATGAGTAGCAGCAAGCTCAATGGCCTTAGGAGTAGCTTGGGTGCCTATCAAGTCGATATATTCGATATCCAAACAAGACGAGAGCACAAATCGTAATCCTTCATCACTTACTCTTTGACAATCAACCAATTGCAACCTTTTCAAAGACTTGCAATGTTGACTCAAAGCTTCAAGGCCATTGTCTCCTACATCAGTCTCTCCGAGCCAGAGTCCTTTGGGATTGGGACACTGCTTTACTATTGATGATACTACATTGTCGTCTACTGTGGCTCTCGAGCCAGTGACATCTAAATACATCAATGACGGACCAAGACAATGGATGATGGCATCTGAGAACACAGCACCTCGCTTTTGAGGCCTCATGAATTCTAAGACGAGAGTTTTCAAAGGAGCTCCATTATATTTTTCAGTTTTGGGAGGCTTTCCAGTCAATATCATTTCAGATATGACCAAAGTCTCGATATACTTGTTTCGTCGTAGCAATCTATAGAATATCTCTTCACCAATAGAATCTGCTCTGATTCTTACATCTTTCAATGACCATGAGAGAGAAGAGCGCCAACATAAAGCTCGTGTCAATGTAAATGCACCCTAATCAGTATGGAAAAGGTTCAGTTTAACACAGTTCCAAGGTATACGAAAGTATAACGATGGAAATCGACATGAAAGACCCTCTAAAAACTAACCTCTGCCTCATGGAGACGCACATTCGACAAGTCCAGCTTCTTCATAGCTGGTACAAAGCGATGATTACTGCTAAGTCCCGTATTCATTTGAGCAACCATAAGACCTGAATACGAAAGGATGAATTGAGTTCGAGAAAAAAGCAATCAGTGCATTTGAATTCAATGCTTACCACGAGCCAAATCTCCTACTTGACGATGACTCACAACGACTGGTGCAGCCCATAAAAGCCTTGACGCTTCTGCATACCAACGATGATTGACTTGGGAGCATATAGATAGGGTCACTTGACTTTGGGATGTTCGTGGTCTGATAAGGTAGGAGAATATAATGGACAGGATCTCCGAATGAAGCGTGCCAGGAGTTTGGTCTTCACTAGAGTGATCTTCGATCGAGATTTCAACAATTTTGGCTCTATCTGGTGAATCGGATCGACGAATCACGTCCTGTGTGGTTGCGAGAGCTGTGGCTACTGGATTGTCGTTGGTTGGTGGTGAGGTCAAATGCTTTGGTTCAGCAGGAATCGCAACATCTGTACTAGCTTCACGAGATACTGGAGGCATCGAGACTGCAAAGTAATTAATATTGTGTCCTACAAATATTACAAATCCAGTAGAAAATGAGCATGGGGGAGTCTGAATAGTTTCATGTTTTCAAAGTAACTGTGAAATCAACTGATGCATTGCAACTTACGATGTTTAAAAGTCTCATATGCATTCTCAACAGCACTTATAGCACATCTGATTATGTGGGTAGCTTCGGATCTGTTCTCCTTTTCCCTCCAGAGTTGATGTGTTTGTTGATGAAACGTTTTGAGCAAGGAGTAACTGATGGAAAGAGCATAGAGTACGAGTCCATCTCTAGCGCCGTCAGCCCTAGATGATGATGAAATGTATGCGGTTAGAGCTTGTTCCGGTGATGTGCTCTGTTGGGTCAGAATGACATGTGCCTTAAATGTTATGGCAATAGTTCTACAAGTCAACCCCATAGTTCTTTAGCACTTACATGATCAAAAAGTAGTTCCAGACTGGTTATTATGGTGTCCTTCACCGATGGAGGGGGTATTTTGGGCCAGTTCATACTGGTCATTGTTGATGAGATGTGAGTCATGGATGATTTGGTGAAAGACTCAACAGGTTTCACCAAACACGTGAAATGAAAATGAAATCGTGAATTAAATCTGCAACATAGCTCGAGCACAAGGGATGATCGTCCACATTTTTATTATGGCAAATGCCAACCTCGTTTGTAAGCATCTGTTTTGAAGACATTACACTTTTACATCTAAAACAAGCCTCCCTTTACAGTCGAGGGTCGAGCACAATCCTACCGGCGATGTCGCCCTTGCGCATTCTGTCGTATACATGGTTGATTTTGCTCATGGGCAAAACTTCAATCTGGTTGTGTACAAGACCTCTAGCGACAAAGTCAAGTGCTTCAATTGTGTCTGCTTTTGATCCCATGATTGTTCCTCTGATTTGAATGTTTCGTGAAGCAATCAAAACAATTGGTACATCCAACTATAATTGTGAAGAAATCGGTGAGGCTTCTGGATATTTTTTAAAATAAAATGCCATTGTAGAGCGCATTCAGGCTCAGTATCCATAAGATATTGTAAAGAGACTCGTCATATACGTCTTCGCTCGAAAAAAATGCATTACCTTGGCATTGTGAGGTAAAGCAACACAGACCATCACACCAACGAATGGTCTCAAGTAACCTGGCGCTTGACTGTACGCCAATTGTGATGTAGCACAAATCAAGGCACCGTGAGCTCCACCACCTGTAACTTTACGGACGGCTGATGGAATGTTCTTTTCTTTGGTAAAGTCAAGGAAGACTTCGGCGCCGAGTCTCTTACAGAGTTCCTCCTTGTCTTTTCCACCATCAATGGCAACGATTCTGAAGCCCATAGCTTTTCCGTATTGAACCTGTGTGATGTTGATTGTCAGGATTGTTGTGATGCAGCTTGTGGTAATTGAGAACGGTGGAAGTACTCACGGCAAGATGACCGAGTCCACCTCCAGCACCTGGAATGACTACCCAATTTCCCGGCTTAACATCATTGCCAAACAACTTTAGACCCTTGTATCTAGGTATCGTGCAACACGTCAGCATCCTTTGGATCAGCAGCGAGAGGATCAGCAACCCAAAGACACATACACAGTCAATCCAGCACATAAGACTGGAGCAGCTTGCTCAAAGGACACATTGTCGGGGAGTTTTATCAAACCAACAGCCTGGACTGTGCAGTATTCTGCAAAGGTACCATCGGCTGCCATTCCCATATCGACACGGTTGATGCAACCAACGGTGTGGCCAGCAAAACATGGTTCACAGTTGTTGCAAACGTTTTGTGTCATGCGTACTCCTACTCGATCACCGACTTTGAAATCTTTTACTTTGTCGCCAACTGCTACGACGAATCCAGCACCTATTTGTAGCATGTTTCAGTCGATAGCTGCAAAACGAAAATGTAATGGATGATAGGGAAGTTTCCATATCGTAATACGTCGTTTATGTGTGATGATGTAATCAATTCAGCCTACCTTCGTGACCACCTCGTATTCCTTTTTTGGCGACAGAGACTTCGCCATCTTGAATGTGTAAATCACCTAAATACGATAATATTAGCATTTGGTGACAATCGATTGAGAAAACAGCCAGACGTACTGTGACCTATAAAGTGTGTGAGAGTTAGGGTTGAACGAGTTCTAAAGCTGCAGCAAAAACTTACTAGATGCACAAAGAAGTAGATTGATTCATGAATTTCAAGATGTTAGATAGCTATCTCAATGCCTCAACCCCCCGAACAAACCTACCAAACACCAGTCTTGACGATTCGAACTAACGTAAGAAATGTTGAGGTGAGCTTGAAGCACAGCGACTCAATTCAAACCCCGTTACCTAGAGCTTCATCAGCAGCAGGCTTGGGAACAGGTACGTCTGTTCTGAGAATTGCTTCTGGTCCAAACTAATGGTCAAAAACCATCAGTGAACGTCTATAGTAACACGAAACGCTTCCGAGCGACGCAAGCGAAAGCAAGATATAAAAGAAGTAGATACCTTTTCTAGGACGATGGCTCTTTGAGTCTTTGGTATAGTTTCCATGGTGTCTTTTATAGCGAACGGTTATTACTGTTGACTTATGGTGTGAAAGTGAACGATGAAGTTGCTGAGCCTGGCAGGCTCAACGACGTGAACGCAGGGTAGTCTAGGCACGATCTCTTGATCTAAACCCCTCAGACGATTCGCAAACCGTTCGCAGTCGGTTGTACGTTACGTGTTTTAGTTCAAACTGCACAATATATAACAAGCCATCGTTGGTGGCCAACACCACGCTCAAAATACTCATTATGTGGCGTCGTTCTTGATTTCAATACCTCTGGATATACTAAAGCTAAGCAAACACCTCCCGTAGAAGCAAACGACACTGGACTAGATGATCTTCGACACGTCAGCTCTGGATTTTGTTGATATCTGATCCCAACGGTCAATGACTTACTCTTCCGATACAGCTACACGTACTCGACAATGATGGTGCCATGGATCTCAATCCTTCTCATTACAAAAACGAGCAATACAGTGAGACTCGGCAAACAGACTCAAATTTCCGGTGTACACTGTGTACACTAACACTCGTTCTTTGAATCCTTGTATGGAAGAACTGCCGCCAATTGTCAGGATATTGGCATAGAATGCAGCTTGCAGGCCTTTGAAGTAGGAAGAAGGTTATGGTTATGCAGAGAGCGAAAAAAAGCCGCTGCGACATATACTGAATTTTACCTGTTGGTTTATTTTCGTTAACATCGGCAATGACCTCACACATCCCTGCGTTCTCTGTGCCTATAGCGATAAAGGTCAGATTCTGTGGTTTGGACAAACCGTTGAAAATAAAGTACCAACATCACTAGGTCTGAAAAGCAGTTCTGGAACACAAAACCGTTCAGAGTTCATGATCAGCGAAGCACCCTATGATATATGAAGATTATCTCGTATAAAAAAAATCTTGCCACTATCCATGTAGTCCATTAACAAATCCTTCAATCGTTCATGTACTAGAGCCGTAGTGCGTGCTGACGACCCTTTCGAGATAACGTTCAACGTCCTGATATTTCGGATTCTATTCACAGATCTAGCTATAGCAATCATTCCTTCGAAAGAAATGGGAGCACATTGTACGAATAGCAACCCAATTGTAATCTCTTCCACCCCCTTGTTTAAACGCTTTGCATATCGTACGAATTGTTGCATGACTAATTCAATTGAGTTGCGTGTTAGCAACATATCAATAGAGTAAAGACCACGAAACAGTGGTGTTTTCAAAAAATCCAAATCTGGATCCCCGATATTTAGCAGCCTAGCATTGTTTAAGTTGCATTGTCGCAACTCGTCAGGACATAACTCGACACCGATACCAAAAATACCCTCTCAGTAGCTGGAGTACCACGTGAGAGAGCAATCAGTATTTTAGAAGCAATTTCCTTGGGTGCGAGATCAAAGTGGAAGTCAAGACCAATGATGACTTTCTTCAAGTGTAGCATTTGTTCTCTGGCAACCATACTTTCAATAAAGTGCAGTGCTTGTGCTGCTGATGTATCCTCAACAACAAAAGGATCTCCGTTTAGAGAGAGTGCATCCACCTTTGGTGGTAGTGTTGTATTGTAAATATCACAATCCCATTCCAAGCTGATTTTGACTATGGTCGTTTTTTCTTTGGGCATCATTTATTCTGCTGAGAGTCTGAATATCATTGGCTCTGGTTACTAGCACTGTGTCGTCTCCGATAAAGTGGGTTTTTAGTAGCGGGATGGCTACCGCTTGTGGAGGGAATCTTATCGAGATTATTCCGTAAATCTTATCGGAATTATGACCAGGGATCTTATACGGTCTCCTTAGTGCAGTCTGCATATGTAACCAGTCCGGAACCATAAGCTGTTGAACAAGTGCGTCAAAGATGAGTCAAAGTGAGATGTCAAAATGCAAAGCGTCAAAACGACACCATTCGCGAGCCAACCTTTGCGACGTCTCCATCAATCATGTAGTTTCCTGTACATTCTATATCGAGACAATTACCAACTTGACTGATCTTCAAAGGAGGGAGCACCTCCTTAATGTTAGGATCGCCATTCCATTTATTGAGAACCAAAGAGTAAGATACGATCAGAGCATGGTCGTTAGTATTTAATCAACAAAACGTCGGTGAAATGCCCCTTTTGCCTCCATCCGTGATATAAGTCGTGTTTTTGAAGTTAGCTGGACGTTTGTATCTCCTTTTGAGTGTATGTCTTCCATGAAACCCGCTATTTGAGGGTTTGATGGCTGAGCTTTCTTTATTGGTGGCATAGCTGTATGTGGGCATAGACTGGATTGTTTTCTTAAAGAAGAGAAGAACTCTGGTAGATCGAAGTTTTGACTGTCGCACACCTTGACCATAAGCGTGGCATCCTGCGTGAGAATCCTTCGACGTGGCATGAAGGGACGAACGAATTTTTTAAACCCATTTATGCGCGTTCTCAAATATCTTAACGATAGCGACCGGTTCGAGAAACAGCTTCAAAAGACGTGACAAATTGAACTTAAAACGTCATCGAGTTATGAGGGGAGCAGACGTATTCCATTCTAATTGGTATAAATACAGCCGCCAGAATGATTAATAAGTATTATTAAATCGGATTACATGTAAAGGCGAGGCGGTTGAATGCGTATTCAACTGGTGCAAGGACCTTGTTCCACGTCAGCACAACTGCTACAGCACTTACAGACAAGTATAAGGTGAGTAAAAGTTTTTAAATCCAGAAACATGTGGTCATTGGATACGTACTTTTGAAGAACGTGATGCGGCACAGCAGCAAGACTCACAGGACGTGACCTTGTGGTTGATAATATCTGATACGTGCCAGCATCCAGATCACAATCAGAAGTATACCGTATTCCAATCGAGAACTTTTGCGATAGTCCCGCTATCTGTGAAAAGTCCAAAATCAAGTTTTGGTACCCGAGTAGACTCGTGCACTTTGTTGTTGTATCATATGAATCCAGTTTAAATAGCACCCGTGCATAGCTTATGGGTTCTGTAAGAGATATTTGCAGCTCCTGGCTATTCAAGTCTTCTGTTACGATGAGGTTGGGATTGGATGACTTGTATATGGGTCCAGACGTGAGGAGTTTGTCCAATACATTTAATTGTGTAGCTGGACACGGTAGTTTCGAGCATCCCATCACGTTTCCTGTAATATCGTACTGGCAATATGACGAAGAAGTGCATGATGCACCGAAATCATTTGCTCCTGCTAGATTTGATGATGGACGCGAAAGTGATGAGTTACTTGTTCCCTCGATAACTGAAGCGCTCAAAAATCTAGAATATGATGACACACCGGTGCAGCAGACGTTATCTCCTTCGATGCACGCACTGTTGCTACCACAAGTCGAGCTACATGTGCTCGTAATTTGAGACACACAGAAAACCTAACACATTGCATCAGTTATCGAGAAAACCACTTGGCGCAGATCAGGTTAATTGACTATGAGACGTACCAGGAGCAACAATATCACGTAATCAAACCTCCAGACCATCGCTTCTGCAGTTTTTTCGGTGGGGTTGGGCTGGTGGATGTTGGCTTTGTCTCACAAAAAAACTCTAATTGAGCGATCACCATTAAGTATTGAAGATATTGATGTATGTTTCTTGAGTATAACTACTTGCCCTTCATGTTTGGGTGAGGCCTGGGAGACCCTCTGACCCGTTGTGAGTGGTTTAAGAAACAAATCAGAAAACAGACGAGTTTTTGGGAGCGGTCACTCATCTCCCTCGTATCCGTGTATTTAATGGACGATTTCACATCACATTAGTGCTGTTCTTGGTACAGAAGCATGTTATTAGGCCATAAAATCGCGTCTCGCGACAAACTGGTGAGTAGGAAACACGCAAGCAAGTGCAGCGCAATGTCCCTTCAAAGGGCTGGATCCACACTGAATGTAGCGTATTAAGCGTAATTGTAGATTTCTTTATTGTCACTTTCGTTTCAGACATGGCACTGCCATGGCAATTGCTGTGCCAACATGCTGTACGATTGCGCGGACCGTACCTATAAAAAGAGTTGCAAAGCGCACTAATAGCTAGATTCCCTGTGAATCCACGTAAGAATAATGGTCACTTGACCAATTTGTCTCTAGGATTAATGGGTGGGATTTGGAGACGCATCAACACACCAACACAACAAAAACAACAATTATTCGTACCCTGCTCCAAACATCAAAGGGACGAGAAGAGCAAGTGCAGGCCCAAGCAAGGCATAACCCAAGGCTGTAGGCCGCCCCTATATAATAATCAACCCACACAACCGCACTTATCCGCAACCATGATTGTTTCGACACCAACAAAAGGAAACAATGCTCCCTCGGCCTTCATTACCTCGGCGCCCAGAACAAAGACCAAGATTATACAGAGGTCGCTTCATGCCAATCCATCAAACACACCCTCAAAATCAGGTATAATCATCACTTTTGTTGTTTTAACGCCATTTGCAGTGATAAATGAAACCAACAGTCTAACCTCTATTATAACAGCCACGACACCAACAAATGGCAACAGTCCATTGACTGTCGTAGAAGGCCCGAGTACGAGAACAACTCCTACTAGGCAGAATCCTGGATCATCACAACAGCAACAGCAACTAGCAACAAACTCCCCAACGAGAAGGAGGATTGTAAGATCAATCTTCCCGCCTCCTGCCGCTGCATCAATAGCGTCATCATCAACCGCCGCGGCAGTGGAAGATCAAGGTCATGCCAAACCGAAGCGACATATTGGCAACAAACGAAGTAGTGATGCATCTTCAATAACCAGTACGAAAGGGGACAGTGGTGCTGCCGAACCTGTATTAAAAGCCAAGAGGATCAGCACTAGGAAGTCAGCAAAGAGTTATGAGTCGCTCGAGACGCCTGAACAGCAGGTTGTTGACAAGCCCCTAATGGAATTAGATAGAGAACGAGAAGAGTCGGATGCTACCGTACCAGAAGTGAATGGATCCTCGAGTACTTTGTCTGGTTTCTTCTCTCCTACATATAACTTGCTGAGGAAGTGGGCTGGAGTTGCAGGTAAAAAAAGCACCACACGCACAACTGAATGACAGCACGGGGCACGCCTATTTACGCAGTTAACACTTTTAGATGGCAAGGATTCAGACGGAGAAGCCAAGGAAGACGAGAATGTGCCGCCCGCCGAATCGGCCCCATCATCATCACCTTCAACAAAACGTTCAACCCCCGACCCACAGGAATCGTGTAAATTGATACCCGACGATACCGCTTCTACACCACCACCTGCTAGCCTGTCAACTGCAGCAGCAAACCTGAATCTGCAGTCTCCGCATCATCATAGTTATTATCAGAATCATGAGCATGAGGTTGAAGAAGTTGAGAATGACCCTGATGCAGGTGGTGAAATGGCCGTAGACGATACAGAAGACCTTGAAGATGAATTCGACCCGTAAGTATCAAGGGTGTGGAGTTGGCATCGCGCATTGCAGTTCACTCAGTGTTTCTTTTGTTGCACATGTTTTCAGGTACAGTTTTATAAGGTCACTACCACCTCTGACGAAAGAACAACTAGCAAGACCATGTGTGCTGCCACGAAGGACTCGATCCACTCCAAAGATAACACTGGTGCTGGACTTGGATGAGACCCTTGTCCACTGCTCAACTGCATCAATCGAAGCATCAGACATCAACTTCCCTGTCGAGTTTAATGATCAAAGTTATCATGTCTCTGGAAGGTTGAGGCCGTTTTGTAGAGAATTCTTGGAAGGAGCCGCAAGAATGTTTGAAGTAAGTGCTAAGAATTGAGCGAAGGGCTGACGTTTTTGCTAACTCATATGGACTCCTTTTTGCTCTAGGTCGTAGTATTTACTGCCTCTCAGAAGATTTATGCTGAAAAAGTCTTGAACATTTTGGATCCTGAGAAGAAGTTGATCAAGTGAGACATCCTTCAATGGGAACCTTCCTTTTTTTTGGTCTGGGAGAAGGACTGACAAAATTTATAATTTCTAGATATCGACTGTTTCGAGACTCGTGTCTTTTGGTTTACGGCAACTATCTGAAGGATTTAACTATACTAAATCGAGACATGATGAAGATGGTGATTGTAGACAATTCACCACAAGCCTTTGGTTTTCAGGTTTGTATGCTATTGTTGTCGTGCCAAGATAAGATCTTTTATACTGATATACACTTCCACGCTTAGGTTGATAACGGAATACCCATTACCTCGTGGTATGAAGACTCAACCGACTGTGAGCTCAAGACGCTATTAGAATTCCTCAAAACTATACAGCATGTCGAAGATGTCAGGTACGATAAGTAGCGAGAACGTCTCTGTTACAATGAGCCGCATACACTAACATTTATCAATTAGGCCCCGCGTTGCTGAAACGTTTGGTTTACGGGAACGTGTAGAGGCCGCCAGACCCATGCTATTAATGTAATACTATTTGATACTAGTTCTGTTATTATGTATTTTTTTACGGTTTTATCCTACTACAACAATATTAAACACGGTTTCGCGATGGTGAATATGTGGACTTGTGGATTCGTGCGGGTGATCGCGTATTGTGCGTAAATTTTGGGACCGTAGACTTGCGTGATTCAGGTTCTTTCTCCTCCTCGCTGGGAAATGCATTCTTGTCCGAATGGGTTTTCCCAACTTTTTTTTTTCACCTCACCTCGAAAAAAAAAACCAGAGACCTCCTCTCGAAACTTGTGATTCGTTCCCCAAAACCTGCCTACCGAAAGATGATATAACGACAGTATCGGCAATATCTGCCATATTTAAGGTAAGTGCTGACCCGAATTTACGCTGGAACGTTCCTTGAACGCCTTGCTTACACGTCGTTTGTAGTGAGACGGAGCGAAGTCTAAGAATGAGTGCACTTGACTTCCTTGCAGAGATTGCATCTACCGAATCAGGATCATTGCCATCATATCAGGGCGAGGCACGCATAGAATCGCATACAGATGTACAGGCAAGCCCGGTATTTGGCAAACGTGACACCTCATCAAGCTCATTAGAAAACATCATCAACAAACCCAATTTTGATAATTTTAGAATGGAGATCACCATGGCATACCCTCGTTAGCTGTAGTATCTGATGAGACGTCGCAGAAACCAGTTGGAATGATGGAAGAGGGCAGCTGGGTATGTTGGATTCTGTTGCAACTGGTTTGCAACACTACCACACAACAAACTGTGCTGATCTACGTGCCAACGACTTGTATTTGATCACTAGGGCATGGATGGTCTTGAGCATCCATCTACCACCAAGTTCTCTGGAGAGCCCGTACCTGACCCACTAAATTTATACCGCTGCAAACGAGCAGGTTGCAACAACGCGTACGATTCGCCCCAGGGACTCGTTGACCACCTCATGAGTGCACACGTTAGCACTGTCTCACGTGGCGGTTACGAATGCCCCTCATGTGAGGGTGTATTTTCCAGACAAATGGGTCTCCGCAACCATCTACTCAAAGAACACATAACAATGCCAGCACGACGATTCTCAACTAGCATGATTATACCACCCGGAATGTCGCCGTCCCCACTACTCCATCCACAATCACCGCTAATGTATGGCACAGATATTATCACGGGCCGGTCTCCATCGCTACGACCGCTACCACCGCCATATGGATCTGAGATTATGGGTAAATCTCCATCGTTGAAACCACTGCCGCCATCCGCGACACATATCGATAGTGATTTGAATCTGGATGCTTCGTCAGCTGCGACAAGGCCTACCGATACAACCCCGTATTCTGATATAGGAGAATACGACGATGATAAGGACGTAGATGTAGAAGGAGATGGTATAGAAACCGATCTGGGACCAGAACAACAGCAGCAACACCACCAGCCTACAATTGCTCATCAATTACTTGTAGTAGCTCAACATCACGCTGACGCGGTACCAGACCAGGTCTTCCAATGTCCGAAAATGGACTGTGAAGAAACGTCAGACGATTTCCAAGTCTTGTTGAAACATATGATTGCTGGACACGCTGATATGAATTCGGAAAGGCCGTTTATTTGTCCTTATCCTGCGTGCAACAAGTCATATCCTGGACAAGGGTACGTGTTTTATATTTTGCGGAGTGCTCGAAAAGGGATTCGGCATAAGAAAGTCTGATCGTTTTGACCTTTTTTTGCCATCTAGTGGAATCAAATATCACATTCTGCATGTACATGCTGATAGAACAGGTGTGCCTGTGCCAGAGATTCAATGTCCAAGACCTGGATGTCGAAAAGTTTATACCACATCTGGTGGTCTTATCTATCATCTCGAGTATGGTCATCCAGGACCACACGCTTCAGCAATAGAAGTCGATGGCCCGCCATACAATTGCCCGGGTAAATACATTCATTTTAATGACAAGAACACCAATAGATTCATGGAAGCATTTAAACCCAGTCTAAACCCAGTCTAATCCCAAAACTCATTTTCCTTTCACATTTTCTAGAGCCAGGATGTTCCTACGGTTTTCTGAAAGTGCAAGCCACCGAACTCCATATCTGGCAAAAGCACAACAAGAGACAAATATTAACAGCACCAACAACCGAAAATGGTAGTGGTGCTGCCGTAAACACTAGTACTAGTATTCATAATAGTAATAACGATGGTGGCCAATCCGACGACGAAGCAGACGACGATGAAGCTGGAGAGGCTTCTGGTAGACCACTAGCCGACTTGGTCAAAGCTGCTGCAGCGCTAGTTGATGATGGCACCCCAACAACAGCAACAACAACAAATGGAGCTACATATGTCGAAAACCCAATAACACCACCGCTCTCATTGGATGACGATGAACACCAGCAACAGCAGACAGGCGCGCCACCTGTGAAGAGGAAACGTGGTCGTCCACCAGCAAGTCCATCTGTATCTATCGAGCGGGCCATAGAACCGAAAAGAGGACGACGACTAAGCAGAGGTGGTGGTGGTGTTGGTGTGCGATCTTCCACACGCAGTGGAAGCAATAAAAGAAACAATAGGGACACTGATGATGTTGATGTGGTCGGAGGTGGTGATAATCTCTAGGAGAAGAGAGAGAGAGATTTACTTTAAAAAAACCAGCACCCTCAATTTTTGTTTGTTTTTTTTTTCGAGTTTCTTTGTTTCTTAAATATACACTCTCACGGTTTACGTAAAACTTGGTGCATGTTCTCACGGTGTTCGTACGTCGTGGGGGTTTGACTTTAAACTTCTGACGCGGTACTATTGACTTCCAATAACAACTAGACAATCATCAATGGTCTACAGGATGATTTCCCTTGCTTTAATGGTATTCATGATTGCATCTCGGTGCACATCACTCCCCCTCATCCAAAAACAACTCGATTCAATCTGTGCAGACATCAAACCCCACCAAACCTATCTGATTTCTCTAAAGCCAACTCACGCATCAACTTTACATCACTCAACCATTCTCGCAAACCACTACAAGATAATCAATACGCATGGAGTCAACATCAAACATCGCTGGCAAATTGGCAGCGTAAGTTTTGTCCAAGCGTGTGAAATATCATGTGGTTTTGACAGTTGCTTATAAGCGTACGCTGATGCACAGAATTGCATTATACTAGTTTACAGGATACTCGATATCTTTCGACTCGCCCTCATCATGCAATGCTTATTTCGGACGTGTAGCAGACGGTGCGTCCATTGCTAGTGAGGAGCATCCACAGCTTGATGTTGAGTTTGCAGAGGAGGATGATGAGGTGTCGATTTCTGACGGTGGTGGGGACGAAATGAAAGATGTTCAGGTTGATGCGCCTTGGGTGAGTGGATTCTTTGACCTTGGATGTGTAAAGATCTTGTTAACAATTTTTTTTGTGGCAAGCATTTGGATAGAATCGATCAAGAGTCGCTGCCGCTTGATGGCGCATATCATTTTCCTAAAAGTGCTGGTACTGGGGCTGATATTTACATCGTTGACACGTAAGACATTACAACTTCCTCCAGTAATTTTTTTAGCGAATTTTCTAACCGGCTTCAACTTGAATATTTTTACATAGTGGTGTAAATCCACACCACGTCGACTTGTATCCACGAGTTATATTTGAAGTCAGTACTAGTTCTTCATCTCCATCGCTACAGGATGAGAATGGACATGGTGAGAATTTCAAATGCATTACTAGAAATAACCTGTGTTTTTTTCGCTACCCGCAATATTAGTAAACAGGTCTCACACAAAAGCAAGAACTGACTCCTTTCATCCAAACTAGGTACTCATTGTGCAGGAACAAGTGCAGGTCGAAAGTATGGTGTAGCCAAGAATGCAACCATAGTCGCAGTCAGATCACTCAATGCTGCTGGCAAGGGACCATTCAGTGATGTGATTCATGGACTTCAGTGGGTTGCAAATCGTGTCCAGCAGAATCGTGGGCGGCCAGCTATCGTCAAGTAAGTAGTGGCAAAGAAACTAGTATATTAGACGACCATGGGTTTCGAAGAGACTCAATTTTCTTTTGCAATGTAGTCTCTCAGTACAAGGAAAAGCTAGTGGAACACTTACGAAAGCTGTTGTTGCATTGGCTAATATGGGTGTTCATGTTACTGCTGCTGCTGGTGAGCAAAACAGAAGATTGTCTCCTGTTGCACACGTAGTCCAACTGACGTATCGTGTTCCTCTAGGTAACTCTGGTGAAGAAGCATGCATTCATTCTCCAGCAATCGCCAGCAAGAACTCTACAGTCATTGCAGTTGGAGCAACAGACATCCACGACGATATAGGCGTGTACTCCAACTATGGAGAGTGTGTCACGATCTTGGCTCCAGGTTCGAATGTCGTGTCTGACTATATTGGTAAGAGGTTAAAGCTTCAGTGGCTAGTATGATTCTTTGCATACTTCTTATTTGGCTTTTTTTGCACATAGGAGACAACGACTCGACAAAGCAACTTACTGGAACATCAATGGCTAGTCCACAGATTGCAGGCGTCATTGCCAATCTCATTGCAAGTGAACGTGTTGATAATGATCCGAAGCTGGTGAAGCAGTACCTGTTGGAACATGCATCAACGGACGTGATTTCGAGCTCTGATGGTGGATCTGTGGAGTATGCTCCTTTTGTGTATCTGAACTAGGTAAATATTTGTGTAAATCAGTGGCTATTAATATTGTATCGCCATTGTGATTCAAGGATTCACAAAGAACCATATGATGTACAAAATCTTGAATCTATTTTGCTCTACCTCGTTCACGTACCGGCAGATCCTGATAAAACGGACAGATTCACGATTCACGAGAGTTTCGTTTTGAGTTTGCGTCGGAAGCATGGGGTGTGGTTTGATTCAACCCTTCATCCAATTGCTTGTGTCTTTCACTCACTGCCAACAACAGCACCCAACAACAACAAACCGAATTATTTATAAAGGAAATCCGCTTTCACAACCATGGCAGACGTCGGAGTAAGTTGACCTCCCTTCTTTTGCTTCTCTTTCGTTTGATGTGTTGGGAACGAGCGCTGAATTTTTTTAATATGTTGCATGTGTTATAATTGTGTCTTGTTGGACTCGCAACTTGCTGCAAATGCACGGTACTAATAGACACATTTACGTCTACAATAGACTAAATTTGGCTCATCTAGCTCGCTAACTATGAAGACAGAAGTCTGCGTCGCTTGTCAAAAGGTACTAAACAACATTTGCAACATTTCGATAAAGGGACTCATCAAAATGTCGGACGGAGAGACTAAAAGAGAACGTTTCCGTAACAGGTGGTCTATCCTATGGATATCTCCAAGGCTGACGACAAGGTAGTACCTAGTTATGGTGGCTGTGCTCACAATGTTGTGGATTGTGTTGGGGTTGACATTGAAGGAAATTTCGCCTTTATTTAGGTCTTTCACAAGAGTTGTATTCGATGTGGTCATTGTAACAAAGTCTTGTCTGTGAGTGGTGTTTCCGTTTGGGTTGTGTAGTATCCATCTTATCCCAATACGTGATGTTTTTTTGCTGACGTACAAACACAAACAGTTGGGAAACTATGCTGCTCTGAACGGTGTCTTTTATTGCAAACCGTGAGTGCCTTTATGTCATACATACTACTCGCTCATCTAACTTGTCGTTTGACAATAGTCACTTTAAGCAACTGTTTGCCATGAAGGGTAACTACACTGATGGTTTCAAGGCCAGTGAAGAGAACCGTACTGCATCCAATGTATGTGCTTCACCACAGATTTTGCTTTTTTTTGCGTGAAATCTGCTGTTTCTCAATTTAACTAACAAACCTCCGTAGGCTGCATTAGACAAAAAGGAAGAAGCAGTGGAAGAAGTCATCGAGCCAGTCAAAATCGTAGCTGAAATCAAAGCATCTTCAGAACCAGACAACCGTGGCTCTCAAGCCAACAAGGGAACCGTCGCATCCCTCTCATCTGCCTTCACCAACGAATCATCAGACCGTGGCTCACAAGCAACAAGGGGCACCGTCGCAGCACTCTCATCAGGATTCTTGAAGGATGAAGCAAAAACCGAACAGAGCAAAACCCCACCGCCAAAACCAGCTAAATTGTCCAAGACCTTTGGAGCTGCGTCTGAATCATCCCCTGATTCACCACAAACTGCTGTCGTTGAATCACCTGTTAATGGAGGCAAGACAATGGCCAAAGTTATGCCTCAGACTGTTGAGGAGTTGCAGGCCTTGTTGCGTTTGAGGGATGATGAGATCTCGATGCTTAAACGTGAATTGGAGTCTCAACGCGAGGTAAACTATGTCGTGAGTTATGAATTCCTTATAGTGTGTGGTTTGCTGACGCGTGATTCAACGTCATAGACTTATGAACGACGATTGGCAGCTTGATTTTGGTGTTGATACCAACATAATGATAAACTTTATTATACCTACACACCTACAGAACTAGCATTGTCTTATAAGATTATAGAAATCACGAGTAGTACGTACACTATGATGTTCATGATGATTGATCGCGTCACAATATTTGCAAGTCCAAAAAAAACTAGTTCTCTGCGCACGCATCAAACAGGGAGAGAAAACATGGCAGCTCAGGGAGATACGAGGCCCGTATCAGCATTTCCACATCCACCTCCATACTACACGTACTTTACAGATGCCAACACTGCAGCAGTTGAAAACGGAAATCAAGCTCCTGACGTTGTTCGTCGATTCTTGACGCCGCCTGAACCAATTACTGGCAAATACCAGATATTTGGACGATGGACTGATGTATGTCGTTGCTTGATGTCCTTATTTCTCTTTGATGTGGTTGCTAAAATCACAACATTTGTAGGTGCAAATTCAGTCTACGACATTGGCTGATCGCAACATCAAACAATTATATCCTGATGGACCGATAGGTAACAGAATGCATGAAAAACTGATTATTGATTAGATGCTTACACGTTCAACGTCAGACCGTCGAAAAGAGCTCCAATCTCTGAACGAATCGCTGCTAGCCAACTTTGTCGAATTATTGGATGTTCTAGTCAGACACCCCAAAGATGTAAAACACACTATTTCTCACTTTATATGCATTCATTGAAACTCATCGTGTATTCTCACCTAGTATGCAGTCAAAGTGGCAGATATTCACACAGTCCTACAAAACATGCACCACTTGATCAACGATTACAGACCTCATCAAGCTCGTGATACGCTGCAACTGATGGAAGAACGTCAGATACGTCGTCGTAAAGCAACCACTGAAGAAATCAATAGGTAAGCTGATAAAAACGGTACACTCAATAGAGGGACTGCACAAGTTTTGCTTAACGCAATTACCACTTCTAGAGCATGTGATGAAGTTCAAACAATACTAGACTCGTGTAAATCATTACTGATGGTACCAGCTCCTATGACTGTTGATACCACGATACAATCACAACCAGAGCAACCACAACAGCAGCAGCAATTGAATAGAAGTGAGCAAGTTCAGGCACTTTTAGATGCCATGAAAACCATTGAAAGCATGACTCAAACATAACATTGTTTTGTAATATAAGACTTTGAATACAAACACTAATTTATCATTCATTTTTTCGAGACGCCGACTGTTGAGCACCGTTCTTCTTTTACAGTCGAGGAGTTTCAGTAGCACCATCAGCTTTAATCAGTTGGCCTGTAGCAGGTTGGAATAAGAGTTAGCAAAAAAACACTTTCGACGAGTATGAACACTCACCTCTTGGTGGTGGAATCGCTCGCACTCCTCCAGGCATGCCTTCATACGCATAAGCAGTCTTGCCATCATCAATAGCACGCCAGAAACAAGACGTCATGATACTCATAGGCACATATCCACCAGAGCTTTCAACACCTCGTTGGTTTATGATTTTTTCTTCGAGGCCTGCTTTTACCATGTTTGTGTTGACCACTATTGAATATATCAGAGATGTAAGTAGATGTCCGAAAATATCAAGTTGATACATTTTGTGACTCGGGGAAATTTTTTTTGTCTTTGATTTGCGAAAACTCAAAGGCATTTACTCTCACGATTCTGCACGTTGATTATATTGTTGGCAAAATGATTTCATCAGACTTACTCCATGGGCAAACGCAATTGATCCGAATGCCATCAGTTCGAGCTAATCGTTCGAATGATCTGGTGAACCCTACGACGCCATGCTTTGATGCTGCATAGACTGGGTTGTTGCCCGTAGCGTAAAGACCTGAAAGAATGGGATTAGCATCATGGGTGAGAAGGTGTCGAGCTTTGGTTTGTTCAACAGAATGCAGATCCATAAAGTAGCTTTTTTGGGCTCGAGAAGAGACAATAAAGCTTACCAGCTGCTGATGCAGTATTCACTATACATCCACGAATCTTGTTTGGTGTAGCTTAGCCACAAATGCGGGAGAAAAAAACGAGGTGTACAAAACAAATTATACCTTGTGTTGTCTAAAGTATCGAATAGCCATGTAAGAAGAGTCAATAACTCCAATCAAGTTGATGGCGATTTGACGAGACCATGTGTTTTCAAGATCATTGATTTGATCTTCAGTGTTTTTGGCAAAGATTCCCTAAAAGGGTTACAGGTGTCAAGCTTTGCTCGTGTGTATGCAGAACATGAGGAGCCTTCCAGATAACCATCCAAATAGGAGGAAAAACGTACCGCATTGTTGATTACTACAGTGATAGGTCCAAATGTCTTGTGTGTGACATCGTAGAGGTGCTGTAAATCCTTGCTGTTTGTGACATCACATTTGACAGCGATTGCTACACCCTTTCCGTACCTAGAGAGGTTAAAGGTTTAAATAAGAGTTGAGGAAAAACGGTAAAGTGTAAAAAAACGTATGGATCTCAATAAGCATGTGCGGAGACTAGCCAGCAACACACGCGAAACATACTTCGTCTCGATTTCATTGAGAACTTCGTCAGGGGTTCCTGCTACATCTGCGAGTGCAACCTTGTATCTAGGACAGGATAATGGAAGGTGAGAACTTGGGGTTGCAAGCTTTCAAGTATAATCACGTTTTACCCTTTTGATGCCAACAGGATGCTAGTGTTTCCACCCATTCCTGAGTGAAAGAGAGGTTGGCTTACATTAAGACGTGGAGGGAATGGCATTAAAAGTATCTTTTTACCTTTAGGGCTCCAAGCTCCAGTCACAATTGCTACACCAGCCATGATTTCGTTGCTTTTCGTGGGGTTCTGTGAATCTAGATATGGAGTTAGCAGGTTAGTGAGGATCAAGATAACAAGGAGCAACAGATGTCATTTTTATACAGCTGCTACTTACAATAATGGTACTTTTTGAGCTTGTGCCTTCCGTTGTTCGTGACGAGCTCAACGTTACTCAAACTTCGTTGACGCAAATCGCAAATGAAGAAATCTCCACGCGTCAAATGCGAGGATTAGAACCTGCTAGATAGTCACGCTTGTGGTCTTATTCATCGCCAGTCCAACGCCGTGTGTGTTTTGGAACGTTTGATTTCCAAATGAAAATGATATTTAGGTATAGAATTATAGAATTAAACTGTCAACATATATTATAATGCGGTAATAGATGATAAGGGTATGAAAATTCCGTTTACGACGAGTTTGGTGATGATGCTGCGTTCTTGGACACCAGTTTCGTCAGTGCATCAAGCTGTGCCTGCATCTTGGCCATTTGATCATCAGTGTCTGAAACTGGGATTCGGTCAAGTGGCACTTCGAAGAATATGTATTTGGGAAACCAGCGTAAGTCCTTCTTCCAGCTTGGGATGAGTGAGAGCGCCTGTAGCGTGTGATGGTGCTGGTGAGATGCTGAGACGACAAAAACAAACCTTGGCTATATCCAAACTTACAATGTTTTCCACATCAGCACTGTACGTCGCCATCCCCTCAATTAGCAAAACATCATCTCCCCTTGATGTGATAGCACTATACTGCGCAGTCAAGATGGCGACAATGACATTGAGTAGCAAGATTCCCATCACCAGTTCATACAGCACTTCAAATGTGGACGTAACTGCAACCTGAGATGTTGCTTGTTCAACTAGTATTGGTTCGTGGGCTTGGAAGGATGAAAAGTCTCCAAATGTGACGTAGAATACAGACCTGCAAAGAATGATTTGGATGGATTCATTACTGAGGCAATGGCAGACCACCTTTACAGATTTTTTTTACCGTAGAGCAGTTGCAAATGTTGCAAACTTGTTCATGTCTGGATCGATGCTCGTCCCACAAGTATCTGGACTGTTGCATAGCGGCTCGTTTCTGAGTAGTATGTAGAACGAGTGCGAGAAAGCGACAGCTATGCCGACGAGCTATCATCGTTCAATTTGTTAGAGACGCAAGTTGCTCTATCAAAAATCAATCAAAGCACCAGTAGCTCACCAAAAGCAAAAACGGTAGGATGTAGCCAAAAACTTTTATGATGGCCGTGATCAAACTACCGATACCGAGAGGCGCAATCCGCAAATACGTCTACAGGTGCAAAAAAAACAAGTCAATTGGGTATGTTTTACAAGAAATGCTTCTTGTTTTGATTTACCAAGACGTTTATCCACGTGAAAAGTATCGCAACACCAGCCAGCGACTTGAGAGAATTACTGGCAATATCCATACCAAGCCCCGAAACAGACGTCGATACTATAAGCAAGTACGAAAAGGAGTATATCCAAGAGAAAGGCCTCTTCAGAAATGCCCGCAAGCCCAACGAAAAGACAAGCAGAGATTCCCACAGGATTCCCAGGCAGCCCATAACAAGGCAGACGGAGAATAGAATGACGGAGCCTGCTGATTGGTAATTTCTGGTTATAGCCGTAGATAGCAAGACAAGGAGAACGGTGTCAAAGAGCCATCGAAGGAAGTATACGTTTTGGCCGAATCTGAATAGTGACGAAAAAATTAGTTTTATGAATGGGTAATCAACATGTTTGGTAGTTGAAGTTTACCTTCTCCATTTCAAAAGCGCAACAGCCTCATAACTCAATGGCCCAATAGTTGATTCACCAACACCAGCTCTCACAAGTCTTACAAACGGAGACATGTGCTCGGTACGATAATCTGAAGTACTGGTAAGAGCTGATAAAAACATGGCTTGCATTCCTGTAACAACCACTTCATTTGATCCAAACAAGATCCTGCGGGAAACACTTGTTGAAGTAGAAACTTTGGGTGCTTGAGTGCCTGGTACTCCATGTATCGGGTATCTTGTAAGATTAGGAAACGGTACTACACATCGAACACTGGGGTGGAAGGTGGCTTTCTTAAATAAGGCGTCTAAGATGCTGAGTTCTCCATCGTTAAAGCCGTGTTGACCTGGTTTGGCTTCTACCAATACACTATGTTCAAGTGAAGACAGTTTAGTGGCTTCATTACTAGGCAAAAAAAAGTAGAATCTGATTTTTCTTACCCTCTTGACTCTTGATACATGACGGTAGGGCCTCCGAGATAGAGACGGTCATATTGGGAAGACGAGACCTGAACGAAGGCCATCTTGTTTAATAGGTCTTTAGTCGGACCTTGATAACCCTCGTTCAGAGCGAGGTCCGGAAGGCACGGTCCCAAAAACTCCAGATGGGTATAGTTCTATTTTGAAATCAATGAGTAACACAGCATATTTGGAGCAGTCTTTGTTACCACTTCCTAGCATACCGCTGGATTGGCCTGGATCGCGTTCGAAATCCAATCAAGAATAGCCAACACCAAAGTCGAAGCATCTCGATCAGCAATGGCCTTCTGCAAAACATCTTCGGGGATTGACACGGGAATGTCCGTCGTGTCTGGAAATTCAAACATTAAGGCACCAGGAAGTCGAGACGTTCCAGCATTCTTTGCAAGTGAGAAATCAGGATAGGATACTGAACGAACGTGGTATAACATTGTATTGTACTGTGAGCGTTTCAAGATGTATGATTTGACGTCAAGGTTGTTTCACTCACCTCTCTCTGCTCTGAAAGTGTACAATGGAGCATCGGCAACTTTCAACAGGCCAGTGATATCGTTTAGATCTTCGACACTGTCAATGGCCCAGCGTATAAATGACTGTCCACCACGGCACTCTGAGAATATCGTCTAAGCGGCAAAAGAAAATCATGAGATCGAAATTCGGCGAAAAGGATAACCACGGTTTACCTTGTTTTTAGAAGCAAGACCAACCAAAAGCGTAACACTTCGATTCGTCAATTCACCACGAACAATCTCCTGCCGTTCTCGTGGCACTTCACTCATACTATCAATTGGCGAGTTCAAGTGCTTCAAAACTGCAAGCAAATTCCACAGCGAGGTAGACGACGAACGACATGAGTCGTTCAAAACTCTCGACCAGTTCAACAATGATGGTCCTTGGTTTTTTGGCATTGACGACAATGTGACTTTTCGGCGAAGTAGGGATCTAAATATACTTGGTGATGATGACGCCACGGTGAAAGTAGAGTCGATGGATCGTGTTCGTTCTATGGCACGATCAAGGGCTAGTGAAGAATGGCTGTGAGTGAGAATGGAAAAAACAATGTCTCACTAAAACTGCTTACTATCGCTTTTGTCAGTATCACTGTCACGCATCGTCAACAGGGTGATTTGCTTGTTTTCGTCAATGTTTATAGCAGCAGCGCTAATGGAATGTCCAACTGACAACCCTGTTGCAAAAGTGATATACTTTAGAGTAAAGGTAGGAAGATCTATAACCTAGATTGATCGCATTGAGTAAGATTCTGCGTCATGAGGTATGCCTGAGAGTCTTACTTGGCAAGTACAACGGTCCACTACCACCAATATAACTGTTGTATTTTCAGCAAACAATTTGACCGCCACAATTGGGAATGGCGATACTGGCGTTCTGACAAACTTGCGTGTATCAACAAAGAGATCCGTGCTGGGTCGTGTTGGCGCGTCTCTATATTCAGCGATCCACTTTCCATCGTCTGCTTTCATAGCTGTCCATGCACTCAAAGTTCCAGACGGGTGACCGGCCACAATGGTGTAATGATTTGCACTAGTGTCTAGCACTGTAATACATTCTGTAGCATCACTAGTTAGCTTCACAACCTCTACCACCGATGTCCTCGATACGATACACAGTGTTGTCTTGTCTGCTTGAGGTGACTCAAGCACTAGATAATCATCTGCACCTAGAGGCAATACATCAAATATCTCGGTCGTCGGTGCCAAACTATCAAAATACGGACACGATATCGGGCTGTTGTCTGTTCCTGTAGAGAGCAAGACAAATTTACGATCACTATTCCGTTTAGCAAGCACATGCCGCCCATCGGAAGTGACTCGATCAGTCTTCACGTCATCACTTCCGGCATAGTCTCCTGATACAGGCTGTATATCAACTCCAGGGGTCGAGACGAACATATTGCCACTAGCATCAGCAAGTATCGCTATTGTCGGAGATGGAAGGGCCATGCCATTCAAACGTACAGATTTAACACTCGTTTCTAGCACCTGAGCCGATACTCTCCATGATGGTGATGGGATCTCTGGTTGCACGATATAGAAGTCGTCATCGGACATCACTCTTATAAACCTTCCTTTAGCAATTACACGGTCTGTAGATGATATATTCATGGTTTTGATTAAGTGTGCATGCATCGCATTACTTGCTGGTATAGCTGTTAGCACACTGCCATCCAAATCCCAAAACGAGACGCTTATGTCCTCTTGCCCGTGACCGCTCAGCAATGTGACAAAAGCATTCGAACACGGTTCTCCGTCAAAAGTATGAAAGAATCCAGTGACATTGTTCTGTGTACCCTTTAATATAATAGAAGCCACCAGTGCACCTGTAAAGGACCTAAATATGTGTACTCTAGGTGGGATGTTGCTTGATCCATGCCACAAGACAGCCATTAGGGTTCCATCAGGCGAGAAGAGTATACTAAACTCTGACGAGCTTTCCTTTAACTCGGCGACTTCGGGCGGCGAGGCAAATTGCACCAAACAGTCCTTGCTATCCATATCGTATAGACTGCAAAATGCATCTAGAGAATCGATCTGGCCTCCTAATGGGTTTGGGTTGCTGGCTACAGCGAAATATGTTGGCATTAGGGTAGTTTTATGGGACGCGGAGGCACGTTGATATGTAGCCATTGTCGAAAAATTACGGTGCAAGGCAATTAAATTTGGTGGTGGAATGGCAGTACTAGAGTTGTATTGTGGAAGGGACCATGAGAAGAGCGTTGTCTTGTGTCCATCCAGATCAATATGGAACATTAAAGTAGTGGACGTTGACGACCATTTGTGCGCTGGAGGCTTCACTCGTGTCTAGTTTGTTTACAACATTTTATCAGCTTTTGACACAGTTCAGTGCTCCAGAGCATCATTCGTACCTTGGCTCCAGACGTCTGAGTCGTAAGCTTGCTATATGCGATTACTCCAAACTCATACAAAAGTGTTGTGTTTGGAGCTCCCAACTTTTTCGTCAACCCACGTTCATCAAGTCCATCAGTAGAATTCTTTGGCACTTCAGCAATAAGATCCAGCAAGTATAATGTATATGCAGCGCCCTTGGTATCAAAGTTGGTCAAGACTAACGCCGCAACACGTCCATCTGGAAGTACATGTAGATCGGACACAGCTCCTGGAGGTACAGCACGGTATGTGGCACCCTTCGCAAACTTCTTATGTCCTTCATCAGTCTTTCCGGCGCTCTTTAGCTTGGATACACACACATGTCCATCTTCAAGCCAACTTCCCCAATGTGCTGTTTGATCCAAGGATTCACGCTGGACAAAGTCACTAATGGTGAGAATAGGATGCCATGGCTGGAAGATTCGATATAAACCTAGAATCAGACCCCGAGGCAATATGTCAGCTTGATCCAAACATCACAGATTTGAAAGCAACAAAAAAACGCAGCACAATACTCACTGGAGTCCATTTTAAGAGACTAAGCTAATCCCAACCAGCTTGATACACGTACCAGTATACTGTACCAGGCAACTTCCGGCTGCCTGAATACAACGTACTCGTCTGCTCTGTTGTCACCAAAAACTCGTGCTGAAGAGAGCAAGCGAACTTGACTCTTCAAACATGCCAATTATGAACGGAGAGGCACAGTATACCTATAGACAGGGAACCATTCAAGATGTTTCCGCTCTTGTCCCTCTGATCAACGCATCTTATGGTACTGAAAGTCATCAACATTTGTAAGCTAAAAAACCGATCGCTGTGATGCTCACCCTTTTTCTATCTAGCCGAGGCAGCCTGGAATGGAGGTGACGGAGAATACACTGATGTAACAACTTTGACGATTTTCAGCCGCAAAAATCGAAAGACGTTCTCATTTTTCTGTCTCTCTTCTTTGCGTTAGGAAACACGAACTTCGACGTCAGACTTGACAAAGATAATGGAAAATCCTGATACCTTTGTTTTGGTTATGGAAACTGATTCTGGTAGTGGAAGTGAGAAAGCGATTGTTGGGTGTGTTGAGTTGGCGTTCAAGGGTGAGGAGATGAAACTCACAATGTTGTCAGTGTCGCTTAAACTACAAGGTATACGAAGAAGATTGATCTAGTCAGGTACATAAGTTGATTTCTGACGATATTTTGGGTAGGTGGTGGTCTAGGTAAGAAACTGGCGAATGCTGCTTTCGCTGAAGGCAAGAAACATGGATGTAAAAAGTGCATCATTGAGGTTGTGAGCTTCAAGGACGCGTAAGTCATCACCTGGAACATTTATCTACACGTTTGAGTCATCTGACACGTCTTTTCAACAGGTTACGGCAGTGGTATGAACGCCTGGGATTTAAGATAAACGGAGAGACGTGCATCATGCCAGTTCCCGGGCGCAACAACGAAATTATGTCGTGGACAATGGACAGAATGGTAAAGGAGCTCTGAGTTTTGAACAGAACGCGTAAATAGTAGAATAATTGTATTCTTGATCTCTAACTTACACCATGAAACCAATATAAAGCTCATCTGCCACCTCCACAAAGCGCCACGACGCATTGAAATCAGCTCTGATCTGTGATGTTTGACACGCACCGTGGATTTGTAATGTGTCCTGCGGCGATCAGATACATTTGTCACAAAAATCACTCAAGTCTAGCACTGGCTACCAAGAAATTCCTTCAGAGCACTATATCGAAATCCAAAATCATGCCTAAAGCTATATGGAACAATGTTGTAATCGCCGAGACCGACAAGTTTGAGACCGTTGAAGGTATAAACATCAAACGTGATTTCCTTGTGTTTCTTGTGGACATTCTTGGTTGCATCGTATGCGGTGAAATCTCTGTTCTAACGATGCTCGCTTTGGTATTAGGAAACATATATTTCCCACCAGACTCGGTCAAAAAGGTAGGCTCGATTCAATGTCCTTGACATCGAACATTGATTTGGGCTAACATTGCAAACACACAATCGCAGGAATACTTGAAACCTACAAGCACTCATACCGTTTGTGGGTGGAAGGTACGTTCACGATGCTTTCGAACTTGACTGTCTGTCATTCGATCTCGATTTCCAAAAGTTCTTACCGGGTCTTTTGTCAAACGATTTCGTAGGGAACTGCTTCATATTACACTGTTTCCGTCAATGGCAAGGATGCTGTAGACGGAGCCTGGTACTATCCAACTCCCAAGAAGGAAGCCGAAAACATTACTGGGTACATGAATGTATTTACATTTAATGTGGAGTCGCATTCTTACAGATCGACGTCTTTTTAGATACCTCGCCTTTTGGAAGGGTGTTCAAGTGCAAAAGTAAAACGTGAATGCGTCACAAGCTCCAAAGTCTAAGTCCATTCATTCTGTTACAATTATGAATCAGCAGTTGCGTTTTATACAAGTATCAAAAAATTAAAATGAATTTGCTCAATAAAGCTTTAAATTCTTTGTAACAGAGTCCACTTCTTCGATTAGTGCTAGTATTGTTGAGTTGTTTCAGTGCTGAGAATGTCTGGCAAAAAAAAAACACCCTCAAGCATCGAAATTCCATCATGGTGGTTCAGTTACCTGGTCCAATTCCCAACACGGTTCTCGAGCCCTCAGCAACTTGAGTATGTCCAGCATCTTCAATTACACACGACACCAGACCTTTGCTCTGTGCTTGTTGGTATAATTTGAGCCTAGAGACATCATGATGTCAACAAAAACAGAATCACACAAGGTTTACAAGTAGCTTACAGCTCCTTTTCGTTCGTAGCCTTCAACGCAATTTTCGTTGCTCCAGTTTCCAACCATTTCTCGACCACCTCTGGTTTGGTCTTCATGGCTATTGAATACAGCTCGATAGCTGCGTGACAGCATTGAGCGATGACCTATAATGTGAAGAATGAGAATGAATCTAAATTGCGCAAAAAAGATCATACATTTGGTCGAGGTATATACCTTTCCCGAAGTCATGTTCAAATCCTTCCTAACAACAAACACCATCTTGTAATACTCGTCCAGAGAGTCAGAACTCTCATCACTTGAAGATTCAATGTGTTCTTTAGCAGGAACAAGAGGTCGAGTCTCTTCGGGTGTTGAAAGTATTGGAACGACCAGGCCTGGCGGTAAAGCAGAAGAGGCCACATTCATCGAATCCGGTATCGTTACATCCGGTATCGACGATTTCAGCGTTGTAGTTGTAGGTGATGTTATTTTCGCGATAGGTGGTCGTGATGCAAAATGCCGATGGAACTATAGAGAGTATGAGCGTCAGAAACCGAAATCAAAGGGAGAAACCAGATGTACAATAAGAGATAAGGGAAATCAGCTAGAAAAGTTCCACAGTTTGATCTCCTCCACCAAGCTTACAGCTTCGTTGAGAATCGGCAAAAGTCGACCTATTGCAACCCCAATTAACAAAGATGTTGCTAATTGCCACGGGCTAGCATTATGAGTAGGTAATAGTGTCCTTCCTATGATCCTCTTTTGTGATGCCGTGTCCATTCAGCTGTTTAACTCGTTGACACACTGCAGCAAAAGAAAGCGTAGATCACTAGTTAACACATTCTAAGAGGCTACTATACGGCATCTTCTAGCTTACATTAAGCTGAATCTTGTGCGAAAGGTCTTGAATATCTAGAAGAACGAGAAGTAAATGAGTGTTTCGCTTGAAACTGATCTTGGCGACATCAAGATAGAAGTCTTTTGTGAAGGTCGGCTTCCATGTTTAAAATCGTGATTTGAACATCCTTTTACGTGATTTAACTCATTCCTTGTTTCTAATAGCTGTCCCAAAGGCATCAGAGGTGAACATTAAGTCCAAACAACCTGATCGAACTCGTAGTTCGATTGTGTTATTTTCCAACGCAACAAAACTACCAGTCTTAACTGTTAATGCATATAGAATTTTCTTGCTCTATGTGCAAAGGGATACTATGAAGGATGTCTGTTTCATCGGTAACTGCCAACACCAAACACACAACCCTCGTTCTCATGCTACGCATCTTACATCTGGACCCCTGACATTTTACTCACGTTAGAAACATCAAAGGATTCATGGTCCAAACAGGCGATCCAACAGGCACAGGAAAGGGCGGGTCCTCAATATGGAATCGGAAATTCGAAGATGAAATCGCTACAAGTCAAGGCCTAAAACATTCGGAACGTGGGATATGCTCAATGGCAAACTCGGGTCCTAATTCGAATGCATCACAGTTTTTCATCACGTATGGGAAACAGTCGCATCTTGATGGCAAGTATACCGTGTTTGGAAAGTAAGTGGAGTCACAGTGTTTTTCTCTTGCGATGGTTGTATATTTTTGCTAATGTGATCGAGTTTTATTAGAGTCATTGATGGATTTGATACACTAGACGCATTGGAAAAGGTGCCTGTAGATGAAAAGAATCGACCGATACAGGAAGTTCGTATTAAATCTGTAACTATGCATGCAAATCCTCTCGCGGATGGCCGTTCGTAATCTATATGTGTATAAAAATAAAAACAATCGCATGTACATGAATGTCAAAGGATCAGTTTCGTACCTAGTTTGGCGTTCGTGGCCATCGAGCCAACGAGCAGAGCAAAAAATCCATCTGTTCATTCCTACAAATACGTCCGTCCCGGCCAGGAGTCTCTGTACCGTGACTGAACAGTACGCAAGAACTCAAAGACACGTTTCTACATAACCTCCATCTTTATTTCTACTTTCATACGGCACCAGCCGTCCACTCACTCCAACTCCTCGTTCCCTCCTTCTTACTCAACCTCCCATTGGCATAATCCGCCAACGCATCAACGAAAACAATACTACCCTTAATCTCATTCAGCATACCAATGCCAAAATCAACACCCGTTCGTCGGATCAAATACTGCAAATCCTCTTGTGTATCAGGACGGATTTTAGCTAGAGATATCACAAGAGATATCTTCTTCTCGTCAAAGAGCTTCTTGGACTCTCGACGATCCTGTAATTGTTTGATGAATGCTTCAGGGGTTCCGCTGACGAGAGTCGATGATTTTATACCAGATGATGCGAATGATGAGGCGGTTGATGCTGTATCGGTGTATAACTTATATCCTAATTCCTGTAGGCGTTTGGCGATATACTTGGCTTCCTTCATATCAGTCAGTTCGTCAACACCAATCAAGACGCCACTGCCAGCTGGCATGGGCAAGTTTTTCAGATTGTTATGGTTGGATATCAATGACGTGTATAATGCTTCACGGACATCACGACCAAAGCATGCGACTTCACCAGTTGATGCCATTTCGACACCAAGCATGGGGTCAGCACCTGCTAAACGAGTCCATGAGAAGACAGATACTTTGACTGCTTGGTATTTACGGGGCACAAACATGAGATCTGATTGTGGTTTTGCTGTGGCTAGAGATGGGTGTTTTACCATGGCTCGTGTGGCCAAGTCGATAAAGTTGACATCAAAGACCTATAAATATGAAGTGGGAGAAGCCGATAAGTTTTTTGTGCATATCCTGTGTCTTTATTCTCCCGTTCGAGAATCACATCAATTTTTCCAATCTTCATCACATTTGATTTCAACACCAAAAAATTGCACACCAACCCGAAGCATACCTTGGAAACAAAGGGGAATGATCTCGAAGCTCTCAAATTACACTCAATGACTTTGAGACTATGTTTACCACCGTCCAAAACCAAAATCACCTGCATATTAAATGGACCCGTAATCTCAAAAGCAGCAGCAACCTTATCAGCAATACCCTTACAATCCAAAATCATCTGTTTTGTAATACCAGGTACACCTTCCTGTTGTCCTGGCGTACATGGTGGGAGTACAAGAGTAGCATCACCAGAATGGACACCAGCGTTTTCTAAATGTTGGGATACGGCATATGTCAAGAGTTTACCATCGGCTGCGACTGCGTCTACGTCTAATTCGTATGCGTTATTGATGAATTTGGTTATTACGACTGGGTGGTCGGGTGAGACGTCTGATGCCATCGTTAGGAAGCGAGTTAGATCGGCCTTTTTGTGGACTACGTTCATGGCTGCTCCAGATAAGACGTATGATGGTCGGACCAGGACTGGGTATCTATAGATAGAGACCGAAAAGTTAGAAAGATTTGACAAAAAGCAAATGGATGGCACTCAGGAGAATGCAACAAAGAAAGTGCTATCAATCAGTCGGCATGCTCACCCAACGTCATCAGCAAACTTGAGCGCTTCATCAACACTACGCAATTCCTTCCACGCAGGTTGATCAACACCAATATTATCAAGAATACGTGAAAACTTTTCACGATCTTCAGCTCGATCCACATTCACTGGACTAGTTCCCAAACAGTTGATACCCTTATTCCATAACTTGAGTGCAATATTCTGAGGCAATTGACCACCGACAGATACTATAATACCAGAAGCTCCTTCCTTTTCGTAAATGTCGAGGGTACGTTCCAGAGACAATTCCTCAAAGTAGAGACGGTCACATTCATCAAAGTCGGTGGATACAGTTTCTGGATTATAGTTTACCATGACTGTTTTATATTTGAGGGATCGGAGAGATCGGATGGCTGAGACACCACACCAATCGAACTCTACGGATGAGCCGATACGGTATACTCCAGATCCTAATACCATTATACCGTGGTCTTTGAAGTCTACGTCATCAGATGATGCGTTATAGGTGGTATAGAGGTAGTTAGTTGAGGCAGGGAATTCAGCGGCAAGGGTATCAATACGTTTAACAAAGGGAGTTATCTTGTGAGATTGTCGTAGAGCTCGGATGGCAAGTTCAGTCGATCCGGTTAGACGAGCAATCTGTGTATCAGAGAATCCATGCTTTTTTGCCTGATGCAAGAGAGGTACTGGAATCGTTGACGTAGTTAACGGATACTGAGTGGTATGTGTTGGTGGCCCTGTTTTATTGACATTGGTAGTTTCAGGTACAGGAGATGGGCCTTTGAAGGCAGTCAGATCTGTACGAGTCTTTACGATATTCTCTAGCTTATACAAAAACCACTTGTCGATCTTGGTCAACTCGTGGATCTTGTCTATGGAGTACTTTGCATCAATCATGGCTTTACCAACAGCGAATAGCCGACGATCAGTAGGGTTTCGGAGAGCCTCATCCAAGTCTGGGAATTCCAAGGCTTGGAATCCTTCGAATGATGGATCAACCTGTCTAATAGCCTTTTGTAGAGATTCTTCAAAAGTACGGCCAATAGCCATGACTTCACCTACAGACTTCATTGAAGATCCAATGTCACGAGCTACATGCTGGAATTTAGATAAATCCCAACGAGGTATCTTGGTAACTATATAATCCAATGATGGTTCAAAGTTGGCGGTAGTGGTTCGAGTGACTGCGTTCTTCAGATCGGGTAAAGAGGCACCTAGAGCTAGTTTGGCGGCTACAAAAGCTAATGGATAGCCAGTAGCTTTTGAAGCTAGAGCACTACTACGAGATAATCGAGCATTGACTTCGATAACAGCATAGTTCAAACTCTTTGGATCTAGAGCATATTGGACATTACATTCGCCTACTACACCCATATGACGAATGATTTTGATGGCGGCAGTTCGAAGCATGTGATATTCTTCGTCAGATAGAGTTTGACTTGGTGCAACGACAATCGAGTCACCGGTATGGATACCCAGTGGATCAAAGTTCTCCATATTACATACAGTAATACAATTGTTTTCGGCATCACGGACGACTTCGTATTCTACTTCCTTCCAGCCTTTCATGGATCGTTCTACTAGGATTTGTGGAGATAGAGACAAGGACTTTGTTGCGAGTTGATTCAGTTCTTCTTCGTCGTTGGCAAAACCAGAGCCTAGACCTCCTAGTGCGAAAGCTGATCGGACAATGACTGGGTAGCCAATTTGTGATGCGGCAGCTAATGCTTCAGGGACGGTATTTACTGCTACAGACATGGCTATAGGGATATCGATTTCTGAGTTACGAAAAAGAGTGTATGTTAGTGAAGCAGATAGAGAGGTTGTGCAATCCAGAACAGCTCATCGACTATGAGCACGTTATCGTTTTTTGCTCGACGCAACCATACCTTGAAGAGCCTTGGCAAACAAATCACGATCTTCAGTGACTTCTAGAGTTCGTACAGGGGTGCCCAATACTTTGACATTATGTTTCTTCAAGATACCCTGAGCTTGCAGCTGTATACCGCAGTTCAGGGCAGATTGACCACCAAAGGTCAAGAGAATACCATCAGGCTTCTCACGCTCCAGGATATAGTCTACATATTCTGGATTTACAGGTAGAAAGTAGACGGTATCTGCTAGATCTTTACCGGTTTGGATTGTAGCAATGTTTGGATTTAGGAGGATGGTTTTTACACCTTCTTCTTTGAGTGCCTTGATGGCTTGTGAACCTATAGTGAGATAGATTGCGTACATGATTACAAAATCAGTCCAATTAATCAATGCAAACTATCAGAACTAGCCTCATACCAGAGTAATCAAATTCACCAGCTTGACCAATACTCAAACCACCCGATCCAACAATCAAGACCTTTTTAGCTAGCGGAGGTCTCTTCAAAGATGAATTTGGACCAGGAATCCAAGGCTGGGCCTCAGAAGACGAGTTTCGTTTGAATGGAGTTTTTTCAAACCCTGCTGGAGATGTCAAATGTTTCAGGACATATTGACGGAAAGCAGCGATGCGGTCGACCTGTTCTACAACAGCAATAGCGGATGCATGCGATGAAGATGCATGAAAGGCAGCTACACGATACAGTTTGGGCAGCTTTCGTGCTATCTGGGATGAAGCTCTGGTTGGCAGCATCTTTGGTGATGCAAGCTAAAAAGCTTAATCTATCTTTGGAAAGACTTGTTCGCCTAGGTAGTTGAGGGCGACTGTTTCGTCTCGATGCCTGTAGCCACCAATAAACAACATATGCCTCTGAAGCTCTGTGATGGGTTTTTTTGCGTCAGCAATTTTTTGATGACATCCTGCAAACAAGCCAGTTGACGTGATGGATGTCCAAAAACATTTCAACGGGATCTGTAGTATGATGTCGCGCTTGTAATCGTTTCTAAACGTTCTCTTTACGTGATACGTGATTGACCAGTCATCTGGAAAACGTTTGTGTTTTTAGGCCGCCGTAAGAATCGAGATTCTCACAAACGACGCGGACGATTTGTGCAAGATTAGGAGACACCTTTCTTTCTTTCTTCTGATTCGACGAGTTAACAAACCGCTACGACACTTTCGTTTACTCCCTTGACTGCTTGATTCGCAGCAAAACATTCTTTGCTTCCGACAAACGTACGCCACAAAGAAAACTAGAGAATTATACTACAATTGTAGAGTTCAGAATGGAGAAAGATCTACATGCAAATGCTATCAAGAGGATAAAGCGACAGATTGGAGGTAAGTTGAAGGAAGTTGTTTTATCTACTCTGCTGAAAGCGCTTGTGTGAAGAACGGTGGACACTTTGGGACTGGCAACCCGATTGCGTTGGATTGGAACCGTAAAAAGGCATCTGATACGGAATTAGACTGGCCCGATGTGGTCTGCTGCGCTTGTGTCTGGCTCTTAGAGCCTAAAAAGGTCACGACCAACATTTTGGTGGTTTCTTGCGGATGGGCAACACAAGCACTCGAGCAGAACGATTGGAGAGCAAGAAGCATCGAGTCGAATTTCGAGTCCTCTAAACTCATATGTGGCCGATATTACATGCAATGGCGTTCGGGAGGGCCTGCTTTGTCGGACTCGAAAAGTCACACACACAGAGCATAGCCCACACTGGCAGATACAAAATATACGAAACTCACTAATTGCTTCACTCTAGCTGTCGTGGCATCACCATCACCTGTCGCATCACCAACGATAGTGCCTTCGGCTGCAGCGGCATCTCCTATTGCTATTATAGCTTCAGCTGCCCCATCACCATCATTCTCACCATCACCTTCCACATCTGCTATAATATCAATAATGCCATCCGCGTCAGATGGTCCGATTATCGGAGGCGGCTCAACAAATAGTTTGGCTCCGTTGAACGCGACCGCTACAGCCACCGCAAATGCTGCTGGAGGATTGTCAACGGGTGCTCTGACTGGTCTGATTGTTGCTGCGGTCGTCATTATAGGTGCTATTGTTGGTATATTTATATTCCGTAGATGGAAGTTACGAGTAAGTATATTGGAATTGTGTGGATTTTGTTAAATTCAGGTTGTTGATTCGATTTTTATCAAACCTTAGCCTTCAAGTGATTTCAAACGACGTATAAATGAAAGCTATAATTGGCAACCTCCTGCCACCACTACTGGAGCTTCGAGTGCGGCCGCTGGCGACCGTTATTACATGAGGTAAATCCTGCGAGGATTGTAATGTAACTCCAAAGGGAGACATCATGGGACAAGACATTGTCTGAAGAGCTCAACGAACCTTCGTTCTCACAACGAATCTTGTCAATAGGGATATGGATGATGGATATGCACGCCCGGAAACCGCAGCCACTATTGAACGAGAAGGAGCACTGTATCCGCCGCAGCAGTACCCCGGCTCGCAACAACCAATACAGACGTACTACGATTAAGAACATTCTCTGAGTCCTTACAATCACAAATCGCCTCCCCGTCATGAGTCCTTCAGCCTATAATGTGTATCATTTTCATCGTGCGTCCGTGTTAGGGACGACTATTAAGTCATCTGTTGTCGAAAAAAAATATATTTTTGTCGTGATCTTTTGGAATGCTTGCAAGTGATGGTGTGTTGACAGACGAGGAACATGCACAGAGAGATACGAGCGTAATCAGAAGATGCGGCAACGAGAAAATACCTCACCTTATCAGTGATAAACGTGTCGAAGGCGCGGGGAGCTTGTGCTACCGAGCCAATATAGTTGATTTCGAATGCTTTGACTGTTACCGTCAACGTATCCGACTTCTCGGACGAAAATAGCAACATGTGTGCGTTAGTTTCCCATTGAATCACGACCTTTACTCGAAGCAGCTGACAGGAGAGAGGAAGCAAAAGGATCATAGCCTTCCAGGACTTTAACACCTTCCAACCATGCCGGCCGCTTCAGAAAAGAAGTTTCGAACTAAGCAGTCTCCGTATTCCAACAAGATCATCAAAACTCAGCAGAATGGACTCCATCAGACACTTTTACAAGTTGCCCACGAGCAGATCATTGATATCAGATCTAGCAAGTCTGAAAATAACCCTGCAACGCTCAAACAAGTGCGTATTGATGGCTACGATCGCTTTTTAAACATCTGAGTTTGAATGGTGGAGAAACCTCTATGCATTACTAGTTGCAGTTTTGAATCGGATGCTATCTATATATCTCACTTTGTTGCATCTAACTCGTTCATCTTTCAAAAACTTCTTAGAGTGTTGCTGACGGCTTGAATTTGAAATCCTACAAACCGCACGCAGAAACTGCCCACGCTTTGAACATTGCCGCGGATGAGAAAATACGCACCATTCCTACCATGGTATGCATCCTGAGCTGATATCACGTAGCTTTGTTTCGTTGCTGACGCTCGTTTTTGTCAAAAGGTGTTGTATGATGACAAGGGTCTTGACATTTACGACAAGATTACATACGTCGAAGATTATTACTTGACGAATGCAGAAATTGATATCTTTCAAAACCATGCTGCAGAGCTTGTTGGTCGTATTCCTGACAATGCTGTTTTGATTGAGCTGGGAGTTGGGTGAGTTGACAAATACCGGACCGGGAAGTTTTGCTCAGTAATCAACTTCTGATACTAAAGCTTTCCTCGTTTCTCACTCGCCAGCTCTATGCGAAAGACGAAATACATCTTTGCTGAACTGGTCCGTCAAAACAAGCACTCTGTCACATACTTGGCTTTGGACTTGTCTCTTGATACTTTACGTGCTTCTGTAAAAGACATCAATGCTGCGTTCCCTTCTGTCAAAACCCTCGGTTTATGGGGCACATATAATGACTCGTTGAAATGGGTCAATGACAATATTCCAAAGGGAGTTGCTAAAATCATGCTTTGGTTGGGCTCTTCAATTGGAAACATGACACGTCCAGAGGCTTCTGATTTCTTTTCAGCTGTACGAAACACGGCATTGGATGTTGGAGATACGTTTGTTGTTGGTATTGATCGCCGTAATGATGCAAAGAAGATTGAGTTGGCGTATAATGATTCGTTGGGTATTACTCGTGATTTTATTATGAATGGTAGGCCAAAAAAACGCAACAAGGGCTCTATTGATACCATGACTGACATTGTCTCACTTTTAAGGATTGGTGCATGTAAATACACTATTCGGCGGTGATTTTATTGATCCTGCCAACTTTGAATATGTCAGTCGCTATAATGTGCTGGCAGGCCAGCACGAAGCATATTACCGCTCGCTTACTACTCAGACGCTCAAGTCTGAAGAACCTTACATCAATGTCACACTTGAAGCTGGTGAACTCATCAACATTGAATACTCTGTCAAGGTATGAGTGTTTTTAGTGCTTGTCCCAATCCTCCAAACATCATGCGGTTGCTCAACCTGTTTTATCCGATTTAGTATTCTATGGAAGAAGTTGATGTCCTCGCTGAGGCTTCTCAGTTCTATCATTTGGGATCATGGGCAGACACAAAGGAGCAGTACAATCTGCATGTCTTCCAGAAACCACCGTTCTTCTTTCTTCGTTCTCAAGTCAGTCTCATGAAGTCTGCTCCATCGGTTGAGGATTTCAAGCGTTTATGGTCATTATGGTACGTTTTTTGTTGCTGGAGCAAGAAAGAACGTATCAACAGTATCATCACCTGCGGTCCATGAATTCGAACTCACTCATTGGCCGTCCTAATTTGCAGGGATACGGTGACAGGAATGATACCAACTGGAAAATATCTCGCTCGTCCCATCGCGCTTCGACATCCTTTTATTTTCTATTTTGGCCACATCCCAGCATTCCTGGACATTCAAATCTCTCGATGCTTGGAACAGCCTTTTACTGAGCCATGCTACTATACTGACATCTTTGAACGTGGTATTGATCCAGACATGGAGGATCCTTCAAAGTGCCATCCTCACTCTGAAGGTAAATGATTTGGAATCATCCTAACGTTGAACAGACACAAAAAACTACGGTTGCGGATCCTCCATGGGTTCTAACTTTACTCATCCCTTTTTCTCTACTTGTCTACATAGTTCCCAACGAATGGCCCAACGTTGAAGAAATCTTTGACTACCGAGATCGAGTTCGTGCTCGCATCTTGAACTTGGTAGAAGATTCATCAAAGGTGTCCAAGAGGCTTGCTCGAACTCTCTTCATGTGCTATGAGCATGAAGCCATGCACTGTGAGGTGTGTGTTCAGTCCTGGCATCGTCAATCATTTTCGTATCGTTTTTTCGCAACAAGAAATCTTACTTTTTCATCATTCAGACATTCTTGTACATGCTCGTCCAATACCCACATGTGTTACCGCCAAAAGGTATCTCAGCACCCATCACTCGAGCTCCCGCTAGCTCATTACCAGCTCCAACTTGGACTTCATATACTGGTGGAGACACGATACTCGGAGCTGATGATTCAGACGATTATGATTTGGTCTCGTCATCAGAAAATATCAAAGCTTTGACTTGGGACAACGAACGCCCTGCGCATGTAGTTAATGTCAAACCATTCAGCATCCAAGACAGACCAGTCGTTATTGAAGAGTATTTCAACTTTTTGGTCCAACATGGTGGTGATGGTTGGCAGAGTAGTGATAAGGTGCCTGCATCGTGGAGCTTTGAAGAAGGAGGGTCTGCTGATCAGGTTGACAGTTGGCGTGTCAAGACTGTCTTTGGAAAGGTATGTCAAATGCTGTTTGAATAAGGAGGGCGTTACAATTCAGTGAAGCCACTGACACCTTCATTCACTCGCTAGCTTCCACTGAAGCATGCTCTCCACTGGCCAGTCTCCTGCTCTGTAGAACAAGCTTCCGCCTACGCAGTCATCCAAGGTCGTCGCCTTCCAACCGAAACGGAAATCGCTCATATTCGCAATCGTGTCTTTATTACATCGTCATCCAATATGGGGTTCTTGAGGTGGTGTCCACGTGAAGTTGAGTTTGAGACTGGAGTAGTAGGCAATGGATGGGAAATGACTAGCACCAAGTTTGAGCCTTTTGATGGATTTGAGGCTTCTGCTCTGTACCCTGGTTACTCTGCTGATTTCTTTGTAAGTTTATTGTTTTGATTTGGAGTTGTAATATGTGATTCATTCAAGCTCATTTTGTTCGTTTTTGTTTTATAGGATGACAAACACAACGTCTTGGTCGGTGGTTCATGGGCTACTGTACCAACTATCGCAGCTCGTAAATCATTCAGGAACTGGTATCAGACTGGCTATCCATACGTTTTTGGCCAATTCCGACTTGCTTTGTAAAAGGTTGGAAGGACAGGAACGTCTGTGAATGTGTGTTATGTGTGTGCTATTCATTTTATCGACATTGTCTGCGTATTTCCTTATCTCAAAAAGAAATAAAAAATGGACTATTATTGGCTGTATCTCGCTGTGATTGTCATATGATTTCGTCAGGTTGTAAACCCAAGAAATTTTCTGTGTGGTTCGAATGAGTGTTTCTGTATCTGTTCCCGGAGAAATGATCAAATAGAATGTTTTTAAGCCAGTTTACTATGTTAATAATTCGATTCGATTTCGTTTTCAAGTCTACTTGACGACACAAAACAGGGAATAATGAAATGGACGCAGACAAGTCGAGCTATATTCAGACTTATCAAGACCTTTCGCCGAGCAGGCGGCTGTTCATTCCAAGAAATTGCGCGAACATTCCGGCGCTGAGTGGTCGTGAAGTGATAGTTCATCATCATCAAAAAAAGATCGAAATCGACAAAATACAAGGTTGCAAGCAAAACTTCGAATATTTCCTCGACATTTTCTAGGCCCACGTGAAATTTATAACTTACACTTCATGATAATTTTAGCCTCTGCGTCCGTCGGATTGAATACAATTTGGCCGGCGTTGGGACTCCAACTCCCGTTTCATTAATATAACCCAAAACATCCTTTCAAAAACCAACGTAAAAGAAGCACCTACAAGACCATGGCGCCGGTAATGAACACTCAAAACCTGATGTATGCTGCTGGGGGAGTAGCTGGAGCTCTTGTTCTATGGTACATCATCAGCAACGACGGGAAACGACATCCTCCAACGGTGCCATTCGATTTGAAACGTTTGGCCATTCTGAAAGAGAGGAAGCTCAGTATACAGTAAGGTTATTTTGATTTCATTGTTGACTTGGTTTCCTAATAGTATCTCGTTTCTAACACTCTCTTGTCTCTAGAACACATGAAGATCACAAGAAGCTTGGTATGTGAATATACAGTCAGGTTGCTCAAGGCTGTCGAGTACATCTTTCTAAGGCTCTCAAAATATCAGGTCCTGTACTTCGCTTCAGTTTTCTTGGAGTCGACCAATATGTAAGAACATCTCAACTCAAACCGGCCCAAACGATAACTGATGCACTCAACACTTCCATTCTCTTTATTATAGTTTGTTGCTGATGCGCAAGCATGTCAACGCATTCTCGCTGGCCCAGCTCAAGAGTTTTATCGTGACGACACGCTTCAAAACGCCTTCTCGTAAGCCATCTCAACCTGAGCTTCTTTGAGTGACACGACCTGATTCTAATCTATTGCATCTCATCAGTGGCATAGCCAAGATGCTGCTGTTTGCGATCCCTGCTGGTGATCAATGGGCTAGGTATTTCACAAATCGAGAACCTACATTTGCAAAAAGCTATCCCGACTCACATTAGATGTTGGCACTATAAGACACCGCAAGCTATTAAGTCCCTCATTCAGTCAAATCCAAGTCCTACACGCTTTCGGTGAAACCATCAAGGCAGTCAACACTCTGCTCGACATCTGGAAGAGTCATCCACGTGGGACGATTGTGAATCTTCACTATGATTTTTCCATGATGGCTTTGGATGTTGTTGGATACACTGGTACGTGGAAGTGCACAATGGTCATGTTGTATCATTCACACGCTTGGGCATACAGCTTTTGGACAGAGCTTTGGATCCCTTGAATCTTTAGCTGAAGGGAAGGATTCAGATGGATACCACATGGTGGAAAAGCTATCTGACAAGGTCATGTACCGAATGGTCGTGCCAAGGGTAAGTTAATTCACTAGTACTCTTGGTTAATCAGAATTTGGCCTTTAGCTAAGTAATCCTAAAAATCCTTAGTTCCTTTGGAGATTCATTGGTCTTGAGAACAGCAGCATCGCGGATGGAAGTGCCTACATTCGTGAAATGATTACCAAAGTGTTGGAAGCCAAGAACGCATCCACTACCATCAAACCAGACAGGCAGATGGATGTACTGGATCGCTTGCTTGCCAAGACTGATTCTGGTGAAGCTGTAAGGGCCCACTTTCTTGTCCTCAGAATCATCTCCTACTGATGAAGACTGTCTTCAGAGATTCACTCAAGAAGAAGTCGTCGATGAAATCGTTGGCTTTTATGCTGCTGGTCATGAAACTACAGCAAATACTTTGACCTTTTGCTTTGCTGCCATGCTTCTCAACCCCGAGACCAAGGCCAAACTGGTTGCTGAGATTGACTATGTTCTTCGTGGTGCTCCTCCAACATACCAAGATCTCGGCAAACTCAAGTATGTACCACAACAGTGCTCCCGAGAGTTCACCTCAATTATCGTTGAAACACAGTCCCTAACTTTATTACTGAAATAGGTACATGGACAACTTCATCAGTGAAGTGCAACGGTTTTATGCCGTCGTATTCATGATTCCTCGACGTTCTCGTGTCGACACTGAACTGTGTGGCTACCACATCCCCAAGAACTCTCTTGTCCTCGTCAATGTATTCAGTACTCATCGTGGCTCATGGAATTGGGGAGACGATGCTGAGGTTTTTGATCCATCTCGTTTTGATCGTCCAGTTCCTGGTGGTGCATTCATTCCATTTGGAGCTGGAAATATGATGTGCATCGTAAGTGCTATTGGGCATAATCCATAGTGCTTTTGTTTTGGCAAGACGAAATAATTTACTGAAATTAGACATGCACGTAGGGACAACGTACTGCTTTGGCAGAAGTCAAAGCATCCATGGTTGTTCTTCTTCAGAACATGGACTTTGAGCTTATGCCAGGACAAGACTTTGATCCCATTATTGGCGTCACCCAAGGATTGAAAAAGGGATTGATGGTCAAGACCTCCCCTCGTAAGAAGTACTAGTGATCATAGAGTAATATCTATGCTTTGTGGTTGATGATGAGCAGTCTGATTGAGTTTGAAGTTGTTGCAGCTGTTTTCCCAATAATTTAAGGAGTTCAAACCTACAGGCACCAGAGTTTAGCGTGATTTCTAGCACAAACAGCAGGCACCAGAGTTCAGCGTGATTTCTTGCGCACTGCTAATTTCTTTTGAAATTCGTTGTGCCATCATCCACCAGGTCATCCGTGTCGTTTACTAACCCACACAGACCAGCATTTTCATTTCGACAATAAAACCCCATTACCAGATCCAAAGGAACGGCAGATCAAGTAATTCCATAGCATCAAATCCAAACTAGCTCATCTATAATGTTGGCTTATGAGGTCAATCATGCTGAAATCGAAGCAACCGTGATGTCGACACAACAAATTAATCACGAGCATGGAAACAAGGAAGTCGTGAGGAAATCTGATGAGAACATTATACCATCGTTGCCGTGGGATATCCTACCACATATCTTGAGTGCCTTATCTCTGAGGTTAGGAGCTGTTTTGTTGTCGCATTGATCAGATGTTGTTTACTTGCACAGCATCTAACTTCGTTGCATATACTTAGGCACACGTTGCGAGTGACTCGGATATCTAGGCGGTGGCAGCAAGAATGCATGTTGAATATCGAACAACGGCTCCGTGCAATCAAACAACAAAAGCTACAGATCTTGTTTGTCGAGTACGATAAAGATATAGGTAGCTGCAAATCGTGTGGTAGATCTGAATCGTTATTGATGTCTTATCAATTGGGTTTCATTAGGCTGGTGGATTCGAAATAGAGGAGGTCGCGGCTATATCGCTGCCATGGTCTTAACCGACTATGAGCTCTTATCTCGTGGACACTGTATGCTCAAGTTTGAAGCTGATTTGGATTCAAGTTTTTTCTGTGTTGAAGAGGATTTGGATGAAAATGTAGCTCAGTCTCGGCCTCCTGTTGTTGGTACGTTTGGGCTCTCGTTGTCTTTTAAGTATCTAGTTTGTTAAATAGTTCTTATAATCAACAGCTGTGTCAAATTTGAACAGAGATTTACTGGCCGATGTCCCATTAAGAATATTACCTCGCAAGAATGTCCCACGACCGATCTTACGAGCCATGGCACAAACTCCAAAACCAAAGGCTGTGCCAACTGCAAATCCAGCTGATATCAAAACTGTTCAAATGGTTGCTACCTCTCGGGTAAGTTCTGCTTTTAACTTGTGATAACTTGGTGTCTTACTGGATTAATTAGTTTCCATTCATCCTGAGACGCATGGTCCCAGACTGTAATGGTGAAAGTCCAGACCAAAAGTGGCAAGAGTTGCTTCGTATATGCTTTGAAATAACGCCAGAAAACACCATCAGTGGTAAAATGACTCAAACAATAATCGCTAATGCTGGACAGATTACTCGAGCGATGGATTGGTTGTTGGAATCAACGCAACCTGTGAGAGAGACTCTGCCAAGTGTTTGCGCTGTCCATTTTGTTGGTCTTTCAGGTGAGTCCATCTGACTAGTTATATTCCTAGGTAAAAAGCTGAAAATTTCTCTTGTAGGTGGTGGACAGCTATTTATGCCAAGAGCCCCATGGTATGGTGCCTTCGCTGCGGCTTTTTAAGATATACTTTTGGGGACTTTTAATTCGAAAGACAGCGCACTAATCTATGACCTTGGACTTTTCTACCTGGTTTGCTAACTATGCCACAAGTGTAAGATATCTGTTGCTTTGTATATATCAGCAAACAAGATCTGTAAAAAGAGCACAAATATCTTGGTTTTATAGGATGTTTTATCATGCGAGTTCTATATATACTACTAACTACGTTAAGACAACTTTACTTTTGACTACAAAAAAATATTTTACAAGGAAGCAATAACCGACAATACAAGCACCAACGGAATCATTACAATGGCATGAACAGTGTCCATCTTTGACGAAGCACTGTTCTGTCCCCGTCCACTAGCTTTACCTATATTCGACGACGAGTTACCAGCCGCAGCAGTAGCAACGGATATAGCAGGCGATGTCGACGACGATGTGCTACATTGCGACAACCCGATCTGCGAGGCAGCGATATTAGCCTGAGCCAGCTGATACGCCAACGATGTTTTATCGGCGAGAGCTGTGGCGACCTGTCGTCGCACACAGTCTGTACATGCTATTTGTGGGGTAGCGAGCAAGGACTGTGCTCGAGTGTCGAATAGATTTACGTCAGCGTCTGCGTTGAGCCCCTCTGCGACTGCGATGGATGATGCGAGCTGGTTTAGACAGTATCCGGTCCCGTCTGCGGTTGTGAGACATGCCAGTGCTAGAGACGAGTTTAGGCCGCTGCTGAGTTGGTTTACACCGAGACCTGCTAGCAGCGATAATAGATTGGTTCCGGCAATAGCGGTGGTAGTGTTTGCGGGATTTACAATAGCAGTGTTTATATTTCCACATACGGCCAATGTAGCATTGTCAAATGCATACAGTGCATTTGCACATTGCGGGGTGGAGCATAGCGAAGCTGTTAATCCAGTGTTTGTTTGACTTAGAGTACCACCTCCGAGTAGCTGGAAGAGCTGCAGACCACCACAAGACGAGAATGTGGGCAAGAGCTGGTTACTTATAGCTGTTGAGCAGTCGGTCGACAAGGCCGGGTTGAGTGTCGTGGCGAGTTGGGATACGATGGCAGTCAGAGTTAGGGCGCCAGATGTTAGCGTTGATCCAGACAGGGTGCCGAGATTACCACCACCTAACACTGGGTTTATTGTAGTTGACGCAGTAAGCAACATCACTGACAGTATGGAGGGCCATAGTCTGGAGCGGCTGGGAGACATGGCTTTATAGGGTTGGTTTACTTGTAGCGGCAAGTTTTGGATCAGTTTTGCGATTGAGCTGGAATAAACGAAAGAGGCAGAGTTAGGAGACGTTTTCACGGTGAAGATATCAGCATGGTGAGCAAGTTACCTATATGATGTCCTATCTACACTTCTAAATAGTCGCTACGTATGGTTTGGTTGCTTGGGTGGTTGGAAATTTTGTTAATGTGGTTCTTTCGTTTGTCTAAATTGTTATTGATTGGCAAACAAGAAGACAAGACACCGCAAAGAGCCAAGGCGGCATATGTTTAGTGACTTTTGAGACATACTTAGGTCCAGTTAGGGCTCTCCACGTGGAGGCGAGCGTCCTTTACATTCTAATCAGCGTTGATGTTTAAGAATGCAATTCAGACGATATTTTGAAGATCACACGACAAAAATGTAAACGATCGGTGGTCGAGACTAGTTTTCTTACTAGAGATGTATATAGTCAAATTGTTATTTCAGCCTTGTTATCGCGTCGGAGAGCCTGTTTGGCTTGTTTCGTAGATTTTTAATTCTGGAGCAAATGCAGATGTGACAATTTACACGATTCGTTACTTTTAAAAATAAAATTTACAGTTTCAGGTTATTTTCGACGTTATGTACAACAGCTCTAACAACATCCAAAACCTCACTAAATCTATCGAATGCAGTATATGTAACGCCCTCTTTAAGACACCAGTCCTCTAGATCTAGACCTCTTTTCGCAAACAAAATATCAGCTTCACGAGCAGCTGAAATATCCGACACACCATCCCCGACAAAAATGACCAAGGGAAGGGGAAGAGTCGTCAAGTCGCTCTCTGGTTTCAGCACTGTTGCAGGAGATATGAAATTCGTAACTGGTTCGTGTCTTCCGTATGTTGCTTTAGCTTTCCGTATAGACTTTCCCTTGTCGTGACCGTATTGACTATTTCAAACAAGGGTCAGGACACAGTTGTGTGAATGCCAAAAAAAATGGATTGACAGTATCTCATTATGCGCAGCGGCGACGTGGTGTTACCTGTCATCATGGAATACAATCTCCCAACGTCTATCCGTCAGTTTTAATCCGTTGGCAATCACGGAAATAGCATCAATGTTGCTTCCAAGCTCCTTTTTTAGGAACTGTTTGACCAACGTGTCCAGTCCTGCGCTGAGCACAGTAACAGGAACACTGTGACGTTGGCAAAACTGCACAAATGTTGAAAAGTCCTCGTCCATCTTGATATCTACGATGGCAAGGTTGAAGGTTGAGGTGTTAGAATGCAATAGCAACGTTGACGTGTTATAAACGGGATCACAGGAATGGATATCCCAAGTTTGAAATACCTTTGAGCATATCCATAGCCTCGGCATACGTTAGATTGACATTTTCCCACATAATCTTGAGCACCTCAGCTCCCTTCAGTGATCCATCAATGACACAGAAATCCAGCTTTCTGCGATTCTCCTTGCCCATGCAATGATCAATCAATATCGTTCCTATACACGAATTTAGTACAATGACCCCTTGAAATTCGTAAATTGAGGTGGGAGCTGACCTGTATCCTGCAAACTTATCGTTCCTAGATTTGCAACAGAGTGAGGAAAGCGTTAGCACCAAGTTTAAGATCAAGGAGAGATCTGATTTACCATCGAAATCTGAAAATACAATCACGCGAACCATTCTTGTAGAGCGATTGCTTGTGAGAAATCAAATATTCAGAAAATCTCAAGTTTTTTTTTTCAAACACAAGAAGTGTTGGAACAGCAGGATGGGAAAACGAAGAGCACGGTTCAACGAGAAGGCGAGAGCGTCGTCATCGCATGCTACACAGCTGCCGCATGCCAATCCAAGGCACTCCTCAAAGAACATTGGACTGATCGCTCAAACTGCTCCAGCACAAATCAAGAACCAGGCTATTACAGCCGTCCAACACGATGAAGAGCCCACATATCAGTCGTAAGTCGCACCATTTAATGTTTTCTGTGTACATCAACTGAGTGATCGAGCCTTTTTTACCCCAGTTCTGACACTGCTATCCCAGACATTTTGATTCCTGGTGTTGATGGTCAACATACCAAAGCTGCCGAGATGCTGGCAAAGCTACCTAATAGGCCTGATGGGAAGATCACTTCCAAAAAGAGAAAGAGGCTGGAAAAGTTTATTGTGTGATATTAAGATTGACTACTTCTTTTCGTTTTGCTGATACCAACCTCTGCTTATAGGAGCAATCTTTGAAAAAGGAAGAACGAGTACGACTTATTGAAAAGCTGTCCAAGCAGCATTTTTCGTCGGATTTGCTAAAATCGAGTAAAAATATTGGACAGAAGGTAGAAAGGCCTCATGACTTCCCTAAAACGACGTTCGTGTACAATCTCACATGTTTCAACTTAGGCAACTGGACGTAAACATCTATCTACCTTGGACATGTACAATGACTATGAGGAGGAAATGCTGGACGGATCAGACAATGATGATATGATGACCGATAGCGACACTGAAGAAATCGAAGGAAACAGGTCGAAACGAATCAAAGTCGAGTCAATTACTAAGCCTATGGCATCACTACCACAACCATCTATACCCTCTAAAATGCCAATTGTTGAATCTACAGTCCCGGTAGTTCCTGTCATTGATCACTCTGAAGGAGCCATGAAAACGTCTGTTGCTCCTAAAGCTATATCACAGCCTGGTAGTGCCTTGAAAAAGGTTGCTCCAGTAGCAGTTTTGGGAAGTGCACTTAAAAGGCCACAGTTGGGCAGTGCGCTTAAAAAGCAAGAGTTGGGTAGCAGTTTAAAGCAACCTACTACAAACAAACCCAAAAATGGTACAAACCAACATGTAAAGGCACCTGAATCTGATTCATCCGATAGTAGTAGTGATGAAGAGATGCCAATGGTAGAAGAAGCGCTGGCTCAGCCCAAAGTTAGAAAGGGTGCGTGGATGTCGGATGTAGTAGGAGGTGAAACAATGCCTTCAATACCTATTGGAGCTATACCGTCTAGTCTTGTACAAAGGCAGCCAACACCACCACCAACTCCTAAGCGACCCCTAGTTTTGGCTCCACCATCGTCTGAGAAGGCGGTGTATGTATCTCTACCACGTCCCTCAGATCTCGCCGTAGCTCGCTTGTCTCTACCAGTAACAGGTGAAGAACAACCTATAATGGAATGCATAATCGCCAACGATGTCACCATTCTCTGCGGTGCAACAGGATCTGGTAAAACAACTCAAGTGCCTCAATTCTTACTTGAAGCTGGGTTTGGTGATCCCAAACACCCCAAATTTCCAGGCATAATAGGTGTTACGCAACCACGTCGAGTCGCTGCCGTCAGTGTCTCGAAACGTGTTGCTGAAGAAACGGGGTGGAAGAAGGGACAAGTGGCATATCAGATTCGGTTTGATGCTACGACCGTAAAGGATGGCGTAACGCGTGTCAAGTTTATGACGGATGGTATATTGTTGAGGGAGCTGAGTACTGCAGCTACCATACAGAGCAATGATGATGGATCTAATAAGCTCACTCAGGATTTGCTGTTGACGAAATACTCATGCATTATTGTTGATGAGGCTCACGAGAGAACAGTTGGAACCGATATCTTGATTGGATGGCTGGCTCGTATAGTCAAGCTACGAAATTCGGGTAAAATAAAGGGCGTGAAGCCTTTAAAACTAGTAATCATGAGTGCTACATTACGAGTAGAGGATTTTACCAGCAACCAAACACTCTTCCCACCACCACAAATACCACCCGTCATAAAAGTAGAAGGTCGCCAATTTAAAGTGACGATACATTATAATCGAAAGACAAATGATATGGACTACTTGGGCGATGCCTTTAAAAAGATCTGTAAGGTGCATACCAAGCTTCCGCCTGGTGGGATACTTGTATTCTTGTCCGGCCAGGGTGAGATTCAATCTATAGTCAACAAGCTTCGAAAGACGTTTCCTGCTTCTAGTCAGACTGCACGAGACAAGGACACTATTGTTGAAAAGCAGGAGGTTGCTCCTATAGTTGAAGGGCTTTTTGAAGAGACTGAGACAGGAGCAGCTGATGATGATAAAGTTGTTGATATTGATGCAGATGGGCTAGATGATAATGACGTGGATCAAGATTCCGAGGAGGAAGATGTAGATGTTTTGGATGGTGAGAGCGATGATGACGATGCCGACGAGTCATGGGTCCCTTCTGAGGAACAAAGAGGTATGTTGTCGTGATAATCAGAGTCGGGCTGCTCTTCAAGTCGTTAACTCGGTGTCCTTTGTTTTAGCCATGCCATTACACGTCCTCCCACTGTATTCACTCCTCCCAACCGCCGCCCAACTCCGAGTCTTTGAATCACCACCACCAGGCTCCCGTCTATGCGTAATCGCCACAAACGTAGCCGAAACATCTCTAACAATACCCAACATTCGCTATGTGGTCGACTCCGGCAAAGTAAAAGAGCGTCGCTTCGAAGCACGTACAGGCACACAAACATATTCAATTGGCTGGACTTCCAAAGCATCGTCAGATCAACGTGCTGGTCGTGCAGGTCGTGTCGGAATGGGTCATTGCTATCGATTGTTTAGTTCAGCCGTGTTTAACGATCGGTTTGAAGATTTCTCGCAGCCAGAGATATTGAAGACGCCTGTGGAAGGCGTTGTGCTGCAAATGAAAGCTATGGGAGTTCATCAGGTGGTGAATTTCCCGTTTCCTACTGCTCCGGATCGAGATGGGTTGAGAGTTGCCGAAAAGGTAGGCAAAAAAAGGAGCATTAAATCGGTCGTATTCTGCTCTTGAAGACGCAAGTTGAAACCAAAGCTTGAGTGTTGACTATATCCTTTCCCAACATAGCTTCTGATACACCTGGGTGCAGTCGATGCAACAGATTTACGAGTAACGGATCTAGGACGATTGATGGCTCGTGTACCTGTATCGCCACGATATGCCAAAATGTTGGCTGTAGCATTAGAGCAAAGCTCTTCATTGTTGGCCTATACTATATCTATGGTCGCTGGCCTCTCTTCTGGTGATCCATTTATTCGTGATGACGATGTCATGGCTCGTCACGATGATGACGAAGAGGAGGGTGCTGCTAGTATTGAGAAGGACCGTCGTCGTCAGAAACGTCGTGATTGGTATAGGATTATGCAGGTACAAATTGTCGTTGCGAATGTTGTGTGAAGCATGCAGGGTGTCGTCCAATTTTTTTCCTTCTCAACCTGTTTTCTCGATTAGACCTTCTCTGGAGAAAATCCCACTTCTGATGCATTAAGACTATTGCACGCAGTCGGTGCATATACAGCAGAATCAGTACGATGCACTCCACGCCAACTTGAAAACTTTTGTGAATCGCACTATATTCGATCCAAAGCCATGTCTGAAACCTTACGTTTACGACGCCAACTAACCACTATAATCAAATCCGAGCTTCCTTCACACCGTAACGTGAGAGCTCTAATAGTCGACCCATTCATGGCACCTCCAGACGCCAAGGCCGCTATAGCACTACGCCAAATAATCTTATCTGGATACCCAGACCGTATCGCGACGCTGGTAGATGCAAGTGGCACCTATATTGGCAAAAACACTAAATCTGGTAAACCTATATATCGAACCATGTGGGCAGGACAGCATGAGATTGCACAAATCCATCCGTCTAGCTGTATATATAGTGTCCGACCTCCGCCTAAATATGTCTTGTATGAAGAAGTAGTTGGACGAGAAGAACGGATTGCAGCTGATGCAGAATCAGTGCTTCTAACACGATCGGAAATGAAGTCATTAGCCAAAGACCCGAATTCGATAAACCCGGACGAGCCACCTAAACCAAAAAAGACGTGGTTGAAGGGCTGTGCTGCTATATCGGAGTCTTGGTTGTCGACGCTTGGACCAGCGTCGCTGTGTACGCAAGGAAATATCTTGGAAGAGCCGAGTCCACGCTATGATGCTGCTCAAGATGCCATTGTTGGATTTGCTGCTGCTAAATATGGACCACATGGATGGGAGCTGCCTGTACGTCAAGTACCTGTGACTGGTACTGAGAGATTTGTGTGGTTTGCCCGTGAGTTGTTGGAAGGCAAAGTTGTTCTTGAGTCGGTGTCTGAAAAGGCTGGGAAGAAGCAGAGGAAGGATTTGAAGCATGTCATGGGTTCTCTGAGCGTAAGTCATCTGTTAATGGATTAGGACGCCATTGGACATCATTTCATTATCTGACTTGGTTTTTCTCATTAGCAAAATCTGGTTGGCAAACCATCCATTCTCTGTAAACCATGGTCTAAAGCACAGTCAAGAGTCGTTGATCTCTTGAATACTCTATCATCAAATCAAGTGTCGTCGAGAAAGGCTCTACTGCTCAAATGGTATATGTTCGGATATACGTGGTCTTTTTTGCATCCTGCTGTTTAACCCCATCAAACTTTTCTAAAAGGACAACACACCCTTCATTCTTGCTGGAACAACTACTAGCTTGGTTCCCGCCACAAATGGCTCAAACTCTGAAAGAGAATTGGCCTCCAGTTGTCATTCAAGAACATCTTGGTGAAATCGATTCAGTCAAAGCCAAACCTAAATTGATGAATGCGCCACTGCAGAAAATTGATGCTGCTGCGCCAGCTATAGATTTCGATGTAGATAGTGATTAAAGTTGATTGTATATAGATAAATGCCTCATCGTCGCATCACTTTAAGATTGACGCTTTTTTGGTTGGTTTTCGCTTGATTGATTTCTCTAATGCGTCACAATTGAATACTGAATGTATAACTGGCTTTCTCTGGGTTTTTGAAATGGGGAATGGTCTGGGCGTCTGGTATAGGCGTCTGGTCTCACCCTGATGACCAAGTGGACGCAAGTGAGTCAAACTATCTCAAACCTGGAGATTGGTTTTCGCAGAGCGCCAGAAAACATTTGAAAATGGAGAGGCTGGCTCATTTGTCCGCTTTAGATGGTCGGGCATTGTTCTGTTCGTCGTTAGGCAGCATCCACCCTTAGGTTTGAAGCACAGCTTTCCGCTACAACCCATTTCTGCCTGTTTAAAAAGCAGATTCAACAGTGGATATTCGTTCGGCTTGGCATGTAAAATTGTGTGTCGAGAATCAACCACAGACACTGTGGTTCTCGAGATTCCATCTCATGTTGAGACAGTATTACAAGGAAAAAAACTTACAAGACTGCAGGGACACAGGACATAATATAAGTCTCACTCTCACCGAGTGGAGTTGAAATTCGCTCTTCTTTCAACCCAATTTGCTCGACAAGTGTTCACATTCTCACATGAAACATGGAGCCTTTGTTCAAGTGAATGCATTTCGAATTAATGAATTTTGTACGTTAGTTTACTTTTCAATTTGACTTCGATCTTACCTTGTTATGTTGTCTCAAACTGACTTTTCCTCTAGTTTGTTTCTGACGCTAGGGAATGGCACCGTATACTCAATTCTGAGGATTTGGTAATACGGAGACTGTACAGACTGTCTTTTCGGTCAATACGACTTCCAAAGTTTGCTTTCTGGAATCGTCACCAGCACGCCACTGTCTTTGACCCCTTCTGTCGACGTTTGGAACAGGTATGCGAACCCGACAATGGGCAGAGATAAGAGTTTAGACATGAATTCAGGTATTGACGTTGTTCCTCTATTTCAACGTAGACATCGAAGGCTCTTAAACCAATCATTCTCGAAAGTGCACACTCTGTGCAATATTTGACGCTAACGTATATGGACATCTTGTCCCGAAATATTTGGGTATATGGACATCTTGTCCCGAAATATTCGGATCTCATGTTCAATATTTATTCAACTCATCGTGGTGATTGGGATTGGAACGAACCTAGTGTGCTTGATCCTAAAAGTATGCCTTTGGATTTACAATTCTGATACAGTTACATTACCCAACTCATCCATGTTTTTAGGATTCAATCATCCCATCCCCGATGGTGCATTCATTCCTTTTGGTGAAGGTCCAATGAAATTTGTGGGTGTGTAATCAAAACAGCTTGAAAATAATCTTGATTGCTCGTCGCGATTCGACTCACTTATCACTGTTTCCTCCTCACTACGTGAACGAATGGCATTGACTCAAAATCAAGATCCCTGACTATAATGCTTCAAAACGTGGATATTGAGCTAATTCCAGAACAGGATTTGGAGCCCATCACGGGTATGTTTTGTTAGCTGTCAGACGTTTTCCGTTACTTGGATAATAATCCAATGGAGTTCAATCTCAGTCTAGATCTAACTCAAGGCTTGAGGAATAATCTTCTAGTCAAGACTACTTCTCGTCAATGTTATGCTGAAATCTGTAGCTATTACGATGCAAAGAAAATCCCAATTCCAAATGAAGCGTAAAGTCACCAGTGACTTTGGACAATTGTTTAAAAAATCAAACCTCACGTATGAAATCAGAAATGTGTAAAGGTGTAAAAGTGTAAACGTATTCAAAATTCATAGGGAATATTAAATCTAGTGCTTGCAAATGAGAGCCGTATTAACGGTTATTGATCATGCTGCTTACGATTCTTGGTGTGACACTGTTCGGTTGACGATGGAGTGGTGTTATTTCGTATGCGATCGCTCTGCGAAACACCTACAATGGATCTAAATTGAGATAATGTTTCAAATGCTCCTAAACACCCATCTCGTCTACATCAACGTTGGTTGTTTCGTTTATTTGCGACATGCACAACAGCAACGAGACAATAGTACATTCGACAACAGCAACGAGACAATAGTACATTCTCTAAAGTACTATGGTCTCGTTGCTGTTGTATTTCTCAAAGGACACCTTCGAGGTCCTATCGTTTGCAGCACAATCACTGATACCGTGCGTGCAAGCAAAGCAGTATGAGTCTTTTGTAGTGCATTACCAATTACCACCTGTGAATTTAAAATAGTATGAGAAATCCCAGGGCGTGTTTCTTCCGAATGGGGATGGGGGGACTATAGGTACCGATTGTCATATCTGACCGTGAATAATTCTATGATTTCAATGTGCGAAATTCTGCCATCGGATGTTTCGTTCAAGCTCCAAACATCACGTCGGCCGAGAGGTTTGCTAGGCTTTCACTGGGAATTTTGCCGTCGCATGAGTAATGCAAGTTGTCGGGTGGAAGATGTTGCCATCGGGTGTGCGTTTTGATCCAGCTCCAATCATCACTCATCACGCAAAGCAACTGCACTGCACAATCTCGAATTCGAAACCCCGGAGAAGCAGAAATCAATAGTCGAGCTATCGTGTACGTGGGCGCATCTGCTGCAGCTGTCCTGACCTTGTGGTATATCCTTGGTGGAAATGGCAAAAAATGTCCACCATCTGTCTGCATCCCTGTATTTGGGCAAAGGGGCAAAGCTTTCCGATCAGGAAAGATCAGCAAATACTCTTACGAAAGCCATCAGCAGTTTGGGCCAGTGATTAAATTATTTGGACAGACCCGTTATGTAAGTCAGTCTTGAAATGGCAACATCTCAACTCACGCACTTTCAAGTCTCTAAGCTTTGAACGTGTATTTATAACATTTTAACTGACCAAATTTACCTAAATAGTTGGTAGCTGACCCTAAAGCTGCCCAACAAATCCTGAATGGATCTGGCGATGAGTTCTATCGGTTGGACTTGACTTTCTTCTGTTTGTAGCACAATTGCACTGCCCTGCTAACATATCTGACCTCCCGAAAGTGATGGAACTCTTCAAAAGGGCTTCACTGGTGTGGCCGACTTGCCTCTCTTTGCAATCCCTTCAGGTGATACTTGGTACAGGTAATGCCCAAGTTGTGTTGGCGAATCTTTGAATATCTGATTCCAACTACTCTTCATTCCAGGCACCGCAAGATTTTATCTCCCTCGTTCTCAGTGGTACATTTGCACCACGCTTTTGACGAAGCTGTCAAGGCTTCTCAATTTCTTGTAAACGTCTGGAAAACTCAGCCAGCCAACAAAGTCTCAAATCTCCATTATGACTTCTCAATGCTGGCGCTGGACGTCATTGGTCTCGTCGGCTTTTTTCAGAGTTTGGGCTCTCTCAACACTCTTATTGATGGTCAAAAATCAGAATCGTACCGTGCTTTGGAGCGACTTGCGAATCTGGTTCTCTTTCGAACCATTGCGCCACCCTTGTTGTGGGAGCTATTGAATTTAGGCAAAGCTCAAATGGCGCCTGATGGTGCTTTCATGCGATCTATCGTTGCTCAAGTCTTGGAAACCAAGCTGGCTAGTAAGGTTGTCAAGGCTGACAAGGACATGGACGTTTTAGACCGTCTCTTGGCGAAGAGCGTAGATGGTGAAGCTGTAAGTTGGTTTCTGTATTGCAGCATGAGCGGTCATTATTGTGATGAAACATATTGACAAATTACTTTCATCTTAGAAATTCACTCATTCAGAAATCATTGATGAAATCTTTGGATTCTATGCTGCAGGTCTGTGTTGACTGATTGAATTCAGACCTGGCCTTCTTCCACTGCTGACGCTGAGAACTCTGAACGGGTTTACAGGCCACGAAACTACTTCGAACACCCTCACATTCTGTGCCGCTTCCATGATGCTTCATCCTGAGTGCAAGGCAAAATTGGTTGCAGAAATCGACTCTGTCTTGGGTGGTGCTAGTCCAACTTATCAAGACCTTCCGAAACTCAAGTATGCTCGATTACTCCAGTGCTTTTTAAAGACTGGCTCAAGCTTTCCAGATATCTGTTCCATGCGGCTTTTTGTCTGACGTCGTCGTTCAAATCACTTTATATAGGTATATGGACAACTTCATTAATGAGGTTCAACGCTACTATGCAGTGGTCCACACTGTTCCTCGTCGTTCCCGTGTTGATACTCAACTATGTGGTTTCGACATTCCCAAAGATTCACTGATCTTGGTCAACGTCTATGCCATCCATCGTCACAAATCTTTGGGGAGATGATGTTGATGTCTTTGATCCTCAACGATTCAACAAACCTCCACCTCCTGGAGCATTCTTGCCTTTTGGTGCTGGTCCAATGGCTTGTATTGTAAGTGGTTGAGCGCTTTGATTGAACACAACGTAACAGCACTTGTACCAATTCCTGGAAACTCTTGGTCGTACTTAGGGGCAACGCATGTCACTCACCGAGCTCAAGGCTGCTCTCGTTGTGATTCTGCAACAAGTCGACTTTAACCTCGTTCCAGGACAAGATCTTGAGCCTATTGCCGGAGTTACCCAAGGCTTGAAGAAGGGGTTGCTCGCTAAGATTACACCTCGTACGTAGGTAATGCAAGGCTTGGAGTCCTCATTGCTGAGAGTCTTTGTAAGAGGGAATAATACTCCTTTGTCGACGAATTCTAACTCGCCATGTGTCACCCCTTTAGAAAGAATTAAGGCCAAGGACGAAGTTTCTGTGTGATTTCTAGATCTTTTAAAGCGATAGTCGTCAGTTTCAGCTGAAGAAGTATCATCCAAATTGACCTTACGTAAACGGTCTAGTCACGATTAACCATCGTAAGATTTATGCTGGAGTCTGTAGCTAGTACGATGCAAATGAATATGTAATTTCAAATATCCACAAGGTTACCATTGTTTATCACACGACTTCACGTATGAAGCCAGAAATGTGAAGTTGTGAAGTTGTAAAAATATTCAAAATTCGAGGAAAATATTCAATTCGGTGTCTGCAAATACGAACCGTGCATCAAGATGCTTGGTATGACACAGCTCGATTGACGATGGAGGTCGAGTGTCTTTTCGTATGCGATCACTCTATGAAATGCTAACCGTGAATATGGCTAAAGAAGAACTTCTAATTGCACCGAACGTTCCGTTCTGTTGCATCAAACTTGGGTTTGTGTCTAGTTGCGACCCACCAGGAACAACATGATAGAAAATTCTCGACTCAAAAACAACTTTGAGGTCGTATCGTCCACACTGGAAACAATTGATATCCACAGGTGGATTGAAGGCAGTATGACTGTCTTGTGATGGGCCATACTCAGTCGAGAATTTTGTAATTTGAAAGTTTGAGGCATCTATTGCTTGCTGCTCCCGAATGGGATGTGGAAATAATTGTGGCGACTTTCATACCTGACCGTAAATATTTGCCAAGTCTTGGCCTAGGGAATTCGGTCGAGCTCCAACCATCGATCATCATTTCTTTGACGCGGATCAAGCACGTTTCACCATCTTGAGTCACTCAAGGCTCTCGTAAATAATTTAATTTGGTGGATAGGGTAAGTGTCTCCTGATTCATAGTCTGTAGCAAAAGCCTACAAATGTTCGATTGAGTTAACAAAGGTTAAGTCGAAACTCCAAATGTATTCGAATGCTTTATGGCATACGCCAACGAGTAAGAGGAGCGCAAACAACGACCCAGTAACTAGTTGATACATTTTGTTTCGTCATAAGGAGATAACCGGTGACAAATCGTTCGTTTCGCTCAAGTGGAAAACCCAAACCAGAATGAATGTGGTGAGCCGGTTGTCCACACACTCTTACGGCTGCACCTCTGATGATAAATTTTATCCACTTCCACGCAAATGCCCATTCGTTACCAATACTATTACACTGCATCCAAAGTCCGTCGAGAAGAAAGATAATGTTTCCAGATTTCGCAAACCTTGAATGCCACAGCATGAATGCCACCTGCGCGTGTTGCCACACGAAAAAAGAAGACAACTAGCATATAGAATTCACAATTCGATTGCAAAATTGAAGCTCTGCTGTTTGAAAAATTGTTGCCTTGGCTGGAGCACACTATCACAGAGTTCCATAGATCCTATCTTCCTTAGACTTTCCACGCGATAAGGAGCAGAGTCAACTGCTTGGCGATGCATTAATCAATTCCTTAGGGTAGCTCGTTGCGAAGGAGATGTTTCAAGAAGTTTTTGAGTTTTGCGTGTGATGTGGAACAAGGCAGCATCGGGCTCGAAGGTGCAGAGAAAATAGGCTCAATGGACTCCATTCCACAAATTCATGGATCTTCTTTGACGGTCGAAAGTATTAGTAATCTCGAAGGATAGAGTCTCGCGACTGCGTATTTTACAGTCCACCCAAAAGGCCCGAATGAAATGGGATAAAAAGGAGCCATCATTACCGAACGAGTTGGAATATTGAGCTCAAGAAGCTATTAGACGGTCACTGAAGAGCTTCAGTGGCTCCAGAAAGTCATCAATATGGACTTGAAGAGTCGGTTTAGCTCCATTTTTCGCGGACAAAGGCCAAGCAATCAACCACAACCCCCAGTAAGTGACGAACAAACCTGATAAAAGTATTATCATTAGATTTTCTAACTTGGGATCTACACAGTTCGTCACGAACGTCGCTGTTGGCCTGGACGATCCAAACGTTGAACATGCTTATCGTGTTGCCGATAATCAAAACAATGGAAGCAGCAATAGTAGCCAATCGGGAGTCAGTCCGGCCCTATCTGCTCCGTCTACGTTTAATAAGCAAGAACAGCTTAAACCTGTTCAAGCGGACGTTGTCAATCCTGTAGGTTCTCGTGCTTACCTCACACTTTACTCACATTGTGATGCAAGATTTACTAACGGACCGCCCGTTAATCTAGCCATCGTATTCTGATTCTTCACAAGCATTTACGCAGTATCGTGTGATACTCGCTTATACGCCTCTGGAACCGGATGAACTGGCGCTAAACTTGGGAGATCTGATCATTGTTACAGAGTCCTTCGTTGATGGTATGTGTAAGCAGATATAGAAGGTGCATCGAACCTCTTCAATAACAATATACTATCAAGGCTGGAGTCATGGATTCTCTCAAGGTAGTGGTCGATCTGGAATGGTCCCAATGGCAGCTCTAGAAAAACTACGAGGACAACATCTTACTGATCATCAGTTAAAGCACCATGGTTCTATGCAAAAGAACGTCCAGATCGCCCGAACGGAGTCTAGTATCCGAAATGACGAGTTGTCTGACTTGAAGACTTGGCTGAATCCTGCAGACTTTAGACTCACCATGTTTACACTAAAGGAAAAGAGACTCAAGTCAACAAGAGGCTGGCTCTTGGATGAACTGGACGAATGGGTTGTAAGTGATGGCCAATCAGGTGTCTATTGGCTATCTGGTGTAGCAGGTGTAGGCAAATCCGTCATAGCTGGTTGTTTTGCAGATGCTCTACAGAACCGCAATCAGTTAGCTGCACACTTCTTTTGCAAGCACGACGAGCTTGCTCGGAATGATCCATTTCGTGTATTATCGACATGGGCATTCCAGTTGGCTGCCTTCGATCCTGATATTAGGAGGTCTTTAAGGGATTTGCGTGAATCTGAACCAAACTTTTTAGTAAATACGCTATCAGTCGGTCTTCAATTTGAACACCTCGTAGTAAGACCATTATCTAGCTATCGTGGTGGTAAAGCCGTTATGCTGCTAGATGCTCTGGATGAATGTGCTGCGGAGGGTAGTAAATTACGACAAGAGTTTCTCAAGGCTCTTGGTAAAGAGTTCGCCCGTCTTCCCAAGAATATTGTACTATTTATTACCAGTCGCCCATTGCAAGATCTACGAAAGCAATTATCAAACTATAAACCACGAATGATGAAATTGGAAGCCGCCGATAATTTGCATGATATAAAATTGTATGCATTTTATCGATTGAAACACCTACGGCCTATCTTGAACTCCGACAAATTAGTAACTGCACTCGCCGATAAACTATCCGAAATGGCCTATGGACTTTTCGTATGGCTTTACCTGGCTTGCGATGCCATAGATACGTCTGACGATCCAACGCAAACTATCGTCGAACTAGATCAACGGTCTCTCGGCAATGATGAAGATCGTATGGATACTGTATATACTAGAGCTCTGGTGGCTAGTTTCAAAGGAGCTCCCGACTCAGCAATACAGCTATGTAATAAGTTACTAGGAGTGCTCGTAACTCTCCGGACAATTATGTCCGTAGACGATATATCAGCTCTAGTGGGTATGGCTGCAACACTGATCAAGCTCAACCTGACTCGTATTGAGTCGGTACTCGTCATATCGAAATCATCAGTACAGCTCATGCATAAATCCGTGGTCGACTTTATCACTTCCTCAGAGCGTTGTATAGGCGACGCCTTGCCATTCTATATCAACCGGCAACTAGCAGAATCACATTTAGCTGGAAGGTGTCTTGTGTCTCTACCAGCCAATTTGGAACTTAATATCATTCAGGTGCAGATCGAACGTCTCAGGGGTATCGCATCCTCCGACACTCCTACGTATAAAGGATACTCCCTGAACCACTGGGGCGACCATCTGAATTCCGTTGAGCAGATGGATATGGAGTTGACAGAGGTCCTTACTCGAACTCTTCAACTATATGGGCGAGCCATGCTTATCGTAGCGGTGCTGAAGAACTTGCCAGTCGCTCTCAAACATATCCTGAGAGTCGGTGGAGGTCCAAATTTACTGAAGGCTACCGAAGAACTCAACTTTTTCAAATCTCCAATCCTGTTGGAGGCTGCAATCTCGGGAAACGCTGAAGTCGGTGAGGTTTTGTTGGAATATGGAGGGGCTGATGTAGATTGTCGCAGTAATGATATCTTTTGGCAGACTCCGTTGTTTGTGTCTTCCTTTACAAACAAGACAGTAGACATGGTCAAGGTGTTGCTTCGCCATAACGCTGATATTGACTTGCTGACTGGCCTTGGTTTAAAGGCCGACGGAGTTGCTGCAGGTCAACCACTATCGCTGATTCTGCAAGAGCGCATAGGTCGAAAACTGAAACTCGACGAATCGCACATGGTAAGGACCAGCATTCGCAACCGTCTCATACCAAAATTATATATGAACATTTCTGTATTTAGAGCAACGTAATGAATTCTGCAAGGCTGGCAGATGTCGACCGCTTGAAGCAGCTTCTCAATGCCGATCTATCGATCGACATAAATCGACAGTATCGTGACAGCAGCAACAAGACTTTGCTGCTTGTCGCTTGCCAGTATGGATCTGTTGATGTCGCCATATATTTACTCAGCATTGGAGCAGACCCAAATATAACAGACGACCAAAGTCGAAGTCCACTCCACCATGCTTGTGCCTATGGCTCACTGGCCGTTGTCAGAGCATTGATCGAAGGCGGAGCAAATGTAGATGCAGAAGGTCGTGATAGTAAAGGCCCTTATTTCCAAAATCCCTTTGTAAGGCCTATTGACTTAGCTTGTGAGAAGGGACATATAGAAATAGTTAGGTGGTTGCTGGATACAGGGGTCAGTCACTCAGCAGTGGAGGATGATAAGATTCATCCTCTCTTGTATGCAGCCATCGGAGGCTCTGTAGATGTTGCTCAATTACTCATGGCGAAAGGAGCCAACGTTAACTATCAGAGCAAATACTTTGGCACCGCAATATTTGCTGCCGCCGTCTACGGAGTCCAGAACATGGTCACATATTTCATTCATGTCGGAGCAGATACTCAACTTGGATGGAATGCTCCAGATTTAGAATTAGACGTCTGTCTATCACCAGACCTCACACCCTTTACAGGTGCCTGCTGGTACGCGTCTGCAGAAGCTGCTGCTCTCCTGCTTGATAGAGGACAACCAATAAACGACAATGTATTCTTCATTGAACTGAAAGTAGGTGGAGGTGTGTGCCGCTGCTCATCGACACCGCTCATATATTCCGCCATTTGGAATCAGCCTGAATGGACGCGCACCTTGCTAGACAAGGGCGCTGATATTGAAGGCTCCAGTTTCCAACAGCTAGTTCCAGATCTAATTGGAGGCACTGCTCTAGTCAATGCTGTATTTTATGGTAGAGTTGATGTTGCGAGGACACTACTAGCAGCCGGTGCTAATAACAATGTACGGGTGGTTAATGGAAAGACGTGCATGCATCTTGCAGCATATGGTCCTATGATTGGAGACCGTGGAAAGTCTGACATGGTCCGCCTTTTACGGTTTTATAAAGCTAATCTGGACGATAAGGATCAGGATGGAAACACCCCCCTATATTTGGCCATCACGATGAAAGCTACACAGGTGATGGATACATTGTTGGAGCTTGGGGCTAGAATCGATATTGTAAATAATTCAGGAAACACGTGTCTGCACGAAGCAGTCAGACAACGAGCAGCTGGGATAGTCAAGGTCTTGACTGATAAACGAGCTGATAGGAATATCGAGAACAAGGAAGGCATGACGCCCTTACAGATTGCAGTCAAGGAGGGGTATTATGAGCTGCTGCATCTGCTGAAATGAAATGGACAACAATTGTGGAAGGTCTGTAAAGTATAACATTGTAATAGACGCGCATAGATTCATAGTATTGCTGTTATATGCTATCACCGTAGCGCGAATTTTACTTGACAGAATGGACATGTAAAAACGCACGTGGTAGCACTAGCTAGAGTGACAGAATGCAAAGACTGGGCAAGTAGAACACTTTCACCGCCATTCTCATATCAATTGATTGAATATAGTGTCATTCAACTGCCGTAAGATCAACCTTGGGTCGCTTTTTAAAGGCGGCCGACGAAAGCCAAAAGCCACTGGTGAACCGCCAGTACGAGACGCTAGAACAGACTGTATCTGATTACGCTACTGATTCTAATATATTGTCTGTTTAGTTCGCTACAAACTCCTTTGTTGGAGGAGAAAATCCACATTGTCACTACACCAGTCCAAGACCAGAGCCTTCACATCAGCCGACCAGCAGTAGTCAGATGTTCGTTTTCAACTATGTCGGCAGTAAATGTGTCAGCACTGCCAGTGCCTGCTCAAGTGCACGTCGCTAAGCCTGTAAGTTCAAAACAACTACGGAGATTGTTGTTGAATAGCTTTTCTAGCAATCGCATCCTGTTACTTCAAGATCCTTTATTGTGTATCGAGTCCGGCTGTCGTATACGCCTCGTGAACCAGACGAACTGTCGCGCATCTCGTCTTGTTACAGAGTCGTTTAGTGATGTTATGTGTCAGTTCAAATTTAACATGTATCCGTGTTATCGAATGTTATTTATTCTAAAGGTTGGGGCTAGTGAATACTCGCAAGCAACGAGTCAATCTGGAATGGTCCCTCTGTTAGTCTTGGAGGAACTGCTACACCAACCAATGACCGATGCTCAGTTTAAGGATGTTCCTATGAGTAATCCTGCTGCAGGAAGCGGATACCTGTCCTCACTTCATGACGACTTGTCGTATTGGAGAGATGGTTGAGTCCACCTGATTTCAGATGGACAATGTTTAGACTCAAGGACACGAGACTTGAAAACAACTCGAGGCTGGCTCTTGGCAGAGCCGATAAATTAAGTGGAGAGTGCAGATCAATCGCGAGTCTACTGGGCTGTCTGGTGAAGCAGGTGTATGCAAATCTGTGGTAGCAGGTCTCCGTGGTAGCAGGCTGCTTCGCTGGCGAATTGCAGCATCGAAATCAGATGGCTTCTCACTTCTTTTGCAAACACGATGAGCAGCCTCTTTCTAGAGACGTAGGGAGTCATTTGGTTTGAATACCGTGAAAGGTTGAACCGTCTCCATTGGATGTCACGCAATCGGACTTCAAATCAACATAGCCCGACCCAAAAAAAGGTAGTGGTATCAGTAACGAGCATTCAAATTCTATCATCACATCCAATGGATTCATTAGAAAGTCTCGTTATCTGGTCTATCGTGGGCAGCAATGGCAACAAAGACTACCACCGCTTCCATTGACTTTAAAACGATTGCTGGAGGGACAGGAGACTCAGTATTCTGTATGAAATGCATTATTTCTGGAGTTTGCTATTGGACTTGTTTCTATTTATAAACTCATTTACATTAGTAACCAACTTGACAGCAAAAAACAAACTTGACGAGTCGTACTTAATTGTTTGCTCAAACAATAATCTATTGGCGTTTTACATTCATTTTCCTACTTGAAAGTGCTTTCAAGTTCTCTAAACATGGCCAAAACCTGGTCAACCGTCATCATCCCCAAGTCTTCCCCACCACGTTTACGTACACGTACAGCTTGAGCCAATCTCTCCTTCTTACCCACCACTAGAGCAAAATTAAATTGCGAGGACTGAGCAAGCAAGACCTTTTTAGCCAATAGATTATCAGTCTTGTCCACATCAATATAATAATATCGATGCCAATATGAAGCATCAGACGATGCACGATCAGGTTGAGATATCGCATCTCGAACCTGTTCGGCATAATCAATATCATCGGCTTTTACTGGTAGCACTATAGCCTGTCGAGGACTCAACCAGAATGGCCATTTACCACCATGATGCTCTGTTAAAACCGCCAGCATTCTTTCGACTGATCCTATTACAGCACGGTGCACTATGACGGGTGTTTTTATAGTACCATCGATATCCTGATATTTAAGATCAAAGCGTTGTGGAAGCTGGAAATCTAATTGCACGGTCCCAGTCTGATGGGTACGTCCTAGAGCATCTTGTAGAGTGATGTCGATCTTTGGACCATAAAATGCACCATTTCCTGGCGAGACAGTCCATTCACGACCAGTATTATCCAATGCTTTACGCAATGCTATTTCTGCTGCATCCCATTGTGCAATGTCTCCAATAAAATTAGTGGGCCTAGTGGACAAGGCCAATTCATACGATGTGAAGCCCAGACGAGTATATGTCCGGTGTATAAGAGCCAAGGTCGACTCAATCTCAGACAGGATTTGGTCTGGAGTGCAAAATATGTGGGCGTCATCTTGATGGAATTGTCGCACTCGAGTTAATCCTGTTAATGCTCCTGAAACTTCGTTCCTAAACATTTAAGAAGTCAGCAAGACATCATCAAAGCATGGTACCAGTCTTCTGCTTGTACCTGTGGAGAGGACTGAACTCCGCCAGCCGAATAGGTAAATCACGATACGAATGAGCAGATGTATGAAATAGCAGACAGTGTCCAGGACAATTCATTGGCTTTAGTCCATGTATCTCAGGTTGTGAATGATGATGGTGATGGTGTTCATCCTCGCTCTCACTGTTATTCTTCACTAGTCGAGACTCCATATCATTTACTCCACCCACCATAAACATATCCTCTCTATAATTGTCCCAATGACCTGACGTCTCCCATAGCTCTTTATGATACAGTAATGGAGTCACGACTTCGGAAAACCCACAAACTCTATACTCGGATCGAATATAATCAATCATGCGACGGGCAATTCTAGCTCCATGTGGTAGCAGGAATGCTGATCCTGGTGCTAATGGATGATGCATAAATAGAGATTGAGCTCTTCCTACTACTCGATGGTCTCGTTTCTTCATTTCAGCTTGATTTAGTTCCCATTCTTCCAGAGCCTTTGCTTGCGGGAATGCTATACCAGTAACTCTGGTAAGCGGTTGTATTGATGAGCTGGTATCCTGTGCATCCCATCTAGCTGCACTGCTAGATATTAGTCGGAAGGCAGACAGCTGTCCGGCATGCTGTACATGAGGACCTCTACATAAATCTATAAAATCACCAAGCTTGTATACAGTCACGGATTCCTGTGGCGGTATTTGATACAAGAAATATAACTTGAGTGGTGAATAAGCAAACATTCGGAATGCATCCTTTCGAGATATAGCCAGTCGAGTAAATGCGGTCTTTCGTTCAGCGATAGAAGCCATGAGCCTAGATATCTTTTCTACGTCTGCTTCGGTGACTGCGAATATTTCACCATTGGCAGGATCAGGTCGCATCAGTTGTCGAATATCGTCTTCGACTCTCTCCAATGATGGTATTGCACCATCCTGCCAGTCCTTTAATCTATGTTCTATACGTAGAGTACCTTTACTTCGAAGTAAGGCATCATAGTAGAAACCACCTGATTTGAGAGCAGGTCCATCTGCTAACAGAGCATCGTCACCAAACTCTTGTTCTATGGCAGCTCCCAGCAAATGAGCTCCAGAATGCCATATACCCATCAATGCATCTGGTGTTTTTACATCGGGTTTTACCAGAGAGACGTGACAGTTTGTCGAGATGGTTGCGTCAATGTCACTGATTTTTGAGTCGATTTTCGCAAACACGGCATTCACTATAAAGACGAATGTAAGACGATGCGTTTATTCGAGTTTTAGCGGCAATAGATCAAATCAAACCTGTTCGTTCTGGTCTGAATACTTGACGAGGAGTAGTCACGTCTTTGATTCCAACGTGAACTCGTCCGTCCGGCAAGGTGATGTTGATTGGTTCCTGAGCGTCTGGTAGAGTAGACTGCTTCTTCTCACACTCATTCCAGACACGTATACGATGCGATGCATACGTGCTTGCCCATCCTATTAAGGTCGATTTAGATGAGTTTCCAAAGACTGTAAAAAGTGTGAAAAACGCAGAAGCTTTTAATGATGTATCTTACGTATAAGGTCTCTTGGTAGGCCATGCGTTTCAAGACTTGGCCGGACCTTCCAGCATCCTGCGCAACGACGAAGAACTACGGATTGTCGCATTCTGCTGTGTGTTGAAGAATTGTTTGAAAGATGTCACAAAAACACGTCAAGATCCTCATCGGTCGCTCCCTTCAAAGAGGGACTTTGGACGTGTTTCGGATATACACGTACCAGTACGTATTCGTACGTGACTGTCGGTAAGGTTGCTGGAAATCACCAACATTTTAGAATTGTCAAGGTCTCAGGGATATTCCCCGAATCAAACCAAGTTTCAATCAAAGGGTGCTCTCGAGCCGTTGAAGCTTAAGCGTCAGCTCAACGCTACATGCCCATTACTGGACAATGGAAGATGACGGTGAGTTGATGGTTACATTACTTTTAATCACGTATACTCGTTTTACATCGCAGGACAACCAACCGACGATAATAACACGTCGCATTCTCCTTCAAATTGCATTTGATTCTGTTACGTAACTAATTTACATTATAACTAGGTTCTGCAAGAGTCATCGTCGCAGTTAGGATTCGACCACTTAATAAGAAGGAGAGCACTGAAGGTGGCCCTGTTGTCGCAAGATGCCTGGACCCACGTACTCTTCTAGTAACACACCTTGAAGATGAAGACGATGTGTTGAGAAAGGATCGGCCAAGGGAAAAGCTATTTAGCTTTGACCACGTATTTTCAGAATACGATGGGACAATGGACGTGTTTGATAAGACGACTCGTTATCTAGTCGATGCCGTGACCAAAGGATACAATGCTACAGTTTTCGCTTATGGTGCTACTGGCGCTGGAAAGACTCACACAATGTTGGGCACGGAACTGTCGCCTGGGTTGATGCCATTGACTCTTGTACATTTATTTCAGTCAATCCGCTCTCAAAGAGAATGTTACCAGATATCGCTCTCCTACCTAGAAATTTACAATGAAAACATTCGAGACTTGCTATCAAACCGTCAAGAGTACCTCGAACTACGAGACGATGGAGGGAAGAAAGGTCCTGTCGTTTCCGGGATCACAACGGTTGCAGCATCATCAGCTGAAGAAATACTGTCGTTTCTGCGAAAGGGTAATCAGAAACGGACTCAGGAAGCTACTGGAGCCAACGAAACATCCAGCAGAAGTCACGCCGTGCTTCAAGTCTTTGTGTCGTTTCGAAAAAGGCCAAACGACGACGAGCGTCTATCCAAGCTTAGCTTAATTGATCTTGCAGGTTCAGAACGCGCGGCTAGAACGAATAATCGGGGTAATGGCGTCATTAGTACGAGTTTGTGGATCCATCTGATCTCTGTGTTTCTTTTAGGCCAACGGCTCATAGAGGGGGCTAATATCAACCGCTCTTTGCTCGCATTAGCTAACTGCATTGTAGCATTGGCTGAAAATGGGTTTCCTTCGTCAAAGTATATTAACTTTCGAGACTCAAAGCTGACAAGGCTGCTCAAAGACTCGTTGGGTGGAAACTGTCGTACTGCAATGATTGCAAACGTGTCTCCATCATTCCTGAGCATTGAAGAGACGTAAGTAATCACAGCATTCCTCCGTTTCAGGTTTCTTTGTTTAATCTGTCGTATTTTCTCAGAATGAACACAATCAAGTACGCATCACGAGCAAGAGCCATAAAAACAACATCAACGTTACAAGGAGCCATACCACAAACGGTAGCCAACAGATCAGCCAACGAAATGACATCTCTCAAAACCGAAATTGCTCAATTACGTGCTAGATTATCTGTAGCATCCCAGCAACAACCACCACTACCACCTCAACAACAATCATATCTGCCGAAAGCTCTACCAGCTAGCTATGGCAGACAGCCTATAATCAATGAGGAGGTGCATAGCAAAATCAATGCAAGGATTGCTTTGACCACTCCTGATTCGGACGTGCTTTCGGATGGCAGAAGGAAAATCGAGTTATTGTTTGCCGAGAGAGTTCAAACTACAACGAAAATCTCAGAGTTGGAGCAACAGCAAGATGTTGATTCAGGCGTCAAGAGTCAAGGAGCAAAGAAATTGACTGATATTGATAGAGAAATTGGGACTATACTACAGGTAAAATGTTGATCGCATCTGCTTCGAATGGCGGATGCTGTAACGTTTTTTTCTTCCTTGTTACAGCAATCACTTTCAAAGTGCGTAGATCGAAAATCGAAAATGTATCTAGAGCTTTTGGTGCGATCAAACTATTTAGAATGTGAAAGTAAGTGATGATGTCGCATAGACAAAAAACGGCATTTCTAGTCAAGCTTAATGAAATCTCACATTTCCACCTCCCCATCCCTTCGCCAGACTCAGACCTACGCCTCTTCCACAAACTCGCCATGCCAACAATCATATCAATGCAAGTCCAACTAAACAACACAGTCGAAAATGATTCCGTACCATCGCTACCACCCATAGTAATAGAATCCAACAAGGCGATCACCAGATTGAAATCCATTGCAGCACGAATGAGTCCACAATCAGGCATGATCTTACAATCAGAGCAAAACGACAGACCAGCAACAGCCCCAAGACCTAGTTCCTCAAATTCTCTTCAGCAACAAAGGCCCCAATCTGCCCAGAAAAGAGCTATACTTACGACACTCAATTCAACTGGTATATCTGGCTATACACCACCCTCTCAACTACCTAATATCTCTCGACCGTCATCTGCGGCACCTTTGTCTGATCGTGAAGTGCTGCTGAGAAGTGCACAGTTGTCTATGCAGTCATTAGTCGATATCCCATCAATGAAAAAAGTACTCAAGGCCTCTCCTGGAACGCCAACTCGAGCAAGAACACCGAATACTCCTGTGAAAACCCGTAGCACCAAGACTCTCGCATCAAAAAGCAGGAGTGATATGTCCTCGCAAGGTAGTCAATCAAGGTTGAAGAAATAGTAGTTAATGTTGTACTACGGGTCTGGTTTGTTGAATGTTGTAGTATATGTGCAGAAAATTCTATACAATCTTGAAGCAGAGGTACACACGTTTATCTTTGTTATGTTGGTGAGGGATACGAAATGAGTTCCCACTCATTACCAGTTCCAGTTTTCTTGAATTCGGGATTGGCAGTAATTTCAGTAATACCAAAATAATGTGCATCCACTCGAACACCTGTGGAAGTCAGGGGATTCTTCATGTGAAAATTTTGGTTGTGGTTTGAACATTCTCAGCATCACTTACCGATAACTTTGACAAAACGAGAAAAGGAAATGGTCTTGAAGCGTGCAAATGTGTCTGCTTTTATTTTCTTGATGACGTCTAGAAACTCATCCAGAGTATCAGTCGGAATGGATTCCACCTCTTGAATGAAGGTCATTGGCTGCAGCTTGTACATCTGTGCGGGCGTGCCTTGATACACCACCGAACACAGAACACCTTTGGGAACCTCCTTCAGTTGTTGATATACTGCGAGATGTGGCACTACAATGTAGGATTCACTGTGAGTTTTCAAATCTTGTAGAACGTCCCGTTTGTTTCTTCCTTACTTTGGAAGATGGCTCCACAAAACGAGACGATTCTTTCTGTACCACGAATGGCGTATATACCGAAGGGAACATGAACTCCAGTGATTTCCTTTCCATCACGCAAGATAGTCTAGACGAACTGCTGCGTCAGTAAAAAAAACCTCATTCTGTTACAAGACAATCTAGTCTTCAGTGTACCAGTTCAATCGAGTCAGGTCCTTTTGCAGATTCAATATCTTCAAATTTTGTCACAGTCTCTCCATCAGCAGCTAATATCAAGTCCGATTCTTGCAAGAGTTTACTTGACTCGGTACCAGATGTCATACGTCGTATGATTATTACGTTTCGTCGTGATTGATGACAAGCCTCAATTTTCTGGACCTAAGAATTACAAGCACCAAAATCTTAACATCGGATCGATACAGAACATGTGAAATAGAAGCCTCACCCATTCATCAGACAATCCAAGATGGCGAGCTTGTGCTATTTGTGTATAAGCCATTTCGATCTCAAGACCCTTGGTAATAATCTGGTCTTCTCCTGCTGGATTCTTTAAAGATTCTCGTATACGATCAACGATCTCAACCACAGGTTTCGGTTCCATTCCCATCAACACGGCACCACTACCAGTTTTATCTTGTTTGGAGAAAGCACTAACAATAAGGTAGAAGTTGAGGAATGCTTGGAGAGAGTGGTTCGTGTGGCAAAAGAATAACTGAACTTGTGAGCTCTCTGACCTCCAGAAAGCCTGAACTTTCCCATCGTCGACATCGACAATGACTCCTCCATGGTGAATTGGATTCTCAAATTCAAATACTTCACTGTTCACTGCTCTGAACGCGGGGCTGTGGCTGTCTGGGAGAATGAAAGGATGAATAGTTGTGACCTTGGTCGACCTCACTATAAACAATCCGTCAGTAATGTTAAACACTTTTGATAAACAACCAAACTCTGACCTATTGGTGTGAAGTATTTCGTCAATCCCACCATGATGGCGCTAGAGCCTTGTTTTAATTTCTTGGAGCTGATTTGAGCGGAAACAATAACAGTTTCACCTAGTAACCTTGTATCATATCGAAGGACAGCAAAATTATGTACCTGATGCACATACAAGATTTGTGCATTCACTATGATACTATTCGCGAATGTAATAAGCGTATCACCTAAAGTTGTTGGAATACAGTGCCTATCTACCACAATCAGGCCCAATTCATGATCCAGAACCACACCGACGGACGAATGGATCATTCCCATGACACCGTCAATATGAAATGGAGAGTTGAAGACGACTTGGCATAAAGCCGACACAACGTTTCGTCCTATACCGATTGAAGCATCAAGCTGTAATTGTGCTGCTTTATGCGGCTGCATCTGATATACACCTTGACATGGTGGCATATTCGTATAGTTCCAAAAACCAGATTGATCGTCTCGAATGGCTAGGCGGAAACTATGATACCGACGGTCTACTCGAATCAGAGCCACTCTTGGTTTATTAATGTCACCAACAGAGTAGTATCGAAGAGGTGCACGTTGCCCATCGTGGAGTTCTTGGAAGACTTGGATGAAGGAGTCCAGATCCGGAGTCAATTGATTGTTGATGGATACAATAATCGAGCCTCTAGCAATTCCTGCTAGAGCAAACATATAGCCTGCCCCACTGACCACAACTCCTTGAACTGGAACCATGTAGCCGCTTGCCATCTATGGGACAGTTTTTTATTGGCAAATACGAAGGAGGCAGTCAGACAAGTTTTGACAAAGGTCTTGCTTCCGATGACGTACCTGATACGAAAGCGCATGCACAATCCCTCCACTGACTAAGAGAAAGGAAAAAATGATTAATTTCCAAGCTGTGCCAAAATATGACTGTTCTTTACCTTCCACAAATCGATCAGGAGTAATGATGTGCAAATCCTGAATGACAACGTTCACTTCCAGCAGCGTTTTTGCTCTAGAAGGGGAGGTGGTTTACAGTTTTAGCATAGATGTGTTTTCGAACAAACAATGAAGTATACTACATTGAAACGACTCATGCTACGTATCTTTGGCTTACCTTTGGACATGGAACAAAGCAATCCCACCAACATTATCATCAAAGACTTCTTCAACAGGTATAAACGAGTTTACAAAGTGGCCATTGATTTTGTAGATGATGTCACCGGTCTCCAGAATACCATCAGCGGGGCCTTTAGGGAGGACCTGCCCGACTTGAAGCATACCAGTAGCTTGTGTGCCAAAGTGTTTTCTGATATCATGTTCAACGGTTTTATCAAGACTGAGACGTTTGAGCTCGTCAAATGTCTTGAAGCGGAATATGGTTTGAATCGTTCCACGGGCAACTGGTTTACCAGCTTTTATAAGATCCAGTGCTCGTACGATTCTGTCGAGAGGCAGGAAGAATGACGATGCACTCTTCCTATTACCACCTGCATTCAAAGCGAGACACTCTCCTTCAATGTCAATAACAGGCGAGCCTGAACTACCGCCTGAAGTCATTGAAGCTGCTTGGAAATAAAATGTGTTGAAGTCGTTGTATCTCCCTGTTCCATAAGCTGGTGCTTCTCGATCTAATCTTGCCATAATACCACTCAAAATGGATAGTCGTTCACCAGCGTCGTTGCCTACTACGCGAAGATCTACACCAACACGGGCTTTGGAAGGACATAGGGGGATTTCGTGCAAGTTCATGTAGTTCACTTTCGAGATATCAAAGGAGAAGAATCCAAAATCATGGACCTACAACATGGTTTTCGAAGGATGAGATCTGCAGAGAATCAAAGAGCAGGCGCTGCAGCTTATGCAGCATACTGACAGCAAGCTCATTGTGCTCGATAGGTATAACACTCTTGGCTGGAGAAGGTTACCGGATCACGATATATAGCTTTTAGTTGGACTTCCTCTTTGCTCTCTGTAAGAATTCCTTCTGCTAAAGTTGGACCTGTTCATAAAGGGATCGTGCATCGTAAGCGGAATCTCGCTTAATCACAGTGGAGCTTCACACTGCGGGGCAAAGCTCTGTCAACATTTGCGCGTACCTGGTTGAACAACATGACGATTGGTCAAGATGATTCCTCGAGTTTTGTCAACTATAAATCCAGACGCTTGAGATGCACGTTGCTTCTCGGTATCTAGGGTTTAAAACATGGCTGTTAGATCAAAGCTTCTGATGTTTGATTTTCAATAACACATTGAATGACTCGAAAGAAAAAGAAGAGAATCGCTAAAATAAACGACAGATTGAAGCATTTCCTCACCAAAAGTTCGAACTGCAATGTTGCGTATCGAGATGAGCGAGCTGATTGTACTTTTCAGTGTGCTCTCCCAAGGAGTTCCTGGCATCAGATCTGCAAGTGCCGATGTTTCAATGCCGTTCTGATCTTGTAGTGCGTCCTGAGCCTCTTCTACCTCTTCCATCCTTGCTTGCTTGGTCGGGTCAATATACAACAGCGTTTGAGAACACAACGAACACGAGCACACACGAATACCATTCATTATTTACATTTAAGAAAAATAATTTACACATTCGGTTATACTAGAATCTAAAGAGTTCAATGTTGTTTCAAGAATTGATCTAACAGGTTGAGCTTGAACACGTTCGTCCTGCCGCAACCTCAATGTCCCCTCGAGTACTCTATCCTTTTCTATTACTAAAATGCTACGCATAGCACCTATAGCCATACGCTCATTTTCCGGTGATATGCAGTCATATTCACCATATACGACTTTCAGGAAAATCTCGTTGACTTGCTCCTTTGGGATCTGAGTGCAACAAAGAGCACACCGAAGTCTGAGCGCCATCAGGAGCCGATACGATATTGGTGCTGATACCGAAACGGTGTAGTCTCCTCGGTACCCAACAGCCTCAAGATACGAGTTTGTAGTTTCGAGATTGTCTGGTTTCTCGTTGTCTAGACGGAACTCATCATAGGCTGAATCCAATACGGCATGATCGTAGGGATTATTCGGGGCCACAAATCCATATTCTCGCAATAGAAATGGATTGTCGTGCGGGCCATAGTTGATGAAAACCTAAAGTCGAAAAAATCTCATATAATTCGTGAGTTTATCGAAAAGAGTGCAAAGCTGTACCTGTTGATTCGCTTGGATGTGCTTGAGCGTCCAGATCACATAAGAATTGGATTCGTCCAGACCGGCTTCCACCGCGGCCTGAGGTGAGTGATTAAACAAATCAAGCATTGGCATCATGGCAAGCGTAGGAGATCCAGGTTTTGGTTGCCTCTTCGTCGTGTAAGTATATAGAGTCAAGCACCGTGTATTTACTAGCACACGAGTGGAGTTTCAGCTCAAGTTCATAGTTTGAGGAAACTGTGTACATATATGGGAAACTATGTTAACATACCAGCACACCACGCCCAAGCCACATCCTCTCGTGATGAAGGATGTCCGAGATTAGTAACTACCTCAATGTCGGCGTCCATTTTGTGTATCTGCCGTTCAATATCGGCTAGAAAGGAAGAGAATCAGCACGAGTTTACCATGCATGTCCATGTCGAGTACCTTGTGTTTCACGTTGTAGGCAGCGTTTGAGGTCTTCTGGAAGGAACATGGCCAAGCTTTCGAATGTTTGAGGCAACGATTGGATGAATGGTTTCCAAAACGATGCTTGGTCGTAACGATGGCGAAGCAAAAAGAAGGTCAAGGCCTGATGTTCCGTCAATTGCCTGGTAGTTGAAGGTAGGATTAGCTAGCACAATTCCACAATGCAACGATGATGATGTGTACCTTGTGTTGGGATGTTGGATGTTGATCACATCTTTGGTTAGCAAGAGTGGATTTGGCACGCGCACCAAAACAGTTCCAGCTTCAATAGACGATTTTGCTTTAAGCCCTCTTCCAGTTTCCTCGAAATGCCAAGGCAGAACGTGTTTGAATTCAACACTGTGCTCCTTCAACCAACTTCCAAACATTTCCGCCATCACGAGCGAATCAAACCACTGGCCAGACAAGAGATATCCACACTAGTCTGATCTATCGTTGACATAGGTATGTCGGGTTCTGTCCCTATTAGAGACTTGCCACCACCTCACTACCTGTTACTAACAACCACGAAAAACCGTTTTGTTGGGCTAGAATAATCTGTTCTTGTCTCTGAGTCCTCTAGAAACTACTAATTGGGCATCAAAGGTGGCCAATTCAAGAGACCCCTCGTCTACTCGTGCCTCGTTTACTGGGAAATTCGTACCTGCAGGCCGGAGCAATCTGTCCAAAACCAATCGTATACCGTCATGACTTCCTTACGAGCTCCAAACCCGAGGCTACATATGAGACTCAAGGATCAGACTATTCCACTGATGGGAATGGGTTCTGTAGCCTCGCCATTTACAAACTTTCAGAAATTCGTGTATGTTGCATCGTCGTCGTGACTCCTTCACCACACATCACACCTGTCTTGTAACTGATGATCTCGTCTTCTACTCTAATCTTAGGGATCCGTCGGGATCACTGAACTTTGCTGGGAAGGCTGTATTGAGTGCTCAGGGCGTCAACTTTTCATCGGGTGTCTCGTACAAGATCAACATGAACGAATTGGTACTGCTAGAAGAACTAGGCAAAGGTCAATATGGAGTAGTGCAAAAGGTGCACCATCTACCAACCAATGTCACTATGGGTAAGCCCGCTTGACGCAATTTCTGCTTTTAGATCGGCCCAGTGGTGGTGACCTCAAGCCAATAAGCCAATGGATTTCCTGACCTCCCATTTTTCTTGGCAATATAGCAATGAAGGAAATACGACTAGAACTAGACCAAACTAAACTTAATCAAATCCTCATGGAGCTGGATATATTACATCGTGCTCATTCACCTTATATTGTCGAGTTCTATGGTGCCTTCTTCATCGAGTCATGTGTCTATTACTGCATGGAATACATGGATGGTGGATCGATGGACAAGTTATATTTTGATGGGGTGCCTGAGCCTGTCCTGGCAAAGATCGCTTTGGGCGTAAGTTGTTCAGTGTCTAAATATCGGAAGGGGACTGATCATCTGGAAAATATTATAGATGGCAGAAGGACTCAAGTTTTTGAAAGAAGAAATGGCAATCATACATCGTGATGTCAAACCTACCAACGTGCTGGTCAACACGAAGGGGGAAGTAAAACTGTGCGATTTTGGAGTTTCTGGTCAGCTGCAACAGTCATTAGCCAAGACTAATATTGGTTGCCAACCATATATGGCTGTAAGTAATGATCTTTTAGTTAGATTTGACCTTCATATCAACACGTCTTTTAGAGTCTCTATCGAACATTGACCCAAAACAGCTCACACGTCACTCCATTACAGCCTGAGAGGATAAACACCATGGAAGCCGGCACGTACACTGTCGCTGCAGATATCTGGTCATTAGGTCTATCACTGGTCGAGATGGCAATTGGACATTACCCATACCCCGCAGCTCAGTTCGATTCGGTATTCGCCCAACTCAACGCCATCATCAGCAGTGAGCCACCAAACTTGCCTCCTGATCAGTTTAGTGAACCTTGTCGTGACTTTATATCCAGATGGTATATATACACTTTCCTTTGAGCTAGTCACTTGACGCACTCACTCACCCATTGTCATTGGTAGTTTGAGCAAAGACCCATTGAACCGACCAACATACGCAACAATTCTCGATCACCCTTGGCTGAGGCTTTATGAGAATGTCGAGGTGGATATGAGGGTAAGTTCAATAGTTCAGTTTTTGATTCTTAGTAAACCAAAGTTCCGTTGCTCTTGATACACACTTTGTCACCAACCTTGACCAACTCAAACTAATCACTCAATTTTCACAATTACAGGGTTGGGCCCTGAGTCAATTGGCAAGACGAGCCGCAGCTCAGATACCAAACGGAAACACGAATGGAAACGGCAATGGTGTAGCTCTTCCGCCGCCATAATACTCTGTAAATACGCACCAACAACAGATGATAATAGTGGCTTTGAGAAGTTTAATTGAAATTATTAGGCAACCATTTTGTATTTTGTTTGAATGAGCAGACAATCTCCCCACCTGCATGAATTGATGTATGATTATACCATTATACCATCATTTTCGTCATAATATACATGTGTTCATCGCGTCATATCGTTAGCGTACCTTTGTTTGGCGAAGCTTAAGTACACCTTCGCTTTTTCCGATGTTGTCTAAACTCGACGAATAAACACATCAAGACCCACCAAGCTATTAGAGCTTCTGGTAGAATGAGGATACGAGTACAGGCACAACCGCCTCTTCCCGCCGTCCAATACTATTATCCAGCTCAGAGCTCGCAAAATGGACCAGAAGAAACAATTGAAGTCTTGACCAGACGAGTCGCTACAGAGTTATTACGAGTAGCTCCCAATGAAATAGCATTACATATTGATCAATTCGAGCTACCAAATCATGTCTCTGTGGTGTCTTTACTCAGGGATAATGATCTCATCATGTATGTTTTGATCAAACATTGCGGTGAAGAAAATCTCAGTGTTTTGATCAGACGAGGAGGCTGGTGAGGATCTTTGATGAACGCAGCTTTATTTACAATATTATACTTTTGTCCTCTAGTGTACGAAGACGTGGAGAACCAGTAGGTAATGGAGTGACACGTCAACAAGAAAACAATCCTATTATACCTGCTGCCAAAGCTACAGAACAAGCTTCATCCACTTCATCATCAACCTCGGAATCAACTGATAATGACGATGACGAAAATAGTGCTCCACCTGTCAAAGTCGCTAAAAAGACTGGTGTAGTTGTGCCAAAAAAACCAATCCAAGAAGAAGATGTTGAATCAAGTAGTGACGAGGATGAATCTAGTAGTAGGAGTAGTAGCAGTGAAGATGACGATGAAGATGATGAAGATAGTAAAATGGAAATATCACCAAGTCAATCCGTAAAAGCGAACGGTGGTAGTAAACGCCAACAAAAAACACCACACGCGCTACCCAAACCATTGTTAAAACCTCGTATGCCACCGCCACCTGGTAAACTAAAACCAGTTACGTCTCCTACACTACCAGCTGGTCCACCAGTCCCACTTGTATATGATGCTACGCCAGTGGACAAGACATCGCCACCTGATGATGACTATGCTCCACCTATACCCGTCACGGTTCGTAGCAAACCTATAAAGAAGAAACAGCTTGTCAATAATCAAATGTCTGGTCAACCGCCTTTGAGTCTTGCTGGAGCAAAACGAAAGACTTTGCCAGAAATGTTGGCCAAACCGCCAAGTCATATTAGGTTTGGAGGTGTTGCCAATGATGATATTCGTGAAGATACATACGATAATGGTGGAGACGCGAATAATATGGAGGTTGACACTGAGACACAATCACAAGTATCAGTGAGTATTTTGAATGTGCTTGGCTTGGTTTTGTCGTTTTCTGCCGTCGCTCATTTTCCATCATTCACTAACATTCATGTTTCTTGTTAAGGCTCTACCAAAAATATTCTTCACAAAAGCAGATCTGTATGATGGTATGCCATATGACTCTCCTCGTCATCGACCAGGTACTCCAATAGCAGCTCCTCATGCGGCAATGAATCCCACGCCACGATCTGGCAAAGCTGCTGCTGCTGGTAAATCTACACCACCATCAGTCAATAAAGCAACTGCATCAATAAAACCTACTCCGGCATCTGTAAACGGAAATGGTAAACGCCTTCAACCTATTGACGCTGATGAAGATGGTGAAGGAAGCTCTGCTGAACCATCGCCCAAGAAACGTAAACGTACTCGTCGCAGAGCTAGAAAGAATCGAAATGCTCTAAAGAAGCAGGACAACAACGATATGGATGGCACTCCTGTCGACTTTGATCCACATGATGCCATCGTTGATGAAATTATTGATGCTCAACGTGTTGATATACAAACCAATGATGTCGACGATGATGAATTAGACGATCATGATAAGGAGGAGAGAGAAAGAGCCTTCCTCGAACGAGTGCAAGCTGAATATGCAGTAGATGATGGATCAGAAGACGAAGCAGATATATTGTCACGTTTACAAGCAGAGTTTGCTGCCAGGGAACCAGATGATAATAATAACGACGAAGATGATGAAATAGCAGCAAACCCTGATGAAGCACCAGTCAATCCTGCTTCATGGAAGAACCTGATGGAAGACTGGAGGGAACGACGAGCCAAAACAGGAGGAGACTCTGCTCCGAAAATCACGGTAGAAGAGCTTGAAACTCAGGTTTTGCAAATGTGGGAGCGAGTAGCCAATCCACATGCTCAGCCCAATAAAGCAGTTGACAAGAGCAAACCTGATATATTCGGTAAACCATCACCAATCCCACGGATATTCATGCCACCACCAGCCACCGCTACTCGAGTTGCCAAAAAGGATAGTAAAACCAGTAAAGCTACAGCCACAGCCAAACCTCGAATGCCAACCAATAGTAGCTCTACATATCGAAATCCTCTCTTTGCCAATGGTTATGTTGACAAAACGAAGAAAAAGAAAAGTAGTGAACCTGCCAAGGATGATAGTGCAAATAGTAGCACCAGTAATGAAAATACCGCCACCACCACCAACACCGCATCGATTACCACCGCAAGTACTGCTATGGCTACCACTACTCCCATCGTAACATCTCCAATTATCACTCTGCCAGCAGAAGACGAGAAAAACTATCTTGACTATCCCACACTTGGAATTCCAACTGCAGGAGACGTGATTGCCTACAGAGTCCTTCAACTCGTCGGGTATACTCCGACTATATCAGATTATCGCGAAGCTCGTGTCATCAACTTTGATGCATTCAGCTCATTATTGACCTTACGTCCCGTTCATCCACCACAATCACAAAAGGTCGATGATGCCGTCCAATCACCTAAAGGCAAACATAATGAATCAGTTGATGATGAATATCAATTGGGTGGTGATGATGATGAAGATAATGGAGAAGCATATGAAGATGCAGAAGAAGGAGAAGAAGATGGTGGACGTATTCGTGACAAGTTTGAACTACCACCTGATGAAGATTATGTAGTTGAGAGTGCCAGTGTTGAGAAACAGGATGGTGAAGACATCAAGATTCGAATGTCTGCTATGATTGATGCTCGAGTCATCTCTTGAATGCATTATAAGGTTGTGAGGGGAAGGAAGGATTGTAAGGAGTGAGGTTTATATATATATATTCGTCAAAGGAGAAAAATCAGAAAAAAACAAAGGTTTGCATAGTTTAGAGATGTTGATATTATTATTTGTAGCTAGTTAACTCATGAAAATAGAAGCATCTCTGCATAGTTGGTGACGTGTTGAATGCGAACGAGAGGGCTCGAATGGATTTGAGGAGAGCATCATCAAATCGGAGAACGTGTCGTTTTTTTAGCTGCAAAGCTGCAATGCAAGGTTTAAGAAAAATGGGGTCTGAGCAAACATCAGTCTTTGCATCGAGGTGGGAACAAACAAAAGAGAATTGTAACGTTTGAAAGGTATGATGGTATATGCGTAACCCAAAAAAGTCCTCTACATATATACACAATTAACTTAACTCATCGGATGATCTGCACTGATTTCAGCCAAGACTTGAGCCACCTTATAGTGGTTCTGACGCTGTATGGTAGGCTCTTCTGCAGCCAAAGCGACATGGTCAAAGTTTAGAGGACCAGGTGGGAAGACATAATTCAACTCGTCACGCCTGCGTGTGCGAGCTTCCTAAGATAGAATAAACAGGTTGGCTAAAAAGAACTGGACAATTGGGTGCATGAACCAACCACAATGTCCTTGTATCGAACTTGGTATGCAAGAATGGGAAGAAACATATCCCAAAAAGTGAATTCCGGCCAAAACTTGGCTGCGAAATGTATGTGGCATGATGTAGAGCACTAGAAAAAAAAGACAATGTCAAGGGAAGATTTCAGGACAAAAAAAACCGGACGAGTTGTGTTTCGCTCGAAACTGACCTGCCACAACAAGAAATCACTCAACCGGATTTCACCACTAGTCCTAACCAACAAATCCAATTCCTCATCGTCACCAGTCCCCAAACACCTCTCAATCATTTCTGCAGTGATATCAGTTGGAGCGATACGTCCATCTTCTACCGCCTCGACTAGACGACGGACTGCAGAAGTGATTTCGTGACGTGATGTGTATGGGAAGCAGATATTTAGAGTGGCGCTACGTTAGTAGGAAAGAGTGAGTAAGCGAGACAAAACAAGGAAGCGAAAAAGGGATATATACTTTGAGTTTTGACGAGTAATCTGCGTAGCTCTTGCAGCAGCTTCCTGTAATTTCTCTGGTAGCATGTGCGTCTCGCCAATGACACGGACACGTATACCGTGTTTGGCAATCAGATCACTAGATGAAAAGAACGTGAATTAAGCATGGACTCTGAGTGACAAAAAAAAGAGTGGAAATACCAAATAATACCTCTTGGTAGCAAACTCTTCAAACTTTTCAATTGCAAGCGACATGAGGGTATTGACTTCCTCTTGCGACCGTCTAAAATTTTCTACTGAGAATGCATATACCGTGACAGTCGAAACTCCTAGTTGCAGACACCAATCCAATGTCTTGAACGAAAAAATGTGAGATTGATTGCCAACACGTGTTTTTCGCGGAACCACACTTCCACACGTACTTCTTGCAATCTCCCAAATCCTTCTCGATGACCTTCGCCAGTTGTCTTCTTCTTGTCTTTAGCGTATCGCCTGTTTCCTAAACAGGGAATAAAAGTGGTTGAAGCGCTTGACAAAAACACGTAAACAAGCTTATAGGGCGTTTTCGGCTTCACTTTTTCATATTCACCAGAATGCAACTAACTCTGATGCTGCTCACAAAATCCTTGAACTGAAATGTGCAAGGCTAAATAGCGACGAGATGTTTGGATTAGATCGAGAAAACATTTACCATCCATTACAAATGCCACATGTCGAGGTATTGGCCCCAGTTTCAGCAGTTTGAGAGCTAGAGTCCTGGCCCGTTGCTCTATTTGCAAGTATTTCCAGATTGGATTTATTAGAGACCATGTCAATTCGAGAATCCAAGCAACGGTTTCGAATGCAATCGTTGCATAGATGGTGAAAATTTTGGATAGAAGCATGGTAAGTAAAGTCCTTTTCTTGTAGTGTGTTCGCGACGACTGAATGCACATTAAATGCTAGAGGCTAGGTAAAGTACAGGGAACTCAGATTACGTGCCAGACGCGTGCGTCACTACCGCTTACAAATTACAAACTCGTTTATGGGAGCAGATTTCTCATTATATTCAAAAGTAACAGCACTTTATACTTTGTATATACACACTTCATCTTGTTTTTACTCTGGTCGTACTTTGTTGGACGATCCAAGCCTTCTAGTTAGCAACGATCCAATAGATGCCTCCAAAGAAGTCACAATTCTTGGACCTGGGAAACTATCAGCGCTACTGCTGGTTTTAGATGACTCGGCGTTGGGAGATAGCGGTGGTTTTACAGATGCGGGTGGTAGGAGAAGCACTTCTGTAAGCTTACGAATATCATCTCTTAGCTGTCCAATTACTTGCATGGACGTAGTCATGGCTTTTTGGTGGTCTTCTTCCATCTTTTTCATTCGTTCCCGTTGCGATCTCGATTCGGCCTTGATGAGCTCCTCTAAAGCTTTGGAATCGTCGTTGAATCCAACACCAGACATGACGGGCGATAATCCTGGTGGCTCTGATAGGAATCCGTGATCGGTAAGTCGGTCTACAGAAGCAGATAAACTCTTCCCACCAGCCATTCCTCGAATAGATCCAACCACTGACGCTCGACGGGAAGTTCTGGCAGCTGCTGCATTGAATCCTTTATTACCACCATCTCCGTCTAGCGAATTGGAATTACCAAGATTGGCTGTCTCTTCGACTGGATTTATACGAGAAAGCCGTCTCTCGGCAACTCGAATCAATTCTGTAGAGTCCCAAGCTGAAATCTTGTTGGGCTTGGCATTTGATGCAGCAGCGTTGTTTAACTTGACAAGGGCTTCTGAGACCTCACCTAGACCGTGGCTGTCGTCGTCACTTATCTCGGAAGGTCCATTGATGGTGACTTTGGCAGCATCGAGGGGTTGTGCTAGTTTTGATGCAAGATCATTCAATGCGTTGTGAGATCTGGCTGTTGGTAACAGGGCATTCATAAATGGTAGGGTCAAGATTTCTGGTGACTCGGGTTGTTGGCTTTCAATTTGTGGCTGTTCGGATGGAGAGTCAACATCAGAAGTAGCAAATGCAGGTGTCCACCAGCGGTTTCTGCCATCAGCTGTATCATCGTCAATGTCTTTGTTAGTCTTGCTGCGTTTATTGGCTCTGGCAAGAACTGAGCTCCTCCTTCGTGCTCGCGGTTGGGTTTCTTGCGCTTCTGTTCCAGTACCTGGAACTGTATACCATCTGGTCTTTTGCACTGCACTCAATGGCCACGAATATAATATCACACTCTTGGATTTCAGGTCTGCAGAGATATCAACGGATTCTTCGACACCACCAAGCGATCTGTCTGAGATTGCGGAACCACGGTATCGAGAATGGAGCGGCTTAGGCTTGAGCTCAGCGCTTTTCAACGTCAGACTGTCAACCAAATTATATCGATTTGGGAAGGGCCAATATAACTCCAATTCGGCCATTAAGCCAGCAACTATGTTCAAAAGTTGAATTTGTCAGCATGTTGATACATGGATATTACTCATTTAGGGAAATTTACCTTCGCATAACCATTTTCCGGTTGTATTTTTGTGATCTTGTTGGTAGATGTTGGTGGTCATCAGCGCAATGATGATATTAGCCTAGGCGCAGAGTGTTTAGTAAGAAGAAATACAGGAGTATATGTACACAGCGTACAATCATCTTACCAAGAAAATCAAAAACACCAAATGAAAGAGAATCCTCAGAGTAAAGATTTGTGCATCTGAGACATTGTCCACTACAGAGTAGTCTCCAGTAATCATAGACAAAATACTCTGGACCGAGACACCCAAGTTTTCAAAATGTGGTGACACTCCAGTATTTGACAGCGCTGCTGCTGCGTTCTCAACCAGATAGAAACCACCCAAAAACGATGTTGCCATTATCAGATATGGAATGAAGATAGGAACGATGTGAATGGCAGCGATGACCCAAAGTCGAACCTGGACAAATAACAGGGTTAGCGAAAAAGGAAGAGCAGCAAATACGGAGGGACGCACCAGAGGTCCTATACTGGGTAATATCCTCAAATCCAATATACTTCTTAAGGCACACATAACCAAGACCAAACTCATAATGATCGGAGGAACATACAAATCGAGGAACGCCCCACGAATGGAACACACAATCACAGCCATGTGAATTCCGTTATCCACCAGATTAGTGTGTGAGGTGACGTAGTCTGCAGGATTATCAATGAGCTCTCTGGCCTCTTGCAGCAAAAAGAAGAATGCAAAGCCAACACTGATGCACGCAAGTGGTAACATTGCATAAGATGGAGGAATATCGGAAGATAGTCCAGCGTAAAATCGAGATAGCGCGGTGGCTCGTTGCTGAATAAGGATGAAGGTGCTTGTAGCACTGGCGACAAAGAGAATCCAAATCAAGAATTGCACTGAGAAGCGTCTCCAGAAGTTACATCTCAACCAATGGTATTCCATGAGGGCACGAATGACGGGTTGCAATATAATATCTTCGTCACCACATTCCAAAAGTCGTATCAGCGGTGATGTTGGTTGTCGCAGTAATCGAGCCAAGGGATGTGTTGCCTCATGAATACCGTCCATTGTAAGCATAGCAGCTGGAGCCATACAAATGACTGATTCTGTTTCTTGGAGTTCTCCTTTTGCACTCGACTGTGTTAGTGGTCCTTCGAAATCCAGCTTTCCCCACATGGCTTTCGATCGTGTTTTTTGAGTGGCACCGTATAACGACGTGGTGCCTAGTTTCAATCCACGTACTGGATGTCGTCGAATCTCTGCATCGTGTAGCTTATCACGTGGTACGCAACCGGGAACGGGTACACATGATACTTCATTTAGAAACCATCTAGCTTCCTCCGGAAATCTAGAAACGAAAAAATAAGACCACCAACTCGTAGCATGCTAAGAAAGCGAATCTCTGGATACCTTTCAGCGATTAACGGAAGAACTTGCAAAGAATCGCAGTTTTGACGAAACAGTTTTGGTATTGCTCCTGGTCCACCAGACGTAGGGGAGCTCATTAGACTGAGATCTGGATCCAACATAGATTCTAACAATGTGTGGACCATGACCTATCAGAACGAAAATCTGTCAATATACTCTACGACCGACTGGCTTGACTTTAGCCTTTAGTCCACACATACCTGATGACCACTTTTAACAGCTTCAAGAAGTGGACCTTTAAAGTCCGAACACCATTGAGCTTCCAGAAGGACTTCGACTATTCCAGCGTGGTTTAATGAGCAGCAACGTTCGAATAATTCCTTGACAAAGATTTCGTGTTTTGCGGGTGTTATTAAGCCTTCCAGGAAAGGGCCACAGGGATCGTTATGAAAATCAAGGAGCTCCGAAACGGTGGAGACTTTACTATGACCACCACAAGCTGCTAAATACAGCAAAACGTAGGATGAAAGTGACACAAAGTTCAGGTATTCCTTGAGTTCAGCCACTTGACTAGCAGCATTTCCTTCAGTACTGGCCACTACATCGTCAGGCTGATCATTAGAATCAGCAGCTCCAATAAACACTCGTGGCAGATCGTCCCTTTCTTCAGCGGCATCGTGTAAGGCAACCACCTTGTCCATGATGGCAAGTTCCATAGCTGCAAGAATGAAATCCATTCCACGAGAACATATCGGAATAGCAGCTGTCACGAATCCTTCAGCGTTGATCTTGGAGCCAAAGCAATCTAGTATAACTCTAGCACATCCAGCTCGACCAGCATGTGCAGCAATCTCGAGAGCTGTAGCTGCTGTTTCACCATCGACGGTGTTAATCACGTCCATCTCGAACGACAGGAGTTCCTCTATCAGTGACACGTCTTCTTCGATTGGTTGTAGAAGGGCGAGAAAGAGGAAGGATTGGATGATGGCGATATCTCGGCTTCCACGTTTCTTGTCGATAATTTTGAGCAATGCTGGACCAACGTGGTTGAGTACTTTTGATGCCATTGTGTATGAGGGTATGGTCAGGAATACCGATTCGGCATCTTCTACAGTGTCGATCTTTTGTATGTGGCGTAGCACTTCTGCTTGAAAAAAGTCTAGAGCAGATTGACGTAGTTCGGGCATTTCATCGTCTATGGCACCAAAATTAGATCTACCCAGTACGGCTATAGCGTATCCATTCCATACAGCATCATCAGCGTTTTCGTTTGGTTCTCCAGTATTCGCAGCCTCTATAGACTCTATAATCAGATTCAGCATATCCATTTTTGCAATGACACCATATGGCGGACTGGTTTTGGCCATAATGTGCTGGGTCACATGCTCGAAACGTAGTGCTCTCGTTGAGCTCCATCGTGCCAGATTCTAAATCAACAAATCTGTTAGATCGCTTTGCAAAACCAAAATGTTGGATGCGATAGCAATATACCGATGCAGGCTCAGAGATCGGCCTTCCAGCCAATAGATTCGAGTGGAATTGAGCGATCGCTGCTCGTTTTTCAGCACTGTCGAATAGAGATGAAGTATCTATCTCATCTTGGCTGTCTATTCTATTTCCCTGTTCTAAACTCTCTCCCAAGGTATCAACAGAGGTCCCTATTATAATATGAACAGATCCAGCAATTGGCTCAGTGCCTGGATCTACCTTTTTCACTAACGACATTCGCCGATTCATTGCTGCCTTCTTGTTATGTCCAATGTGTTGGAAAAGCGATGCGTTATTCGGGGGTCGGGGATTTTATGTATGAATCGGTTGTGTCCTGCAAAGAGACCCAAGGATACGCTTCGATTCTCTGCATTTTCCGGGTCTTGTCAATCGTTCTCTTGCGTAAATGCCTAGAGACTTCTGAATAAAGGTCTAAACAGTCGCAGCATCACAACGGACGCAAAATCAAATAACTCCTGACGAGCGATATTCCTGTCAGTCCAGCCTACACAATTCTTCCAATTTCACCTTCTTCAAGCTTAATTCGGACATTGACGTCTGCCAACCTTTGCATCTTCATTTCTCCCTCGTATATCGAAGAAGCCGAGAACGAACACTAACTCGCTCCCCCTTTCACAAAAAGACCAAGAGAACAGAATGAATGATATATTGCTTTTGCTTTTTGCGAAAGTACAATGTGTATTTGAATTTTATCCTGAAGGCACCTTCTTGGAAGGGAGTTGTACGTTTGTGGGAATGAGAACCTTGTTTATGACGTGCACGACGCCATTTTCTAAAATACATCAGATTTTGTCAGTCATCCTTGCCACCAGTGCCTTGAATTTGTCCAAAAACTCACCAGCTGGTCCATCGGCGAACTTGATCTTAGCCATTCCTTCATTGACATCGTAGTCCCAGTTTTCTGGATTATCAATACTGCCGTCATCACCTATAAATACCATGTTAATACGAGCTAGTGGAGACAGAGAATTGTCCATTATCACCATCAAAGATGCCAGCCAGGCTGAGAAGGTAGTTTGTGAAGTCAGCTTTATCTTTTTCGCCATGGCATACTTGTCCTGGGCTGCAGCGGGGGTGGCCATAGCAGTCTTGGCCAGGTTGACAGTTTTGACTACCTTGAGTAGCTTGGATCGAGATAGAGTGTTTTCCATTCAAAGTCTTGAGGTCGACTTTGCCTTCAGATCTGAACTTTGGGGAGTACTCCAATGAAGGGACGACCTATCACATTCAGGAGAAGATACGTCAGCTGCAAAATACTTCCACTGAGCCCAGCGCAAAAGAAGCAAGGAGGCTCTCACATGGTATTTCAAGAGTTTTTTCAAGTCACTCTTGCCTTCCTTTGAAAAGAGGTAGTAAACGTCTTCAAATTCAAGGCCTGTCAGATTTGACGTGAGGACGGTTAGCCTTTCACAGTCATTCAAAGCCAACAAGGAAACGACTTTACGACAAGCGTTGAAATGGCACCCACCTTCTTCCCAAGCTCGATTATCTGGAGCAAAGACAGTGATAGCTTTTGACTCTTCTAATTCCTTCTGTAGTTCTGTGCGGAAGATAGCAGTTGCTAGAGTAGAGAAGACTTGGGGAAGAGAGATGACAGCCTCCATGATGTCTTTAGGTGGCATCAATACTACATCAACAGTGGGTTTAGGTCGTAGCAAAGTTGAAACGTTCAAATATTACTAAGATACCTCTGTCAATGACCAAAATGTTTCCATTGGAAGCTGCGGTTTCAGATATGATGTGAGCCTAGCACGAAAATCGTTCAAAATGGTCGTTAGTGTTGAGCCCTTGTCAAGAAACGAGGCGACAGATTTGGGTCGCAGAAACCGTGTCACTTTGAGTTGTTGTCAAGGCGACTACAGGTAACAGACAATCGGATAAGACAAATGTTTACCATCATATTGACATAGATTTCATTGTCCCGCTTGGTAATACGAAGGATTTGACGTTCATTCTTCAGGTTCTTTTCCTTGAGTTGAGTAGCAAAGATTTGACCATCTCTCAAATCTTGGATCTTCAAGACAGAGTCACCAGTAATGTGGTAGGAAATGAATTCCTTCTTCTTGAAATCCTTTGAGAGGTTGAAGCTTTGGAAGGCCTATGATAAGGTTCACATGTCGTTGTTAGCGATCAACTTGGACATGAATCGTACAGACACCCCTTATGAACTATTCCAGCCATGGTTCGATACCACTCTTAAATTCGTTTTGAGGTCTCTGCAAACTTAAAGGACATCAACGTCCTTGGGGCGTACTTCGTTGGTTGGTGCAAAGAGAGTATATTTGCGATCAGGGTTTGAGAGATCGTCCTTCAACCCTTTAGTAGATTTGAGCAAGTCATGCTAAAGATAAAAAAACGATAAGGTCAATAGGCTGTACGCAAAGAATTTTTCAAAAAATTTCAAATACGAAATCAATGTTCCATGCAGTACACACCAATTGACTGAATTGTTCATCGTCAGCAATTGTTTGAGCAATAGTCTTTTCATCTTGATCTCGAGAATGAGGAGCATCCTTGTCAAAAGCTGATGGTGCACCTCCAACGACCCAGAATGTCACTTGGTTCGACTTTGGTAGAGCTGTTGTTGTCAATGGAGCCAATAGAGCTAGCACGAGTGGTAAGTAGAGCATCATTGCGCTATCTTTACTTTTGATTTGATATTTCTGTGTGGGGTGTGTTGTGGACGATGTTACGAGAGGAAAAACTGACGGTCGCTAATTGTAGTCGACAAATTTTTGACAGGCAAGAGCTGTAAGCTTTTTCATGGTAAATAAGTGTGATTCCACGCGTTTGATAAAGCGAAATCAACAATGTAAGGGTGAAAGAGCGGTCCAACCAAACACTATCATCCAACACACAGTGAGCCCTCGGCAAACAGGCACTTTGAACATCAAAAAATCTTTGCTGGTGCCTGATTAAATATAATGCAAATTCAAGAGCGTATGTATACAATGTAAATGGTTGACTCGTCCAAGACGAAGGTTGAAGTTGGTTCACCGACTGACAACTATGGCAGATTTGTCTACTTCCTGACTTGAATTGACTTGATGTAGCTGCATCCTCACAGACATCATGGTCTCATGCATGTACTTGATATCTCGCTCACGAGATGCAAGCTTCTAAATAAATCGATTTGATTGAAGCCTGTCAACACGGCTACAACACTGCAAAGGCACCACCCGAAAAATTGCAATTCTTCTTACAGCACGTAGATCATCTCTTTCCTGCCGAAGTCGTTCAAGGTCTGGTTTCGTACTAGCGCACTAGCAAAATTCAACTTCAGTCAAATTGATGTTGACGTATTTCCACCCAAATTTGACATCACGCAAATATAAGCACGTGTTTTGAGTACATACAGATACATCAGCATTCTGAAAATCCTCAATTAATCGTTTGATTTGACTTAGGGAAGTCAACAATTCTCTTGAATCTGAAATCCCATTTTCACCAATTGGCTGAATTTGTTTCTGGATAAAGACATTCAACTTGGCTATCGCTTCATCAATTGAAGATATCGTGTCCATTTTACTTCGTCTGGCCTGCCCTTATCTCAATGGATCATACTCATCATGGTGAACATAGTCCAACAAAGACGACCTCCGCTTCACATTCAATGTCGATGACGATAAATTGGAATTATGGTATTCTGAACTATTTCCATGAATCGATACCAGATTTGTCTCATTTCCTCCTATCTAGAAACTGTCATTGTGTTTGACTTTTTCCGGACTTCAAGTACGTGACGGTCAGCTACATTTTCTGCTATGATATACTGCTAACGTTCATGCCATACGGATAGCACCATCAGGACTCTTTATTGCTTGTCTTTGCGTGTCTGGATTCTGTTACGGGTGAGAAACCTCACACGTTCGACTGTGTTGAAGATAATACATGCCTTGCTAACTAATTTTTTTGCTCTATCTAGGTTCGAAGCATTCAGACACCATCGAAGCAACTACGATCGAGTTCTAGTCGAAATGATTCAAAAGGAGCGAAACAGTTTAATGGGTGGTATTGATATGGAAGATGATCTCAAGTCAAGACCAGCAAAGAAAAGGTAAACGCTTTGTTGCGGTACAGTGAAGATACTCCAGAGATTATTGATAATTTTTTCTCTTGACTTAAAACATTAAAACAGCGAACAATACTATCAGCTCATTCGAGCAGGATTACATGGTATAGAAGTCACTGTTGGATTCTTGATAATGTTAATCACGATGAGCATGAATGCGTTTCTCTTCCTCTCGATTGTAGCTGGCTCGTCAGCTGGCTTTTATGTATATCAGAAAGGTCCGTTAATGGGGACCAAGAACGCCCTGGCTTGTCACTGATTCCACTGATTAGAAAAGAACAGTCTTGTAAATAAACAGCAACAATACATATTCATCATATCAACAAGTAACATGTACAAATCGCCAAATTTTCATGGACGCCAAATTTATATTTTGTTTTTTTACGTTCTATACAAAGCATAAGGGGTTGCTACAATCGCCGATTAAACTCAGTCCTCGCGATATTCAAAGGGTTCTAAGTAGCGTTGAGACTGCAATGTTAGTCATGACAAAAAAAGTACAAACTGTTCCTTTGATTACCTGGAGGGGCAGGCTCATTTGCCGTATCTGGAGCATTCAAAACAGCAGCAGTAGCTGCGGTAGTTGCTGGAGCAGCGGCCACTGGAGCTGCAAGAGATACAAGTTCTTCTGGCTCTGTTGGTCGTCGATCTTCAACAATGACAATACCACCAGTAATAGTCTAAACGACTCGAGTTTATAAGCAAGAAAAAAATCATAAATCGACATAGATTCGATACTCACCGACTTGACTGGTACATATCGAGAATCTTCCTTGAAATTCAGATACTTGAGCTGTTGGGGTAATACACGTGCCATATTTTGCAGAATCTCAAACGACTCTTCCTTCTTGCGCTTCTTCTTCTCATCTTTTTTATCATCAGCCTGGTAAAAAAACTAAAGCTTGAGTAAAAAGGGCTTGTTTGCATACCGCACCAAAGATCATTAACCTTTTCATCTCCTTCTTTCTTATCATCAACATCCTTCATGTCAACATCCTTCTTGCCATCCTCCTTCTTTTCATCTGTGTCCATAGCATCTCCCTTCTCCTTTTCAGCTTTACGTGCTCGAGCCTTGGCCTTTTGTGTAGTTGACAAGATGGCAGTTTCCACCTTTTCAATCTTTTCTACTGTCGGTGGCTTCAAAGCGGGAGGATAGGCAAACATGGATGGTTTGGCATTCGATGTTACTTCAAGTTTGGGTACCTGCAAAGTGAAGTTGAGTTTCCTATACACAAAAAGAAACCAACAACTCTGGATGACACCTACATCGAGATTATTGTTGAGAGCAATAACAGCAGTAGGAGTGAAAGCCAAACTCAAAAAGTGAGTCAATGGATACCAATACCAGAATTGCGTAAACAAGGCCATTCCAACAATAGCGCTTCTGTTCAAATATCCATTTCGACTTGCAAGCGATAGAGTCACATTTCGACCACCAGCATCTAGAATACCTTGACCAATAGTAGCACCAAACTTGGCCATTTGTTCCTCATGCTTATCCGATACAATCTTTTCATACATTTTTCTGACTGAAGCGACTCGAGGTGACATACTATCGTTGTGTTGAATGAGGATCATGGCATTAGCTATGAGAGCACCTTGTCGAACGAAATCGACAGGGTCTTTGAGCATTGGATCGAGTAATTCCAATGCTTCCTAAGGAAGGATACCATGAAATGCAAAGAAGGTGAGCAAAAACAGGAGAATAAAAACGTAACTTATGCGACTCACAGTCATGCCAGTAGCTGCACATGCAATACCAAGAGCCATGGTAGCTCCATAACGAACATGAGGGTTGTAACTCTCTGACAAGAGTTGCACGAGTTTGGGCACTTGCGAAGCTTGTCTAAACAAGACAAATCCAAGACCCATAACTGCAGCTCGTCTCACATCATCATTGACATCAGATACAGCGACATGCAACAGTTTACGTATAGCTTTATTATTGCCTGTTCCTGCATATGCCATTGAGATGGCATAAATACCACCATAACGTAGGATGGGGTCCTTGTCAGAGACCAACTGTTCAATCAATACGTCGGCTTGTTCTTCTCGACCGTATGCAATCAAGGCCATGCCTAATGCGAGACCTCGAATAATCTTTTCGTGCTGAGTTTCATGGGCATATGGGAGCATATCATTTAATGCCTTGTCGGAGCCTGTTCCTAGCATGACTAGACCCATGGCTATGCCAGCAGCTTCTCCAGCTACAGCGGACTCACTAAACAAGACATTCTTCAAATCATCGAAAATGTCTAGAAGAATATGTATGAGCATGTTTGCGAAAGAATGTCATTGCGCAAAAAAAGTTTTTGCAGAACACCGACAAATTGGTTCATACCCTCACTATCAGATCCCATGCTAGCAACACCCAATCCCAAACAGGCTCCATGCTGAATAACTTCAGCTTGTGTATTCTTGAGGGCATTTGTGAGATATTCGATGATGCCAGAACCATGGTTGGCATGTATCAGACCCAATGCGAATAATGCACCTCCTTCAGAGTATGCAGATCCACTCACACCATCTTGTGGCAGATATGGACCAAGAATGGCCTTGCCATGAGTAATTTGTCCCTGTACAAGTATATGATGGGTCAAAAAAAGCTGGACAACCCTCAGAAGCAGGCACACACCTTGTGAATAACACCCAATCCTGCAGTGGCACTAAATTTCGTCCAATTTGAAGCACGTGAGAGCCATTCCAGATTCTGTCTCAAAAACTCGTCACTGGTTGTTCCACAATTGCTGAATGCATTAGCAAAAGTGATGGCTGAATGATAGACAGAGTTTCGAGATTCAAGAGCATTCTAATGTTCTCGAACGAGTCAGACGCTGGAAAAAATGATTGAGGAAATGCACAAATCCAACCTTGGTTGCTTTGAGGATTGCCAAATCGGTATGGTTGTTGCGTGTGAGGAACTCCAAATTGAGTTTGATGGCCAATTGTCCAGTCAATATCTCTCGAATCTTGTCGAATGTGGCTTGATGTGGATCAGCTGGTCCCTATTCACAGAGACGAGGAGGATCAGGATATAGCATTCATTATTGCAAAAAAATAGGGATCAATTCCGCAATCACCTTTCCAGGAGCAGAATCAACATCCATAGCAGTTGCCGATGGAGCTGACGTAGCTCCTGGTAGAGCACCAGATACTTTTTGCAACATGTATTGAGTGGCATTATTTTCGAGATCGAATGCGATTTGGAAGGCAATGAGAATATGTTTCTAAAAGATACAAGATACAGGTCAGACAAATAAACCGGAAGGGCGCAACTGCTGAATTTCCGCAATGGAAGTTCGCTCACTTCATCAACCTTCACAAGTGTTTTGAGTAACTCAGCGGCGGATTCATAGTCATCCAAGTGAACCAAACATTGCATCATGGAAAAGTAGTCGGGTTCTGGAAGTGTCTTGTACAATTTGACTAGTAATCGTAATATCTACAGGAAGCAATGAGAGTGAGGACACGTCATTTCATTCCAAGGGTAGACTACCCTACCTCGTTACGGAAGATCATATGCACAACCAATGTCATGCTCGATTCCAACACATATAGCAATAAATCTCTGGTTTGGGTGGGATCCAGCAAGCAGGCCTTTTCAATGACATCTAATCTCCTGGATTCAATAGCGATACCAATGGCCTGGCATGAGCAAAACAACGTAAATGACCCATTGTTGAACGAATATTGCGAAGGATGTATAAAATCTATACCTGCTTGTACTCCTTATCATCATAACACCTCCTAAACATACGTTCTACAACATCTTCTAAATCCTTGTCGACTTTGACTCCAGCTGTTGGGTGTTCGTGTTGGTTGGTACGGTCTGCTATGTACTTGTCGATACATTTAGCTATGAGAAAAAAAGGAGAAGAATCAGCTCCGATGCACAAGAGGAGATTTGAACCTCAATAAAATATTAGAGGCAAGACAGTGATTGACGACCACAAAAAGGTAGAGTAGTCTGCAGACATTTCTGGCAAACGTTGCTTGACCCAGAACTTACATATGATTGTTTCTACATATTCGCTCTTGGCAGCAGGATCAAAAAGCTCTCCGGCCTTGAGTGCAAAGGATAATGATTCGTTGTACTCTCCTAAATGATAATATACCTAGAAAATATGTTGTGTACGTGATGAGCGTCATCTTTTATATCGCACATCCACTTTTTTGGCCTTGCCTTGGAAGCCACTAGAGCAGCCAGTCTCCTTTGCCCAAACTTTTCATCCTCATACAGTATTTCACTACATCACGATAAGCAGTCGAGTGGTTAGTACGTGTCCATCGTTTGAAGTGAGAGGAGAGAGTCATCCATTATGAAAAGAATCCAATGACAAGCCATAAAAATTTACATTTTTGAAACGGCATCGGATATTTCAGCCCAGAATTGGTCGACAATGGAATTCAATGTCTGCAGAGCATAGACCTTCAACTGTGCTTCCCGTTCGTCGAGGAGTGAGATGACACCCGCTAGATGTAATAATTATGATTGGATTTTAATACACTGTATAGATGCCGAACGTGCATGCAAACATGCACATAAACGAGACAAGTTTTGACGTCCATCCAACATTCAAGATTATTATCATACCAGCAGAAGTAAGGGCGACCATTTCTGTGGATGCGAATAATATGACGCTAAATGCAATCGATTCAATACGTCTTGGTGGTTGTGATGCCTTCTGTCTCTGTATTGTTTAAGTGCAAATGACGCGTACTCTTTGAACGGATAGAGAACTCCAAAGTCGAAAAAGTAAGTCAAAATATTTTCGAACTAGTGCCTGAAAATGCTATAAATCATATCAGACACGTCGTGTACCCCTTAGTATTGGCTGACACGATGTTCAAGCTCAGTGTGTTGCTGCCATTGACGTGATTTCCGTTCAAAGCTAGTCAAGTACTCAAGTACATAGCTGAGCCTTATAAGAATGCTCTAGGCGCGTCAGCTACTTTTCTTTTGTGCGAAACTAGATCAAGCAATCTTCCAAACCTTCATCACGATCTAGAGAAATGTCGACAAGATGACGCTCGTTTGTGTCGAATGCGGTACACCATGTGCTTCATTATACACGGAATACAGTAAAGGAAACATCATCTTGACTCGCTGCGTAAGTCTAGCTCGTTGCACGGTTTGTGATTTTGCTCACACCTAGAGCTTGACTCATCATCCTTCTCCAACTAGGATCGCTGCTCACACTTCACGGACAAGTACTTGGAATATGACGGCGTCATCTTATTCATCGATATGGTGTTGCTCAAACCGCAAGTTTACCGACATTTGATCTACAATGTCCTTGAAACCGGAGACCAAAAGCTCAAGGTACACTTATACAAAACGCGTGAATTCACTTTGATCCATCTTCGGAGCCCCATTGAATCTCTATGGCTGACGCGTCAACTTCCATAGTCAACATTACCAAGGCTAGCTGTGTTGTTTGTCTTGTTTGATGTTTGTAAGCGTTGGATGACCTTTCTTCAGTTCATCTGGAGCACTTAGTGTCAAACTTCTCGTTGCTCATTTAGATCTGAAGTGGTTCAAGTTGGAACAAACCTATGGACTTGGACAATTCCCACATCACGATTGGCCATTGCTGTCGCAATACCTGTACATTTTGAGTATGAGTGCCCTAGGTGACAGCATCCAATTGCAGTAGCGATGAATTATGTGGTTTAGTAACACTTGGTTATAGGTTTTCTGTCGCTTCTTGTTGGAGTTCTGTTTGGGACAGTGCTATCTAAAGGGTGGACTTGGGTGTCTCAGAGGTACCTTTTTTTCTGGAAGCTATGGTTGTACATGCCAAATCTAAGACCAAGCCATTCAACTAGGTACGACACCATATGCTTGAGTGTCATAGTCTCCTCATTCGGCAAACTGTTGCCTCTTCTTATGGTGATTTGGGACTATCACGGAATAGAATATGTGTGGTTGGCAGAACTGTTCGTTTTTCTCTCAAACATGGAAGCTCTATCAGGTAAAAGCAATAGGTAGTTCGCGTGACGCTCTGACTATGTGACTGACGTTTTGTTGCATTTCCCCTAATCACTCTAGCATTCCTGGGATCTGGAAGCTTGTTCCCATTCTTCATCATGATATCCGGTAATATGTGTCGAGCATTGACACAACATGCATTTGGTGTTTTTGACCCAGAACTCCCTTTCCTATTGCTGTAACCTCATATGTCGTTCAATGAGCACATTGTGTATATTTTGTCGATTTAATATAAAGATTCTTTGTGTGATTTTACATTCTTACTCTAAATGGGAGAGGAATTCTGAATGGATCAATTTGCGTGAAATTTCGGGACATTGAGACTTCGTACGTTAAGATCGTTTTAGAGTTTCTCAACAATGGAGTTCTTGGTCGCAAGCAATTGTTCTTGGGTGGGCTTCAACATTGGCCACTCAATTCCCAAGCCTTCTGTTTCGTTTGGTTTTGGGATGATGTGAAAATGGACGTGATCAACAGCCTGGTGTGCTAGACGTCCGTTGTTCTGATGGAGTGTGTGAGTGTTAACTTAGGTGTAAATCAGAAAAGTGTGGACACGTACCTGCAACAAATTGTAATCTTTTGCGCCGATGGCGAGAGCAACCTTCTTGGCGACAGGTAGCAAGTCTGCCAAGTTCTCGTCGGGAACTTGATGGAAGAATTGAGCATGAGCTAAAGATAAAGGGGTTGATGAGAAAGGAGTACGTTGCGCACGCCGCTTCAAATACGTACCCTTTGGGATGACGAGCTTTGGTCGGCGTGAATGGGGTAGATAGTGAGCGAAACTGGATTGGAAAACATCACTTTCGATGTTTCAGAGAGAGTTTACTTACAACCTAAAAAAACGGAGTTAGCTGTTAGGTCGTGCTACATGATGTTTCTGATGTTGAAGAATGCAAACCTACGTGACCAGTCTGAAGAGGATTAAGAAGATCAGTAAGCAGGTCAAGCTCAACTCGAAATGCGACGCTAATTACGCTGGCCACTTACCGATAACGGGCTGATATCCAAGAATGCGTATGTCAATTCGGTTTCCAGCACCTTGTGTGAAGGGATAGCTCCTTTGATGATTTTGCAAAAGATGCAGTTGGCAGCCATTTTGACGTTTCTATATATAGACCCTACTTGGAACTCCTTTCGTGCTGTGTGAATCTGGATGAGGTCCCAAAATCTTGCTAGATTTGGTGGAAGGAAGTGAGCATCGTCGCATGAGAACCGTGAACGAGTGAAATCAATATCCTCAAGGCTTTCAACATAGTTTTCAACCCGTCTTCTCGTCATACATGCTTCACGCTATGGTTTTAATCCAAACCGCATGATAAACCGGGACATAAGTGATTCGAAGTTGGAGGTCAATACTACTTATAGTACCACACCGCAAAACTCAAAAGACACATTTCATGAACGCATGGAGCTCTGCAACCAAGAGCACGGAGCCTTTGGGAGGTCAAGCGCCCTCAGCGAAGCACGAACAAGTTTCATGCATTTACGAAGGTGATGAGGGAGAGACAGTCATTGTCGAGCAGAACGAGAGCACGAACTGATCTGAATTGTCGCCAGTTCTATCCAAGTCCATGGCCTTATTGGTATGCCATATTAGAACGAACGTTACCGTCGACCGATGTCAGCGACTTCAGACCTCCTTTAACGAGAAGACAATCAAACCGTCTTCAAAAGTGGTAGGTGCCTCTGGTCACTCTCTTTCTTCTCCCGATTCCAGCGAGAATGAGGAGGGTACCGGGTTACTGAGGAAACATTCAAGGTTTCGAAATATTGGACAACTTCTTCACGTATGGAGGACTTGGCTATGCCGAGGTAATTATATCACAGGATGACGGGATTTCGCGACCTTCCTGATGTAAGAGACTATGGATTCATTGAAGTCTTGTAGTTCCCATGAACTCTCATTGACTTGTGTTCGCTTGACATTGTAGTTCATGTCTATTGTGAAACTCATCGCAGGTACTCAGGTTCTCGAAGTGCTTCGAGGAAATGCTATTAAATCAAAAAATCATCTTCGCATGACCTTGACTCTCATGGTGAACGAAAGACTTCCATTTGACATCGACGTTTGGAGTACATTACCAGTAACAAAAACAAAATCGAGCAACAAATATTTCTAGTAATGAATCGCTGGAACTAAGCGATGCTACCTGCCGCAGGAGGCAGGTTTACGAGGGCTTCCTCGTAACGTAAACGAAATTTTTCCGCGAAGATATCATCCATTGGTAGCCGACACATTTCAACCTCATTGTCAACTATTCGTCAAGATTTCAGGTGCACTGAACTGCAGGTTGAACCGAATGAAACCATTGGCAGTTGGCAAAGCAACATATTCAGTCAAAGAAGGAGTTACTACCGTAACCAGCGCTTGAGAGATGGTCTTCAAGTTGATGACCAAAAACTCTTATTAGACTAATAGACGCCATGGTGGACACTATCGACCTTTTACTCAACCACACGCCGTATGATTCAACCCTGAAAATTTACTGCGCCCCCTCGTCGGATCCACAAGGTTTCTAACCTTTCCTCGTCCTTTTCCCGGCTGTTGAATCCACCTTCGGGTACGGAATGTACTCTGCTTGCCAAACGGACGAGATTGATTTTCTCACCACGAAAGCATGGACCCAAATTTGGGTGCCCCCTTTTCTGTTTTTGAATGGAGTGCTGCAATCATCTATAGCACCCTTTCCGCTCTAGGCCTGCTCACGACCCAAGGTCAGTTCAGCTGTATTCAGCCATTCCTTCCTCTCTTTTGGGTCTCACTTTTCTTATTGGCCAACCACATGTTCTATCTCTTATAAGGACTGCTTGCAGTATTCGCCTTTGACAAATCGTTGAGAAGTGCCAGCAATGTCTTCGTGTTGAACGTTCTCCTTGCATTTGCAACATTTTGCTACTTCCAAATAGCAAAGTTCCTATACATGTTGATCTACGGCCACTACGTTCCATACCAGTGGTTTTGTGATATAGACGGAGTGATGATCGCAGGACCTCTCCTCACCGCTGTCGTCACTCAAGCATTGATGGCGCTAGATGTCTACTGGTTGATTTGCCATTCAAAAAAGATGACGACTCCTCAAGTTTTGGCAGCTTGTGCTGGCGCATGGATTCTAAGCCATGCAATTATATTGGTCGACCTGGCAGGCGGCTCACACATGATTTTACGTGAGTTTGCATGTTGGATCAAGTCCAACCTTTAATGACAATTCGTTTCGTAGGAAATCCGCCTGGGTATTGTATGAATGATTGGGCATCGCGTCACCCTGTCGACCTTTTGGTTACGATGATGGAGCTAGTGTTGATGAGTTCTGTTCTTGTAAGGAATTTTGTGTTTCTGCACTTACCGGTATCAGTCACTGACTGTCTTAAATAACGCATACAGATGTCTATTGCCGTATTCTACTACCAAATCACTTGTCGTATCTACGCCAAAGGACGGGAACTGGCGCACTTTGGCCAGAAAAGTAGCAAAAGTGCCAGCATCCAACCGAGCCATACAAGACGTCCAACCGTAATCAGCAGATCGGGAGAAGCGGCAGACCAGAGATCCATTGTTTCAAGACTTTTGACCCTGAACATATGTGTGTTGTCGGCTTGGATACCCACAAATATTAGAGCGCTCTTCGAGCTGTGGACTGGCACTCAAGTGCCCCCTCAATACGAGATCTTTGGTGCCACAACAATTTTCCTACAGCCAGCAGCCGTTGGTATGTCGTCAACTGCTAACACCGTGTTTGCTATTTCGTGTCAATGAAACTCTCGTTTGATAGCAACCTTGATATACATTACGCGACCCTCTATTCGTGTTGCATTTTGGGGAATGCTTGGATGGACTTCTAATAATCTACTGGCTCGTACTGAAGACGCAGCAGAACCACCTTTGTGATGCACAACCAGACACACCTCCACGACTGCAACATATACTTGTTGATTTCCTCTCAAGCCTAGTAAATTCAAGATATTTTGGTCCATGGTCTCTATCGATAGGTGTACAATTAATGTAATCGAGTTATGCAAAAAACTTTGAAACAAATTCCGTTTTATCATACTTACATTCTCTCCCACACGCGACTTCAATTTGCGTCCATACAAGATTCATTCCTTTGCGATAGTACCAAGTACTTAAACGAACAAGCGTACTTGATTACAATATCACCAAAGTAGCTGCCAGGGGCAATAGTGAGAAACGTGAAAATCAGCCTTCCGATTTCTCCAGGACTCGAAATTAACACAGTCTCAATCTTGAATTGTCATCAAGAAGATAGGCATATTCTTATGATAGGAGGTGCTGGACGACATCTCATGTCGGATCGGTCATATAATTTGTATGCCTTCCAATCACTTTCTTTGGTGGTGGTCGTTTGATACTTCGCTACGACGAAAATCCTGACGTGTTTCGTGTTTCGACGCAATTCAGAGTTGAAGGACAATACTACATATAGATGCAAACCGCAAAAATTAAATCCTACATTAAATGGCAAGCTTCAAGCGATCCATCTAAGCGAATGAGGCCTTCGAGAGCTCGAAACGCCCTCCGTGAACCTCTGAAACTTTATGCACCAACACCAACGAAGGTACCAACAAAGGTGACAACGAGGAGGAGGCAGTCCTTGTCGACCATAAGGAGGCTACAAGCTCATCTATGTTGCCTTCATATCTACCACAGCGACTGAAGTATTCGTCACAAAAATCAGATTATTCTGATTCCTCAAACTTCTTCAACGTCTGCAACAAAGTGCAAAGTGCACGTATGGTGGACTGGTTATATGCTGAGAGTTACGTTTCAATATGCCCAAGTATTTGTGGCGTTCCTCTTGTAAGAGACTAGTGATTCACTGAACTGTGGCCATTTCAACCTTCTCCCATTGACCCACTTAACATGATAGCATCATAACTCAAGCCTGCAGTGGCACCCATCGCTGGTGCAGAGCTTCCTGACGTCCTTCAAGACAATGCTATTAAACTCGAGGAACGGTTTTGCGTGACCATGACTCTCATGTCGGACGAAAAGCTTCGATGCGAGCTCGACATTTGGAGTACGTCGCCAGTCACCAAACAAGCAACTATATTTCTTCTCAATGGATCGCAGAGGAATCAAACTATGCTACATGTGCAATATGCAGCTTTACACTGGACCTCCTTTAAATGATGCAAAGAAACGTGTTTACGATAATGTTTTCCGATAAAGATTTCATCCTTTGCTTTGGGGCACCTCTCATCCTTCTTTCCAGATAGTTTTCAGGAATCTACACGGTGGCAGATGGACTACGCTGCAGGACGAATCGAACGAAACGATTACGCGCTTCAAAGCAAAATACCAAGGCCGGGAGGCAGTTGGTTTTGAGAGACGGCTCCTGATATTTGGGCGACAGTACTTCGATGACGAAGAGCTTTCGCCAGACTACAGTATCAAGGAGAACGCCTATCGATATTTTACTCAGACTTGCAGGCTTCTGGAGTGTTTCTTTCCCCACTTCAATGCAAGAATAAGACAAATGGCAGACTGAATTACCCTCGTATTTAGTTTCGGAAGAGAGTGGTACCAAATTGTTGATTTGATATGAATCTCTTCCGTTGGGTGCTGTGTGAATCTTGACGCTCAATCGTGTGACAAGAATATGGTTGTAGACGAACGGAAAAAGCATGAAGGAGCTTCAATCGTCGTTTCCAGAACGAATTCAGTATGCCTTCGACGGAGCCAACCCCAATCCAAACACTTAAGTTTTTGAGGGTCATTGACACACGGAACTTTTCAGAGCAGCCATTCGCAAGTGAGACAGACCTCTTTGATCCTCATCAAACTTAAATTCAAAGATTGGTTTGTCCAGTCGGGGCGAACCCACGTTCGAAGACAGATTAATTCAAGCTTACCAGATACCTTTGATCTGTCTGTCAAGTCATCACGAGAGCAATGGACCCAAGTCTGGGTATTCCGTTTTCTGACTTCGAATGGGCCGCCGCGATTCTCTACTCGTCCTTCTCTGCATTAGGCCTGGTTACAAGTCAAGGTCAGTCCCCTTGTGAAACTCATCTGCGTTCAAGTTAACCAGTCGAGCTTCTCTCTCTTCTATAGGGTTGCTTGCAGTTTTTGTCTTTTCCAAGTCATTGAGAGGCAGCAGCAGCAATCTATTCGTTTTGAACACCCTTGTGGCTGGCGCCTTGTTTTGCTACTTTCAATTGGGAAAGGCGGCATATATTTGGACCGAAGGCTACTATGCTCCATATCAGTGGCTTTGTGATTTAGACGGAGTTATGATGGTCGGCCCCTTGCTCACCGCGGTTTTCACTCAAGCTTTGATGGGTCTGGAAGTTTACCTACTAGTTTGCCATAAGAAAAAGATGACATATCATCAAGTGTTTGCTTGCTGTGTGGCAGCGTGGATGTTGGGCAATTCATTCATGTTGATCGACCTGGCAGGTGGCTCACACATGATAATACGTGAGGGTTTATGCGTTGCGGGGCTGAAGTCAGGACTTTGTTCACACTTTTCTGTACAGGAAATCCGCCTGGGTACTGCATGAACGATTGGTCATCCAGGTTTCCTATTGAACTTTTGGTTACTACCTTGGAGATAGTGCTGATGACCATTACTCTGGTACGCCGTTTTCGTTTTGCTGGCTGGCCAGTAGCAGTCATTGACACTATTCAAACAGATTTTTCTGGGTGTTTGTTATTACCGTATTGGTCAGCGTATATACGTTACTGAACGGGAGCTTGCCCCTTTTGGTCGCAAAAGTGTCAGTCTCCATCCAAAACGTCACAGTGCAACTAGCAGATTGGGGGAAGTGTCGGCTCAGAAAGCAATTCTTTCACGACTTGTGATTCTCAACGCATGTGTTTTGTCAGCCTGGATACCAACAAGCGTCAGCTTCCTCTTTGAACTCTGGACTGGGGTTCAAGTACCTCCGCTGTACGAGTTATTTTGTGCTTGTGCGCTTTTTATACAGCCAGCAGCAGTGGGTACGGAACTGTCCAAATGGATTTGCGTTGTTTGTTATCTGCCCACAGTTTACTTTGGTGACTTGGTGACTGAAACAGCATTTAATCTCACACTGGTTTCATCAATAGCAATCTTGATATACTATACACGAAGACCCGTTCGAGTCGCATTTTGGGGAATGGTGGGATGGCAGTCTATGGAAACTGTGATAGAACCTTCGTCGGAGTCCGAGGACAACTCGCCTGGCCTGCGGGACACGTTTCAACGTCAAGTTACGAGACAACACTCTGCTGCATACTCTTGTTGACATGTATTCCCTCCACCCTTATAAATTCGGTACGAAATGGTCGACGCACACACAGCTCTGCTGCTTATTCTTATTGGTATAGTTCTCCAGCCAAATATAATCACCATTCATGCAAAAGTTTTCGATTTTGTGAAGAGTCGCAGATGATTCAAACTTTCGAGCATGGCAGACATAAGAACATTGGCATTGTGAGCGCTTAACGAGATTTGTCAGAGTATAAGTCCTAGGTGATTACGTCGCATCTTGTCCTCAGACTTACTGGACGTTGACGCAATTGGATGGGAGCCTCGCTGGAACCTAGAAGAAGGTCATTACATCGTTATATCCATAAACCAATCTGGTTTATGAACATAAATAAATCATTGGTTTATGAAGCAAATGATGCCTAAAACGCGTTCTTTGGTCGCCATGTTTTTGTGAGTCTCGCTGTGTTGCGTCTTCCAACACACTGGCGGAGAAGCCAAGCAAAATGAGCAAAACCATGGCAGGAAGCATTGCCGATTGAGGCCCAACGTCTTATTTTGGAAGGGAGGCAACTTGAGGAAGTCCGAACCTTGTCAGATTATAGTATTGGCGAAGGTGGAATGATCCTCCTCATGATGAGACAAGCAGGCTGTTGAGGAGGTGTTGATTTATCAGAAGAGCAATAAATCACGCGTCACAACATCCATTGATAAATCGATAAAAAACACAGAACTGAAACTCATTACACCAATTTCTAAGCAAATCGTCTTTTCGTGTTGCAGTATTGCAGTATTTTCAGAGTCAAGGTCAGAGTTTTAGAATCTCCTGTCCTTTGTCCATCTCCTTAACTCTTGCTAATTCAAGTGATCTTGACAAGTAAGTATTACTGTCCTCGCATCGTCATTCCTGCCTTACCGAGAATTCTAACGTGATTTAATTCCTTTATTCAGACGTCAACCGGCTGGTTTTCAAGGATGTTGACGACGCAGGTGATGTTTTGTTTCTGCTGCAACTGATTTTTGTCGAGATCAATCTCAACACCGTACTGACTATGGCGATATTAACTAGGCATCGACCAGTAAATCTAGGAAGCATGCTTCCACTGAAAACGACGAGGACGTGCAAGTACTAGATCAAATTCCTCAAAACATTCAAGAAAACGCAGCAACAAAGGAACCCAAGAGTGCGGCTGCAAAGAAGAAAAAGAAGAAGAAACATACTTCCAAGTCTAATGGGAGTGATGCTCATGATAGTGTGGATGCCCAAAATATGATGGAGGTTACTCCTACAGAGACAACCACTCAATCAATTCATACAGTCATGGGCACGTGTTTGAGTCAAATTTATACAGTTAGATCTCTATCTGCATTTGGGTGCTAAACATATTCACGAATAGATGCGCCAGTTATAGAAACTCCTTCGATACCAGACCCTCCTGCTTTGCTTGTTGAAGCAGTCAAGCCCAACACGAAGACGAGCAACTCAAAGAGTGCATCGAATGAATCAATTCAAGGTGAAGATACAGTCATGGGTAAGTTCTAGATTGAGTTTGCAGTAGATCTCAATCTGAATTGTATTACTGAACCTTTATTGAAAACAGATGCCCCAGTCATAGAAACTGCTTCTATACCCGTAACACTGATGGTTGATAAACCCGTCAAGCCCAAGAAGAAGAAAAGCAATTCAACGAGAGCCTTGAACGGAAATCAAGAGTCGAATGTTGTTGCTCCAGCCGTACCCGTTTCTGATGAGTGTATGTTGATATAGGCAAAAGAATTGATTACATTACTTAATTCTTGACGATTGTTTTTTTCTAGCCAAACCTGTTTCTGAATCCACACCTATAATATCGAATGAGTCCTCTGGGCAGGCACGTCATTTCGAACGAGTAAGTACATTGCACAAGCGGATTCTTTTCTCACTATTCTCATACATCATCATCACAGCTCCAAGCGGCATACAATGATTTGCAAGTGAAATATGAAGCTTTGAGAATCAAACAAATTGATCAGCATCTGGAAGCTCAGATCCAGCTGAAGAAGGCAGCCGAGGAGAGAATACAATGTATGTTCAATATAGGGATTTGAGATTTTTTGTGGCGCTAACAATCCATCAAATTAGTATCCGAACGCACTATTACTACCCTCACGGAAGAAAAGGAGAAGATTTCATCAAAACTCGCCGAGGAAACCGAACGACGTAAAGAGCTAGAGGTCAAATTACAATCAAATGGTGGCAGCAAGTTAAGCTCCTCGAAGCGAGTAACAGAGAAAGTAATGGAACCAGAGACGGAGGTCAAGACCTCTATATCTCTCTCTGAATTCAAGGCTTTGCGGAAAGAATTGGATGCTGCCAAATCGAAAGGTATGATCTGAGACAAGTCTACAAACCAACAGGCGCAAAACTGAACCAAACTCAAATGCAATTATAGCTGCAAGAGCATCCGAACTTGAATCAGAGATAAAGCAGCTGCGCACCCAAGTAACTGAATTGGAATCTCTTCGCATTCAATTGGCAACTGCAAATGAAACGATTGCATCCGTCACTGCCAATGTCAGAACAAAAGACCATAATGATCGTTATGCGCTGACGCTGGAACGCATGACTCGATTATATGAGAGTTTTACTGGGTTGACTATACAATCAGTAGAGGAAACAAATGTCGCGAATGATGATGGTACTGGGGAAGCCAAGATGCTGGTCCATAAAGTCTGCCAGAAGGGCAATCGTGGTGGTAAGCTTCAATCGTGTTATAAACCGTACTCTTAGGTTGATTTTTCGGTTGTTTGCATATAGTATTGAACTATTTGTTCACGACAACACAAGAACCAACGCCCGATGCCGTCTACACGTATACACCAGTGAATGCCGCCAATCTTGAAGGGCTGCCACAGTGGTTGCGTCAAGAAATAGAGCTAGATGCCTTGCAGTCTCAAAATTTCTTTTGGCGTACCATTGATTGGATGCAAAATCCACAGAAATCAATCGCCTAAGGATTAACCTGAGTATAAAGTAACGTATCGGTTGTTGCTGCTGTTGTAATTGCTATATATATAAGTTACAGATATGCGTTCTATTAAAAGTGCGAAAAAAGGGCTACTAATCCGTGTTCGTGTCAGGTAGCTTCCATGTAGGACGTCCTATAGTTGGATTTCCATGTATTCCCGAAGTAGCGAATCCATACTTTTTCAAATCAAACAAGCCCATTCCATACGTGACAGCAAACAACTATAGTTCAGCCAAAACAAAAAAGCGATAAGTATAGCAAACTTATTCGAGACCAACGACAGACCAGCAACTCACAACAGCAGAAACAATTCCAAAAGCCATACAAAGATTCCACGGAAAGCAAACCGATGAAATCAAATAGGCTCGTGACGATGTAGGAGGACACTGTCCCGATGAAGCCATAGCCAAAGCAGCTCCAAGCCAAAACAAGACATATATGAAATCAGCAGTGACTTCAACTCGTGAAAACCGTGGATGTCGATGTGGAGGGATTTTCAAGGAGGCAGGACAGAGGTATAAAAGCATGCATGCTGCTGATATGATCTGTTTCAAAAAACGTGCAGAAATGAGAAAAAAAATATTCAGACGAGATCATAGCAATGATAAAATTCTTGGATATAATTGGCTCTTTATATTTACCATGCTGGATATCGAGACCGAAGTCATAAAGGTCATGCCGCTACCCTGTATTGGAGCTGAAGTAAAGGTAGCAGAGTAAACAGATGCAGCGAGCGATGCAAACGATACTATCGAATAAAGAATACGAGATCGTTAAAACTACGTTTTCGTCTCCGGCGTCCTCCAACATTCGGCACCACCTTTTTGCTCTCCAAATGTCGTCAAGCAAAACACCACCGCTCAGATCAACAAAAGCAAATTTCAAAACCAAAATCAAAATCGGAATCTTGGGCACATACTGCTAGCAGACAAGAGTTGCATCACACGAATGCGAAATCTTGTTTCTCTAAACGTATCGATCAATGTCGGCGGATTCACAGCTTTGGTAAAGAGCTTTGGGTTTGTAGGCAGTTTGATATTGCCTGCAGACATGCGGGCTGCACGGGTCTGATGACCGGACTCCTTCTTCACCATCAGATTGTCGCTCATTCTCTCTGGATACACTTTTCGCAGATCTGGCTCAGAATACATAGATATGACGGTTTTATACGGGTTTGCGGAGACCACAAAACTGCGAACATTACCGTGATGACGTGATAACTACGCGTATGACTCTCAAACACATTTAACAAAAAGCGAGATTCCATGTACATATTGACATAAGACTAAAGTCCATATAAACAAACCGCATTCCTAAAATACTTATTTAAATCGGCACTACAAAGGAATCACCACCACGGCCCTTCCTTGTTGTCTCGCTGACCACCCTCATTTGATCTTCCTCAATCTTCATACGTTCTTCGTCAGCCTTATTCCTCGCACGTTCTCGAGCAACCTGCACTCGGAATGCACGGTTCTCTTTATCGTCCTCTAATAATCTCGGATCATCAGCAGAGACAAGACCTCCCCAAGTCAGATTTTCATTTTCATTGGCATCATTATTCAAAGTCTCGGGTATGGTCGAGGCAGAACCACCAAAAGATGCGTTCATGCCTAGGAATGATGTACTGGAAGCTATAAAGGACTTGTCGGCATCCTGAGGGAGTTGAAGACTAGCACTGCCAAAGAAGGTATCTCGCGGATTTTTGGAACCTAATATTGATCGTGACATTCGTGATGGTGGTGGTTTGCGACCAGTGGATATTCCGGCACCAATAGCTGCTGGTGTTGTTGGAGCAAATGGTACAGGTCGGATAGACTCGACGTCACGTTCAAGGACAAGAGTCTTTCTACGTAACTCATCTCGTTGTTTAGCCAAGACCAAGTTTTCCTATTTTTGCGCCAAGTGCATTACATATGTTAGTGGGGTGCTATTGGCAAAAAAAGGGCGATATGTCGCTGTATACCTTCTTCAGGCGAACATTCTCTTCCTTGAGTTGAGCGATATGCTTTATCTTTTGACGAGCATTATTGTGACCAAGCAGATCAGCATTTATTTCAGCGAGCCGACCCATCTCAGCCTCTGCTAGGCCTGACTTAGACATGAGTAATTGTACTTGAGACCTCAATGTCTCTTCAATCTCTAGTCGTCGATGATCGGCTTCATCTGCCACAGCTTGCAACCTATAATAATCAGTCGTTTGTGAGTTGTGCGAAAACGAGTGCAATATGGAAAAAAAAGAAAGCGACATTTAAGAACCGCTGATGACAAGTTACCTAGTCATTTCTTCACGACCTTGTTGCAATTCATGAGATTGCTCTTCCACTAATGCTTCCAGTCTCTTACGATCACCATCCCATCGTGATTCACGACTCATCCAATGAGACCGCTCTTCTTCAATGGCTCTCTTGTTTTGTTCAGAATTCCTTTTAGCAATATCCTCAGCATCAAAGTTTTTACGAAGTCGAATATTCTCATCACGTAATGAGTCGAGCTGTTTACGTAAATCAGATAGTTGTCCATCCAATAAACGTAATCGCTCATCACGGCCTGATATATCATTGGTAGTTTTCAGTTCGGTTATTCTCATTTTACCACGGACTTCTTCCAGCTGTCTATCTTTATCAGCCATGCTCTTCTTCAAATCTTGAACCTGAGCAGTCAAGTCTCGTTCACGACGATCTCGTAGTTCTAGCGCTTCTGCTTGCCTTTGACGCAAGTCAGACATTTCAGCGGCTCGAGACACCTTTTCCAAATCAGATTCGGCGGTACGTGCTTGTAGAGTCGATTCTAATTCTTCTAAACGAGCTTCTTTGCGGGATAGATTCTTTGATACATCCGAGAATTGACGTTCCAATTGCTCAGATCGTGACAATAGCTTTTCTACCTGTTTACCAAGTTCTAGCATTTCCTTCTCACGACGTTGTCGATCCTGTTGATACTGCTCGTTTGCAGAAGCAAGCCTCTTGGTCGTGGTTGCTTCCAATTGCTTCATAGCATCATCGGCTTCCTTGATACGATTGGTCATGGTGATAATCTGAGCATGACTATTGGAAGCCTCGTGAGCACGTTCTTCACGTTCTTTACGAAGATCAGACTCAAGAGTCGAGACACGGGATTGGAGAGTGGTATTAGCTTGTGAGAGCTTATCATTATGTGTTCGTTCGGTAGCCAATTCGTCTTCCTTAAGTTCAACCATTCGAGTCAATGCCTGAATCTTGTCATCATCGACAATCTTCTCTTCACGACCAGCTTCAAGGGCGACTGACAATTCATCAATCTGTTCTTGGAGATGGAGGCGTATCGAGTCATGGTTTTCTTTGGCTTTGCTACTCGTGTATTTGAGTTCCTCTACCTCTTTAGCACGTGCAGCCTTTTGTGCCTCAAGTTCGGATAGAGTCCTTGCCAATTCTGCTTTAACAGTTGATATGGTCTTATTAGCAGTCGACAATTCGGCATGTGTACCACTAAGATCCTTCTTGGATCCAGTCAACTCAGTCCTTGCTTGAGCAAGGTCACTCTTGACCTTGGCCAATTCAATCTTAGCCTCCTTGGTTTCAGTCTTGGCATTCATCAACTCTGCCTTGACCTCTTCAATAGCTTTGAGAGCTCCTCTCTTTTCTCTCGACTCTGCTTCTAGACTAGATTTGTATGATTTATTTTGCTCGAATAGGCCTTCGAGACGCTTTTTCCATTCCACCTTGTCGGCCTCAAAGGCTTCTTCAGCAGCTGCCCATTGCTCACGAACGGCATCTTCAGCTCGAATCGTGTCTGCTCTAGCTCGCATGGTCAAATCTTCATTGGCCTTGAGAGCTTGAGCTAGCTCAGCTTCTACAGATTCTAATGCCGCGGATAGTTCAGGAATGCGAGAGTCGAGGGTCTGTCGTTCAGCTTCTTCCTGTTGCAACTGGTGTTGCAAGGACTCGACATCTGACGTGAGTTGGTCTATCCGGGCGTCATATTCACGAATTATAGTTTGGTGCGAGGAGGAAGATTCAGCTAATTCTTCATCTTTAGCCTGAATCATTTGTGATAACCCCATTACTACATCTCGGTGAGAAGCCGTCACGCCTGCCATTTCTTGATCTTTGGCTTCTATTACACGATCTAGAGCTGCAAGTTCGGTTCGGTGAGAGACAGTCATATCGGCCAATTCTTGATCTTTGGCTTCAATTATACGTTCTAGATCGGTGATGCTTTCTCTAAAGGCCAGAGACTCTTGTGATCGAGCATGCCTTTCAGACTCTAATTCAGTAGCCATGGCTTTACTTTTGTCAATTGCTGATGCTAGTTTAGATTGGACGGCTGCCTGTTCACTAGACCAATGTTGACGGTTTGCTACTAATTGCTCCTCGATTTCCGCTCGATTTTGTTCCAACTCTCTAACTTTGGCATCAAGTTGAGCCTGCAAATTCTGATTCTGAGTCATAACAGAGTCAAGACGACTTCCATATATGGATAGTTGGCCTTCCAGCTCTCGTTTTATATTATGGGATGATTGTTCTAGGTCATCATACTTGGAAGCGGCAGCAGATTCACTAGACTTCCATTTTTGCTGCAACTCTGCCACCAAAGCTTCACGTCGTTTTATATCGTCCTGCAATTTCGAGACTTCTTGTTGATGAGTTTGATGACTCTCAGCCAACTGTCCCGTTAACGACTTGATTTCTTTTACATGAGCAGATTCGGTCTGATCTAGTAATTCGGACAAACTGGATACTTCTTCAACTCGAGCAGCATGAGCACTACGTAATTGTTCTTCCAAGTCTCGGAATTTAGTAGCATTGGATGCGGCTGATTCGACAATACTAGTCTCCAATTTACTGATAGTAGCAGCATCTTGCTTCAACTTGGCCTCTAGTTCCTTTACTCGTGACGACAATTCCTTTTCAGATCTAGATGCTCGACTCTGCCATTCTTTCAATTCTGACTCTTTATCGGCAAGAGCTTGACCACTGCGACGTGAGAGTTCATCAATTCGTTGCTGTAGACTATTGAGTTTAGCATGATATTTGGCTTCCATAGCTTTGGATCCTTGACAAGATGCATCCAATTCCGCCTGAAGTTTATGAATTTCCAGACTCTGCGCTTCGACCTGTTCGGCCAGCAAGGACCGACCTTCTAAAAGATCATGTATACGGTCTTCCATCTCAACCCGATGTGATTCACCTGTACGACGTAAATCAGCGAGTTGGGATTCTAACTGAGATGTTTGCTGCAAGTGTTGGTGTCGTTCACGTTGCAATGTCTCTTGCAGGTCATTGAGTTGATCACTGACTTGCGTTAGAGTATCTTGTCCGTCTTGAAAGGCATTATTTAGACGTTCAAGCTCTTGCAGAGCTCGCATCAATTCTTCGTTTTGGTTTGCTGAAGCCTGTTCTACATTATTGCTGAGTTCTGACTTTTCGAGGCTAAGTCGTCTGAGTCGATCCTGGAGATCACGGTTCTCCTTGACGAGACCTTCCACACGTTTATCGACTACAGTTCTAGCTTTGGCTCCATGCTTTTCCAGCTCATCGACCTTCTTTTGGAGAGCACTATATTTGATGGCCTTCTCATGCAGATTTGTGACTGCCTTTTCAGCCTTGTCCAACTATTTGAGAAAGAGGAAGACCTGTTATGTGAAGATTCAAAAACAGAGTTAATAAACAGGACTTACATTTGTTCGAATGACGGCTTCACGTTTCAAAGCATCTGCGATTTCCTTTTCTTTGGTAGAATTGCGAGTCTGCAAATCAGCTCTTTCCTTGATCAATTCTTTGATTTGCGCTTCAGATTTGACAATTTTCTCTTCGAGGAGGGCAGTCTCACGTTCTTGGACGACTAAAACCCTTTCGTATTCGCCTTGCCATCTGTCGCACTAGCAGAATGATCAATGAGATTTCAGTGACTCGAGGATATATCATCTTGTTTAATAAAGGGGTAGATGTAGGTACCTCCTTCTTCCACTTCTGAGCATCAAATATGTCTTCTTTTCGGGACATTGTTCGACCTCTGGCATTCTCTGTCAATGTTCTAGTATCGTCATCCTCTTCATATTGACCATCTGGACCTTCTAATAAACATGAGAATGCTGTAAGACAGAGCTGGATCAAGCCACAGGACTCGCCAGCATGGTCAACAACTGATGTTTTGTTGCAAACCAAATGTGATTACCAGGTCTTGGAGAAGGAAACCGTTTCGATTTCTGCAAAAATCCATAGTGTTTGGCCGTGTTTGGATCAATTAGTCCAGTAGGTTGTTCGTATTGGCCTGGACCTGGCAAGTCCTCGACAGCTACATTCCAGTGTTTGGTTAAAAACTAGATCTTGCGCAGACTATGATTTGTTCGAGTTGATCCAGTACTGCAATAGTCGTATTATGAGCCTACCTTTCTCAGGGAACCTCCTTGAATTCTTCCACATGGTTCGGAAGCGCCCCTCACCAAAAGTAATGTTGTGTTGTAAAGAACGAGAAGCATTGCACGCTTAGAGCAAACCATGGGGCCAGAACGCGAGTAAAAACACGTTTAATAGCTAGCAGAAGCTAATAATCATACAATGGTCGCGCAGAACAAACGAGAACTAGCAATGCACCCCATGAAACACACCACATCGTCTTGTTTCGAAACATAGGAATATCAATTGATAAAGCTGCTCAAGAGCTTCTACACTTCTACACAATAATAAATAATAATTGATTTGATGAAAAGCTTCAACGCCGTCTACTTCAACAGCCATTACAATTTGCGAGTGTTACAAGAATGTGCCATCCACATAGGACATGGCCAGGTAATCCGCCCCCAAAATATCAGATATGGTGGCTGAGGTATTGGCTTGATGACCAATTGTTCTATTGCCAAGAGGTGCACCTGGACCAGTATTTCCAAACTCCTGAAACTCAGCATTTGCGGTTGACATTGTAGACATCCATGGTGCCCAGCCTATTTCAGCAAAGAATGATTGGTTAGTTCCCATGACTATGGCACAAGTAAAGTCGTCTAGACAATCAATCCTTGCCGCTTACCACGAGGGTTGATAATGTCGGAAAGGTATGAGTGCTGGACAATTACTTTTCCAAATGGACGCCACGGGCGCCCCAAAAAGATCTTATGCTAAATGTAACATAAATGTAGTTGTTTGGCACAAAAGTTGGGTTCAGACAGAGTTTAGCAACAAAATACGAAGAGCTTACAGTGGTACCAGAGTCTCCACCATCTATATGGCACTGATCCAATAGAATCCACGCAGAGCTGTTGGCAGCTTTTCTGCCAGAAGCCGTGATATAACCTAGCACGAGAGAAAAAGAAGAGCGTTTGCCTTACTGTCAACTTCCTTCCGAGCTGTGGCAACTGAAGGATTTTACATTTACATACCAACACTACCAGGAAGCACTCGAACGAATGTCTTTGTGACAAGGGCTCGGCCGCCGCCAAAAATGAAGTCAACCAGCCCGGAAATCATGCATTTGGAGAATACTTGATGACCGCTATCAGTCCACACAGTATCTTGATATGCACTGAACTGGCAAGCATAATATCCTTGCATCTGTATGGATGTTGTGCGTAAAGTCAATCTTCCAGCGAATAAACCAAAAATAGAGAAGCGACAAACCGCAAGACTTACACCAACAGAAGCAGCCAAAGCTAAAGCCTGATGTGCACTTGGCGGACTAGTATTCTCAACGTTGATGTTGTAAATCTTGACTTTGGAAGTTAGGATCCGTAAAGTGGCAGTATGAAAGTTATCCGATTCAGTTGCGCGATTCTTGTTGCAGGATATCGTAACTTGATTGTCGGTATAGTTCAATGATGGAGTTTTTAACCCATAAACATTCAATTGACCCTGAAGAAAAGGGATGGTGACCTGTTCTAGATACTTTCCAGGTGCAATCGTCAGAACCTTGGAAGATGAGATAGATTTAAGCGTTAGTTTGCAATTGAAGCTTTTACTACACAAGGAAGCACAACATTGCAAGTAGTTGGCACGAACTCACTTGGGCTTCAGTTGAGGTGAGGGACAAGCTGTTCACCGCTTCCTGGATTGTTTTGAACATGGCACCATTACCACGCCAATCTACAGTGACGGTCACGGCCAAAGCATGACATACAGGAGCTAGCAATAACACCGATTGCACAATAACATGTTGTACCATCAGGTTGAGGCAATGATGTTGCTCTTTTCGTCTTGAAAGTTTTCGAATAAGAACAGGTGGGCTGGTGTGAGTTTGACTAGTTTCGATGTCGAGCTTGCTTGAAAGACTGTTTACTCAGTTGTTCGATGTCCAAGGCAAAACCGATAACGTGGATTTTGTAGATTGATTAGGAATCAATAACTACAACCCGCACACACAACTACAACTTTTCGGAGTCGGATAATTTCACCAAGCTAGAGTAGTTTGTGTTATTGATGAAGCCGAGTAAACGGCGTTCGCATCATTTCGGAGATTTCCAAAAACGTCCCATCGATGTCGGCATGATCGTATAGTTTGCACCGAGAACGTCAGAGATGCTTACTGCAGCAGGTGCATGTCGACCAACGGTACGATTTCCAGCTGCACCTAGCCCAGTATTGCCAAATTCTAGAAAGGTTGCGTTTGCTGTGTTTGTCGCGTTTGAGCCCATGGTGCCCAGCCTGTTGTAATGAAGAATGAAAGAAAATGAATAATACAGCTCGATTTATGACCCTCTTCACACTCACCAACAGGATTGATAATCTCTAGCAGATACAAGTTCTGTAAACAGAACTTGTTTGGGCATATAAATGCGATAGTAGTCCCAAATAGATGTTGTGCTATTGATATTTCATGGCTTTAGCAACAGAGTCAAGCAAAAAAAATACTTAAAGACTTACAGACGTCCTCAGATCTCCACCTCTAAGGGTGCATTGATCCAATACAATCCATGCAGAGCCTTTGGAACTTTTTCTCCCAGAAGCCGTTATATAACCTTGAAGGACTGAATCATTGGTCAACATTACGTTCCGTACCTACGAGCTTTTCAGTCAGACGGCTGTTCTATTAACATACCAACACGACCAGGAAGCATTTTTACATCAGTTTTTGTAACAAAGGATCAGCGCCCCCAAAAATGAAGTCCACGAGCCCAGAAATCATGCATTTGGAGAACACTTGATGACCCTTATTAGTCCACACAGTATCTTGATATGCACTACACTGGCAAGCATAGTATACTTGCATCTAACGTTTGTGAACGATGGTCAAGACTGACTGAAGGGTTTCCTTTGACGGAGCCCTTGGACGACCTTTCTCACGATCATACCTTTGTCCCGTGGATCCTTCTTCACATGTGCTGTAAGCATCTTGCCGGTCCATATCTTTTGCACAAAAAGATCTTTTCGAGATGAACACACCGGTAACTTCGGAAACCCCCAATGGCAAGACAACGACTTACACCAACAACGTCAACCACACACAGGAAATACTTGTAGAGCTCATAAAGTCTCTCGTGTTTAGAAATAAATGTAATATCAATTGATTCAAGCCGAGTAACAGCTTTCTCAACAATTTCACCAAGAAATTACAGAAATTTGGCATCCACATAGGGCATAGTCATGTAATCTGTACCCAAAACATCGGCAATGGTCACTACGCTACCAGCATGTTTGCCGATTGTACGATTACCAGCTGCACCAGGACCAGTATTACCAAATTCGACAAAAGTTGCGTTAGCTGTATGTGGCATTGTCGGTGACCATGGTGCCCAGCCTGCATATTATAGAAAAACGCGTTAGCTATGATTCCATAGTAAAAATTGTTTGAACTCACGATGAAAACTCACCATCAGGGTTGATAATGTTGGATAGCACCGAATTTTGTACGGTCGTTTTGGCGAAATCCCCCCAAGGACGTCCCAAGAAGATCTTGCCCTAAAAGTGATAAAAGTTGGAATCTTGGGCAAAGAAAGCCTGCTTACAATAAACCGCTGAACAAGAAATTCTCGCATACGTACGGTGGTGTTGGCATCTCCACCACCAATATTACATTGATCCAACACCAGCCAAGCCTGACTAGTACTACTAGCTCGCCCGGAAGCCGTAATAAAACCTAACAAAAAAACACACATCTGTCAGTAATGTGTGCAGAAACATTTCAAATTTACAATCAATATATCATATACATACCAAGATGACCAGGAACCACACGAACATCAGATTTCGTCACAAGAGCTCGACCTTCGACGAAAATGGCTGAAAGAGTGTTGAAGGTGATTTTGTTTTGTGTTTCTTCTTACCTTCTCCGAAAATGAAGTCAACTTGTCCAGAAATCATACACTTAGCATAGACTTGATGACCTTCGTTAGTCCACACAGTGTCTTGATATGCACTGAATTGGCAGCCGTAGTAACCTTGCATCTAATTTTTCGTAATTGTAGAAGTATGGTTAATCAAACTGTTGATGCGTCCACCAAAAAAACCAAACTGGCCATTTCAAACCATGATAATAAACCTCACCCCAACAAAAGCGGCCACTGCCAGAGCCTGATGCGTACTTGGCGCACTCGTATTCTCCACATTCACATTATACATCTTCACTTTTGACGCCTTCATACGTAGCGTAGCAGTATCATAATTGTTGGTCTCAGTCGCACGGTTCTTGTTGAATGATATTGTAACCTGGTTATCAGCATACGAGGTAGATGGGTTCTTCAAACCATATATCGTTAACTGGGCTTGACGATCAGGGATTGTGACTTGCTCAATGTATTTGCCTGGTGCAATCATCAGGATCTAAAGTATTAAAGTGAGATTGCAGAGGCGGAAAACAATAGTTTCAAGGCAACGATTTGTACATCCAAACTTACTTGGGTTTCAGGAGCAGTAGTAGACAAGTTATTTACAGCTGCCTGAATCGTCTTGAACATTGCTCCCCCGCCACCATCTACAGTGACAGTTACGGCCAAAACGTTACATGCAAACGCCAGTAGCAAGCATTTTATGAATAAGTGGTGTTGCAACATGAGATGCTAGCCGTGTGCTTTGAATTTCAGAAAGAGAGGAAAAGGTACACGGCTGAATGGTCGAAAGCTAGGTATTCCCTCGATCAGAATGGGCCAATTGCTGGAAAGATTTTGAAAATTTTGGTGCGTTTGAGATGGTAGCAAAATTTTGTCCCAACCGAAAATCACCATCTCGTAAATTTGTTTCTAGGTACACCACTGGGGATTTATTTTCAGCGAAAGAAAAACTTCAGTATCTCATCATTCAGTAGGTTGCTTGCATTCTGACTCCCTCTATGATGAAACTGCGAGCTTTGGTATTAGGAAACAATACAAATTGAGTTTGTTGTTTGTTGCTGAAAACGTTTCGTTCAAGATTGATGAAGCGCCGAAGCTGCTGTATTACCACGAGTCTATTCTCAGCAGGTGCTTCCGCAAATTCAGCTGCATACTGGTGGGCCAAAAAAACCGCAAACAGGTGCCTTGCGACATGCGGCTTGAAAATACAGACGCAAACACATCTAACACACACACTTGCTTACACGAACATGAAGGAATACATTCAATAATACGTGATAAAGTTAATATAACTACTTTGCTAGAGTGAAAAAAGAAAAACACCAAATAACTACAACAAAGTTTCTAGCGTTGACCACCATAGCTATTCTGTCCATTCTGCACATTCCGATTCCATGCAACGTTTGGAGGTGGTGGTGCTCCACGACCAACACTCGGGATGTAACCTGCACCAGGTGCAAGAGGTTGCTGTTGATTTTGTTGTGGGTAACCAGTATACATGTTGGGATTTGGTGGTGTTGGGTATCCATTATTGTATTGTTGTGGTGCGACATTATAAGGAAGTGGTGCCGCTTGCACTACAGGCAGGCCTGTATACGAAGAGACTTGGACTTGAGGTGTTCCACTGTATGGTGATGGTGCTGCACCGTGTGGCTGTGGTTGGTATGTCATGGGAGTTGGATTGAATGGGGTATACCCAGATCCATACTAAATGACGACGGCACGTGTCAGTTAGCAAAGCAACAACGACGACTTGTCACGGCACAAAAAACACCGTACAACGGACAATACCTGACTTGGTGGACGAGCTCCGTAAGCATTCACAGGTTGTTGAGGAGGATACGACTGTCTTGAAGAATCGTAACCACCCTGTCTATTGTCAGATCTATTGTCAGACCTGTAATCACTTCGTCGATCATCATATCTCCCACGACGATCATCATACCGTCTCTGATCTCCATATTGCCCTTGTTGCTGCTGTTGTTGTCCTCGTTGATCATATCCATTCCTACCATCATATCCTGATGATCGACCACCACCACCATTATAATTCGATGCACCACCAACCTCTCGTCGCTCATCACGACGAGAATCATATCCACTATCTGTTCTCCTATCGTATGACTGATTAAATGTGGGTTGTGGAGTTGGAGTTCCTGCTCCTCCTCGGTATTGTGAAGGTTGACTACCATATGGAGATCCATACGGAGATGCTGGAGTATTAGCTGCTACAAATCGATTAGCAACATCTCTTTGAATATATGGACCTCGTCTGTTGTTGCGACCACCACCGCTAGATTTATTTGCAATCCATTGCATGTCTTCGAGAGACAAGACTTTTGGTGGGAATTGTACATTCATTTTGAGTTCTGACTTGAACATATAGCCCTCTGGGAATTTCGGCATAAAGTACAAGGCACTGATAACGGAAAAAGCGATATTATAAACCTTGCAAATTCGACAAATCGCGACAGATTCATACCTTAGAGCGCGAAGATCCTGAACATCCTCGAGACCTTGACTCGTCAATGGTGAAGGGTAAGTACCTCCTGGAGGAATCACGTCTGGATCTGCAAGAACTGACCCTTGCATCTTTTCAGACATCCTAGGATCAATTACAAGAGGCTATCAAGGAAGATATAAAAGCATCATGAGTTAAGTTGACAAGTGCAAATAATACCACCTCCCAACTACTTTTTTGGCTCATGCCACAACACAATAACTCACCTCCGGACTCCTTGTCTTGCCATACAATTTACACAATGGTTCAAATAAATCATTGAATGCTCCAATACACAATAACTCATACCCAATAGAATTACGTATAGTCTCTTCAGCAGTCAAATTATGGTATAACGGCATCATAGCCTCCAATAATCGTGCTTCATCCACCCACGTTAGCTTGGCTACTCCTTGCCAAGCATACTTTTTACCATCCAAATCAATCTCGAATTTCTCGGGATAGAAATCATAAATAGGACTATCTTGACTCAGCATTAAAGGGTGGAAGACTTCCGGAATGTGTTTACGTGAGCGGGCTGGGAAGACGGCCATGAGTTGCTCGAATGGACGGAATGGTACGCCGAGTTCAAAGGTAATGTTGAGAGCGGATATCCCAACAAAATCGGAAGCGAATGGTGAATAGTAGAAAGGGTAAAACCACTTCCATGATTGGACACCTTGATAGTAATATTTCAGAACCCAACAGAGTCCTTCTACATACTTTGTTGCAATGCTAATAGTGAATAATTGAAAAAATCAGTGAGCAATAGTGTCTTCAGATAGGGACGAAAAAACCAATGATTTCCTTAATGACTTACTTGCGTCTAAACTCCTCATCATCAGGCTCAACTCCAAACTTGCTACGATAATATCGTTGCTTCCATCCTGGCTCCCACAACCTCACAATATCTGGCGGCTCTTCATCATCATCTACGACCTTTTGCAATAGTTTTGGCGGAATATCGGTAACTACATTTGTATCTACAACATTTGCGTCGTCCTCTTCTTCAACATCTGGTGCTGTTGCTGCTGCTGGTGCAAAAGCTTGCCCTTGCCCAACAAATCCACTTTCTAATTCTTCTTCTTCAAGTTGATCAGCTTTGCGTTTTACACCAATCTGCACTACACCATCCAAAGGAACATCTTGAATATTCGGCTTGACATCAGTATTCGTTGCACCATTATTCAGACTCAAATTTATGCCATTCACATCAGGTTTGACATCAAAAACATTAATATCAGCCACGTTTGGCTTGACATCATGAGGAACGAATGCAGGTGCTGCTTTGAGTGAAGCCTTCAAAGCATCTGCAGCAGCTTTATTGGCAATACGTCTCTTGGCATCTTGTGCTTCGGTTTGAGCCTTTTCAGAGAGAGTTTTTTCAGCTTCTATTGCTTTGAGACGGTCTCTTATATAATTGGCGTCGTTAGGTCGATTCGGATAGGCATATACTTCTTTACCAGCTGTAGCAGTTACAATTTCAGGTACTTCATTATACTGACGCTGCTGTTGCGAATGGGTGCCGTAATTACCCCTATTTTGTTGTTGTTCTTTGCGTCTCCTATTATTCTCCATTCTCTTTTCTTCCTTTTGTCGACGATTGCGGAATATATCGTCTTCGACTTCGGCAAGACCTCTCATGATTACTTCACAACGTCGCAAGTCAATCGATCCACTATCCGTCAACCAATCCCCTAGAGTGGGCAGTTCCTTCTTCCATAAGTCCACCAACCGATCAATAGCATCTTCTTTGATGTCTAGAGAAGGCAAGTGTGGCAAAAAGTCATTTCCAACGAAAAAGATTAAAAAAATCCAATCGTCAATGGCTCTTTCGAGACTCCAGGGGAAGCCAAGATCAAATATTTGCAATTCGGCTTCCAAGTATTCTCGTAATACATTCAAATGTAAGAAGAGATGAGGCTTGTCCAGAATTCCAGGATCCTGTTCACCAAACTGTCCAGTTTTCTCCTTTGGCTGACCTGGAGCGTACACGAGGATTGATCAGAATCTCGGAATTTTGACACTGTTTTGCGAAAACTGATGCCAGTCCTGAGGCCAAAAAAGCAGTGAAACTAGCAGGTGTCGTCAACACCTCTCCCTGGCCTCTCGTACCTTACCTCTACACTCTGAAGCATTATGCCCAGTTTGACCACAAGTAAAACAAGCAGCCCTAGCACCTTCCTTGAAAAAGACATCTTCTCTCAGAATCTTGAAATGCGGTTCATGCGTAGCCAATGCCAACATGATCAAGTCAGCATCCAATCCGTGCAAGACATGACTAGTGTTTGGATCAAAGTCACGCAATGCACGTTGTCGACGAATGTAATCCATGATCTTGTGCTCTCCTTCACCAGGTACACTGGCGTCTGAGATGATGACTTTGATCTATTTGGTGAGTTAGCGGGAAGGGTTTTCTTAGCGTCCGCAATCATGAATGAACAATGGGGAAACATGAGCCTCCTTATTGAAGACTTACCTTTGCCCAACCAGCATCTTCAGTGAACTTTCGAGCTACATAATATCTCAAGCATTCTGCTAATCGAGTCATGAATGGAGTTCCAGGAGTAATACAATTCGAATCAAAAGACTCGAGCTGAGGTGGCAGAGTGAGTCCATGCTCCTCTAAACAGCAAAGTAATCGTGAATTTCTGTCGCCACAAAAGCAAAGAAGATTGCATCACGATATACTACAAACCTTCATATTTTCTTCTCACATCCGCTTCAGAAGCTTCCTTGGCATCCGCTTCAGCCGCAGCTCGAAAACGACGAGAACGCTGTTGATTCATCTTTGCTCGAGGAGCAACACCATCTGTAAATAGAAGCAGATTTTTTTTGTCAGAATGACAAGCCATCTGGCGAGGTGCAACATCGGTTTTCGTACCAATCGCCATGTACAAGACCTTTCTTGGTCTGACCATCAGCATGATCCGATCAATATACTTGAATATTTCAGCCATCATAGCATCTTCACTTGATGGAGCAGGCTATGAATAAAGATGCGTTAGTCAACAAGTAATAGGTTCTGCCACATTACGACATGATTCCATGACAACTCGAGCCCTTCCCTTCCTCTAACTCACTCTTCCTTCAGGATGACAGCAGGGATGAATGATACCATTCATGTCTAGATATAGATTGTCGGTTTCGAAGCTATTTGGGTTTGGTTTGTTCATGTCGATGGGCAGATTGAGGCCATTCACTTCGAGACATTGTTCTTCTACGGCAGGAGTGGTGATTTTAGGATATTTCCTAGTGAGCCATCTGAATAATGCAGGGACACTATAAGGGATCCAGGTTAGTGCATGTGCTAGATGCTAAATATTTCGAAGAAACCCAACTTTACCCCATCCGAAGAGTAGAAGACTATAAGAGTCGAAAGCAATAAGGTCTCTTTGACTATGCCCTAGCTGCTACAAAAAAGGCCTCAGACCTCAAGTTAGGATCTATGCTGCGAAACTAGTTTTGTTGGTCTGAACGAACAAGACCAAAAAAAGTGAGATCAGCATTTTCTAACAGACTAACAGACGCGGCCATTCACGTCAATAAATCTCTCGCATCACATTGATTTCTATAAATCGACGCGTAGAGCTGACTTGTCATTACGTGATATACCCTCGAGATGTTCAAAACTCTGAAGCCAGCTATAGACAATGGATAGAAGTAGAAGCACAAACACGAACTATGGCATGATGCCAATGATGCCACCTTCCACTTCAGCTCCATTTCAACCCCCAGGAACTCCCATAGCCATGCCGAAACTTCCAAACAATCGCCGAAACCAAGTGCACATTTCAATTGATCATGACTACCATGCACCATCAAAGAGAATATTGGACGAACAATCCATGCTCAACTGGCACAACTCGGAAGCCTTTGCAAGACTCGTCGAATTCCTGCAAACTTTGAATCTAGCTGTGAAATCAAAAAAGAATTCCGATCAATGTCTTGTATCCGAGGTAGGATATACAAGTAACGGATCTCCATGTACATATGCTCTCATTAGAGGTTTGTTCTGATTCCGCTACTCGTGACTAGGCTACCATGAAGGTGATCGCAGTGTTGAAGACGGTCGACCAATGGACGGACGAAATACCGCCGCTAGAATCTCCACAACGTTTTGGAAACAAGGCTTTCAGGACATGGATTGATCGTCTTGAACAGGTACACACGTTGTTAGTGTCTTGGGTTAAACTTGAAATACCACCGGATTGGTTAGACCTTAAGCCCTTTTTTTTCGCCCTTACAGAACGCACACAACCTCATAGACTCCATACTCCCCGAGACTTGCAAAAACGCAATCCCAGAACTACTCCCATACCTAACAGGCGCCTTCGGTCACGGAACTCGCTTAGATTACGGTTCAGGCCATGAATTATCCTTTATCGCTCTACTCTGTTGTCTTGATTTGATGGACGTATTCACTCCCGACGACCATCAAGCTATCGTGACACATATATTCGTTGCTTACTTGGAAGTCGTCCGCAAATTACAAAAAGTATATGTTCTTGAACCTGCTGGTTCACATGGAGTTTGGGGCTTGGATGATCATCAGTTCATACCGTATTATTGGGGGAGTTCTCAGCTCATTGGTATGCATGATTTCTGAACACAAATCGTTTTTTTTTTTTTGCCACAGTCAGAGCTAAAACATTTACCCAATGATAGATCATCCACGTCTCAAACCAAAATCAGTAACTCAAAAGGAGATTGTGGATATGGTCGCCAAAGACTACATGTACTTTCGATGTATACAATTTATCAATGAGGTAAACGGTTGAGGTTGAGTCTCTATGGAACGGGGAGTCGAGTTTTTTTGCTCTTGTATTCTAACATATCATATCGCCACAGGTCAAGAATGGACCATTTCACGAACACTCACCCATGCTGTATGATATATCAGGAGTCCCACACTGGTCCAAAGTCAACACGGGAATGCTCAAAATGTATATAGCTGAAGTGCTGGGCAAATTTCCCGTAGTCCAACATTTGACTTTTGGCAGTCTACTACCATTTGTTGAGGTATCTGCAGATTAGAGTTTTGCTATGTAAATAGTGCAGATTGCTGTACAATACAGTAATATACAGCTTCTTTGCATGACATTGTGGACGTGACTTGGCACTTGTTGACAACTTGTAATCAGGATGCAGAGCTGCCAACAGTCCATTTTCGTTCCTCGGTCATGTTCTTGTTGTTCCGGTACGCCTTTCGCTTCAAATAGCTGTAGCGGTGGTAAGGCTGGTTTATAGGAGAGAGACATGGCCGTATGGCAAGATATATGAGAACAGTAGCGCTACTGTTAATTTCCATTTTGGCATTAAGTATCTTCTTGGCCTCCCTACGAAAAAGCAGTGTTCGGAAGAAACCTTGGACTGCACAGGACATCCCGCTACATTTACTTAGAGAGTCTGTACCAGGGTGATTATTTCATTGCTCTTAAATCGCTTGTAGCAGCCGGCTTTTTTGCATCAGTCTCGCCAACATCTCCGTTAACATTTAAAAACAATCCAGCCCATTGATAATACCAAAGATCATACATACGAGCTGGAAGACAAAGGAACTGCCACCGGTAACGTTTCGATTCAAGCGTTGATAATAAATCCTTTCATTCGGTTTTTTTTTTGCTTGTCTTAACCCCTCTTTTAACACAGAGATTCAAAACATGGTCAGAAACATGCACGCTCTTGCATCCCGACTGGGAATACAGGATATGGACGGACGAAGAAAACCGGCAGCTCGTTGTTGACAATGCACCGTGGTTTGTCGCGACATATGATGCATTCCCCAAAAACATTATGAGGGTTGATAGTGCACGGTATCTATACATGTACGTCTACGGTGGGATATACATGGATCTAGACATGGAGTGTCTCAAACCAATGGATCCGTTATGTGGGGCTGGTAAAGTACTATTACCGTTGCTCTTGTATGATATGAAGTTCCCTATGGTGTGTGAACACATACGGCAGCTGAATCTGCTACCTTTTGTTGTTACCGCCTCTCATTCGTAACACCTTACCCAATAGGTCATACCAAATGCATGGCTAGCAAGCATCCCAGGACATCGTTTCTGGATAACGGTGCTGTGGAACGTGATGGTTTTCGCACACGACGCAACAGTCGATACCGACAATCCAGAATCGGTCACTGGACCAATCGCGTTATATCGTGCATACAATAAGTGGACTGATGAAAAGGGTGATGGTACAGAGGGATTAGTCTTGCTACAACCGTATTTGATCTTCCCGTTTGCGTGGACTACGACGAATCTTGTTGAGAAGAGTGTTTGTTGGGCTCGTAAGTACATCTTCCCCGTTACCTTTTTTGTGGGTGTTTGATTCTGACGGGCTTTTGCTCTGAGGGTGGTAGTTCAACGCAATTTCAGTCGGTCTCGATGTAAAGAGTATGTTAGAGTCGTTGAACATGGATCTTACACTATATCATGTGTGTAAATGTGTTGCTTTGTTATCGCGCAGCACTCTTTTTCAAACTCTTTCCATATTTCAGATTGGTCACACTCATGGGATTTATCTGCAAAGGACAAGGAGAAATTATTAGGATCTAAACCTGCTGACTGAACCTGGAAATCTTGGTTTTAACAAGATGCACATTTTATTACTGTACACTACTACTTCTACTTTTTCTGTCATCAACTTAATTCTCCTTGCATACATTACAATTCTATAATTAAAAAGATGGTGCTTTTGTCAGAAAAAGTCCTTGTTCCCATCTTTGTACCCATTTTTGAAGTCCATTAGCTGCAGCTACTGCAGCAGTCTTAGGTATCAGCGGGCTGAATGATGCATACAGCTCGTGAGTTGTTGTCGCCTAATTTTGATGCGAAAACAGGGGTTACGAGTAGAGACTTGTATGCAATGGATGAGTGACAAGTAACTCACCACAGCCAATACAGCTTCAGCGGATCCAACATTAAAAACAACTTTGGCTCCATGTGGCCGTTTGTATAGTTTCGAATGAGCGTGTTGGTAGAGAAGCAGCAACCTGTTCAAAACATAATGATGAGCATCAGTAGAGGCGACCAAAAACGCAACATGATGCCATTTCATACCGCTTCCAGTCCTGCTTATTTGTATACGGTGGCGATGGACCAGGCTGTGTATACTGTACAAGAGCACGAGATTTGAATATGAAATGCCGCAGAATGGGTACTCCAACTTCATCTAAGAAATGCAAAAATGTAAGCACTTGGCAACAGCAAGAACATCCACCCACAAAGACCCTGAACCGGAATGACAGTTCTTACTAATGCTATAAGGATCCATCTTGATAGCATCTTCTAAACCTTCAAAGCATCCTTGTTCTGTCATCGCCTAATAGAAGAGAGTGTGAAGAAACGATCAATTGGGGGTTATTCATGAGCGGCAATCAATATTTCTTGTTCGTTGTTTTCTACAGTGTCGAACTTTTTCACCAAGCGTCAACTTACCTTAACGACCCTAGTCTTGTATTCCGAGAATTCAAAGAATGCATCACGTTCAGGTCCAACCAGAATCATAGCAACATCTCTAGCTACATAGCATACATACACATGCAAATGATTTCGTGGATTGAAACGAGGTAGACAAATTGGTGTCCATGATTCAGATGTTTTCATGCCAGGGGAAGCAGCCAGGAGGTTTATGAGCAATAGTAAATCTACAAAATCACAAAAGGGAGAGGTTAGGTTGGCAAGAAAATCTGATATGCATGAGCCTTTACGAATATAATTTCTATTCTTTCAAAGGACATGGTACCTGATGGATGCAAACTATGCGTCTTGGGCCGAATCAACGTAACAAGTCGTTCCTTAGCTATGATCATTGCGAATGCCAGTGTTTTGGGTATAGAATCAGTCATAATGGCACCAATGCGAGTTCTCAGTCTATGTGACATTCGCAATGGATTGATGGCAGACAAGTAATGACTCGCTGTCTTTTGAAACGAGTTGGATAATTCGTCTAGTAGGTTCTCCGTACCTGCAAGTGATTAAATAAAGCGCAAAGAAGTTAGCATTGCTCGTGCGAACCTCTTTTTTATTCGCATTTGGTTCTACCAGCCAAGAGATTCCGTAAATCATAGTTCACTCGTTGCTCAAATATTCTCGTCAGTTGAGCGGAGGTGAGAATGAATAAGATTTGATTGTACAAGTATTGTATCTGTTCTCGTAGCTGCAATGTGGAAAATGCACATTGTGTGAGTTAGGTTCCGACAAATGGTGAGTCCGTTGTGAATATGTATCCAGGTTTTATTTTGCTTTACCTGATTTTCAGATTCTCCAGTTGATGAGACGGCCACGAGGTACAGTGGTCCACGAGACGCAAAAACGAATTTATGAGCTCCAGCGTTGATGCATCTGAGAAGGAGAAGATAAAAGTGATAAGAACAGAAATAAAAAAGAGTCAAAAATGGAGGTGCGATTATAGTGATGCCACAAATCTTACTTCAGCGTATCATCCTCACTGGCAATGAAAGACACAATAGCCTGGATAACACCCATATATGACGATAATTTCGACTCGTCGCCATATCTAACGTGAGTACAGGTTCAGTTCAATTCAGACCGCAGAAAATGTATCAGAAATGTCTCGAACCTGGTATATATCGGTTTACCAGCACTACTCAACACGAAAAAGTGCTTCTTCCGTGCAATCCAGCGTTCAGAATTGGGTCCTACGACATCAAATTATATATAAGCTGAAAAATGAGAACAACAAAGTATAGAATGCCTTCTGAACTATTGTCATCATACATACCATCATGACCATTCTTGCGTTGAAATCCACTTTTTATACTTTCACCATCATCTATATACAGTCTATTACCACCGTCAACGAAATCTCCTTGTGGTGGTATTGGTGGAGGACGTGTGTTTACAAGAGCAATAGGTCGTGCCGGAGACAAGACACTATTACGTGGTGTTGAAGCATCGCTATCTGGATCATTTCCCTTGTTTATACTGGTATTATTATTTAACTGTTGTTGCTGTTGGGTGTCTTCTAGTCTCGGTTTTCTAGTTGGTGTAGGCATGCTATCATCATCATCGTCGTCGTGTGTGCGGCGTGGGGTTGCAGGAAGAGACACATCTAGTTCGCCAAGCACATCAGCCACTTGATCAGGCAGTAAAGAAGATGAGGAAGAAGCAGCAGCTAGCCTAGTAAATACATTCTGGCCGAACTGTTGAAATCCTCCTCCTATGGACACACCCCCTCTTACAGGAGGAGAAGCCGCATAAGGAGGATACTCTCGTGATGAGCGAGCAAGTTCGGGCGAATCTTTTTCCCCTTCGATATCAAAGTCGTCGGTTAGAGTTTCAGGGGAGAAGGGTGAAACTTCCACAAAGTCTGGAGATGCTGTTGAGGTTGAGGGATTCAGCGTGGGCGATTAATTGGAGTGCGTGGGAGTAGGCCTGAATTGGAATTCCAAATGAAATAACAGCGATCAAGAATAGAATCAAGGCCTGTTGTAGTAAGGGAGCGTCAGTTCACAGAATCACGAAACTCTCAAACTTTGCAGCAAACATCAAAGAAAGGAGCTCTTGCAATGATTTAGCCCGCTTTGAGCCCTGTCACGCAATAGAATGATGGAGCTCGTGCTAAGAAATAGAAGGTACCTTCTTAAGTAGTCCAACTTTGCAGCTCTCAGCGATATGAATAAATTTCAAGAGGTTATCACGCATCAAGAGATCGCAAAGTATAGTGGAACATTCGCAGTATCGAATTGCACGTTCAGACGCGTCCATTAGGTTTTTCTGCTCCAGCAATCCAGTCCTTGTCGCGATGTATCAAAACTCTCAAACCATTCGCCGAATCGTTAGAGCATACAACTGATAGAGCTCTGAAGTCTCTCATAGCGCACATTTCTCTCGTATTTGGACGAATGATGATATGATTTTACGAAGTCAAACTAGAGTCAAGATGGCATCTGATGACAAGAACGATCAACAGGATTCACTGCTGCCTCAAGGAAGATCCAGGAAGGCGTCTCTGCCAATTTCACGATGGCAAACTCCCGAGATGATACTCTACATTCTCATCATCCTAGTTGCCTATCTGTTCTTCATGATCCCAATCCCCATTGCTCTCAGTCAAGGTACAAGACATGAGCCAATGTTGGACGTGTTGTTTTGCTCGTGATTTTGGTTGAGAATGCATGAGAGATACATATTTTCAACACGATTTTCCCTTTCCAAACTTAGAAAACTCAAAAACGTATCCATCGTACATGCACAGGCTCAAACCTGGTTGGATCTTTGGTCGTCAAGTCGTAAGTTGGACACTCATGCCAAAAAATGCCTGATGGTCTTCTCCTAAACGAGGTATCTACTCCCTTACTTACATCAACCCACGTACAGGACGACTCAGACACCCAATACAGAGCATTCAGATCCCACATATTCCAAGCTACTTCCATCGCCATCCTTCACGTTTCGATTTCCCGTCTAAGTCGCTTCCTATTCCCGGACTGGCCTCAACTATATCGATACATAACACTCACATTCTCTGTCTCATTCCTACTCATATTGCATGGCCCTGCTGGATGTATTAGGCTAGGTGCCCTTCTCGCATTAAATTATTTCTTGACTAAATACCTTGCTGGCAAGGTCGTTGCTCCTGTGCTTGTTTGGACGCTTAATATTGGGTTACTGATTGCTTCAGAATCGTACTTGACCTTGTTCAAGTTTGGGGAATTTTTTGAGGGTTGGTCTGTTCTGGTATGTCCTGATGTTCATTACACTTTCTGGATGATTCGTTTTTTGCTTGTGTGTACAGTAAACAAATATATCTATGTAGGACTCGAATCCTTCATGGGTATTGACACCCAGATGGTGGGAGAGTTACAATTTCCTAATGCTGAGAATTATCTCATTCTTTATGGACTACCATTGGCTGAAAAATGGGTTATCTGAGGTGTCGGCTGGTCGAAAACACTTTGTCATACTTGCGTACTGACCATTTTCCCCCTTCTTGATTGATCATTTTCAACCCAAACAGATCAATGTGGAAAGTCACACCAAGAAATGCCCCGACTGTCAACGTGGTATCATATGCGATCAGGCCCGAATTGACGCATCTCATCCAGAAGATGATTACAATTTCTCAAATTTCGTCAATTACGCCTTGTATGCTCCTTTATATCGAGCAGGTCCCATTGTGACATTTAATGACTTCTTGTCTCAGGTATGCTGGAAAGTGATGTTTTTGAACGTATATCTTTCTGACTTGCGAGCAAAAAAAGCTGAGTCGACACGACGAGGTGAATATATTGCCATACTCACTTATTGACCTTCCTAGGTCAAGCAACCATCACAAAAGATCACCTTTAAATTGGTTTGTATGTATGCGCTCAGATGGGTATCTGTAGTATTGCTCATGGAAGTCATGTTGCACTACATGTATGTTGTAGCAATCAAGGATGCTCATGCTTGGGAGGGGTTTACGCCACTTGAATTCGGATTGATTGGATATTGGAATCTCAAGATTGTCTGGTTAAAGGTAATACACTGGATGAACGTTGATCTTTTTTGCGTGACAACACTTGAGACTAATTCCAAAAATGTTGCTGTGTCTCTCGCGATTTCTAGTTATTGATTGTATGGAGATTCTTTCGATTATGGGCCATGGCAGATGGTATTCTTGCACCAGAGAATATGGTTCGATGCATGACAAACAACTATTCTGGAATGAGTTTTTGGAGGTCATGGCATCGCTCGTATAGTCGTTGGCTCGTTCGGTTAGTCGTAATGATGATTTACGTGTGTACACGATGGAGACAGCCATTTTTTCTTTCTTGCTTTCACCAATCTCAATTCCAATTCGATTTTACGCCGATAATTTCAGATATGTGTATGTACCACTAGGAGGAAACAAGACAGGGCCAATTGGGTATCTGGTCAATTCGTGGCTTATATTTACATTTGTGGCAATATGGCATGATCGAGAGCTCAAGCTGCTAGCATGGGGCTGGTTGATTGTGTTGTTTATAATGCCTGAAGTATTGGCGACGCGGTTTACCGTCAAGGTAAAATCAAGCATACAAGTTCCTTTTTCGGTTGAGCTACGTAGTTTTTATCTTACGTTTCTGGCACAAGGTGTCTAACTCGAACATCCTTGTAGTGGAGGTCTCGTGTTTGGTATCGACATTTAGCTGCTCTAGGAGGAGCTTGTAATATGTTTACCATGGCTGTTGCGAATCTAGTAGGATTTGTAGTTGGAGTGGATGGTATTTCGTATCTCATTGGGGGCTTCTTCTCACTCCAAGGTGAGCTGCTGTCGTAGTCTATGACTTTTTCCTCATCTTCAAACCACTTTGGCCTCCTCGCCAATCAAAATCCACATTGCAACCTAGGCCTTCCATTAACAATATGTATGATGACTACACTGTTTGCTGCTGTTCAAGTCATGTTTGAGATACGAGAATCAGAAAAAAGACGAGGAATTGTTGCTCGTTACTAGTAAACTGGCAGAAGTTGAGCCCCTGTTGCTATACTCGATTCATGAATGAGGAGGTATTTCTATTCAGACTATTTTCTACTGCAATGTACAATATTTAAGACTAGATTACATTTTATAATTTGATGATTGTTATGTATGAATCAGCTCATATCCATCAAAACACCAAGTTGAGCCACTGTATCATCATCACCTGTAGCACCCGTAGGTTCACCCAACATATTTTCTTCTTCTACCTTGACACCATCCCTACCATAATCCACTTGCTGATCTATATGATCTGTGCCCGTAGTCGATGAAGAAGATGCCGGGATGACAACCGTCGAAGACATACTAGCAGATCCAGGCCCAGCATACGCGATGATTGATTTCACATTATTGGGCATGGGCCCCTGCCTTTCCAATTCTTTACGATTTCGATATGTAGTCCAATGACGATGTTCTGTTAGATGTAGAGTTTGTTTGAATGCTGGGGATTTCAAGGAGTCTCTGAATGCAGCGTCTTGGAGGAGGCGGAGCATTTTCAGGCAGTATGGGAATCTACATGCGTTATTGACGTTGGTGAGCATTCGTGATGGTGTGAAGGAATGAGGCATTTGTAGTAGGTGAATGATTCATAATCTGAGGACGTGTCTCTTTTTTGTCTTTGACAGAAACGAATGTGGAGAGATCCGGCCAGGATCAAATTGATGCGAATTCAGTACCATCATCCCTCCAACATCAATATCAAAGCCCTCACTCAAAACGTACTCGATGTATTTTGCATAAGTTGGTTGTGTCCAGTATAGCAAGTATTTGCAGTAATTTATGAATGGAGGCTCTCCAAAACACCCATTCTGTGCCAAATCTATAGTAGTTTGAAGCGGGATGTGCGTGTTAGCTAGCATCACCAAAGCAAATGTCAAACAACAACCAGATGAGCGTACAATGTAGATAGTCCGGATTGGCCAGACACTGCACAAACTCCAGTTCAGCTAAGAATCTTGTCTTTTCAGCAATCTCGGTCATCCTTGATGTGGATGTTTTGACGATGCAATTAAAGCTTGAATTAAGACGATAATTAAGGATAGAATTTGACGCGTTATACGGATATGATGGAATATATTGTAGGTGAATTAGTCGTCTGGTAGCCTGTTCCTTTGAATCCAGTCTTCCTCATCGCCATAACACGACGCGTCATATTTCAGCTTAATTTAACGTCGAGGCATCAAGCAAACAAGACAGGAGTTACAATAAGACATACCAGGAGTCGATTTCATTACTATTAAGCCTTGGTTTTAATAGGATACCATACCCATCTACCATATTAAAACCATAACACACACCATTGCCAAACGATGATTCAAATCACTTTTAAAACTGTCACCAACCAGGTCTTTTCTCTCGAGTTGGAACCCACCGATACTGTACGCCATGATCATATTATTCGTCTTGTTGCTCCCTTCTTTGGTTGAGCTACAAGCTGTACTAATCAAATCCAAACACATTCAACATTTGCAGATTGCTGCTGTGAAGGCAAAGATTGAAGCTGAGCACAAGCACCCAGTCGCCCTACAAAAAGTCATATTTGCTGGTACATGATTCCTCATTTTACTTGATTGATATCGTTGTTGGAGACAGGATGGGGTCAAAGGACACATATATGACCGTACAATGACTTGGCCAATGCCACTTACATTCAATCACCTCCATAGGCAAAGTCCTGGCAGATGAAAAGACAATGGCTGATTTGGGTGTCAAGGACAAGGATCTGATGGTGTTGATGGTATCAAAGGTACCCAGACGGCACTTGTCATATGACACCCCCCCCCCCCCCCCCTTCAACACTAATCATCATATACCATACAGCCAAAAGCCGCTACATCATCATCATCCGCAGCTGCTCCTGCTCCTGCTCCAGTCGCTGCAGTCCCAGCTCCAACCACTACCACAACAACCCCCGCTGCTGCAGATTTAACACCAACAACCACCACCGCACCTTCAACTACACCAGTCGCTGCCGCTCCAGCAGCTGCCGATACAGCTTTTGCTGGTTTGGGTAAGTTTGAAGCAATGAAGACATCACGGAACAAAAACTTATTGATTTTTTGCGATCAAATTAGCAACTGGAGGTGCCCTCCAAAGTGCCATAACCAGCCTAATGGAAATGGGATATACAAGGGAAGAAGTCATGAGAGCCATGCGAGCTGCATTCAACAACCCTGATCGAGCAGCAGAATATCTATTAACGGTAAATTCTAGAGTTTTGTTTACGATGATGAAGAGGATCAAGGAACATATAGCAAGGACTTTCACTTGCATCATCGTCTCAAAGCACCTGCACTTACACGACATAAAATTTCTCTTTTAGGGCATTCCAGATAACATTGCCGCAGAAATGGCGGCCGCAGCTCCACCTGCAGGTACTCCAACAACCGGTGCTCCAGCTCCAGCTGCAGGTGCTCGTCCAGCAGCTGCCGCAACTGGTGGTACTCCAGCTCCAGCCGCTGCCGCTCCACCAGGAGGATATGTCAACCTGTTTGACCAAGCTGCTCAACAACAACAAGGTGGTGGAGGCGGTGGTGGAGGAGGACTTCCTGCTGCAGGTGGTGGAGGTGGTTTAGGTGCAGGCGCAGGAGGTCTAGGCCATTTACGAAACTCGCCTCAATTCGCTCAAATGAGGCAACTCATTCAACAAAATCCTCAATTGTTGCAACCTATTCTACAACAAGTTGGTGCAAACAATCCTCAGCTCATGCAAGTGAGTACCAAGTCAATCGTTTGTTACTACTTGCGTTGCCGAAATCAGTTGAATGTTATGTTTGGCTTTATTGGTGACAGACAAAGCAACCCCAGCAGTCCCTGCAAAGATATGATTTCCTTTCATTTAATAACGCCTTGTCCCTCTTCGCTTTTTAGCTCATTCAACAAAATCCAGACGCCTTTTTACAAATGTTGGCTGACGGAGGTGAAGGTGACGAAGCTGAAGATGCAGCAGCTGCTGGTGGACAAGGTGGATTTGGAATGCCTCAAGTAGTACACATTACACCGGAAGAAGATGCTGCCATCAACCGGGTAAGTCGCATCATAAATAGATTGGGTTCTACTTTCTTTTGCATTCGCTCATCTAACCGTTTTTTGTCTCTAATTGTACAGTTGGTTGGATTGGGCTTTGAACGTGCTATGGCTATTGAAGCTTTCCTCGCTTGCGATAAGAATGAAGAGTTAGCTGCAAATTACCTTTTCGAGTGAGTTTCTCGCATGCATGCTTGTTTTTTGCCATTCTATGTTTTCCAGGAGCGCGTTTCATATGGAAGCCTAATACAAACTTCCATTTTTTCGTAGTCATATGGCTGGTGATGACTTTTAAAGAGGATTGCAGATTGAAAACGAAGTTGGGGTGGTATTATATGCTTTTCACAAAACTTCGAAAAAGAGAAACCCCTTTATATTGTAGTTAGAACTCAAACAAAACGGAAATACAAATCCTCTCGTTATTGCAAAGCAACCAACAAACTGCATCCAGCCCAGAAATGATTTCCTTGACCAAGTTCGACTGAGAGAACACACAAGACGTCCACGCGAGATACGACGCTCAACACGAAGCAACAGACGAAGATGCCTTTTTATGCGTTATGATGTGTTTTATATTGTTTCTCTTGTCAACTATAATATGCCATGTAAGAAAAAAATAGCCCAGCGACACAAAAAACCACCTTTTTTGTCTCACTCGAGAAGCTCCCCCTGAGCTCCATTCCTCAACACCTATATCCCACCTTCTGCTTCGTTCATTATTATAAGCTACTTGATACAGTTTAATGCGCAGGGCCGTTGTTAAAGCGGCCATCAACATAAAGATAGATTATGCCTATGCATAATAATTAAAATACATAGGGTCTCATTAAGTTCTGTTACTGTTTTTCGGTTCTTTTCTTTGATTTTTGTGGATGTGTCGTGTGCTTTTTGTCTCCAAATTTGGTTTGATGGGCTGGGCGGCGACGTCTAGTTATCATCGATACCTGACTTTTCGGCAGTTACGTATTTTTCTTCAACGGCTGTCAGTCTTCTGATACTGGCTTCTGTACTCGGTATCTATATTTGCGTTGTTGTCGTTAATTAGTATCAAGCAAACAAAGGTGTTGTAAACAGCTCAGTAATTCGACAACGACTACAACGCACACCATCACTCGCGGAGTCAACATAAAACGCAAATATATATGCTTACCGTGAGGAAGAGGAATGCAGACACAGGCAACCAACAATAGTCCAAAAGGTATTTAAGACCACGTCCCTCTCCTTGCGTCTTGCCCAACAGAGTCGAATCAACATGACGATGTAACCCCTCATACACAAAAGCACATAATAATAATGGAAGTCCAGCTATAGCTCCCAAAGCCTGAGCAGCGAAATACACATTCGAGTAGAACTTGTCATCAACAAATACACCTGCTGCTAATGCCTGGAATAGCGGGACGGCCAACATCATCATCCATCCAGATGATGCGGGGACTGCATGTGCTTCCAAGACATGGAAGCATACCAGGAATCGATCAATCATGCCCTGGAGGTATGTTGTGCTAGTTCGTGAAGCTCGTCGGGCCAGCCGGCGAGCTTCTCTTATGGTATAAGCAGTGTCGGCCAATCCAAAGTAATGGCGTTTAGCTTGCACGTATCGGGCGTGCATGTTGTTTACAAAGCCTGGAGTCTGCACGTTGGTCAAATTTATCGGTACATAGATTGGGACCCCACGGGCTTCACCATCTGTTTTAAAGAAGCATTTCAAGTACCTATGTTTTCAACGTTTTAGGTAAGAACAGATTCAGGATCGCCGCAACAAAACTACAACCACAACGTCCAGCCATCAAACATACATATGAAGATCTTCACCAATAGCAGAGAAATCAGTGTCCCAATATCCAACTCGATCGGCCAAAGTAGCAGACAGCGAGTACGTTGAGCAAGGGAATGTAATTCCACGAACATTAGATAGATTTTGCATGACCATTACACTCCACATGATATCAGTAACTCTTACAGCAGCAGGCACAGAAAATGCATTCCGTGAAAAGAAGATTGGTGGACAGAACACCAGATTTAATGGATCGGGTGCTGCAGCTAATTCCCGTTCAACGTTAATTACGTAGAGTTCAGGAATGGCCGAGTCGGAATCTGATACGGTGAATATTTGGCTTCTCATTGGGATTCCTTCCCTTATTAAGACTTGGCATGCACGTCTGGCGGCATAGTTCACTAGAGTTGAACAGAATCAGAAAAGAGGGCGATGGTTTTGCTGCAACGCTTCAAAAAGCCCATCGATTCAATACAAAATGCAATTTTCACAAACAAATCTCACCATTAGATCCCTTCCCTCTAGCCTCTCCTGGAATACCAATAGGATGCACCGTCACCACAACCTGAAGGAATCTAGATTCAAATTCCTTGACTAGAGCTTCACTCTTGATATGGTTTCCACCTTCAGATTCTTCCATGGCCAGCACAATAACATAGTTTGTCCTTGCATTTTTATGGGAAGCGAGTCTTCCAATAGTCTTTTGCAGCAGCGGTAAAGGTTCATTATAATTGGGTATGAGAAAGACATGACAGTAATCGAATTTAGAAGACGGTGAAATCAATCCGTTATTCAAGCCAGCGGCTTCTATATCTGCGGGACGACGATCAGATAGATTGGCATACATTTTCGAGACAGTCTTTGAGAATTTGATCAAGTGGGAGCACGACAGAGTAAAGAACGTAGCAAAATACAGGACGAGGAAGACCGAGTATGCTTTTGGGAAGAGTAATGGACCTAAAAAGACGATGGTGACGGATCCGAGAGCTACTATGGGAATCACTAGATCGTATGCGTCTCGTTGAGTTGGTTTTACGGGCTGTATAGCCATGGCAGTAAGAGCAGCATCCGATTCATGAGTCATCTGGTTTATGAAGTACGAAGCGTCCTTGTCTGTCAGCATGGGGTCAGGCAGTGTCATACCATACTTTTCAGCAGTCGGTGAAAAGAATTCATCATTCGGGTTTTCGACCACTACGGTTTTGGCCGACGATATCGACGTGGATGATGATGGAGATGCTGGTGGCGACGAGTTGGAAGATCCCATGACTTCCTTGTTATTACTATTATTAATATTACTATGATATAGAGAAGCAGCCGATGTGTGATACTTGTTGTAGTCTCCGTGGGTGGTATTTGTTGTTGGAGTGACTTGGATGTCGTCGGGGGAGTTCGAGGAAGAGAAGAAATTGGATAGCTGAGACACAGAGAAACGAGTTCGTACTATGGGGCTGCCAGCAAACAATGGTGGTGGTGGTTGTTGCTTGCCATTAGCAGTAGGAGCAGCAGGCGGAGCTCCCAATGCGGTGAGCACTGAGGATAGGGCTCTAGCAGCCATTATGTTATAATATATAGATAGATAAGGGGATGAGGTTTTTTGTGTCTACTACTGACTTGGATCTAAATATATAGGTGAAAGGGAAAGCGCCCCGAGTTGACTAGATATCGGAATAAGAGCGGTCAGTATTGGGAATGCAGGAATTAACTATTGTCTGTTTTATGAATACCCTTTAAATGCAAGTTGCCAACAAGTGAAGATGGGTGGCCACCAAAGAATTGCAAGTCAAAGGGTCTGTAATTAGAGATGGATCTAGAGAGCTAAAAGGTGAGAAACCATGTATCGGATAGGTGGGATGGCCATAAAACGACGTCTTCGGAAGTGCTTTGAAAGCAATCTGCACATTTCATAAAGTGCGTTTCGACAGGTGGCTTCATAGACTTGTTGCTCACCAAAAGTTCAATAGAGCAATATAAAACAGTTCCCGAATGACTGCTATTAGATGGCGTCTGCCTCTCCCAGACCTCTCTTCCTTAGTCGTCTTCCCTTTTCTCCTTAAACCTCAATTTCTAGCTTTTTGCTGTCACAACGATTTTTTTTAAATCAAACGAAGACCGGGAACTCAGGACGTGTGAATAATACAGGCAGAACCAAACCAACCGATGCGATGCCGGGAATTATTGAACGATCGCCAAGTGAGAATTTTGCTGCCAAGTGGCAAGGGTCGTGAAGAACTGCCAGTCAATAACGAAACAAAGTTCCTAACAACATAAAACATGTTTGCCGAAAACGTCAACTTATGCACAACACGAGCTAGGCGAAGAGTTTGAGCATTGCCTTTTTACAATCTTCAATCATTTACAACAGTTCCGTCTCGTTCTATTTACGACGCCATTTGCGATTGACCTTTTTGGATCTTCCTAAAACGGCATCATTGCTCTTGAGCTTCTTCGTCTTTGGTGCTGAGTGTGATGGTCCAGATGGTTGAGATTGGGCTCCATTAACTGCTGGAGGTTCCTTTCTCTTGGCCCTATTAGAGGAAATGGTTTGAACAAACAATGCGCAGACGACATGACTCTTGACGAGTTACTTACGAAATCTTTGGTTTTTGTTGAGGATTGGATGATGATGGTGTTGGTTTAGAGCCACTAGCTGCTTTCGCTGCTGCAGCTGCGGCAAGAGCGTCTGCTTCGGCCTTCGCTGCTTCAGCCTTCTTTTCAGCTAGTCGAAATGAGAGTGTGTCTCGAAATTTTCTTCTAGCGGTCTTGGGCTTCAATAATTCCTACAATAATACATAAAGTCAGAGCTGGATTTCAAACATCGTCTTTGCATTTTGCGGGGTTGACATTCGAAGAGTCATATGATGAGTTTCGGAACGTGCAATTTCATGATGATCTCGCATCAAAACTTCGAGCTACTACATTTACACACATACCTTGACGAGCGAAAATACATTGTTGAAGGCCGTCAACCTTGCATCCCATTTAGCCGAATCCACAGCAGAGGTGGTGGCCCGATTCAGCTTCTTGTATTGAACAGTTTCTTCCGAAATAACGGTCTGCACTCGCATATAAACATGCTTCAATCGGCCCTTGTCCTCTTCTGATTCTGTCGTGTCATCCAATGCACTTCCCGTCAACTTCATTCCAGCTTCATGAATAACAAATAGGATTCGTTCTGCAAACGAGAGACTGCAACGTTAGCGGCGGTGTTGCATTGCCGCAGTGTTGCTTGAAAGATTGCCTACCAAGTCGAGTATAGTCCAACTTTTCCACAGAACCAACGACAACGTAATGCTAAGGACAATAATGGATTAGAAGGACACACAGAATATTCAAACGGTCACCAGCCAACCTCCAAAAGGGCGTTCATATGTGATAAAACAATCTTCACCAACTCGGCGCTTGTGAGATGGGGAGTTCCTTCTGCAAGAATCCTCAAGACAAGCATGTTGACTTTGGTGCTGAGTTTGTGGAATGAGGGAGTTGTGAATAGGTTGGATATCATCACTTGTAATAAGGCATCGGATGGTCCTCCTTTCTACAATATGAAAACGGTGGTCAGCAATGTTTGAATATTGCTTGACAATGGACAGCTTACTCGGTATATTTTGAGTGATCGTTGAGAACATAGTAGTAATCGGTCTCCAACAGTGTCATCCGTCGGCTGTACATTCAGAAATTCGATTAGCTTTTGTTGACAAATGTTTTGAAAGCAGAAGTCATGATCATAACACGTACATTCCATTTGACATTCTTCAACCCTGATATTGTCAAATATAATTCAAGCAAATCTCCAAAGTTTTGAGCATTCTGATACATGGGAAGCTTGTGCATTATCCGTGAAATAGATTCCAGCTCTTCGTTTGAGGCACTTGCCCACCACTAGAGATATAAGACGGTCAATACCAGACGAATCCAACTACTCACGATATGCTTATGATGGCCAACCCTTTTGATTTGTGGAAGCAGACTAGTCTCGATTTGAGGAACTAGTGCTGGAAAGTGTGATATCACATCATTCTCCAAAAAGGAGAGAGCAAATTCTCGAGCTTCGTGATCCGTTCCTTCGTCAATGCCCTCACACCGATACATGAGGCCTTCCATGGCTTCCTTTGGGTAATTGCTGAACATAACCACTAAGGCTTTCCGAACTGCATCTGCTTCAACTTGTTGACCTTCCGCTACAGTCCAACGAGAAATCGTGAGCACAATTTAAATATTCATCGAAATACCATTATGAGCTTACGATAAGTATTGTGCATTTGTGATAGGATGTCAACGATTCTTGCAGCTGAGGCCGAGTTGAATGCCAGTTTGGGCAGCTGTTCAATAGCGTTTTTCCGTAAAGCTGTCTTGTCCGTATCTTCTAGCTCTGTAATATCCTAGCATACATTTGAACGTATAGATATGAGTTTGGGCTCAATAAAATGGGAATGTTGTCTTGCTCAGTTACCAATATAGCATCCAGTGCTTCTTGGAAAACATCCATGATATCGAAATGAGGTAGATGTTTTGGAATTTCCACAATAGCAAGAGGACATATCTTTTCTACTTTTGTGGAGGCCAAAATGACTCTGAAATCTGGGACAAGCTGAAAATTGTTTAATGTCAGATTTTAATGCATGTGGACAAGCTCGATAAAGAGGATCTTAGAGGAAAAGAGAATGAAGCACTGCACTTACTTCTTGATAATTCTGCTCTGCTTTAGGTTTGGACTCTTCCTTCCACAATCTGTTGACTGCGTCGTAAAACACATCAGCTTCACTCATGATATTCTTGTTGACTTGTACTGCACCACTGAGCATATCAAAGTTAAGTCAAATATATATCAGAGGTGTTGCCAAATACTGCTTTGGACTTATATCACTCCTTGTGCCAAAATCGAGTCGGAAAGAAATTGAACAATGATGGATGCTATGCTGAGGATGTTCACAACGTGCGTTGCAATGAACGCGATAAATTTTTGACCTTGAAAAGTTCAATAGTTCTGCTCCCTGAATTACGTGGCTAAGTGGTACGGTGTGAGTCTCAAGCTTTAATTGGAATGTGCAATGTTCATGTAGACATCTCAATAACACAAACGATTTCTATTCAGTATTCTTCTATATATGACTACGAGTTTATAAGTTTAGAACGTAACAAGAGCCACCATTCAATTTCCACCACTACATTTGCACGCACAAACGATCAAATGATTAGTCTAGCCCCTCTGTGTTTCAAACGGGCTGAGGGCCGACTCTGGCCACATTGGTTAGTAGTGGAAACAGCAAACAAAAGTTACCAGCAGGCGAGTTTTTATGAGTGTCGGTTTGCCACCGGACAACCACCACTTATGACCTAATTGGAACCACAAGCCCACTTGTCATATAATACCAGGTTCAAGACCAGCAGGCATCTTGAACCCGGCCACAGTGTAGATGCCAAATACATGACAACGTACTAGTCGACGGCTTGTTTCGGCACAATGGCAGTCAGCAAAAGATCCAACGCGTGACTTAAAGAGCACGGCCTACGTCTGGTGCATGACGGCCCTATTGAGGCTCCAACAGCTCTGACGGGGAGGTTCGCCTCTCCTCAAGTTTTGACTGAGCGCCCAACCGACAGCATAAAAGGTATTGATGCCACTTGAAGGTTGTAGCATCAGATACAGTTCATAGGCTAAGACGGATAGTCACTTGAGAGAATAGTCCTGATGGAGAGAGAGAGACTTGATCCAAGAGAGGTTGGCAATGCAGAAACAAAGAAATGTTGATATTAGATCAAATCAAAACGAATGTATGCAGAGAGGAAGGAGGGAGGGAGAGCAGCAATATAGCATGATGGTACATCCATCCATCATGTGAAGTGATTCATACCTGTTGTAGTGCCTCTGGGCAGTCTTGATCACGTCTCTTTGTTGCGAAGACTTGGTGGAGTGAAGGCGGCAGGCGATTCGTGCAGGTGGCTTTGATTTTGCTTACTAATCAACATTCTGGTTTATGAGACATAGCGACGAGTAGAAGGTGTTTGCGACGTGATAAAAAATATAACAGCCTATATGATTGTATGCTTCATTGCAAGTTACGTGATTTTCTCCTCGTCATGCCGAGAAATAAGCTTGCGAATTGCATTTTGGGTGAAACCCTGTTAGAACTCTCTACAGAGCACTAGATCACATCTGGTACAGCTATAATCCTCTGATCCTCTGGATTAGCACTGTTCTGCTTGCATCATCAGTGGGGAATCACTGTAGTTTCGTGCTCGCTGTCGTAATTTGTTGTTCTTTTGACCTGTCACGGCAAACATGATAACCTAAAACCACAAGGCGCTATCAAGACGGGATTAGTACTCTTTGTTTCCCGGCCTGTTCGACGCGATTCGCGTCCATCACATACATGGTCGAAGAGGGAGTCGTACTCAGCACAAGCTGTGAGAAAGTCGTAGCCAACCCGCAGCCTTTCGTGAATTACTCCCATCAAATCCTCCATCTGCTTAGTAAGGAGTTTTGCTGCGAACCTTCCATGACTGAACCTATTTGAAGCTTTATAGTACCTCGGCAAGGTGGTAAACGATCCAAGTGGCGTTTGCGTCGTAACCAACACCAATTTGTAACATCATTAATACAATAATGAATCCCTGCATAGATGGTGCATCCTTCTCGAATAGGTTATATCTGAATGCTAGACATTAAGGCAGTGAGCAGCATGACTTTCAGATTGGTTCACGGTGAGGATTGACAACCCAGAGTCGATACGTAAACTAAGGACTAAGTAACTTAAGAAAAACGAGAAACAAGGCTATAAGTTGCTTCAAATGGAAAAGAATTCCTTACTTCCTTAGCACGGTTAGCAAACAACCGTTGTCTCATGGCAGCTTCCACATACACGTTCGTCGCGGTTCTTGATGTTGACGACTTAAAAGTTTGAGGCAGCTCCAAGGAGCCGAAAATAGCGTTAGAATATTGTTACCCAGAGGTAGAGATATTTTCGCCTTGTTCACCAACCTAGAACACGTTGAACGTGGATTTAGAATCGGAGCTCTTCAGAAGTACCAGAGTTCTGACAAGGCTGCAGTCACCCAAAAAAATCTTACATGCTCGGAACGCAGCCTCGCCACAACACTCCACGCCTTTACAGCCCGGTGAAGTGGTCACTCCATCTCTGCAGCTTTTGTTAACAATCTCATAAAACGTTGGTAGTATCAACATGATACGTTTCACACTAATTGCTCGAGCTTCAGATGGGCTGGCACTCACGGCCACGATGGAGTCCCCAAAGGTATGCTATCTAAACGCGTTCTTATGACCTCCACTAACAGGTTCAACACGTTCTAGGAGGAGGAATCAATCCAAAATCACAAAAAGCTGTCAAAGACATTGTTAAGATTTATTTCCACGCCTTCACACCATGATCCGCTTCCGAAATCATGTACAATTATAGCCGGAGACTACTCATTCCATTACATTGTCAAGGATGGTGTCGTGTTCATCACATTGTGCGAGAAGACGTATCCAAGACTCCTAGCCTTTTCCTACTTGACGGAAATTGAAAGAGGGTTTTTTGAGGATTCTTCAGCAAAGTAAGCTGGTTTCTCAATGTGATTGTGGTCTTCAATTGAATGTACAAACACCTTTGGATCTAGAGACGCAGTGAGGAATGCAGTTAGACCATATTCCTTTATTAAGTTTGGTGAGTCTCAAAACGTTGCAAGGCTCTTGGATCTTGAGCACCTTTTTGTATTATACTGACATGATTGTTTCGTAGAGCCATATATTCAAGGTGCAAAGAAACGTTACTCGAATACACGAAATTTGAGAACCGACATGGATCTAGTGGAGTTATCTTCACGAATATCTGCAGTTGATATTCTGCAAGCTCAGAACGTGTTTGGAGCAGAGTACTCGAAAGGTGAAGATCTGTTCTCAAACCTTTCAAGAAATCCTGCTTGCTGATTCTTCGCTCGTTTTGCAATTACACAGCTTCGTTGGGCTATGGGTTTAGTAGTTCTCTCAATGGAGCACTCAAGTTTGAAACTGATACTTCTACGAGAACATGGCGAATTCTGGTTCTGATATTCATGACAGGACTGATTGCCACCATGGATTTGCTTGCTCTTGTGAGATGGAGTCTCAGTGGTAGTAGCCCGAATCCAATAGCAGATCCGGTAGGCTCATTAGGTTGTTTTGGGGATGTCTCGGAAATATATGCTGACCTTGGTCAAGCTTAGAATCAACACACGTTAGGCCATGTTCTGCTGATACCACTTGGCATTCTGGCGCCATTCCTATTCCTTCAGGTATGCCACGTTGGGCCCGGCAATCGATACGTCTATCTCCATTATGTTTCTGTGCTCACAGCAATCGAATTCATCCCAGATCTATCAACTCAACAACAGTGGATCCTTAAATCCAACATTATCTATTGTCACCACCACACATGCTCTCATAACGGCACTTCAAGCAGTATACATCGTTTTGGGTAGTGCAGAACCAGACAGAAAAGTTATAGGAGGAAGCAGATGGTCACTCCTCTATTCCTTCGCTAAAGGCTTTTATGTTATCGTATTCATGCTCATCGTTGGTCTACCTGTACTGAGAAGATGGTTGTCTAAGCTAACACATAATGATGGAGGAATGTTGGGCGCTCAACTGAGTAAAGGAAGGAGAGATTAAAAATGTCCAAAGATAATATATGTAAATGTTGCATATGCTACTTATGCTATCTTGTATAAAATACACGTGGCTGATTTCATATTACTATATTAGTTGCTGTACTCTCCTCTTATCGACCAACATCTTCAGAGGTTGAATCAGCGATTGTGTCGTCCGAAGACACCTTCATGTCTTTGACACCACTCTCGACATCATCAACAGACACGTCCTCATCTGTTTCCTGTATACTATCTGCATCAGGTTCAAATGAATCTAATAGCAGTTGCGAGACTTCCAAGTGCCCCTGCTGCTCGCTCATTGTCAAACTACTCCTTCCGGCATTGTTCTTTATAGTCGCATCGGCACCAGCCTTCAGTAGCAAAGACACGACCTGCTTATGACCATTCAAAGAAGCCCAATGTAAGGCCGTAGCTCCGTCATCGTTCTGGAGGTTTACGTCCCCGTTTGTCAGATGCTCGAGCAAGTACTTTACGATATCGATATGATTGTTTGCAGATGCCATATGCAGTGCCGTTGAGTTTGATGGTGGTACTTTATAGGTGAAGATGCTCCTCAGAGTTGCAGCATTAGTTTCCTCAAATGAAGCTCGAATATTCTCCTTCATTTCTTCTAAATCACCGTATCTGGCACAGGTTGCGAACTCCAGGTAGTCGAATCCATTTGCCATGTCCTTCTCGTTGCCTATAGTTGTGATGATTTAGTTCAAGATCAAACAGAAAAAAAGGAACGTTCACAATTTTGACGGAAGAACACAATCACGTCTCGGTTACGACTTGGCAAGTACCAGATTACTGCGAATAAGGCAAGTAGAGTTCAAAGTCACGTCCTGCTTGTCTCTGTTTCTGTCTGGGCTTGATTTCGTTGGTTTGTGGAAAAGTGATTTTGTGGGTCAAAAACGCAGACTGCAATCAAACGCAATGACACAACAGCAAGCAAGGTAGCTTGATATACTCATTCTTTGTCGCCCTTTAAGGATCAGCACTTAGCATGACATCCGAAGGTGGACCTACTGGTCGAAAAACAGACCTAGAGGATGGCGAATTGGTCGACGACGGAACTATAGACGCCAGTATACCAATACCCTCACTAGAACAGCTAGAACGTGCTGCAAATCCACCTCATCTATCATACCCATCACATCCATATCCCGTCCGTAGCAGCAGAGGGAAGTTGCTGAAACGAACACGAAGGGATTCATATCGACCACCGCCTAATTCTGCTCCCAACTCATCACGCGCCGATCTGCCTTCGAGATCATCGAATCCTTCTCCGAGTAATGGGTCGCATTGGTCAACTACAAACTCTAGTCAACAACTGGAACGTAATGATGCTGCGCGGCCTCCAAGACGCTCTTTTACTTCTCAAAGTGGTCCAGGTAGGACATTCATATGTGCTGGACATGTTGCTCGACGTGATACTGCAAGTTACAAACGCAGGTTGACGCGTACCTTCACACAAACAACAGGCCTAGACACACCACATAGTGGTCCACAACAACGCTTTCCTCCCCGATCATCACCACAAGATGATGGACATCCTGATCTACGACGACTATCGCTATCATCACCGCGACGTGGTAGCCAACGATTTGCGCCATATCAACGACCAAACCAACAACAGCAACATCGTAAAGGACAATCTGGAGATCCACGACATATAGGTCGTAATCTGACGTTTTCTCCAGCACCTATAAGACCAATGATGAACAATACTAGAGGTGGTGGACCAATGATGAACAAGAGTAGGGGTAGACCAATGCTGAGAGGTGGACCAAAGATGAATAGCACAAGTGGAGGGCCAATGATGAACGGTCCAAGAGGTGGATACAGAGGAGGCAGAGGTGGCAGCCACAACAGTATGATGGCTGGCTCTCATCCTCCCAACTCGATGATGTATAGACCTTATCTCATGGCCGAAATGGGAAGAGGTATGCCACGGGGTAGAATACGTGGTCGAGGTGGTAGTCCGTTTAATAGGGGCGTAGGACGAGGAGGAAGAAGACCTATTCAACCACGACCACCACCAATCCCCAAACAAGAAGTACCTGTATTGAAACATTCGATAGAAGTACAAGCTACTACTCCTCCACAATCAGGATACCAACCAGGTAATCTAACTCCCAGGATTACATCACCAAATGCTACGCCTGCACACAACCCAAACAGTCCCGATTATCTCTCCCTTTGGAATTACAATTATGTCCCGTCTCCTATCCACTATGCGGAAGAAGGAGATGATGACGATGAAGAGGGTCATGATGGACACAATCCAGATGGTTTAGAGGAAGATGAAGAAGAAGATGACGAAGAAGCTTATGGAACTGATATGGATGAATGGCTCGAAGTTGGGACACCATGGTATCAACAAAACAAGTCAGATTACGATGCGGCCATGTAAGAGTTTGGTTTGAGACTTGTGACATCTTTTATCCACCGTTTTGCTGACCTCCGTTTATATTTGTAGGTACGCACTGTATCATCCAGAAGAAGGAGGTCATAATGATGATGACGAAGATCAAGAGATATACTCACCTGTAGAAGGAGAAGCACCGTTTGGAGAACAAGATGATGAACATGATGACGAGGAAGCCTACTATTATGCCAACCACGAGTTTGATGACGAAACTGGGGAAAGTCCTTTGAATCCCGTTCTTCCTTTAAGCCACCATTTATTGACTTTCCCTGTATTAAAATAGGAACGAATGTGGGCAGATGGCATACCAGGAGAGGAGGCGCTGATGTATCATGACGAAGATGCCGAATGGATTGATGAAGGACACCATGAAGAGGACCCAGATTGGGTAGATCGTGATAAACCACCAAATGACCAGGACGACTCTGCAGATTGGATTGATAGAATTATAAACGAGGAATTAGCATCACAAGCAGCAACAGCACCACCACCACCACAAGCAGCAACACCATCACAAGTATCACCACAAGTAGAGCAATCATATGGCGGTCATCATCAAGGGAAAGAAGACGATGCAGATAGTAGTGGTCACCAAGGAAAGGACGAGATATCATAACTCTCTCGCTCCATATATATCCACAGACCATATATCTCATCTCCGCATCTTATTGTAAAGCCATTGTAGATAACCAGCTGCATATAGTTAGCACAAATGCACAAAATATGCCACAACGTATACATAAGCTAAACCTGAAAGTGTTGAGTTTATAAGTTGGAATTTATATTTTGTGTCTGTCAGCTTTGGCGATTGAGTGTTTTACTTTTTCTTTACAAAACTGCGATTCTATGGTGGATGAAAAGTAGGATGTTAGCACATGTTTAGTCGGAGGTGATCTGTAAGTAGATGTGTCTGTAGCATCACTCCGACCAAAACGAGCACCATATGACTCAACACCTCCCCACCCCAAAAGGAAGCCTATCTCCATATACATCCATATACAACACTGACCCATTTCGACACCCACTACTTACCAATACAGCTCATTCTCCACATTATGGCCCCCCGTCAAGATGGGGAGGCCTACATCACAAATTTACTCTTCCTCGTCAGCGGGTTGAGCAGCGGACGCATTTGGGGCGTCGACAGCGAGAGATTGCCTCCAAGCGACTTCCTTTTCCTTTATTTCAGCCTGGACCTTTTTAAAGTAGTTGTCATAGTCGTTGAATTGTGGCGTATGAATAAAGTGCCAGTATCCAAAAGCGAGCACGGTTCCTAGAGTGCATGAGCCTACGACATCAAAGATGACTCGTTTGCGGAATCGGCCTACGAGGGGTGCGATGGCTGATGACATTATTATGTTGAGATTGCTGGTTTATATGGTACTCCTTGATTTTGTGATGTTTGACGAAATTGTGAGGGTGAAAACGGTTTGTATGGTCGTTACGTGAAGAAAGGGCAAGCAATGAGAATCAGAATGTACATGTATTCGCCAGTAAGATGCATTAGACACGTTGAAACGCGAAACAACCCAGTGATGCTGATGCCAAACGAATGTAAATGATAAATGAGTGTTGAAAAGCCATAAACGAGAGTGTACATAGGGATATGTTTTATATTCTCCATATACACACGTACACACGCAAGCAAGCGGGCCTCTTGTTACAAAACCACTCGTTTTCTAAATCCTTTCTTCTGTTCATCTTTTTTTTTCTCCAAAAACATCACAACCTAACATTCGATCAAAGCTCCACGAACAAACATCTAGGATGACTTCCAACGGGTTCTTCGGTATGTAATCACCATGTAGTAGTACATCTCATCGTGTTCGGAAGTCTTGACCGTGCTTGATGAAGAGCCTTAAACATTTTTTTCTATTGCTCAGTTTGACACTTGAACTGATCTTCATCTCTCTTCATTGAAAATAGGTCTGGTAGTCCAACCTGGCAAGACTTATGAACAGATCACCGAGCTGCCATTACGTCTTACCATGGTATGTTTCGAAAACAATCTTGGACATCTGGTTCTATGGCTGACTTTTTTTCCTGGCACATGTTAGGCCTCAATTGGTCCTGATGACAAGAAGGAGATCGGAACCAAAAGAACCTACTTGAACTTCCGTAACGATGATCAAGACTTTACTGTTTGCTCTTTGGCTCCAAACACTGTATGTCTTGACCTTGTTTATTGGGTTGCCACAAAAACGCAAGATTATAACAGCAGATTCTCTGTTTCTTAGCACGAGACTCAAGTCATTGAGATGCTCTTTGAACCGGGTCAGCCATTGACATTCTTCTCCACTGGTGACTGGTATGGATCACAGTTGTATTGGCAGGAATGTTCAATTGTCACTTGTTGATCATCCTTTTTTTGTCTTTCTTTCTAGTGCTATTCATTTGACTGGTCACTACATGGATGAAGACAACTACCCAGTCATGGATGAAGAAGAAGATGACGAAAATGAAGAAGGCATCGATATGGGTGATGAAGAAATTGATAGTGATGAAGCTGGTGATGTTGATGAAGTCATGTTCGGAAAGGCTATGTCCAAGAAGGGTATGTTGTTGGTATTTTTAGTTATTCATTGATGTGTTACTTGTTTGACTGGTAAAACTCAATCAATTGACCAAAAAACACCGTACCTCACCGCATAGCTCTCATTCCCTCTCGCAAATCCGCCATGGAAGGCGACGATGACTCTGACGAAGACATGGATGGTCTCCTTGAAGAAGACGACGAAGACGATGAAGCAGACATTGAAGAAATGACTGAAGATGAACGTCGTGACCTCATCAAACACTTGATGGATACTGCTGAAAGTGATGATGGCTTGACTGCTGAAGAACGTGAAGAATTGATTCGAAAATTCGTCGAGGGTAACTACTCTTCTGATGAATTCGAAGACGAGGATGATGATGACGAGGATGATGATGAAGAAACGGAAGAAATTGATGATATGGATATTTTCCGACTTGCTGCTGGTGTAAAACGTAAGGCTGAGAGTAAACCAATTCCTATTCCTCCTGCTGGCAAGAAGGCGAAACTTGTTGAACTCACTGATGTAAGAAATTGTGTTCTATTAATGATATCCTTATACTCATCGTGTTTGCTTTTTTTCTCCTCTCAATCTTTTACAGGCAACCGAGGTCAAGAAACCTGAAGTACCCGTCAAGGCTGCTGCAACATCTAGTGCACCAGCTTCTCTCGTCTCATCTGACGCTCCAGAAGCCGATAAAAAGACCGATAATGCTACCTCCGCTACCACTCCCAACAGCGCCACCACCAACGGTAAAAAGACCAAGGCACAAAAGAAGGCAGAAAAGAAGCAACAAGAAGCTGCTGCCAAAGCTGGACAAGTTTCAGCTGCCGCTGCTGCCCCTGCCGCCACTGCTGCCAAGGTTGAACCAAAAGCCAATGGAGTCACTGCTGAAGTAAAGAAGGACGTAGTAGCAGAAAAGCCTCAACCGTTATCTGCCAAAGCTGTTGCCAAGCAACAACAGCAACAACAGGCCAAGAAGGAAGAATCTGGCTCTCCCAAAGTAGAAGCTAAAGCTGAAGTCAAAACCGAAGCTAAACCTATTGCAAAGAAGGAAGCCAATGGCGATGTTGCCAAACCACTTGAAAATGGTGACGCAGCAGCAGCAGAAAAGCAACCCAAAAAGAAGACTCTCCCCTCTGGTCTACAAATTGAAGATATCCTTGTTGGAAAAGGAGCACGAGCAAAGCCTGGTAAACAAATGTCTGTCCGATATATTGGTAAATTGGCTTCCAATGGCAAAGTCTTTGATTCAAACACCAAAGGTGAACCATTCAAATTCCAGTTGGGTAAACAAGAAGTTATTCGTGGTTGGGATGTTGGTCTTCAGTAAGTTGTTGCGAGAAGAGTTTGGCTTTTGTTAGTGTCTTATTTGATTGCCTGTTTTTTTGCAACATACTCATCATTTTTCATCTTCTTTCTTAGGGGAATGAGTGTAGGCGGTACCCGTAAAATAGTCATCCCACCTGCATTGGCATATGGATCTAAAGGTGCTCCACCAGATATCCCATCCAACGCTACTCTTGAATTCGAAATCAAGTTGCTTGATGTTGGTAAAAACTAGATAGGTAGCAAACGGAAGATAGTGAGCCAAAGAAAACTAGGAGAGGATTTTGAAAAAAAAAGGGATGTAGAGTAGGTGTGTGTAGTAGAAGGGGTTTGCATTTCTGGTGGGTGTTTGGGTGATGTCGCTAAAAAGGGTTTGAAAGATGCAGTATTTGATGTAGTCATTTTCAGCAACGAAAATATAGATACGATACTTTTCAAAGAGGATTTGGTGTTGATTTAAAGCTTCCCTTTTTATGGTATAGGAAGGCGTTACTATGAATACAACGAGTTTTTACGTGTGTTTTACTCTTTATATATATACAGATCTACAGTGGGTTGTACAAAGTCCATCACCCTGAAGAGTAATAATAGGAAAAGGAGTTTGAGACAATGTCATACTAACAACGAATCTTGAAACAACAACACCATCAATACGAAACCTGAACACCATCAATACTTACTTGATCTCTTGCTACCCAATATAGGACTCAACATCACACCAACCATATTCACAATACCACCAACCGAATCGTAGATTGTGCGTGACACTGACTTCCTGCCTATATCTGTTATATCGGATGCAGCAGTGGAGGATGCAGAGGAGGATACAGCACCACCAGTGGTGCGAGAGTTGGTCTCTAGTACGACTGGAGTAGGCGCTTCTTCCAAACGAAGTCGTTTGGGTGGTGATTGCAACAAAACGACATCCTCCCCATCCTCTTCATCTTGACCAACAATGTACACATCTCCTCCACTACGCTTCTCTTGTTCGTCTTCATCTTCTTGTTCATCATCATCACCTTCCTGCATTGCATTTTCCTCCTCTCCTTCTTCTGATGGTATATCTTCTTCAGTTGCATCTGTATCTATCCCAACGTCCTCAATTATGGACATTTCAGAAGATTCATATACTTTGTTGTTGATACCCTGATGACGTGAAAAATCGGAGAAGACGGTTTCTCGGTCACTGTCGTCATACACCATATCACTGGTAGATCCTGCAACTATTGGGGCAAGATTTTCGGTATCGGATGATGATGTGTCGATGAATTTTGCGGAGATAGGCCTTTGGACATCTGCTAGACATTCGTCAAGTTCAGAGAAGTTTGACTCGTCAATGGCAAAGTCACGATGCCTTTTACTATTTACATGCTAGAAAAGTGCGTGAATGTTAATCTTACGTCTGTTTTTCTGAATATCAAACAGATAGTTGAGTTCAAAAAATGAATTCAAACTCGAATTCAAACAGATTCATTACCTCAATGAAATCATCATACTTGTCACAACAATTCTCACAGTATCCAGGACGGTGATAAAAAGCTTTACCAACAGGCTTTCGACTATCAGTTGTGTCAACCTCTTGATGCTGTCGTTTACGAGGAATAACCTGCGAATCACCATCTTCACTCTCTTTTCGTACTTTTACATGCTCGAATGTAAGTTTACATTCAGTACGAGCAGCCTTCCATACCTCTTCAATTTCATCATCATCCATCAATTCCTTTTCTGCAGCATTAACTCCAAGTGCTGCAGCAGCATCTTTGGCAATCTTTCGTAATTCATAATGAGTTTCTCGTTCGCCAGACCATTTGACCTTGGCCCTAACTCCAAAATGACCTTCAGAATCAGTCAAATATCCTTCATCTACTGTTGGCAACCATGATGCTGGTGGTGGGATAAAGGCACATCGGTTTATCTGGTTTGGTGCATATAGTTTAGGCCATGGTGGTAGTTTGTCTGCTGGATTCATGTTGAATTCCTTGATGATGATGGGTCGATGAATCTTGGTCGAGTCTTCGACAACCAGATATTCTCCTGTGAAGGGTCTAAAGTTTTGTTGAGTGGTATCACGACCTGTGACGGGACCAAACCAGAACTCCTCCTTGAGTATGTCATCTAGACCACGTTTTTTGACGGGTTGTAAGTATTGAATAACATCCACCAAGCCTGAAGAAGTAGAAAATGGGTGTCGGCGTACGTGTCGTGGAGGACGAAAAACATACCGGTGCAGTCTGAGTGATGACTTACGTGAAATGTGCCACACTTTCTTGCCCAAGTTCTTGAAGTGCTCAATCAGCTCTATGGGTTTGGGCTGAACTTGTTTCTACATTTGAGAAAGTTAGGTAAAGCGACGCCACAACGAGGACAAGGCATTGAAAATACTTACCAATCGCTTGCCCAGACCATCACTGTTGACCAAAGGACGGATCAGAATCGAAAAAGTGTTGATCTCAAAAAAAAAATGCGACGAATTTTTACGTACTTGCAGTCCAATTCAATCACCTTTGGTCCTGGCAACTTGTATCCGACACCGTCTTTTATTTCAGGGCTCTTGGTCATCAGTTCAACTTCCATGAATGCTTGGACGACATGAGTAACTCTGGGACATAGGAACTTCTCCACCTTCTGCAAACACAAAAAAACAAGATATTGACGTTAAAAGCTTTTATGGATCAAAGTGACACATTTGAACTTACTGCACCATGGAATTCGACCGCCTTTTGCAATCGTCGATGCTGAGCAGGATTCAAATCATCTGAAGGGGAAAAAGGTCAGGTTACCATTACAATACGTGATCATAGTTGACCATGTCAATTAACATATCCATACTCAATCACAATGTCAACCATCAAGATTACCACACATCAAGAAAAATCACAACTTACAAAAGTAAAAGACAGTTCGCCGCATTTTCTCCGTCCAAGCAGGTACAAATGACTTATCATCCATCAAAGTAGCCTTTATATCCTTTTTTTCTGCCTTTGTTGCTCCAATTTGCTGTGATTTGCCCTTACTGGTGTTGCCCAAAACAGGCTTGTTTTTACCGAGTGCAGTTTTAAGAGCAGCAGCGACTGTAGCTGGTGGAGGAAATGCAGACTTGCGTAGTGATGGATGGGGATTGACATTCTCATCATCCTTGATCTTGTTGTACCCTTTCACAATTGTAGGTTGTTTACTTTTATCAACTGGTGGAGTGACAGCCCGAGTACCACGAGCGGCCACAGCAGTAGAAGCGTTGTTGAAGTTGATTGCAGCAGGCTTTTCGATCTTCTTTCCTGGATTTTCAGATGGTTTTCTACCATTAGTACGAGTAATAGCAGTAGCGGTAGTTGGCCAGGTCACAGCGTCATTTTTACGGTTTTCATCCTCCCATTGTTGAGTAGCAAATCGTTCTCCAGTCAATGGTGGTAATGGTACCTGTCTACTATTGAAAGTGGCAATGAGTTTATTGGTTGGCTTACTGGCATTCATTTTCGTTGCTGCAGCAGCCTTCAACTGAGCATCACGAATCTGCGCCGAGTTACGAGGTTTGGCAGCTGGTGGATCCATGAGTGCATTACCAGTAGTAGTGGTTGTTCGAAGAGGTACACTACGTAATCGACTATATTCAGCAACGGCAGCTGGAGGTAATGGAGGTTTGGCAATGCGTGATTGCGCATTGCCAGCAAGTGGACTATCATTTTCATTGGCAATACGAGGACGTGACGAGTTACGAGACGGACCTGCAGCACTAGCGAATAATCCAGAGTTTCGATTCATCATTTCGTGAGCAACAGTTTTCTTTTGAGGTTGTCGAGCAGTCGGCCGTATACCATCATCGTTTGTACTTGTTCGTTTGTTGGTTGTGAGAGCATACTGAGGCTTTAGTCCTAATATCTTTTCATTGCCTCGATTGGATGGTCTCAAAGCTGCCATCGACTTGTTTCCTTTGAGCGCAACACCAGAATTCTCATTTGGCATGGTGTGATGATGGTGCTGACGAGGTTTGGATTATGATATACTAATATACGATAGATTCGATAATTGAGACAGGTAGATCAGTGAGTTTGGCAGATGAGTTCAGGTTCCGTTCGAAGCAAGAGCGACGAGATCGAGGTTTTTTAACTAGGATTTTAAATCGGGCATCATGTTGTTAGTATACTAGTTGAAAATGAGCATGTTCATAGCTGATTTGGCATTGATGGATACCTGTTCATATGATCCTTTTCAACGCCAAGTCGTTCTGTCTCTCCTTTGAGCTTGTCGTAGTGATGACTCGAAACCTCCTGTTTGTTGATGGTGCTGAATCGCAGTCATTCACACACACGCGGCCGAAGGCGAACCAGTTTCGTGTAATTATTATCAATTTGTCAATTAACGGTTATATTTTGTATATGGATCAGCGATGTTTCTATTGCATGATGCAAGGTGACTGCGACTACAGAAAAAAAGTACGACATATTATCACCTACCGTGTGTTGACTCGAACGACAACACTTTCTATCGTATGCCCTGAAGTCGTCTCTACCGACAGCAAAGCGATGGGGATTGAGTTACAAAAACACGTGTACAACACAATGTCTTACTAACTCGGATTTGGTTTCAAGTGGACGGTTCATGTCATGGTAGCAAGTTACTTGCGGTATAAACATATGTCTGTCGACATTGCAACCCATACATTCTAGGCAAGCCTAGTTTTCACATCATACGTGTACTCTAGGTACATTGATTCAAATACCAATATTTGTTCAAGCATGGTGGTTTTTCATGTTTGCTGAGAGCCAAGTAGCTCATAATTTCCTTCTAGTTGTTGTTTTGTTTTGATTCATTTTTTCGACACGGAAGTCTACCGACTTGAGTCTCTCGTTTTTCTGGTGCCACAGCACCATATTTGATCATTTACAACAAGGATTTCTTTTTGGCAAAACGTCATAGAAAGGTTTTAGTTTCGACATCAAGAAAAGTCCATTCAATAAAATACAACTACATCATAACTCACTTTTTTTTGCAAAACACCTTTGTGTTGCTGTCTGTTCTTTGATGCATCCTTAAGACGCCATCACAACTAGTAATTTCATACACCAGTACCGAAATACTGTGTTCTTTTCGAACTCCGTCTTACTCAATATGACTATGGGAGGATATGTTTCTAGAAACAAAATCCAATGGGGGCAACCAACTGGAATTATTCCAAATTTTGATGTTGCTTGCACATGCAGTCTGCATAGACACACATGTGCTTATCCAGACTAGTTGCAATGACGAGAGGTTCAGCACAGAAAACCTTCCGAGGAAAGTCACTGAGTGAGTAGTCTCCCATCCAGAACACTAGCTCTATCATCTGTTCATTGGCTTCCTGAAGTAAGAGCGCACCTAGTAATTGATAGAATGTTCGTAAGTAATTATGTTATCCCACCCACGAAAATATGTCATGAAACCCACGAAACAAAAATGCAAATGTGCAATGGAAACATACCAAGTGCTGGCCATCCATGTCGCTATACATCCAAATCCCATTAAATGAATAATGGTTTCCGGAATGGCACTACTCTCACTTCATTTGTAGGTGGAAACCAACGTTTGGTCGTAAGCGACAGATGAGCAAACATTGTTGATTGCCAAGTCATCGATGAGGGGGATGTTCTAGTTGCTTTAGATAATAAACTGTCCACTTTCAACCAGAACTGCCAGAGAGAGGAAGTAGCGACCTACTCAAGCAGTTGACCTATCTTCCACGATTGTGAAGGTGGTGGGAGACAATATCGTTGATTTGAGAAAATCAGAGAGCTACATGTTCGCTTGTTTTAGCCTCGGTTTTAGCAATTGGGGATATGATGACCACGCCCGGCACGTACGAATTTACACCCTACATCCAAAGATCAATGTTCATTTGAGCACTTTCAATATAGTCGCTATAGTGAGGCAAAAGAGCTGCTGAATGACATTGATCTCTGATACATTTATACAGATCAGAAAGCTTGAAAAGAAACTTTGGGAAACGAGTGCTCAAAGCTGCAGCTTTCAGCTTCTTGTCTTGATCTTGCTGAGCGTCCGTCGTGACGCAAGAAAGCTCCCTGGCGCATTCGTCGTAGATCTGCACAGATGGAAGGTAGCTAATATGATCCGAATTTCCGACATGATGCGATCTGCTGTTCTTTTATCACCTTATGGCCCACATTCCTTGGTAATGCGATGCTCCATTGAGATTTTGAGTGGTTGGCTGATCGTTGCTGATGGACGTGGCAAAGAGCAGTTCAGCGTGTATTTTCAGTAGATCCAGTCACATGCAGATATTTTGAAATCCTCGTTTGTCTTCTAGCACGTCTTCCTCAAGTTTTAACTCCTCACTTTCTTCGTTTTGGCAAAAATCCAAAAGATGGCTGGAAGGTTTTGCTTTGACGTTGACTGGTACGATGGCCATGCACAGATCATACGGTCATATAATCTGTTCCTGTTTCCAGCCGATGGTTGTGTCGAAATGGTAATTGATTTTGAGAATGATCATGATAGCGCGCATAAAGAGACAGAGTGATGGTTGTTTCGTTTGTTCCCAACTTGAGACTATAGGCTCGGTGTATTTAGACCGAGTTAGTGCTTACGGCATCTCTCACTCTCTGTCGCTGCCGTCGTATATGTGATTTCATGTGTAGATCTAACTCAGTTTTTTCAACGACTAGTATGATATTAAGAACCGAAGGACATTCTTGAAGAAAACCAAGGCTGATGTATTTGTTGAACAATTGAGGCCTGGAAATGCGGTCACGATATTGTCACGACAGGTGTGATATACAATTGTATGGACAAATTATTACGATTTTTGGGATCTAAATCGTTAATTTATTCTAGTTGATTGTCAGAGATTACGGAGATGACTATACAAGGACGCATCTTGCTCAACAAATGCAAAAGTGGGTGTCGAAACAAACAGACAATTCCTGTGCCGTACATCCGTTTTTTGCATCTTACCCAAATGCTAAAAACAACACTCCCTTGTCTGTGGATATCCAGAACACTACTCATCGTCCAAGGATCCGCCATACAGCACTTTGGATCAATCCTAGACGACTTGCTATCAAAGGATTTCACCTTGTCGCGTTTACGAATGATGGCACCATCAGCAGCTATTGGAAGCATAGTGTCAAGTCAAACACCTTCAAAACAAGTCATTGTAACGGAACTAGTTCGTGCTGATGCCGTGCAACTCACAATGAATATTGTTGCTGAGTCGAGGAAGCGATTGGGGATTAGTGATGGGAGTGTGCATGTGTCCATGTCTGTTGAGGCTGCTGGCAAGGTATTTGTTATTTCGTCAACTACTCCTGGAAAGGTATTTCTTCGTTTGATTTATCGCCCTCGTTGTTGCTCGTACAGGAATTGGAAGATGTGTTTTCAGAAAAGTCAATGCGTCAACTGCCTAGAACAGCCAAATTCGCAAACTGTGCATTGGCTTTAATTAAACCTCATGCAGTACTGTCAGGTGAGTTGAAAGCAAAAAAACCATTACAGGCACGAAATGAAACCTCTAAAACTCTTTTGCTTTTCATCAAGGATTGACAGGCAAGATCTTTAATGCTATCATCAAGAATGGCTTTGAGATCTCCGATATGGAATTATTCAATCTGGAAAAGACGAATGCTGAAGAATTCTTGGAAGTTTACAAGGGTGTGACTCCAGATTATCATGTACGTAAGATATACAGCAAGCGCAATCAACTTCAATTCAATGTCTCGCCGTTTTGCATCCTGACCATTCAAATTTAATCTTAGCACATTGTTGAACATATCAGTTCAGGACCACTAGTCGCCATGTGAGTAATTGGGTAGATTTTTTGCTCCTTTGTTAATTAAACCTTATGTGTAGGGAAATCACATCCTCTTCCAAAACCGTCGTATCTGATTTCCGAGAATTCTGTGGACCATCAGATCCACAACTAGCCAAACAACTACGACCGGAATCATTACGAGCCAAGTATGGAAAGGACAAGATTCAGAATGCTCTTCATTGTACAGACTTGACGGAAGATGGAGTACTGGAAGTCTCCTACTTTTTCCGGATTCTTGCCTTATAAACTAGTGACAAATGGGGATGGAGAGGCAGGGTTTGCTTCCAACAACTGTAGATGTGTTTTCTACCACATATTTTGGCGACATCAAACTTGTAACGTAAATAATTGTGAAGCTTTGGAATCCAAAACAAAATTCGTAAGATAGACATGTTGTTAACAAAAACATTCAGTACTGAGCAACTAATAGGGGTTTTACAAATTGATTTTATGAAAAGTTGGACAAGTACTAAGAGGGAAGTGTGTGTTAAATAAGAGCAGTCAGTTGGCATAAGGGAAAAAACCCAACTACGATGTATATCTCACAATCTCGCACAAGACTTACAGATTCGGCGACGATACGAGCACGAGCATTCAGCGATAATTTCATTTCCGAGATTTCCTTGTCAACCTCTTCCATGAATTGGACGATAAAGTCCACCAGTTTGTGTTTATACATTTGCTCAGTATGGAAGTTTGTGATTAAGAAACTGATATCATATCCCTAAGTACAGGAAAAGTATAGAGATTGTGGGAAAACAAGCTGTCTTCAGTGGATGAACTACTCTCAACATATCGTAGGTTTTTTGCTCACGCTAGACTTACATCAATAGGTTTTCGTCTCAGGACCACAAAGTTCTCAGCACGTTGAGTCATGAATCTGGTGAATTTATGACACAATATCCTTTCAATGTCGTCGGCTTGTTTGATCTTGATTGATACACGTAGGGCATTGATTGAGCCCTCGACCAGCACGCGTTCGTTTTCATTTCTGCTGATGGCTACGGGTGTCAGCAAGACTTCCTTTGACACCCTGATTGATAGAGTATAATAATGTTTTGAGTGAGTTGATTCGAAACACCAAATGTATGTGTGTTGTAATTTGATGTTGCCATGTTTTACCTAGCTTCAACTTCGGGTTTGTTGTGCCTTTCGACGACCTGCGATGAGAAATTCTCCAAGCACATTGCAGCAGTCAGAGTAGCTCGAACAGCAGCCAAATACGGCCGCAGTGTATTGGACATTAATTCCTAGTCTCCTTCTGCGGTATCTAAGAGTTGACGTTTTGAAAGCAGTGGACCAAATTCCTCCAAAACGATAAACAGAAGAGGGGATTGGAAAGCAGGAAGGGATACGGGGAAGGATACATTTCGTGTTGTATGAATATCCAAGGCTATTCACCCTCTTTTGTTGCGGTATGAGCTCTAATGCCTTAGAAAAACGCGAAACCAGGTTTGTTTCTGACATGCCGTAGTCTGGTTGTTATGGTTCGTGGTTCAGTTGAGGTATACCTTTCTACCTTTTTTGGCTTGATTTAACTTTTAAATGTAATACGCAAATCTATGTTTTATTGTTGGTCCACATACACAATACCCTTAATACCTTATATACAAAATGTTCCTTCTTTTACACAATCTTCAACCCATCTCTTTATATTTCCATTAATGGATTTGAATGCTAGCATCGACCTACCATCATCATTTCTACATCACAACATCTTCGTCGGCATCTGATACAACAGCACTGCGTCTTCAATAGACAGTAACTTTCGATGAAGAGCAAAAAGGAACGGCCTGAGCACTAGGAGGATTGTTTGTCGCTCCGTAGAACAACCGTAATTTTCCAAATATGCCTGCAATGACGTTGATGTCTTGAATATTCCAGATGCAGACTTAGCAAAGTTAATGCGAGCCCACTTCAGTAATGCGTTCGAATCGTACATCTGGTCATCCGAAGGCTAAATATCAAACAGATGTGTAAGATCAAGCACCTTCATATTCATTGATGCTCGAACCTCACCGGTCAATGGATATCTTGCACCCCTTCGGCAAATCCTTCACAGCTTTATAAGTTATACCCGAACCTGCATAACGAGATCTACCACGGTGCACTAGCTCCAATAGACCATTCTTTCTCTTCAGATGGATATCAGGGCTTTTATCATCTACATGACGGTACACCCGCATATCTGGGTCTGGAATGGGCTTGCCCTTACCCTTTCTGCCAAATGCGCTCGACTGAAAACTAGTACGACTTTCCGGCATCATATTTGGAGGAAAAGTACTTGATCTCGTCGGATGTTAGACGTTCTGGATTAGTAGTCTTGTAGCAAATATCTGCTGACGCTATGTCCATATGTCGCAGAAGAGTCTTATCTAGTATCCCTCTATCACGTGCTCCGTAATACCTAGATAATCCAACTTGTGTGCCAAGAAACTATCAAGTGTACCTGCTTCACGTCCAGAAAGTGGCAGTAGCTGTACAATTCATGAAAGGGACCACAAATCTAAATAGCGCTTTTGAATATCAGTAATTCGATCATCTGAAATCATGATTGCTTCTAGTTACCCGTCGAAAGAGTTGAAAGATTTTAGTTATCTCGACTTGAGTCTATCCAGAAGGCATGTGTGTAATAAGGAGTACTGTACATGGACCATCGTTGTCATCTCGCGGTTGTGGATATGGAATAGGGTATCGATGTTTTGCTACCTGTAAAGGGAGAGTGAAGATTTGTTCAATCAGCCTCATCCCCTGGGGAATTCATTGACACAAGACCAGAAATATGAATACTTACTTCATACGTGATGACTCCAACAGGACGAGGTTTGCATAATGCGAGAGCAGCGAATGCAGAAGCCTCAAATCGGACAAACAAGAATGATTCACATAATCCTACCAACCCAAAGGCAGCCAGACCACGAGTTGTAACATACTAGAATGAGGAAAAAGATCCAAATTATGAGAATATTACCCTGGTTTGGTTAATCAATAATGGAAAACCTATGGATTGTGGATGGCTTCCTTTTTGATACTGGATCAAGCAAAAAAGTTCTTGAAACTTACCAAGTCGCCTCTGTCCGTGAACCTTGGGTCATAGCGTAACGTGCAGAGTATTTGATGAGCTGATCCGCTACTGGAAGGAGCAGAATCGGTAGCGGTAACAGCCAATGATAATGGTGGTAGAGTTGGCGTATCATTCCATGGATGACGCCAATTGGATCCAGTAGCAGCTTTGGAGGGTGCCTATACGATGGGTATGATGAGTTCATTAAGATGAAGTGTAGATCACTTATGTGATGGGATAGATCATCCAGATAAACGAAAAAATGGAGCGCGTCAAGACATCGTGACAGATCACATTCAGTGTCACGGATCCTTCTAGATCCAACCGACCGCTGATGAGTGCGCTGCGAATACATACATTCAAAAGCACAGCATCGTCAGAAGGAGTAGAGATGCTCGCCAATTCAAGTGCATGTTGGACCTAAGTTGCTTCTTGCGGGATGGCAGACACGCATGGGAGCTCGGGACGACGAGGACTTGATGCCTTGAACATATCAGACTATAGAATGATATTATTAAGTCAGATCTGGTCATGAACGAATGTTGATGATGAGCGAAGAAAAACGAGGAGGGTTTGGAACATACCTTCATAGAATATCAGAGTGGAGGTGTAAATAGGTCACAGGTTGAATTTCTAATGATTATAGGCTTACTAGGATGTGCGTCTTTCAGTTCACCTTATGAGTTCACGTTATTGTGTGCGTTTGTTAACGATGAGGGAGGATACTCCGACAAGCAAAGGCCAACAGAAAAGCCACGAATTGTACAAAATTTTGCACAGTTTTGGCACATCGAAGGCCATTATTTACGCGTAACCGAGTTGAAAAACGGAAAACGATGTATCTGCACGCTCCATTAGATTCAAGTGTGTTCGTCCTAGGATTAAAAGAGTAGGTGAGCATGGCGAGGACAAACATGAATAGCTGAAAAACATAAATATGCTAAATATGTGTACTCAACATATTCTAATTCCCTTCAAAAAACAAACCCTCAACCTTCCTCTGGTTCGAAATGATATGTGATTGTAGTGTTTTGACAAGTAACGTGAAGAATCAAGAGGCAAAGTTGAACTACAGAGAGACGGACGACGTAACCTTTTCTTCAATTCAAATATATTAATGATCCAATTACTTTAAGAACACGTAGGATTGTCACTTGAGACCATTAGATACGCGTGGCGGATGTCAATCTAGGGTGAATCAATCTGTACAGGAACTCGAGGGGCCACGCTACCGCACAAATATTCATTAAATCCGTAGATCAAGGCAGATCACTAACTGGAGCTCGCAAACAAGTATGTGGTTGGAGCGGGCGGTCCTTCCAATCGTTAAAACGAGCCAATCTCTCAAAGAATTTTTATTTTTTTTGTAGCAGCGACCACACAATCAGAAAAGAGGCAGCTGTCAAGGAAGCATGTTACGACGTGTAGCAACTCGAACGGCATCTCATGTCAACCATCTAAATAGGCTCTCATCTGCTGTAGCATGCCAATCGACGCGTACATTTGCTCATGCAACCACATCAACCAAGGCTGCTGCATCGGCCCATCTGATAAACGATTCTCCTTCCCATTCCATATCCTTCAAGTATCCAAAACATGCTGACTCGGTCTTCTCTCCTACCGATACCTTTCCTCGTCGCCATTTGGGTCCTTCTGAATCAGATGTCGCAAACATGTTGTCCACCGTTGGTGTAAAGGACTTGGAGGAATTGACGGCTCTGACCGTCCCTGCTGCAATCCGTATACAGAATCCTACTCGTTTGGGACCTGCTCTGCCGGAAACTACGCTGTTGAGTCAGCTAAAGGCAATCGCTGTCAAGAATAAGGTGCTCAAGTCTTATATCGGTATGGGATATACAAACACGACTGTTCCTCCCATTATATTGAGGAATATCATGGAAAATCCACAGTGGTATACTCAGGCAAGTGTTTGGTTGGGTTGCCTATATATGGCGGAACATGCGGGTTTTTTGCTATCAACCCCTATGCCCAAACTCGTTTGCTCGATCGATCACGATCATGAAGCTAACACAATCTCCCTCAAATAGTACACTCCATACCAACCTGAAATATCTCAAGGTCGTCTGGAATCCCTAATCAACTATCAAACCATGGTCGCTGACATGACTGGTCTTCCAATTGCTAACGCGTCCTTGCTGGATGAGGGCACCGCAGCTGCTGAAGCAATGTTGATGAGCTTTACGCAATCACACCGTAAAAAACATATATTCTTTGTTGACGCAAACTGTCATCCTCAAACTATTGCTTGTGTACAAACACGTGCTGAACCATTTGGTATCGAGGTCGTAGTAGGCTCGTTTACTGACTTTGATGTATCAAAGTATGCTGATACGCTTATGGGTGTGCTTGTCCAAGTAAGCATTTGAGGAGAATGCCTCTGCATTTTTTTCTGCGACGTGGTGTATGACTCACACACTCAAACAACCTCCTAGTATCCAGCTACAGACGGCAGTATAGTAGACTATGAAGGATTCGTCAAAGAGATTCACAATGTCGGAGGTCTAGTCACCGTCGCATCAGACCTGTTGGCCCTAGCCCTACTAAAACCACCAGGAGAATGGGGTGCTGATATGGTTTTAGGCAATGCTCAACGATTCGGTGTACCTCTAGGATATGGTGGTCCTCACGCTGCATTCTTTGCTGTGAAAGATGAGCACAAGCGAAAAATGCCTGGTCGTCTTATTGGTGTCTCAAAAGATGTAGATGGTAAACCAGCTTATAGATTGTCTCTACAAACTCGTGAACAGCATATTCGTCGTGAAAAGGCTACCAGTAATATTTGCACTGCCCAAGCCTTGTTGGCTAATATGTCGGCTATGTACGCTGTTTATCATGGTCCTGAGGTGAGTTTTGAGGTTGCTCATCGCCAGTCACTCTGTTTTCCTTTTTGTGCCTTCTTCATAGATTAAATGCTTTCGTTTTACTCTTTTCAATTTTTTAGGGCATTCGAGAGATTGCTCAACGTGTACGAAACCTGACAGTCATACTCGCCGAAGGCATCAAGGAACTGGGACACACCATTAAAAACGAAGTCTACTTTGATACCATAACAATCAAATTAAATGGTGCCACCGCTGAAGAAGTACTCGAAACTGGTGTCGAAGCTGGTATAAATCTTCGACACGTAGACACGGACCATGTTGCCCTAACCTTGGATGAAACCGTCACCAAGGAAGACCTCATTGACATACTAGACGTATTTGCATCCGCACCATTCACCCATCGCTTCAAATTCGGATATAGAGCCAACTACCATGCTGATACTCCAGATATCGACGCCATCGCAAGTAAAACAGGATTGACGGCTTATGATGCCGTTGCAACACTACCTGCTAAGTTTGCTCGAACTAGTGCATACCTCCAACATCCAGTATTTAATTGCTACCATTCCGAAACTGAAATGTTGAGGTATATTTCACATTTGCAGTCCAAGGATTTGTCATTGGCTAATGCTATGATTCCATTGGGATCATGTACAATGAAGTTGAATGCTACTACTGAAATGATTCCAGTTACTTGGCCAGAGTTTAGTAACATACATCCATTTGTACCTGCTGATCAAGCTGTTGGGTACAAGATTCTTCTCGATGTGAGTGTCTGATCAGTCAACTCTTGCCTTTCTTTTGTCTTTTGTAACCTTCTAACATTTTTTGTTGTACAATAGGAATTGGACTATGCTCTACAGGAAGCCACTGGATTTGATGCCATATCTTTACAACCTAATAGTGGTGCCCAAGGAGAATACGCTGGTCTACGAGCAATTCGTGGCTACTTGCGTGCCAAGGGAGAAACCAACCGTGACATATGTCTTATCCCCGTCTCAGCTCACGGAACCAACCCAGCTTCAGCCGTCATGTGTGGCATGAAGGTCGTCACCGTCAAATGTGATGAATTGGGTAACTTGGATCTCACAGATCTAGAAGAAAAGGCCACCAAGCATGGTAAAAACCTCGCTGCCATCATGGTTACCTATCCATCAACATATGGTGTCTTTGAAGAACACATTAAAGAAGTTTGTGAAATCATTCACTCACATGGTGGACAAGTGTATATGGATGGAGCTAATTTGAATGCTCAGATGGGCTTGTGTAAGCCTGGTGAAATTGGTGCTGATGTATGTCATTTAAATTTGCACAAGACTTTCTGTATTCCTCATGGTGGTGGAGGACCTGGTATGGGTCCTATTGGAGTGTGAGTATAGACTAGTTTGGAGTAATTCATGAGTCATCTTTGAAGTCGCGTTTTTTTTCTCATCTCGAACTTCGTGATAGTAAGAAACATCTATCTCCATTCTTGCCTGGACATCCAATTGTCAAGATGGGAGCTGTGTCTGAAAACATGGGTCCTGTATCAGCTGCACCATGGGGTTCAGCTAGTATTCTTCCTATATCGTGGGCTTACCTCAAGATGATGGGTGAGCATGACTTCGTGTCAATGAAGTTTTTTTTTTGCGATAGACGATCTCCTTCCTCAACATAACTGATTATTAAGCACATTCTTCTCTCGTAAACTAGGTGACGAAGGTCTAAAACAAGCCACACAAATGGCTTTATTGAATGCCAACTATATGGCTCGTCGATTGGATGGTCCATACAAGATTCTATATACCAACAAGAATGGCATGTGTGCCCATGAATTCATTGTTGATATTCGACCATTTGAAGCATCTACTGGAATTGCTGCTATTGATATTGCCAAGCGATTACATGTACGTTATCCAAGGTTTCGAATGCGTTTTGGCGTTGTATTCGCAAGTCCACTGACCTCAACTGACTCACAAACACACAATATCTAGGACTATGGCTTCCATTCCCCAACAATGTCCTTCCCCGTCGCAGGCACCCTAATGATTGAACCAACAGAATCTGAATCCAAGATAGAACTAGACCGATTCTGTGATGCCATGCTACACATCCGCCAAGAAATCGCTGATATTGAATCTGGTAAACAGCCCAAAGGAAACAATGTGTTGACGAATGCCCCACATCCCATCCATGTCGTGTTGAGTGATAAATGGGATCGACCGTATAGTCGAGAGACCGCAGCATACCCGATGGCTGATCTGAGGAAGAGGAAGTTCTGGCCTAGTACATCCAGAGTTGATGATGCGTATGGTGATCGGAACTTGATTTGTTCGTGTCCTCCGCGTATGTATCTTCTAAATTCTCGTTTTTGGTGTTTGGGAGTATGAGATTAGATTCTAACACTGTGATCTTGTTTCACATAGTTGAAGACTACGAGTAATTGAGGTAGCCAAAAAAAGAGTCTATTATTACACTAGAAGTTTTTTCCTTCACTGTATATCATTTAGTCAAGAGAAATCATAGAAGAGGAAGTTTGAATCAATCCAACTTTTTAATACAAGTATTTGAACCAAACGTGAGTGCTCCTAAACCATCACATGCCACACTTTGTTTAACGAAACCAATGTGACACTGATTGAACAATCGAAATGGTCGACGCGTCTGAAACAAGCGTATTCACGGATCGCAAAGCGAACCGAGCGTGTCTCCATAGGTCCTGAACAACGTTGTCAAGCTGGTTGCTCTTGTTTTTCTAATCAAAAGGGTCTACCCAGCCTTTGAGGATGTGCTTTTGTGTGTTCAATCGGTTTCAAAATAGTGCAAAGCTACGGATGACCCAAACCAGTTTCTCCCAAACCAAACCTCGACACTAGATAGATTGAAAGGTCAGCACTAGGTTAGAGTACTCCCTTCCCTACTTATCCTAGACCTAAGTGGTCTCTGTCCCAGCAATTTTCGTTTCGAGATAAACTACTAGAGGAGTCCCTTGACGATTAGACGGTCGATAGTCAGTAATAGCAGCCCCTGAAATTCAAAGAAGAAGAGAGGTCGTTAATATCGTATCAGCTCGCCTCCTTTTCTAAGCCTGTGAATCATCGAGACAACATCTGACCAACCTCATCGAGGCAAACGCAAACATTTTTGAGGACTCTTGGATAACGAACAGTCGCTTGGACAGATATGGGAAAGTCAAATTCCAAACTATCGGATGATCAGATCAAGACCCTGTGCCAGCAAACATATTGTAGGCTCTAAACTCGTACCAACACCATTGTCTTCTGTTGTCGAAACTCACAACGATCACCCTCTCCATACTAGTCGATCGAAAAGAACTCCAGCAATGGTACCGAGGCTTTATAAAAGACTGTCCGAGTGGCCAATTAGGCAAGGACGAATTCCAAAGGTAAGCAATTCTTCGAATTTGAAAGATACAATACCATAGAGTCTAACCACCTTCTATATACCAAATCAGAATCTACAAAACATTCTTCCCATTCGGAGACTCGAGCTCGTTCGCGGAATATGTATTCAATGTGTTCGATGAAAACCACAACGGTGTCATTGACTTCAGAGAATTTATCGTCGCTCTCAGTATAACGAGTCGAGGGCAATTGGATGAGAAGCTCGTGTGTAAGTACTTCTAATTGTTAATTCTTTGCTTTTGTATATAATTGGTGAAACGTGTCGTGGTTTGTAAACGCAAATTCGTTTCGTGAGATTAATCGTGCCCTTTTTTTGGGGTTACAGGGGCATTCCAACTATACGATATAAATCGAGACGGATTCATCACAAAAGACGAAATGTTGGCCATTGTCGAAGCTATATACAAGATGGTTGGAGGAATTATGGAATTACCAGCTGATGAATCGACTCCGCAAATGGTAATGCAGAAATGATATTCCTGACATCGTCTTGCTGAACGATTACTCACTTGTTTTTCTCTATTCGTCTGCAGAGAGTACAAAAGATATTCGACCTCTTTGATACAGACGGAGACTCAAAAATCACACTTGATGAATTCAGAGAAGGCAGCAAAAAGGACCCGTCTATAGTGACGGCATTGAGTCTATACGACGGTCTGGTATAGGTCTCAAAGAACTGAGTGGAGCTGCTCTTCTCCTCTGCTCGCGCACATCTCAAAAACTATCCCCGTAGTCGCTTCCAAAAAACCGACCCAGACACACCTTTCTCTCTACACATATTTTCTCATAGTCATTTATTTGGTGTATATATTTTGTTTCTCGTTTTGAACGTGCATAACGTTTCTAGTTACAGTTGAGAACTTATTTTTGATCTAGCGCAGGTCAGCAATGTTTTCTAACCTTGTTACATGGCGAAAGTCAATCCTTGCGACTCGGGAATCGCCATGTTGTAAAGGTTTGGAGCGACGAAATGTTTAAAAACAGAATCTTGGAGTGAATGCCGGACTGAATTTTCCACGTAGACGATTGCCGTACTTTGACCACCGTTTTGTAGACCGAATAGCTTACAGTTTCAATTCCTGTTCAATAGCACCTCTAGATTCTTTTAATTTTTACGTTGCGTCTCAGTTACATCTCACCATCTCTGTCACCAACAACCAACTGACGCAAAGATCGCATATCGTAGCGCCCCACGGATTTTGAAAAAGCAAAGCAGTTCGCTACCTCTCTTAGGTCAATCCCAGATTGGACAGCTGCAGCTCTTGCCCTCATTCTTCTAAGAGTTGGTATTGTCGTTTGAAAGCCAATTCTGCTGACTTTGCAGACATGCTGCGAGGGCTTGGCTGGTTGTAAGTATTCAAATATCAGTCTAATTGATTTGTTTACGATATATGAACGAAACTATTTGGCGTTATGATCGTGCAATTGCAATCTTGACCATCTCAAGTCTGTGACTGCGAGAAAATCACTTGAAATCCCCTAACCAACTTGCAGCTAAATTAACTTTAGTTGTGGTTTTTTTACTACTGGCGAGGTTATTCTCGTGACTCTTATTGTGATATGCATATTTCCACCAATGTTTGGAAATGGGACATTGTTGTACGTGTTGCCGCATTCACACATCCTGACCGTTGTTTCGACGGATTTATTGATATTTCAACTGTTATGTAGACTTAGCTACGGATTTCCAAATGGTTTGATTCCAGGTTACATAGGTAGTAGGTTATGTACTGGCCATCACACCTTTGCTGCACCAGTCCCTTCGACATGAACAATGCTCTGTTTCCTGACAGCTCGAAGGCTCTTGTCTGAGTACAAGCACAAAATCGCGGTCTGGTAGTCGAGAGTCTCCTCTCTTGTAACATATTAAGCTTTGTAGTTCAAAGTAGATCAATAATGAATGGAAAACGCTCTAAATTCTATTGTGAATATCTATGTGAACATTGGTCAGTGTATTTCGGTTCTGGCCTTGCACGCTCTGAAGAAAGTGTTGGATTAATCACGCAACGCCCCTTAGTAAGAGCTAAAAACAACAACACAGTAAGCAATCACAATTCATTTCTTCGATATTACACACGTATTTTTCTTATTTGAACAAGTTTTATCAACAAGGGCACTTTTACACAAGAGTAAATCAACAACCACCGCCACCAATTCATCATACAATCCTGTCAATCAAGACCCTTCAGGTGCTGTACTATAGAATTGATCAACACGAGCCATGGCTGTCAGTTCCTTGACTTTAGAAATGAGTTCAGGAGCAGTCAACAGCGATGAAGGGAATGTTGGATGAGACACAGGCAAATTATTTGGATCCTTGAAGGCAGTGTGCATGGACAAGATGACATGACATACTACAAAGCGAACCATGAACTGCCTCAAAAAGTCATCTAGGTAGAATCGCCTGAATGCTTTGTCTATACGAAACGGGAGAGGAGAAAAAAGTCAACATGGAGCAAGAGGTAAGATTTTAAGAAGTACTTCTGTTGGCTTAGACAACACTAACCGATGGATTCAATTTGAGCCTCAAACAGATCCTCAACCGTCCTTTCTACAGCGGCCATCTGTGCAACACATCGTGTCCAAGTATCCGCAGATACTTGAGTAGCATCTGATACAAATGCAAAGGCCTTGACAGGACAATGTAAGAAGAGCGTAAACAGGCTTCCAATCTGTGTCGTATCTAATTTGAAATTTATGAGGCATGTTAGAAATATTCGAAAGTCCTTCTCAATCAGTAACAATCGGCGTCCATATCGGCATAAGGTTCGTGTCTCACAACCGAATGGTTTGAACCACCTGGTTACCTTTAATGGTAGCAGGATATTCAGTAGGTGACATCAGACAGACCAACGGTTGCCCAAATAACTTGGGCATATTCTTAAATGCCGCGCTATTGTTACTATCCACTACAACAAACAGTGCTTTACGTGTAAACGGTGTCAAATCTTCTGGATGTAAACAGTTGATGAGAGTGCTAGCCGCTTCAGGTTCTGCCTTGTCGTTTGGTTTTCGACCAACGGTAACTGCGGTTGCCACACCACCTTTGTATGCTGAAAAAAGGAAACGCAATTCAATAAGCACGGATGCTTCAATTGTGAAGAAACTGTCTAAACAGCTTACTAGTCTCCTTGTCATCCACCTTTCGTTTCATCCCATCAGCTGAAACATACAGCAACAGTGCAGAACTATCACTGATATCCTGTAGAGGTTTGTTTGTGAGGGAGAGAGTCAGTACTGAGACAACAAGAAGGTAATGGAAATTGGAATTTTCTTGGAATACCTTGAAACAAGTCGACACATAGAGCATCAATTGAGCAAACGTAGGTCGATACAACAAATACTTGTGTGGATTGCTCCTTCTTACAGAAGCAGCCTTTTCACTGGCACCTGCATCTTCACCAGCAGCACCATCATCTTTGGGTGCTTGATCCGTTGATCCTGCTGTTGTACCCATCGACATGGATGTAGTGTTGGTACTTGATCCAGCCAAGGGTTCTCGTTCCAGAGCTTGCAACATTCGATACATGTCTAGAGTCAATTCTGAGAATTTAATCTAAAAGGCATGTAGTGTTGGTGACTTTGAAGCAACAAAAAAATGGTAAACTAGGATGAAGTAGTACTTGATTCTGATAGTTGCCAACAAGTATCACTTCACTCAATTTTAATTTAGGAGCATCTCTATCAATCTTTGGAGTTCGATCCACGTGAAGACGGGATGGTACAGTCAACAAGTTGCCATCCAAATCCAAAGGTGTCAGCTTTTTCTCGGCCTACAAAAAGACGACCATTAGTTATGCTGTATTCAAAAAACCTCTCCCCCCTTCCTCTCTCTCTCTCTCTAGGCCTACTTCGAGGAAGGTAGTGATTTCAGATAAGACGACATTCCATTCCGAAGCATCAGCAGGATTGAAGGTTGAGATATATTCTTCCACCAAATTTGACAATTCGTCCAGCAATTTCTTGATGATTTCGTTGCGGTTGAGTAAAAGACAGACTACAATGAATCGGGCATAGTATCGTAGCTTCTTGATACTCAATCCTGGGCTATTGTAAAGAGGATTGGGACATTTTGTTAGATCTGAATTCCAGAGTGTGACATGTCAGTCTTATCTTGTCAAATACGATGATTACTTTTTGGCTTCTACGACATCCTTAAAGTATTGTCGTTCTCGTATAGCATCATAAAAGACATAAGATTCATGTAGATAGTTTGTTTCACTGGTTCTCAAATAGTAGTGATAGTACAATTCTAGGTTGATGTTGTGGGTATCGTGTCAAAAAGTCATCAACCAGAGATAAGGGCTGTTGGGTTTTGGGTGGTCAATTGACTTACGACCAATCTTGGAAGCAACTTCACCGATCTCCCATCTCTTTAGACCATAAGCATCTCTGTTTTCGAGTATAGATCTAAGATTGGGCGTTGGACCGTGTCAAAAAGTAGACTCGAGGTTTATCGTCCTTACGAATCTCGAAGTGAGGATACTTGCCGGTGTTGTTGCTGATACTTCCACAACTTGGTGTATACTTCAAACGTTCGTTGGAAATATGGCTGCCAATTACGACCAGTTGGGGGTAAATCTCTAATAACGGAGAGATCCGTGTCATGATAATGCAAATGTGATGAATGTTTGTCTAATGTTTGGGTTACCGTAGACCAGCAAACAATTGTTGCGATTTCTCCAATAAAAAGAGGAATTCTAAGTACGGAAAATGGATATTAGATCTGTGACTCGCCACGAAATAACATGGCTGCAGCACTAAACTAGTCGCATACCCTCAACTATTTTGGCGTGTTCGGAAGGCAGGGCAGGTGAAGCAGCTGCATTGCTGGGCAGGTTGTTTGCAGATATAGCAGTCACGACACCGCCTCCTTCTTCCGTAATCTGCAAAGAACTCATTTAGTCAAAGTTGCAGCGACGTGAGGATTCGACATCCAGGCAACTTAAAAAAGTTTTGACAACAAAGTGCTAATTTAAGGGTGATAATCAATACGAATATTACCAAAATTACTACGTCTCGCTAGATACTGGTGGATTGTGTTTTTGATCTGCCAGTAGTCGCCAAATTACCAACATTCAAATACATCTAGTTTTTACGTCCAATTTGAGCTAAACGGCTTCTTGGACGTGTCAGTTGGCAATCCAAGTACAAAACACGCGTCAACTGATTTTTCTTTGCAGTGCCAATGCCTTTGGGGTATGAGTAGACCACTCAAGCATCAGCATCAGTTTCAACCAGTTTCGCTGCAGTTCCAACTCTTACATTGTTGAAAAAGCTGCCAAATTATGAGCATTGAAGCTGCTATAGTCGCTTGGGTGAGTGAAGCCCCTGCTGTCGCTGTCAAGACAGCGAGCTTAACATGCGCATTTGGCAAATCTGAGATATTGTTCAAACCATTGCTGTAACCGCCGATCAAAGCTTGAAATATCCGTTTTTGCTGTAATTCTTGATTTAACTATCGGCATTCTATCCTCCTTCTAACATTTTCCTCACGACTCTTGTTTCTAGGTCAACACATTTGACTCTGTCATTCGCAAAGCTACTTCCATCAAGGATCTGGCTGATTCTGTGATCTTTTTTGAAATCGTCCTTGAAATGTATTCAATTCCTCCCGGAATTCAAACATTACCACAGTTACTAACCAACCTACTTACTTGTAGTGACCCTCAATACTTTAAAACACGGCCGGTCGATGCTTCAAAGGAAAACTGGATTTTCAAATTCAACAACCTGAAGCGGCTTCACAAGAATGTCATATCGTATTATGAAGAAGTGCTTCACCACACTCTTCCTAAAGCGCTGGACGTCAACCTGACAAGCATCGCAAGGGATCAGGATGTGGACGAGCTGGTTAAGCTGGCTCAACTTGTCCTTGCCATGGTTGTTCAGAGTGAGTCGAACCAGATGTATATCGCCAAGATGCAGAAACTGGATGAAGTCAGTCAGCAGCACTTGATGCTTTTGATTCAGCAGGTATGCTTGGGAGTACTGCTTGAAGTGTGTTGATCTTGTTCTAATTCCATTGTGTCCGTAGGTGATGGATATTCTCGGAGGTGCAGAGAGCGAAAAGTACGAAGTGAAAAATGATTTGCAACAACGTCCATCTCATTTTTTCGCTCTGACTAGAACGACAGAAGCTCCTGCTGCTACTAGTACACAACAATCTGAAGACGCACTCAAACAACTGCGAACTCAATTTGCTGATCTGCAAGCTAAATACGTGAGTTCTGCATTACCTTGAAGAATTTCAGATGTATAAACGCTTGACATTGGCTTTTTGGTTGATTCTTGCCCTTAGGATGACAAGGTCGCCGAAAATAATGACCTCGAATCGCGGCTACATGATATGGAAGAGTCTGTAAAGAAATTCCGTGAAGCTGGACAATCAGATTTCTTGCTAAGGACTGATATAGAAAACCTCAGGTCAGAATTGGAGCAAGCTGAAGCAAAGAGGCGAGATGATGAAGCTGTTGCAGATCAATTGAGGGATACTGTCAAGGATTTGAGTCGACAGGTGAGCTGAACGAGCGCACATTCATTTACTAGATGAATTTTTTTGGGTCCTCTCAATAATGACTTAATCACTAATAGTTGGAAGAAGCGCATAGAAAAGCAAGTGCATTGTCAAAGTTGAAGGATCAGGCTGATGAACATCGTCATACAGTTGAAAAGCTGCAAAAGAGTGAGGCCTTGTTGGCTCAATACAAGAAGAGACTGGAAGGGTCTGGCGATTTACAAAAACAGCTCAAGGTATGTTCCAGTGGTCCTGGTTTTGTCACATTGCAGAAAAAAGAGTAACTGTTGGCTCGTGGGCAGACTCTTGAAGAAGAAAAACAGCTCGCAACAACAAAGAATGCTCAAATACAAGAAGAGTATCGTAAACTGTCATCGTCGAAAGGAGCGATGGAATCATACAAGGAACAGATGGCTGTTTTGGAACGTAAAGCGAGTGAAGCCACATCTGAAAAGATAAAGGCTGAACAGGCATTGAAGGACGCTGTGCTCAAGATTGATAGATTAGAGGCTTCGAGAACGGCGGAAATGGAGCACATACAGTCCTTAGAGGATTCTCTGTATAATATCCAATTAGATGGAGGTGTTGGTGGTATGAATGGGCTAAAGGGTGACGACGATTCTTTGTGCGTATTAGTCCGTCGCAACCTCGTTTCTTTTGCTCTGTTTCGTGTCTCTCCCTCTGATCTTTTACTTTTTTGTTAGACGACAGCGAATCTCTATGCTGGAGGCAGAAACAGAAAAGATTGCATCATACAAGGCCGAAATAGACTCTCTGAATGCTAAATTGGCGTCACTTGCTGGTGCCGAAGATTCGGCTAAAATTGCTGAGCAGAATGCTCTGCTTCATAAGGCACTCAAGAAGGCTAAAGATGTGAGCTGAGCCCTCATATCTGATCCTGAGAATTCCACGAACGGTCGTTTTTTTGCTCACATTGTTGTTTGATAGCACATCCTGTCACAAGAGAAACAAATCAAAGACCTCAAATCCACGTCAACATCATCATCACAATCACAATCAAACTATGCTGAAGCCCTAACGTCTTATGAAGCCATGCTTCACGACAAGGACAATGAACTTGAGAGAATACAGAATGAGTATAATGAACTATTGCATGCTTCGAAAAGAGAGCAAAAGCTGATTCTTTCTGCATGGTATGATTTGGGAATGCAATTGCAACGCAAGAATATGGAAAAGGGACAAGGTGGTGTACCAAATCCAACGTCTTGGTTGGCACAACAGCGTAAATCATTAGATGCTTCTATAAAAAAGGGATTGTAATACGTTTTTGTATGATTTTGTAGTCATTTTGGACAATAGCAATATCAGTATCAAGTAATCATTTTTTTTTGTGGGGTTTGTTATTAAAACGGTAACGTTAGCAGTGTCAACTGAACCAGAATGACTTCTCGGTTTTTGTGAAAACTAATCTATTTTGATAACGAGTCTTTGTGTGAACCGTCAAACCATACAAGTACTACCTAGCTAGCCCTATGTCGAAATCTGCTTCTTTAACAATTACAAGCGGAAGCATCGCTTGCTTTTGGACCTGAGCCTCCCAATTTGACATCAATCACTAGTTTGAGAAAGGTTGAATGAACACCAAAAGGACACGGACTGAAGTCCAATAGCAATCTTACTTTGAGAAGAGTTTCCACCTTCCGCTGAAGCATCCATCCCTGGTAGTGCTTGAGCAATCTTTCGGAAGAGTGTCTTGACATTGTATCCAGCTTTGGCACTTGTTTCGATATACATGACATTAAATTCTTTAGATTTCTTTTCACCTTCTTCTGTTGATACTTGTCTAAATAGGAATACGGCGATTAGCAAATGTATAATTGATTATGAAGATTCGGGTGCATTATGATCTGTAGGTGATGACTCTTCTTTGTTGGTTGGCACTGTACCTCTTGTCACTCAAATCTGTCTTGTTTCCCACCAACACGATAATGACATCGTTGCCTCGTTCTGCCCTGACATCATCAACCCATTTCGATGTGTTCATGAATGAGTTTCGGTCTGCGTTTGGAAGATTGTGTGTGGTAAGGACGGGCTCGCGAGGCGAGAGAGAGGCGTATACAACAAACATACTTGTAATGTCGTATACAACAACAGCAACAGATGAATCTCGAATGTATGAAGGGATCAAACTACGAAAACGTTCCTGTAATGTTTAAATGCGAGAGTTAGGTCCAAAACTGTGATGGTCGATATTCTTCACTTTTTTGGTAGAGTACCTGTCCAGCAGTGTCCCATAGTTGTAACCTGACAGTTCTGTCTTCCAGATACATTGTCTTTGACAGAAAGTCGATACCGATTGTTGCCTATGGTTGCAAAATGAATCAATCATAATTCAGGTCGGGTCTTGCCACTTGGTGCACGAGTTGAGAGCAGACGTACTTGGTAAGTGTTGTCAAAAGTATCATACATGAACCTCGTAATCAAGGAAGTTTTGCCCACTGTCCAGTATATGGGTTGATTAGTTGGACAATCCGTATAATTCAAAATTCATCGAATGTGATTTGATTTGGGGACAATTACCAGATTGTTCTCCTAGGAAGACCAGCTTGAACTTCCTGAGGGGATTGGAGAATTCGGTATTGGCAGCCATGGATTCGTAGCGCTGTCTGTCGAGCGCTGAAGATGAAATCTTGAAGGATTGATTCTGAGTGGCAAAAGAGAGATTGTCGTGGTATGGATTTACTGGATATCTAAGGGAGAGGATTCAAATGGACTGACTGATTCTGTACTCGCTTCAGCAACGTAGTCTCTCTACTCTGCTTATGTTTCAATGGAGCGGACAAAACGGCGAGAATCAAGGGAACCAAGATGAAGAGCAAAGATGACTTATTTAGCGTGAACATCGCGTCGAAATATCAAGTCTCAAGTACGATCAAGCATTAGCCTGACCTGTCAAATCATTGCGTGCTCTGTGTGTGTTTGCAATCGCTCGTCACAACTGTCAAAATGTTGGCCAATCCAATGTCCCAACTAGTCGACACCAAGCAAGCTACAAAGATGACGAGATCCTCGTATCCGCATTTGCTGCATCGTGTCAAGACTTCTTTTGCATCATCAAAAACCAAAACCATGGCTGCTCTAGTCGCTCTAATGTTATTTCTCGCTTTGAACCTCGTTCTGCTGGTGCTGGGCGTGAGCTCAAGATACGTTTGGGGATCTCAGAAAGATCCAAGTAAGTTTGCTTATTCGCCCGTCTCGCCAAAAAGTCTGATGCAGCTTCTAACTCGTCATATTTCCATATTACAAACCAACACTCCTTTCGTAAACTTAGGACTAATCATCGCGAAACAAGGAGCTGTTTCTTCTGAAAATCCTATTTGTAGCTATATTGGAACTGGCGTGCTGCAAGAGGGTGGATCTGCAGTTGATGCAGCAATCGCTACGACGCTATGTATTGGTGTTACGAACTCGTACTCTTCTGGCATTGGGGGGTAAAAAACGCTCTTACCTGCAGTTGATCGTATTTTGTTTTCATACGTGTATTCCTCATGTTGATCCTGTTGTAGTGGTGGATTCATGCTGGTTCGAAATGCTGATGGATCTTCTGAAGTCGTTGATTTCAGAGAAACCGCTCCTGCTGCTTCAAACAAGACCATGTTTCAAAACAACCCAACTTCATCTCGTATTGGGGGATTGGCTGTGGGAGTACCGTGAGTTCTATTGGAAGGAATTGTTCCTGTGCTTTTGTTGAAGATCTCACTCTTCACAATTCTTTCTGTGACAGTGGCGAGATTCGAGGATTTCAGCTAGCTCATCAAAGACACGGAAGGCTGCCATGGGTGCGTCTCTTCCAGCCATCCATTCAATTGTGTCTCGAAGGGTGGAAGGTCAACCAAGTGTTGGCTGCACGAATCAATGTATGCAGGCGGTTTTCCTTTGCTTTTGTGGCATCTCTTTGTCGGACCTTTATATCGAATTCATATTTAGACATCTATGGCATGGATACTCAAGAACCCAAACTTTATGGAAGTTTTTGCACCAAATGGAGTTGCTCTCGTCCAAGGCCAAACTATTCGACGTACTCAACTTGGATTGACATTGCAGCAGATTGCTAGAAATGGGGCTGATGTATTCTACAAGGTAAGACAATGGTGCCGAGTCATTTTGGTTCATTCCTAACGCTTTGGCTTCCTTTTTTGTCTCAGGGTGAGATTGCGTCGCAACTTGTTGCAGAAACACAGAAAGCAGGTGGCATAATGACCATGGAAGATATGGCTAGTTATGAAGCTGTCCTTGTGCCAACTCTAGTTGGATTCTATCATGGTCATCGTGTTTTGACGGTGCCTCCTCCAGCTAGGTGAAAAGACGCGAGCCATTTATTCACCAGTCTAAGAGACAATCACTGAAATTTGGTTCCTACTTGTAGTGGACCGGTTGTATTATCTGTTTTGAACATTATGGAGGGTTATGATCTGAAGTCTGAAGGTCGAACTTTTACCAACATCCACAGGTGAGTTTACTGAAATGGAATTCTGAGATTATATCTACTTTGGTTTTATTAAATGGCCAACACTTACAGGCTGACTGAGGCTTTCAAGTTTGGATTTGCTCAGAGGAGCTATTATGGAGATCCAAGTGATGTAAAGGGGAAAAAAGTTTACGCATCGGAATCTGTCGGTGAATCTAACCTCGTTGTTTGCCCTCAGATCTCCAATATAACTAAATATGTTGATGAGTTCGTCACGAAGGAACATGCTGCTGAAGTTCGACTGAATATAACTGATGTAAGTCATGTCAATCATGATCTTGTTTCAAAAAATGATTCTAAATCGTTTCACTTTATTACGAAACTTAGTCAACCACACATAACGTATCATACTATCAACCAGCCTATGACATTGAAGAGACCGCTGGAACAGCCCATATATCGGTATATGCTAATGGAGAAGCCGTCTCGATAACTAGCACGGTTAATCAGGTATTTGGCGCTCAGCTGATGAATCAAGCTACTGGTATTGTGCTTAACAATGGTATGTGCACTGGCAAAAAAACGGCTAGGGAATGACTGTAAATTGTTTTCAAACGCATCATTCAACCTGCTTTAGAGATGGATGACTTTTCTATGCCTGATTCGCCTAATGGTGGCACCCAGTTCGGATTGCCTCCATCACCATTTAATTTCGTTGCACCAAACAAACGACCCTTGTCGTCATGTGTGCCAACCATCGTTGAAAAGAATGGCAGAGTTGAAATCGTTGTCGGTGCTAGTGGAGGCTCCTTTATTGTGACTGCTACTCTTCAGGTAGACACCCATCTCTCAGCTCGTCAACTTTTAACTTTGAAGCTACCAAAAAATCCAAACTAACAACACACGTTTGTATAGACCATCATCAACATACTGGACTATGGACAAGACCCATTAGAGTCTGTTTTGCAGCCACGCTTCCATCATCAACTAGTGCCAAATATCTTTTTGTCTGAGTTTGGATTTCCAGAGGATGTGATTCTGAATATGCAACATAGGAATCATAATGTGAGTGGTCGCAATAACGATACGGGTACGGATTTTTTGTTCAAGCATACTGACGATCCGTTTCACTTCTAGACCAGCAGTTATCCTCTATTCACCGGTGTTGAAACGATACGTGTTTTAGATGATGGGCTAATTTTAGCTTCTAGTGATCCAAGAAAGGGAGGTCTTTCTGCCGGTTATTAAAGCAGATGCCGAAGAAGCGGTAGGGTGGTTGATCTGCACTGAATACCCACAGCCATTTTAACGCAATTTAGACCGACTTCTGGTTCAAGAAGAGGAGATCTTGTTGTATATATACTTAGAATATTAGAATACGATGGTCATAAATAGATTGGATTGCTTAGGAATTGTGTGTTTTTGGTATCTACTTCAGTTTCATAAGAGTCCGCAGCAAGTCAGACGTCAGTAGCTAAGTGGACGCGTCAATTTAATGATACCAACTAATACGAACGCGCCGTGGCTTCAACTGTTGTTGGCTTCCACATCGCAATGACACTTCTTGAAATCACTACAAATTCCTGAATTCGCTTGGGAGCTCTCTAAAAAATGTCTGGTAGCAACAAGTACAAGCTGGGAACGCAAAAGTACTGGTGTGGTATGTATATGCTGATAGCTTTCCTGTTACTCGGTTATGTCCTTTGAAGCTAACATCTCCTTTCAACGTTTTAGATCGATGCAAGATATTCGTCACAGACAATAAGCCCGTATGTTTGAAGATGATCACAAGTTCATTTCGAATACTTGTTACTATGGTCCGGCTTACTAACTCTCCTTCCTTACGTAGAGTCGTCAATTACATGAAAATGGAACAAAACACAAGCAAGCTGTTGAAGAGTATCTACGCGACATGCATAAACGGGGTGATCAAAAGAGAATTGAAGATCTCAAGACTAGAGATATGTTGCTACGTATTGAACGGGTGTGTTTTACGTTATGTGCGTTTGCACTCAACCAACACCATCTGACGGTTTTTTGTCCTTTCATACACAAATAGGCTGCTACACGTCAATACGCTCAAGACATGACTGAATCGGCTCCCTCATCGTCAGGCACAGCTACGGCACCATCGTCTATACCGCCATCCATGTATCCCCGTGTTGGAGCAATCACGAGTACATATATACCACCACAACCATCTGCACCATCCTCCTCATCCTCGAATATAGTGCCAACAGGATATACAGGTGGAATACGGCTAGAAGATAACAGTATCCCCGTCGAAGTGGCTCCTGATGCCGATCAAGGTATCGCTGGTGTATGGACTTCAGTGCCTAGTCATCAACAGGTGCTGCCCTCTACCCGTTCCGCAACGACAGTAAAAGACGAGTTTGGCACGGATGATGTAAAGCCAGACGTCACGAATCTGAGAAAAGAAGCTGTTGATGAGGACGAAGCTGGTGTTGATTTTGATGTTATTAGTAGTTTGAATTGGAAGGTTGTTGAGAAGGTGTTGAATGTTGATGATGGTGTTGGTGCGGCGTATAATAATGAGGATGAGGATGAGGAAGGGGTTGTTAAGGCGGCTCCTGCTTTTAAGAAGAGGAAGGTGGATAAGCCGAGGAATATTAGAAAAAAGTGATTTACAAGAGCACTTTCTTATTTTAATTAATATTACTATAATATAGCATTTGCATCAGTTGGAGTAATTTTTTGATTTGGAACTGAAACTTTGTGTTCTTCTTGCTTAAAAAAGGACTTTCGTACTGGCTCTCAAGGTAGTTTTTTTTATTACCTTACGAACAAAGAGCTCCTTACAGTACAAACAAGAAATTCATTCGATTATGTTCTACTAACTTGCACACACTTTTAGATCATGCAATTACAATCGTTCATTTCAACAAATCACTAGCATTCTGAATCTTGAAAATGAAGGGTCAGTGATGCGACTGTATTCTCGAATGTAACACAAAGACTCACCACTCGTCAGAGACCAACACAAACGTCTCATCTCTACTTTGACGTCCGCTCATTGCACCATTGGGTGGTGAAAACCAAGGATTCGCTTCCTCAATGTCATTCACTTTTAGCAACCCCAACACCTCATCAGCTTGCGGTATGACACGTCGGAGAGGTGAATTTTCCATCATCAGAATCGTGGGAAACCACATCAGCACTGCAGCTGCAGCCATTCTAACGTACAATTTCAAACCCAATCTGGGTGCCAAGCGAGACTTTCAGACCCTTTGAAGATGCCGACTATTCCGATAGGAAATGAGAACCGTAGCAGGGTAGTAGTGAGATGTGTCTTCTGCATAATAATACCTACACTTAAATCCAAAGACTTGAATCATTGTGGTCTCCTACATGTGGGAACAACAAGAAAACTTGTCCTCACATTGTTATGATAATCACAAATGGAACATCACATGCGACCATCATCAACCCGTGTTTGTCGCGGTTGCTCTTTGAGCAACTTGCTGGAAGATCGGCAATTGCAGTTGCAGACTGTAGAAGATGACTCCAAAGAGGAGGGATACGATGTTCACTCAAGCAAAAGTTGGGTTTGCAAATTATGGTAGGTAGACTATGGGTTCGTATCTAGTATAAACTATAAGATCAGCACCAACGAACGGTTCCAACACGTTTCGGATTTGGTCGTTTTGCCGATTTACTCACGCCAAATGTTCGGCAATCAGAAAGATTACGAAGAAGACTCCTCCAGCTGCAAAGGGTCCTATTCCCATGGGATCACTCCGTGACTTTCCGTGCTTCCCTGAGCGAGAGCAACGAAGAAACAAACCGTGAAGCAAAGCATAAGCAATGAACTAAACCATTCGATTCGTTTCACGGCCTCCTGGAATGTTTCTTGGGAAGAAGAAACCATTACGTTCCTGTAGGGATGATCAAGATAGGCAACGCAAAGTAGAATTCCCAGCGCCAGCTTGTGTTGTCGACAAAGAGTCTGCAAGAAGAAAATGTGATCTCTCTTGAGCATTGTGTCAAAATCGTTTCGGTGTCTTCTCTCCTACCCTCCCTAATTTACACGACATCAAAGGTTTGAGTGATCTGACAGCGAGTGAACCAAAACCAGAGACTTACGATTATCGGCCCAGTAGTCACAGAAACCAAAGCAGGCAAAGCAATCACGGACGGGTAGCTCCCACGGTTTGGTGGCCTACCAAATCGGCAAGTATCAAGAATTGAAGCGTATAGAACCCTCCAGCTCCAAGTCCCTGCACTACCCGTGCTATAATCAGCCATGTTATCTTTGAGTTTGCCCCCGATAATGCAGATCCACTATCTCAAGGCCAAATCCTTAGAATGTGTGCGACCACCCTCCAAAACAGAATCTTAGAGGAGGAAGAGCGAGCTGCAAATGAGAACCATTGTTTTTCTTCCAAAGCAGTCAGAGGCCTTGCCCAAAACTAGTGGAAACAAAATTCAAATCCAAAAGATAGAAGCGTCTATTTCAACAAGTACATTCACAAACAGCTGATGAAATCGTGGTGGCAAGCATGAAAGCCGGCCGTAGCACACCATGAGATTTGTTGAAAGGCACCAAGGTCAGACCCAATAATTGGCAAACTTGTGTATACAATAGTGGTATCAAAGCCTAATGTAACGAAAACAAAATTTGACGAATGGGTTGTATTTGATGATTTCTCTCCACCGAAATTGTAAACTCTCAAACGAGGCATCAGAAGTGCATCAACGAAATCTCACATATTTGCGACAAACACCAAGACGGAAGTTGCGATAATAATCAACAATACACGTCGTTTCGGCAACGCCAATCCATCGTCGGCTTCTTGGTGCTCGCCCTCGTCCAGAATTTTCGTGTCCTCAGAGACAGTGACGTCCCTATGTTGCAGTTGTTTGAGTAGTGTGGATTGTTTGTCGTCGTAATCCATAGTTCTCGAGTCGCATATGTCAAATTGAACAGTGAATGAAAGGTGCAGATATGTTCTTGCTTTTCTCGCTTTGCGAGGGTCGTGTACTTTGTGGCCCCTGAGATGGTCTTTGATGAAAACTGAGTGGAGTGTTAGAAAGATAGGCCCACGTCGAGATCCTTCGTCTGAATCCAAAAAACTGTATCAAGATAGTGTTTCATGGCGTAGTCCTGTAGTGCGTCAGTTTTTCGGGCACACATGGGTTTCTTGTAAAGAATTGACACTCAGTAAATCCACGGAAGGAATTGTGACGTGGCTTTCACTTGTGTATCGATGGCTGATACCGCCTAGATAGACGGACCCTTCCGTTCGGTCGCTCATCTCTCAGCGCATTTTCACACGTTCGAGATCGTAGAATTGACCATTAGTACGGTCTTACATCACAAACAAATAAACAAAGTATTTCCCTGGTCCTATCTATGTCTCAAAATATATAATATTATACTATCAACTCGCCAATAAATACATATCTACTTGGGTTCCCACAATACATGACTTTTTTCAACACCACCTCTACTCTAAACCTCTACAAGGTAATTCCCTTCAGCGGCCTCTTCAGCTTCCTCTTCTACAAGATAATTCCCTTCAATATACTGCTCATCTTCTTCTTCATCATCGCTACAATCATCAAGATTGGCCATCTCATCAGACGAGCCCAAAATCTCTGGCTCATGTTCATCCAAGTAACATATAGGCACCCACCCCTTTTCATAAGCACGCTGCCCTTTAATTATATCACTATCAAACTGATGTAGATGACCATAACCCCATCCGTCAGCATATGCAGCTTCGATATTAACGACATCACCAACACGTAGTGAAAGTTCATCTGGCCGTGTTGGGATGTGATCGTAATGTACATATAGTAGAGGGAGTGTGGATAGTAGAGCTGGAATCGTATTGAGGTTGTTCCCACTGTCTCGTTCTGGTGTTTCGGGGGCTACTTTCTTTACGTATCGTATTGAAGGTTCTGGTGTTGGAGTTGCTTTTATAGAAGCTGGTGATGACGATGGAACTAGGAAATACGAGTTCCAAATTAAGTCTAATCAAATGGCATCGAATACGCAAACAGCAAGGTTACCTGGTGAAGCTCGAGCAGTAAGACTGCTCCAGATATAGCCAAACGTACTCGTTCGCTTGTTTGACAGCACCGCTTCTGACGACTGCTGCATGTTGGGAGATTGACGAGGCTCTTCTTCTTCGTCACCCTCTTCCTCTTCATCATTATCGTCTTCGTCATCGTCATATTCACCCTCATCATCATCACCTTGACTACTTTCTTCGTCGTCACCTTGTGTGCCTTCGTCACTGGATTCACCATCCAGTTCGACATGAGTTTCATCCAAAACTCTTGAATGATCGTGCTGTTTTATAAGATTATCATTAGGATGCGCATCAGTTACAGATTCAGATTCCTCCTGTTCTATTTCCTGGTCGTCGTCTTCATCGTCATCGAGTTCATCTGACGTTGAGGATTCTTCAAAGACGACTAGTGGAAATACACCCTTTTGGCCAGTAGTTTGGTTATGACCCATAGCCCAACCATCAGAGAACTCGGCTGTAACATCTACGAAGTCACCTACAGAAACCATCATTTCATCATTACGTGATGGCAAGTATTCTGATAGGGCTGATCTGGCTATCGACGTTTTTGGTAGTGACATTACTATTGGGTTACTATCAGTGTCATTAGATGATAGTATGGATGGCAATGAGTCTCCAGCAACAGAGACAGGTGTCCTGGTTTCAGATGGTGTATTTGGGAAGGGTGTTGATGGTGATGGAGTTGATGGAGTAGTTGCCATTGATGCAGGGTATCCTAAATGCGAAGCGGCTGGTCAGCTCACAAACACTGCTGTATTGACTTGTAAGGCTGCTTTTGGCCACATACCTTCTATCGGCGACGTGATTGATTTAGCTCTCCTCAAAGCCGGTATGACCAGCGGAGAGACAATCGCCCCTGATACAGGTGCCCGTACGACTACTTCGGGAGTCTTCATTATTGGATCAAACTGGTCGATTATTGGGGACCTGGCATGCTGACTCGACTCAACTGTGGCCAGCACAGTCTCGTTACCATATACAGCGTCAGACTTGGCAACAGGAATACTCGTTATAGGATGGACGGGTTCAATCAATTCCATCAAGTCAGCCAAAACCGGTGATTTAATGGGCGATACATGTGTAAACGCTTCTGATATAGGCTCATCCAAAAGATTGATGAGAGGCTCGTCCATCTTGACTGCACCTGGAGGTGTGTGCATTTCCATAAGCTTCTCAACGGGTGATGGCGATTTGGAAGCTGTGTGGCCACTATGGTTGGTTTTGATGCTACTGGTACTACTAATAGATAAAGCCTTGGTCACATCATCGCCATGGCCGTGAGTAGCAGGATACCGTTTATTCAGGCGCACTTCACGACGTTCTAAAACGAAGGCTGGGATTATTGGTGGTGGAGGAGATGTCACATCAAGGCTATCCCGTCTTTCTGCAATGGCTCGAGCTACAAGTTCGGGAGAATACAATACTGGTACTGGTGATGGAGTTTGACTAGTATTACTGGTATTCGAGGTAGCCTTTGGTTGATTTTTATTCTTGATCTTGTCACCACCCTTCCTTTGCTTTTTACCCTTTGCAGCCTTGGTCGATTTCACTTCGTCAACAGTCGTGGATGTTATAACAGTCACTACTTCTGTTGTTACTACTTGAGTGGTTTCTTCTACCACTACTGACGATACTGTTGTCTTGTGAGTCATGTCTGTTGTTTCGTCTACCAGTGTGGCTGATGATTCCGTGGCCTTAAATTCATCACGAGATATGCCCATAGAACCATCTTCGGTGACAGCCTGTTCCACACCGTTTATACTTACGACGGGTACTGGTGATGACGTGTCAATCTCATTACTAGGTCGAGTATGCATACTCGAGTCGTAACTTCGACGAGGTCGGTTGCGCAGCGAGTATTCATCTGATCCTCTTATATCTCCATTACGTTGCTGCGTTGAAACTACTATGGGATCTACGACTGGTTCTACAGCAGCTGGAGGTGGAGTATCTGCAGTTATAGGATCAAGCCTGACCTCTGAAGTAGAATTATTTTTAACCTTGGACGACTCCACTGACTTTGATCTCCATAACTTGACTCCACGGCTTTTAGGTTTGGTGGGTTTACTACTTTCTACTACTGCTACTACTACTGGTACAGATTTGCTTGACTCTGTTGGTGACGATGGCCTTAGAGTATCGTTATTATCAACTGGCGGCGTTGATACGTCCTCACTGGAGGCAGCAGCAGTAGCATCATTCCTCCAAAACAGAGCCCGTCTCATAGTCTTCTTCCTTTCCAACACTACTACAGTCCCAGTCGTCTCATCAGATACTTCAGGAGTATGATGACGTCCAGACCAAGTCATGGCATTCTTGACTCGTTTCAGTGTTCCATTACTAGGTTGCTGATGCTGTGTCTGTTCAGGTTTATCATCCACCATAGGACTCTTACTACGTACTGGACTCTTACTACGTAGTGAGATCATAGACGTGGCGACCTTGAGTCTCCATTCTCGTTTCCGTTGCTTCTCATCACCTTCCTGAAGCTTCATATCAGATGTCTCCGCATCACTGAAACCTTTAAAATCATCCTGTTCTGAAGCCTTTTTATCGACCTTGGACGATCTCATGCGACGTAAGGTAGGCATTTTAGCTCGTAGTCCACGTGGCTTGTCTACCATAGCATCTTGATCAGCCATATCAGTGATCTCGAGGGTTTCGGTGTTTTTGATAGTTTGGATTTCAGATGGTGATGATGCGGTAGGACTGGTACTAGATTCAGCAGTTGCTCTCTTGAGCCACGATAATGCGGTTGCAGATAGTTCCAATACTTTGCTGTTCCGCTTCTTTAGAGTGCTTGTAGCAGGAACACTGGTTGCGGTCGATGAGTCGGGTTCAGAGCAAAGTGACGGTGAAGTGGCTGATGCAGTTGGAGTAATGGGAGATGATGGTTGGAGGTTGGTATCTACTACAATTGAAGATCTGTCCCGTTTAAACCACGACTTTCTACGTTGTGGAGCCTTAGTTGGTTTTACTTGTATTGGGTTTGCTGCTTTATCGGTTTTAGCTCGGCCAAGAGATAGAGTCCAGATGCTGGGCTTCGTTGGCGTCTTTGGACTAGTAGTATTCGTAGTCTCACCGTCTTCCTTTTCTACAGTAGATGCCTCTGCATTATTGCTGCGTGTTGATATTTCACCAGATCCAGCGGGACGAAGCCGACGACCCAGGAAGGTTCTACGACGTCTCAGAGTGGCCGTCCCGACCTGATCTGCCATTCTCTTTTACCTTGTTGTGGGCGATCACATACAATTCTTGTTTGAATGTTTCGTCAAAAACACCTATGATTGGAGTTGGTCTTTCTTTTTTTCTTTGTGGGATGACCAAGCAGTTTTAGATAAAATCGCATTGATTTCAGCATATAAACTTTCGATCACTCGAGTTGCAAGTGTGAAATGGCCAAACCCGTCAATACAGCGAATCACTTTATTTTTGAGCCCACTAAGGACAAGAAAGTGCGATTCGGGTATTCCAAAACACAGATTTATTGATTTATTGATAAAAGATTTAATACCCCACAACTATACACTGCTGCCCTCACATTGGATGAGGCGACTCGCTGAGTGCTCGTAATCCTACTCCTATAAGCGTAGCAAAAGGCGACGAACCTCGATTGACGTCGAATTCCGGCATTTCAGGCATGGGACTAGATCCAAGAGGGTATCTATCAGCCCCACGTAATAGGTCGTGGTTGTAAAGACCATCTTCATACGAGTCGTGGTATCCTGTGAGACGAGAGAGCCGGCCTGGATTGGCGGGTGGTGGCGCGAGCGTTGTTCCATACACTGGCACCATACGATGATCATTATGATGACTGTTGCTACTAACAGGGTGTTGGTCCTGCTTGCTATATTGATATGCAGGTCGCGAGTATGGCAATGGTGCTTCAGGAGATGAGTTACGATCCAAATCGTCGTCCTCTTCATCGGCTGCGAGTTTCTCATTTTGTGGGTGCTGATTTATACGTTCGTATTCTTCTGACTCTTGTCGCTCTTCCTCCTCCTCCTCGTCATCCTGATCTTCATTATTAATATACATTCGTCGGTGGGGTTCATTGCGAGTATCTTCCTGCTCATCATCACTATTGGACATTCCCAATTTACTACGTCCAGGTTTATTCGCCTGATCGGGATGCTTAAACCTGAGATGTACAGCCAATGACGATTTCCTAGTAAACTTCATATTACAGGATGGTATCGGACAAGAAATCAATTTTTCTGTTTGTGGTTGAGGAGCAGCTGGTGGTCTCGGTGGTGCCCTGTTTCTACGTGCTCCTCCGTTCCTTGTTGACATGGTCAATGTACGTGTGGATACATCTTCTTCTTCTTCAGATTGAGGAGCCGATTGCTCATCATCCAAATCCTCGTCCTCCTCACTATCATATCGAGCAGCGACACGACGTGTGCGTGAAGTTGGTGGTGCTGGTGGTGGCCTTTTTCGAGCATTCGAGGGTGGTGCTGATGGTTCCTGTGATGTTGAGGCAATAGCCGGTGACTTTCGTGCATCCGACTGAGTAGACTGACGACGACGGCTATTGTTGGAATTACTATTAATGCCGTTGCTGTTGTTACTGCTGTTGTTATTATTGTTTTTACGAGCATTAGAAGATGAATTCCCACCACCTTTAGCTTCTCGACTACTACCCCTTGACGACTTTGTTTGTTGTTTCTCTAGCCAGAGATGGTGCTGCATCTCAAAAGGCTGATCTGTAACGTAATAGTTTTGAATCTGGGCTGCATGGCTGACTCCCAACAGTCGCAGGGTATCTGGAGGAGGGTTTAGTGGACAACGTGCTAATAATGGATCTGACCTTTTGTGTACGAATGAAGAGAAAATGAGAGTTGAAAATGACTGCAACTGATGGCAAATACATTCAAATGCGTCTGACCTATCGTCCATGGCAGCATCCACAAGCTCGGTAGCCTTTTGCGCCAATAATGCAGGATCGTGGATCAAATGAGGATCTACTAGGGCTAGTTCTAAAGCGGTCCTGTTGATTAGCTGTTCGGCACGAGTCAGAAACGTTCCAGGAATATTTTTGCCACAAATAATAGCACTATGAATGAATTTATGGAGCGGCGATGCAGACTCTGGAGGTATGCGTACGCCTAGTAGAGAAGAGGTGATTAGATGGAGCTTTGTTGACCAAATCACCGGTTTATAGTTTTTTCTAGTTTTGTGCGAGAGAAGAGTAGTGTATACCTGTTGATGGCATTGGAATCGCGGGGGCCGACCAGTTTGGGAACAATGGGGAAGGAGAAACCATGGGAGTAGGGCCAGTGAGCCTCGGCACACCAAGTCCTTGTGGTGGTAAAGAAGGAGCCTAAGTTTTGGTAGAGTAAAGTGAGAAACAAGACAATGCAATCAGTTCAACGATAGAAACGGGTGCAAATGACATATACAATCGTCATCAACTTGAGCTTGCGTCTCATTGTTTGATATTGTTGTAATCCGACAATTTGTGCCCCCTTTCAAGCATGTGCACCGACTTACCAGATTCAACAGAGCCGTGGCAGCAGCTTCTCTAGCTCGACTTTGATTTGGAGACTCTGGAATGGGTATTTGGGTACTTCCTCTACGGTTTGGAGTGCCCTGATTCGAACCTCTCCGTGACGAATTGTTGGTTCCGTTGTTTTCATTTTGAGCATCGCCCGAAACAGAATGCCTCTTTGGCCGTCCAGTTGATATAGTCAGATCACCATTCATCGCTATCCAACTCTTCTCCTCCTCTTTGGATGATGGAGCTATTAGATTGTTACCACTTGGAGTGTCGTGATGGGGACAAGAAGTGCAAAACTCGAATTTCAACTCTTCCAACGGTTCAAAGTTGGAAGAAATGGGCATACGCTCCTATATCACATACAAGAACATCCAAGATCTCCGGATTGGTTAAACTGTATTGCGCAGTATTTCCTATACGACCCTCATTAAAGTGGGTGAGCAAGCTCACATCCTCAGGGCAACCATGAGAAACTCGATTGGAGCAACCTTATGGAGCTGCACACGCTGGCTTCAACCAATTTCGATATACCGTCTATCGACACGAACCAAACTATGCCACTTGGTAGGGCGTCAATGGACGGGCTTCCCGTCTACCTCAGCGTCAATGGTGTTAGAGATGAGCTGGTTCGCATTTCTCCTGCAATGTCCGTCAACGAAGTTCGTGCGTTGATGTGTGCCGCTGCTGGAATGGACTTTACTCACGATGTGGTATATACCTCAACTACCTGCCCCATTTTCACACCTCCCTCTCAAATACTCTTCGCCCTCTTGAAATTCGCAGGTCGCAAAACTTACCAAAACTGATGGCACCCTAATTGTCCTTGGACCTAGTATACCACCAAATACTTCTTCGACACGTTACCGATTGGATTTGAGAAAAGGCAAGCAGACACATCAATTTGATTAAGCAGGTTTGCATTTTTGACGCGTTTTCATACCAGCATCTGGTCCAGCACACGTGAATTATGCTCCAGAAGTCGACATTGTTTTGCAGAAAATGCAAACTGCTGGAAAGATGATGAGTGAAATGCAAATATTGAAGAAGGAAGTCGCAGAGTGCCGTGCTCAGGTATATACAGTTTGACCAGGAGCAACGACATATGAGATTGTCAGATTTTCAGCTGACACTTCCCCTTTTACAAACAAAGCTCGAAGGCCGTGGCCCCAACAATGTTTCAGATCAGTTCACCCACCCTGCCACACGAAGAGTTAATGAGCTGAGATTGTCGCATTTGGAAGCCATACCTCCGCAAACATATAGCGCTGAAGTCATGGAAGCACTCAAAGTACGACTTGCAGAGTGCCAGGTCATCGACCACATATGTCTGACACGATTCTTTATTAGAACCCAGGCTTTGACGTATGGAAGTACAACAAGACTGAACTTATTGGTCTATTTGAAGTCATGTACGAGGAGTTCAAGCTCTTTGACCGCTTCAAGATTGATCCCGTCGTGTTTCGCCGTTTCATTGCTGGTGTCAGTGAAGGATACAATGACAATGTAAACTAATGCTGAGGCTGGCCGATACGTATTGAGTTCTGATATCATATTTCATTCTAGCCCTTCCATAACTTTAAGCACTGTTTCTGTGTGACTCAAATGGTAAGATATGTTTTTGCAAAACGAAGTAATACAACCTCAATGGATTGACGTTCATGTCTATATAGTGCTATGCCATCTTGCACGTCAGTGGTGTTCATACCAAATTATCCATTATGGAGAAGCTGTGTCTGCTCACTGCTTGCATCGGGGTAAGTTGTCGGATTTGTATTAATTGAAACTTCATTGGTTCTGACGAGAATACCAAACGATAGCACGACTTGGATCACCCAGGTTTCAACAATGCGTACCAAATCAATGCTAAAACTGAGTTGGCTACTGTGTACAACGATCAATCACCTTTGGAAAATCACCACTGTGGTATGTCATCGAATAGAGATGCTTTTTTTGCTTGCCTTGTAGGAATACTCAGAACCAACAAATCTCACAATGTCCCGTTTCGCAACTCTCAGCGGTTCTATTCACTCTCTTGAAGCAGCCCGAAACCAACTTTTTGTCAAAACTGACTGAAGCTGAATGGAAGGAATTCCGAACACCTGTTGTACAATGCATTTTGGCTACGGATATGGCGATTCACGGTCAAATCATGGCTAAATTCAAGGGATACGTAAGTTTGTTGAGTCGAATCGAATGGTTGGGCCATATAAACCTTTCTTATACCATGTTTTTCGCTCCCATAAATAGACCGAAGCCTTCAACTATGATGATCCAGCACAAAAGCTCTTGCTGCTTCAAATGATTGTCAAGTGCAGTGATATTTCCAACGAAGTGCGTCCCAAACAAGTCTCAGAACCTTGGGTTGGTAAGTAACAAGGAGTAGGAGTAGAGAGGCAGAAAGATACGCAAGAGATCGCTGTTCAAAGGGCTAATTCTCTCATCTTTTATTAGACTGCTTACTCGAGGAATTCTTCCACCAGTCTGACACTGAGAAAGAACAAGGATTACCCACTGCCCCATTCATGGACAGGCAGAAGGTAACCAAGCCCGGGGCACAAGGTATGAACAAACGCCATCCTTGTGTATTAAGACACTGTTGGCTGTTTTTGCAATATTCGAATCCTTTACAAGATTTCCAAATTAAAACCAAAAAATATTTCTAATAGTCGGATTCATCGGCTTCGTCATGATCCCATTATACGAACTCGCCGCCAAAGTACTGCCTGCCATTGAAGAACCCATCATTGGTCCAATACGAAAATCCCTGGACTATTACAAGGCAATGTCCAACCCAGAACCACCAAAATCCTAATTCCTCGACGATAACCCCTGTATCAAATCAAAAGTAACAACAGAGTTAAAAAAGATTAAAAAGGAAGATAAAAAGTGGAAGGCTGCATTGTACACTAGTTGTTGGACTTGTTTAAATATATTTACATCAGAAGACAAACGCATGTGTTTAAAGGTTACTTTGGCAGAGGTATTTATATGGTTTATGGGTCGAACTAGCACTTTATGGATAGCAAAATGTGGCACAACCACGGAGCGTTATCGGCAACCTGGACTCCCGCTAACAAGAACGCGACACTCATGTATGTTATTCCGATCGAGAGTATAAAGCCGACTCCCTTGAATATATAGTATTTCCTTTGGTCGTGGCCGAGATATGTCAACAATAGAAGACCTGCTCCGAATCCTGTCACGAATCCAGCTACGTGTACAAGATTATCCACGAAGGGCATTAGAGAGGAGGCGAATATTAGGATGGAGTTTATCTGGTGTTAAGAATAGGTGAGTAACTAAAATTGGGCTTTTTAGTACGAGAGGCACTTACAATCCAATAGACAAGACGCCATTTTGGTTGGTCCTATTTGCCAATATTAAACGCTGTCAGTGAAAAAAAATCAGTACTTTAAGACTTTAAAGAGTATCTCCTACCATATCCTTCCAGTTCATAACTATATCAGCTACATTTGCTCCAAACAATCCCATTATTGGGCCTGACGATCCGACCGATACAGCCATTTGCGTTCTTAATACAGCAGCGACAGCATTACCACCGATACCAGATATCAACCATATAGCGAGTACCGGACGGTATCCTAGCCACAGCACTACGTTACGTCCTACACTGATTTCGCAGGCGACATTAACCGTTAAATGAATGAGCCCCGAATGTAGAAACATGGCGACGAAGAACCTCCAGAGGTTGGCCGAGACTACTTGAGCAGGTTGGTGCCTGAATGCCGACTGCGTATTACCACCAAACACTGTCAACGTAGTGACATCAGGACCCATCATTGGATTTACACTGAGAGAAGCGAAGCCGTGGTTGTAACCAAGCATGGCTATGAGCAGGACTACATGTATGAATAAAAGGATGTGCGACATGATCCTGGCGCGTGCCTTGTTTGGAACTAGTGGTTTATGTTTTCTGGAATGAGAATTGGTGAGACGAGGTGCCTTGCCAAAGGCAAGACTGCACATACATGTAGCGTTTCTCTTCCATATCAAGGAGAAACTGACAAAACTTTTCGAATCTTGTTTGCGGAGTTGGAGGAGCATTAGATCGTCGTCTCGGTATATCGACGACTTCGTCAGTGCTTTCAAGGTCTTTCGTTTCTTGCAGAAGGTCTGCACTTGAGTCTTGCCTAAGAAGGGTCGACAGCGAATCTGTTGATGGCAATGCTTTCATTTCCCAGTCACTCTCTGTTGACGGAAGAGCTTTCATTTCCCAGTCATTGCTTAGTGTGGGAGTTGGTTCAAAGTCAGATGGGACATCAGGAAGTGGTCTCCTATAAGAAACTCTCTTGGCATTTGACAAGGTTCTAGCTGGAATTTGAGATAAGTGATCAGTACTTGAGTGCATTCTGCTTGGCTTATTTCCGTTTGTTGAAGGTTCTCTGTTCAAGGTAGGGTTTGGGCTAACGTTCGATGAGATGATGTGCGAGATTGCGAGAGGCTAGACAGCGAGTATCTAGAATTTTCAAATATAGGATCAGATGTAACAGTCTACGTTTAAAATTCAAACAAAGAGGGTGTCTTGAAACACGGGAACTCTTTGACAGATTATGAACTCAAATTTCTCACCTATTTGTCTACCGAGCGCTGGGTTCAATATTCATCTGGCTCATGGACATACGTATGTAAACATCAATATCGCGTACTAGACGTCAGACGTTTCCTCTCTCCTCTGTCCCATCTTGTTCCTCTTGGTAGAATGAGACTGGCTCACCTCTTGCTCCCTTTCACATCGAACACCTCGGGAAGGAGACCTCCACTTGGGACATTATAGCACCATGTCCACGATAGATAGAAGGCCACCAACAATCTCTAGACCTCCTGGCCTGATTGCAAATGAAAAGGCAGCGTCAGAAGTCAAGGAATCAGCTCCTGCTCCAGGAAGAAGCAGCTATCTCCCTTCATTTCTTCATTACACTGGTCCTGGTATGTGATCATCATTTGTAGAGCTTGCTTCTCCGTATACTGCTTTTCTTTAATGTTGAAGTGTTGGTTGTCAACATCTTGTCGGGAGCTTCATTTTGCGCATGCTCATATTGTTCGATCATAGCCATAGGTCAAGGTGCAAAGCCGACTTCTGAAGCTGGTTCCTCTGGGTACGACTATATCTTGCTATCCCCTGATGACGCTCTTCTGCGATTGACATTTGATGACACTCTTTTGCTCACCGTTTTAATACTTGACAGAACACTTCCTACGAAACCAGCTCCTGTCCTCGTACAATATCCACCTGTCAGAAGAAGATATTGCTGTTGCTTTCCTACAAGGTGAGCACTTGATCTTATAACAGAAATTGCCTGTTACCACCTTCGCTAAATCGTCTTTTTTGGGGCACAGGTTGAGATGCCTCTGTTGCTGTCTGGTTTTCATTATTCTCCTTTTAGGAGCTGGTAAGCTACCAAGCTGCAGAGCTGTCACCAACACTTCAACAAAACCGGTTTAATCAACACAATCCCCCAATTCCTAGCCGCTTTGGCAGTCTTCTTTTGCTATCCACGCATCACAAACATCAATGCTACAAACCCGAGTCTATCCAGTGCCAGCAACTCGCTAGTGACGACTACATCGAGCGGAATCACTATCACTTTCAACTTGACAACCGATATTTCAATCACGAGTGCAAGTTACATAGATTACACAGTGCAGCATATTGATGTCGTTGCAACACCACAAATGGGCAATGCTTCCACCAGCATTGTTGGAAAAGGAACTTATAATGACCTCACTATTGCTAAAATGGCAGTCACTACCTTTGTTTTGGTGAGTTTTGTTGATTTCCAGAATTGCAGAAACCTGACTCGAACTGACTTTCTTTGTAAATCCAGCCATTATCTTTCTCCTATGCTGCTACTTCCATTAATGATACTGATCCAACAATGAGACAAATACTGGTTGATTGTGGTGTGTTGAACTCAACAACTGCAAAACAGCCAATATCTATCGGCTACACTGCGTCCTTGTAAGTACTGTGTTGTCATGAGACTTCCTAATTTATTTAACTTGATTCATATACCTAACTTTAGGTATATAAACTGGCTCTCATGGACTTCCTATAAACCAACATTCAACGGGGCATTCTCTTTTGTGTGCAATTCGACCCAGTTCGCCGGATTGGTTTTCTAACAAGCAAAGAACACACATCAGAATTGAAGGAGCTGTTGCATACTTTATTATTGCTACCTAGAAATCCATACTGTGGATCTGCACTCATCCAAAATAATGCTCGTTTCGACTATAATAGCTTAGCTAATCAGTAATATCCTAGTTTTCACCAATAAAAACGATTTCAGAAACGCTTCTGCCTGGATATCCTGCCGCAATTCGAACCGGCAGCTTTTTATGACTTGACATTAACCCAGGCAGAGACTTTTGGGCTTTAGTTGTAAAGCTGATCAGGATAACAACAATTTAGTCAATTGCGAAGCGGCGGAAAGATGATTAGGTCGGCCATATCACCTTAAGAGGTTCTTGGTGGCGGGGTTTGATGTCAGTGGCTGTGAAGTAAGAATGAGGTTTGTGAATTTCACGATGAGCTTATAAGAATTGCACACAACGGTGCACATGAACGTTCAGAAATGAATAATATCGATTTACTGCATCTATTCCAAATTTCAGAACTATGAGGGTCGGTGTTGCGAACGACGGAACGACGTCACTGGAGGTCCGTCCGGAGTCTCGATGCCTGAGTAACGAGTACGTAGCAAATCTGGTGGCGGCAAGAAACAATCAAAGGAAGAGAACTTGCATATTTCTAGCAGATGTTTCTGGCGATCCGACCTCTTGAATCAAAGACTTTTGTCGTTCTTGCACACCAATCACATTCTGTGTGCACATTCTAGCGGCGCTTTCTTCACATCTGCATTGGGAAATTGCCGCTCTGGTGGAGCATCCATGTGGGATAAGCGCTTTGCATCTCAACCAACAAGAGAACATTTTGCAGAGTGCATCGTAGAGGGATTCGTCGGTAAAGGAAAGAGAAGCTTCGCATCATCTCTTCTCGTTGCTTGCCTAGGTTTTCTCAAAACACATTCCTGTTTTGTAATCACTCCGTCCGTCTTTGAAAAACTTCTGCTACTGCCACTCAAACTTCTAGGCGAGCAACAGAGTACGCAAAGGTAAATTAAGAATTTAAGCCTCATCATATATCATTTCAAGTTGCCAAACAAGCATTTATATTACCTATCTTCCATATATAGCTTCGGTTGAAAGCCAACACTGCCATCACATTGCCTGCCTTGGCAACAAACCATCCTTCCTTACATTATGCAGCAACGAGTCCTGACTCCTCCATTGAGTGACAACGGTACTTCAATCGACTTTGGTAGTAGACTCGCAACCCCCAGACGCACGCCCTCTTTGCCTATTGGGGAAAAGGTATGCGCATCATCGGTGTACATTGAGTGGCTTGTTGGTTTGCATCTCAACCACGACTTATCTTGCACTCTAAAATAGATGGATGCTCCTTTAAATGCACAAAAAGTTGGCCCAGATGCATCGAAATCGAACGATCCGTCTTTTTATATACCAATTCCCATCCCGCTGCCAACAAGAGGTTTATCTCTCCAACAGTGCCAGAACCCCTTACAACAATTCATCTTCCACTCGCAAATATATGGCAAAGAACAGCCTACACATCTATTATCATTTTACGAGCATAGAGTAAACAAGGCTGCACTCGAACTAGTGCTATCAACGCCATCCTTGTTGAAAACTCCAGATCAGTTGAAGGACCGAGCTATAGCTGCTGCCGCTCCGTTCCAAAACAACACCCCAGGAGCCCGAATGCACTGGACTACTGGATCGTTTCCCCAAAATCCACCACCTGTACGGCTACGACGTGTTTAAGGTTTCTCGCAAAATGCTGACAATCCATCCCATAGGAAACCCTGGCTTTATTGGGTGTCAGTACAATAGCAGAATTACAGTCACGGATTGCTGCCGATTGCATATGGGATACGTCAAGTGCACCACATCCAGCTTTGTATCCATCCCAGGCTAACAAGGATGCTCCATCTTCATACAATAATGGCCCCAATTCCAATCCACCAGGTCGCCCAGCTCCATACCCAGCCGATTCATATCAAGCGCAGCCATGGCCAAACTCTCATATGCCACAAAGTCCACCACCAAACACATCTGTATTTAACAACATGCCTCCAGGACCAAACACGTATTATGAGCGACCACAGCTACCGCCACTACATCCATCCCAACAGCCATATGGCTACGATCCATTCCATCCTCCTCGTCAACCACAACGTATTAATAATAATTATCCAGGCCTACCACCTCTCAACACTCAACCATCATCAATAAATGCACCACCACATCATTACTTCCGTGACGCTCCAATGCATCCACCACCACCACCACAACCACAAGATAACAGTTCCCAAGCCGCTAGGGTTCTAACTCCGACATCACCAACGGCGCCCTCAGCCCCGCATTTCAATCAATATAATCAATCTGGTGGTAGCAGTAGTAATAGTAGTAACGTACCACCAGGAATTGCTCCACCACGAGGACGTCGACCCAACTCATCAAACAAGGATAGTCAATCGCCACCAAAGAAAAGAAATAGCAATAGTGGAGGTAGCGAGGATGATGATGATTCTGGGAATGAAGGAACTACAGAGAGGAAACTACATCTATGCACAGTGCCTGGTTGTGGTAAAAAATTCACTCGTCGTTACAACTTGAAATCTCATCAACGAGCAGTAAGTTGCATTCTATCATGTTACTCTCTTGTTTTTGGTTCGTCGGATACAAGGAGCTCGTGATTACCCCACCTTTCCTTTTTCATCCAGCATTCAAATGATCGTCCGTTCAAATGTACATATTGCATGACATCCTTCTCACGAACGCATGATCTTCGTCGCCACGTCAAGTCTCTACATACACAGCAAAAGCCTCATCAATGTCCTCATTGCAATCTCGCTTTTTCAAGGTAATACTGTTAGTGTCTGCTCATGTTCTTTGGATTTGCTCAGTCTAACTCGCTTTTGATTCAGGAGTGATGCCCTCAAAAGGCACTTGAAACTGGTATTGGAACGTGGTGGTGTAGTCCCAGAAGTACTCAAAACTGTTGTCTCTGGTAAGAAATAGATTGTTTTCAAAAAGCTGAAAGCAGTTCCTTCAGACTAAATTTTATTTTTTGCGGCTGTAGCTCCATTAAGTAGAGCCGAACTGGAAAAATTGGTGACTGCAGTTACTTCTCGTTTGAATCCAACTGCTGAAAAGAAGTCGCATGCACCAGCCCCCATAGCAGTCTCTGCCCTACCTGCAAAGAAAGTGCCAGTCACTCGTCCAAACACTCGTCCTCGTCGTGCTCCTCCAAAGAAACGAGACGACATTGACGATTCAGACACAGAGGGCTCTGTTGAGGGCTCTGATGATTTCTATAATGAAGATGACAATGATGATTGAATGATGGGGAAGAGAAGGGGCCGCTCAAACAGTAGTTAGTTGTAATTGGACAGATGAGAAAATGGGGTGTGATTATTCCCGACACGCGTTTGCAAAGCTTGTGTTTTCTGTTTTCGTGTTGAGGTTCACAATACCCTTGACAACATGGATTGGTCCAACTCTGATTACGAGTCTTTCAAGTGTGTCCGAACGAATTTCGTCGCTAGTTAAGATGAGATCTGCCTTGGAACTATCGCTAACGCCACGTTGACCAATCTGCATCGTAGAGCAAACTCGACTACACCGGAAGTCTTTGAATGGTTTAAAGTCAAACTAGGAAGAGCACCTGAAGGCTCTGATATCTACCGTTTCGCAAAGGGGTTCTTCGAATTGGGGTCTTACTCCCGTGCCTTGTGCTGCCTACAAGCATATGTGCGTAAACATTTGACCAACTTTTTTGCATTTTTGTAAACTCTTGTTCTACAAACTTAATCTCAAACTATTCTACCTCTTTAGATCACACTGCCAAATCCATCGCCACAAGCGCGACATTTGCTCGGATACTGCTACTTGAATTTGAACGAACTGGAAAAAGCATTACGAGAATTCAAGTTATGTGTAAAGGACAACTTCCACGAAGACTGGCAGCTAGTAGTAGAATTGTTGCTCGAGATTGCTCAGAAACAGCATTCACAGTCGAGTGAACCCCAAGAATATTAAGCAACACCCACATAAACCTATAGCAAACATGCACTTTCACGTTCACACATAACTAGTCTGATTTACATACAATGCCTCGTTTATTGCTATACGGGGATACAATCAGCTTTCTTTTACTTGGCAGCTGGTGCACCTCCAGCTCCAGCTACTGGCTTCTTTCCGTCCTATAGTAAATAAATATCATTATTCAAAATTATTTCACTCGTGTATAGTTTTGTTTTTTAAATTGTTTACCTTGGCAGCAGGTCTGAATCGAGCTGGTGGAGCACGATCCCTTCTACCTTCTCTTGAACGAACACGGACGACGTGAGAGTGAATGGCACTAGATGAGCAAAAACAGTCGAGGTCAGATTTGAAAATTCAGAAGGTCGAAAGTAGAATGAGACTCACCAACTGATGCAATATTGGAGCTTGACATAGAGCTTGGGCAAAGCATATTCTTCATCTAATGATGGAAAAGAGCGAAAAAAAAAATCAACGTTTACTATCGCATCATGGCAAGTCAACCAATTGCATGTTCAGGCTACTGATGCAGCACATATCTCCCCCTTATTGCAAAACACTGAGAAATGAGGGCATCACAGGTTATTAAGGTTCTCGACTAACGTCCACGGTACTCTCAAAGGACTGCCTTGTTGCAGCTGGTAATCCCTTACAGCTCTCTCGCCAAAGATGGACATTCCCATTGTCTACTCCTAACATGTGGCCTACAACCAATTCCGTTTCCACGTACCATATACAGTAGCCATTCGCATATCATTCACGGCTGCAGGTTCGACCATGTTACGGATGGTGAATCTTTTGATAGCCTTGTCTTTTGGTACACAACGGGCACAGTTAGAGCAACGAACTGCGGGAGTGTGTCCTCGACCGTGTTTTGAGCGACCATTGTTCCTTCTTTTCTTGGTCTGTGTATTGGAGGAGAGGGTAAGTAATTGTTGGAATTGAAATTAAATGTGGATTTTGATGCTGGTCGGGGGTTTCTTCTTTGATAGTCAATGTTCTGGAGCCAATGAGTTTGAACCTGTTGATGTCTGCTCGCTCCTTTCTCTTCTGAAAGCCAACATTACATCCAAGCAGGAATTCAGTAATTGATGCTTTGAGCGCCTGGTGCACTTCTCGCCTCGTTCGAAAGCTTCACTCTGAACGAGTTCAGAGATTGTGTGAAGGTTATCCAATCCATCCATCGTTTGCAGGGAAGAAACATTCAAATTGGGCATAAATTCACGGTCTGGATACGTCAACATGAGTGTTAATCGTCCTCGCTTACCATATTGGCTTCGATGTTCTTCCTCTTAATGTGTTAAGTGAAAGATGAGAAAGTCGAAGTCCAGAACACCAAACACAAACCATCAGAAAGAGATCGGTTGGAGGGGATCAGCGCATCGTTACATTCATAATATTCCTATATTTCAATTGCTGGCGAACTGGACGTGATTTTTATAAACTCACACCTCTTATACAATATTCGATGATCAATGGTCGAAATTTGGCAATTTTTCGAGTCCTATGTATATATCTCTCGTTGGAAGCTGCATAGCAACCCTGAAATTAGCTGAAGGTATTGTTCACAAGTCGTAGCCGTCACAAGAAGTACTGAAGCAGAAGTCCTGACAGATCCTCACAGGATTTCTGGAACAAGAGGAGACTAGAGAAAATTACATAGATTCATAGCAGAATCACCCGGCGAAAGTGAGATCTGCTCGTAAAAGTGTCTGTTTCTTGCAGGAACTGATTTCTAACTAGTATTATTGATCGCACAGGATTCTTCATATCAGCTCCCAAATTCGTCATGCAGTTGGCAGAAATAGCTAGCTTCTGAAGACTATTATATCTTACTCCTGCTGTAAGCGACCGCTGATACTAATTGAATATGGACAACACCAACAACATCACCATTCGAGACTCTCATTTTGGTTGCTCACATTTGGCTTCTCTAGATCAGATCGCAAGTTCAAGTCAATATTTACAAATGGCAGCAAAGAACCATGCAGTTAGGCCAATTATGCCTGCTCCACAACAAACGCACGAAGCTCAACCCTTCCTCATCCAAAAACCCATAATACAACCAAAGTTTGCCTCCTCAATGATGCCGCCAACTACATACAATGGTGCTCAATTCATATATACAGGAAACTCGATGGCAAACACGGGCGGTACTGTCTATGCTTTCGCAGCACCCGAAACACACTTTTCACTACTGGATGCTGTAAAGCAGACGTCTCAACGAGTCATGCAAGAACTACCGAATTTGAGAGATGACGTACATGGTGTAGCTGCTGAAACGGCTAGGAGATTAGGAGTTGCTGTAGACATTGTTGTCAACGTGCTGCAAAACAACACCGGCACAAATCAACATAGTATAAAGCAGTCTCCTCAAAAGATAGAAAAGAAGCAGCCTCCAATACCTACGACCCTTAATAATCATGAACGAAGATCATCAGATCAAACACTCTCCTCATCTGAGAGTGCAGACGAAGACGATAGCGAAGATCATATTGCTTCTCCTCGGCCACAAGTCGACAATCACAGCAGACGAATCCCCCAACCATCTGATGGCCAAATAGTATTCTTGTCACCACATAAGCCTCACATGCCCGTGTTTATAACAAGTCCTGCCAAACCATTGAGATTCCCCAAAAATCATGACCCACATATTCAAAAACTTGAAGAAACTCTAGCATTGCTTAGAACAGAGCAAGAAAATGCCATACGAGATATTATCAATAATGATTTGGATGAACTTCATAGTAACAAGCACAGTTATGCACTTGGTATATTTGAAAAGAGGTTGAAGATCGCCTCTGAAATACGAGCTCTTCAAAAGCAATTTCCTCCAGCAGGTGTCATGAATATAAATAGCCTGCCTGCCAATGGTGGTACTGGAAATGGGTGGTTGATTGCTCCCAAATTAGAAGAGCCACATCGTAAGTGATGATCGTTGATTATTGCCCATAACATGATCATTCATATTCATATTATTTCTTGCTACATTTTCAAATGCAGAATCTCGGAAACGACGAGAATCAGATCCAAGTCACGACCCAGTTGATATAAAACGAGTACGAACAGGGAGCAAGGACGCGACGCACGTCATTGATTTGGACTCGCCACGTGAAATGGACAAGCCTCTTGCTGCTAAAGCTCGAGAGTTAGGTAGAACAGGTGCACCACCTCGTGTTGGAAAGGGTCATTCCAACTCGAGAAGAACACCATCATTGCCTGATGAACAACACGTGGCATCTGGAAGATCATCACTGGCGTCTTCTAAATCTACTACGCCACCACCAACAGGTACTCCCAGAACGGCTCCTGTATCATTACCTCCCGTCATGCCAAAGCCGGGCATAGATATACATACATTACCACATACATTAGCATCATCACAACCAATTACTGCAATATCGCAACCACAAATACAATTACAAATACCGCATCCTATAAAAAGCAGGCCCAACACCAGTAATTCACACCCACATCCGAATACTGTTATATTACCTCATATAGCACCCAAACGACATCCATCAGATGGTCAACCTGCAGTCACTACGTGGGCAAGACCATCTGAAACTCACACAGATATCAAAAAAGGAGTGCCAATAAAACCAGCAACAGCCAAGGCATCTCCTTCTAAAGCTGCCAATCGCAATAGCAATAGTCATAGTAGTGGTAGTCAAACATCCTCTGCATTGAAACGAGCCAGTGATGATTCTCAAGTTGGTGGAGTCGTAAAGAAGAAGAGTCTCAAGCCGAAACGAAACTCTGATACCACTCCAGCTCCTGCTGCACCTGCGGCTCCTGTAGATGTAAATCCTTTTGGCTACTCAAATCCGCATCTGGCTCAAGCGCTCGGGACTTTCAGACGTCCACCACCACCTAATAATGTAAATGGTGCTCCTCGACCATCTGCAACTAGTGCAGCATCTGTTTTGACTGTGAAGGGTGTTGTGCCTCGACCCATAGCCTCTCGAACACCTAAACCTTGCTATGTATGTCAACAACGTCATATTCTAGACAGGTGTAATGGCATGAAGCCATGTAATGTATGTTTAGAGAGCAGTCCATTAGGAGCAACAGGATGTATCGAGGACGCAGTTTTTCCTGAGAAGCTCAAGGGTCTGGAGAGAAGGCTTGACGAGGCAACAAACAGCACCCTTGCACGACCTAGTATACCACAAACAAGTGTACCAGCTCCCATCGTGCCAAAGGATGAAATCAAAGAACCGAAGGAAGAGGAATCAACTGTAGTTCTGCCTGCACCGTTGCCGTATGTAGTAAAACGAAGTCATTCAGTCTCACCAGCTCGAACCACTGCATCACCAGCCAAACACGAAGAACTGGAGTTGGATCTGGGCAGTGATAAGTAAACTGGAGTTGTTTAGCATTGCCATATACGGAACTTGTATTTGTAAAGCTCAAAGCTCATTCATTAGTTAAATAAATCATATTTTTGCTTGCTTGACATTTGTATGCGTTGTTGCGTGTCTTGTATGGTTGTCAACGAAAGCTTGCTCAGCAACGCTTCCAGATCAGAACGAACAGCGAATATGGACACTTTGAAGAAGGCGCAAACGCTCAGGAGGAAGCCAGTCAAGCAGGTCGGAGCAGTGGACGAGGCAGAACTACACGCTGCTCCTCAGTATCAACAACACTTGCACCAACCAATTCAGAGGAAAACACCTTCTCCGCCAAGGTACGCTGACCTAGTCAATGATATAATATGCTGATTCTCGTATGGATGCGAGTTCTTTGCTGCTGCTAGGCCAGCCGTATCACTCACAAAATGCCCACATCATATCTAACATTTTTTATTTTCAACACAGAACGAGGAATGGCTCTGAACAACCACCAGATCTACCACCTAGAAAGATACAAAATAATGTCACTCATACTATGGATGGATCCCCAAAAGCAGCTCCTCTTCCCGTCGTCATTCAACAACAAAAGGTGCCTCCTCCACCTCCTGTTGTGGTAGAACGACCGGTTGTGTATGAAGAAAGATCTAGGTATGATACGGCTGCTTTTTGAATTCTCAAATTGGATTTTAGGTTGCCCAAAAAAACTAAAGTATCGTTTGCACATAGGCCAGCTTCAACTATTCCAGCAACTACAAGAACTGATGAGGCACTAGCAACCATACAGGTTTGCAGATCAGATTTCATGCGTTCTTGCAATGGTGCTGAGTGCTCATATTCTGTTCTACGCAATAGAGAGAACGTGATGAAGCCATTGCGCAAGTCGCCAAATACCAGGATATGTTGAAAACAATGGAGCATGAACATATGAGAAATGTGATGCAGATTGGAGGTACTGTTGAGACGAATGAGACATAGTTGAACTGGTCGCCTGATTGTCTATCTAGAACCGGGTCTCTAACTTTTTTTTGGGTGCGTTTGTAACAGAAAAGATGAGCAAAGTCAAAGAATTGGAAGACGCACAAATACTCAAGGATGCTGAATTACGACGTGCATATGTACAAGGACAAAATCTTCAAGAACGTGTATCTGCACTTGAAGAGCAAATGCTTTCTTATGGCATACAACCATGTACGTACACTATACCAAAGACCAAAACAACGAGACTTCCCAACCTGATCTTACGATTAAACCTTTAACATCTTTTAGTGACTGATGCAGCTATCAAGGCAGCAGCAGCTGAAAAAGCCAAGCCAGCTGAAGAGCAATTCACGCCAAAACCTGTAGTTGACACAGCACAAATCGAAATCGCCAAAATGTCAAAGAACGTCAAGGAGAGCACTACAAAAGTATCTGTAAGTGAATCCTTCTCGCGAAAAAAAGTGGACGTAATCTGCTTAATGGTTTGTGATTCTAACTCGGTATCTTTGCTCATGATAGAGCAAGATAGAAATGCTCAAAGCACAACTTGGTCTCCCAACTGTCAACATCAATCCCTCATCGCGAGCCATTCCAGTAGCTGCAGAAGAGTTTCGAGTCACCAGAAACACTATCGTATCGAAAACCATGTCATCATCCGATATTGATACTCCATCATCATCGTCCGAAGGCGCACCCATAATATCACTACCAGAATCAAACCCACAACAAGCCGTCGAAGTAGAAGCTTCAATCACCAAACCAACAACCGCCATACCCAATAAAGAAGAAACACGAAACGTTGGAAAAGGATACGGCTTTGAATGGGTACCCGATGCAGCCAACCAAGCTGCAAATGGAGACTTGGCTCCAGTTTTGAAGGATGTATTCACAAATTCCCTATTTGATCCTTCTGGTCAGTTATTGGCTGCATCACCAGAGTCTGAAGTGCATGCTCTGCTTGGAGGTGACTTTGCAAGTGATATAATGAGCAGCTTGTCCAAGTTTGTCTTGTAAAGAAAACCAAACGAATAATGAGCAGGTTGTCCAGCCGAAAACGAATTTGGACCGTAAATGATAATTATTATGACTATTTACTATATTTGAAAAAGAAGTGCCTCTGACAAGAAATGGATAAATATGTATACACATTGCCTCTCATAAATGTGGCGTTGCCAATCTGGCGCGGCCCATATACAGAAACCTATTTTGAGCTTGGCAAAACGACTTTGTATATTGCTTTTTAGTTTGTTTTGGTGGTATTCCAAACAACGTGAAACGCGAAAATCACGTTCAAAAACAATGCGATCGGTCACAGCAAATGGCAGGATCTGAAATTTGAGCTATTTCTCAAGAGTTTCGCGTCACTCAACACACCAATGCAACCTCAGTAAAGTCTCGGACATTTTTCAACACCCTCACGATTCAACTCTCACACAAACACGTTTTCTTGCTATTCAAGGCTATATTTAGGAGAGACAAGCAATAATCTGACCTCAAAATGTACAAAGTAGAGATCCTCCCCTCTGATATCAAGGAGCAGGCTGTCATTGAGCGCCGTCGCCGTGCAGAAGAGGAACGCAAAAATCGAATCTTTGCTCCAAAAACACGTCAATTGGGTGTAAGTTTCTGATGCTTTTAGAGTCTCACCTGGAGTAAAATAAATATATGCTGAATGATCGCTCCTTTTTTTGGCTTCAAATTAGATTGATGTCGACGCCATCGCCCAACAAGTCCAAGAAAAGAAGCGAGTCGGGGATATGGAACGACAACGAGTCGCTGCTTTTGGTATGTCAATGATTTATCAATGAAAAGAATTATTTGATTTTGTATTGACACTCTACCACCACGCTTTTTCTTTTGCTCTAGACCGTGCAGCCAAAGAAACAGCCCAAATCCTCGAAGCCCTCGAAGGCGAAATCCAAAACCAACGCCGCATAAACCAACGCTCCCTAGTCCAATTCCACGCCACGAACCAACGTCCCGAAATGCGTCGAGAATACGACCTCAACGACCCACAATCCCTCCGCAAAGACCGACCAGCTCGAATAGCAGACAATGATCCACGCTTGGGAGCATCCTCGTTACAGAAATTCGAGGGAGAGGATTTAACTGCTCAGTTGAGGTTCAAGGAACAAAAGCAGCAAATGAAGACATGGGTTGCGCAACAGGCTTGGGAGCGTCGTGAAAAGGAGAGAATTGAACGGGAGGAACGACAGCAGTATGAGAGCTTTCAGGCTGATGTTGTTAAGAGGACTGAGGCGCTGCAGAAGGCTGCCGAGGATATTCGGGCTCAGAGGGCAAAGTGGGATCGGTTGGAGAACGAGCGATTGGTATGTTTTAAGACTTTACACTTTGACCTTTGTTTGGCTCATCAGTTCCAGATCTCAATTTTTGTACGTTATTCAACTCTTGTAGGCCAATGAGAAACGACTTCGCGAAATGACGGACAAGACACGAGACCTTGAGCTCAACACCAAGGAAATCGAGGGCTGGATGAATGGAGAATTCTTAACCGAAAGGCCTGAAGTATTCAAGATTGGTGGCGGTCATCAGTAAGCATCATCGTCACTAGCAGAATTTACGTCTGATACTGCATCACTGAAATCCGTTTTTTTTTCGCTCCTGCGTAGACTACGTGTAGACGTCTTCAAAGGCATCACCGAAACCCAAAAGCGTGCCATCCTCGCAACCCAAGAACGCCAACGCCAGGAAAACCAAATGAGACGTGAAATGGAACGTCGTCATGAAGAAGTATGGGCTTCTCAACAAGCTGCTAATCTTCGTGCCGCTCAATTGCTCGAAGAAGAACGAGAACGACAGCACAAGGATGTTGCGAAGCGTGTTCGAAATGATAATGAGGTTAAGGCTGTTGAGGATCATGCAAGGTATGGTGTTTTTTATTGACACAGAAAAATGTTTTTATCATCGACAAGAAAGGTGATAAAAGTATAAGAGACAATGTCTCACTCATACTTCCTCCTATGAAACAGACAAACACATCTCAACAAGGTAGTCTATACAAACCCACCTCAAGAAGGCTACTTTTCCCAGTTTAACACAACCAGTCGATAAACCAACTCTTGTTCTGTGCATACACTTTTTTCGTTTTGTACTCGTAATATTTAGACCTCTTTAAACAAGACTTTTCTCAAGATCAGAATTGCGAACGCTCTATCGTTAGTTTCAGTTGATGGGTAGCCATGGTACATGTGACGCGAGAAGATATTGCCGGCATAGGGCGGCCGCAAACTCCTGTCTTTTGGCATCATCAAAACTTTCACCAACATTTGAAACTAGATTTGACACTTTATTTTAAGAAAGGCATCTACTACTTCGAAAAACAACTACTAGAAACAGACATCACAAATCACACATAGACAGCGACGAGACAGATCACTTCTTGTTGAGCATGTGGACCTTAAAGTCAACACCCTCTCTCATTCCTGTGTGATGCAAGGACGTCAGCACCGAAATCATAACTGATTGCAAAAGCAGTTACTCACCAAGAGTGACACCGACAGAGTATCGAGCACCCCTCTTTGAGGGATCCTAAGGTACAAAACACGGTGTGTTGGTCGTAATCCCGTCAGAATAAATACAAAGAGCACACAAAGTACCTCGTTCCATATGCCCCATTTTCGTGATTCATCTTCATTGACGAGTTCAAGATGGAAGCGGCGGTATCTAGAGAAAAAACCAATCATTAGCGAAAATGACAAAAAAACAGGAGCACAAGAAAACATAGAGACGTACATGTCTGACATCAAAATCAAGCCTTCTTGAGTAGCCTATGCAAATAAGGATACATAAATTAACATCAAAATCTGATAGCAAGGTTGATTCTGGTTGCGTCACTCACAAAGTTCATTCCAACTGTTGCATTCGTAGACGCAAAAAAAAGATTAGAACAGGCTCAGCCATAGCTGAAATGTAAGGTAGCAGGATTCTTACGACAGATACGAGGACCTAGTTGAAAGAAGCATAATGTTAGGTTATAGCAGATGTTGAGAGCCAAGTTTCCACTTACCAGCATTGAATACAGGCTTAGAAAAGTGTTAGTAGTTTGCAAGAATGAGCTAGGTTTCACATTATTCTCTCTCCGAAGAAACAACACTCACCCATTGGTATTGATTCATCTTCATGACAGATCCATCATCTCGCAACCACTAGATGTTCAAGGGTTAAAAACTATAACGTTTGAGGTCATGAATTGCAAGTCCTTTACTTACTCGGTCAGGATTGAAGACTTCAGCTGTTTCACCCCAAATGGCCTTGCTCCTGCCTAGAGTGTAGCTACTGAATTGAACGTACTAATGGTGGCAACGAAGAGCATGTCAGCAAATGAGGTTCCCGATCAAAGTACAATTCAAGAAGGTTTCGTTTCTGTGCATTCTGACCTCTCTGCAGAGAGAAACAAGATAGAGTTAGTTTGCTGCACGTGTGATCAACAATGAAATGAAGTACATACCCTTTGTAAACCTTGTAACCAGAGGGCTAACGAAAGGTTGACTAGTCAGTAACAGCCTACATTATTGAGTGCGAGATTCCGCTTTTTCTTTACTTACAAGCTGAACGTCTTCTGAAGCCATCCGCATTTGAGCAGGTACGTTTGGATGCAGGCGAGCCGTCTCATTCCATACAGCCAAACAATCTAGCAATACCCAAAACAAACTGTCGGAAAAGATAATAATTGACTTTGCACAAGAAATGCCTACATTTGAGTTTGTTGAGCTTGTCGTAGTGAGCTGGACCATCACCCATGACTTGCAAGATTTCCTCTCGCATCCTCTCTTCAATCTCGGGATGTTGAGCTACTTCCCATAACAGCCAGCTAGTTGTTTGAGCAGTCGTGCTAGAAAAAGCGGGGTCAAAATGCCATTGATATACAGAGAAAAGGAGTCACGCAGCTTACTCCCGTCCAGCAATCATATAGTTCTAAAGAGCGGTTTGTGAGTATTCAACTAAACCATTTGCCAAAAACACACCACACAAAAAGTATGCGCACCAAGACGACATCACGCAAGTATTCAGTTGATGGTGGCCCTCCAGATGCTGTCTCAATAGCCATGAAGAAATCCAACAAGTCCATTCGATTAGCGTCTTTCAAGACACCGCCCGACTGTTCCGCTCGACGACGAGCAATAACACCAAGTGCGAAATCATCCAAAGTCTTTTGGTATCCAGCTACGTCTCGTCCATTACCAGATCCAAAGAATTCTTGGATTTGCCAGAAAGGGTTTCCGAATCGTTTAACGACACATAAGAGAATACCATCAAAGGCGATCATAAAGGGTACGTCTGGAAGATAGTATCGACCATTCTTCTCTTGAGCAGGTACAGATAAGGCCCCGACATCAGTTCCCATGGCGAGATTGGCGAACGAGTCGATGGTCATTCTCAAAAGGATGTCCTGTACATCCAAGATCAAGTTACCTGTTATAAAAAGAAGAAATTGAATTGAATTCTTATTGCCGGTAAACTAGTGCCCTCACCTTTTGAAGCTGCTTCGATATGGTTACATAAAATATTCGATTCTTTTATGAACGTAGGCCCACTAGGCAACATGAGATTCAGCACAAGTATTCAGTCAGAATAGAATAAATATAGCAAATACGCACAAGTAGTCTCGGAAGTTCTTGACGTTGAAGATGTTGGAAGCCGTTTTGCGTTGCAATCTCCATGCATCACCATCCGAGACGAAAATACCATGGCCGAAGAATTCGCGTCCTTGCCTGCCTTGTTGTTCACCTAAGATTAATTTGATTGTTAGGTTTTGATCTTTGGAAATGTTGTCTTAAACAAACAATCAACTTGACGTTAGGTACCTTTGACGAATCGGTATGGATCGCTCATTACAAACTCGACATCCCGCCAGTTGCTGCTCGTGAGGATTGTTCGATTGGGCAAGGACCACAAGAAGACCTCTCCGTACTTCTGGTGAGACTCTAGGGTCTTGTCCAAACGAGCCTGGAAGAAGCTGTCGTTGTTGAGTTCGGGCGCATGGCCAATGAGAGGAGCAGTGTTAGACGGCTGTGGGACGTCTTTACGAAGACGAGTACCCTATAACGTGATCAAGATGGGTCAGACACAATTAAAGTGGATCAAAGAGACGACAGTTGGATCAAATGGCCAGCAATATCAGTCGACAGACGGCACAGAGATCGAAACACTCGGGGGCACCACATCATGGGAATGCAGCAACACCCTCAAGAGGTATGTGGCCAAAAGGCTGCCTCCCGAACAACCACACCCGACACGAAAGCAACAGCAATAAAAGCCAACAAGCTCATCCAAACACTAGCAAACCAGAAAAGGTGCAACAGCGTTGATCTTGTTACCCAAGCGTGATCTTTGTAGCTCCAGCACAATAGACCGAGGCCAGAAACCGTTACAGCCGTAGCACCAGCAATGTAAGGCAATGCCTTCATAAGCGGGCTGTTCTTGCGATCCGACATAGTGCAGTTCTATTAGCGGTAGACGTTTGAGTTGGTTGCGAACAAGACCACGAGTTGTCGTGAAAAAGGTGGAAGAATTTAAGGCCACCTCACGTTTATCGGCCAAATTCTAGAGATTCCAGTCCTTCCATCGATGAGGTGCAACGAAGAGCATCTCGAGCACTTTGTGGTCTAGCATCGATTGTCGTATTAAAATCTAGGTGCAAACTGTAGTTCGAGTTCGCATACCACAGCCATGCTAATAATGGTTGCGTACTAGTCGCGTTTCCAGTACTTACAAAAAGACGCGTGATATAAACGATTCTGGAGCTGGTGTCGTGTCCCCTGGCGATGAACAAACCCCGTTGTGCATCTCTTCAAGTTTCAATCCACAACTGTTGAAGAACCACCATTATCATCAACCAGTAATAGCCACAAGAGGGAAGAGCGATGCTGAATCCATTATCAAACCCAAAAGGTTACCCCATTTACGCTATGGATCTAGTCGCATCACCTTCAGAACGACTTCCTGCCCGGAAACATTGTCCTTCAATCTTGACACTTATTTCTCTTTTTCAGGACAATCTATTCCCTGCGAATTATGTGGAGAAGTAGTAACAACTCAGTGCCAAAACTGCAAAACGTACTACTGGTAAACAACCTGTCGTTATTGACCAACATTAATCGTTTGCATGATTTCTTGGTCTCACAACTCAAACTTCATCAATCCTAGTTCCACCGAGCACCGCGATCTAGATTACAAGAGCATACATGATCGTGTGTGCCCGCTTATATCCTCGCTCAAGTAAGATGCAGACACCAACACGATATTCAAACTGACACCCCGTTTTTTGGCAGGCGAATCAGTAACAGACCTGGTTCTGAAGAAGAGCGAATGGAAAATGCCAGACAGGTCAAGGCTCTCAAGACTCAGATCTATGAAAAGTCAACTGAACGTGCAAAGACTTGGCTTGCTCAACAAAAGGTTGGAGGGTTACTTCTCCATTAATTCGACACATGAATTCTAATCTGCTTATTACATTACATTAGTTCGATCTCGTCATACCAGCAGCATCTCAATCTCTCCGCCTAGCACTCGCACTCTTTTCACAAGACGGAAGTCTGGAAGTCGTCACATCACGACTAATTCTTGGAGAAGCGTGCTGCGGAATGACTCAATATGCTGCTTGTGAAGAGCACTTGTCGCAGGTAAAGACAAAATTAAGGAGACTTTGAACGTAAACGCCAATTTGCTGAATTGAGACACACTGTCCAAACAAACTTCACAGGCTCGGTGGGCAATGACCAAATCTGGAAGCACAGATCCATCCACGAGAGCAAGATTACATCGAGCTACCGCTGCCTTATATGCTGCAAAGGGGGATCGTACTAAGGCGATTGAGGAGCTTGCTTCTGAGGTTTGTTCATAACCGGGATTTCTTCTTCTTCCTTGTTTACACAGTAATAGTTTAATAGAAGACGCAACATCACAATAGATCTACTATCTGGGACTATCATATGGGCCTGATTCACCATACTGTGGTGATGCTTGTATGTGAAAAAGAGTTCTGAAATAATTCATTCTGTACATTAATTTTTTTTTCTCCTACTAGTATCTCGACTAGGAACCGCATTTGAAGGCCTTGCAAAACCCGATGCTGCTTTTGCGTCTCATGTTATGGCTACCACATGTTGGAATCAAGACTTTTCAAAAGGGTTTGATGATGCATTGACGTCGGAAGGTGTACATACATTGTCATCAGCTAGAGACTGCTTCTCAAAGATGGGCCCCTCGTATGTAAAACAACTCCAACAGGCTGATAATTTACTCGAAGCATTGTTGAGGACGCAATCACTGCGTCGGTAATCTGATATGTGCTTATGAAGCTGCTGGATTGAATTATATAGCAATATACTAACTAACACTTCGTCACGTTGAATGAGAGCCAAGTTTTGTGTTGGAATAGGCTGTTACTTTGTGATGAATCTTGTTTTCTACTTTAGACCATATGTTAGGCCAGCAACAGCAACCTCACAGAGCTACTCCGTCAACACCTTCATAGCCAGATTGGGAGACAGTTTGATTCCACTTAACGTTCGTTCGAAACGCCCGTCTCTTTTAGTGTGATGCCAAGTGGTTTTATTTTTCATCAGCTTATTACATTTCTTAAAGCTTCCTTATTTCAGTTGAACAACCCGCCTTCCAACTTGGCCAATTCAATGAGCTGTAATGAAGGGAGGGGACGATGTCAATTTTCTCGTTTATACGCGCGAAGACAAGATGAAAGAGATAAGATGAAGGTATACCCACCATAGGATCATCAAAGAACTTGGTAACAGCAACGTCCTCGCTCAACCCCTTCCTTCTACGGGTCTTGACCATAAAGTCTCTCGCCAAGTGTTGAGCAGGACTAGGCTCCAACGGTCGTAACTGAATCGTCTTGTCTAGTGGATCACCAGGCACAATCTGCCAATGATCAAACACTTGTTGACAAAACGCTTGTCCCTGTGTATGTGTTCTTAAATCTGTTTCAAACCCAAAGGAATCAATGACGGGGAGAAGTGCCTTGATGGTATACAATGGTGATCCAGATTTTGGTAAATCTTGGGTTACGTGACCACGACGACGTGCTAGGACAGTGTAGACTGCTGAGACGCAATCTGCTGGTGCTTGGATTTCGACATAGTATACTGGTTCCATGACTCTTGGGGTGGCCTAAACATGTTATGCATGGAGTTACAGATGCAAACAAGAGCAAAAAACCACTACTAGGAACGTGTCATCTTACAGTCAAAAAGGCACTATAACAGACACGACGAGCTGTAGGAATGATTTGTCCTCCACCTCTGAAGATGGGCTCTGCAGCTATAGAAGCATCCAATATACGGAACTTTACATTTCGGATTGCTAATCAAAGTTTTGCAAAAAAAAGTCAGTAATATTCAATGATGCCGACTTTCTTGCGAAAAACGTACGCTCATCACATAATGGTCCTTCACGTGCACCCCATTGAAATCCTTGTCGAACAGATTCACGAATGGCACTTAATAGCTTCTTGTCCGTCTAAAACCAAAACCGAAATTGTTTCTGTTAGCTGGCAAAATAGGGCACTGATAGTATAGAATGATCTCACATCAACTGGTAGCGTATCATTAACCAGCACATTAGGTCCAGTATCATCAGGTCCAAAAGCCCAAATATTGCGTGACGCCAACAAATCCCATCCATACTTGGTTGAGAATTGTTCAGCCAAGACTTTAGGTGGTGATTGAATGTTTACTCGTAAGTTTTCAATGTCTTCAGCTATTCCGGATTCTAATGGTTCTGCAATGATGGTGAGCTTGTTTCTGAATGAAAGAGAAGGGGACGTTAATTCTGAAGCATGCGGAAAAAACAATGACAATCTGCTGAATTGCTTGATGCGAACTGCTTTTCGCTGGATTGAAGCCCTTACTTCTTGTTGGGAGTCTCAGCATAACACTTGAGTGCAGATGTTTCAACTACAGTCTCACACAACCGGACTACTGGATCAGCTACTTTGATGTCGATTTCAGAGTACAATCGACGTAAATCGTGTAGAGCACAATCAAGATACAGTTCTCCAGTGCCCACTATGATGTGCTCTCCGGATTCTTCAACCTAGAGAAATAATGAGGCACATATTAGCCAAAAAAAACGTTCCAAGAAATATGCTCATGGCGACATTTACCTTTGTGCTCAAAATGGGATAACTCTTACTAATCTTCCTCAACCCATCCAACATTTTAGGTAGCTCGGTTGGATTGATGGGCTCCACAGCAACCTTGACTACAGAACCAGCCTCAAAGCGTAGTGGTCTAAAAATACATACAGGCTCTTCATCACTGGGCGGTAAATCTGTGATAGTAGCCGTTTTCATTATAGCAGCATCTACACCAGACAATAATATCAATGATCCAATAGGAGCTCCAGTAACAGGAATACGGTATCGAGATTCATAAATGTATAAATCAGAGACTGTTTCTGATCGTGAATCTTCTTCATCGTCTGGTGTGTATCCTTCTCCTAATACTCGAACTGACTGTCCGGTTTTGACTGTACCGGACATTACACGACCTAGAGCATCAAAGCCGGTGTAGGATTCGTTGCTGTATAGTTTTGTGACGTAAATCATGAGTGGGCCGTCTGGATCGGCACTTAGCATGGACGTGGCGGCCAGTGATGTTAAATCACCAGTATACAGGTGCTCGACCTAATACGACCATGTTAGAAAAGGGAAAAAATCCAAACACAGCAAAAAATGCTGCAGGTTTAAAGAAGTAACAACCCAGTACGAGCAATACCTTATTGCGAGCATTCTGGACAGGAGAGGGAATATGCTTGACAATCATATCTACAAATCCAGATGCTTCGCCAAAGAATTGCTCGCATACAATTCTCAGCAATGGTTTAATGTCCATTCCGAATTGATTCTTTTTTAAATATATACTGAGGGATGCCAATGTGGCTTTCAATGTTTCCGTGTCTTCTCCAATGACCTAAGGCGGTGCAAAAGTGTCATGTTTTTTTAGTTACCAAAATTTCTTGTGGACCACAGAAACAGTCAAAGGAGACTCACTTGAGCATACAACTTGAAGAGAGGTTCTAGAATGAAATGTACAAAGGTACGCTGACTGTCGCCATCAAGAGGCCGACGACGGAAGGTTCGTTTTTCTGCGTCAAAGTAAATATCGCCCCATAATCTTTTCGCGAATTCATCCACATCGAAGTTTTCTAGAGCAGGCGACAATCGTGAGCATAAACCAACGACAAAAAAGGCAATGTAATGAAGGGGACATTACCAAAGTTATCAGCATATGATTGAGCGAACGATTTTAGCGAAAACACCCAGCCGAATTGACTTGATGCGAAACAGACATTGCCTCGTTCAGGAGAGACACGCATGTCGGGATCGACAGAGCTAAAATGACACGACAAAAAATCAACACAAGGAAGGAACGACGCAGGTTTCCCGACACTTTGCTCTACCTGATGACATTGTTGACTTCTTCAATGGTGAGCTTGAGTTTAAAATAGGCATCGCTGGGTGGTAACTTGAGTTCCAGAATCAATCTGTCGACCTTGTTGATGACCAACACGATGGGTATCCTTTCTGTAATCAAGTGTTTGATCATTCGTTCGGTATTGACCATGACCTAAAATATGGTAACGAAAATGAGACGAGGTCAAAAAACTCCAAGATGGAAAGATTGAACTAAGCTTACTCCTTCAACGGCATCAACCACTAACACTGCACCATCTACTAATCTAATAGCAGCTGTGACTTCATCACTGAAATTGACATGTCCTGGAAATGAGAACAAAGCGTTAGTGTCGTCTTGACATTCGTACTGCGTTCAGGTGTTTTCTCTTTTTACCTGGAGTGTCCATTATGTTGAGCAAATGACTCTTTCCTTTCAGATCTTGCAAAATAAAACTCATTGGCATAGATTTGATTGATAACCCTCTAGCTCGTTCTAGTTCGTGTATGTCTGTGTATCGTTCTCCAGACTCGACTTCCCACTTTACATCATGTGTTTGAGCTACCAGCATATCCACGAATGATGTCTTGCCGTGATGCAAGTGTCCCACGATGGCGATGTTTCGAGTTAAATCGGGATGTGCCATTAAATCCACCATAAATCTATGCAGAGAGACTGTTGGCAAAAAAAGGCAACTAGACCGAATTGATGAAGCGAAACAACACGTACTCCTTCTTGTATTTGGTAAATGGCAAATCCTTTTCAGATAGATGGAATTTCTTCTTCTTGACAGGAGCGATGATGGGTTCTGATAATGGTTGTGTGTCTTCTTCTTGAACTAGTGTTTCGACACCAGGCCCATACACTTCTTCGGCTGTAGGGTAGTATTTCTTATCTTCATGTAATACGACAGCATTCGTCGCTAGAACGACAGTTCCGAGTGTTAGCTAGGAACGCTTTGGTTCTTGCTGTAAGCGAACTACTCTAAAACACCTACCATCGACCTGCATCAGAGCCATTCCAGACTCCTCAACCCGTTCTTGATCTTCCATTTCAACATCTTCGCCATCGAATTGCGGTTGGTGTTGCTGCTGGTCGTTGAATGTAGCATCGATGTCGTCTTCTTCCTCGTCATCGAGATCTGGACCAATGTAGTTCCCAAACTCATCATACTGAAGGGAAGGAGAATGTCAGCCGCATCATAAAATGAGACGTGATTTTGAACGTGATTGATATTTCCATCAAGCAAGAGTCTCGTAATGAGAATATGGAATATCCAAGAAAAGCAGACTTGTTACAAATGCGTTGCTCAATGTACGAGCCCACAGGATGAATGTAAAGTCTTACCAGGTCTAAATCCATCGTGGCAGCTTACAGGCTGATGATGACCGTGACAAGAGCTTTAAGGGGGCCTTAACCGTGTTCTATTGCTACGCCGAACAAGAATTTGGAAAATGTAGTGTGAAAGGATTGGAACATGTAGGTCACGTAAAGGACGTCTGCCATGAGCACTGGAACGCGTCAAAATGAATAAATCTGTTACATTCTTTAGTACAGCCTTATTCAACAATTTGCGTTGTCGCATCCGTTTGTCGACACACCGTTTTTCAAACTACCCAAGGACAGCTTAGAGGATTTCAGTTCTAACAAGGAAAGGAACAGCTTTACTAGGTGGACAGTATACATACAGATCAAGGCTTTATCCAGATGGTGGTGGTGTTTCAAGGCAGCAAGTTCTCGTGCGCTGCTTGTCAGAACGGACATCGATCTCAATCATGCGACCATCTGCATCGAGTACTGCTGGAAATCAAACAAAAGGGACGACCCGCTACTCAGTGTGGTCACTGCAGAACAAAGAGAAGCACCGGAACCGGGCACTCTCATCATCGCTGCATGTGTGGTGATGCCCCGGCTTACACTCGTCCAAAAGTTGAAGGTATATAAGAGAAGGAGTATTGATCTTCACCTTATATGCTGCTAGGATTCATGCTCTCTCAATCCTCAACCTCTGAACTTACCCACTTCACACCATCTTAGTCAAACTGTCTTCCGGAACTACTTTTGTCATGACTCCTCCTGAAGCTCCTGAAGCCTTTCGAACTCGCTTGATGGAAATAAAGAACTTGCCTATATCAGTCCATCGTAAACCAAAGGCAAAGAATGAACAGGGTTATGATCCACAAGCAGATGGTCCGGCTCCTGTTGGAGCAGCTGGGGGAGAAGCTGCAGCTGCTGGTTATCTCATCATTGAATGGAGAGCCGAATTTGTATCTCTAGATGTATCTGATCAATTCAATAGTGAGGTCGACTCTGCTGCTGGTACGTCCCTCTTGGAATTTACTCTTGTCTTGCTGTTGATGTCTCACTCTACTCTCATATGTAGAGAATCCATGCAAATGTCATCAGGGAGGACCATGTATATGTGCTACGATATCCAAGCAAAAACCAAAATCAGCTCGTGCAAGTAGTAATAGCAAATTGACACCTCCAGCACGAACTCAACCTCCAATAATGAACATCAACAGCCCAGCTCCCCAATATTTTGCACCCCCATACCCCAATATGCAAATGCCTGGTCAGGGTCTTCCGTATCTACCAACTGTACCACAATCATATGTACAGCCTCCATACAACCAATATCCTCAACAACAGCAACTGCCTCCACATCCTCAACAAACCCCACCACTGCCATATATGCAACCACCTCATCCATCGTTGTATAGCCAATATCCAGCTGCTCCCACGCCATTCAGCCAACAACAGGATCCTCTCCAATTGTATAGTAATCCAATCTACAACAATCCAATATATCCACCTCAACCATTCTATGATCAACGACCACCACCATTACCGCCACTTCAACAATTACAGCCGCCATCATCACAGCATCCAGTTACAGAACAGACCAACGCAGTCGCCAACATGCTGATGGATTTATTGTCCCGTCACCCACAGCCAACCATGCCATTTGACGGTATTCCAACATCTACTGGTCAATCTGGTGACGTCAATTCTACAACTGATTATAATCAAGTGATGTCACCAGTAGTATTGTCTCAAACTACAGCAACAACAGCGGCACCGATGATTAAATCAAATATTAGCACTCAATCAACTGATAATATGCTGGAAGGCTTGCAATGCTGTAAAGGAGGCTGTAAATGTGATGAAAATACGTGCTTCTGTGCTATTACAGGTGACGCTGCTTGTTGTCATACTAGTAGTAATACTACGACAGCAGAGAAACAACAACAGCGAGGTCCAAGTAACACACCGAAGTCATTGTGTTGTGGCGGTGGCGCTTCTTCTGATAGTGAAGAAAGTACATATACAACACCAGAACCAACACCAATCGCAACAAGCCAGTCATGTTGTGGCGGCAACAACAATAATAGTGGTGGTTGTTGTGGAAGCAATTGTGCATGCTCAAGTCACAAACCAGCATCAGCTGATGCAAAGGAATTGACTTCTGCATGTGACTGTGGATGTGCAAAGTCATCGACGGAGTGCTCTGATTGCTTTGCTGATAATTGTGAAGTACATGTACTTGGGTCTAGTGCTGACACTCAGACGCTCGTGAAAGAAACTACTAGTGTTGGGCAGGATGTGTCGTCTTCGTCTTGATGTGGTGGCGGTGGTGATAGTAAAGATTCTTGTTGTGGTGGTGGAAGCAAAACTGGAAGTTGTTGCTCATGATGAGTCTCAGTTTAGTGGGCGTTTTACGTATCTGAAGCATATATCTATAAAACAAAGGTTTTCTGACCTCTTGTATAAACTCAGCAAAACAATAATATATCTATAAATCACCAGCATTCAACTTGGCATAGTTACTGGTGGAATAGTTTTCTTTGTAGCAGATGAGAGTTTATGGGTATATAATTACATTATACTACAGGTTTGGCATTTCTATGAGGTCCTTACTTCATCGAGGTCATCATCACCATCTTCCTCCTCATCCCCATCAAGTCCCTGCTCCTGCTGCCACGCAGCCATCCTCTCTCTCTCCGCATTAACACCCTCATCACCGTCCGAAGACGCCGCACTAAGCGCCGACGCAACACTAGCACTCGACTCGACCCTCATACTCGAATCCATGCGCAACGACCCCTGCACACTAGACTCATTAGAAACCGGGTCAGGCACATCCGCGAATATAAGCGGTGAATGGCGTTTCACTGGACTGTGGAGACGGATGCTGCTTGATAGGGTATGTGCTTGTTGCAGTGGTGTTTGTTGGGTGTTTGGGTCGTCGACGGCTACAAGACTAGGTTTACGTGACGTGGGACGTGATTTCGATATCCCTGATGATGGAGGTATGTCGTCTGATACACTGTTTACTACTAGCATGGGAGCGTTTATTTGTGGACTGGTTGGGAGTGTGTTTGTTGATACCATCATTCGTGGATCTGCTGTTGATGTTGTTGTGTTTGGTATGGGGGTTAATTGGGATGTACTGGTGGTTGTGAAACTCGTCATGGCGTGTAAGGGGCTATGATGTATCCAGCTGTGGCTTGATATTACGGTGGCTGGAAGTGGTGGGACTGGTGGTATTGTTGATGCTGTTGTTGTTGGGCTGGCTGCGATGCTTGTGTTGTTGCTATTGGTGCCGTTGGTGTTGGTTTCGTCATTTTTCTTACGCGGTACACCGTCTGGTGGTGGTAGGACGTGAGACATGGATTTCGTACGTCGACGTAGTGTGGATGTTAGATTCTGGAAAGAACTTGATAGCTTCCTTATCCTGTCTCTGATTTTGCCCTTGGGAATAAAACATTGTTAGTTTATAACGGCTGACATGTGAGCGAATCTTATTGTATTTTTGGCTGCTACTTACCATTATAGTGAAGGCACCACGAACTTCCTCATCTGTGACTACGAATGGAGCACCATAGTTCAATGAGACATCAGTTTCACGCAACCATATAGCTCTTTCGTCTGGAGTCAAATCAGCAGTTGTCCATGGATGTTGCTGCAAACAAGAAGCGTCAGCATTTGAAGATTCGACAGCTGTTTTTTTGGTCAGACTACATACCTTGATTTCTTCCAGCGTAATTCTCGAATCAGGATTCTTGTCCAGTATCCTCAAAAACAAGTCTCGTAGTTGACCATCAATTTGCGCATAGTCTGGAAACTCCAATCTAATAGCAACAAAAAATCAATACGACTTAACAACAGGTCACGTATCATTGAACTACGTACGGCTGCTTAGCAATAACATTAAACAACTCAAACTCTGTGTCAGCAATAAACGGCACCCGTCCAAACACAAAGCAGTACAATGTAACACCCAAAGCCCATATATCAATGGCTTTTCCAATTCTGGGTGCATGACGTTCCACCATTTTAATTTCAGTGCTCGGCGACACTGGTTCTGACCCACCAGCACTATTTGACCACGCCGATTGTGGTATTCTTGCAGGCATGGATGGTTTTATCATTATGGTAGGTGTGGTAGCTGCCGAGTCTCCCGTAGGCGATGATGCTGAATCTGGCTCTTCTTCAGGCATGACGGTGCGTTCAGTTAAAGGTACAGGACGTCCAAACACGTCAGTTGTAGATGCTACTGATATAAACGACATCTGTGCGGGTGGCATGGCTACAGGTGCAAGTAAAACGGTGGTGGGAGATGCTGATGTTGTCGGAGATACTTCTGCAGAATCTATTACTCCTGGTGTCATCGTCGTGTTACTCATAACCTCCGGTGTAGCAGCACTTCCAGGAGTCACAAATCCAGACAAGATACTAGCACTTCTACTAAATCCAGGAGTGATTGATGGAGTTGCAAGTGGTGTAGGGAGTGGTGATGAGAATTCAGGAGTCCAATCGCCATCTTCAGCTACACCCATTAACGCCTGTATCCCTCCATCATGAGGTTGCTCTTCACCTAGTCCAGCTTTGAATTCGGCAAAGAGTCGTTCATCTTCATCTGAAACTCCACATAATTCTGGAGCAAAGAAGGCAGGTGTGCCAGCTGTTTTGGCCAATTCTACTTCCTCTTCACTGCCAGCAGCATCATCGCTTTCGTTTTCGTCTTTAGTTGCCGTATCAGTTCGTTTCCGTTTACGTTCTTTGGTAAATGCGGATACACCAAAGTCAGACATTTTTACCCGATGATCTTCAGTCAGGAGGAGATTGGCTGGTTTAATATCACGATGTACAATTCCTTGATAATGTACTACGGGAAAGGAAATTGAGCGTTTGAGAAAAACCACCAAAGGACCAAAAAATGCAAAGGTAGACGCATTACTCACGGTACTCAACACCACACACGACATCCCTAAATATCCTGCGAACTTCATCAATCGCTATTATGGGACCAGGTGGATCTCGACCATCTGTCCATTTTAATTCACCTCCAGGTAGAAACTCCAACACTAAGACGACAAAAGTTGAGTATTCGAGCCTTGTTTCTCCTTTTTTGCATGATTTCAACATAGTCTCCAAAAACATACCAAGATAGATCTTTTCAGCCGCTGGGTCATCAATGACTTCCAATAATTTCACAACATGAGGATGATCGCACTTTTTCATTATTGCAATCTCACGTTGAATTTTTTCCAAATATGGATTGGTTGGTATTGGCGTTCCACCTCCGTTCTCTGCATTCTGTTGTGATAAACGAGCTGATAGCGACAGCCTGTTTTGAAATCTCTTCTTGCCCCGCTTTTCTACAATCTTGATGGCCTGAAAAGAAAGGTACCAATATGTCAGACAAGATACAGAAAAGGACAAGGGAAAGTAGCAATCCAACAATGTGCTCACCACTTCTTCATTGGTCTCGATATCAACACAATACTTGACTTTACCATAAACACCTCGTCCCAACTCTCTAATAACCATATACTTGTTGATCATCTTATTACCAGTCGTGGGATCCAACTCCTTGGCCAAGATATTGGTTTCCTTGACTTCACCACTAATTGACGGCCTCCTAGACGGTGGTGCTAATCTATTCGTGCTACCCGATACAGATAGCATCGAATGCATAGACATTAAGGATATCTGCGATGCTGCACGAGACGACGGTGATTGTGGATGTCTACTCGTCTGTCGATTTAAGACCGGTGTCGTACTATCCGTGGTACCAGGTGATGCCGCACTTGTGGGAGTTAGAGTCGGCAAATGAGACGTCAAATCAGTGCCTGATTTTGCTGAAAAGGTCATGAATCGACTACGTTGTTTTGGTTGTACGGGCGTTGTGAGTTTTATATTAGAGTTTGTTGAAGGGAAGGGGGATAATTCTGCTGCAGAGGCTGTAACGCTTGTATTCGACTCTGCATCAAGTATTGTAGGTGGGCGATTCACTAGAAGTTGAGCAGATCCAAATCCACGAGGCAGCGACTCGGTTTGATATGGTGCATCACTAGACGAGCGTTGTCGAGTAGCTGGCCGTGGCGCTATATTTACTCTCAAGCCAGCACCTTTAGGAGTCTGAGATGATAATACTGGCGACTGCTGTTGTATCTGTTCTATAGATTGTGTTGGAGGAGTAGGAGCTGATACAATAGGAACTACAGAGGACTGACTCGTTCCCATTTCCATTTCCATTCCCATACCCATACCCATGCCCACACTGCCCCCATAGGACCGTAGCTGACCAGCAGAGGTTCCCATTCTACTAGATAAGGCGCCGTAAGATACAGCGCGTGAGGCATTGCCAGATTGATCGGAGGTTGGCAGCGAGCCCGATGAGCCCGAATCTACATTCAGTACAAAGGGAACAGCATTTGGAGGTGCTGAACCTTCAAATAATCCAGGTGACTGTATTCCAGGCGATAGTTCACCATACGTATGGGCAATAGTGTTTACGGAAGAAGTGGCAGATATGTTTGTAGAGGCCGATCTGGAGATGGGACTCAGTTCCGAGGTCAATGACTTTCGTGGATCATTATTATAGTCGGTGAATGTGGTGTTTGAGGAGGCGGAAGACGGGAAGAAGGGGCTTGTTGGCGAGACGGATGTTGAAGCTTTATCTTTGCCTCTAACAGCATTTCCTAGTAAGGCTGTAGCGAGACCGACTAGCTTGGAGGGAGAAGGTGACCTAGTCCTCTCAGCTGACTTGTCTCTGCTTGATGGCATCTAGGCGATAATCAAACAATCCAACTGCGTCCAATCGCTATTAAATAGTAAAAGTCGACCACACTAAAGAGGAAGGCAAGGATCTTCTGGTTTAGAGCACAGAAGCACTTGTCGCCATCCTCGTCGTGGATTTAATGATGGATCTTGCAGATTTCGGCTCTTCAGTCAATTTTGTGGAGGAGGTTTTCTGACTTGTTACCAATCGCACTCAGGTGTCTGTATTCTCCGTGTTCTTGAACTTGGACGCATGCCGGGATCTTATTTCATATGTCGACACACGTTATTAAAGTCATATCGCTGTGCTTGGCTCTAATGGATGCAACATTCAACATTTGAACTCAACCGTGCTGGTTGTTTTGGACACGAGCATCAACCTGCATAAGGACGCGATTTTCCGTACGGATTCCAAGCATCTCAATTCTTATAGGCGTGGAATTACCATTTTCAATATCTATCATAATTCCTGGATTTCTTTGGTCTTGGACAATGAATGTGTTTCCTCCTCAGACTCATCGCCATCCAAAGCTTTTGAGTTCGAGATCCACGACATGAAGATTCTCGCTCAGGGTGGAATTTCGCTTTATCCCACTCCTGTAAATCTCCAATTTGTAGATCTACCTTCGTGGGCACTCAAGGATCTCCTCACAACAACTTTTAAACCACAACGACAACAAGCATCTTCGACATCTGAACAATAAACAACAACGCCGTCTTTTCGAATCTCTGAAAACCAAGGCGTCATCAGCAAATCAGTAAAGAACAGACACAACCATGGTGGCATTGACAGAAACATCATTGAGCCTACTCGGATTTCTCTACTTCTTGGTAAGTTGTGCTTGCACGCAATTGCTTCTCTGAGTACAGAGCTGTATTTGCGATGACGAAACACGACAATACTCTGTTGGTTCGATCTGGACTCGATTACCAACTGTTCTATTGCACACCTAGGGTACAGCAAACGCCCAAAAGATTCTGTGGGAAGGCAGAGTCAACCAGACGGCTGTTCAAGCTGATTTTGGTAAGCCGCACCTCCTTCTATACTACCAACCTTGATTCTCATACACCACACTTTTCTTACTTCAGATAACGGAAACACGGCGTACAACCCCAAATTTGTACTTGGAGCAAATGAAACGTGGAAGGGCGTCTTGAAATTGGATGCCATCAACGCTCAAGCCTTGTTTGATCGTCCCAAAGATCAATCATTGGGCATTGTTATTAATGACAAGTCCATCTTTGCTCCTGGAAATCCTCCGAATCGTCAGGTTGGGTTCCGACGTGCTGAACTCATTCCAAATGGAGTCAAAAAGATTTTTTCCGGTGTCACCACATACCACTTTAGTGTCATGTAACTAACTTTGTACTGTGTCGATCGCAGTTTAATGGTCTTGAAAACTCAAGGTTGTTCTCTTTCGAATGTAGGCCTGATCCAACTCGCCCACTGAACTACACTCATCAGTACCAAATGCTTTTCCTTGAAACCAGTGGTTGGTACATCGTGATGCTTGCATGACCCAAGAACAAGTTTAACCGAAACTCAATTCTTCTACTTCCAATAGAGGGCAAACACATTTTTGGCTTTCAGTCTGGTGGAACAGACGGTCAAAACCTTACTTTGATGAGCAGTTCTGTTGAGGGTTACGATAAACTCAAGCCTTTGTACAGCGCACCTTTCACAGCTAACGTATGGCAAAACTGGGCTTTGACTATTGATTGGACCAAAGCAACTCTGGTAGGTTGTTTGCAGATGAATGTTTTACAGTTATTGACTCAACTGATTTTATCGTTTCGAATCAAACACAGACGGCTTACTTCTCAACTGGCAAAACACCACTTGCCAAAGTGGTTGACACTAGGCCAAACGCTGTGATCCAAAACGTGTCAAATATCGACAACTTCCATCTCGGTTACATTAAGGTTGGTATGGGTGCAACGGATCCTTTCAAAGGAATTCAGCCAACTGGAATCTCAGAGGGTATAATATGCAACTTTCTTTGGGTTTTGCTTGTTGTGTGAGTGGTCTAATTTTGATATTTATTGCAATTTTTAGGTGTGGTTTTCTCCAGTGCTTTCGTCGAAGACTCTACTGGTGGACTCATCACGTTGAGCCCCAACAACGGGACAACAAAGACAGCAAATCCTTTGTGTGGATGAAGCTGATCGCCTGTGTTCTTTTCGTTCTGTGTGTTGTTTGTTGTCCGGGTTTAACAATAGAGGTCTCTTCAACGCCCAACATCTAACCTGCGTGTGCCTTTCCGAGCAAGAGGTTGAATTCTTTGCAAACGACAGCCTGCAAGGCGTCCTTTATTCAGAAAAACAAAAATGTCTGGATGTAGCTACAAGAACGAGAAGATTGTTGGGTGTAGCTGCAGGAAAAACGTTGAGAGCAGCTACACGTACTCCCTCGAACAACAACAAATTTTGTTTCTCACATTCAAGTCCAATTTCTTTGAAGGAAATTTGCCAATTAGAACAGTGTGACTGACGTACAAACCGATATCTTCATCCAACTACTTGTACCTAAGTAGATTACTTTACTCACACATTATGGTCGCTCTCAAAGAAACGACAATGTCCCTGTTTCGGATTTTTCTTGTTTTGGTAAGCACTTGATACACTTTGATTTGCATTGCATATATCGTAGACCAGTTTTCACTGCATGAACGCTATGGAAGTTTGCATGGATAAACTAACTCTCTGCACACTAAAGGCAACAACATCTGCTCAAAAAATACTTTGGGAGGGAAGGGTGAAGCAAACCGTGACCCAAAAAGACTTTGGTAGTTAGAAACGTTATCGTCTTACCAAAAATCAAAAATCGTTTTTCAAGCCCAACGGTTTTCCCTCCTTTTAGACGACGGGAAAACGTCTTACAACGCCAAATACTCACTTGGCCAAAACTTGACATGGTCTGCAGTCCTTAAACTGGACGCAGTCAAGACCAAAGCCTTGTTTGATCGTCCCATAGACCAATCTTTGGGCGTTACACTCAGTGACAAGTCTATATTTCTTGCTGGAACAACTCCTCAGGCTGGATTCCGACGTGCTGAACTTCTTCCCAAGTTTCCTGACGGAATAGAAAATATCTTTTCTGGTGTTACGACGTATCACTTCAGTGTTATGTTAGTTTACTGTTCTTGAGCTACGTTTTTCTATTGATTTCGGAACTCAAGTCTATCCTCTTCTTTTGATTTAGGCCTGATCCCACTCGTCCTTACAACTACACTCATGGATACCAAGGTCTCTTTATTGAGACTAAGGGTGTGTGCCTGTGAACCACTCGTTGATGGTGATTCGGTTGAATGCTCAAAGTTTGTAGCTCGTTTCAGAATCCTCAGCTCAAACGACCTTTCGCAACAATAATATAGATGGTACCCACGTCTTTGGACTCCATTTTGGTGCAGAATACGGTCAAATGCTCACATTGATGCCTAGCTCTGTTGCGGGATACGATAAGTGGAAGCCTCTACACCAGGCTAAACTCACTGCCAACGAATGGCAAAATTGGGCAGTTACTATTGACTGGACCAAAGCCACTTTGGTAAGATGTATATTCGAATCTGAATACACGTGTTTGTTCCAATGCTTCAAAACAAACTGTAGACTGCATATTTCTCAACTGGAACTAAACCGCTTGTCAAAGTGGTTGACACTACGCCAAACGCGGTCGCAAATATTTCTGTTATCGAAAATTTCCATTTGGGTTTCCTCAAAGCTGGATATAATTCTACCGATGGGTTCAAGGGTGTCCAACCCTTCGGAATCAACGAAGGTACGTTTTTTAGCACTTCAACTTGCCTTCATTTGGTGCTAGAATCCGCTTTCATAAGTTTCTGACACTGTCATTTATTTGAACTTTAGGAACTATTTTCTCAGGTGCTTTTGTTGAAGATTCTTCTGGTGGAGTCGTGACTTTAAGTCCAAACGGCACAGCAAAGGCAGCAAATTCAACGTGTTTGTGAGATGCTTGATTGTTACTTTTATACCATTACTGTGTGTTTACCTCTGTGTGAGCTATTGCCAAGAAAATATATACGTTCCCGAAATTCAGTCTAAATGGCAGTTTTAAATCATCAAATCCAAGCTACTTGTGACATGCTTGATTTCTTTTACTCATTACTATGTGTTCGCTTACAAAGACATGATGGCAAGTACCGGTATTCAGCGATTGAGGTATTCGTTGGGAAAATTGGACGATTGGATTCTCCACCTCAATTTGGAGATGGTTGAATGTTCTACTACTGAAGCAGATTTTCGAGTTGGAGCTGTTGGATTTTCTACACCTGGGAGTAGATTTTGCCAAAATTCGCGAACCAATCCAACAGAGCCCTTCCAACTTTCCCAAACCAAACGTTTCCGAAGCCAGATAATACATCCAGATCTTTGTGCTGTTACCAAGTACACGGCTAGCCATCAGAATCTTGGACAATCGGACACGAACAAGAGCAAACACGAAGTAGTAGCTGTTACAACCATGTTGATCCATAAGGTCTTATTAGGAGCTCTATTGATTGCCGTAAGCCCCTGCTCGTACCATATATCATATCCCAAGTCCCAACTTACACTCCTCACTCTGACAGACCACAACAGCCCAAAAAATTGTATTCGAAGGTCGCCTGAACGGCACAACATCGTCAGCGTCCATTGATAGTGGAGCAACACCCTACAACCCAAACTATGTTTTGGGACAAGGACTCAAATGGGCTGATATTCTGAAACTCGGCACAGTCAAGACCCCAGCTCTCTTTGATCGCCCGAATGATCAATCCCTGGGAATCACGATTAACGACAAGAGTATTTTCGCACGTGGTACTCCACCAAACCCACAGACTGGGTTTAGACGTGCGGAATTGGTACCGAATGGAATCAAGACTATCTTTACAGGTGTTATGACTTATCATTTCAGTGTCATGTGAGTTGCGGCACAATATTTTGAATTCTTCGCAACTGGGGATTTGCCTCACACACTTTTCTGCTAGGGCTGATGCTACGCGTCCACTCAACTACACGCACTCATACCAACTGTTGTTTCTCGAAACCACTGGTAACGTGTTTTATTCAACAGTTCAACGACGATCTCCATAACAGAATCATGGTTTATTGAATCAAATTCGCCCTTTTCTTAGATGGCACACACGTCTTTGGCTTCCAAATCGGTGGAATAGATGGGAAATCGCTCACACTCATGAGCTCTTCCGTCGAGGCCTACGACAAGCTCAAGCCCCTGTATAATGCACCATTGACTACCACATGGCAGAACTGGGCCATCACTGTTGACTGGACCAAGGCTACTTTGGTAAGCAACAATGCGAAATTTCCTTGGACAAGTCATCAAACCCAGAATCCAAACTGTTTACAATTCCATCACCGCATAGACTGCATACTTCTCAGCTGGTGCCGCACCACTCACGAAAGTCGTAGACACCAGGCCAAACGCCGTCACGCCGAATGCTACAGTTATTGATAACCTTCACATTGGGTTCATTAAGGCTGGGATGGGTGCAACGAATCCACACAACGGTACTCAGCCAACTGGTATCAATGAAGGTGAGGAATAGCGACAGTTTTGATTCCTGTCACCAGATTCGACTGTGCGAAACAATCCACTAAACATTATCCGCGTGTTTGTTATAGGATTGGTCTTTTCCAGTGTCTTTGTTGAAGACTCTGCTGGTGGTGCAGTGACATTGTCACCTGGTAAAACTGCTGTTGGTGCTGGTGGAGCAGCTGCAGGTGCCCAAGCGACCGGCGCAAAGATTCAAGGAGCTAAAACGACCAAACTTCCAAAGGATGCTGCCAAGATTACTCCTAACGCCAAGCAAGCAAATGCAAAGGCTGCTGTTCCAAAAGCATCGCCAAAGTAAAATAGATTTAGTGGTTTGGAGGGATGTTTTCACCCACCTCTGTGTCAAGTTCTTTGTTGTATTTGCGAATAGAATTTTCATTTTTGCCATATGCCTCAGACGCGTTTGCGAGAGTATTTTGATCAGAAACGCGTCGCTGAGTGCCCTTGGTCCGGTTCACAACACCCCAAAAGGGGCTCAATTCCTTCAAATCTCGAAAAACAAGGTTTGCTAACGAGTTCTGTAAATACAGCAGGTCCCCGACAAAGAAAACACATCCAAACTCAGTAAAGTTTTTGTTTCAATTGACTTTCCTCCTTCTCTACGAACTTACACCTCTCTCTCAATCAGTAAAACACGATTGTTGACAACCCCATTCCAAATCAAATAATGATATCAGACGTTACCCTCATGACCTCAGTCAATATACTGGGAGCATGTATATTTATACTCATCATCGCATACCATTACCTGGAAGTCAATACGAAAGGAGTCAGGAGCTGAACATGGCGACATCAAAGCACATACATTACATATTCCCGAATCCCCACTTGGAAGAGTAGACAACACCCTTCATAACATCTCACAGTATATATATCTAAACTATTATCTTTGCCCGCTTGTAAACCTTGCATCTTCCAAACATTATAAACGACTCTATGTTCCTTGCAATGGATGTTTTACAGGATTATGAATTTACTCTAGTATGGTTTGAATTTGCGAGTGTTTTTGAGTGCAGTAATACGTTCCTTGTCTTGCTCGAATTTCTTTCGTAGCTCGGTTAGCTCTAGTGAAATAAAAAAAAATTCAGTGTCACAATCACTCTATTGCAAACACATCTCTGCTTCTCAACCACCACACCCCAAACACCAAAACAACAACCCACAAAACTTACGATTCATCTTCTTCTCCTTTATCTGGAACCTATAGAAATCAAGCAACTCTCTCTTCTTTGGCTTCAGATTCTTGACCTCCTCAGCCTTTGCAGCCGTAACAGTAGCCCCAGACCCATCAGTAGCTGTTTTACGTTTCGAGGCACGAGTTACGGTTATAAATCCATCTGCGTCGGGGACGTTACGTTTGTTTCTGGCTGCTTCACGAGCATCTTTTTCGGCTTGTTCGAATATTGCTAGCTCGTGGGTGACGCGGGATAAGAGGTCCGGAAGTGGTGGGTATAGGATGGATTGTTCTGCTTGCCATTCTATTGCGAAAAAGGAGAGTGTGAGTACGTGATTATCGTTGTACAAGCAAAAAAAGGACATGAAATCAACCGATCAGCGTTTGTACTGCACTTACTCGGTATACCCAGCAACTCATTACTGTCCTCTTCATCACTATCAGCATTAGTATCAGCACTAACCCATATCCTAGCCTGCCCAGCCTTCAATTCCAAAGCACAATCGACCCCATCCTCGTCCTCAAACACCACATGAGCCGTCCTAGCCAAAGAATTCCCTCCACTCTTCTCACGATGAAAGAATACATCCTGTACACTCCCACACCCCTTGAACAGAGTCTCAAAATGCAGCTTTGTAGCATCAATTGGCACATTAGCAACAAACAGAGTCCGATTTACAGGCCATTCTTCGTCATTACTAGGTTTAGGATTGCTATTATTATTGGCTTTACGAGTCTCGTGCCTCTTTAGGAACAGATGGTGGGTTACAGGTATGGGGTTGATGGTGCTTGGAAGGTGGTGGTTTGTGATTGGGATTTGTTTTGTTGATGTGAGTAGTGGTGGCATTTGGATTGTGAGGACTTTGAAGGATGCGAATGACGATATAGTGGTGCTGCTCGTATCGGTGTTTGTAGTTGGTTTTGTTGGATTTTGGGGTTCGACGTTCGCAGCGACAGGTTCATCATCTTCTTCCTGGTCCCACCATGGCTTCTCTGCTGGTTTAGCAGCTGCCTGATTCCTCTTTCTCTTGGCCATCTTGTGTGAAGCGATTGCTATTGTTCAGCTTGATCTATGTTTTCCTGGCTTTTTGCAAAAAAAAAATCACAGCAGTTCGAGAGTGAATGACTGACAACTCTGAGCAAAATGTATCGGTACATATCACGTTAGAAATTACACGTAGTATTATCGGAGGCCCTCCAGAAAACGTGTATGGAGGGGACGATCGGATTTGAGAAATTTGCAGAGCAATCCAAGCCCTGCTGTCATGAATGAAGCACATCTGAGCATCTGTTTCTTCATCCATATGCGTATAATAATCATAAAAGTTCCATTCCCTCCCAAAATTTGCCTGCTCTTTTACCAGCTGCTGTTGATCAAGCGTTGGCGTCAACCTTCAAACTACCAGAACGACAACACACAACCATAATATATCGAATTGTAGCACCGTCATCAGCTGTATTTACTGTCTCGCAAGCCAGATCTACACGTGTCTCCTCCCAAACTACTCGTACTCTCTTGTCTTGTCAATCACCAAAACAATTCATTAATTCTTGATCAATTCCCACATACAACGACCACCAACTTATACCACCAAACAATGGCAGCTACCATAGCATCCCAACAGCGCCAACTGCAAAGCAAACCACCGATGCCAGCAAAAGTAGACTCGGCAATAGGTCTACCATTCACATCACACACACGATTAAGCGACAAGGAAAAGGTACCGTAGATCTGGAACCGCATTACATTCAAGTGGTTTCAAACATATACTAACCCCACTTGACTCTTTCATTCAGAGTGAAATGGACGCTGTCTCGGTAGACTCGCTATTTGCATTATTCGCTGCAATCACTGCAAAGGATTATTCAGAGGCATTGAGAATATGTAAACAGGGTAATGTATTTGTGTTGACAAGTGGAATTTTCAATCAGTATTGATGCGTGTTTCTTTCTAGTGGTGTCTGAAAACAAGTCAAATCCACTGTTTGACGACTATTTGAAAGTATTGACGAGTAGGGCTGAGATGGAGGATCAAATCAAGGATATACCGTCAGATCAACAGGATGATGAAGAGTCGGACGAGGAATCCGAGGAAGAGTCAGAAGACGAGGAGGAGGAGGAAGGCGATGACGAGTAATTTCTCGCTAACGCCAACACACACACATTGTAGTTCCTAAGTCATATAAATCGTTTTTGCACGTCTGCCTACATAATACATCTCAAAAAAAACTACTGTACAACTCATTGTGCGCAAACAACCTTCCACCACGTGGATTTATCACACACGGTAGTCCTTCTGTTTCGTAACCTATGATCTCGTATCTCGCAGTTGTCGTATTCTCCTCGTTTTTAGATCTAGATCCTATCAGACTCAAATCCTGTCTTCAATTAACGAGTACAACAACTCGATTTCATCCTTCCAGACTTCCCCCGAATCGTCTCCTTCGTTCGGAGGCGTTTCGAGCACCATCGGGATGTTGTTCAGTCGATCATCATTCATCAGACAACGGAATGATTGTATTCCCATCTTGCCTGATCCAATGTTGTCGTGTCGATCTGTCTTGTTGCCCAAGATATCTTGGCAGTCATTGATATGAATACCTGTCATGCAGTTAAAGTATATAAATGTTAGCTTTTTTGCAAGTGTGGACATGTACCATACAATCATTCTTTCTAATCCAATATTGTCATGTCGACTACCTTTGAGATACTTGAACCCAACGGTTGTTTCAAAGGCCTTCATGGTCTTCTCATAGCCGGCAGAACTGGAGATATCAAATCCGGCAGCCCACAAATGACAAGTGTCTAGACATACTCCAATTCGTGACTTGTCAGTGACTCCATCAATCATAGCCTATGTTTGAAAAATAATTTTAGCCACTGGGTAATGACCTGCAGATTCAAAACAGCTTCCAACGATGAGGTCCTACCTTGAGTTGCTCAAAAGTTCTCCCAAGTACAGCACCTGCTCCAGCCATGTTCTCAATAACAAGAGTGACACCCTTCGTTTCCTTCAAGGCACGATTGAGACATCCGACCAAATGTGCAATGCTCTCTTGTTCAGTACATTTGCCTGTAGAGCTGCCAGGACTGCGGAAATGGTAAAAAACGGGTGTTTAGCTGTTTGGTGAGAGAATCATAACCATCCATCGATGTATGTACTTACTGGAAGTTGTATCTCGCTATACCCAACTCTTCACATCTCTTCAAGTCTTCGACAAAGCACTTGTATGACTTTTCACGCATCTCTTCGACTGGACTACACATATTCATCAAGTAGATACCATGTGGCAAGATATGTTCTTTTGGGTCATAACCGGCCTTAACACAAGCTTCTTTGAATTCTTTGACATTCTTCAATGGTGGAGATTCCCATTTGCGCTGATTCTTGAGAAACAAGGCGACGGCGGTTCCACTGTGAACAAAAGACGTTATCAGCACAACTCGAATTGCACATTTAACGACGTTTCTACACATACCCAATATGAACGGAATTGGCAATAGCATTCTCAATACCACCAGCCATCGACACATGAGCACCAACATATTTTCCAGTCTTTTTGGCTCGTTCCCAATACTTTGCCATGGCAGCACCAGAATCGACTACAGCGTCTTTACCCTTCTTGAGAGAAAAGACGCGATTGGCCTTCTTTGCTGTAGATGTTGATGAAGCAGCAGGCTTTCGTTTACTAGTCTTCTTTTTAGTACCGCTATCTTCATCGTGATCATGATCATGTTCATCATCCTCATCTTCTTCACTATCATCCAGTTCTACTACATCTTGCATTTTAACATCGTCTTCGGTTTTTTTACTTCGCGCTCGTTTGGTTGGCGTTCGTTTGGGTGACTTTGGTTCATCGTCATCTTCGTCGTCTTCTACTAGATCATCAAAGAGGTTTTTAGACGCAGATGATTTAGCAGCCCGAGCATGTCGTACACTACGCAAAAACATAACAAGTAAGATGTCGTGTATGAGCTTGTTACAAGCGAAGTCAAGATTCAAAAATTCGACAGAAAGTCTCTGTTCAGACTGTGATTCAAGACGAACAGGAGACTTGACCATACCGCTTAGTGTCTGGCACGGCCTCCTGCACCTCCTCATCACTATCAGCAGCTTTGCCACGTTTAGGTCGTTTGGGTGACTTGACTTCTTCCTGATCGACTTCATCGTCATCCTCTTCAGCCTTAACAGCCTTTCGTGGGGCTCTCTTTGGGCTACCTTCTACATCATGACCATTACTGCTCGCGTTGTTGTTTTCTGATGATGGTACTGCCTTCTTGGGCCTTCCACGACCCTTCTTTACAGCAACAGAAGATATGACATTGTTCACAGCCGGGGGCAAGTCTTCACAATCAGGTGGGTTGACCTGTCGGTCCTCCTCAATGATGCCAACAGATGTTGATGTTGAATCTTCTCCGCTGATTTCTATAGCCATTTGATTAAAGTGAACGTGCTCTGCAGCAGCAGGTGGGTTTGACTTTGGCATGATATTGGATGCTAATGTCGATTTGTATGTGCGTGGTGTTTGGTATCGACTTTGCACGTTGAGGATTGATGAATGGGGATGGGCAGTGCGAGTGAGATTTAATGGCCGTGAAGATGCTATAGATAGTATACGCCGTCTACAAATAGAAAGAGCCAAGGTTCCTATTTGAGTCAGTGTGAAGTGTGGTTTCGCAGTCACTTTGTTTGAGTCATGAGCAGTAAATGAACAAAGGAGATTTGTCAAGCACACCTGGAGGTGATTTATGATACCATTACGTGTATTGACATATTGACACGTAGTTAGGCCTTCAACAATGCGAAACGATGGGTCCTTGAATATGAAATTGAGTCGAGTCGATTATTTTGATGCGAAGCGAGTACGTGTCATTTATACAATACCTTGACACCTTGCCATTGCCACACCCTACAGGAAGATGCATTTCAGATACTGATCCTCCACTTTCTCCTTTTCGCATAGAGATACATCTCACAATTCCCCATAACTTTCGCTCTTTGCATTCATATTTCTTGGCTAACCAAACAACAACCAGCATATCACATAGATAGATTAGGACTCCCACCGCATCCACTCCAACTCCACATATCCATAAATGACTCTATCAAATCCATCCAGCCAGCAATCTGGCACGAACGTCGACCAAACAACGTCTCAATCTCAAACACCAACTCCTGTATCTGCACGAGCTCCTCCCAACACGCCCATGGGACTGGCATCGTCTCCTGTATCTGCCACAAGAAGCCATAGCTCATCCATCACTAGCAGGAGCTCGCCCATCACGAGGCAGGTTGCTTCATTCAATGATGCTGAAGAGGAGGACGAAGACGAGGACGACGAGGGTGAATGGGAGGAAGATGAAGAAGATAACGATGAAGTCGACGAGGCATCAAATAATAACAATAATAATAACACAAGAACACATATACACACACACCAACCCCACCTCGAACTCCAACCAAACGGCCTTCCACGTCCACCACCACTAACAGCCTTCCGCAACATGCCTGGTCTCGTAATCCTACACTACTTTATCCTCCCATTTTGTCAAGGTGCCATGTATGGGTTGGGTGAAACTACTGCTAGATTCTGGATGCGTAGATGGTTTGGAGATATGGTCGCTCCTTCTGTGAGCTCGAATGCGCTGGTTAAGAAGGCGTTGATATCTAATAGGGATATGGTCGTGGTCACGTCGCCAAATGAAGAAGATGTTTGGGAACGTGTTGTGGAGTCGATATTTGGGGGACGTAGTCCTGTCAAAAGAAGAAGTAGGGTAGTTGATACGGTAATATCGGAAACTGTGGTTGGAAGTCTGGCTATAGGTTCATCTGCTGGAACCTGGGGGCGTAGGGTGTACATACCTCGATAGAAAAACAAGCTCTGTAAACAAATAACAGCGCATGTGCTTCTTTTGCATATAATAACACAGCATTTCAACCGAAATTGTACATGTATTGTTTTGAGAGTTCTTGAGTGACACTTTGGCAACGTTGAGGAATGTTTGATTACATGATAACGAGAGAGAAGCGTGTTGTCTGCACGAATAGGTTTTTACAACAAATAGTTTTGGAAGCGTATTCCTTGAGGGTGGTAATATAAATATGAGGCCACAGAGATATAAAGAAGAACCCAGTCAACCCCCAACAACCACCAAAACCCAGATCACAATATTTTTAAAATGCCTTTTTCTAATTCTTAGCACTGCTACCACTAGTAGATCGTCCCTGCACCACAAACTGTGTCGACACACGCTGATCAATTCCTCCATATTTGGTCTGAGGAGTAGCAGTATTGACCGACGCTTGTGGTTGTTGGGTGACCATATTTACTTGTGGCTGTTGTTCACCACTACGCAAGTTATATCGTGCACCAGCATTTGTTGTTGTGGTGGTTGAAGCAGACATGGTATACTTGTTTGTGGTTGTGGTTTGGGCTCCATACAACGACGAGGCGGAGCTAGTGGTTGAGTTTGTGGCGTACATACTGGATACGATTGACGATACGGAAGAGGCAAAACCTGATCTGGTGGTGGATTGGGTTTGTTTGTAGTCGAGGCTGCTTGTCTAATGGTTTGAGAAAAGCAATTGTTAGAAAACAAGCACGCCAGTTACGAATGGGCTTTTTTTGTTCACACACAGCAAAACTTACTCTGGTAGTAGGAGCAGACACATCGCCAGCAGCGTCAGCTTGTCCACCATTCACACCGGGCTTTCTGGGCTGCAAAGGTACAGCCATAACCTCAGAATGTCCAACACGAGCCATATTCTGTTGTTGCTGTTGACTGGCTTCACCATCACGAGCATCCAAATACATTTCATCTCCCATATCGGATTCATCATCGCTGTCGAGACTCATTGGTGTTGACACAGTGTTGCTGCCGTATAATTGAGACTCCATATAATCTTGTGATTGTTTGGGAGGGAGTGGAACCATGACGTTGGCCAAGACTGGCGGTATGGGGAATCGACGCATAGTGTAAAAGTTGGGGGTTCGGAGTAATGAAACGGATTGTGGAAGACGGGTTGATGGTGTCATTTTGAATAGTTTGGGCTGTAGACTAAAGATGGCAGGAAAAAAACTGTCAGTCGAGCTCGATTGATAGACGCAATACTCATACGATTCTCAAAGCTTTTCGTACCTTTGTAAAAAGTTCTGTTGTGGTCCTACAACGGAGCCTGGTCTCATCACACGGAGATATCCGATGACTTCGGAAGTAGTGAACCTGTAGTGTTTCATCAAATACGCAGCAATGAGAGTTCCTGTTCTGCCCAGACCTGCTTTGCAGTGAATTGCGATTGCACCTGAATGAAAGATGATTGGGAATATGTTAATTGAATTTCTCAATCATTTATGAGGGGGACGAAAAAAAAGGCGCAAACCAATCCGAGGGGGTACATGTGCCGTGTGTGAGACTCTCAACCTCAGACAAACCGACAAACATACTAAGGCAACCTATTCATCAAACCCTTACCTTGTCGTTGCTCACACAACTCCAAGAATCTCTTCAAGATATGATCAGGAGGAGTAGTTCCATCAGGGAAATACAACTCGACATGCTCAACACCAGCATCCACAAATATCTTTCGTTCATAAATCTTGTTATTCAATCTCACAAGCGACGTGACCTTGTTCTCCTTCAAGTATCGAACCAAATCATCAATCTTGAAGGCAGAGTACAATCTCTTTTTGCCGTTAGCTCCAAGTACTTGCGAGGCCATAGCCATAGCTTGTTGTTGCTGCAGCTGGAAGTCAGATGGAGCAGGCATATATGCGCTTCGTGCAACGATACCGGCAACAGCAGCTGGGAAACCGTTTGCAAGCATTCCAGAGTATGTGGCGGCAGGTCCGACGTTGCTTTTACTTGCTGCACCTGGTGTGCCCGGTGCGTATGCGCCAGGGAGTACAGGGTCATCGTGAGGAGAAGCCAATGCACAGAACTTGTCACAAATCCAGTTCATGTCTCCGTTTTCTACTTTTTCGTAGAATTCGTATGCGTCGAGATCGAGTGCATCTAAATCCAACAAGCCGACATTTAGTGCCTTGTAGAGGCCTCGTAGACAGTCAAGAACTGTGATGTGGTATGTTGCTGCTCCGTATCCTGCGTCTCGGTATGGCAGGAAGGGAGGGTTTATGTTTTGGAAGGGTCGGAATGCTTCATCGGGGGATTGACGATGTACAATCAACTATTGTGTATGAAGTATGTTTGTGGGTTAATGGTAGTGTAGAAATAGAGAGCTAATATTCAAAGGCATGACCCGTCTTTTGGTACCACTTCATACCATATAACAACACATCAAAAACGCAGCATTTGCACGCTTGTCACTGTCCATGCTGGTATAAAGACACATCTTTTTGTTGCAGGTAGCAGGATTCTAAGCAAAGGAATAATGTTTGTTAATCCCTCAGTTTCATCCACCAACAGAAAAAGGTATTCATGATCATAACATACGGTGAATTTTTCATTAACCAAATCACAAAATCGAATAACATGAGACAGATTGTTTGGACCAAAGTCCGAGTAGAAGGCAATGTAGACCAGAGTTTCATCAATAGAGAAATAGTGAATGGAAGGATGCTGTGACGGGGTTTGCGAGACCGAGGTAAAGTACAGTTTGTCTAATTGATGAAGGTGCTCCGGTTAGTGACGACGCGTCAAGGCAGCATAATGACATTCAAGGCATACCTTTAATGATTTCTCTAGCGTTGCTTAGTGCATCGGGACCAGGCAAGACGTGGCTGATGAGGGGAGTCGTTACGTATGGCATATGGACGATGGATGATTATATAAATAGACTAACGGTCAAACGATATGATCCTTTATAGAGAATGGATATAAATAGGTATCGGTGTTCTATTCTTTGTTTGGTGTGGTTGGTTTCCTTCGTTGCGTCCAAAATCGATCAAAATGCAAAATGACTTGAATAGCTATGATGAGGTTCTACAGTGGCAAGGAGAATCTAGAGCGATGGATCTAATGAGTTGGTATCTATGTCGACTAAAATGCACGATATCCGAATCCAAGGAAGTAGAGAAATGTCTCCTGTTGTTACGTCGTCAAGGTATATTGGGTCCGAATTAGTTTCAAGGAAGTCGCAGTCGAAGTTGGCGAAGTAAATTTGCGTCTTCATGACGTACGTACTCCAAAGCTCAGACTCAGTAGGCCTTGCTTGCTGGAATGTCTGTTGTGCTCCCTGCAGCCGTGGAGGTCGTCGTTTGTTTTTAATAACTGGAATTTGTGGGGAATTCACGTGAAGAGAGACACACTTGTTGCCTGAAGTTCAACCCTAGATCTATGGATTTAATGTCAGTTTGAGGACTTTGTAGTCTCCTTTACATCTCGACTAGGGGTCGAAAACACGTCGCTGCCGTGAAGTTGTGATGTCATTCAGCGAATGCGATGTTGTAAAAACAAAAAAATTACTAATCGTTGGACTATGTTGCTATAGAAAGGCAGGCCCTCGCTTTTGATGGACGTATGAAAGTAAAAGTTACCGTCAACACAAGGTTGATTTCAAAAACGCGTGGAATCAAAGGGAAACGAGATATTCTGGAGATAGGAGTTTTAAGTATGGTCCCTTCCTACATTAACACGATTTCAGCTACACTTTGGCCACTTTGGCACGTCGCTCCTCATCGAGTCATCCCTTCAATCGAACTCGCAACGGAAGAACAAGGAGACATAAAAGACTTATAAGACCTCCAGAAAATTACAACCATGTCTGATCCAGCTTCAACAGGAAATGTAAGACCTCCCTTACTTTGACACCAACTTGTCATCAGTCTTGCTGGCCTTTGTGCTTGTGAAATTGGTGGAATTGGAAATTTGTTTAGCGCGAGTCAAACAGAGGGAGGAAGTGTTTGGACGCCGTTAAATGTAGACTATATTGTTGGAATTCTGTAGTACTGCGGAAACTAGTCCCTTTGGATAGACAGTAGAACGGATTCCACAAAGACATTTGTCACATGCTGAAAACAACACAATCTCGGGTACTAACGCCCACACATATGTTTTCAAATTAGGCTGCCTTTGTTCAGGCTGCTGCTGACGCCAAAGTTATGACATACAAACCAAACAATGACGAATTATTGGAATTATATGGTCTTTTCAAACAATCCATTTTTGGAGACAACGAAACTGGTAGGTGCTATTGATGGTGGCATTTTCCTAATTAGTATATATAGCTAACAGCATCCATACTTCTTATAGCCAAACCTGGTTCGTACCATATCCGTTGACTTGACTTCCATGTCACTTCGTGGCCGCTTTACTCAAACTATGAAACTCGCTTTTGAAAATAGGCATGTTTGATCTACAAGGAAAAGCAAAATGGGACGCATATACGAAGTGCAAGGGTAGGTTACAGCGCACTTATGTTTGAATAATTGCTGCCGGGTGGAAGGACTGTTGCCAACTATCATTTCTCAATTTACTAGGTATGTCAAAGGAAGCTGCCCAAGCCCAATACATCGTTGTTGTCACCAAACTTCGATCCAAACAACCCTGAAAATGCAGTAGAAATTTATGTCACGTACTTCTCAAATATAGTAAGATATTGTGGTGATCTAAAAATTCAGATCCTTCCAGAGTTTCGCGTCTGCTGACTCCTAGTATAAAAACTACTTGCTCGACCCTCGTCGCTCAAGACTACGTGACCGCCATCAAGGAATAAAAACATCGGACTCTGGCGTGTGTCACCCGCAAAGTTCCATTTCGTGCTCGTGAGGCGATGATGTGGTCGTGCTTCGACAGAGAGCCTGACGTTTCAAAGTCTTCAGTGAGTAGCAGCCGAAAACGCCCTCTAGGTCTTATAATTTCGTCTATCGATGAAAGCAAAGAGAATCCATCAGGCTCAGCGAACCGTATAGTGGTCGCTTTGATTTACAGGTTTTTCCCAATGGAGTTTCCTTCTATTGAGAATGATTCTAATTGGAAAAGTCTGCTTTTAGAGGTGACGAAAGCCTTGTTCTTGACGGGGGATCTGTAGGAACTGTGACAATTCTCTTGAGCTCTCTCAGAGCGAAATTTCGAGTACAGGAACTCTCTTTTAAAGCTGATGAAGAATTTCGGATTATCGAGGAGGCACAGGTCGTGTGCCCATGTCTGTCTCCGGCGTTTGAGGCAAGTTATCCTCGAAAGCGTCCAAGACTGCAACAGCGTTTTGACGAGGCTGCTCAATTCCAGGAAACCGATGCATGCATGAGAGCTCTGGATTTTGCCTGTGAACGTAAAAAGACTGTTGTTCCTATTATTTTGAGCAAGGTTGAAGACCTCCATGACAGTCGTCTCCGCATTGCTGGTTTGCTATACAGCGACATTCGAGTTTCCGATGATATGCCATGGGCCAAACGAATGGCTGATCTATCATCTCAAATCGATCACAAGTATTTCAGGCGCAAAGAAATAGAGGACGTTAACAATCGAACTCCTGGAGCCAAAAGGGAAACATGCCAGATCATGTTTAGTTATTGCTGGAGCCAACAACCCATGGTTAGGGAGATCAAGGATAGATTACGAAACTCATTAGCAGAGAGCCCAAACCCTGGACTGCAGAACATTAAAATCTGGTTTGATGAAGAGCAAATGTGTGATAATATTTTTGATCATATGGCCGAAGCTGTGGATAATGCTAAAATGGTGATAGCGTGGTTATCAAAAGCATACGAAGTAGGTTGAATCAATTCATTCCCGTACTCCCTTTTGCTCACCAGTGCAAAAATAAATTACAGGAGTCTGCCAATTGCCGCAGAGAGCTACAGTATGCTGCTACGAATAAAAAGACCCTATTGCCTGTTCGCATTGAGCAAGAAACGACTCGGGTGGCTAGCTTAATTCTCGGTGGATGCACGTGTCTAGAAATTTTCGAAGCCGCCCTTGTCGATGAGTGTGTAGACGACATAATCAACTTGATCAACTTTAATCTATTGGGCCAACCCCTACAACCTCTTCATACTACTTACACGTTAAATGATAAGATCATGGAGCTGGATACACGACAACGAGAACTTCACCAGCTTTTCAAGCCGTCTGACCAAATAGAGAGAGAAATTCAAAAGTCTGCGGCAATTCGATCTCCTAATAGTAGGCGGTTGCTTTTGGAGAGATTGAAGAAGTGGGCTAATGATGATGGTGGCAACTTTCTGTGGTTGCGAGGTGATAAAGGTTCAGGGAAAAGTGTCATTGCTTGCTCTGCCACTACATACTTGACACAACACGATGTACATGTCATCGCATTCCCATGTCGGTATAACCAGGAAGATTTGAGTGACGCCAATTCGTTGATTATATCTTTAGCCTTCCAACTATGTAAGTTTCTTTCTGCTGTGTGTTGACCGTCTAAACACTGAATTCTGTCCCGGTGTTAGCCATCTTGAATGAAAAGTATGCAGAGCTGTTGCTCAAAAGAATGGATGATATAGAATGGCAAAAGTGGGGTATTCGAACATTGTTTGAACAATTCCTCCTTGATCCCTTAAACGAGCTCTCAGCTCATCAACGAAGACTGGTAATCATTATAGATGCTCTAGATGAATGTGGTGTGCCAGGATCATTAGGACGTAAAGAGATTCTGGGCTGTTTAGCAAATGCATCGTTCCCAGTTTGGGTAAAATTCATAATCACTAGCCGACGTGATAAAGATCTACTAGCTGCTCTAGATACCCGATTTACTACCGCTCTACCACTCCAAGACCCAAAACCCGTCTCTGCCAGTCTTGATTTCTTCATTGACCTTGGGCTAGACACAAATTTGGACGATATTCGGGAGTTTGCCCGTATTGAGCTGAACAAGATCAGATTGCGAGGATTCAACAGGGCTAAAGAGACTGAGAATATTATAGAAAAGTGTAACGGATCATTTCTTTTGGCATCACTGATGTGTGATAGCCTCTGCCAGTGTATATCTTTAGAAGAGATCTCTGTAGCAAGGGAATCTTTTGCCATTGATGGCAGTGAAGCAGCTGGCGCGGATTTTCAGGAAAGTTTGTTCTTTCTGAGAGTCTTGACTGGAGCTTTGGGCCAAGATAAGCGATGGGGAACCACTTGGCTCTCCTCCTTCAAAGGGATTGTTGGTGCTATCGTGGCCTTACGTAGTGCTCTTCCAGTATCGACCTTGGCAGCACTGCTAGCTGGTGGCGATTCATCTAATACAGCAGAGAAAGGCTTCGAAATACGCTCCGTTTTAGCACGGTTTTCTTCTCTCTTTGATCTGGTTGGTGATAATGTCTCAATTAGCCACAAATCTTTGAACGACTTTTTAACCAACGCTCAGCGTTGCACCGATACTCGATTCTTTATAAATCCGAAGGAAAACCATGCCTTTTTGGGACGCCAGTGTCTTGAAATCTTGAACCACGAACTCGCTTTCAATATGGCAGGAATGGACACATACGGTGTTCCATTACATAACGATATACCTGACTTCCGACATCGTGTGAATACAGCCGTATCGGGTGCCTTATCATACGCTAGTGTTCATTTTATTAGTCATTTGCTCTCTGCTACAATGGATTATGATGAAATAAAAGCTATAAGGTCACTCATTCAGTCATTCTGTGAGTCAAAACTACTCTTTTGGGTTGAAGTCTTGTCATTAGTCGGTCGTTTAGATGTGGCTATGACTGAACCTGCCAGTATACAGTTTTCGGTCTCAGAGCAAAGTCGGCAGTTGCTTTTGGATATCAGCAGGCTTGTTTCCTACTTTAAAACACCCATAGAAGTATCCGCTCTGCACATCTACCGGTCAGCATGGAGATTTTGTCCTCGTGATACCTCTCTATATATAGCATACAACAAATTCGAGCTTCTGACTGGTCCTAAATATGTACGTGGTCTTGAGACAGTGTGGGGTGCTTCATTGCAAGTGTTGAAGGGTCATACGGAAACGGTATACACTTTGGCCATTTCGCCTGATGGCAAGACTATCGCTTCAGGATCTCTTGACAAAACAATTCGGATTTGGACAGCATTGACTGGTAAGGAGCGTTGAACAAAATTCCTTGAAACCACAGCTATCTGACTGTTGGATCTCATTGTATTAAATAGGCAAGGAGGAAGCTGTCCTCAAAGGACACGATGGTCCTGTTTCCATTGTCGCGTTTTCTCCCAACGGGCTGTTTCTAGCATCTGGTTCTCACGATTGCTCGATGCGGATATGGAATACCTCTAATTGTGAGCTGATTGAGTTAATCGAAAATGACAGCCCGAGCGCTAATACTTCGTGTCGTAGGGACGACCGCCCAAATCATCAATGGCCACGAGAAGCAAGTTTGGGCACTTTGCTTTTCTCCAGATTCACGGATGCTCGCTTCTGGAGCATTTGATTGTACAGTTCGCGTGTGGTCACTTGAAAACAACGCAGGTAAAGTGCGATTCGTTGCTATTCGATTTTTTCTAACATGACTTTGGTTCGTAGATCAACAGATGCACATATTTCACCACGATGATTTTGTTACGGAAGTCAAGTTTTCCCCAGACCAAGCAACACTTGCATCAGCCAGCTACGATAAAACAGTAAAATTGTGGGACCTAGAGTCTGGTATGTACTGATTAGTCTTCCACTTTCGTATGAAACACCAACAATTTCACTTTGCAACAGGGGAATGTCATGTTTTGGAAGGACATACAGATCACGTGTTTTGCTTGTCGATATCTGCTGATGGAAAGCTGCTTGCTTCGGGAGGGCATATGAGAGACAAGCGAGTTTTGATATGGGACTTAATCTCTAGTATGTCCGAAAGTCCACATTCGAATCCCGGAATCTCACAAGTTCTGCACTTAGAACGACTTTTAAGGATCATCGAGGGGCACAGTGCTCCTGTGATGTCTGTCTCGTTTTCATCAGATGGACGCATCCTAGCATCTGGGTCTGACGACAAGTCGATAAGGATTTGGGATACTACTTCTGGTAAAGCATTGAAGCCGGATTTATTGTATTTTCGCGTTTTTAACTGAAGCAATACCACCATTTGTACATCATTTAGGCAAAGAGCTCAGAACTTTAAACGGTCATAATGCACCTGTACGGTCTGTATGCTTTCACCCCGTCAATGATGAGGAGCTAGTGTCGTGTTCTGTCGATAAGTCTATACGAATATGGGATATTGGTCTCGGTAAGACTTGCATCTGAGAACTGGAGCGTGTGGCTCAAGGAGCTCGAACAATTTAGACAACAAGAGGGCAAGTCAGGTTTCATTGGGCCACGATGGAGAAGTGACTTCGATATGCCTTTCGTTTGATTCGTCTCTCCTTGCAACTGGTGGAATCGATACTGTGGTGCGAATCTGGCACCTAGAAACCGGTACGTATTGTGTTCATGATATTTGACTCAAAGTTTGAATTTAAGAACTGACAAGTAGGCGCCGAAAAACATGCACTACGCGGAAATACGGACTCTGTAACATCGTTAGCGTTCTCTACTAACGGATCTATTATCGCCTCTGGCGGGGCAGACAAGTCCATTCGATTGTGGAATCTCGTTTCAGGTATTCCAGGCGTAATCGCTCTCTTGAGTCCAATACTGACACCATCATAGGCGAGCCAGAAGGACGGGTGCTAACAGGCCACCTGAAGTCTGTGTCTTGTCTGGCCTTCTCTCCTGATGGCAGTAAGCTTGTGTCTGGAGGCAAAGACTCTACTGCTCAGATTTGGGACGTAACTACAGGTCAGAAACGATCTGAAAACAGCTTGAATCATAAGCCAATACCACTAAATGGCTCAAAATACTAGGAACTCATATAAGAACTTATGTGCCATTGCATCAAATGTCCATCAAATCTGTCATATTTTTGCCTTACGGAACCAAAGTAGCAGGAGGCTCAAAAGAGGCTTTCGGAGGAGAGGAGTACAAATTTGTGTACATTTGGGATCTAACTTCAGGTATGTGAATGGCAAAATGAACTGAGAAAGATGGTTGACCATCCTTTTTGTTCCTTTTCATAAATTCAGACAGTATTGAGAGTACCGAGATGCGGGAAGGACTTGACGACGCTTCTCAGGTGGTGCTGGCACCGTCACCATTCATGATTGACCAGTTTGGATGGTTTTTGAAGAACGAAACCAAACTGTTTTGGGGACCACCAGAGATCTCGCAAGGAATTTGGTGTGTCTCCAGCGATGGGTCATTTTTTGGAGTTGGGACCTCTCAAGGACGCGTAGTAATCATTGACGCGAGAGACATCCTTCACGGAATCGGTGTATTCCAGTTGAATGCTCAATTGAACGGTTGACCTTGAAATATGACTATTGTCCTTAATTTTAATCTATAATACCAAGATCACCAATCACCATAAGCATAAATCATAAACCACAAAGTTTACTTCGGTCTCGCTTCGAAACTGGCTGGCTTGCATCTGTCGTTGACTTCCAAAATTTGCAAGAGAATGAGTGTGAGTGAAGCATTTGCGAACGAGGAATGCGCCAGAGCGATGGGCCTATGGGTCTCAGTATATGGTGGTGCATATATAATGGCTAAAGACCTGTTTGCTACTAATTCATGGTTTCAAAAGATGATTGCAGGAGAGCCCAAAAATCCAGCTCAGAAACCGTCGCATGCTGATGTCGAAGAGGCAGCAGATAAAGTCGTGTCTACTCTGAATGCAATCATATCGACCGTAGGAGTGGTGATTTGGTATTTCGAGGACATGAAAGTGATGTTGAAACCAGTGAGTAAATCTGACATGAGATCGTTCAAATCTTTGCCTAAACTCAGGATCTCTGGCTCACATTCTCTTCTACCGTTTATCGAATGTATTTGCAGGAAGATTTCGCATTCTCGCATTCAGCCATCCGAGAATATTGCCTATGTATAACAGGAGCATACATGATGTTTGATTTTGGACGTATACTCTACTATCTCCTTAAACCAATACCAGGCACATCGCCCTCTGGTCGCATAGCCTTCCTGATCCATCACATAGTAGTAGCATCTGCGTGCTTCTTCTCAGCTGCTCTACACTATGGGACATTCTACACTGGCATATTCTCATTCGGGGAATTCACCACCGTGTTACTGAATCTACGCTTCTTCCTGTCTAAAGCTGGATACAGGCAGTCTCCGATATATACTGTAAACGAGTACCTGTTTGCAATCCTGTTTTTCGGGATACGGGTTGTGGGGGGATGGATTATGATGTGGCATATGCAGGTTAGGTGGAGCGCGTATCAGGGAGGATGGGAGGAACACAATACGAGTACGTTTATTGGATATCTGGTTCCTGCTTGTGGGTATACGCATTGCGTGCTGCAGTGTTGGTGGTTTGGAATGATTGTCAGGATGATGTATAGGAAGATGGTGAGTCCGAGGTTTAAGAAAGAATAGTGCAGGGACAAATCTCTTTATAATGGACTCGACAACACATATAGAAGTATAATATTAAGTAAAAGTTGGGCAGAACAGACCTGTATTGTTGCCCCTAAAACATCTGTTTTCGACACCCTCAACGTGTCTTTGACCATTCAGCGTGGTGACTCAACAGTAGCGAATTAGAGCTAAGAAATCAAGCCATCTGTAACAAACCAACAACAATTTTGTCGAAACGTCCATATCATATGTTTGGAAAGAGAGGCAATTTAATATATGGAAGGAAGTGATTACATGCAAAGCTTTATATGTGTTCACGTTTGTTAGAGCCAAAGTACCTCTGCTTGACGATTCGAGAGCCTAGTCCAATATGTTTTGAAATGAGTTTTTCAAATTTTTGATGTTGACTGGCAATTTGTTCAACCCAATAACACACCCAAGAGAGTTTCTTATGCAGCTAAAGGTGAAATGAGCCTGAGGAGAGAAGGCTTTGGATCTGCGTTCAGGTAGCCTATGTTCATATTGAGTGTGAATGAGTTGACAAGAAGTTTGAGGAGCGTTTGGATACCTAGAAGTAGGACAGCAGGTATGAAACCAATATGAATTGCTGTCTGCCCCCATCCTAGGAGTCTCATTATCTTGGCTCTAGTTGATTCTTCCATGTTTTTATATGTCAAAGCTTGTTTGTTAGACTTGACAAAAAAAGCTGCCAATACCACCTACACATCGCCCGCAGTTCGAAGCTAATACCGTGCGATTTCACGTTATTGATGTATACAAGTGCTCTATTTAGTCATATAAGTGGTGCAGGATCAGCAAATCTACAAAAGGTGGCAATTCTCAAAGCTCGATTGAAGCTCAAACAGCAATAGGCTGCTTGATCTCTATAGTTTCTCCTCCTTCATCTCCTGGCCTTTCAAAGTCACTTGGGTCGTAAATGACTCTAATGGGAGTTGTGCGAGTTTCGATGAGTTGTGCGAGTTTTGATGAGTTCAAATACCAAGTCTCTCCTCCTTTTAGCTTTACTTTATTAGACCTCTTGCATACCTTATGAGAAGTGAGCAGCTCGGACACCTTGCAATATCCTCTCCATCGAATATATCCTCCTAGATCAAGGTAGTCAGCACGGCATCCGGAAGCTATACGCATTTTTTCTGTCTAGCGTTTGATGTTGACCAAAAACCAACCTCTGATATTTGGAACTTGTCACCGCATGGACATGGATATGTATATATTCTTGTTTCTTCATTGAATTCCAAGTCTTCGATCTCAACCTTGTTCGATAAGAAAGAACGATCAGATCTGGCGAAAGTTGTTTCTGGTGTTTTGCTCTCTGAGACTTACCTCATCGTAGAACGATGTCATTGTATAAGAATAGCCGTTGGCAGCAAGGAATTCACCTCTCCAGAGCTTCTTGACTGGTCTCCTTCAACAGACTCAGTATGTCTAGTTTCCAATTATTATTGCAGTAATGCATCTCGTGCATGGACATAGGAGAGATTTAAATCAAGATATGACATCCTGTCGCGTTGATACACGTTCACTAATTGCCGAAAGCCCTTCCATTTTCGTTACCCATTTCTCCACAATTTAGAGGAACGTGTTCGCCAGACTGAGTTAGCTGCGATGGCTGGTAAATCGCCAGAACATGATATCGACCTGCTACGTAGTCGTGGACAATGGCAGCTGGCAAAAGAATCGCTTAAATCATTCAAGACTAAAAACGCTGCCGAATCAACAGGCAAGACTCCAATTTCGTTTGTGTTTTGCATGTTTTGATGACAGAGACCACGCACACGCTCAAAGTTTTTTTAACAAATGCCTTTATTCTACTAGTGTATTCACTGGTCGCGAATGCAGAAGTATCTCTTAATCTATACCTGCAAGTAAATCCCATCAAGTTATCTGGGGAATCTGACGCTGATGTTGCGCAACATCCGTTGGCTGTTCCCCTCGCAACTCCAATATACGTGCCAGATGCTACCTCGAATTTACTAGAAGCACTAAAGAAGGTTGAGGCTGGTAGAGCTTCTGACGGAAGGTCACAATTGTATGCCAAAGTGAGTGTTGAACAGTGCTGCAATGAGGATATACTTGAGGCACGTTTACGCGTATCGAACTAATCTCACACGGTATGTGAATTGTCGTTTAGCAAGCACACGCTTTGTTGGCCCGTATAGATTCAATTACTGGTGAATATTCGGCTGTTGTGAATCGTTTAAGCGCTCAACCAATGCCAGAGCTGCAAGGGCTACCCGATACGTATACTCGAGTCATGGTCATCATGGCGCATTTCTTACACGGTACGAAATTTTCCCAGCCAAAAAAAAAACACTACAGATCTGCGAGCATGAGCCCATGTCTGACTCCAATATCCTTACAGGTCAAGCGCTGGAATTATTGCGTCAAGACAAGGACGCTATAGATATATATACCAAAGCCATATCAAAGATCGAATCACAGTATACAGATGCTGCTGCCTCCAAACCAGACGAAATAGACCAATGGACGAAATGGGTCGAAAATATCGTCTACCATCACGCCATGCTATGTGTTCGTCACGCCCATCTAGATCAAGCTCAAAAATCACTCCAACTCTACCTTCGTTTCCTGGCACCAGTCCCAGATACATATCTTCCTGGTCGTCGAATTGCAATATGTCGGCAATATCTAACCCTCATAACGACAAATCTGGCAAAGCCGTTATCGGGCTACATACATAGACCTAGTGTTGGTTGTGGTGTGCCAGTTGATATTCAAGCTGAGTTGGCTAGACATTTGCCAACGTATGAGAGGCTTGTTACTGCATTATTGCCATTTCCCAAAGGAGAGAATGAAACACCTATAGAGAAAGGACGAGCGCAGAGAGTAGCTCAAGCGTATGATTGGTGGGTGATGGCTGATTCTGGTGGTGGAGATGTTAATGAAGCTGTTGGTGATGTTGTTGAGCGACATTATCGACTCATAGAGGTGAGTTTACGGTAAACCTCCTGACGCTTTTTTGCCAACCCGAAAAATCTTTTGACTAATCATAAAATCACTAGACACTATATCGAGGCACCAAGCATACATTTCAATCTCTGAGACTGTTTAGGTATCTGTCTCATACCTTCTCTTCTCTCCTACATGCATTCGGAGACAACATGTCTCGTGATGAAAAACGAGAGGCACAAGCTGCGGTAGAATCATATCTCTTCATTTTCAACACCCGTCACGGCGCTGCCATCGACCTAGAACGGAAACGACGGGAAGATGCCATGCTAGTGATACGTAGAGCAAGTACCATCGGACGAGGTAGTGAACGTAAATCGGCTGAAGAGAAACGTAAATCTATGGAACGGCGGATGATGGCCGCTACTTTAGAAGTTGGTACAGAGGCAGTGTCTACTGAACGCGTGGCTAGATCTGTTGAATCTCTTAAAGTCTGCAATGGACATTCTTCACCATCTTTGACTGGCCTACCTGCTGGTAGTGCTAGTACATTACCTGACCCTGACGCACCTATAGTTGTTGAAACGGTAGATGGTGAAACTATTGCTGATGTTTTGGGTGTGTTGATTTCTGGAATGAGAATACTGTTGTCGACTGTTGAAGGAGATGAAAAAGAGGTTAGTGTTGCCAAAAAAAGGAACACTCGAACTCAGACAATCGAGTTTGTGACTCAACACGTTTCTGACTTGTCTTCTGGATAGTTGAAAAAGGCTGTTGAGTATGGTCGGAGAGCCCTAGATCTTACCAGACATCACTCAGTCAAGGATCGCCCATTGCTAATACGGCGAGCTCAACAATGGCTTGGTGTATCGTTGGGTGAATTGGCTCTTGAAGGTTTGTTTTTAGTGATGTTCAAAGGGCAAACAAAAGGCGACGTTAAATGTATCTATATTCTTGTAGTAAGAGATTCGGCGTTCAGGAGGCAATGTCAAGCAGAAGCGCTGGAAGCATTGCAAGATGCTGCCTCCATGTTTGGTGAAGATGATCGAGCAGGCTGGGATGTGCTGTATCAACTTGCATTACAAGCAGCTGAAGTAGGAGAGGTGAGACGCGACCCGCAAAAAATAGCGGAAACTGATCGAAGATTCACGCGTGGTCACGAACACTGAATTGTCCTCTCTGTTAGATTGAACAAGCATTCGATGCAATTCAATTATCTCTCACATTCCAACCAACTCACATTCCTTCGTGGAATCTTCTGGCATTATTATTGTCTTCTAAAAAGTCGTGGGATGACGGCATTCGAGTTTTAGAAAACGGATGGACTCATTGCGTTAATGCTCTGGTTGCACGAGCACGAGCTGCTAGAAAACTGTCTTCCGAAGTACCTGAAGATGCTGCTAAACGAATAGCGAGTGGTGCGCCCACTGTTGATATATTTAGTTGGGATTGGGTGGATAGTGCTGATAAGGAGGAGCTGATCTCGTAAGCAATTGTTCGTTCCCAAGATATCTTTTTTTTTTCGTCTTCGTGATTGTCAATTTGTCACTCATTATTCTCTATATAGGCTAAAGCTGACCTCGTTAGCATTGGAAGCTGCTCGCTTTGGACCAAAGGCAGCTCTAGACTCAGTGCAGTCCATCTTCACCCTGTACAGAAAACTCTTCGGTTATGTAGTTGCAGGAATGGAAGAGGACGACGATATGAATCGCTCCACCTTATCCACACCTGCAGCAATATTAGGGCAATCACCAAACACTAATTCAGCGGTCTCGCCTTCTCATTCACCGTCTGCCACCATGTCGAAACAAGATGTACCATTAGAACCATTATCCCTTCCAAAAGCATTATCACCATTCAGATTCCACACACGAGGAGCTTCTACTACTGCTTCCTCATCAACATCACCACCTGGTGCGACCCCTTCGTCAGCTCATCTGCCAGCCCTGTATCGATTCCGACAGTACGACCTACTGATACAGTTATGGCTATCGGCTGCATCACTGTACAGAGAAATAGAGGCCTTTTCTGAAGCAAGTCAAGCAGTAGATACGGCTGAACATGTCGCTGAAGTCGTATCCATGATTGATGGCAGGACTGCTGAAATGGGGTCTGGGAGATTGTTTGGTGCCGGAAGTGTACATCAGGTTATGATGGATCGACGCCGTGGATTTGGACTTAAAAAACGGAAGGGGCTGTTTGCTCTCAGTCCAAAGACATTTAATGGTGGGAGTAGCAGTACTGATGGTTTGGCGAGTGGTGAGAGTTATGCTATTGAAGGTAGATGGAAGGGAGCTAGTGATGCTGTTAGAAGGATGTTGGCTGATGTGGTTTTTGAGGTAAATCAGCATATGGAATCGAGCCTTTTTGTTGTCCAAAAATTCTGATTCCCCCTCTCCCCCTTTAGTCTGCCATGTTACGGCATGCCAAACTCGTCTCTCAACAACGAGCACCAGTGTTAACCAGAGCTCATAAATATCTGTCGCCAGTGGCTCAAGTAGAAGCAGCTCGATCACGCGGTAGGCGACCCGTCATCCCGAAGTCTGCATCAACCTTCTCCTTGGCATCCATGTATTCGGGAACAGATACACCTCCATATGCTACCAGCCCAATATTACCTACACCACCACCACTGCCGACTGCTCCAACAGCCAATTCTAGTACATCTCCATATCAAGCTTCAACAATGGGCACGACATCTTCTAAAGGAAGTTCGTATGATCTAAGAAGCTCGCCAGCGATTAATAATCCATCACCACTAGCCAATCTAAGCAATGCAAACACCAGTAATAGTAATACATCAACAGGTCCATCGCCTGGTGAATCCATTGCATCTGCCTCGTCAAGGCCATTAACTCTAGACTCTGTCATACAGGATTTGCATCTAGCCACTTTATTAGATGATGATCATCTGCCATCGCGAGTATGTCTAGCTCTCCTATACGCCACAACACAGAATCACTCCCTCGCATCATCCATCTTGGAACGAGCTGTTAAACGAGGTAAAGCACGAGGATGCGGTGGTGGACAATCTGGTGTATCGTCAGTATATGGAGGCAATACTGCTGCTTTTGGATGGGAGTCGTGGCGAGCGTTAGGACTATCGTTACAAAAAGTTGGACGATTGGAGGAAGCCAAGACGTCTTTAATGTTTGCTGTTGGATTGGAACGGGTTGGATTTGTGCGTGGGGCAGAGTTGTTAAACAGGGTTGTATATTAGGTTTCGTGGGTCTCGTGTATAATGATGGAATTGGTTATTGTTTATAATTTGATGAGTTTTTTTGTGGAAGTATAGTGGTTTAAGTGTGTTTGTGTACATCCTCATATGATTTTGGACGGAAAACAACGAACAATATAGATGATGTGATGTGCCAAAAAAAATTTAAGCAGCGTTGCTCATAACGAAGACCGATATCGTTCGCCAGAAGCCAAGATAACGCTCTTCGTCCACGAGGTCTATAAAGAGCATTAGGAAACTTCGTCGCTACTGATTCAGAGTATGTGTAGCAAATTCAAACGTGAACGATGGAGAACAAATTTGTCAGAGATGCTCTGGAGGAGGTAAACGCTTCTTTTTGTTGGTTGGAACTCGATCTAGTCAAAGCACGAGAATAGATTCTTTGGTCAAATCCGGAAACGCTGGCATGAAGCAATAGTTTTCTAGTCTCTAAGGCCATAATGCTCTCATGATTCTCATGTCTAAGTCGTTCTGCGATGACTCGTTCTGCGATGACAAGCCGAAAACCATTTTCTGAATCAGATGAACCGGGCTCCGCTGGCTCTTTACTGTAGTGTTTGCTTGAGCTAATTTTGGAGCAGAAGGGTGACGTCTGTCGTCTTGGGTTAGCATCTGCGTCACTCTGGTGAAATGTCTTGTTTCGTGGATTGTGGAATATCTAAAGCCTACATGGAAACTTCGAGGCAGTTATTCAAATTGTAGATTTCCGTACTGCGATGATGAAAAAATGAGCGAGAGAGATAATTTGATCAGTCGAGACTGCTGAACATCAAAGTCACCCGGTGAAAGGTAACGATTGCAAGCGTGACTCGATTCCGATTTAGAGCGCGCTATTTTAGCAATTGCCCTTTCAATGTGCGTTCTTTTAATAGCAAACTCACAAATTGATCTTGGACTACTGGTATTCAAGACACTGCTCACAAAGCAGCATTATTGCCGCGCCGCATCTATAATCTCGCCAATTCGTTTGCTCCGGACGGAGATGATGATACCCAATCTGAATCTTGGGTCCAAACATTGGTATTATCTGGTGAAAAACGTCAAGAGCCTCCATCACTCGCTCCAGCGCTCCAGCATGTTTGTGATCACGAAAGCGCAGTCTCACTATCCTACCATCAAGACAGCGACCTACAGCATCACCATTTTCATTTTAATTCTAGATAATTCTAGATATTTTACATCACATTTCTCGTGTAGTCACCTTCATAACCTCGATATATCTTCGTAGTATTAGCAGGAGTGTAGTGCAACAGAGTAAGGCTCTGCTACGTGTTCCTAATGAAAGTCTGAGTAGGTACATAGCAAAGAACGGTTGAAAATATCTCTCCAATCCAATGTTTCTGATGTCCCGTCCGTCCAACTTTGACTTTTATATAAAACAGAGGTTTGCACAGTTCCACCACTTGAGCTTGTAGTTCTCTTGATGACCGCATGATCATCGTCCCAAATAGAGGTATAGTATTGTGGATTTGTTGTCTCCAAGGTACGCCACTATATAGCTTGTTGGTTTAGTCACTGTCTGCAATTTCAGCTTCAGCTTCTGGAAGACATTGCGTTCCGCATAGGAGCTACAATAGAATAGAAGGATCATACTCATCACAAAGTCATTGGCAAGAATCATACTCATCATAAAGGCTTGCCATCATGTTGGGTCAGAATTATAACAGGAGGCCACCATTGCTCAAAAGCAACAGCATGACCAACAAGGTCACAGATGTCGATATTATGCAGCCTTACTACGCATTCTTACAATCCCACCCTGATTTGACAAACAATATATATTACTCGCCACGTTACTCTGATGATCATCACGAATACCGGTAAGAACTGTCAGCCACTATCACACTACAAAAAAGAATGGATCTAACCTGCGCTAATTTGCAGCCATGTGATCCTCCCGTTGCAATTATTTAGAGCTATTCCCGAGGTTATGAAGGATAGGCTTCTCACAGAACAGGAATGGAGGAGCCTTGGTATAACGCAGAGCCTTGGATGGGAACACTACGAAATTCACAAACCTGAACCTGTAAGTTTCTACATTGTTGCATTGCTTTGCTTATTGAAGAGATAACTATACAAACTGCACAACCACCTTCACTCAGTCATTCTCTAACACAACACGTCATGACCTTTTAGCACATCTTCATGTTCAAACGAGATCTCGAGGTTAAAACAAATAGAAAACACGACGGCTCAGTAATGCAGTTTAACCCTTCCCTTTTCTTCTATCTCATCGTAGAAACCATCTTCTCAGCAAATGGAAATTCAATCAACCCAAGAAGGCATCCCAAGCATCGAAGAACCCATGACTCACGAATCCGAGCTCGAGCCACTCTCAGAAGGCATGGTTATTGAAGACGACCCTCGCATACTACTCGAGATGGATGGTGAGATGTGTGAAATAGTCAACAAATTCAGCGATGATGGAGAAGCCAGCAAAGCACAACAAAGGAAACGCACATCACAATCTCAACCAACAAATGATGATCCCAAGATACGAAGGAACCGTGGCAAATCCGATCAGCAACCTCAACTCATCACATCATCAAGTGCAGCAGCCGATGAAGACGAGCCTGGACCTAAACGACGAAGGTCCACCAGGAAAAAATAGAAGTGTAATAAAATAGAAATAGCGAAAACGTCACCACTTGTAACATAGTCTAACAAAAGGACCAACTTGTAAGTGTCCCGAAAATATGTAAACAGACATTATGAAAGAATATGTTGCTGTGCAAAAAGTTTGTTGATTGTTGTCTGTCGTTGATACAACAATCTGTCAGATAGTCGAAACGTCCATACGAGTCCAAGATAAACCTTGAATTCCATTACTGATAAAGTCAACTCCTCACAGGTCCAAGCTTGAAGACGAGTTTGGAAATTATGAGACAAGGGCCAGCTAGAAGATAATAAAGTGGTTCAAAGAGTACCACTATGACACGTAAAAACTGTACAAATTGGCCAACTTGGTAAGTGTGTCTTGAAAATATGTCCCCCGTAACCACTGGGTCTGTGATTGTGCAAGAAACGTTTTTTATTGTCGTGGAGTCTTTATACTACAATTTGCTATTTCCTTAAGAGGCTGGAGCAGCCACTGCAGGAAGCTTTTTAGCTTGGGTACCTAGATATAAAAATTTAAGATCAGTCCAACAGGTTGGTTTCTATACAGATAGACCAAATAAATATGTATGTTACCTTCACGGAAACCGTTCTTGAATCGTCGTGGCAAGTGCTTCATGTATGCCATTCGTCCAGTTCCAGTAACTTTCCTACGCTTGCCCTTGACACTCCATTCATCTAAATTAACAATATATGATGAGATCGAAGTCCATATCTTCAATGAGGACCGCACAATTCCATGTCGACTGGCTTGTGTGATTTTGCCTCCTCCGCAGAAATGCGATGATTCGTTTTTACGTACACTTCCTTGTCTTTGCAGCAGGGTATCCACATTGTGCACAAGTCTTCTTTTGGTTGTGGAAACTTCGTCTGCCACATCGTCTACATAATGTATGCGACTTGGTATGTCGCATACCAAAGGATTGCGTACCCTTGGTCTATTATCATTGATAAAAAGTTGTTAGAAATGGGATAAGGTTGAGAAATACGGTGGTGCTTATGTCTCTTCTCTCTTCCAGCTGTAAACTTCCAAACTCGTCGAATGGGGTGTCAAAGACATCGCAACCATCCATCGTTTTAACAAAGGGAAGGGGGACAGAGAGAGAGGAATCCAGTTCATCTGTAGCATGGTGTCGACGATATACTCACCATGTTGGCGTCCTCCTTGTTTTAAGTGGACGATTCCTTGTGTTGTATAGAACTGCACCAATGGAAACACCTGGAGAACTGTGTCTTGATTTGAGAAAAGCAGAAAAGTGATAAGTGACGCGGAAAACTTGGCTATTAGCAGCAAGTTGGCAGTAATCTGTTCTTCTGTTCTTCTTTAAATTCTTCGAGAGTTCGCGTTCACGAGTTCAGGACGTCCACGTCGAAATGGTGCGAAGATCGAAGATGGAATTTTGGAAGTTCGAATGCGAGATCTAATACTACGTCGCAAGTCGCGAAGCAAGTTCAGACTTTGGACTTTCAAACTTCGAAATTAACAGATCCAAGATCCAAGTCAAGACGTCGTCAAGTTTCTTTGTTTGGCTGGTTCCCAGAACCTCAATAATCCAAACTCCAGATAAAACCCGTGGGTTTATTCACGAAAGGAAGCTGATCATAACTCGATTTATACATGATCGAGCCGCCGTTAGGTCCCGAGGCAGGCCCCTCTCAGTCTCCCTCACCCTCAACGTCGAATTTGAAGAAGACATTCCCTTCAAGTGAATTCAGGAGGAGAAGTCATGAGATGCTGGCAGCCCCGAAAAAGGAATACGAAAAAAAGCTGAAGAAAGCAAATACCTACGAGGCAAGTGTGTTCTTTGGGTCATCAGGCGCTTATTTTCGTCACGAACTTTGACGTGTGATCAACATCATTGGAATGATTATTAAAAACACGTGATTGTTATATTGAGACAGATCGTACTCGTTCCGTTTATGTGCTGAATTCGACTCTTCATGCGCACCTTGAATACTGTTAAACTGTCTTGATTCCTGCTGCTTCAACACATTTTGAATTTGCAGTCACCTGCTTGATTACACTGCGCTAACACTATACTTCAAATCCTATAGTCTCTTGACTTTGAAGAGCCAGATAATGATCTTCTCCGACAACACTATGCCAAACAGACATCCAAGGACAACATCACACATGATCTTATGGGTTATGTCGTGGTCTTGGTCATTGCAATTCTCACTGCCTCTGTTCGTCTCTTGATCTACTGTGAGATCTTTGGTTTCCTGTATCGGAAGGCCTCTAGGGGCTCATTTCTCTCGTATCTGAAAGTCTTGGTTTTGATACTTCTAGATATTACTGAAAAAGTCCTCGACTGGAGAGCAAAGGGCTTTGTTGCCTACTTTGCTCTAAATGAGCCTGGAAATGCTTGGGGCTTCGCCTTTGGTACTAGTCTTTTATTCGCTCTCCCGGCTTCGGTCTTGTGTTTGATCGAGGTCAGTTGAAATTACATCCTCCAAGACACAGATTAGTTCAAAGGTCAATTGCATACGGACCCAAGCTAATCGTTGCTATGTAATTTAGCCTCAAGCAGCTGGAAGTGGAATGCCAGAGGTGTTGGCTTACTTGAATGGTGTCTCTATGATGAAGTACACAACATTTAAGACTCTGATCATCAAAGCGCTTGGAATGATGGGAATTGTGTCTGCAGGTCTGTTCAGTGGTTTTGAAGGGTACGTGAATACGAACTTCATAAGACTTCGCCGAGACAAACAATCGTTCAAATTTTTCTTCTATTTACACAAGTTAAAACTTTTGATCTTCAGGCCAATGTCACACGTCGGAAGCATCATTGGAATACTGGTCACAAAGTCAATACGCAAGAGTGCAATCCTCTCAAGCTTGTTTTATGGCCAAAAAGCTTCTGAATTACGTGGAGATACAGCCAACATTCTTCGAGTTGCTGAGAAGCGAATCATCCGTATATTTGCATCAACAGGAGCGGCGATTGGTCTTGCCAGTGCCTTTCATGCACCACTGGCCGGAACTTTGTTTGTCGGTAAGAAAAGCTGATTTCAAGTTGTCAGTGTTGCGCATTTCCCTTTCGACAAATTCTAGCACCTTGGTTAACTCTTCTATTCGATAGTTGAAGAAGCCGCCTCCTTCTTCGAAATGGATCTGATCATTCGTACTTTGTTTGCCAGCTTGGTCGCATATTTTCTTGTTGGTGCGTATTTGTTATTTTGTTGTTACAAGAATTCATTTACTGATATTCATTTTCATGTAGGGATGATAGGCCTTCTTCAAAAAGGCCAAGGTATACAAAACATCAAACACATCTCTCAGGCTGCCTACTCGGTGTTCGCAGTCAATGTCAGTTGTAGCACTTCGTTGGCCTTTCAAGATATATTAATGTTGATCTCGATGGGCGTTTTCTTTGGTCAGTTTCACCATTTCAGTTCTATTGAAACTATGTACCTTACGTTGTTTTGGCCTGTTGTAGGTATTTGTGGCCATTATTACAACAAGACTATCGTATACATTCGAGAAATCCGTGCCAAACGCATGGTACCGCACCCATACCTCAGGCTCTTGGAAGTCGTTATCGTCTGTTTGATAACGTCTCTAATTGTCATTTTCGTGCCAAGAACCGAGTTATTCGGGTCGTGTACGTCGCCAATCAATGCCGTACAACACGTGCAGGAGGCAATAAACAATAAAAACTGTCAGGCTACTTGCTCGAATGACCTCAATGCCGTTATATCCAATAATCCTGGGTGTCTGACCAATGTGTGCTTGCCTGACACCCTCTTTGAGAGCTACTCTGAAGCACTTTTCGGAATCTTCAACACTGCAGCTTTGACTTGCCCCAACTTGACAGCCGAAGCTCAACTCACGTATCAAGGCATCATGAACATCTCTACAGTAGCAGGTTGATAAACAGAATACTTGCGGATTTACAATGCTATTGCCACTGACAGACATTTGGCCTTTCATTTACTTAGCGGCGTTCAAACCTGAAGACGTTGAATTACTTGCTGGTGATGAAACTGATACTTGCTACTGGGAGATTGCCAGTTTACTCTTTGCTTCACCAGGTATGGTGTGTGTAATGTTCAAATTAAAACTGAAACCCACACTAAAGCCAATCGTTACCTTAGAGAAAGTGCTTACGCTTCTTTTTTTGAGAGGCATGTATTCCCTCTATCACGCAGGGACTCTGGCCATGTTTGCACTACTGTACATTGCTCTCAGTCTGTTGGTTCATGGAATTGCATTGCCAACTGATTTGATTGTGCCGAATCTGATAATTGGTAGGTGTCGGAAGGACAAAGAAAATATCTTGAAAAGCTGTACAATGTGATTTACATGAAGGACCTTTCAACAGGTGCTACTGCTGGAAGGTTGCTCGGGATGTTGACGAATTGGTTCAAGCTCAGACTTGGCCAAACACTGGTCGATCCGGGAGCGTACAGTCTACTCGGAATGGCAGGTATGACTACCAAAAAACATAGTCGCATAAGTAGTAAGCAAGAGCTGAATTTGCTTCTTTGTCATCCAGGCTTTTGGAGTGGTACATCACGTCTTTTAGTCACTGTCATATTGATTGGTCTCGAATCGACCTTTGATTTGAACTATTTGCCTGGTACGTACGATCGTAATGGTGAAAAGTGTTAAAATGAAGAAGAAAAATCACCTAACATGCCACCTTTGTAGCGTTGTTGGTTGTCTGCATCATTGCCACAATAGTCGGAAATTCACTAGGAGGCAGTATGGTATGCTTCGCATCGGATATTATTTTCGACTCAACATCTCACCTTCACATCTTGCAAATCTAGTATCACTTGGAAATCCACTCTCAGAATCTACCATTCCTCGCATACGAACCGCCACATCATTTACACACAATAACAATCAATACCCTCATGTCGCGGCCAATAATGACTCTTCCTCCTCTGGCCAGTGTATTGGAAATTGCAAATGTGTTGAAGCACTGCACACATTGTGGTTTCCCAATCGTGAATGAACGGCGAGAAGTGCTTGGACTTGTATTGAGAAGTCAACTTTCTCGAAAACTGTGGGGTGTGAATGCGACACCATCGAAGGATGATGACATGATTGGTATATAATTGGACCGAGGTCCTTTTTTGCTTCGCGATATGATCTGAATCATTCCTCTGTCCTCTTAGATATCTCACTCATCATGAACGAATCACCCTGCACCATCGCTGAAGGTGCAACAGCATCCAAAGCATACATATCATTCCGCACTCTGGCATTACGACACATGCTTGTCATTGACCATAGACATCAACTCGTGGGGATGATTACTCGTAAAGACTTTTTGAATAAAGCTCACGGGTTGGGAGATCATCATTTGCGAGGTACAATACGTCGACACCACAGCACTGTAGTACAGCCAGATAGTGATGCCGAGAGTCCACCAAATGGACGTGGCACTTTGATGTATAGGTCAAGGCCATCTTCCATCATGCGTGATAATAATGTGATGCCTGTTATAAGTGAAGTATCACCTACTACTCCTACTTATAATCATGAGATGGTGGATGTACAACGAACTCGCAGTGGGTTTGTCACCGCTACAGTGTTGCCAGAACCGATGCATGCAGAGCCAATTGATGAGCCAATTGATCATGGTCCACGTCAGGAGGCTGATTTGTCTGAATCAAATCTGCTTGATAAGAGCACTTAAGGAGAGTTGCTGGTTGGTGTATAAAAAGTATTACATATGTGCAAAAACGTATTTTATTCATGGTTCCTCAAACAAAATAGAATGTAAACAAGAAGACTTGAAAGTAAACTGGGGGTTATATTGTACAAGTTATGATGCAAATGAGTAAAACTACAAAGGCTACTACATTATCAAACATTTGTCCTTTTGGTGACTACTGCTACTATTACCACTGTTACCACCACTGCTATTACTACCGGCAGTAATTCGAGCGTAAGAGGGTTGTTGTTGCTGTTGTTGTTGTTGTTGTTGTTGTTGTTGTTGTGTTGGTGGTCGTAGAGTGGGTATCTGTGATGGTACAGTTGGACGCTGTTGATGTTGTTGTTGGTTTTGCTGCTGCTGTTGTTGTAATTGTTGTCGAGACGTCTCCTGATCATATAAGAAGCGTTGATGACGCTCATTCTCTTCTTCCTGCATAGCGATAGCTAAAGCCAGACTATTGGAGAGTTCTGTTAGACGCTAATCTGACCACAACAGCAAGTCAATTTAACGCACTCTTCCTCTTCAGTATGTTGAACACTTTCATTTGCTGCAGCTCGTAGTGAGTCTTGGAGGTCTCCATAATCTCTTGGGTCTCCCATTCCAGTCGATGCTTGAGGTGCAGCATTACTCACGGTACGAGCTGGCACGTTTGACGATGCAACAGGAGCTGGTGGTGGTGGATGATACTTTCGGAAGTCAGCATCAACAAATATAGAATCCCCTCCCACGTCACTCAAGGACTCCCAGACTACACCACTGGTTCGTGAAAACCTGTAGCAAAGTCTCTCGTTAGTCTGCTAGCAGCTGATTGTGCATGTCTACAATATCACGCATCCTTACCCTTGATCCGTCACCAAAGTGAATAGTCCACCATCTTTACGTTTGAGTATTGTGTGAAAGTGATTATTTCTGAAGAATACAGCAACCGAGTCGGGTTTGAGAGACTCTGACAGCGAATGGAGTCCGAATACTGTCAATTGGCTCGCCGTTTGATTCAAAAAATCTGAACAAACAATGCCTGATGAAAGGGGTTGGGTTTAGTCTTTCGGAAACCAAATTGCAATAGAAGAGCAAGGACCATACCTCGATGTATCAACTCTTCCTTGTCATGCTTCTTCGGTAAAGCATTACTTGGCACTGAATTCGAAGAACTTGGTTGTGCTGATTCGTCATGACCGATATTCTCCCATTCATCGAGTGTCTCTATTGGTTCGTTATCATGAGGAGGCGAGTTTGATTTCTTTAGCGACTTGATCATATCTTCTTCAAGCTCGTCCTTGGTAATGATCGCATCTACAAGTTTGTTGTAAGACCCGCAAGAAGTGACGACGTGATAATATGTCTCTGTATCTTGAGGATCTACCAGCCAACCGTGGACCAGGTCGACATCCAACAAGTCAAAGACAAGTAAAGCGGGTGTTAATTCGAAGGATTTGGTGGAGCCGAATCTGACGTTTACGTCCAGTCCATATTGAAGGGAAGGCAGCAAATCAATCACGTCCTAGTAGTCGAAGCAGTTCAGTAAACTTTGTAAGGGTTTTCAACGGGAATATGGCTTACGTGTAAGTTCTGGCTGAAGTTTGCCAACATTTCTTCACGTTGCTGCTGAAGCACTGGATCTAAACTTTCGAACTTGTGCGGTACTGGTTCTACCGACCCAGGCCCCTTTCGAAGTAGCAAGTCGGCTATGTAATGATTCATTGGTACAGTAGTGTTGCGACATTCGGCGATTACAAAACAACATCTTACCGATCAATTCTACGAGATACTGATACGATACATGTTCCATTTCTGGCCGGAGTTTGATTTCACCACGTAAAATCAGTACGTTTGCGAGTGCAATCAAAGGACACGGCCTGTACGAGAACAGTGCGACCAAGTCAGAAAGTGTATGACAGGTAGAGGCAAGTCCAAAGGACCAACAATCAGTACAACTCAACACGCGTACCCATTCAAATTCTGAGTAACCAGCTTTAGCTGATACGCTTGACTTCCTTTTGAGAATGACATTGCCTTCAGTTCATAGGAGCTTTCAGGTGAAGTCGGTTGCCTGGATCGAGCTTCGATAGGCAACGGCACATCTGCAGATTGATTGCTTATTGGTATTGTCGTTGCGGATTCCATAGGAGTCTCAATTGACGCCGAGGCCACAGGAAGGGCAGCAGACGTCTCTTGGTCATCAGCGGTGTCCTTGACACGATCATCAATTCCAGACGTCGATGGACTGGCTGTAGAGGTGTTCTCGACAAGGTCATTTATTGCAGACTTCATCTGAACATCAGTAGACGTGTTCTCAACGGTACTATGTGGTGTAGGCTCAACATGTGATTGGTTGATGTTTGATGCTACATCCTCCCCAACGACTAGAGATTCATTCGAGACCTCATCAGCGTCTGTTGTGACATGACTAAGTTTGGTTGCAATGGTATGGGGTGTTGGATCTAGTATGTTATTAGTTGTAACTTGGTTGTTGACAGTGTCGTGATTTTCAATTTCAGAACGTAAAACAACGGCAGGCTCAACAATGGCAGGCTCTGCAGCAGCCACTACAGGAGGTTGCCTTTGATCAGGAATATCGCTTGTGTCTGCCATAGATGGTAAGAAATATTTGATGTTTGGCAGAGAATCAAATCGTGACGCAGGGACACTGCGACGCGGACCAATTGGATTGACGAGAACGTGTTGGCAATCGCAACAACTATGGAGTTTGTGGTACGAAATGGATATTATTTCATAGGTTTAGGCGCGATATCTACTATATCTGCGCGAAGATTGAAGTCATTGACGCCGCATGCCTTTCGGCTCATAGAATGTAGAAAGAAAGAGCTGAAGTGACGGTCGCTTGCATTGCCTGCAATGGAAAGAGGGTGGAATCGACATGTGCATAGCCTTTCTTCGGGTCTAGTATTGGCGTGGTTCAGCTGAAAACAATGAACTTAGCTGTTTGTAGTTTGGAAACGCGTTTAGAAACACTTTCATACTAGATATTCCGGTATTCCTATCCGCCAATGCGGACTACATGACCAAACGCGATGATATTTTGAAGGTTCCGAACACGCAAAAGTTGTCCCCCTTGCCTTTCCTATCCTCTTTTTCATTACCACTTTTCACTTTTTGTGCAGTAGCCACAGAGCAAAAGATAAGGTTGAGTTAAGGCGTAGTTGAAGGTATTTGCAGGCATTACTTCCTATCCAAACCGTACTTTGAAGCTCAAAGAAAGCTCTGCTGCATTGTCGCCCTGCCGACTTTTTCTTTCTCGATCCACCGACGCTATGGCCGCACGCCGACTAATCATGTGCACTAACGAATATGCATCCATCGTTAGATCGTATTGGATATCTACATTATACTATTTATCTCATCGTCCACCGCCCTCTCCCATTAAAATTAAGAGCTTTCAGCACTCATTAGAGCACCAATTTTCAGACAATGCCTAATCACCAAACTGAAGAGGTTTACTACGAAGTAGAAGAGGCAGAGCAACATCATCATGCAATGTTGATGCATGAGAACGCAAGACAAGCCGCCGCTGCTACTGTGAATGCTGGTGGAAGAAGCGCAACCCCACCTGGACTTCCACCTGGAATCATGGTCAGAGAAAACCAACCACAACTGGTATTTCCCGGTTATCACGGGCATCCTTATCCGTACTTTCGGTATGAATTCGATCCACCGTAACAATTCCAAAATCATTACACTCTCGCTTGTGTTTTTAGCATTACTTCGCTTTGCACTGTCCTCAACGATATTTTGTTCAATAGGTATCCTTACGCGTATGCCATGTCTTCATATCCTGGTCCTCCTCCTGGATATGCGGGTCCACCTCCTCATCATCACGATCATGAACACGAACAGCACTATAACGATCATCACGACCACCAACACCACCATCTACGGGAAGAAGAAGAGGCCGCAGCAGCCCTCGAGCACGAACACCATCACTTCCATCATCACCCACATCATCAGCATATAGTGTCTGACATATATGAGCAAACTGCTCATGAACATATCGAACATCATCACGAGCACATGCCTCCCTTTATGCATCCCCAACAGCATCACCCACATCCACTGGAACTACCACATCCAGGATATCATATGGCTCCTCCGCCGGGGTTCCAGTATGCATATCCACCGCCCCCACCGGGTTTCCAATACGTTCCAGGACCACATCCCCCATCTATGCCACTCAGTCCAGCATCATCAGCACCACCAGCTGTCCCCGCTTCTCCATCCAGTAATAGTCCTAGCCAGGTTGGAACCAGGGGGAATAGTCCCGTAGTGCTACCACAACAACAGCCGCAACATCAACAGCAATTACAACAGCAGCAACAACAGCAGCTACATCACCAACATCAGCAGCAGCAGCAACAACAACAGCCGCAACACCCTAGGCCTAGCAAACATCGCCCTACAAAAGTTGAAGGGGCAAGTGATAGTAGTGTAGCAGGTCCACCAGTCATTACAGAACCAAAACCAAAACGAATATATTATTGTCAGATAACAGGATGTGATAAAACATATGGTACAGGTGCAGGACTACGATATCATCTGAAAACCTTCCACAAAGCGTCAACTCAGAGAGCTCCCCCTAGGTATCCCATTTTTTTTAATTCATCTGTTAAGTAAATCCAACTGAGCTCTTTCTGGATATTAGGAAGCCTGCCATATACTTGTGCCAATTATGTCCGAAAGCTTACTCGACAGCTGCAGGACTACGCTACCATATGAAGACGTATAATCACGCAACTGGGGGTACTCTGCCTCATCCTAACAACAAGGGGCATGGGAGTGATGAAACAACCGGCGAGCTCTCTATCGACGAAGACATAGTAGGTGACCACGATGGTATTCATGACGACCTTGGTCATGACGGACTTGATCACGATCAGCATCTTGATCAAACGGATCTTGACGATGCCAGTATTAGTGTTTTGGAATCCAAAGAGAGCGGGCACCACGAGTTGAACGGACATCACGAGTTGAATGAACATCACGACTTGAATGGCCATCACGACTTGAATGGGCATCACGACTTGAATAGCCATCACGAGTTGAATGCGCATCACGAATTGAATGGGCACCACGAGCTTCATGAATTTGATATGCCTGAAAAATGAGGGTTGAACTTCATACTGCAGGAATTCGGTACTGGTTTGTTGTATACTTGTAATCGTGTAGTAGAAATTTTGTAAGTTGATTTAGTTATTCAGAATACTTTAAAGTTCCCTCATCGATACTCGTTGCCTTATATCAACGGTTGGATTGAGCTCTCTGACGCGAATGACGATCTGCGAATGGAACCCCTTGTAGCAGATGCAAGACACATCAATTACTATTACAATACGCAGCAGCTCGAGATATGAGCCATACTCGCGTGGCTGAAAGTGACTCACTCGCTGACTTGCTGAGTTTCTAATTTTAGAGGCTTGCGACCAAGCAAGCGCCCTTTAGAACGTGTTCCAAAGTCAAATAACGATGTATTTTCATATTTACACGTAGATCAGTGACTTCTCTATTTCCTCAAACCAACATATTTCATTTGACACGCACTCGTTCTAAATTCCCAATATTGTTGCCAACTAGCTAGTTTGCTGCTTCAACACAGGAGAGGGCCCAGACTTCTTGGTATGATACACAGATTTGGTCTCGGGTCTGATTTCCGTTTTGGTAACTTGTCTCTTCTTTCTTTTCTCGAAATTGGGAACTGGCTCGTTTGCTAGACTTTACGTGCCTACTCTATACAACTTAATAGCATTCACGACGATTTTGAGGACGTCAATGCGGCCGCACTCTGATTATTACGTGGACTAAAGAGGATGCACTCATCATTAGGTCGTATTGGACATCCACATCGTGCTATTTAACTCAAGATCCACCGCCTCTCCGTATAAAGTCAAGAGCCGCTCTAGTTTCCAGTAGCACAAGTATTGAGAATGGTTGTAACTGGGTTTCGACAATTAAACCCATTTCCAAGACGTTATTTGCTTGGAACTTTACAAGTATCAAGTATCACCCAATGACTTGAACATCATAGATGCCCTCAATATCATGTAGTTCTAGATACCTTTTTCTTATTCTCTGTCTCATGATTAGTAGTCGCAGATGATGAAGAAGACGAAGATCCTGGCGCTTGTTTTTGTTGTTCTTGCTCTTGATAAGACGCGACAAAAGCTCTCGCCTTGGCCTGGATTTCAGCACGCTTGCCACGTATGCCCATCTTAGAATATGGTTTCACTTTGCGGTCGAGTGCCAGCAAAAATTGGCGCTTTTTAATGCCCGATGCAGAAAAGGACGCGAACTTGAATGACAAGCTCAGCAATCCGAAGGAACAGGCCAGATGAGGCTAGAGGTAACGCTAGAAAAAGCTACCACTTCTTTTCAATCGTGATTATGGGAATTCAAAGAGATTGAGCGTCCGCGTCGGTCGAGTGCATGTCAGAAAGCTGAGAAACTTGAACTGCTGTCATTTTGGGCAAAGTTCGAGGTTTTGTTTGGCTGTAATAATAACACCTGAGGTCTTACTTTACACAGTGGGCTTCTCGTGGTATGTATGCTCTATTGAAATATTCAACTCTAGTTTGTGTTTTTTTTTACATGATTTGATTAATCGTACATGATTGCTTCAAACAGATGATATCACCTTTTTTTCTTTTCCACATACACCCATCCCTTTCAAGGAGATTTGAGTTTAGTAGAGGTAGCAAAAACTTTTGTGAAGAAATACCTGAAACTTCCAGAATTGACTAAATACCTTTCCGTCCATGCCCCATTTCTCTGGACCATCAGTTTCTAGTGCTTTATCTCGTTTAATGGTTTTGCACAGGTTCTGGTAATTCTTCCATAGAAACGACATGGTATTGTCAAAGACTTCACGATTTTCTCGTTTCATCGTCACTAGCGCATTTGCATGTTTGATATAGCGGCGACGAGTTTCGTCCCCTTTTATTGGTTTCCAATGCTTTTCCGAATTAGACATTGCCCATTCCGCTAGTGCAATCACCAAAGCAATTGCCTGCAAAACATTGTATGTTGTTGGAATTTGCGTCGAGAGAGCGTCCGTGTGACTTACATGAATCGGAAAGCGGTCCTCCCATTCTAGCTCTGGAGCAATGTCCCGGTAAGCATAGTACAGGGCTCTTGCGAGATATTGAGATTTGAATGGCTGCAGAATAGTTATTGAATAAAGACATTCGTAAGAAAACAAAAGTTTGCGTTGACTAGTAAAAGTGTCAACGCGTGGGACCTTACCACTTCTATCTGCTTTCCATCCTCTCCGTTTTCGTAGCCGCATTTGAATTTCTCAGAGATGCTTTTTGAGACAGCGTGCAACGTAGCCAAGTCTGCCACATCGGCTATTTCCAATAGCCTCTTGCAGATTTCTACTTTTATTTCCCCACGAAATCTCGATAGGTATCCTGGCACAATCTATATAAAAGGAAAAGATTTTACATGATGTTTCACCAGGAGTAACTCGTTTTTGGTGACTCACTGTCTTGCCAAACATGCTCTCCCACTCTTTGTCTTTTCCAAAGGCTTCTTTTGAAATAGCATCAACATAATCTGGCACTTCTGGCTTTAGAGGCCTTCGAAGCAAGACGAAAGAGGTGTGAAACCCTTGTGACAATGTTGTGACAATGGTTGTTCCCTCTTCTCACCACATGTTCTTCAGAAAAGCCTTTTTCCTGTATAGAATCCAGAAGAGCTTCTTTTGTTCAATGGACTTTCCACCACGTCGTCGTTTTGAAGCAGGAGGCCTTTCAGTGGACGACTCATCATCGGCAGAGTTTTCATCGGAAGCGTCTTCAACCGAAGAAGCTTGCGCATCCTCATTTTCGTCTTCATCTTCTGTATCGTTTCGATCATGATACGCTGCGAATCGTTCCATTGGTTTGAGTTGAGATTCTCTAAATGAATTGAGTTCAGGAACGAGTGTGGTTGATGCATGATGTCGCAACAGATTCGAAAGCTTACACGTAGCCAGCAAAAGCCTCCAGTTTTGTAGTCATTTGATCCAGAGTCTCCAGGATTTCGTTGGTGATTCGAGACTCTGCGACTCGTTGCTTCTATATATAGGTGTGCGAGAATGATAAGCATTTGATGGTTGCTTTTACAACGGGTTGATCAGAGTGGCAATGCGAATCGAGAGATGGCGATATTCATTGATTCAGTGAATTTGATATGATTCGACCTTATTCTTGTGTTGTGTCTCAAAATCGCTTGAAGATGACGCTGCAGACAGTTGCTCTTGTTCTTCTCGAAGAGATGTCTCAAAAGGTCGCGCCATATCGTGGATTTTGTTACGATTGACTGGTAGCTTCTAAAAGAGAGAAGAAATTGGTCAAACAATTGGTGCTAGAACGAAGAATGGTCCAACAAATGATGTTTGGTTGTATTGAACTATCAGATTGACCAGAGTCAAAAGACGAAAGAACGAAGATTGCTAGCCATTGATAAGTTCAATCTGTATAGTTCCAAGTACCTTTGGCTTGCGTTCTGTCTCTTGGTTGGTTGAAGCTGACGAGGCCGACTGATGTTGTTGATCGTGACTCTCGAGCGATGCAGCTATTGCCTTTTCTAACATGGCTTCCTCACTACGGTCGCGCCTACTGTTATTGGGGCGATTGCTCATTTTGAAGCGCGTCCTCGTCTTTAATGTGGCACAGAATGTTGTTTGATGGAATTGAGCAAGAGCAAGATGCTGCATCTTGAACTGGGAAATTGAGGTTTTGTGAGTTGACCGCAATATCAAAGAACTAACGGGAAATGACAGAAGCAACAAGATTCTTCTATTCAAAGTCTCCCTTTTTCGCGTTTATCTACTTTCCGTCTTGATGTATGGTTTACAAGGATTCTAACGTTGACGCCCGAGTGACCGTCATCAGTTCCTCTTGACATCTTGACCGAGTGCAGTGGCTACCTGGACTGCTCAGTCTCCAAAGTCTTGATCGCAATACACAGCCTTCCTCACACATTCCATTCTTGCAACAACCAACAACCAACACATTTCCACCAATGGAGGCCGACCGGAACTTGTCCATTCAGAGTCCCACCGAGGACATTTGGGCTGCCCTAGCTACCTTGGAGCAAAAGAAGAAGGACCGTGTAAGTACCGCAAGAACATCACAAATTGCCACAATCTGGAAGGCGTGAAACAGGAAGAGACGAATCTACAGTTAAAAGTGGTTCGGAAATCGAAAATCGTCAAGTGTCTGTGACCGACCTGCCAGTTACAAGTCGCGGTTCGACTTTGCTCCTGTTTTTGACTGTCATAAACTACTTGACTTTTGATCAAGAATGATCATTTTTGACTTACACACTCATACCATTTTAGGTTCGTATTAGAGATGCCGAACTATTGGGTGAACAGCATCGGAGGTCGGCGACCGAGCGTCAAATGTCCAGTACGTGATCATCCAAATAACCACCACACGCCCTTTGTAACATCCAGCTTTTGTACAGTGAGCTCGGGACCTCAGCAGCAACAGTATAAACGTCAACTCGACATGATGAACATGATGAGCCGAAACGTTGAAGACACCTACAAACGGTTCACTCGAGAGGTGGACCAACAGATGGCAGATCTTCGCAAGATTCTAGAAGAGAAGAAGGTGGCTGATCAGCGACAGATGGAGAAGGATATCACTGCCGTCAAAGACGATGTAGCCTCTCTACGTCTCGAAGTGGACACCCAATTCGCTGAAATCCAGAAACAATTCGAAGAGCAACAAAAGCAATTGGACGATCTCGTGGCTCATCAGCGTGATGAGATCAATCATCAGATAGATATGATATGGGAGGAGTTGGAACGTGATGATTCGCAGGTAGAGGAGCTTGCCTGTCAGATATATGGCCTGCAAGGAGATCAGCAACGGCTGATGGTAGAGTATAATGAGAAGCAGAGGACTTTAAAGGAGCAGGAGTATATACAGGCTGATCCTGTACTCAACAAGTTCTATAGACGTTGCCAAATAAAGTTGCAGGAAGTCTTTGCAGCTTCTAGAGTCATCAATTCTAATATGGTCGATAGATCTGAGGGGGGATCAGGTACCTAGCAGTTCAAAGTGCTTTGAGTCAAGTGCTTTCGATCTCATGATCAATGTATTCGCTCTTAGGTGATATTGCTGCTCGAGTAATCAGACTTGCAGGCGACACGATACCCTTCCCAGGCGTATCTCTGGCCGGTGCAATCGTTGCCAAAGGCATATCCCTGTGGGTGAGCAGCAAGCAGAACCAGAAGATTGCTACCATATCTAATATGGCTACTAGCTCGACTGAGGTTGATCAGGTAAGTGAAGTGCTGAAAGTGAAAAGATCGCAAACAGCAGTTTTGTTAACCAGCAAATGTCTCTACAGATTGTGGAAACGACAGCACGGTCGCTGACATTCCAATATGAAGAGCAGCTACGAGCAATGTTTGTAGAAGGAGCCGAATTGTTTGGCGAGTTGATTACCAAATGGGTTCTCGCGTACTTCCATTCTGTAAGTCAACGAAGGTTCAGAGTTTTGAAGTCCCACGATCCACTATGCACTTCGTTTTCAGTCACGTTACTAAGCTTTGACCATACATAGGATGCTGTGGACGACAGCTTCTCAAAACGCAATTCCGACGTTGTCGGTGAAGTCTTGCGTGGTGTTGGATTAATGAAAGGAACCAAATTCACGTCCAAAATCCCCTTGTTGGAGAAAACTGTCCCGTGCCGAATCCCCAAAACTAAATGGACTGACTCCGGAATTGTATATCAGACCGGAATCCGAACTTGGGAGGGACTGCATTTCCGTGGCCCCAACTGCGATGTTGAGAAGTGCGCTTTTGGTCGTAATGAATTGCTTTGTCTGTATTATAATCTAACCCGAATGACCTTCGCTAGATATGGATACCGACTGGGCACAGAAGACGAAGCTCAGAATTTAGGATATTGGAAAATCGGGCCACGAGAATCATCAAAAGTCCTGTGTTTGACTGCAAACCAGATTGCTCGTTTGCCCGAACCACAGGCCCCAACCAACATCAGCAGCGCGGAAAAGTTCAGAAGTCGAGCCCTGCAGCGTGGAAGCAGTTTCACTAAGAGTACTGCATCAATGGTCTTGCAAAATCCAATGGGACTTTTGAATGTGGTCCAGAATGCTCTGACTCTGTAAAACTATTACAGTATATATAACGTTTTTATTTCCAATACACGATTGCACGGAGTCTTTTGCTTCGTCGTTGTATTCTGTCGTTGCGGCTTACAGACAATTCCTTCGCAGAAGCAACAAGACGAGTCGAATCTTGGTCGATTATACATTATGTCGTAGTACACAGAGGGCATCCGAATTTGAGGCAATATCATGAAATAGGCTCTGATATAATCTAGTCGTCACCTCTCGTTTTTTTGTTGCAAGTCCTTTTATTTGATTTACTTTGATTTTCTGTTTGATACACACACTTTTTACTTTTGCAGAGATTATTTCAAGTCACTACCCATACACTACTTTAAACAGAATGCCTTTTAGAGTAAGTACCGTTTACATTGTTCTCAACCCCCACATCATTCATTAAAACAAAGCCTTCTTAAGTATATCATCATAATGTTTAGCATGCACCTCCTTATTATGCTTGGCCAACAAATACACCTTCCTCGACAAATCCTCCAGCTCCTTGCCAACCAAGTCCAGACCAGCAGAAGTCAGCGCATCCCTTTTAAAATGTGACGACACCAACTGTTGCTTGATGGCAGTATGCGCACGACGAGAGAGCAGGGTAAACACAGCATCTTTATGAGACAGTGTCTTTTCAACCATGGTTTTGATCAACGTGATTTGAGCCTCTTCAAGCTCCTTGTTGTTTTTGCCGAGTGCGGTTGATACGGCCTGTACGATTTGAGCGGCGAGATGATCGACGGTTGATTCTCCATCCTCCAGGAGCACGAATAGGGTTTCTTTGAGTTGGGTCATGGCAGCTTTATCACCTCGTAATTCACCGGCTGCGTTACGTGAGAGCATGATTAAACTGGCTACGATGATGATTGCTTGGGCTTCGTTCTGCATACGGCATAATCTATCGGCGTCCAAAAGCAGCGTTTCGGGGACCTTGTCACGAGTCAGCAACGTAGTGTTGTTGAATATAAGTGATAGGAGAGCGTCGTGGTAGACGTCTTCGAAACGGACACGGTTTTCGGGGTGAGATATACCTTCCTTGTCCCTGGCATTCAGCACTTCTTGGAGAGATTTAGCGGAAGTTTCCAACCATGTGGTGGTCTTTTCTAGAGAGATGGATCCCTTGGTGAGAGCATCGTCAAACTTGGCTCGTTCGTATTCGACCGCTTGCTGGGCGAGGTGGGGTCGGAGAGCTTGTAGTCGGTAGTTGGCTAAGTCCAACTAGATGAAAATGCGGGAAAAAAATATTGGAGTTAGAATCCATCGCGTATCTGATTCCTGACTCTGAGCATAGACATGTCGTGGAATAAAGAAAGGATATCACATACCTTCATTTCTTCCAAGACGTTAAGAATTTGTTCAAACGCATGTACTGGGTCTTCAATTTGAGCTAATGTTCGAATAGCAGCATCACGGATGGGAGCACAGAGTTGTGCCATCTTGCTCAAAATGTACTTTATACATCCAGCCAAGTCAAAGATATCCTTGGATATTTGTTGCTGAATCATTTCCAAGTCAAGTTTTTCCTTGATTTCGGTAGCAATATGACCCGTTTCAGACACCATGGAAAGGAGCATCTACAAAGATTGAGCACTGGTTAAACAAGAAGTCTGTGGTATTAAAAAACTGCCAGATTTGCAGCACACTTGCCTGTCTAATATCAGATAATATAGCAATTACATGTTCCTTAGGGCTCTTACGCACAGCATCAAAGAATGCCTTCTTGGCAATACTTCGCACTTGTTCTTCAAGTGGAGATCGTTTAGCAGGTCGTAACTCGAATTCAGGATCCATAACCAACTCATGAGCTAAACCCTCGTTAGTCAATTCACCACCAAATCCACCAACCATTTTCTCAATGTCTACTTGTGGCTGAGTATTGTCAATCAAGCTTGCAACTGGACTGCCACCTTCTTGAGGACTGAGAGTAGCATTTTGGGCAAGTGGGGAAGGTTTTAGCTGTAAAGGCATCTTGTTGAATGTAGTAGATGGCAGTGGTGGAGATGGAGCAGGTGAAGATGATCGAGACGATGGCGAAGCACGAGATGGAATACGAACCGAGTCAATTTTGGGCGATGTAGCCAGTCCAGGGAATCGTTCAGGCGAAGTTGATAATTGAGGCATGGAAGTATCTTCTTCTACGACTTGCTGTTCACGACGGGATGGTTTGCGGCGTTTGGGCGATTCCTTCTGGGAGGCATCGGATTCTTCATCGGTGGCAAACATGGCTGGTTCACTAGTGTCGTCAGTGTGGTTTGCGTTTTCGGATTTGGGGTCTTCGTCGTCAGAGTCTTCTAATAGACCGAATTCGGCACGTACACGGCGAGCTTCGTCGGCTAGTTTGAGGAGAGCTGGACGACCAAAGCGAGACAGACGGTCGTGGATTTGACGTTGTTGTTCGTCAACACGGGGACGCCATTCTAGTTCTGCACCAGCATTGTCCTTGACAGACTATAAGAAATGAGAGTGGAATACAGTTATGTAGTTGTAAGAAATCAGAAAAAGACAAAAAGTTACAAATTGAAACAAAGAGCGCAAAAACGAGGAAGTGGCACTACAAAATAAACTTACCAACCAAAGTTTCTCCAACTCAATCCAATGCGCAATCATACTATCAATAATCTTATCCGTGTCCTTGTTCTTCCAAGCCTCAAAAGCACTATGGTAGGCTTCCCAAGCAGGCAAGAAGGCCTGTAAGCGAGTATATGACCCTTCAACAGCATACCCAGCAACCCAAGCTTCAAACTTGCGCAACATGGAATCCGCCAATTCCTTCAATCCAAGCTCTTCAGAGCCCATACGAGTCAATATCTCAGAAGGATGGGCAGATATCATATACGAGGATAAAAACACTCGGGCCATATTCTTGGTTGAGACTGGCACATCCCGAGATTTTCGTAGCCGCATAAGGAGTCTGGTGGTTGCTTTAATTAAGGCGTCGGACTGCACGATTTTGACTAGCTTGTCAAACGAAGTGGCAGATGAATGCTGAAGCGATATCCCATGTTTGACAAAAGCCTTGACGGAGGGTGCTTGCTTATACTTCCTCCAAGCAGACTGTAACGTCTTGGCAGCCTGCCCACGAACTACTTCCCGATCAAACAAGTTACTTTCTGAAATCCATCGCGATCGTGGTGTTCGAACCAGCTTTTGACGACGTTGATCGGAGAGACGTAATTTAGCTTCCAGGGCAACAGCCTTCTTTTCGATTTCCTGAGCGTATTTGGCAGAGTTGGCAGTGCGGATACGGTTTATGTGCGAGTGGCGGCGTTTAAGCTTGAGCTTGCGAGCTTCGATAATTTCATGGTGCCGTTGGCTGATATTGGACATGTAGGTTGGATCCGAGCCACTTCTAGTACGTATACGACTTTCTACATGGTGAGGCTTTCCCTATTCAAATGCAGTATTCATTAGTCCATTGTTTTTACATTGCGGCAACAAAAGTATCTTTTTCGAAAAGTTTGGAAACTCATTGAAATAACTTGACATACTGCAGGATGTTTCAAGTCAATCACATCGACTACGTATACTGCACTCTCCATATTGCGACTACTCGACTATGTCGTCTTGTCTATGCGAGAGAGCAAACTGATTGTTGTTTTAAGAGTTTCTAATTCTGGTTTTTGAATTTCAAACCCCAATCACGAGGAATGAAAAGCATGGATCGGATGACACTTGCTAGTTGCCTCCTGCAGAAGCACTCAACGAACGGACTTTGGATGCCCAAATAAATCGAATGAAGTATCCATGAGTAATTTATTTTTGCGACAATATTTTTCTAGATTTTCGATGAAAAGTATTTCTCTAGGTTTTTTCCTCCACTCTCCAAATGGTCTTCAAGTTTGCAAAAGGCAAATCTTGCCATGTTCCCCGCTACGTGCTGTTGCTGAGGACTACCAGGCACGTAGAACGCCGAGGGTGGAATAGCCGTTACACCTATTTTTGATGGAAGGTATTTCAGGTTAGCGACAGCCATGATTGACAAATACTACGCTAAACTTGCCAGCTTCAGTTGTCAGAAATTTGCAAACACGATAATCCCGTCCGCGGTGATCAGCAGCTGCCAACTGCAATGTTGGCGACGATTGAATCTTGCTTTGAGGGAGCTGAGCTGGATCTGGGATTGATGTAGTGTCTGCTAATATGAAATATCCACCTAATGCAATTGGTTGAGGTTTAGAACACTACTTTTGGGTGGGAATGTGCTAAAGCTTACCATGAGGAACGATAGGAGTCAGTCCAACTGATTTCAATGTATGTACCAGCTTGTCTCGTAGTTTTTCGTATAGTTTCAGATTATCCTTGAAATAATTGTTCGTTGATGCTTCATCCAAAGCTTGAGCTGTAGCTTCCTGGAGGAGTTTAGACTTTAGTAAATACCCAATGGACAACACCAACCCGATGTTTCAACATACTTGCAGAGGAGTCACAATCGCATAAGGAACAAATTGATGTACCATCCACACGCTCCTCACAAGTTCTTGTGGGCCTAATACCCAACCAATCTTCCAGCCAGTTAACCCAAGAGTCTTTCCGACTGATCCAAAGGTAATTGTGCGTTCCCATGCACCCGGAAGTGTGGCGAATTTGATCATTGGTGAAACAGAGTCAGTGTACACCAGCGATTCATAGACCTCGTCAGCAAACACCAATATATCGTGTCGAGTGGCAATATCTAGAATGCCTAATAATTCTTGACGAGTAAACACCTTCCCGATTGGATTGTTAGGATTATTCACCATGATGGCTTTTGTACGTGGAGTTATAGCAGCTTCTACTTCCTTCAAGTCCAGCTTGAAATCGTCTGACGTGAGTGCTGGGCGATCTGTAGGTGGTTTCAACGACACAACAACTGGTTTGCCTCCAGCCATTGTAACAGAAGCAGGATATGAATCATAGTATGGCTGCATGAGGATGACTTCATCACCGGGATTTACGAATGCTTGTATGGTCGAGTAGATGGCTTCAGTTGCTCCGACAGTTGTGATTATGTTGGTCATTGGATCGAGCTTTCTACCAAGCTTAGGTTCATAGTACTTGGCTAGCGAGTGTACTAGACGAGTGTGGCCTTCACTTCGTGCATACTGATGCAGCGGGTTTATGGAGCTAACAGCAGTATGTGCCGCGTTTCGTATGAACTCTGGAACAGGCAGAGTCGGGAATCCTTGACCCAGGTTGATTGCATTATGCTAACGACGAATGCGTGAATTAACTAGTGTCGGGGTCACTCGTTGCCAATACTTGATGTTGGCAACATCCAGATGTTACCTTGACAGCTAGACCTGTATATTCAGCAAACACCGTGCCACCTGCATCGAGGGCAAGTATTTTGGCACTAGACTATTTAAGAAGGTCCACGTTAGCCATTCATCATCAAGAAACGTAATCATCATCCAGAAACACGGACAACCTTTTGAGAGATTGCCATTGCGTTCCTTGACTGTAACCGAGACGGTGATAAGACGTTCTTGAGCGATGCAGAGATGGTGAGAGCGTTCCTTGGTCTGAATAGCATAGAGCTAGTGGGCTACTTACTCGAAAGATGCAATGATTGCGAATGAATGGAGCAATGTAGCACGATTTCAAACACAACCAGAGGATGTGAAGTTGATTCTGGGCGTGTTCAATACTGTGAATTCTTCGATAAAACGTCCAAGACGCGTCTCTGGTGTCTTGTAGTCGTGAATTTCCCCTGACGATTCCCGGTCAATTGTTTAACGCATGCTAAAGCTAGCAATACACACTAGACAGAGACATGTCGGCTCCAATCGTGCCATTGAGAGCTGCGTCCACTCCAGAAAAGCAAATTTTTGCTTCACTACAGTACCTAAATGGTAGTGGAACCATCAAGGAACGATACGCTTCAAAAATCTTGTCAAGTCAGTCGCAGATGTCAGTCATTGCCTAGTTTGTTATAACGCTCTAATCAACACTTACCTTCAAATAATAGCTATAAATTTACAGCAAGGATGTGTCCTTGTAGTTGGAAGCACGGGAGTACGTCATGTTTAAAGTCAAGCTTAATCATTCTGTCGTTTAGGAATCTTGCACTCACAGCTTTGATGCAACCTTCCTGTTATAGAATTTCGCCCTAGCTGTAGCTCGCCAAGCGGCTGGCAGATGTCATGTCTTAGCTGGTCAGTTTCTTGTGTGGACGTCTCCTTGAAGTTTGCTGAAAACATGGTCCCAACAACATGATCCAAAACATTTACGTCTCTTCATGCAATTCTCACTCGCTTCATCGTCTCGCTCGTAGTGCTTCCCGAACGCAAGACTTCAACTGACAAGGTCAAAATGATGAAGTCTCTTGGGGTCGAGATTGTGAGAACACCTCTAGGAGCACATAATGAAGCACCAGAACACCCAAAACAACTTGCAAAATCAATCGCCGCCACAACTCCAAATGCCATTCTTGTTGACGAATACCAATCGGATCTCACATCAGTCTTTGACGAAATTCTCACTGAAACAACTCAAGCCAATATCGCATTTGACACTCTGGTCGTCTCATTGAAAGAAATCGTTGATCTGCCTCTATTTACTGCCGCTGTAGCCAAAAGACTTGGACCAGCAGTCAAAGTCATCACAGTCTCGTCCGCTGCAGATGCCGCCAAAAAGGTCGAAACTGGGTCCTATATACATGAGAGAGATGCTTATTCAACAGCGAGGAGATTGATCAGTCAAGAAGGAGTTTTGGCAGGTAGCTTATCTGGTTTATTTTGTGAGAAGAGAATTACGGTTCTAACGTGGGCTTCCCCAGGCGTGTCAAGTGGTATGGTGGTGGCTGCAGCATTGAAAAGTGAAGGAAAGAAGATTCTGTGTATTCTCGACGATGCTGCCTACAATTACGCATCTACATTGCTCAAGTAAGCATTGTCAGTTGGTTACACTCCGCTTTTGAGAACTCTCCTTTTGAAAAGCTCACAAGACTTGTTTTAGTGATGACTTTTTGTTGGAACAAAATTTGCTTGATGATTCGATGTTGCGGGAAATTCGTTCACGCCAAGTGGAAAGATATCGAGGAGCGGTGAGTAGCGTCTTACTCCTCTATAATAGCAGCATGAATGTTACTAACATATACTCTACTCACAGAGTGTGGAAGACTTACAGCTACCTTCGGCTGTGTGTATTCTCGAATCTTCGTCAGTTGGTGATGCTAGAACTGTCATGATAGAGCGTGATTTCTCGTACTTGGTCAGCGAGTTTTAAACCGTTTTCCATCGTTGAGTATTCGTACTAATCATGTTGTGAATAGCCCGTCATCAATGCCAGGAGGAAAATGATCGGATTTGTGAGCTTGGGATCTGTCGATGCTCATCTCTCTTCACGAGAAGTGCAGCTTGAAACTCCAGTGTCGGCTGTCGCTTTCAAGACTTTTTCTAGAGACAAGGAATTCAAACTGATTACGCCCTCTACTCCATTGGTTGAACTCGACACATTCTTTGACACTCACCCAGCAGCTTTCATAACCGATGAGGTATGATGGAAGATGTCAATGATTCCAATGTATTTGTACTCAATAATCCTTGCTGTTATAGGCAGGGGAGTTCCCATTAGGTGTCTGCACTAAGCTGGATCTGATTAGATTCCTCAACGCTCGCAGAACGTGATACGTGATTTAGAAGGAGGTGTAATATTGAAACGAAATAAAGCCTTGCATCGCAAAACTGTGCTTTTATAGTCCTCGATCTTGTTGTTTTCTGCATGTGCAAACGGCCTTTGCGGTGCTGGCGCACGCAGTTCCTGCCAAGGCCATTGGTGGCGATTTCCGTGACATAATTCAGCACATTTACGAATCCTCAGCGGTAATTACGCGTCCAGAATTTCCTAAATAGCCTCGCACTCACTAACTCGCAAGTGATGCTCCTCCAAGCAGTTTCAAATCCTGCTTGTTGTCGAATCTTTCATACAAACAACAGCGACCAAAACCCGAGACCGACGATGGCTCCAGTAGGCGAATTAGCTTCATTCGTTGCAAATGGAAACTTTATCCCTCACAGTCTGAATATGGATGAACTGGCTGCATCGAGAGGAACTTCGAATTCACCGTTTCCATTCAACAATTCTCCCTCATTGTCTGTCTTGAATGATCGTGCCTTTGGTGAAAAGATGCCTATTCTTACGCCAGGAATGCTATCTGAAAATGCTGTCGAGGTTAGGAGGACGGCAAAAAACCTTGGTAAGCAAAACCACACATTGATCATTTCTCGACGAGGATGTGCTGGTGTATGGACTGGGTTGTTTAACCCTGAAGCAAGAAAGAGAGGTGGAGCTTTGAATCATCAGTACAAGCACGTTGCAGGATCTCTGGCGCATCGATCCGATTTTTGGAATGTCATCGCTGTGAACCACTGAATGACAAATAACAGCAACGCAGTCAGATTTGCTGTGAAGCTGTTTTTGAACAAAAGATAACCCTCAACTTTTATTTTCTTTTGCCAGGTCGGGCTCTGATGAAGCTTGAACACCCGAATAGCGTCATGCTGATTGCGAAACTGGTGGACGTCAAGATTATAGAGTTTACCAGGATTCTCGCTTGCCATTTGATTGATACACCACGTGCTTGTGGAATCAGTGGGCTCAAAGTGTAAGGGTTTCCGAGTTGCTTGTAAATATGTACGCATCAAGCTTACCTTCTACGTGAAACACACCTAGATTCATTGACGCCAAGCTGAAGAATCACCCATACTTTAACTATAACAAACTGATTGCCACTCACCCACACTATGCCGAAAATATGGATTTTTGGAGCTCTGATATGTGTAAAGCCAAACCGGAATCTGTTGACTTTATCATTACGTGAGTTTGGCCACGTCAACGTCACTGTCCTTGCTCAGATCTAACCCAACCTTTCGTTACCAGTCTTGGAGGCGACGGAACAGTCCTCTTCTCCTCATTCCTCTTTCAAAAGTCTCAGGTGCCTCCTGTGATACCATTTCACTTAGGATCGCTTGGATTCCTCACAAACTTTAATGTGGCTGATATTCGAGATGTTTTGGAACGTGTTATTGGATGTCATGGTGATGGTGTAAGAGTGAATATGCGAATGAGGTGAATATTCAATATGTTTCTCGTCCATTTGTCTGTGACACGTCATCAATGTTATGTTTTGTTTCGCCTAGGTTGAAGTGTGAAGTCTGGAGACAATCATATGCTTCAGCACCAACAAGAGGACGAGGTGGTGATAACGAACGTATAAAAGCTTTAAGAGAATCGCATCAACGAACACATACACCAAATGGTCGAGCCCCAACCAACTCTACGCAAACTTTGTCTGAATCTGATCTACCACCATCTACAAATAGTGTAAATGGTAGTAGTCCAAATGCAACCCCGACGTCACGAGCAAGAGCATCATCGACGAGCTCTATAGCAGCAGCGCCTGCTTCAGCAAATCTAGGTGTCAGCTCTAGGCCACGATCACCAATGCCTCCGAATTCACTACCTACTACGCCTGCAGCCCCTGGAACGATTGTAGAATCACCACACGATTACGATCTCACTGAAACTGCATCCGTATTCTCCGAAGCCAGTTTTGACCAACACGTCTCGAATATATCAGCATTCAATAGAAACACTGATATTCCCAATATTGTGAATGTTTTGGATAGTATCACGCCAAGTCTTACGAGTCAGGCCAATATGAATGGGCATGATGATTGGAATGCTAGCACAGGTCGACGTGGTCGTGGGTTGGGAGATGCACAAAGGGGTGAACCTACGTATGTCAAGAGTGAGGAGATTCATATTCTGAATGATTTGGTGGTGGATCGTGGACCATCAGCTTATATGAGTCAGCTCGAGCTGTTTGTTGATAATCGACATCTGACGACTGGTAGCCATTTTGTTGTCTTGTGATGGTTTCGACATTGTTCTGACTCTTCTATGGTTTTATCATAGTGCAAGCTGATGGGTTGGTGCTGTCTGGTCCTACAGGCTCAACTGCATACAGTCTCTCTGCTGGTAATTGATGATTCTTGAAACTTATTGGAAAAAAACACTTTTTCTGAACAGAATTTCTCTCAAAATCAAATAGGCGGATCTGTAGTGCACCCAGAATGTCCAGCTATACTCGTAACACCCATATGTCCTCATACTCTCTCGTTCCGGCCATTGATTCTGCCTGACAGCTGTGAAATACGTATATCTGTGCCACATAGCTCTAGGAACACTGCGTTTGGTGAGGGATAGAACGTTGAAGTCGTTTTCTATTACTTCGCTGACACTTTTTTTTCTCATGCAGCTGCATTCGATGGACGACATAGAATCGAGCTTCTCCAAGGAGACTACATCACAATCTCAATGAGTCCTTACCCTATGCCCACAGTCTGTGCTGAAGACCAAAGTCTAGATTGGTTTGAAAGTCTACGTAGATGTCTACACTGGAATGAACGTACTAGACAAAAGGGAATCAATGACGAATCACCAACCGTAAATGATCTCGAAGAGGCTCTATATAGAGGTCCAGAAAGAGCACCATCTGTCGTACCACATATACATGGAACAGCAGCAAGTGTGTCTTCTGATATGTCATCGCCTCCTCGACCATGTCCATTAGAACCTGTTATCCCAGCCGATGTTTTAAGCACATCCATATCATCCTTATCTACCAGTTTTGCAGATCTTGATGCTGCACGACGAACATCGTCGGGTGACGATGTAGAAGAGTTGGGTTTTGTATAGAATTAGTAGAAAGTGGTAGTTTTGTTCATATACTTAAAGTTGTTTTTGACGCCATCGGGAACATAAAGTGATTTATAAGAAACCATTTCGTGAACAATTTGTATGCGCGGAGTCTAGACAGTAGTATTTGCACGAATCTAGAATATTGCAGCGTGAAGGGAGGCTTATAGCTTCAAGTTCTTGCTAGCCAAAGAGTGACCACCGTCATAAGGAATGACGGTCCCATTCAAATACGCACCACCACGTGAGGTCATGAATAGAATGAGCTAGAGAGTAAGAAAACGGGTCAGGTGCGAGGTCAACCATGCTGAAAACAAGGCATGTTAAAATGACAAAATGGACGTACGCCGGCTATGTCAGCGGGTGTACCAAGTCTTCCGAGAGGGATTTGAGATACAGTTGCATCTCGCATCTATTTGATAAACAGACAGGTTATTACGGCCTTCGAGGAGTGCAACATGATGTCCTCGCTCGATTGAAGGAACTTATAAATTTCTTACCTCAGAATTGTCAGTGTAGAATCGAGCCATTCGGGAAGGGAAGACTCCAGGAGCAATGCAATTGACAGTTATTCCCTTTGGACCCAACATGGCTGCCATAACTTTGGTCAGGTGGTGAATAGCTGCCTAAAAAATAAAGTTTTTTGAGCGAACAAATCAAGCTCATTTTCCGGGGCAGCGTACCTTGGAAGCTGCATAAGAGGGATTGTTCATGTTTTCATCTGCAGAAGGATAAAAAGTCAATAGGCTTGGAAGAAATAAACTTTCGATGATAGATTCGTACTTTGAGTGATTCCAGCAACAGATCCAATCATGACAACTCTTGGTGGATCGTATGGGCCTCGGTTTGCAGCCTTCAACATATCCAAACAGGCAACGGTCAAGTAGTATGGAGTGTACACGTTCAGAGAGAAGACATCGTGCCAGCGATTCTCAGGGAATGATTCCATTGGTGCACCCCAGGTCATACCTTTTTTTGGACAGCGTGTAAATCAACATGTTCATGACGTTGTAAGCGATGCAAGATACCGACCAGCATTGTTTACGAGAATATCGAGTTTCTTGGTGTGCTTCCTCAGTTCAGCAGCGAGATCATCACAGGCCTTTTTGCTGGTCAAATCTCCAGCGATAGCAATACATTTTCCTGGTCCCATTTTGGTGAGTTCGTCCGCGACTTTGCCTAGGACGTCACCCTTCCTGGAACTGGTGTACACGATTGCACCATTTGCGACTAGGGCTCTGCAGATGTAGAAGCCAATGCCAGATCCACCTTCAACGGGATCCCATCCACGAACAGTAGGTTAGAAAGAGGGATTTGCAATTGGATGTTGTAGAGCAAGCAATGATGATGTCATGGAGTTGATATAGGAGGAAAGAGGGACGGTTACGGTGAATTCTCCACGATTTGGTACTCTGGAAGAATGAATAGGATGCACTTGAGCTTACCTCCAGTAACTGGAAGGTGTTCAAAGTGTTAGTTCAGGCAGTGAGGTTTTAACGACCACAGAAAACCAAGCAACAAACCCATACCGAGTGCGATTCTTCCCGTCAGATCGAAAAGGCTGGATGCGTTAACTGGTGGGTCTTCAGCCATGATAGTTTTCTAGTGGTTTTCGTTGTAAATGTGAGGTGCGTCCAAAGAAATGTTGCAGAGTGACACCAACGATTGGCAAACGAGACCCAACAGTTTGATGTAGCTAGTCTTTATGAGAGTCTGAAATAGCAAAAAAATACATTCGCGCGACCGTCAGCATGTGAGCATATCAACACTCGCGTCGCTTTGGGTTATATTCGGAAATAAACTGATACAATACTCTTAACTCGTATCTAAAGATTATTCGCACCAGACTGGCGTCGTGATGACGCTGATGCAAAGCTTGGTCTCTTTTTGAGCGGTGGTGGCCGTGATGCTGCGATACGAAGCTGATTGATTCCAGCCTGGCTCAAATACACCCTTCCATCATGTTTGACTGCAGGAGCAAGAGCAATGGTAACACGTTGTTTCAATTCACGTAGTTGGTTGGATGGTTTGCAAAGATGGAGATTGTGGATGATTTCACCAGAGAATTCTAAATTGGCGTTGAATTCGAGTTTCTTGGCGTTGAGTACGTCTCGTCTGGCTTCAGCTGCTACGAGTACAATGTTGCCGTTTAGTGGTATGGGTGTATGGCATGAGAAGGATTCGAGTGTTGGCAATGTGACGATTTCGAAAATGTTGAGAGTCAATCGGTTGATTGTGAGATGGGTCAGATAGCCACAGTGTACGAATATTGGAGACAAGTCCACGAATGGCGGTATTTTTCCTTTTTCAGACGGCTTGCTGGAGACTGTGAGAGATTGCAAGTGTTGGCCGTTCCTAAAGATAAAGTCCTTGAGTCCGTTTTGTTTAACGCTATTGACAATGTTTGTGAGTATTCTGTATTGAAACCACGGCAAGTCACTGCGTACTAGAATGGTTTCAATTCGGTTCCTTTCTTGTCAGTTAACGCTGCCATGGACAGTATTCCTTGCCACGGAAGCGTGTTCAAATCCACTTGTTCAATATTATCCATTGTAATGTTAAAAGTCTATAAGGGAAGCTGCCAGGTTAGAGTGCATCCATATACACCCTGTTATGATGAAATCTGAGACATCCAAAGTGTTTGTTTCGGCTACAGAGTAGTTTTGCGTACCTGCAAAGTTTGCGCAATGAAGGTCTATCTGTTGGTCAAATCTAGTTCAGAAAGCCTTTTCGATGTAAATATTGCAATTAATCAGTCTTGTAATGATCGAACTTTGCAAGAATTGAGCTGTATTGTTCGTGAGTCGCTCTGACGCAACTCTAAATCGTGGGTCTCGAAACACAAATTTAAATTCTTTAGTAATAGAAAATACCAGAACATGTTGCGACGAATCTAGCAGAGTGAACACGCCCACATTCTTCATAAATTATATGTATATTGCTTGTTAAGTTCTCTACGTGACTTTTGCTTACATTTCTACCCATTTGAGTGCTCCCATGATTATGTACTTTCTGGGAAGACGCCCGGGATTTGGAGCGAGAATGGTGATTTTCTTTTTGAGATCATCCACATCTGACCTAAAATGAGAAGTCCAAAGACGTTAGAACATTATAAACATCGCCGCGCAAAAAAAAGTGTTTAAATAGCTTCATGGTGGAGAACTCACACATGCAGAAACCCAGCAACGTTAGATCCCAAAACCGAGTCCTCCTCTTCCTTGGAGCTCTGGACTCGAGATCCTAATTCAGGGAGTGAGGCATTCGACACTGCTAGAATAGATTGCAGCAGAATTGAACTAGGTTCAACTCTTGATAGCCGTGTTTCGTTGAGAGTCCGTTCCATGCCAATAGGCAGAGCAGAAGAAGGGGCAAGAGCACCTTCAAATCCAACTCTACGAATCACCAACTCGGAAAAGGGGAGTGTTGAACTATGTGGAGATAATTCTGATTTCGGAGTACCGTAAAAGTATTCTCGGATGCGGCGAGATGTGAGACTTCTTCGATATACTTGGTTGCGATCTACCACCTAGGTTGATTGACGTATCTGTCAGAGTGCGACAACAATAATAACGATTGCACAAATACATACTCCGCCAGACTTTGCAAGTTTCACTACTGATATATTAGGTTGCCTTCCGTACTGTTGTGATAGTTTCGCATAAAGCCTTTCATTTGCTACCACCAAAATGGCATTCACTATTGGACGACACAACGGTTATTCTCGTTTGAAAAAGTGGGAAAGAATCACTGAAACGTACCACCAAATGCTTCAATGGCATGGACGAGTAGCGATTCAGATTGTGGATCGACAAATTGACTTGGAGTATCGATAATTAGGCCAGACAATCTCACTAGGGAGAGGAATAATCTGGTAAGGCGAAAAAACGACATATAAAGAACTCCAAATCAGCTCTCACCTAATGGATCTTCTTGCATCTTGGTCTTCACAGACTCGGCAATTCTAGTGGTCAGCAACTTGTACATGTCCTTTTTCTCTAGCGGAGTTGGATATCCATAATACCAAACTGCTGGCGTTGCGCCTGTGACTATAGCCGATGCACCTAGACCGTCTTCTATGTCGATAGGACGTGATATGGGTGCAGCAGCAAGACAACCTGGTAGTGTTAATGAACCACCTTCATTGGTGTCTATATCAATCAAGAGTGGTCGTGATCCCTGTTTTACAGCATAGTTGACTAGAATATGAGAAAGAGCCGTCTTTCCCACATCTGGTGGTCCAAGTATCATGACCTGAGGAAAGGAGCGTTTGAGCTTCTTCGCAGGGACTGTGAACATGGACACAAAAAAAAACATTTCTGACACGGAATATGTATATATATGCAACCATCACTGCCTGCCATGATCACAAGAACACTGACCTTTGGACCTTCTCCAAGCCCTCCATAAGCATCTTTAGCAGCATCGCGTAGTTGTTGTAGAGCCAGATGAAGATTCAAGTAGGATCTCATAGGAGTTTCTTCGGCAGTGTAAGCTACGGTTGGTTTTCCTGTGACTGATAGAGTGCATCCGTGCCATGAGAATATAGCTAGCTTGCGTCCAGGCTCGAATGTATATGGATAGCCCTCAGCTAATTCAGTTCCAAATAGCTCTGCAGTTCCGCGTTTGAGCTATCAAGAGCAAAACAAATGAATATGTAGATCATTTTATGAAAGACATACGTGTAAAGCTAGCACTTGCCTCGACCTTAACTTGAGTGTCCAGTTCCAATCGAAATTCACCTTCAGGGGGCAAGATCCATTCCCTTGCCTAGTTAATAACAGCGAAGTGAGTAAAAGAAAACGGTCAAAAGATCTAATTTGTGTATTCATGCCTGCCCCGTCGACGACGCTGAAGGCGCTGTGCCTTCTTGTTCTGCCATCTGTGAAAATGGGTGTTTGGATTGCAAGAATGGATATCTGAAGAATACGAGACGAGAAACATGTCAAAAGACGTAAATCAACGTTTGGTTTGGCCAAAATGAAGTAGCCATCACGTAGATCTGGGCTTTATAACGCGACTCTTAAACCGACACACTTTCGCAAACAAGGTTTTTCGCGTTCAAATATAATTGTCTTGTTTTACACGTCAACGCGTCAGGGCACTCGATACTATCAATTCCACTACGTTCCGCTATCGTCTCGTCTGTATATTTACATTCCAATTGGACCAGCACAACTCTTTAAAACGGCAACTCGTCGGATTCAAATAAGACTTTGATACCATAGGAGATTCGTTGACGGTTATCACAATTGCCAACAGTAAGGCTGTCCTGATATACATACATATGCTCATTTCCTAACATTGCAACACCATTAGATCATGAAATTCCCTGGTGTCGGACGTCGACGTTCAACTGATACGGATACCAATCAAGGTCAACGCCAACGTAGAGGTCTAAACAATGATCCATCAAATCATGTAGAACTGCATTCTGAGCAAGCTCAATCTGCCTGGGCTGAAGGGCACAACAACAACAATAACAATCAGGATGTCGAAAATGATGACGAGGAATCAAATGCTAACTTGGCTCAGGCATATGCTTTTGATGAAGAAGAAGCCAATCATAATCAAGATCCTGATGAAGAATTCACCGTCAAAGACGTACAAGAGGCAATCAATATACAACACCCCTTTGGTTTGAGATTATGGAAACCTGCCCTCTACAAGAAACAACGATCTATTGCTGCGGCCACCTACCAAGCATTGCATGCTGATCCGAATGCTTTGCCTGGTACTGAACTATACTTGTCGCCTGGAAATATAGCGTGGCTCTTGTTTTGTGGCTGGTGGATGGCACTCATATATCTAGCTGTCGCAATCATTGGGCTGGGTCCTCTAGTATTATTAGGGCAGTTCGGAAAGACCGCTTTATGTTGCTGTGGACCTAGAAGATCGAACTCGGGTGTAGCTCGTGGTCAGGGATGGTTGCCGTACGAAGTGTGTGTCGAGTTGGAGGCTCTATGGGATTATGCTAGAGTCTTAATCAACCTGTCAACATATGTATTGTGGCCATTCGGAAAGTACATAGCTAAATCTAGAATCGAATCCGGCGCTAGCTACTTTGCTAACGACGATGACGGTGGTGAACGATCTGGATTGCTAGCATATGATTCTTATGCCGACTCGGAAATCCCTACTCGTATAAGCACTGCTAGTCACCATCGTCGCCCACGTAGATCATCCACTTCCCAGCACCCAAATTCTATTGGACGCAAAAGTCGTAGTCGCACTACTATATCCGATGACGCTGATGACTTTTTAGAAGACGAATACGAATCTGAACCATCTCTAGGCCGTCCTCTTCATAGCGGCTCATTGCTTCGTAACGTATGGAATACCTCAGTATCAGACTGGGTGCTTCCTCGTGCCTTCAAAAGAGCTTGGTCGTCGGGAACACGTGGCATGATCTACTTTGCCTTCATGGTCTTGATTATAGCGCCAATGCATCTGCTTGTATCTGCACTATGTTGGTTTTGTGTAGTATCTATACCCATGGCTAAACTCAACTGGGTCCTTATAAAGCACTTGCTGCGACATCCGCTCAAGTTGTCGGCACATCCAGTATCACACTTTAGACGTCCGCCATCTACTGTATCTAGAGCTTCGCATGTCGATGGCGGTCCATCATTTGCTAGACCTCCGCCCCGAGGAGGTGCACGTCCCAACTCTATACTATTCTTCAACAGAGTGTCAGAGGCCTTCATACACGAAGCCAATGAAGCTGGAGAAGATTATGATCGAGGCTATGATGTGGTACTGTGTACCTATCATGCTATAGGTCTGCAATACTACAAGTATACTTTTGATGGTATTAATATCATCCTCATCAATTTGTTGGGTGTGGTGAGTGATTGATAACCAGGGTTTGTTCTTTTTTTCTCGTTCTTAACAAAGAAAATGCCTCTCGCTCAACCTTCAAAACAAAAAGGTCGGATTCACGCTGGTGACCTTCTACTTGATTGCTCCGATAACATTTCCACCATATTCTGGAATGGCGTCTCGTAGTGTACTCTTCTTCTCAGCACTTGTATCTGTCATACCATTGGCATATCTCATTGGAATGGCTGTGTCATCTATTACTGCTCACTCAGGTTCTTTGGCTCTGGGTGCTGTAGTCAATGCTACATTTGGATCTATCGTCGAAGTCGTCTTGTATTCTCTAGCTCTAGTCAAGGGTAAAACTGCCATGGTGGAAGGTAGTATTATAGGTTCGCTCTTATGCGGTGTCTTGCTTCTACCAGCTGTCTCTATGGTATCAGGTGGTTTAAAACGTAAAGAACATCGATTCAATGCAAAGGCTGCTGGAGTAACGTCAGCCATGTTGATTGTGTCTCTCATTGGAGCCTTTGCCCCAACAATCTTCCAAGAGATCTATGGTACTTTTGAACTTCGATGTCAGAACTGTCCCACGTCGACGACCAGTGTAGTCGCCCAGGAAGTTGGAGGCCTGACGTGTCATCAATGTACTTATGCACAACCTCATCCAACCTTGGACCCTATATATAAAACCCGTACTAGGCCACTCATGTTTGCCTGTGCCATGGCTTTAGTATTGACATACCTAGTAGGATTATGGTTTACTCTACGAACGCATTCGGATAATATCTATCCAACAAAGAAGAAACGTCATCAACGTAGTAAATGGGGTCAACGACCACAGTCTGCTAATCATGCTAATCAACACTTGTCCGTCTCTATTCCGGCCACTGGCGCCGTACCTCAACAAAGTAGCCCAGCTCCCGCCACACCAACACCAACAAACACATCTATTCCAGCAACGCCAACAGAGACTCTGCTTTCTAACAGCGATAAGAAGAAAGTATGGAAGGGTGGAGTTATATCTCGTGGACGTAAGCTGCCTCCTCAATCGCCTCCCGTTCTAGCAGCTCAAATGCCACCACCAGCGTCAGATATCGTCGGAAGCGCTGGCACTGCTTCTCAACGTCCACCGACATTCCCAATCCCTATTACACCGCCTAGTACAGCTTCGCCACCGATAAACGTAAGGCCCGATCCACCCATAGCTCTGGATGAAATGTCTTCTGCGTATGATAGTGATGATTCTGAAGAAGATCAAGCTGGAGGTCATGATGCTCCTAACTGGAGTCAGTTAAAGAGCAGTGCTGTCTTGTTGAGTGCTACTATTGCATTCTCCCTCATCGCTGATGTCTTGATTGATTCTGTGGATGTGGTCTTGAAGGTATGTAACATGATTCTTGTTGTTCGTTCGGAGTTTTTGGCGAATGAAAATGTTGTTGAACAGCTAATTTCTGTTTTGTACAGGACTTTAGAATGGATGAAAAGTTCTTGGGCTTGACCTTGTTTGCTCTTGTTCCAAGTGTTACAGAGTTCTGTAAGTCAAGTGAAATTCCATAGGATTGCATATTCGTGTTTTTCTTGTTAACCTGTTTGTGAAACAATAGATAATGCTATTGCATTTGCCATCCAAGGAAACATTGCTCTGTCTCTAGAAATCGGCTCAGCATATGCAGCACAAGTAGCTCTGTTGCAGATTCCAGCTCTAGTCTTATTCTCATACTTGTATCCGACTCTTGTTGGACCCTTCCCAAGTGCTCCTTCTGGTCCATCAGGTCCAGACGGTGACGGCGAAGGTGGATTTACACTCATCTTCCCACGATGGGATTTTTATGGAGTCTTGTTTGGTGTCTTTATACTCTCATACATTTATATTGAAGGAAAGAGTAACTACTTTAAAGGTGCTATGCTTGGGGTAGCTTACTTTATCATCATGGTTGCATTCTATTACGTACGTTCACGGGGTTTTAAAAGTTTGAACTAGTTACAACAGTGTTCTACTTGCATTTATTGTACATTTTTGGTTTTTTAACATTGCATCGTCACTAGGTCCCTTCAAATGCTGGTGAATACGACATGAAATACTATCTTTAGAAATACCCAAGAAAAGTCTGTAAACCGCTGATGCCAACTTGTATATAATTATTATAAACAGACGGGGTGATATATTAGATTACGATTATGTTTCTTTACAGTTTGAACTAGTTACAACAGTGTACTACTTGCATTTTGTGTATAGGTTTCTTTACATTAAATCGTCACTAGGTCCGGTTTCAGTTATATAAGATTCTTGAAGAAGTGTCTTGACTGGCCCGGATCCTGGCGATGTAGAGGGTATCGCCGTTGCGGGAGCATGCATAGTCCCCAGAGAACCAGACCTATTAGCTGCAAATGGCCTCATATCCAGCTTTGTCGACGACGGCTTGTTTGCTAACGACAGTAAACTCTTCATTTCACCACCTTGTGCACCTTGCCCCTGTTGCTGCGGTTGTTTGGCTTGTGGTGGAGTCTCAGCCGACACAGCAGTCGAAAGCGCATGCTGTGAACCCCGTGGCAAATTCGGCATATTACCAATTGAATTCACCTTGATGAATTTAAACTGGTTTACGAATTTATTTGTGCTTAAAATCCTTTCTCCGTTTTGTTGCGGTGAGTTGGGCAGTGTCAGCATTGCTGGTGATGCAGCGAGGATGGGGAATGCGGGGGCGGGGAGGGAAGAAGTGTTGCCGTTTTGGGTTGTTTGGGATGTGCGCGCCATCGTGGGGAGTTGGATGTGAACTGGCAGTGGGGAGCTGGAGGTTGATGGGTCAGTGGATTCCTCGAGGGCGTGTCGTGAGGCGCTCTTGTTGATGAGACGGTTCGGCTGGGTTGGGGGGATGGCTGGTGGTGGGGGTTGAGCTGTCGAGTAGGCCGGCGGAGTCACGTCTTTGATTTGTAGAACTCCTTGGTTTTTCAGTAGTTGCCTAAGTTTGTTTCAGATTTGGTTAGTATTTATAGCAAAAACCCATTTACATCGGAAAGCCAATATCAGCATCAGATCATACCAGTGCTCTCGATTCCTCTGCAGAGTCCCTATCAACATTGGCACAGACGCAAACTTGTCATAAGCATCAAACAACGGATTGACCACAAAGTCAATAAATCCAGTTTGACTTGACGGCACATTGACACTCTCACGATCCATGAACGGACTGACATTAAGTCCCAGTTTCTTCTCAGAGTCTCCTTGTATAAACCACTCGTCTAATATCAAGTAGCACCATTTCTCGTAAAGTGGCCAATCCTTGGTTGGATTACATACATCTGAACACTTCATCAGGATTTTCCAAAGGAGGGTGCGATCTTCTTTTACTTCGGAGGGTTTGAAACCGTTTGGTGTTGTTAGTTTGCCCTTGAACATTGATACGAGTGTCAAGTGTTGTGACAAATCTGTTTTAAACAAAATTGAACCTATTTTAGCTTCCATGTTTTCTTCTAAATACCCCAAAATCACTGATTAAAGAAATCCTTACCAGTAGCCAACACCATGTCAATGACGATTTCACGGAAGAGTTTGAAGTCGGTTTTAGATAAGCCTTCAACGAAATTACATTCTGGTCGACTCAGAATGTTGAATGATGCTGCAGCGTGGTGGTTTTCAAGTACAGAACGATCATTGTACAAGATAGCTCGAGAGTCAGCTATTCAGAAATTCGATTTGAGTAAAGAATAATGGTAGCATTCACAAATGCAGCTAAGGACTCACCAGTATTGATTAAGAAATTATTGTTAAATCCAGGATGTTCGAAATCATGAACCATGGCAGCTACCAACATGGCCATCAAATCAATCTCAGAAGCGTAGTGTGATATCGACTCTTGCGACGAGAGCCAGTACATGCAGTGAAGGACATCGGTTGCGTGTGTCGAGTTATGATATGGCAATTCTGAGCGATATCCATTCTCAATTGCAATGGAAAAGTTCTTGAACTTGTCTTTGGGCAAAGCGAAATGCTCCAGGAGACCCAGATCATCAAACAAGAAATTGGCCATTGCTTGTAGAGGTTTACCACCAGTAGCACGATGGAAGTCAAAGAGAGGAAAGTTGAAATCACCAGCCTTGTGTAAGAGTAGAGTCACTTCGTCATTCCAGGTAGAGAGGCGTAAGGAGTCGTGAACATGCAGAGACGGTGCAGTTTGAATAGACGAGTGGCTACCAGGACTCCCGTTTAATTTTGTAAACGATTTTTCACTTTTGACGGTAGCAAACGTTACTGATGGTCCTCGAGCAATGACAGATTGACTCATGTTGAGTCGCACTTCAGACACAGCTATTGGTGGAATGCTGTTGCTAGATCGTGGGGCATCGACTCCGTCACCATTAGTTTCTTCTCTAGCGGCAGTTTCTTGTATAGCTTCTCCAATTTTGCGTTTTACTTCATCGGTGATGGTAATAGTTCCACGACGGCCTCGTGATGATGGTGGTGGTCCATTGCGACTTGGTCGTGCATCTTTCTTTCGTTGTGCAATTTCAGAGAAGAGCCATGCTTCTTGTTCATTGTCTGCGAAATCGTTGACTTGACCTTCAAGGTCTGGAGTTAATAGATTGCTGGAGCCAAGTAACTGGAGGACCTGACTGAGGGTTGCTATCTGTGTGGGTTGCAGTGTAGCATCTGCACTCAAGCTTCGTAGCAACATTATAGACTTTTCCAATGGTGAATCGAAATCAGCAGCCTTCTTGCCCAAATCAGTCTGCAGCACTTTGAGTTGGTTTATAAGTTTGACATTACGAGTCCGTAGTTGATGAGCAGCCAAGAATTGGGTTCGATAAAACACCTCATTCTCCCAGCAAGAAAACCAGGCAGTAAACATGGTGACGAGCATAGCAACACTGACATACCAAAAGTTTTGGAGTCCTGCTGCTGAACCATCTGAATCACCATCATCGGCTGTGTAAAGGTGGACGGCGTAGACAATAAAGTGGATTACTTCAAGTATGGCGGCAGATAATAGAGCATGTGCGTGACGTGCACGCAAGAATACATAGACAGCGTTGACGAACACCATCAGTAATAGTCCAGATTCGTAAATGTTTTCACTAGGTTGTACGACGGCATATCTGGTAATGATGGCGACGATACCCATTGAGACAGTAAGCCACGTTGAAAGATGGTGTAGGCATTTGGCCATGCTGCGTCTGGAAAAGTACACTGTTGCAGCAAAGCAACTCAATATGGGTATTACAACTCCAAATACGTAGAAAAGAGCATCACTAGTGATTTCATAGATACCGCATAGTTTCATTGGATTGCACATTGCACTATTGTTGAAATTCAAATTGGATTGGATCTTGTATCTCTGGTCACAGATTTCAAACTCGTCATTTGAGACTCACCAATAGAGACCGACAGGACAACTGTTTTGAGCTGTAACTCCAACCGGTCGTAGTAAGCTCAGCATCTGAAACTCTGCCGATTCAAGCCGGTTTTCATAAGCATGATACCCAAACCAGGCAGTAAATAAGATAAAGATGCAAACAAGAGCAGTCTTCCAAGTTGAGAAATGCTTGTCGAGGAAGGAATCTTCGTATTCAGCTTCCAGCTGTGGATCCACAAAAGTCAAGGTAAACCATCTCATGACTCGTGTCCCGTCTGCTTCCTTCAGATTGACTCGTCCAGCTTTGTCAGTATGCAATGTTGCTATTGATAGCAGTAATGACTGGTCCACATTTAATCCATGTGTGAGATCTCCTAAATCACGACCGGATTTGTTGCGACGTGTAGGCATGCTTATATGTGATCCTACCAAGACAATATTAATAACGTCTTCACATCAAGACATCACCATTCCTTTCAACAATGAAATCTTTGGACAAACGTACTTTCATTATCATCTTCTGATTGTGATTGTCCTCGTTCTATCATAGAAACGGGCCTTGACGTCGACAAGAAATAAGAGCCTCGTCTAGAAGTAGTCCTTCGTGTGTTTGTAGCATGTTGTGAATCCATTGACGTATTCGAAGGCATGACATTCAAGCTAGCAGGTGAATTCGGCCTATCCATCGACGGAACGTGGCCAAGTTGTATCGATTGTGGTATTGTCTGATGTTGCCTCTGAGGAGCTATAGACGGTTCACTAATTATTTGCTGCCTTTCCGCCTCGGAAGGCAGACCTCGTATGCTAACATTCATCCTTCCGTAGTGTAAATCCACCCCAAAAAGAATTGGTGGTGTGATGAATGTATGAAAATCAGCGAGTCACTCCTTCACCCAGCTAATCACCGGAGCTCCTAGATGCGATGGTCCTGAATGATGGAGGTAAATGTATATCCAGAATAATTATTCAAAAACGTGAAGAGGGTGCAGCGATGCGATCACGCAGAATAAGAGTTTTACCACCTTCCTTTGGTCGGTCTGAATCACAAAAAACATGGACGCTCTTCGGAGATTAATTGCGTTTTTTCATCAGTTCAATTGGGAATATATTTGCTGACTATACGTCCTCGGTGAAGCTCTGTTATACCTTGTATTCACGTTTGCGTCCGTCAACGTTTCTTCATCAACACGAACAACCTCCCATAGAGTCCTAGTCATCTCCCTGAATTTTCCGCGTTGGTGACTTCCCGGTCTCGAGACTTGGAGAGCCGCACCCTCTGTCTTATAAATACATGTGAGCTGTCGGACTAATAGGCCGAGTGTCAAAAGACTACGAACAACAACGCAGAGCGTCTGCCAACCCTTCTAAAGAGACAGGTTTTAATTCTGCAACATTTATGTAATCTTTATTTGATTTTTTTGAGACATATATAATCTACCCTAGACTTCTTGTCGTTGCTACACCCCCCCCCCCCCCCCCCCTCCAACACACACGCACACGCTCTTTGCTGCTATACAACCCAACACCCCCACGTATATACAAAATATCACCTAACCTCTTGAAGCATAAACCTGAGCCATTGAGTCAAATGCAAAGTTATAAACCGTCGGGTAGTTATCGGGGAATCGCACTACATCACTCCGAGCAGGGCGATGCAGCAGTCGTTGAATAAAGTCTGTAACATGCTGCGGTATAAAGACACCTGGAGCCCCAATCAATCTGACTTGGTCTCCAATAAGTTCGACCCCAACACCACCATATAGATTTTGTCCATCACCTTGAAAGTACAGAGACATTTTTCCTGGTGACATGACACGCTCTTCAAGCAAATCATATGTCAGAGCCACTTTATCGGTACCATTAGGGCTATCATTTTTATAATGGAAGAGACCTTTGATGACACCATCTCTCAACTGCTTGACGGTGCACTTCTTTTCCATAGCTCGCGCAGCTGCCAATATAGCTCCAGACATGATTACCATAAATTGATCGATTGCTGGTAGTTTCGAGTAGGATTCCAGGGCATCGTTTTCTTTCCGTTCTAGTTCCTGTTTCGTCAAGGCAGTGGGTCTGGCGGACCTTCCAATATTGGTTTGTTGCGGCTGTTGCTGTTGTTGAGGCAGTTGCTGGTGTTGAGGATGCTGTAGTTGTCGTTGTGTTTGTAGCTGTTCTATCTGCTGTTGTTGTCGTAGAATCTGCTGCTGTTGTTGGTCGATTACATCTCGAAGTTCTAGGATGTTGGCCTTCATCATTGTAGCATTGGTATCATTGGATTCGATGCTAGCCATAACTCGCTTCTCCATATCTTGTATGTTCTGGGATATCTTCACAAGCTACAAAATCATAGGGGAATGTGAGAAGTATACTCGGCAAGACTCTTTCGACCATTGATCATCAAATAAAATACAACATACCTTCATATCAGTTGTGTTTTGGTGTGATGTGATGTCGTCTTGCATCTCCTTATATTTGTCACGTATAATTCGATCCATTTGCTGAAGTTTGTGTTTCTCGTCGTTTTGGGACCGTTGTCTCAGAGTGTTGTTGAGGGACGATAATTCTCTGCCTTGTAAAGACACTTTGTTTCCAACAGCGCCTGTGACCGCGAGTAGTTGATTGATTTGAGCCTGTAGATGAGCTATTATATCTGCATTACCAGGATAGTCAGCCATTCTGGGTCTCTGGTTTCGAGAATTGTTGTCAGAATCATTGGGTCTTTTGGGTGGATCTTTAAAGTCTCGCGGAGAACCTCTTGGATCGACACCTCTTGGATGATCGCGTGGATCAAATGGTGGTTCTCGGTATTGGTGTGGCATTCCTGGATGGGCGTCCTTCATCTCTACGTCAACAGATGATATATTCATTTGAGGAGAGTAACGCTGATTGTTGTTGGAGTGAGTAGGACCATTGTCATATGGCTTGTGACTAGCCCCGTTACTATATGGTTGCTGCATTTGTGGTCCGTTGGTGTTGATGTGACTGGGACCATTACGGTGTGCGGTCTGCGTGCGTGGTGGTGCGTAAGGATCATATCGAGGATCGACACCAGTAATTATGCCTGGTTGTCCTGTACGTGGATCGATGTGCACTTGAGGTCTTGGTGGAGCACCTACAGGAATACTATTGGGACCAGAGACAGGAGCAATCTGAGCTCGATGAGCCTCATCACCTTTATGAGGTCGATGACCATCATCCCCATTATGAGATCGACGTCCATCACCTGTAAAACCAACTTGTGGATCATCCATGCGATCATCTCGCGGACGCGGAGAGTCTACAGGTTTATCGGTGAAGGTTTTGCGGGCTCTGCGTTTACTAGGTTCTTCATCTTTGTGTTCATCAGGACCAGGCGATGCAGTGGGCGACGGTACTCGTGGAATAGCTGTCTTTCGTGGTTGAGGTTGAGCTTGTTTTGTCTCTGCCTTGGCAGGTGACACGGTACCCCTGTCCTCTGGCAAACCATCTAGAGATATTTTGCGAGATAGCTTCGTCTTGATTATAGTAAAGGTCTTGAAGCCTGTTCGTTCCTTTGTTGGAGGTCCATCCGTAACCTGAGTAAATGGAGATTCCTTTTCTGTACCCGGAGCAGCTGAAGCTTCGGCTTCTTTATCCTGAGTAGCTGGAGCTTCTTCTACAACCAGAGTAGACGTAGCTTGAGGCTGTTCATCTAGATCGTCGAAATCAGAGTCATCAATAACAGGAGACCCAATAGCTGGTGATTTGGGAAAGTCTACGATTTCATGCTAAGGCGAAGAAGTGTAAGGCGCTTTCAAAACCTCGTACTTTCAAAGTCAACAGTTGCGGGAAGAGAGTTTTTACAGCAGTTTTGATCAATCCACATGCCAGGTCGATCATGGAATCAACAGAGTTTTCAACCATCGCCGATGGTTCTGGTTTCACATGTTTTGCAACATCGGAGATGTCGGTCAACAGCTTTTCAAACGAAGGAGTGAGAGCTGACGTATCATTAGATGTCTTCATCGCGACTTCATTGAAAAAGTTTGGGAGCTAATTTGAGAAAGAATCAGTCAATAAATTGTATGAAATCCCAGTCGATATGGAAAATCGCAGTTCAAAAAGTTGAACAATGCTCCAACATCCGGCAAGGAAGGGACAAAGGAAACGCACTTACTGAAGATATATATGCCAGAAGCTTCTCTTTGGGGAATTTATCCTTTGACATGATATCTTTATGATGTGAAAAGATGTTGGGGAAAACGAACATTCGACAAACCAACTGACCCAGCAACTAACGTGCATGGGTCTACTTGCTTTTTCGCGTCGTTTAAGAGCCGTCACGTAAGGCCACTACAAAACCAATACCGAGAATGATGCAATCATAAAGTATTTTCTCTATCGTATTTACAATATCGACTATATAGACGTAGAGTGCTTGTCACTTATTCGTGATAGACGTACTTTTCTTACTTTGATGAGCTATTCAATTCAGCCATTTCGTGATCCAGGTCATATTCATCAGCAAATATATCTACGCCATCGTCATCCTCATCATCTAGGAGCCCTCCGAAGTCAAGCTCATCATCTCCATTGTCATCTGGAGCCTTATGATACTCTGAGCTATTTCTAAATACGAGGTTCGACGCAGCAAACCAGGCAGACGATACAGTTGACGATTGAGGTTGAGGTTGTCTCCTTCGACCTCGAATTTTGTCAACGAGAGATGATATTATATATATGAGGGGTGATGGAGGGCACAATAGGTATGAGGCCAGCTCTGAATATAGGGACGCGTAAGTATGTTAGTGGACAGAACCTGTAACAACAAGAAAGCACATCAAGGAGCGAAAAGGAACGCACCATCCCAGGAGACATCTCGCTTTACGACGATGTACCAAAATGGCACGCCAGATAAAAGGAAGAAAAAGGCTGCGGCAGCCTCTGTGGGGGCTTCGAGTATCGAGCATCCTATTAGGAACACAACGACACCACAGAATATTATTGGAGCTGAAAGCCAAACTCTAAAAGGTCTATCCAGCTCAGGTTCTCTCCTTCGCAGCTCCTAATGAAATGAGAAGTCTTCAATATTTGTTCGTAAAGACAGAACTCGATTGCAATTTATACATACCAGCAACGCAAGCACAGCAAATAGATAAAAAGTCCAGGCAATCATGGAATAAAAATTAACAAGACTGGAGTAGTTTCCGACTAAGATAAACAGGAGAGAAAGAGCCATTTGCGCCAGCAGTGCAGTGACGGGAGTCCTTCGAGTTTGATGTATCTAAAAATGCGCATTATCGAAGAAATGTTAACACAATAACCATTGAGTAGTTGAATGGAACAATCATGTGAACTGGCTTTTACCATTGCTAGGCCATGTGGTAGATGACCCGATCGAGCTGCTACAAATGATACTCTAGCCCCTCCGATGATCGATGCATTTGAGGCACCCATTGTTGATGCCAAGACAATGAGCGGTATAACGATTCCACCAGCTGTACCAAATACACTATGCCCAAAATCCTAAAACGACGCAGAGATTACGATTGTCGCACACAAGTTCAGAGATTCAAGCGGCTTACCATAGCGATGGTTGTCGAGTTCTGCACTACAGTACTAGGCAAGACACTGTAATATCCGATATTGGCCAACAGATAGCTAATTAACACTATAATCGGCCCAAATATCAAACACCTCGGCAAATTTCTTGTCGGATTCACCAGTTCGCCTGTGACAAGATTCAGATTGTTCCATCCATCATATGCCCAAAGCGCACTGTACATGGCAAGAGACAGCTGTCCAAAATCGGAGGTGGTTCCAACAAAGATATCAGCAGCATTAGCGTCAGCGGCGTCCTTAAACTTGCCAATACTAGCGAGCCCAACTACTCCAATCAAAAGGATACCGAGTAGCTTGGTGACTGTACTATAATCCATCACTCTTAATCCTATTTTGACACTGAGACAGTTTATACCAGTCAGCAAAGTGACGCATATCATAGCAGCTAGTTTTGCAACCCAATCTGGGGCACTGCCGTGTGGTGATCCAAAATATATCAGCCTTCCAACGTAATCTCCAAATACGGTCGATATGATGGCGACACTGCCTGGCCTTGTTACAAGTGTGCCCGTCCAGGCAAACAGAAAAGAGGGTAGTGAGCCAAAAGCTCTTAGGAGATACGGGAATTCACCTCCCGAAGTTGGGAGAGCAGTTCCAAGCTCAGCGTAACAGAGAGAGCCTAAAGAGTAACAGTTAGTCGTCTAAAAGTATCGTGCGCGTAAGAAAGACGGCAGACCTGTCATTGCTAGAAATCCCGAGAGAATCCATACTATGAGCGACATTCCAACAGATCCAGAGTGCTTGAATACAGGTCCTGGCGATGCGAAAACACCACTTCCTATCATCTGTCCTATAACTAGCGCCAGTCCATTTTCTAAATCGAGTCAATTTTTGATGTTGTTACGATTTCTAAGCTCCAGCTGCAAATTCAAAGACACCAAGAAGCTGAGGGCACGTACTTAGCGACACAACTTGACTCAGTTCTGGTCGATTCACACTCAGTGACAGAGGAATTGCTAGAGATGTTCCAAAATCGAAAGTTGCCGACATTGGCGGAGAGTGAGTAACTGTACTCGGAATAGAGTCATTGGAGGAATTGCCATGGCCATTTCCATTATCAAGTGCTTTGAAATGAACCTGTTTCAAAGGCAGGTTTGAAGACATTCGAGATTTTGAGGTTGAGAGCGAGGAGAACAGATCTGTTGTTTGGCGATTATAGTATAAAGGAAGATCCGTGCTGTATTTGCTCGAGTAGCATATCGTTTCATAATTCATAGGATTTCATTTTGACCTAAATGTGATTTGGTCAGAAATGTGATTTTGTTCAGATGCACCGACGCCGTCGTGTCCTTCTTCTCTATGTAACTATAGGACGGGGGTCCAAACACTTTGAGTGGATATTTTACACGTATTCGCGATTTTGAACTTTTAGACGTGGTCTAGAACGGCAACATCTTCAAATCATTGACTTGCTGACACGTCATCAAGCTCCCAAAATCTGTTTAAAGGCATGAATCGCAGTGAAATATACATTGGTTGACTCGTCTGCCCGTGTCAAATTGGACGCTCAAGTTGAATTCCTCACTCCTTCCCTCATGTCGGAGTTGGGTTCCGTTAGTTGGTGGTGGACAAGACGCCAGAGGAAAACGTTGCAATAAGACAACGGAAGAACAGTCTCCATTACATTCCTTGCATTCATACCTACCTGTACCTGTACCTGCAAACGACCTAGTCGTCCACTGCGCTCGCTGCACAGTGGGAGTTTGTCCAAATCAAGACATTGTGATTCTCTGAACGAACAGAATTAGAATGAGTTTTGAGGGCAACAGGGGCTCATGGCAACCGCCTCCGCCTCACAATCGCACTCCTTCGAGAATGCGAAGTTGGTCCTTCCTAGGTGGAATTCGCAAATCAACTGCACCTACCACTGTAGAGGAATGGTGAGGATTTCAAGCACTGTTATACATTGGGTTTAGCGATCTTCAGCTCCATTTTCAAATGGAAGAGTGAATCTTCCCTTGTAAACGGCACAAACTCCTCTGGAAGGGTTTCTTCCCAACAGTACAGTTCACAAATGTGTCGGAATATCGTTTTCTCACTGCAATGTTTTTATTGATAGGAAAAAAAAGGCCGAACAGCTCGAGACGGATCTAAGCAACTTCAAGTCGAATATGGCTGATGAGCGGACCGAGAACTTGAATATCGTCGCAGGGTTATTAGATCGTCTGGAGAACGATTCTTACAAGGAGCAAGAGCTGCTCAAACGGATTGCCGAGCTCGAATCATGGAAGGTCTGTGATCTCAGTGCCACGTTCTGTCCTAGTTCTATCGCTAATAGTATCTCAAACTTAGGTCGACTCGGCCATGGACTTGGATTCCCAAGAAAGGAGGTTTGCTGCAATGGCAGAGCTTCGGCGTGGAAAGATTGAAGAATTTGGAGATCTTGTGGGGTAACTTTGCGGTTTATTATGCGCTTTTATTATCATGCAGGACACGTGGCACTTACATTCTCGTTGACTGGCAGGTCTCTTGATCAGCAAGTAACCAATCTGAAACGAGAGAATAACGTTCTACGACAATTGCTTCCGCCATCTAAAATAGAGCATGCCCTCAGTACCACTGAAGAAGCCCCGCCAAATTCAAGAATCCGAGTATCTTTAGAAGTGGCACAACGAACGTTACAGATAGAGAAGGAAGCTGAAGCAAGAGTCATTGAAACGAAATCAAGAACCGCACAAATACTTGGATCACAGAAAGTCACACTGCAGACCTTGTTGAGTAACATTGATCAGAATAAGATCAAGTCTTTAGAGCACGAGATTGATAGATTGTGCAAGCAGCTTGATGAGCAAACACGTGCCAAGGTAAGTCAGTTGCCGGTACTCTCGCCGTAACTCTGCGTAACGTTCAATTTGAAACTCTGACGCTGAATTTTTGACCATAGGAAAAGGCTGAAATCAATTGGGCGCAAGAGAAACGCAAAACTGTCGATTTGCGAGTCCGGTTAGATGAACTAGACGGTGAAGAGGTAAGACAACCGCATTTGTGTGGCACTCAAATATTTTAACATCTTCTGATTCAAATTTCGCCACAGTTTGCAGATGCCGTGCGAAGGGCAGAACTAGCTGAAGAACAAGTCAGTATTCATAAAGAAACTATCACGTCTTTAACGACCAGGAACAAAGAGTTGGAAACGAAATTGTCCGACCATATAAATCTTATACCAACACCTCCACCATCTGTCGCAGCTTCGTCACCAGAGGAGGAATGGTCTGCGCTGGACGCAACTGTTTCAAAAGTCGAGGCATCTATTGCTGCACTATCGTTACAACAAGATACACATACCGAATACCTCGCCGTGTTATGTCAACGAATCGAGAAGAGCGTTGGTGGAATAGTAGGGATACCCGTTGAAAGCTTTAGATCTGTGGATAGTAGTAGTTCCACACCTAATAGTAGCAGTACGCCCCCCTCCTCTGCTGGCTCTGGAGATTCTGAATTCACTATGGTAGATTCGTCGGATGGCACAGAGCCTATAAAAATGTCGGCCTCCGAAATCAGATTACGACTCAAGAATGCTGATACACTGGAAACTCAATTGCTCATGACGACCTACGAGTTGCATGACTTGCAGACCGATCTAGAAACCATAACCAGAGAACGTGATGATTTAGCTGTACAAGTAGCCAGCATGAGCCAAGAAATATCAGCCCGGGATGCCGATCTAGTATTCTTACAAATGGAATCTGCTGCTGCACAGTCTCGCTTGATTACCAAAGTGCAAGAAGCCGAGACTGCCGTAGTAGAACGTAATATGGCATATGAGCAATTAGAGCTGGAACGCGAGAAGAAAGAAGCTGCCATTAAAGCAGCAGGTGAAGCTCTTCAGGGAAAAGTAGGACGTAGAACATCATTCCGTAAGAGTGTCAATAACACTGACCTTGCCGTGAAACTTGCTGAGGCCTTGTCAGAAGCTGAAGTACAGGGCCAACGTGCTGGAATAGCATTATCTCAAGTAGAAGAATTGAGACGAATGAATGAGGCTGATGCCAACCGTATTCAGTCTCTGATTATCACTTTGAACAAGTGCCAGGACGAACGTGATAGGTGTCGTGAAGAGCTTGCTTTAGGTGAACGAGAGATGGCTGAGGCGAGGAATACACTCGAGGTGTGTTCAACATGTATGCCATGCACCCTGTCCTTCAGCATTTCTATAACCAGTTGAATTATGTAGGCTGCCAATAGTCTGTGGGAGCGCAGTGAATGGGAACGCCTGATGATGGCACAAGATGGTGGACCACCGCTTCCTCCACGAGCTATGGAACATATTGAGATGAATTCAGAGATGAAGAGAGTACGTGGTCATCAATTCTTTTGAATTTTTTGATGTATCAGCAAATTGCTGGGCTGATACACTTTTCTTTCAAATAGCTTGAAATTCGTCTACGCGAACTGGAGCTCGGTGCTAGAACTCAGCGTGACCAGTTTGAAGACCGAGAAGAACAATTCGCATTCGAATTGGCCGAATGTGAAAATCAAGTTGCCGTCTTGAAAGGCCAACTGGAAATGACTCGTAAAGAATTAGCTTCTGCCAAGGCTGAACTGGCACAAGCTATTGATGATAAAGCAAGGGCTTTCGCTGCTGTGACGGAAAACGATTTTGCGTCAGTTGAGCGTGGTCTGTCACAACAGCTTGCAGATACAAAACGCAAATTGGAGCAAGCACAAAGGGAGAATCAAGAATCAAAGTTGGAAAAAGAGAGAGCAATTGCGGAGCTGTCCTCTGAGAATGAGGAGCAGTTCCAGGACATCGATCGATTGAATGCTGAAATTGCTCGACTGAGAAACATGTTGGGACAAAAGGGGGTTGCTTCTGTGCCGCTTACCAACGTAAGTATGATGGCTGATATTGAAGTGATACGATTTGCTAATACATTTTTTCGCGTAGTGATCGCGTAGCTAATAGTAGTAACTCTGTGGCGGATATGTAATGTAGATAGTAGTAGGACTTTCGTAATTCGTAATCTGATAACCAGACTTAAAATATACAATGCTGTTGCTTTTCTCGTGATCTCGTGGGAATGTCTGGCGTCGTGTTTCAGTTCGACACTCTACTTCGACGCTGTTTGAAAAAACAATCGAACCTCGATGAGTCGGATGGCAATCTTGCCCAATGGCAAAATACGGCTGTTGCCATCTCAGATTGGCGATTACTGGGACTCTTCACTAGAATGGTTTGATTCTCTGTCGAGAAGGAACCAATTGTTGATAACATTAGGAGCTGGAGCAATTGGAGCGATTTCCTTGGTCTTTCTATGGGACAACAGTACAAAGGTAAGCTAGTTAAGCTACTGATTTTGATGTTCCTGGTCTTCCAAGTCTTGATTCTTTTGTATTGAGCTTACGCATCAAGCCAAAAATTCACAGCATTTATCAATATTTTTTTCCAACCCCTCCCTTTACTCACCCCTTCTCCTTTCTCTCATCTCGCTATTTAGAGATCTCGTATAAAACGACTGAAACGTGAAATAGGCGTAGAGCTATCTCGATCAGCATCTGAAACGGGATTGCAAAACATCAGATTGCATGGTCGAAACCAACTGAATGGAATTCTGTCAGATCACAATGATGGAAATGCGATGGAAGATCAGCATGCTACTACTCCTGCTGAGGAAATGCTGATCAGAGAACAGCTTACGAGGAATTATTCGTTTTTGGGTGAAGATGTAAGGGGGAAAATGGAATCAGAACGATTGAAACTACAGCACAAGGCTGCTTGTTTTCCAAATGCCGATATTCAAAGCCTCTTTTTCTCTATGTAGAGAATGGCCAAAGTTCGCAAAAGCTTTGTAGTCGTGATAGGGCTTGGTGGTGTCGGCAAGTTGCAACGATTTTGCATAGTTCCTTGTCACAAAAAACAGTACCTAACCATTGCCAATTCCCATGTTTAGGAAGTCATGCGGTAAACAGACTTGAATTTCGAAGGGCTAAGCTCGAGTTACTGAAATTTCCTTGATATTTAAATAGGCTCATATGCTGGTTCGATCAGGAGTTGAGGTAACTATTGTTGCTTTTCCTTGTTAATAAGATCTGGTTGCTTACAGAAATTTCATCCATTTTATAATTACAGAGGATTAGATTAGTTGATTTCGATCAAGTAACACTATCCTCGCTCAACCGTAATGCTGTTGCAACTCAGGTAAAATGTAATTGCGTTCATTAAAAGGCTTAATGAAGCACAATGAAGCACACCAAAAATGTCATTGCTAAATCTGGCAATTCCAATCTCACATCTAGTCGGACGTTGGAATGCCAAAAGCAACCTGTATGAAATCACATCTGCTAGACATTGCACCACATGCGTACATAGATACAAGAATCGAGTTGTTTTCAAGTGCGACTGCTGAAACTCTGCTATCTGGAAACCCGGATTATGTGCTGGATTGTATTGATAATATTGACACCAAGGTTGAGTTGATTCATTATTGCATGACAAATAATATTAAGGTATATTCCCGTTCTTGGTTATTAGCGACTTTAGGTGTCAGAAGGAGTACTTACACTTGTATTTCAAAAAGATTGTATCCTCTATGGGAGCTGGAGCCAAATCTGATGCTAGTCGAGTACAGATTGCGGACATATCAGATACACAAGGTTGGCATTATCAATTCTTGCAAGGAGGATTTTTGGCCATTTTATTTACAACAACGGCCTTATGTTTTTAGAGGACCCACTAGCCCGTTCAGTACGAAGGAGGTTGCGTGCTGTGGGTATAGAAAGTGGACTGCCTGTGGTATATAGTGCTGAGAAGGTATGTTGGCTTCGGTCTTCGTCCTATGTTGTTTGAGTCTGAGCTTATTTGTTTCTTCGTCGTAGCCAAATGATGTGAAGCTCCTTCCACTGACAGAAGAGCAAATGGCGAATCCAGATGAATATGCTGCACTCCCCGACTTTAGAGTTAGGATACTACCAGGTAGGTGCTGATGTTAGCACTACGGTGTTAATATTTATGTTTCAACCTCTTACAGTGTCATTTTTAGTGTTAGGCACGCTGCCAGCTTTGTTTGGGTCAGCGATGGCATCACACGTTCTGGTTCTCATCTCAGGATTTCCAGTGGAGCCCCTAGTCGTAATCGCTAGGCACGCAACCATTGTGAGAATGCACCGAGATATCTCGACACGTGAAATAGATCACTTTGCCATAAAATACCCTTCCAAGCGATTGACCGTCTCTGACGTTGGCTATATATTTGAAGAGATATGGAACTCACGGTCTGCTCTGTCTGGTAAATTTGATGGTGTGCTCTTGACTCGATGGGATATTAGAAAGGCGGCTGGCTTTGGTAATTTGATATGTCTAACGAAGAGTGAGGCATTGAAGCATGAAGCTCTGGATCCTGATCAGAGGGAAGAGTACTATGGAAAAGAGTTTTGTGAGAAGGTTGCTGCTCGGTTTGAAAAGGAGCGACATTTGAATAAGTGGAGGGAAATTGAATAGTAATAGATGGTGTCTTCAAGAATAGGATTGCTGTCTGGATTGTTGTGTTTCGCGTCTATGCTCGGTCGTCTCTCTTCAAAAACACCCACTCCCGCTCGTCTCAAGCAAACATCAGGAAAACAGAAGCTCTCCCAGACTCAAAGTCGTCTCAACCATGTCCAACATTAAATTTCCTATGAAAACGAAGGCTGCTGTCTTGAATGGCTTCAATCAGGTATCGTAAACCAAGGCGTTTTGAAGCTTTGGTGGAAATGAATCAATCTCAGGCCACGCGATGGTAACCGGGTCTTGTCTATTTAGAAATTCGAAGTTAGAGAAATCGAGATTGAAGGCCTGAAGCAGGGAGAATGCCTTGTGAAGGTGAGGTTGATCACACATCAAGCTTAAAAACAAAATCACGGTATTTTACAACAACTTTCCGACGCCAGGTTGCTGCAGCTGGAATCTGTCACTCTGGTACGTTTGGAAGGAGACGTATCGTAGTTCTATCACGAGACGTGTTCTCACGGCTGAACGTGGTTTCACGGCTGAACGTGGTTTTTCGTGAACCCAACTTTTTGTGTTGATTGTCACTCGGTCAATGTTCAACCTGTTTCAAATTATACAGATCTCCATGTGATCAAAGGCGACTGGGCTGTTCCTGGAGTCAACACATTGCCTCAGGTATGAATCTGAGCTTCCAACTCAGTTGTATCACGCTGTATTTTCAAGCTGTGCGCACCACTAAACATTGTGACAAATATGATAGGTTCTCGGTCATGAAGGCTCTGGCATCATCGTCAAGTATGTCAAATTGGCGGGGCGAGAAGAATTCCTGAACTGATGCAAGTTGAAAACTGTTAGAAATGGTCCAGGTGTTACTAAAGTTCAGGAAGGTGATCATTGCGTATTGATCTTCAAGTCTAACTGTGGGCTATGTGACTATTGCCAAACTGGCAAGCCAATGTTATGTAATCGTTACAACGTTCGTCCACCTGGTACTCTTTTGGACGGCACCCCTCGCTTCAACATTGATGGAAAGCCATGCTATCATATGGCTGGAGTAGCTTGTTTCTCTGAATACAGTGAGCTTGCTTATGTTAGGATCTACGTCTTGTGTTATAGGGATTTTTTGTGGAGTAGTGTCTGATACAAACTTCATTTGATTGTAGCTGTTATGAGCGAGGAGCAACTGATGCCAATATCAAAGGACATTCCTTTGGATCGTGCTGCGCTAGGTACCGAAATCATGACGAAGCTCGAACTGACTCGATACGCTGACCATGGATTCCTCTTCCAGTGGGCTGTTCCGTCATGACTGGTATTGGAGCTGCTGTAAACACCGCCAAAGTGGAGCCTGGCAGTACCGTATGCGTTGTAGGCGCAGGTGGTGTAGGCCTCAACATATTGCGTATGTGCATTCTTTGCCGAGTTGGTTCCTTCTCAATAGCAACTGACTCCAACATTGTTCAAATAGAGGGTGCTAAATTATGTAGCGCGTCCATGATTATCGCCGTCGACATTGTTCCACTGAAACTTCGTAAGACGAAGAAGAGGACAGTTTCAAAGAATTCCTACTAATTATTTGCTTTCTCCCTCGCATTAGAGCTGGCCAAACAATTCGGAGCCACTCATGTAATTGATGGTTCAAAGGTTACAGATGTCGTTGCAGAAGTTAAGAAGCTCACAGGTGGACGAGGTGTCGACTTTTCATTTGATGCCATCGGCAACAAAACAGTAATGGAACAAATCTTTGCCATGATTAAGCCGTGAGAACCTACGTCGTTATTGTAAAGTGAGTCTGTACTAATCACTTTCGTAAATAGTGGCGGTACTGCAGTGGAAGTCGGAATCTCTCCTATTAACGACACATCCGCTATATCGTCTTTTGCCCTTGCAATGCAGGAGAAGACTCTGAAAGGATCGTTCTATGGTTCCGCTCGCCCTAGAGTGGATATGGCACGAATCTTGGATCTGTACCAAAAGAAACAAGTCAAGATTGATGAACTCGTGTCTGAGAGAATTCCATTGGAGGATATCAACAGAGGGTTTGATTTGTTGAGAGCTGGTGCAGTGGCTCGAACTGTAATTGTGTTTGACACGAAGAGCAAACTCTAGTAATTTCAGCAAAGTAATTGGAGTTTGAAAGAAAGAAAATTCGTGATTTAATAGTGCAATGTGTATGTTCAGGAAGGTTGGGTATAGCATATAGGAATAGAGAGAATGTGGGCACATTAACCAGGTCCAACCTACGGGGAACGAAGGTGAATACAACGGATGTGAATCGCAAGTTCTACAAGTGTCTGAGTTCTCACCTTTGGTATGTCATAATGTTCACTCAGATTCTCCAGTTTAGAATTGAATTCCTAAGTGGCAAACGGAGTGAATCAGTGGATAAGCGACCTCAAATGCCACTCGAAAAACTTACTGCTACTCGTTCCTTGTGTGATTTCTGTGCCATCTTTTCAGCTCGTTCTAAAGCCTATTTTGGCAAAACAGTAACACGTCTTAGCTTCAAGTCTTTGGGCTCCGCGTAAATACAGCGACCAACTAGTGTTCCTTCCTACCCTCTGCCTCTGTATTTCTTCAAACTTGAGCTCTGCAGGTGTTTTTGGTCTTCCAGTTGATTTCGACCCACTTGCTACCATTGTTGTAGAAGAAGATGATGCTGCAGTGTCGCTGGACCTTTTCTTTTGATCAGAAGACTCGATCTTGGGCTTGACTGCCTTCCCTTGCTTCCTGTAAACGTGGGCAACGAAATTGAAATTTGTGAGCAACAACAACGGAAGCCATGCACTGGACTTGAACTATATGGACTTACTTTTGGACTCCACTAGATCCTTTCAGTTTGAGGGATCCGCCTATTAAGTTGCTCATGATGTCTGTTTTGATCAAATGGTGGGATGATTTGAGCAGAACCGCAAGAATGGTGACATGGCGTCTCAACAGGAGCCCATCGGATAAACTGCATGAATGTTGACGCTTATTTACGTGCCAAATTACGGGTAGTGGATGTATTTCACAAAATGAACATTCACAAGGTGGACTGATCATCACAGGCCAGGAACCAGAGCTTTGACGACAGTGGCAGCAATCCAGGCAAGCACTTGTTCAGTCGTGTGGACCCCTTTAGTCTGCCACCACGAGACAGTCTATGTGAACGCATCGTCAAATCTTGAACCTTTCGTTGCCACCCAATTCCTCCAAGAATCAACATATTCCACCACTTACTCCATCTTCATTTTGTGTCTTGGGAGGTCGGAATTCAATGTCAACAGGTGATATCATCTCGATGAAATCCAGTACTGTTTCCTGTTGATGTAAATAGTGTGCAGTATTAGAAATAACGAGAAAAAGCTGTGCAGATAACTTGAAAGATGCTTCTTTACGCATTCATGTTACCTTTGTGACTTCAAAAATTCCAACCCCGACAGTTTGGAATGCAGCTTGCCACAGATGACGACTCTAGAGTTATATTCAGGAATGTGTTATTCTCCCAGTCTATACTTATTCGGTAAACATTTGATCAACTTGAACTGCACGTACTTCAGGAGTTTCTGGTCCTTCCCATGCCATATCGTACATGGATTCGAACTCTTCGAAAGTCAATTCGTGTTTTTCTGGTTCACCCTCGCTATCGACCTATAGAAAGGGTGATTGTTATCAATGGGTTTACTATAATAATGGCATTTTTCTCTTCTGTCTTACGGGTCTCATTCGTCTTGGTTCAACGTCGTCCATCACCTAGAAAAAAGGGTTGTTATCAATGCCGTATTAGACCACAGCAAACAGTATCATCTAGCTTACGGGTTTCATTGGTCTGACAGATGAACTGCGTTGCAAATCAGGAGCGTTGGAGCGACCAACCTATCCCAAAGCGAAATGGTCGAGTTTGTAATCTGGCAGGTCAACCTGCTGCCGAAAAAGCTTACATTGTAAGGAACTCGTCCAAAGCTCTGTTGTTTCATATATTTCATTGGTTTGCGACTTTCCAATTCGATGTGAGGAGCAACAGGAGTAATAAATTCAGATTCCTAACGGTTTGTTTACCCCTTTAACAGTTTGTTTGATAGCTTCGTCGGAGTCACGAAAGACTGCGATTACCCCTTCGATCCCCACTGGAGTAGTCTCTGTAACATTGCGCTCTTTGTGATGATACCCTTGAGGTTTTTCTGCCACCAATTTATATATCTACGCGCGAATTGCTAGATTAGAAAGTTTCAAAAATGTCAAATTACGCAAAGGAAGCATTTCAACTTACGAGGCCGCAGTTTGCGGGAAGGAAACTACCAATTGTCAGAACGACGATAAAGATCAAGCTGTTCATTCTTCTTTAGCTTTTGTTCAAAGAGTGTGTGTGTGTTTGTAGGTTGGTTTTGAGACGACAAGCAACTTGACAGGTTTTTCCAACAGTCAGCTGAGCGAAATCCAACGCCCCGATGAACTTCTTACATATTTAAATCGTATAAATCCCAGTAGATTCTGGTTTGTATAAAAGCACGCTACCTTATCGAAAAAATTGCTCATTGAAACAATCAGAGGGTATCTTTCTTACGAAGGGGTTTTTTGTTGTACGGAATGTAGGAATATACAGAGAGTTACAGAGGCACAAAGTATAGAGTGACATATAACGGAACGAGATGAGAGACAAAGATTTACACTCCTTCTCGACTGCTCAAGACTTGACTGGAAGAGATTCCTCTGTTCAATCCCTTGTTGACGTCGGATGATTTCTGGGCACCTGTAATTTTCGAATAGATCCAGAAAATGTTGCTATTTGAATAAGGGTATTCTTGTTAGTTCGAGCAATCCGGAAGCAGTGCTTCGAGGTTGATTCTGATTTGAATACAGTACCTTTGTTCAAAAGCGTTGGCACTGGTTCCAAAGATCAAAAACAGGACAATTCCACTGACGGCAGAAACCCAAACTGAAGTGTTGCTTCCAGCTGAAGAAGCAGAGAAACCACCATTCAACATGGCCAAACAAGCTGGAGCAGCTGTGAGTGCGGCATTGATGGCAAAGAGGACGGTCCAGGCGACAATACGCATGCAAAGTGATAGAGGGATTCTGGGACCACTGTTGGATTGTTTGACGGCAGGTTGGGCACCGTTGGTGGTTCCAGTAGCATCTTTCATATTGCCGTTAGAGGTAGCTCTTGGAAGGTGAGTGGTGCTGGTTCCGACGCTGCCTCGGTGACGGAAGAGTTCGTATGAAGCATGGGCTAACGTTTGAAAAAGAAACGGTAAATGGTAAGTTATGGGATTCCAATCTCGTATGCTTTGACCACAATTGAATTCGAAGTTCTCATTGCACAATAGCGCAAGCTTACCAGCGAGGACGATACCAATGAAGGAGCAACCCAACAAGTAGACGCTGTGGTGAATAATTCGGTTTAGTTTGCCAAACAAGTAATAACCCATTGAAAACCTCAGACTTACACTGGTGCGGCCCAAGCATTGGCAGGGTATACGACCAAACAAAACAATGTAACTGGGTAGTATCCAAAGTTTGCATCGGCCATGCCTCCATAAATAGCAGTTGGAATGGCAGCAGAAACCAAACTGATTGCCAAATAGTAAGGGTATCGAGTTCTTTCAGAGCTTTTGAATCGCCCACAAATAGCACACCAGAGATCGAATGAGATGAACATGGTGACGACATCTAAAGAAAATGTTGGTTCTCGCGTCAGAATTGCCACCCACCAACGACACCGAGTGAATTGAAAGATTTCTCACATAGTAAGGACAAGAGGTAGTTGAGAATGATGGCTTGAACTTTGCAAGACTGTGCAACCGAGAATATCACGTATGGTGCGACAGGTATCATCGTGAAGGTAACCCAATTCATCAAATTGCTACCAGAAGCTGCCTACATAAGATAAACAAAAATCAAAACTGAAGCTTTGATTATTTATAGACGCGTGTTTCAACCACTCGATGGGTCACAACTGCAACATCAACCCCACACACGAACTTTTGATGAATTTCAGAGCGTCACACTCTCCCATCAAAATTCTATGGATTCCAAAGACATTTCGGGCCATGAAAACTCACCAAGAATAGTAATATCACCAGATCGAACAGACAATAGATCGCGGCAAAAGTGATCAAGGTCCAGTTTTTGCCCATCCTCAAAAACATACTAAAGACTTCTAGAGAGCCGAAAAAGGAGATGACGTGGAGAGCCACTTGCACGGCTGTAGTGGAATCCATTTCAGATGCTTATTTCGTGGATTCGTTTTCTTCTTTTACTTTGAGTTATTAGCTTTTTTGAAATGGATGCAGAATTTATCGAAAGGGTTTCATGCCGAAGTGTTTCTTGATTCGCGAAGTACCCGGAAATTTTCCTCGGACGGGCCACGTAACTAGGTTATAGCACATCAAAAGCTCTTGGTGTTTCGGTGGGGTTTCTTGTCTCTGGCCTTAATTGTTGTCGTCTGGTCTCTGGTCTGTTTCTCAATTACAAGCCCTGTGCCGCGCATTCCATTTTGAGTGCAATGGACATACGCGATCGCTCTAAACAAGTAAAGAAAACAAAGTGAAAATTGTAGATGAATCGAGTGACTTAGTCGATGTACAACTATTTACATGATGATATAGTAAAAACCCATACATGTCGAAAAAGCACAGTTCGTTGAAAAACGTGAGAATCGAAAACCCTCAAACGTTTATTTCTCAAAGTTTGCTTGCAATCCATGCAATCCCTCTTTGCAAAAGTGAATAATTTTGGATTTGATTTGAAGTATCATGTCGAATGACGTGAGGATTCGGTCGTTGATTTTTAATGTCATCTTTCGAAATCCATATCCTATTAACCACGATAACACAAACATCGAGTCATTAAGTAAATCGAAATTTGTGCCAAAAGATCTACTTTCGTACCCGTGGAATCCATAAGGCACTCTGAACGGAATGTCAATTCTGGCTTCTAGTTTCATTGTGCTGGCATTCACTATTATCAGGGAGCTCTTGCCATTCGTTGTACCAGTGTCTTTGCGAGGATTGTGTCCATGTGTCTCATTATATACAAATCCAACCAGGTAACCAGAATCTTCAGCGCCTTCTATAGGAACAAAAACGGGCTCACCACCATACGCGTCTTGTCCTAGCTCGTAAGCCTCAACAATGCCAGTTTCTAAATCAAATTTGACTATAGCGTCCATTACGGGTATGAGTGCGCCTGGAATCAACCTACATATTGTTACGAGATTGTTGGTGGTCAAAAAAGGCACACGCTGATCCAGGTTATTTATGGTAATTGCACATACCTCCCAGTGTAGACATATCGCATCTTGCGTCCAAGCAACTCCGAATCTCGAATCCGTGGAAACTCAACAGGCACTTTTATATTCCCCAGCATTCGACGACAAACTTTTCCCGTCACCATATCGAACCTCCATTCAGTCAAATACGTTTGATAGTCATCAATATTAACATTTTTCGGCGTAAAGCCTTCAGTATTGAGATCTGCAGCCTTTTCGGAACGACATCCCACAAGCACAACTTCTTGACCATCTTCATATGCGTTTGCCGTGTGATAGACGTAACATGGTGCATCGTCAAACCATTTAATCTTTTTCGGATTATATCTATCCATGATGCCGAATCGGGATGGTAATCGTGAGTCAAACATTAGAGCTGATTTTCCCTCTCGAAAGACTCTGGGTCCGTTGAATGTAAATGGCTATTACAACATAACGACATGTTCAATTAGAGTTTAAAGATGTGAATTCAATTAGCTGATCAGCATACCAAATCCAGAATGATGGCGTAGTGTTCCGTTATGGCAAAATCATGCATCATCACAGTTCTACATTCAACTGGATGTTGGCATATCTTGAGAGTTCCATCAGCGTTCACTACAGAGTAATGGAAGGACGGTTTCTCAAACCTAATGGAACAGATTATGAGAAAACACCTTTACATCGGCTAGCAAATCAGGGGTCTCAAACAAAACACACCTGTAGCCAAAACAGAACAGTTCTTTGGTAAAGGGATCAACCTTTGGATGAGCCGTAAACTGTGCCTTAGCAGGATGCTTTGCAAACTCTCCACTAAAGGTAAAGGGACCAATTGAGTCTAAAGAGGGAGCCACCACTTCATACGGCACATTAGCCTCCATCAATGACATCAGCCGACCGTCATGATACACAAGCGCAGTATTCGCAGTAGTCCTTGTGGCAGGTTCTTCAATAACTTCTCTCGTCAACCGACTCTTGATCAGTGCCTTGACAAGAACCAGCGGCTTTTCACTCGTCAGCTCACCGAGACGTGGCATGACTCTTGCGTTGAGTGCCTTCTCAGCGAGATGTTGTCCGGTTTTGACGTATTTGTTGACATAGTGTGGGGTCAAGTGTTCGTCAAAGTAGACACCGTGGAGATGGCCTAGTGATCCAAATGTGAGATAGTGAAATATGTATTCAGACGCCGGATTTGTATCTTACCGTCGCCGTCAAACCAGTGATGTGCGCTAAGAAAAAGTATCTGAATGATCAGTCGCACCCAACAGAAAATTGTTGCGATTGCAAGATAATGCGATTGTAATATGATCTAACATACATTCCAGTGGTCGTAGTCAATTGAGGTTGACTATTTGGACCTGTTCTCACATACTGCGAACCTTCCAGGTGATGATGAGCAAGATGAGCGACAGCTATCCAAATTGTGAACGTTTGAACGACCAGTTCAGCACTCATATCACACCTCGAAATATTTCTGGGATTTTCCCATCATATGATGTTGCAACTAGCTCATGCTCATCGGTAATGGGACCAAGATTTCCTTTAAAAGTGATTTCGGTTTTCGTTAATACTCGAATAATTCAACAACGGAAACGTGTAGAAGTCAAATCAAAGCAAGAAATCAGATAGATGTATACCCTGAAACCATATATTTGCAGTCATTTTCTTCCTCCTTATTCAACGTCTGCTTCTAGGTTTCTGCTTTTGCGTCAGGAGACCGAAAGTATCACCAAAAATCACGCTGGTCGGATATTCCACAGCCGCGTTGATACACCACACATGTTTTGGTCCAAGACGGTATATATCAGCTTTATTTCTTGATGCGCATACTACCATACTACATTTACTACTACTCCGTTGTTACTCAGCCCCACAGGTTGGACAGCACGCCAAACACACCCTTCTTGACCACCTCCTTTTCACCTTTAGCCAATCTCGGTAATCCCTTAGCTCGTCTAGCCAAATTATTCAATGGGTATTCAATAGAGTTATAGGCAACATCGAAAAACAAGGGCTTGCAAGGAATCGGTTGGAAGGTTGGTGGCAACTCCACCAAGTTGGGATCTGAAGGATCAAAGCTAGGCATGAATGTATCCAAATTATCAATTAATGGTTTTCGTCTTATGCCAGATTTCTCTCCATCTGGTTCGGTACTATTCGTGGCTGCTGCTGCTGTTTCTGTGGATGTCGCTTCCATAACGGCACGAGCTCGTTCACGGATTTTAGATCCGCGGATGATGGTATCGAGACTAGACATATCGGTATCTAGGGTAGATAAGGTGGCTGTATCTTCTGGTAACAAGTCGTTTTTCTTGGTTGATTTTTTCACACTGTCAAGTTCAGCACGAGCTGAAACTAGATATTCTGATGCTTTATCCATTACAGCGAAGGCTTCGTTTCGTCTTCGAGCTGATGTAAGCAAAGCTCCTATATGATACATTCTGCAAAAAATAATTGGAGTCAGCCAAACAATCAAAGTGGTGTGATGCTGTTCTCAACACACGTACTTGAATGCATGGTAGAGAGACATCTTGGCACCAAGTATACGCTGCAACGGGACATCCGCCTCTACCCCTGGCAATGAAGACGTTTCCTTCAATGTGTTGACAATGGCATTATAGAGTTTAGGCACATCTTCCAATCGTGCAGATTTGAGCTGATCAGGCATCTTGGTTTGTTGACCAGAGAACTTGTGTTTGGTTGCTTCAATCAAGAGCAGGTTGCGCTCTACTGTCTTGGATAGACGCAAGTAGGCAACATACGATGAGATATAGTGGAGGTTGAAGGTATTTGCGTCCGACTTCGATGTTTTAACCTTTGCTACTGCAACCTAAAATTTAATATTTGATTTTGGGAATCAGCATTCAAGTATATGTTGATAACCAAAATAGCAGACCAGGATTCTCCTACCACTACCTACCGCATCATCCTTCACATCTTGCTCAGCAATACGACTAGCATCCCAGAGAGCACCAATGACAGCATCAAATTCTCTCAATCGTTCGTCCAGGGCTTCAGCACTATCTAATGGCAATGCCGCATCTTTAATAGCCTTGTCTAACTGCTGTAGGGACTCTTGAGCGGCCAATATAGCTTCAATCAACTTCTCATTCTTGCTAGGAACAGTTTTTCCTCTCCAGGTTATACTAGAAACTTCGACAGCCTTTTTGTGACGAGTTTGGGCTAGCGTGTCTTCAATTTGTCGAGTCAACAAGTCGAGACCTGCTGAACCACCGGCAGTCTTGTTTCGCATTTCAAGTAGTACTGATATATCTGCGGAAGCTCCACCCTTGATTTTCCGATTGTAGGCACAGAATCGAATGGATGGGTCAATTGCATCGACTGCAGATTGACATAGAGCTTCTTGCTCTGCACTTCCAACTGTAGACAGTTTCTCATATATCGTCCTGTTAGTGCAACGAGATAGATGTCAACATTGTATTCACCAAACAAAAAAACACGTCGATAACATTTAGAAACATACCTAGCAGCGGCAAACTTGTCAAGCGCTTCTTGCCACTTTTGTTCTTCAAACAGGACATAACCTTTCATCAAGGCAGCGTATGCTTGTGCATCCAACAAAGTCCTACTATCTACACCACGAGTTTGGCATACAGTTTCTAGTTCTGATGCATATGCAGCTGCTCGTTGTAATCGTGCACGAGCATGATGTTTCCTTCTGGGTTCTTGAGCTACTTCGCCCTTCAGTTGCATGGCATACGACCATGCTCGTTCAGCTTGAAAGAGGAGAATTTCCAAGTGGCTTGAACGGAAAACACGGAGGTGAGATGGCGGGGAAAAGGTACGCAACTGTCATCGAATACTGACTAGACTCACCCCAAAACAGCAGTTTCAGCAGGTAGCTCGCGTTTCTCATACTTTTTCTTTCCTTGAGTCAATCCAACGACTTTTCGTACTCTATGAATCTTTCTAGCACAGTATTGCCTATATATATAGATATGTGAGTGAGTTTGGATGGCAGATAGGTTTTGATGTTGTGAATGTTTGGCGTGCTTTTGCATAAGTTTGACGGTGAATAGCTTGATCATCACCTGTATCTCTGATAATCCTGATGCCTCAATCCATGAGAATCCTGCGCATTCTTTGTCACGGCCAAGACTAGAGTGGAAAGTATTTCTTGAAATTAGCACTTTGAGAACTTGGACTAGAAGTGAGGCTTACTGTCAATAGAGAGGGGCTCGAGAGGAGCTGGAGTATCTTCCATAGCTGTATTCATAGGTCTGGACCTCGCTTGTAAAGGATATCTGCCAATGCAAACGTTTGAATGTTTCAACCAGGGAACAAAACAGATTGACGATTGACGGGTGGTTTAAGCTTATATATATTATTAGTTGAAGATATCGTGTCATAGACGACAGTGATGACAGAACAAGTATCATCTCACAGAACACCCATTAAACCAACATTCCACTCGCCATCATCAGAGAGCTGGAGACGAAAGTTCAGAGACCAGTGCAATGAACGATTACGGAAGGATAGAGAAGCTCATACTAGAAGGAGACGGACCAGTAATAATCTCACTCCTCCTATGCAACATGGTGATAGCCCTTTGGATCAAGATGAGCAGGAAGATCGAGAGGCAAGTGCTTGCTTTCGTTTGCTCCTGATACACGACAGTTCTCGCGTGATGATCATCGCTGAACATATCTTTGAATCTAGCTGATCAAACGTGCAGTCTATGATGAATATCAGAAAGCTCTAGCAGAAGAACAAACAGACTTTGCCTTGACAATTACACCTGAAATCGCAGAGGCAGTGCAGGCAGAGATACTAGCTGAAATGAATGAAAACTTATGGTCTGATGTAGATGACTCGACAATGGACGTTTACGATGATGATAATGAATTCTCACCAACACCAACACCACTCCCAAACCGTCATCAACAACGACATGATATACCCGACGAGAGAACCACTATGATGGAAGATGATACCGTTCAACCGCATAGTAGAGCCATGTCAAACGCATCTGTAGATTCATCATGGGAAGTATCATATCGTGCTACGAAAAACAGTGAAGGAACAGCAACAACTATGATGGGACTTCCAAATGTATCTGCTGTCGCTGCGGCATTTCGAGCAATCCCGACTACATGTTTTGTATGTCAGCGTGGTATGTTGTCCAAGCAACAACCGAATGTACTTGCATGCTCATCATGTGAAGTACAAGTGTCTACTCGTGCAAGTGTGCAAGAGTATTTGGATTACGTTTTGGTCATGTGTCGAGGGCACGAGTGAGTACATGTCCAATTTCAGTGCTGTGTTGTCTAAGCAGTATTTTATAGGACACTGATATAGGCTTTTTTGCATTGTAGACACACTTGCTTGGGACAATCCCTATTCACATACACACGTCAACATGGTCTTTTCCTAGTATGCAATACATGTATGGCCCGTGAATCGTTGATTGTTGAATAGCTCTTGCATTATTTTGCATTTTTGTATAGTTGCAGCTTTAGCACGGTACATATAAAGTCAATTAGTTAGAACCTTGTGTTGTGACAAAGCGCTTAAGGCCAATCAAAACTGGATACACAGGAATAGAATTATATATTGTGCTGACAGTTCAGAGTAACAGAAAAAGAAACCAAAATCTACTCTGTACAAGCTGCAATGGCATTGAGCAGGCGTTGTGTCCGCTCTAAGGCAGCAAACTCCCGACCGTGCATTGCATTCATACAGTATCCTACGGCTGTGAAAAGGAAAAAGTGGTGTTAATGTCTAGAAGGTTCAAGTTTGCATATTCTGGCCAAATCAATTACCAATTTGCTTTTCACGATTCCAGACGATAACAGACCCTCCAGCCCCTCCCCACCCCGAACTTTTCAAATTAATTGTCTCTCTACCTATGTCTACAGCGTATCCTCCAACAGTCATTTGTCTTTCCAATCCCAAAACTTGGTCAACTTGCATCGGCACCAGCAATTCCTGGGCTAGATGAAGCAATCAAATTCAGCGTTCACTTGCGAAAGAGCACATAATATCTACTAGCTTACATTTTTTGTAGGCTTCGGGTGAGACAATGGTAAAATGATCAACTGTTCCTCCAGATGCCATCTGCAAAGAAGAGCAAGTTAACGGAAGCCAATGACATGCAGGAAGATCTGGCATACCACAAGTGCAAAACGAGCCAATCCCAAACAATTCGTCACTGCACCGTAACTTGTCGCTCCTCCAGTACGAGTAACCCGAGCATTTGCCCAATCTCGATCGACTTTTCCGTTTGGATACGGGACAGCGGAGAATGTCTTCCGTGCTAAATTGACAGTGGTTAGCATAGCCGTGGGTTTATTCGATTGCCGACTTACTTACTTGGGTGGTTGGGATTTCTAGCTATATCATACAGCCTTGGGTGTGGCGGATCGCGCAGAAGGAACCTGGGAATGAAAATATTGCCCAGTCCGCGGAGCGCTGGGTATGGAACCATGCGGCAGACTCGGTTCTCATATTCAGCAGGTAATCCGTAAAAGAATTCAACTCCAAGACGGGGAGCTATATCTTCCGTCACAATCTGTCCCATCGAACGATGTTTTGGATCCACTCGGCGAACGATTTCGTTGAGATACCATCCTCGTGACAATGCGTGATAGGCTTGGATTGGTTTACCGTCATAATTGTGCTTTTGCCGGGCACTGCAGTGAAAAGGGGGTTTGAGTAAGGCGTGACAATATGACGTTGCAAAAGGTAATACATTTTGGTCGCCAGAACGTCCAGATCATGCACTTCTTCAGCAGTGGGAGTGTTTTCTGGGTCGAGCCACGCCACGCCTCCTCGATGGCCCAGAAGGTCACATAGCTTCACATCTGCCCGAAACGTCCATTTAGCTCGAATATTTTCAAAGCGAGCAAAGTTGCCGTACCTTGTTTGCCACCTTGTGCGAACTCTGGCCAATAGTGGGACACCCTTTGGTGGTAATCAACCAGTCCCAATGTTACTAGGTGAGCAAAAATGATGGATTCGACTGCTTTGCCACAAGAAAAAACTAGGTGCAAAGTCTGATCGGTATATGGTTTCTTTGTCTTCAAGTCTTCCTGTAGATACCAAAAGCTCAGAAAACTTAGAGCGGTTCGTTCTGGTGTTGTAGACAGCACATGATCTCATCGTCAATTCTCGTTTCAAAGTGTTGCGCAAACGTAACGGCCTTGTAAATGTGATGCACGCAATTGTCACTTACAAAGCCACCGTAGAGCTCAACGACTTTCTCTCCCTTCACTAAAGGAAGGGATGAGTTGGTGCTTGCCAGCAAAAACCCAATGTTGAAATGTTGCTCACCATACACGACCAAACCACTCCCAATCTCTAATCCCGCGGCGAAATTCTGTTCAAAAGCATCTTTGACACGCTCGTATCCTTTCTCAACGTGCCCAGATATGGGATACGCGAGCTTTCCAATTCCAAAAATTTGGGTAACCAATGGATCGAATATGCCAACGCTGTTTTGATATTTTAAGAACAAAGCTCCCGTTAACGTTATAGCTCCAATGACACCAGCAGCTATGTAGGCAGCTTGGCCAGACTCCATCGTCAGTTTTTCAGATTTGCTTGCTTCCCTGACCGATTGTCTTAACTTGTTTTCACGATGAAGATAAAGTGTGGACTGGTATCATCATAAAAGACTCGAGCTAAACAGATTGGTCTGCTCACAGAAACTCTCAATGAAGCCGAGTATGGCAAGCTCGATACTCCAGAAACTATATATAAAGCTACAGATGTATCAGACACCTATTGGACATATGGTCAGGCCTCAGATTTAGAGCAAATGGCGAATTCTAGATTACTAGATGATGAGATGTATTGTCAGGAACTCAACGTAGGGGAGAACACATTTACACATCTGCGAGATTTCTCATAGCCAGTTCTTCTTTGGATACAGTGATGCTGATCGCAAACCTTGATGTTGAAGAAGGTCTAGCCAGTGGCTCTCGAGCTGTAGTCGTCGATTTTGTGACCGCATCAACTCTACCACTCACACCCTCAAAGTCAAATCTCACAACTTTTCCGAGCACTTTGAGGCCATACCGCTATCTTACTTCCTTGATGGATCTAAAATAGCTATATCCGCTTTTACCTTTACTGTTAAAGCGTCAAGTCTTAGTCGAACACATATTCCTCTCAACCATGCCTGGTCTATAACGGTCCACAAGAGCCAAGGAATGTCGGTAGATGCAAGCCGTGTAGTAATGGATAAGATATTTGCAGCGGGCCAATCATATGTTGCGCTGTCGAAGGTGAGGAGCCTTGAAGGTCTGCTGATAGGTTTATTTTTGAGAAAGAAGATATGGTGATCCAAAGGTCGGGGCATTCTATAATAGTATGAGAAGACTAGGAATGCCAGATGGGACGTCTTGGAATAGGAAGGCCGACCAAGCGGTTGCCGGGTTCTTGATAGCAATGCAAACTCGGCACCGACTGAGTTCATGGAAGACCAATTTACAGCAATTAAGCTAGACAAGTATAGGCAACATTGTAATAGCATGTCACCATCTAAACCAGCCAAACAAAAAGCAAGGACGACATATTTAAGGGACAACTGTTAGGTGGACCAGTGAGGTTCGTCCTGTCGGCTAGACGTGAAGGATTACCAATAACACCCTTTAAGATTTGGACTACCATCTGAACGTAACGAAGCACCACAGATGACACCAGTAAATTTTGGTCGTAACGAAGCACCAACAATAACACTCGCAACAGTAGCCCCACCACTGACAAAGGAGAGCAGTGATGCTCAATATGGACTTGATGACGACGACGATGGACTTTGGGCTTCTGCATCACAAATGGTGGATGAATCATCGCAACCGTCTAAACTTGGAACGTGATATCGATGATAACTGGCGGTGATCGACCGTGTACATGTAGATTAAGAATATAAATAGCATACATTTTGTAAGAATACACGTTTTTGCGCAATTTGAGAATTCTTTGGGGTGTTAGTTGCCGGCTTGTCAGTCTTCACTTTCGGGTTCGCTTTTGGTTTGAAACTTATGACAGGCAAAAGACAGAAGAAAGCAGGAGCTGTATATCGAACGGTCAAGAATCCGGCTCTGTGCTGTTCGTGTATGTAGGGTGAAGGCCAAGGAGCTGAACCCGACGACACGATCGCTCATAGCAATGTCAGATCCCACAGAGGTTCTGAGTGAGACTAGTGAGACTAGCGACACTAATAAGCGGATCTCCACCATATTTTCGGTAAGTCCTTGTCATTCTGGTTGTTTGGTTTGGATAAAAAGAAATCTTGAGGATTTGTTGTCAGTTTGTTGCGTGGATCCCGCTGGGCGGATCGAGAAGATTTGTATAGATCTGCTTGCGTTTATGAATATCAACGTTCTTGATCTATGAACTTATACAGTTGAACCAACACGCTTTCTTTCTAACCCGCAGAAACAAAACCGAAAGCTAAGAACGTCAGCATCCTCACTCAGCTTGAAACCTGATGTCGTGCCTTCTACCGAAAATGTCAGCCAATCTCCTATATCTGCATTGTTTTCGAGAATCAAGAACCGAGAGACTGGTCAAAGTCCACGAGGAAGCCATTCGAAGGGGTTGTCTATGGTCACTGGACATTCAGGACACTCAAACACACACTCAAGGCAGCCTTCAAATGATCCAGAAGGCTCTACACAACCACTGAATGATAAATTAGTGCCAGGGTCTCCTCAAAAACGTCTCAGTGGCAAACAAACGCACAGTAAGAAATTAGGTTGATATTGCGCTGACCAGAAGTACTCACTGCTTCATTTTACTGCAGAACGACAATCGTCCCTTCCCATTAGACATGTTGGCAGTTTAGACGATTTAATAGCACACGTACATGCAGCCACACATTTAGATTTGTCGAATCCCGTGTCGCCAGTGCAGAGCCCAGTGATATCTGCAGCCAAACCTTCAATAAAATCTTCAAATTCGTCAATGTCTCATCGAGTTGAAGATGCATGGGAGAGTAAACAGGCCGATATTGTCCTAGCACGAGATATTGGAGATAATATGACCGGGCCGCTCCCAATACCAAACCACGATAGTAGCAGAAAAGTGAATTTTACTATATCAGATTCACTCTCCTCGTCGCTCGAAAGCAGTAGAGATGGACAGTTAGACCAACCTTTAGAGTTATTGCATAGACAGCCCTCTTTGATTTCCATGATACCGAGTCATTTACAGCAGCCAGAACCTATAATAGAAGAATCGTTGCCTCACCCGTCGCCACAATATGATCCCGACTCGGTCTTGGGTTATTTAATGGATACCGTAAATTCGAATATGAAACGGCCAAGTGTCAGTAGTATTGCAGAATCACCCATGGCAGTAACTATGTTAAAATCCATAAGTCATCAACCATCGATAGCAGAAGCACGTAATGAGGACAATGACTCGTTCCGTTTACCACCGATACCACAAAATGAAGCACTCTCGTTGTTTCATCAGTCAGCAGCAAATACAGAGGCTAAACCTGAAATTGTGAACTCTCCAGTGCTTGAATCTGAGCCAGAGCCAATACCCACACCCGCACCTGTTGTGCCTTTAGTCGCTCCTACGAATGGATACAAGTCAATGAACCCGACTGAAGTTGCTAGACTCTTGTATGAAAATAACTTGCCTGATGTCCCTTCTGAAGATACCGCCTTGATATTGGGCAAGGGGTAAGTAGTCATCTGATATTAAATGCATTGGCCAGAAATGCTCATCTGGATGTTTTCGGTAGTGACTACTTCCATGTCGCGATTCTTACTGCATATATGAACATGTTTGACTTAAAAAACTTAAAACTGGAAGAAGCATTCAGGTATGTCCAAGTGAAATGCCATAAAAGACCACCGTGGAACTAATACTTTGGAGATCCTAGACGGTTTTGTGCTGCACTCATCATGAAGGGTGAAACACAACAACAGGATCGGATTTTGATGAGGCTAGCACAAAGATATTGGGATTGTAATCCACAGACTTGGTCCCTCTTTTACTCTGCAGGTTTGAACCAGAGTCACGAGTTTACAACCGTGCAGATTTCGGCGCTGATTTGTGTATTTCAACCTAGATGTCGTCCACATCATATTATTCTCGATACTCATGCTGAATACTGATTTACGGAATGCTAGCATCGGGATAACGAGCTCTCGCATGTCCAAGTCTGAATACCTCAAAAACACCCTAAACACCATTGAAGGCATGGTAAATCCAGTACGAAGTGAAGATTCAGATAGGACTGGCACTGGTACTGTCAGTGACGACAGGACATCTACAGAAAAGGAGACATTCGTTGACCGAGATTGGAGGCGGAAAATGGAAGCCGAGTTACGTGAATTATACAAGTCTATTAGTAGGCACAATATCGTGTCGAGGTCTGCCTCACCTGATTTGACTTCTTCGCCATCATCATCGTCATTACCCATCCGAACTTCAAATGGTACACTGAAGCGAGAAGGATCGTCTTTATCGGTATCAACCACCCATTCGACGTCTACCACCGCTACCAACTTTGGCGATAACATGTCTGTGTATTCTGGACGAGGTATCCGCTTTGTAGCTTCTTTACGAAGAAACCACAATGGATCATCACAAACCTTAGAACGTAACACCACCCTCGATAGAAAGTCTTTGGCTAGTGCCTTCTCTGGTAGTTCGCTAGGTCGAAATACTAGTGAAACAGATCCATATGGTTCCTCTGCTTCGATACGTAGTACCAGCGTAGAAATAGGTGGCGCCAACCTAATGTCAGACCCAGGCCGAGCAGGTGTTATGCAAGGGCTTATTATACGTAAAAGGTTGCGAGATCCTGAAGGTGGTAGAGCTCGTATGCGTAGATGGGTCAAAGCATGGGGAGTGTTACGAATGGATATGGATGGACCGCTTGGCGTTGCATTGACTCTGCAACGAGTTGAGAATGATTCAGATAAATTCTCGCCTACAGAAATAGGTGGAAATTTAGTAGATCCATCTGCACTACCTACCACAATGTTTGCTGGAACTGGTGGTAATGGTTCCACGTCGCCCTTTGAGTCTATAGGACGACGGTCTTTGGCTTCTAGAGAAGCTCGTAGTCGGCCAGCCATGGAGACGTCGAGACCTCCTCGTCTCTTGCGAGTAAGTTGATTCATGATTGCGACAGTCCCAGGGATTTGTTTTCCTGACATACCTTGGCTGTCCATAGGTTGCACCAAACTCTCTCGAAACAATTCCACTATTGCATGCTCTCTCTATATCTCACCCAGAGCCAGGCTACTCATCATCTCGACCTCATGTATTTTCCTTGCATTTGAATGACGGCTCCACGATGCTCTTCCAAGTACCATCACTTCAGAGCCTGAATATGTGGGTTCGAGCGATCAACTATTGGGCAGCTCGTAGGTCGCGAGAGCCTTTACGTGGTGGCATAGGTAACATGGAATATGGGTGGGGTAAAATACTCTCAGATCGTAAAGCCCGTCTAGCTGAAGAACGAGAACGTAAAACTCACGGGAGACGTGGTGAATCCTTTTCAATGTCTATGACGGCCAAAGAAGCAGCTGCAGCAGTTTCTTTGGTCATTGGAGACGAGTATGAATTTGGAACTAGGGCCTCTCCGCATGTGCATTCTGGTTCTATCTCTGGATCGTCTGGTAAAGAGGCTGGTGGTGGTAGTAGTGGTATGCCTCCAATGGCTGTTGATCCCTCTGATGAGAGTGTCAAGGCCAAGATTTTTGAGTGGTTCCCGCCACCTAATCCAATTCATACAAGGACTGGTGGTGACTATTCTGAGGTGATTTGAGAAACATTCTCGAGATGTTTGAGTTTTTTGTTGACTCTTGATCACCTAGGTGGAGCAAATGAATGCCATGAAGAAGCAAGTCGACATTGTTGCTACAGAATTGGAAGAACATGCTGGTCTTCGTGAGGCGATGGAAATCAAGGTATGTTGTACCCCGTGCAATATAAATCCGTTGTTGAGATTTGAGGTGACCTTTATTGCTCCTTCCTTTCACAATAGTATGGATCACACCCCTCACAAAAGGACAAGGCTCAAAAGAATTGGATTAAAAGGCAGCAATATTTAGCATACGAACATCAAAAATATGCTACTTACGTCGAAGCCCTCGTGCAAGGATTGGATTACATAACCGGAAATCATCAACCATTCTCCCCTACCGCTACTCACTACACCAGCACGATCCCTAGGACAGTCGAATTGCCACCACGTATGCCCCTCACCTCTGACGTCTTTATACCACCAAATAACATAGCACCGAGCCGACCTTCAAATGATGCAACAACAACAGATTCGTCTTCCTTGTCAACCTTGGATGTTATACAACGAAAACATTCACAGCAACAGCAATCCGATAGTGTGTCACGTAGTCTTGATGCTGCTAGGATATTGAGTCCCAAGCTGGAGGAGGAAGGTAGCAGGCCTCCATCACCTTTACCACCACAATCGTCTAGCGTAGTGGACAGTACCATGTGAAATTTGTGAATAGCATTATTATTAAAGACATTTTGTAAAGACAACAACAACACAACGCATTGTGAATAAATCCTCAGTATTTTCTATAGCAGATAATTGTGTAAAAAATCTTTGTTTTGGGCGATTGCGGCGACATGAAAGATGTTTTGGATGCAACAAGAGTTACGCCAACGACCAGCTCGGAAATGATGTTTAATCACGTAGAATTATCAGGTCATGACTAAGACTGCACTTCTTTTGCGTTCGGAAGTCATATCTCCATTTTGTTAAAGAGTTAAGATGAATTCTGTGAGGTTTTCCAGTTACAAGACACGACAACACAAGAGATACGAAATGTTTCTATAGACCCGAAGACCATTGCTGTCTGAACTTGGATTCGACGAGATTTTAGTCTAATTTGGGATGTATCCGAACAGAAAACTCCAACTAAAACTCAACATTTGATAAATGGCCGTTGTAATGTCTTATATGGAGAAGGCATCTATCTATGTGGTTTCTTTGATGAAGCTGGACCTATAATGAATTGCGATTATTCGTATTCGTGCAATATCTTTCAGCCGCTGGTTTTTGCTGTAGCCACTACTTGTCTAAGATGCTCCAACTGACGCGTAAAGTTTGATTCCTTGACTAGTAGTCGGACGGTACACGACTTTTGAAATGTAATTTGGATGTGTCGGGCACCTGTCTGAACATGTTTCTCAACATGATGCTTTGGTCGCAATTTGAGCTCCACTAAAGGTAGCCATTTACAGCCATCATCGGACTGATCGCACTCTACCTGAAGACATAGACGAAGCATTTCCCGTGAAAAGTATGAATTCGGAGAGTCTCAAAGTCACTATGAAAACGCAAGCAACGGCTCGTATCTACAAAATTGCCCATTTTTGTAGGCATTACTTTGTAGACCGCCAAGGTTGTGTTGCTAAATACGTTGCAATGTAGTATTCATTATATTGTATCCATTTTGGTCTTGTTGATCCTTCCTGGAATAGCTGGTAATGTTACGTCTGGATGTTGCAGAGGAGAGGGACCAGGATTTAGTCACACAGTGTTTTTTGCAGAATACACAATCACCAATTTCCCACAATTCAGTACGTTTCAAATGTTCATACTTATATATTACAATAAGAGAATGTTCGTGCTACATGATGGCGAAGTTGGCCAAAAAGGATAATTTGAAAACCACAATTTTGCAGAGGTAATGGCAAATTACATCCCATTTCAGTAGTAAGCACTAGATGTTCCTGCCATTCCACCTACACCCTTCTGCGACGTAGAATTACCATTACTTCCACTACTGTCACTGCGAATCGACAGTTTCGACAACTGTTCAATCTCCATCTCCATATTAGGCTTTCCGTAGCTAATCACTCCAACATCATTACCAAATGCGAATGGCGGTGGGATGAATATCTTGGCTGTCAATAGTGATCGTGGTTGAGGGTATATGTTGCCTAGAGATGCTATAGAGGGTACTGGTTGGAAGCTTACAGAGTCGTTCACACGGATATAAGTGTCTGCGAGTAATTTCAGTTCGATTTGTTCGGCATTGAGTGTGTTTAATAGATATGTTTGGTTGTTGGATTCGGTCTGGTGAGCTGATTGGACTCTTTTCAGTGCGTTTTTAATGAGTGCTACGGCTTTTCCTATTTCACTATGGGAGGTTGGACGAGGTTAGAAGGATGCAAAAAAGAGGCGAAAACCTGGCTAAGTTCGATCAGAAACATACCCCTTCTCATACACATCAACAGCAAGACATCGCTCCACCATAGCTCGACAATACGCTACCCCACATTGAGCAGCCTGCACTAAATCCCCATCAAGCTCGCCACTCTTTACGATAGAAAGTGGTCCCGACGATGATGCCTGCATCCTTACACGGAAAAGAGCCAATGCTTCTTCATACTTGACTGCACAGTCTATATACAGTTTCGACAGTGTCGAATTACTCATTGACTTCAGTCTCGCCTTCCTAATAGCTAGCAACTGGCCATCTGATAATGCCATTAGTGCTAGTGCACGGACTACAGATGGATCTCCCTCAGGTGGTCGGTCGGCGACTGGAGTCTTCCAGTGTACAAGTACTTCGTCAGCTATGTATGTGAATGTGCCTGCAGCTTGTATAAGTTTATCAGCTGCTTGGTTCAATCTGAACTCGTCATCGTTACTTCCCCGAGCTTCCATCATTGCCGTTGCCATATTACATAGCGCGTATCCTCTATTCAGTAACACGTACGTCAACTCAAACCATAGCGTGCTTCCAGATACTTTAGGATGCGTCACTTTCTTGACTTTACGGACTCGGGCAGATAGTGTTGACTTCCATTTGAATGCTGCATTGTGTTTTATGACACCGGGTTTCTGTCGTGATGCGTTTAGTGCTGCGAGGAGGTGTGGCAGGTACATGTCGATTGCTTCGATGTGATCTGCATATGCTATAGGAGTCTTTTTAATGACTGTTCGTAGTGAGAGACGTTTGGCTTCGAATCGTGAAATATCTGATGGTTCGATGAGTGATGGAATTGGTGTGAGTGAGTTGGGAGATAGTTCCTTTGGGACCTACGCAAGATGCGAAAAATTGTCAGTATTGTATAATTTGTTGAAGAATGGTTTGAACTAGTTACACTGGCTGGGATCCTGAGAGACATTGCTGCATTAGTTCCACTTGGTACTAATGTTGGCTAATGTACGTCCAAGTCTCAATAAGCGAAGACGACCAAGACGTTCAGGCAATGATCAGATCAAATCTAGTTGATATAAAAGTCAACGCAAGTGTTCATTGCTCTCTCTCTTCGTTGAGCGTTGCGGCAATGTTCTTAAAAGTGCTACAAACGAGAAGTACGATTTGAATTGCACAACGACAGTTCCAGTAGAGACTTACAGTATCTTACAGCGCCCAACTTGCGTTCTGACTCTTGCTCTTCTCCAAAACGCCGGACAGTTTTTGTTTATCAACTCTTTCGCTTCAACCTTCCGTCACAAGTTGACAGTATTGAGCGTGGCTAAGAGAACGAGGGACTTAGAGGATAATATTACATAGATATATCCATACACGCACATTCCCATAATCACATAAGCTACTTCTACCAAAATGCTCGGAGCCCAATCGCAACCAGACTTTTCCCAAGACCCAGCCTTCACGCAAGCAATCTACATGGAAGATGACATCAAACACCATATAATCAAATCTCGCCTCTTGATCTCTCAACTCGCAGACTCGTCGGACTGGGTCCCCTACCAGCAAAAGAATGGAATCACTCTTACAACATTGGACATTGAAGGTGACCCGTTGCCTGCCATTCGAGGCTCTGCTGAGGTCGATATCGGAGTTGAAGAGCTGATTAGATGTATACGGTCTGCTGGAGCTCGTCAGATATGTATGTTTTGTGATTGTGTTCGTTGGCTTGAGCCTGAACCGTTTTTGTGATATACACGTGTACGTTCCTCTAAGTGGATACGTCTATTATAGGGGATCCACGATTCGTAGAAGGCCACCTCGTACGCCACCTCGGCGGCAACAACAACTCCCTGTACTCCAAAATGCCAGGCGTACTCGCCATCGTTGCACCCCGCTATATCTACGGAGTCCAGCAACGCTACTACCTCCCCGAAACCGACACACACGTAATCCTCGTATGCTCCCTCCCGCTCTCAGACGAAGCACCCATGCCCAAAGGCCACATCACAGTAGACGTAAAAGTCGCAGGATGGTATCTCAAACCCCTCACACCACAACGCACAGAAGTCAGCTACTATGCCCTTGTCGATCCAGCAGGCACCATCCCGTCCTTTGTAGCTAGGTTGGCATCGTCGCAGGCTGGACTCTGTGTTGCTACTGTACGCGATTATATAAATGATTTTGGAGCTCCAATGGGAATGTCGGTTGTCGGGGCGCTCAAGATTGAGAGGTTTGAGTTTGAGCATAAGAGTAGAATGTATGATTTTAGAGTTACGATGCCTGATAGTGTGAGTGATGAGCAGGTCAAGGATACGTATATGGAAGTCAATGTGGATCGCAAGATGTATCCGTCTGGTGTGTCGATTGTTATGACAGGGAATGGTGCTGAGGGTAGTATTGAGGCTGCGACGGTGAGAAAGGGGAGAAGTGAGGCTTGTGTGTGGGTAAAGATATTCTTTGCAAATCACTCATATCGAGGAACTAGTATATTTGTATGTACAAAGAATGAGTCTGGACCTTTTACGTTGACGCTCAATGATAAAGAGTTGCCTGAAGTTGAGACATTCTGAGTTCAAAACCTCAGCTTGTGAACGAATAGAAATCTTGTATAAGCCAGCCTCAAAATATGTATGTAACAAAACAATGAACACACTCATACAGTATACATGACCACGTTTTGCTTCAAGTCTTACAAATATGCTAAACAAATACAAACGAAAACACAATGCCAAACACAATGATACAGCTACTCCAACTCTGTTCCCCTAATCTTTCAGTTAGTCTAGATGTATATATATATGCACATAATAACTCTACTCGTTGTCTTCTCCCTCATCCATCATGGATCCGGAGAACACTTCTTCTTGGTCTCCAGCTGAAGCATCGAACAAGGTTGGTGAGGATTGACCCTTTGGAGCCATCTCAGTGTCTTCGTTTACTTCTTCCTCCTCCTCCACCCCCTCTTCTTCCACTACTTCTTCTTTTTCGTCATCATCGTCCGATTCAATGATATCTGCTTCCGCACCATCAGCATCAGACAAGTGATTGCCAATGTACTAGACGTGTGTTTGGGTTGTTTTAGTGCATCTCAAAGAAAACGGTACAAGAGGTTGCCAGATTCAGCACCTTGTTCATTGAAAAAGCAGTAACTTTCTTGTGCCCCATAACGGCAGCGAGATTCTCATCACATATAATGTTCCTCTTGTCTTTTGGATCTTGTAGATTGTTTCCCTTGATATACTTCCATATATACTAGAATGGCGCAAAACAACTGCGTTAGTACTGTTTGATGATATCTATAAGACTGTACCATTGACTTTGTATACCTTTACAACTTTGGGACGTGACAAGACTCGAGCACCTTTACAAAGAGCTGATAATGCCTCTGACAATTGGTATGGCTTATTGAATCCTCCACCAGTACCTCCACCGACCTTCTTCTTCTTTGCTGACTTGGGAGACTTTTTGGCCTTGACGGGAGTATCATCAAGATCATCAATGTCTTCGTTACTATTAACAGAAGATGTATCATCGTCTTCGATAAGATCATGGGCATGCTCTTCCTTGTATTTGTTTGCAGAGACTTCATCAGGCTTGGACATGTGTGATGACAAGATCTATTTGTGCGTACGATATGAGCGATTGGGTGCATGTGTGAGAGTAACGAAAATCCAAAGAAACCCTTCAGCTGAGAATGCTCATTGACGAGATTCACCTTGGTCATTTTGAAACCATGTATGCGAGAAGTACCCAAAACCTTTTTCAACGCTTCATCAGGCACAACAGTAATCTTGCTCTTTGGATCCTGCAACTCGTGCTCCTTTATATACTTCCATACTTCTTTGGTAACTTGAGTTCTCGCCATAAGAGTAACACCTCCTAGAAATTCACTGAGTGCAGGCGATAATAGCACAGGAGCCGTAAATCCACCACCCCTCTTCCTGATACCAGCATTACTTGCCTTGTCACCATTCTTCTTCTTTGCAGAAGCTTTGCGTTTAGGAAGTGGAGCAGCAGCACGACGAGTTCGTCCACGTGGATTATCCATCTCTTGAAGTTGACGAGCGAGTTTTGCATCTTGCTTTTCCTGGTTTGCTATTCCATCAGAATCCATGCCACTTTCGTCGTCGTCCCCTACTATTCCGTCGTCGTCGTCATGGTCACCGTCGTCATCTGAATCTATTACTTGTGATGATTTGACTTGTCTTGACTTTGGTTTTGGTTTGGGGGTGACTTTTTGAGGTGGTGGTGTTGCTCGAGAACCAGATGATGATGGTGGTGCTATGTAGTGAAAGGTAAGCTTGCAGTACAGATGGGGTTTCAAACAGGAAGATAATTGATTCAAGAATCTGCGAACTATTCTTCCATTCAACCAACGCGTGTTCCACTCCAAACTCTTGACATCCAATGTCACAACGTTACCCTTTGAGCTGGCAGTCTTTTTGATCACTGGAGGAGGAGGAGAAGCAACAGCATCGACAGCTGGACTCTCAGATTCGTCAAAGAGCGTAACGACGAGTTGGTCTATTTGCTTCTTGATGGGGGTTAAATCTACATGTCGTTCATCTTCCAGCTGCTTGCGAATACGGCGAGCTGTGACTACTGTTGGATCTGATTCTGCTAGTATCTCTTTGATCCTGTCTCTATATAGCTCTGGATTCATCTTAGAAGGGTGTCTCTCCGTGTTCTACACCTACTAAATGTGTTATTATGAGTTGTAAGAATCAAATGTTCCAATGGTGTGCAGATGTACTTCTAACAAGATGCAAAATTTACATTCGTATACTCTTATATACAGACATCGCGAAATGAGCTTCTTACGATTCTTCAACCGTAAGTAAACCGACATGTTTCAACGCGTTATTCGCATTGACTGCTTTTGAAATTCCAAAGGCCGATTTGAGTTGAAGCAAATCTCTTTTGTAGCTAAGATGGCTGGTAAAAAAAGGAAGAACAGTTCCAAGGACGATGTCGAAGTGATTGAATCTACTAAACCGACCAATGGAAGCTCTTCTTCCAATGATGTATCTGTCGTAAAGCCAAAACCATTGACCAAACGCCCAACCCTCTTCATTGATGAACCCATAGTAGTCACAAAGACGCCGCACGATAGATTCTTGTCTCAACCAAAGACTGTCGGCATTGTCGGTGCTGGCTTCAGTAAGCATCATCCTGAAATGATCAACATTTGATCAAACTGATTACGTACACCTGACGCGTTCCTATCGTCTCAAATTAGATGGGGGACAACCACGTGAAGGTGTAGAACACGCTCCTGCTCAACTGGTCGAAGCAGGTCTCGTCGACCAACTCAAGGGACTAGGCTGGCATGTCCAATTCGACGAGAAATTCCCTACATATGAAAGTCTCCGTCCCACTGTCGACGATAAAAAGGAAGGCCATCTACGTAATGTCCAATATGTATCCAATGTCACAAAGAGTGTCGCTGATACCGTTGCTGCTCATGCCAAACAAGGTCGTTTGGCATTAACTATTGGGGGTGACCATTCTCTGGCTATGGGAACTATTAGTGGTACTGCCGCTGTCTATCCTGATGTTGGTGTTATCTGGGTTGATGCTCATGCTGTACGTGTATAATGCAATGTGATTTATTTGACATTTGCACGTGTTGACAAGTTGTCACTTCATGAACACCACTGCTCATACATTCTCATCATGATCATCATCATGATCATATAGGACATCAACACTCCTGAAACTACAACCTCTGGCAATCTCCATGGAATGCCTGTCGCCTTCCTCATGGGTCTAGGCTCATGCGGAACCATCGAGGCTTTCAACTGGCTCAAACCATGTCTCAACCCAGACAGGATTGTATATATTGGTCTCCGAGATCTCGACACTGACGAAAAACGAATCCTAAAACACCATAAAATCAAAGTATTCACTATGCACGAAGTCGATCGATACGGTATTGGACAGGTAGTAGATATGGCTATACAACATCTAGGTCCAGATTGTCCCATTCATCTCTCCTTTGACGTGGATGGCTTGGATCCTAGTGTCGCTCCTGCTACTGGAACTCCTGTACGTGGTGGATTGACGTTTAGGGAGGGTCATTACATTTGCGAAGCTGTCTACGGTACGGGTCGTGTCGTGGGTGTTGATATTATGGAAGTCAATCCAATGTTGGGGCAGGGAGACGAGTTAAGCCAAACAATCTCTGTTGGATGCTCGTTGACTCGAGCTTCGTTGGGTGAAACATTATATTGAAAAAACAAGCCTTCTATGAATCAGTTTTCATTCCTGCCTTCCAAAATAGTACCAGATCTTTAGAACAAGTACGTTATCATATAAATGCGCTCTAGATCAACTGCATGTTGCGATTCGCGATGCGTTCGCTTATACACGTTCCGAATTTCGTGCAACATTAGAAATAAAACACCGTCCTTGACGCATTCCTAATCTGTTCGCATAGCAATCGCCCTACTGAGAAGGCTCGGATCTGCTTAATCTCATCATGTCGCGTATGGATCCAGAGAAGCCCTGGACTTTCAACCACCAAAGGGCCCAAGTCAATGGCATGAACATGCACTACGTTGACGAAGGAACAGGCAAAGATAACGCATTGGTGCTGGTACATGGATTCCCTGATCTTTCTGAGTAATATCAAAGGAAACCTTTATTCGTTGCCTGTTACCACGCGTGATCGTTGCATCTATACGCCAAATCATAACACAACGTCTTGGGGTTTCCCTAGGGTATGGCTGGAGACACAACATTAAAGCTTTGGCAGATGCTGGATTCCGTGTGCTAGTTCCTGACATGAGAGGATATGGTATTTTCGCACCTTGTTCGTTGACTCTTCGCGGAGCTGGGTCTGAAATGTTTATCGTTTCCAGGATCGTCATCAAGTCCACACGCTCCAGAAACAGCATCGTTGCAAGTCAAGCGTCAATTCGCTCAAAAGAATGTCTGCAAAGATTTGATTGAGTTGTTGGATGTTTTGGACATCAAGAAGGCTGTTTTTGTACGTTTCCGTTTTAGCTGTCAAGGCCACGCGTGGCCGAGAAAAGATGTGTTCTAACCGGTATGGATTCATTAGATTGGACATGATGTGAGTCTTGACTTCTGCGGATATTCGAAGCGTGTTGCTTTTGTCGTGTGAAATTGGCGTCTATTTGGACACCAGACGGGTTTGCCAATTCAAACAAGTGTTTCTTATGTGACCTTATTACTCTAGTGGGGTGGAGCTACCGTGTGGAAGGTTAACATCCATTATGTAAGTGTTATGGAGATAATGGGTTTTGTTGAAATTGTTCAACAATTTAACTCCATCACCACAGCCAGAACGGTGCAGGGCAATAATCGCACTCTGTACAAACTGGACGCCCCCAGCGGACGTGTATCGATCCAAAGAAGAAGTGTTGAAAGTCATGCCCCAAGCCGCATATGTAAGTGTTTAGCCCAATTCAAGACTTGCATCTCATTCTCCATCACCAACAATCCTTCGAACAAACTAGACATACTACTTTGGAACTGACGCTGCTGACCGCACCTTATCCAAAAACGTTGAATTGTCGTTACGTGTCTTGCTAAGAAACTCGACGTCGGAAAGACTGCCTTTCAATCCATTCAGAGATCCCAGTGTGTTTGAAAGGATGGATGATTATGATAAGCAGTTGGGGCCGTTGACTTCTATGACGCCAAGGGTAAGGTTCTATCTAGTACCGGATATCCAAGAAGGTGGAAGCCTAAGAGTGCTTTTTCGCAAAATAGGAATTCCAATACTATCTGGACACGTTTACTCAAACTGGATTTACTGGGCCTTTGAACTGGTGTATGTGAAACTGTAAAGACTCGTTTTGTTTTCATATTGCTGATTTTTCGTGCTTTGTATAGATCGAACCGGTCTCTACAACTTTGAAGATGAGCTTGGAAAACCAAAGACCGTTTCTCTCCCAGTACTCTACGTGTTCCCTGAAAAAGATCCCGTATTCAAAGAAAATGTGATTGCACCAATGCACGAACTCATCAAGCACCTGACTGTTAAAAGAGTACCAAACGCAGGACATTGGGTTGCTGCTGAATATCCTGAGCAAGTCAACAAGCATATGATTGAATGGTTGACTAAAACCCTCCCTGAACATGAAAAACGCTCGAAATTGTAGTGTTTTGAAAGGTTTTAAATATAAATATAAAGAAAGAGTCCAACTACATTTTTATATATAAGATTTATAAAAGTTTCTACTTTTGTTCAGGTCGCAGAGATGGGAAGGCTTCCTTTGTACGTCTTCATTTTACTTTACTGTGTCTAATATATAGGTGAGGTATTATGTTGTTCAAGGGAATGTAAATAGTAGTCCAGTCATCAGAGCGGTGATTACGCCGCCAGCTGTTGACAAGGGTTTCAAGGCACTGCCGGTTTGCGGTACTGTTGCTGGTGATGTTGAGTTGGCCGCTGGGGGTGGAGGAGGTGTGTATATGGCCCATTGGTATGCGACACCAGAGCTATTCAAATCCGCCATGAAATTCTGTGTAATATTGTTCGTGTTGGAGATGTTTAAGAGTTGAAAATCTCGCGCGGTGCCTGATTCTACTTTTCTGAATTCAAACAAGCCCTGTTGCAAGTTGATATGTGAGTTAATGGCTCACAACCAGAAACAGACACAAAGCCACTTACAAACATCTTGATAAGTGGAAACTTGACATATGTAGCAGTATTAGCAACACCTTCCAACCACCATCCTCGCTTCTGTGGCAATTCCGCTGCACCAGCAGTTATTGGCAGATATGTTCCGTTTGTGCCATTAGGTGTGAATGCGTTATAGTGCGCAACACCCCACTCGGATATGGACAGAGGCTTGTTGGTGCTTTGCACCCAATCGTAAAATGGATACGTGCCACCGAGTAGTGTGTTGGCGAAGTATGTTGTTGGAGGCACTTGGTTCACTCCGTAGTACGGGTTGCCAGGGCATTTCAGGCACTGTGGCCCAAAGTAGTAGAGAGATGTTCTGACGTTTGATTTTGTTAAATTGGACTTTTTTTTTGAAGAGGGCGGAATTCTTCACACATACCCAATCCAATCAACATATTGAGCGCCCGGCCACCTTAAAAAGCAATCGTTAATTGATCCCACTGTAAATTGGAAGGTAATTTGTTTAATTGTCTCACCATGGAGTATAGGGATTATCGTCAGTGTCATAGACACCATTCTTGTTTGTATCCAGCGCTTCCAAGTTGGCTGGATCTATGTCACCCGTGACACTGGCATCGACGGGGAATGCGCTAGCGAAGGACACGTTAATTTTATTGTTTTTGAAACTTGTCTTGTTCGCACCCATCTGGTAAAGCTTGAGGAGCGAAAACCTGCAATTCGTAGTAAGTTAGAACTAGAATCGCGATGAAGCGTGGAATTGCCGATTCTTACCATCGCAGTTCTTGGCGCGACAGCTCTAACAGCATTAGTAACATTAATCCACAGTTGAATAAAGTCTATAGGACGTAGGGCCCACGGGTACTAAGAGAGGAGAATTTAGGACATGTGTGTATCGTAATCAAAGAAGCTGACTTAATACATACCCAATTCCCATTCATCTCTGGAGCAAGACGTATAAACACATCAATCCCTCTGGCATTGTACGCAGCAACCTGATTTGCCAGGTCTGTTATATGAGTTGAATTAATTGCTGAGAATGCTGTTCCCAGCGGTGTCATCGTGTACGGGTAAACGGTCAACATTAGCTGGAAATCTAAAGGATATTTGGTTGTAAAAGAGTCAAAGCACATTCTGAGACGGGATACTGTCAAACAGGGTTACTTGTGTTGGTATCAGTGAAGAACTGAATGTTGATGGTGGTATCGTTTGGTGTATTCGCGTTTGGGCTCATCACAGGAAGGTTTTGCGCGGCGTGCCATATAGGCCAGTATTTGCCTGTGTGATTGTTTATATTCACGGGATACATATCCGTCCCTGGACTTGTATCAGGCCAAACCTAGTAGATCAAGTAGGGTAAATGGTTGCGGATTGATGAGATGCATATCCAGAACGTGAAAGCTGACAATGAAGGTATGTAGCAATGTTGCGGTAAACCTGCAGCATAGTGATTGCCGTCAATGCTATGTTGCATCCCACCCATGTTTAGGCAAGGCAAGCTTGCGAATGAAAGGGCGGAAAGCAGCGATATGATGACGGAACTAGCGATGCAACATACCGCTATAAGCACTGTTCCATTGGGTTCCAGTAATGCCAGTCCATTGGCAAATGGTATGGTAAAGACGGAGAGGACAAACAGAATTGACCAGCACGAGATGGTGGTAGTTCCAGTAGTCCAAGGCATGATAATCGACGAATCCTGCTCTTCCGCTCCTCTCCAACAAGATAATCTAGTAGTTTTAGCGATTTGAATGGTTTGCTTTGCGATTTTTCAAACAATCCTGCCGCAGAGGATTAAACCGCAGAACTCTAAGCACGAACTGCAGCATCTTGGCGAGTTAGATCTGATAGATCTCGGATCCGAGCAGAGCACTGCATTCAAGAACATCGCGCTTGGTTGCGTGAAAGGACGTTGCCTTGCCTTTAAAACAGTGTCAAACTTAGATCGGTGACGTTTTTTGACAAAGAAGCAACCACGTTCAGTAGGATGAGGATTATTATATTACTGGTATTACGTTTCATCAAAATCCAGATTAAGTAGCTGTGATCAACGTCATGGCTACAGCAGCCACAGCTAAGAATGAACATAATTCAATCTTGATTCCAGTGCTAGCTTTTGGAGTTACAGATGTGGCAGCAGTTGGGCTGGCAGCAGCAGCGGCAGTAGCACTCGCTACAATAGTTGAATTTGCCCAGACGTATTCAACGGTTGTAGTTGCAAGATCTGACAAGAACGTGCTTGTCACGATACCACCGTTCGTGCTCGTGTTGAGGAACTGAAAGTCACGCAGGCCTGGCTCGTACTTTCGCCATTCTGGAGAAGTGATGATGTGGTTAGAAATGACTTGAAACCCACACAAACGGATTCATTACCGAACAGGCCAAACATTTTAACATTTGGAAACATGGCCATTGTTGCAGCATTCGTAAGTGATTGAGACCACCATGCTCTCTTCATGGCCAACTCTACAGAACCAGGTTCATCCCATTAGAAGGAGTTTAGCATTTTCGACATAAAAGTTTCAACCTACCTCCAACGCCTGGGTCCACCGTCACATAGTAAGGGATACCCCACTCAGCAAGAGTAATGGGTTTACCTAGTGACACTACATAACTGTAAAAGTTGAATGCTCCCCCAGCTCCAGTCATCCAGCCAACAAAGTAGTTGGGATCGACAGCTGCATTGACTCCATAGTTGCCAGTGGAGTCGTATGGGCCCCAATAATACATGCTCGTTCCAACTAATATAGATCAAATAGTTAGCAAACTCAAAGTCGCGCAATGTATGCAGATCGCAGTACTCCTTACCCCAGTCTACAACGTCAGTTCCTGGAAAATATGGAGTATCTAAAAGATGGGAGTCGTATCAGAGAATTTGCATTCAAAATGGTTCACGGGACTCTTACAAGGGTTGTCTGCGAAAGAGATCTGTCCATCCCCGTTAGTGTCCATTGCAGCGAAATTTGCAGCGGAAGTTGCTCCCGTTGTTCCAGGAGACAAGGGAAAGCCTATAAGTCATCAGAATTAACTAGCGTTACAACACATAATCAAACACAATCTACTCTCTCAGAAAGTACGAAATGTGGCATTGTTGCAAAATTACGTGCCTCCCTGGAGTATCTGTGGTGACCACATGAAACTAACTAACGGAGCAACAGCTCTCACAGCTAAAGCAATCTTTCGATACATGGCAACGAATTCGATTGGCCTACATGAATTTTGTCAGGAAACTAGGATGATTGAGGCACATCTTACACACGTACTGCTGGGCCCATGGATACCAATTTCCATTCATTTCTATAGTAACATGTGTAAGCAAACGCAAAATTAGTGGTCTCGCTACTGGTCTCACCAGCAAATATCCTCAAAATCACTCGTCGACCTTTAGCATTGTAACCAGCACATTGCGAGGCCAGAGCTTGAATATCAGAATCTTGTATATTTGAGTATGCGTGTCCCGCAGTAAGTGCGTAAGGGTACAGATCCACTGAATGTTTGGTAATTGGGTCAGCGAATTGTTGTCAGACCGTCCTAAACATTTTGCAGATCACATAACGTACGAATTAATATAGCATCAGTTCCTAGTGCTTCGATCAGCGAGTAATCGATCGTGGTATCAATATTAGCGGGGCTCATGTCAGCACCAATAACTGGGATATTCTGGGCCATATGATAGACACTATTGCAGTTGTTAATTGCAGTTAATTGCAGTTAATTGATAGACACTGTGTGTATCCTTGTGAGATCGAAAAGCCATACTGACACGAATACAATTACTCACGGCCAGTGTTTTCCTGTACGGGTATCAATTTTAAGCGGTGAATCATCATTGTAAGGCCCCTTGTAACTGTGTTAGGAAAATGTGTTGGTCAGCTCGTGCCAATTGTGAGCTGGATCCCACCATTTTGTAGCTTCTAAAGAGTTTTATAGGCACTCACGGATAATTATCACTCCAGACCTAAGGAAAACATAGAGGGTTAGGCTGGTTGCTTTGGAAACGTGGTGGGTGGATGTGTGGACCAAAAACCAACATCAGTCCCATGCAGCATTGTAAGCTTACTGAAATCATGATTTTGTTGCCTGGAGGTACGAAATTGACAGCAGCCAGGGTGGTCGCTGTCCATACCAGAACCAGACATGTCGCAGCAAACGGTGGGAACTTCAAGAGGTGCATCTTTGGACCAAGCACCTCAATAGCAGTCTGCCAACGTCACAGACTTAGCTTATATGTCGCTCGTAGATGTTTACGGCGCTCCCTGTACGATGCACAAAAACAGATTGGTGGGCTATTGTAAAGATGTAAAATGTGACAAGGTGTGTTTATTGCCTCATTTCACGAATTGTGAGCAGGAACGCACACAGCAAAAGGTTGAAGCCTGTTGAATTCATGGCGCGCGCTGATATGGACCTCTTACGAAAGTGCGATCGCTATGATATTGAAGGAGATTATGGGGTTACAAAAAGTCAAGTATTAGGTATCAGAAAAGTCCAGCAATTACGATAACACAAACAGAGACAAGGAAACCGAACGCATTAAGTTCAGCCTGTCTCTCAGAGAATGAGCTTGAAGGGGCTTGAGTTACGGTGAGTATGGATTTAGTCGTGGTTGCTGTTGGAGGTGCTGTTGTCGTCCCGTTCGTAGAGTTCGCCCATATTATATTCACCTAATTGGAGGGGAAGAGATATGCTATAGGCAAAATATGACTTTGGTCACAATAAACATTCTTTACGTACGCCACTAGCATCAATATCGGCCAAGAAAGCCTTCATTACAGTTCCGCCATTAGTGGTATCATTCAAAAATTGAAAGTCACGGAGAGTTTCGAGTTCGTATCTAAACAAAGATAGCTGTGAGTTTATCTCTGAAGCATGATACTCCAATTTCACATTCAACCCTTACTTGCGGAACTCGAAGAGCCCAATGAATTTGATGTTTGGGTATTTGTCAAGCATTGTCTTGTTCGTGATTGCTTGAGACCAAAATGCTTGTTTCATTGCCAGATTTCCTGGACCGGCATCAATTGGTGTAGCAGCCCCGTTGTATCCATTAGCTGTTTTAAGATAACAATCATTCACTGTTAGTACTTTGCATAGGCAAATCGTAAACTCCAAGTCGACTGGCATACCAAAGTAGTCGAGGCTAGGAGAACATAAATATAGGGTCAGCATCTCTCAACCCAAGAAAAAATTGAGAAGCCCATGCTTACTAGAATGGTTTTCCAAGTTCCGTAATAGACAATGGCTTCCCCAAACTGACAACATAGTCATAAAAGTTCACAAGTCCTCCCGTCAGTCTCGCCTCGAAGAAATTCGACGGTGGCAGACTGTTTGTCACATATGTGCTCAAACTGTTGTCGTACGGCCCGAAATCGTACATGCTGGCTCCAACCCTTTGATTGATGGGTGATGACTGTTAGGATGTGTCTCTATGTGATAGAACTTTGAAACATTTTCCACACCAATCTACAACATCAGTACCAGGCCAGAATGGCGTGTCTGCAACGTGAAGAGCAAGTTAGTTTGCGATTTTATGACTGAATTGGACCTTCCTTTCATAACATACATGGATTATCACCACTATCAACAACCCCATTCTTGTTCGTGTCGAGAAGCGCCAAGTCTGCGGCGCTCATGGTGCCTGTCGAGGACGTCGGGACATAACCACCTACAATACCGAAATGAATCGTTAAGTCAACAGCAATGCGGCTGATACTCTCAATGCAAATGAACTCTAGTAATTTCAAGACTGACCATTTTCAGATACCATTGGACTCCATAACATGGCTAATATTCGAAGAAACGGCGTTTAGCACTACAATACACGGGGTTTTAAATGCCAAAGTTAACATTGTTTCGTGGAAAAATTTACCTGTAAGTGGAGCTTGCGCTTGTATCAGCAATGCGAGCTTTCTGAAGGTAGCAATGAAGGCCGTTGGTTGCTGAAACAAAAGCATATGTTATTTCAAACGTTGCTGTGCATGCCTTATCAAAACAACGCTGAAAACTTGGTTCAAGTGCTGCTTGCAACTGACAGGCAACGGCCAGTGCACTCACCAGTGCCCAAGGATACCAGTTCCCATTCATTTCTGGCGCAAATCTGAGAATCACTCTTCGCCCCTTCTTATTGTAAGAGGCGCATTGGTCGACGAGGGCTTGTATATCAGAGTCCAAGATTGCCGTCCATGATGTTCCCGCGGGGAAAGTGTAAGGATATATGCTGACTGTTCATAAAGAGATAAGCAATCCAATTATTGAAAACGCAGAACGAAAGACCGTATGGTGACTTACTCAACAGTAGTGCATCGCTGTTTACTGCGTCGACTAAGGAATAGTCCATGGTATCATTTACACCAGGGTCATTGGTTAGCTCGCTGAACACTGGTATGTTTTGACTCATGGATAAAGCTCTAACAGAAAATCAGTTTGAGCAAAAAGCGCTTCGTGATGCCATGTAAACCAAGTTGTCGTAGAAGTTACCCCCATTGTCGACCAGTTCTAATAATACGACACAAGTAAGCTTCAATAATCGATATGTGAATAGCTCCCATGCGTAAAATTACCTTGAGTAAAGTGCTTGGGGGGTGTCCACATGGAAAGTTCCTTGCCAAGCTGTAGCAAATCGAGATGTGAGTACTTCTGAAAAACGTTCGGATACGACACGGGATGTATTGAATGTATGCTCACGATAATGATCCAGCCAGACCTAAACGTTAATGATTAAACCACAGGGGATGGAGAACGTCAGCGATCGTTCCGGTTTGCGACAAATGTATCCAATCATCCAAGACTTACCGACAACCACATTGAGCCTGCAGGTGGTTCAAACATTGCTGCAGCGATGCATGATCCAACAGTACTAAGTGACAATGTCACCGAGTACAGCCAAAGCTTTGGAAGGTGCATATTTAGTGAATTTGGTGGTTGAAGTCCCAAGATTACTAGGGTATGCCAATGAAACCAGCTCAAGAGGCGTGAAATCAATACGAATCGTGGCAGAACTACTGGAAGTAGTCTGTCTTGGCACTAAAATCCAAAAGAACGCCCGCTGACTTTGAACGCTAAATTGTAACGTGGTGCATCAACCAAGATATCAACATGAGAACTAGACACTAAATCCGGTTTACATACTATATCAATTTTATTGAGGATAATAAGATTGCAATATTAGTGAGGATCAAATGCTAAGGATTAGAAAGATCCGGGAATCATCATTATGAGTATGGATATAAGGAGGCCAGCGTTAATGTTAACTTGTCTCACGGAGAATGAGCTAGAGGGCGCTTGAGTTATGGTAAGTATCCCACGAGTTGTCGTGGCAGCAGCTGTCGTTGTTGTGGTTTGTCCGCCAAATGAAGATGTTCCATTCGTGGAATTGGCCCATATTACGTTGACCTGTAAGATAAGCATCGTGTAAGTAAGGATCGATATTGCAACAAGAAACATCCCTTACCCCACTGTTATCAATATCAGACAAGAAGGCTCTCATGACTGATCCGCCATCAGTCTGATCATTCAAAAATTGAAAGTCACGGAGAGTTTGAATCTCGCTCCTGGTCATCAGGGCGAATGGTTAGAGTTTGACTTCATCGCGTAACAAACGAGTCAATAGGCTTGCTTGATAAACTCAAAGAGTCCAAAGAATTTGACGTTCGGGTATTTGGCCAGCATGGCCTTGTTGGTAATGGCTTGGGACCAAAACGCTTGCTTCATTGCCAAGTTTCCTGGTCCTGCAGGAATTGGGGTACCTGGGCCGCCGTAGCCACTTCCTACAACGGCAATATCCTGTAAGTTCACGCCGACGATATAACAGATTCCAATTGTGCTGGCCTACCATAGTATTCGAGACTATTTGAAAAAGACTGTAATTAGCGATGTTTTACCGATACGCAGCACATGCAAAGACTCACTAAAATGGCTTTCCAAACTCTGTGATTGCAAGAGGCTTGCCCAAACTTAGAACGTAGTTATAGAACGGGACCAAGCCTCCCGTCAAAGCATCCTCAAAGAAGCTTGGGGATGGCAAGTTGTTCGTGACGTAGGCATTTTTACTGCTGTCATAGTTGCCGAAATCGTACATGCTGGACCCAACCCTTTTTTTGAAAATGATTGTGATGAGGTTTTTAGAAATCGTCCCTGAAGTATCCAACTAAATACCAATCTACGACGTCGCTTCCAGGCCAGAATGGGGTATCTGTATATGAATGTTGAGTCATGTTGTAGTTTCTGAATTCGAGAAAGTGGAAACTCACATGGGTTATCTCTGCCATCTAAAACACCATCCTTGTTTGTATCCATGGCGGCCAAGTCTGCAGCGCTTGTAGGGCCCGTCGAGCTCGTTGGCGTATAACCACCTAGAATTCCAGTAGCAAAACGGTCAAATTGGGTAAACTTAAAAGCCCTGTGACAAGGGAGCAATTCAAACGAATATTATTTACCGTAACCACTGATCTGAGGGGACCACATCATGGCTTTAGGTCAAAAAAGAGTTAGAACAGAAATCCTGGTTTACCAACTTTGATTTGAGAAGAGTCAAACAAATCGATTCAAAGAGCATACCGGTGAGTGGTGCTTGAGCTTGTATCAGCAAGGCAAGCTTTCTAAAGGTAGCAACGAAGGCAGTAGGTTGCTTGAAGTGAAGGTTGTATTAGTTCAAATGCGGTCAGGCACCAAGCAGACCACGGCAAGTAAACTTACCAGTGCCCAAGGATACCAGTTGCCGTTCATCTCTGGAGCAAATCGAATGATCACTCTTCTCCCCTTCTTATTGTACAAGGCACATTGGTCCACAAGAGCTTGTATATCAGAGTCTTGAATCGCTGTCCATGATGTTCCAGCCGGGTACGTATAAGGATAGACGCTGACTGTTCATTCGCAAAAACGAAACAAATTAGAAACAATTTGTACATGTGTAAGCATGAGAAATGTCAACAAACTCACTCAACAGCAGAGCATCGTTGCCTAGCTCGTCAATCAACGAGTAGTCCATAGTATCATTAACACCAGGGTCATTTGTATGGTCGCTGAGCACTGGTATGTTTTGACTCATGGACAAAGCGCTAGTGGCGGTTCGATTCAGCACAAAGTGTAGCATAAGTGGCATAGAAGACATACCCCCATTGACGACCAGTTCTAATCGAGAAGACAGATCAGATTATATATTCATTCAGATGATCGAAAGTCGTTTCAGATGATTACCTTGCATACAGGGCCTTAGGCGTGTCGAGGTGCGAGGTTCCCATCCAAGCTTCATAATTGTGTGGTGAATTGTGAGATGTTGGGCATCATTCAATAGAGAAAGACAAATGCATTCAATTAAACATACGATAATGATCCAGCCAGACCTAAACGTGAATGGGTGAACCACAGGGGATGGAGTAAATGAGCATGCATTCAAACAACAAAATGTTGAAGAATGACGACTTTACCGAAACCCAAATAGAGCCAGCAGGAGGCTCAAACATGGCACAAGCACCAGAAATCAATACAGTGAGTAGCAACACCACAGAACAACACCAGGACTTGAGAAACATGGCGTTGAAGTTTTTGGTGGTTGACTATTACTGGCTGAAGATTTGAGCAGCTCCAGTTGAAACCAGTTCAGAGGAGATGATGCTAACAGGGATCTCGACGTGAATACAAGCAAGAAACTGTAGCTTGTCCTGTCTCAATCGAAAAAAGATGTCACGACACCGCCACTTCTCTTGATTTTTGAGCGTAACACGAGTTTGATGAAAAATGTTAACGTAAGCCGATGCAAAACGCGTAGGCTAGGCTTCGTAGATTTATAGCGTTGTTATATTACTTATTACTTTGATCTATGGTACGTATGGGTTCACCGTATACTAGCACTATTCTGACGGATTGCCGCAACCAATCTCTCAACCTCCTCTGGATTTTCCTCAATCCATCTTTGCACTGTTTGCTCATTGATTTCATCATCTGTAGCAGCAATGTCCAGCGATGGTAAAGATAATGGAGCACTGGTTGGATCATATGCTGGAGGCGATTCTATTATTGCTTGACGAGGCAGAGTAAATAAGGTCTCATCTGCTACATGCCATGAGTTCCGTGAGGCTATGGAATTACTACGTCCTATCGATGCTGGAATCGTTGATACAGTTCCAGTCCTGAACGACGATGGTGGGAGTGTGTTGTAATCGGTGTAATCGGTTGTAGGCGTTTGAGCTATAACCGAGACGAATTTAGATCCTGCATCTTCATTGGCGATTTTATCCTCGTCCAAGTGCATAGCTAGTGATTTGGGATCGTTTCGTTCAATGTATCTTCGTCGTGCAATCACAGCGCTAAGCAAAAATCCAAGAGATGTTAGACCACAACGCAACATAGAGGAAATCCGAACCACTACAATCTATACTCACGCGAAACAGAGAGAGATAAATACAACAATAGCTGCAAAGGCAATACCAACGTCAACGGCTGTAGATGTAAACGGACCATTTGCCACAGGTGTGGTTGCATCATTCAAATTATAGCATGTTCCAACATTGTCGTAGTCACAAGCTGAGCCTCCCCAGCAGCCCCATACTACATTCGAAGCTATAAAATAGATGTAAAAAAGGAGCTTCTGCAACGAGCACAAAAACCAGGCGAGATGCTTATACAAAAGATGACCAACCTGCAGCGATACAGCAAGATTGACTGAGATCTAAGCAAGCTCCTAATCCTACAGCTCCATTCGTACAGCAAAGTTGGTCTATATCACAAGATCCGGTAGTGTTTCCACAGTCGGCTGAGATACGAGCAAGATGCGATAGTATCAGCAGCCCTATAGCTTGTAAACTAGTCTTGGATAGCATCTTTGATTTGGATCTTTGGCTATTTGTTTGTGTTGGTTTTAAGCCGTGATAGAGCTGCTTTGAAAAGGCAAAAGGTGTAAATGTCTGATTGATTGGGTACGCAATATTGTTTTTCAAAGCAAAGAGGAGGAGTGGGCGACCAAAAGAATGTTCTCAATTTAAGGTTTTGTATGCCTACAAAGTATATCCTGTCTCAAGTTTGCAGGATATGAGCGATCGATATATCATGGCAATTCTTCGTTCCACAATTGTTAAAGACGTGAAAATGCGAGGCAGGGCACTGATAGTTTTGTTCTAACACTAGCTTTGAATTATTCTGAAAATTTACAAGTGATAATATAAGGAATTATACCTCTATGCAGTTGCTTATAACGACACAGTTTTTTATGTGGCATTTACTACTTTATTTACATTTCATCTTCCTTTTCACCCCATCCATGATCAATCATGAACTTTTCAAATTCCGATGCACCTGTTGCAGGTAAATGACCAAAAGTGCCCGACCGTTCAAGATCAGCAGGACTCTCTGGCTGACCTGGATGATTTGGAAGCGGGATCTTTGGCACTGGATAGTTCGTGTCAGCGATAGCCAAAGCGTACGTTGGAGGCGGATACAAGGTGTTGAGAGAGTGAGGTGATGTTGGTGAGATTGGCACTATAGCTTCAACTTCCTCGTCTTCACTGGTTTGACTAGTTCCACCAAGTGTTGTTTCACTGAAACGGACACTCTTTGTTTGACCGACAAAGAGAGTTCGTTGAGATATACCCGAGAATCTCTGCTTCCATCTTTGTGCAGCTGGTTCGACGGGTACGATAGTTGCTGTTGGGTCATTCCATATATCGCTATCTACAGGTGGTTTTGAGTACGAGTAGGGCATATTGTCTGGTCCAATGTTGCCGTATTCCAGTTTATTATCTGTGGTTGGAGATACTGGCAATACACTTGTGGAGTTCTTGCCGCGTCCTCGACATGTTCGTCTGACAATAGCGAACACACTAATTTTGATTGTGTTTGAGAAGATGAATAGCTAAACGTTGACGGGAAAAGATGGACGGTTGTCATTTAAACCTACATAGCAGCGATGAGAACAGCCAGTAGTACTCCTCCAACTGACATTCCTATCCTTTCTGCTGGCTGTAAACAAGTTCATAAAATGTATCAGCATACAGCAAACGTAGAGAATAGCTGAGGAATGCAGCCAAATGGACAGCATCGACTTACTGTCAATATTATTCCATTATATACATATGGCTTGATAGTTGCTTTGATAGTTGCTTTCGCTGCTGTAGTGGTTGCATGACGAGTTGTTGTGGTAGTTGCCGCAGATACACAAGATCCTGATATCAGAGCTCCTAGCACAACAGTGGATATCAAGACTCCCATCTTCGGGTCGTATGAATGCAGGGATTGAGGGAAGAGCACTACCTTCACGTTGGTTGCTGTATGAACTAGTGATGAACTCGCCAATATTGAATTTCAAAACCCACCCAATCAGAACTCTCCTTCTCTTTTGGCTTAAGAATAGAGTATCTAGTGACTTGAAGAAAATGAAGTACGAGCACACTAAGAATAATTTACTAACCCAAAATGTGAGGCGTATCTCTACTACATTGGGTCTGATACAAAATGCAAGGGAAAGATAACGAAAGCGTGGCATTATAGATTCTCATTTAGAAAAAGCCAAATTTGTCAGTCACTCGGCGTGTTGAACTTGTGGGTTACAGTGCCATGTTGCACTTACGTCCAACCAACATTTTTCAAACAACGACCCGAAACTTTGAGTAAACACCCAAACATGAAATTTACATTAAGAAATGGGAAATTGTACAAAAAGACTATACGAATATACACCCAATACAGAGTATATACACCCCGAATCCCCGAGTCTCTGCACTACTGGACTATTGTTTGGACTCATGCACGGCGGCCATGAATTGAGCGAACTCTTCTGGGTTTGCAACAGCAAATGCCTCAATAGCAACTGCTTCATTATCAACAGGTGCTGGTGCTGGTGGTGCTATTATGGCCGATAGTGGTGCTGGTTGTGCTGCATAACCCAATGGTGGAGTGTCCTTCGAGTCAGCAGCTGTTATACCACTAGATCCAGCCTCATAGGCCGGTAATCCCAAAGCAGACAGAGACAGTGATCTCATGGGTGCGATCATACCCAATGTCGGAAAGTCTGATGTTTTTATTCGTAGGCTTGCTGCACCAGCAGCATAATTCGGTTGTCGCATGGTCAAGGTGGTTTGTTGCGGTGGTGACTGCGATAACGGTGGCAGATATATGGGCAGAGATGGTGCTGAAGGTTCAACTGCGCCACGGGCGAATGATGATGGCATACTACGGGGACCTATTATTCCAGACTCCATTGATGATGGAGATTTGAATTCCATATTTCTCATCGATGGAGGTGGTATTGTTTTTCCATACGTGCGGTTCTGTATACGTCGAACTGCCAATGCGATGCTATTGAAGCATATGTCAGGTCAAAGTTTGTTCAAAGATCAAGTCGATAGCAAACTCAGTCTTCAGCTTCTAAGCGCTAATGTAACTTACACGAGAGCTCCCAGTAATGCACCTAGTATAGCACCAATAGCGATTCCAATGACAGCACCTCTCTAATTGAGAGTAACATGTTGAGCAATTGTTTGTAAGCAGCATTGACTATATAAATGACGTACATTTGAGCTACTTGTAGAGCTTGAATCTAGAGCCAAAGTACCGCTACTGGGTGTGGAACTTGCTGTTGCAAGAGCCACACCAACTGAAGATGCTAGACTTGGCTTCTGTGTTTCACCTCTACTGGGAGATACCCTGGCCACTTGATTTACCATTGTAGCTACAGATCTCGCTTCTCACTGTCTCGTTGCGGCTGTCAGGAGCTCGTTTATCCTGTCTAGGGAAGAAATTAATGAAATTTCGGAAGAAGTCAACCGATCACGTCAATTGTCAATCACGAGACGGATGCATTGGAATCCGAATCGTCATTGAATGCTACATATGGAACCGTTTTCAGTAATGAGGACTACTAGGCTGTTGTCCTTTTCGTGGGCTTCGTAATTGCGGCGGAACAGCAACATCACTGAAGCTTTCATTCAAAACTAGGGGGTTTCAGAGCTTTTGACGTCAAACGCATTTTAAAAACCAGTTCTATGTACGGAGAATCCGTTTTCTGTCCTGCAATTGTTCCCTTTCTCAATGTGTTTATCACAGTCCCTTGCAGCTCTTGAAATATGGAAATTACCTGACAATACACATTGGCCACACTGGTCACAAACATATCACATAATCGTGAATAAAGTACTCTATTTTCAATTCTTAAATACTGTTTTTTACGGTTATTTTGCTTACATATGTCCTTTAATATCTCCTATCAGAGTAACTTGGAGTCCTTTCAAAAGTCGCCTGTTGGAATCCAGCATTACTAGG